CTCCGAAATTATCAGTTTGCTGCTCATTCGGACGTAACGAATGCAATTTACTTCTGGACAATTTCATCAACCTGTCAACATGGGGACTGCTGGCTAAGTACATATTTAAGAATGGGTATGAAGAATCTAGACCACTGCTGCTCGTGACTAGTGAGTAATCATTTCAGAACGGGTTCCATTAAGTCCCCATTATGGTCAAATTAAATTGCAGAAACGCAGTTGTCAAAGTTGCCAAAGTCATGATGAAAGTATGTATGTGAAGTTGTGGCTTTGTAAGACATACAGCAAATACACATACAACATATGAATGTAGACAGGATCCGTATTTCAAATTGCGAAGCTTTGTACACTCAAAACACCTAAACTATGTTTGCATATAAGATCGTAACATTTGTTACAAGGGTCATAAGAACTAAAAATTAACAGTTATCAACGTCAAGTTGTGAGTGGCGAGACGATGGAATATTTCGCAAAGAAAGAGTTGCTTCATGCTGAGACAAATTCTAAAGTTTCTCCATTTATTCTTGAATCATGTTGTCCTGCTGACCTAGAATCCTAATTATTTGTCATTTCATAAAATACAAGAGTACAATGGGATTTAATTTTCCTTAGCTTGCCGTGGGAGTATGAAGTTAGAGCTAGAATCACTTTATACTCTTAGACCATCTAACCAAGGATAAGCAGAAACGTAGGATGTGACGTGACTTGGCCACCCCTTCGTGATTTGTTTATTTACGGAACAAATATAAGCGTAGGTACAATTATTATCCTTGTGAGTGTCGAGGATCATGGACAAAATCTCTGATGCGATCTGTATAAATGACTCCTACGTTCTTAACCACAGTTAAATGAAACATGAAGTTCTTGAATTCAACTTATTTTCAAATAAAGTTAATGTTCAATGAATCAAAATAAAGTGTTTCTTAAAAACCTTTAATAATCCATCTCTGTATCCTCGATTATATGAAACAAGTGTGTCACTAATTTTATGCGCTACACCGACGTGTAAAGTACGTAAATGGTTATTTCATTTGCACAGAGATAAAAGCCCCCAGTGACGACCAGACGAATTGTACATGTTATTTTTTACGAAAATCTTTTGATCATCTGTATATGTAACAAAACAGTACTTTGATCATTTAAACACTTGAAATGAATAAAAACAAAAATTTACATGATGTAAAAGTTATCGTAAAATTTCATCATTATGCGCATTTCATCCTCCTTCGTTTGACCTTCTTTAGTAATCAACCCAACGGTTGAACTTTTACTTTTATTTATTCAGTCATAAAAATCAGTGATTGTTGTGTGAATATGTAACTGGTGTACAAAATCTACTAGTATACATAATTATTATACCCATTAATTTAATACATAGTCAATTGGTGTTAATATGTATTTATATTATCTTCCACGTACTTATTTATTCCAGATTGGCTGGTGTATCTATGCAGGTAAGCATAATATGGATTGCCTATTGGCGGAGAAATGGTTTGGTTGCATAACTAAAGAATACAACAATAGACATCCATTTTGATGCATGCATAATATATTTTCGTGTGCTGAACACAAAAGAGATTTCTGTTCGATCATAGTCGAATGGACAGAGCAATGATGACAAAGAATTATTATGTGTGCATATTCACGAGGTTGGAATTGTGACACTTGAAATGGCCAACACAATTTTGAAACTCGTTTACAAGTAAATGATATCTCTCTTCAGAGTGACGACCTGGATCCATCTCCAGCCAGAGACTTCTTCATTTCAAAGAATTTATCTACATATTTATTTCCGTCGTATTTAGCACATATTGCGATTTGGAATTTGACGGGAAAATGCTACAGGAATATATGTCATCATTTATACAACTGCACAGGAAATTCCATAACTTAACGCACGTGTAAATACGAGATAATTTTATTACTCGCTATTTTGAAATTCTTCCACAACGCACCACAACTCAATTAACTTAATTCTATTTTATGGAATCCTTCGTGGTAATGCTGTAAACAAAATGCGAGTAATGCTTCATAGTATTTACTGCTTGGAACTGTGCAAAAAGCATGTGATCGATTTAAGGGGGTAGGGGTCAAGGAATCTTTTCCCATGTTGCATAGATCACACCAAGTCGGTGGGGGTCAAAATTCCCCGAAAATCTACCACATGATTTGTGTAATCTCGTTGGTAGTGTGAAATAATTGAGTAATTCTGATTCAATTTGTCGCACTTCAAGAAATCTGGTCCGAGTTCAACACGAGTAATTGATTTATGAAAGCTCAGCCCAACAAAATGGGCAGTGGCGGTGGTTCACTTTCACTCTTCGACCCAGCCTTCAGGCCATCTAGTCAAATCTAGCTAGCCATCCATCCATCTGCCATTCCTGATCTGTAATTTAAACTGCATACTGCGCATCGTGCTTTCACTTCTAAAATCTCTACAGGAATATATAAATTAAGTTATTATTGCAAACTGCAACAACCTGCTGTCACTTGTAGTACACATATCTGGGTCAAGGGAAAGATCTCACTTTCACCGTCAAAACATGCCAATAGCGAACTTTGTGGTGAAAGCGTGTGTTGTTCTGAAAGTCCGATTAAATCTGGATATTCTTTAATTAAATTAATTATTCGGTGGGAAAATATGTAAAACTACAAGTTAAAAACAACGATCCGGTTTGACGAAATATAATTACAGATATTATTGTAATTCCAATTTCAAGTCCGTGTAAATACTTGAAAAACTAGTTAGAGCCGAACAGTCGAAGAGAAAACTTTGAGAAGGATTAGAGTCAACAGATAAATTTGCCTAATAAGAAAGCGTCGGCCTCCTAGGCCATAAAACATAGGAGAAAGTCGGGGTTGGAATGTGTAAGTGAAGGAGAAAAGCAGTATTCGATTAGAAATACCAGCTTCTTTAGGAGCCTTCTGCTTAAAAGGTTTAAAATTTTATCACTTCCTCAACTCTGGAGTTTTTCAAGTTGAACGAAGAGTTGGTATAGAGAGTGAGATATTAAGTGAAAATGAGTGAAAGTACTTTTCTCACTCGACCGATGGTGACGAAGAGCTTTCACTTTCAGGAAAACTCTTCATCACAGTCAAGTATTTGGGATGGAAAGGAAAAGGAATGGCAAGGTTAAGCTAAACTACTATTAAAAACGAACTTTGAGTTCCAGCCATTGTTGGTAAGAAAAAGTCCTGCCACTATTTACTACCGAAACTGGACGATTTAAGTTTGAACGAGTGTAATCGTTAATAATTCCGGAAATGTTGGAAAAGCAGGCTGTAGGTATTTTTGTGAAAAGTCCATCTCTCAAACTTTAAGTGGCGTTTAGACGGTTGGGTAATGTCAAATTTTGACGACTCTTCTTTTTTGATACTTTCAAAACTTTCTTTTCACAGATTGCGGAAATGTACTTATTTTTTGCTATTTGAATCAAATAGCAATGGAGTGACGTATAGAAGTCTCATTTGTAAATATGAATATTTATCTTGAACACAGACTCGACATACAGCTTTTAATTAAAGCTATGTAAGTACGGGTCTGGAATAAGCCATTAGCTACTAACTAATTGGACGCACAAATTAGCAAAACTTCATTCTAGCGTAGGCACTAATGAGTTGGATTTCTTGAATACGTTTTCGAAAAATGTGTACTAAAAGTAGTATAAATAAGGAGGAGTTTGCAAATTTCTTGTCAAAATGTACATTGCAGACTTGATGTAGCCCAAGCTAGTAATTCGTCTCACCACTTCTTTCATTTCAAAACTCGATTCAGAAAATTAGAACATTTTTGAGACCTTTGACCAACATTTTATAAAAGTGGAATCTCTGCGTATCGAATTGCCCTTATATTGCAAAATTTCAACTTTTTCGACGAATTAGTAAAACCAGTTTTAACAATGATCTTCAATTTACTGAATTTTAATACTTTAAATTTTATTTTTAATCTGGTGTCTACATACTAATTGCCAAATTCAAGGCAGATACATATGTGCATACATCGGTTAAAGTTAAACCATTCGACCGATATCGTGTCACCGACCAACAGATATACGGACATGACGATTTTATCAGCCCTAGCTTGGATAAAAATTGCACGGAGTGACGAATCAGCAACAAGAAGTAAATTGTACGGCATAGAAATTCAGTTTAGCATTATTTGCTACACCACCTTTCCAATGCATCACATACAATTCATATAACGCTGGAAATCTGACAATTGTTCTCTGGAAAATTGCCACATGTTGAAACTTATGTCAACGGATTAACACGTTTTTAGAGGAAACAAACCAGGCTTGTTCAATTAGCAGTCCAGAGAAAGGATTATTCTCGGTATCCAATTTCCATCAACACAAAACTTGAAACACAATAAAAAACTATTCACAACAAGCACCACTTGAGCACACGCACAAAGGTTTTCATTTCAGGCAATCAACCTCCCACGCAAGATGTGCCTGCTTAACTATGTATGTACTTATCTATTTGTATGTACATATGTATCTGTTTACTCATCAACCCGATCAAGTATCTCAAGTTTAGAAAATAGGACGTAGAATTTGTCCACTCACGTATGAGCAAATTAATTCCTATTTCCAACGATTGACACTTTCAGCAGGGTTGTGACAGAAACAATGTCAAGGAGGCTGTTTGCCGCATAGCATTTCATGACGACGTTATATGACGACGGTCGTATGACGACATAACAAATTTAGGAAACCGAAAGATGCGGAAGGTTTGATGCGCTATCAAGTCTTTATGCCCATAAAAATTATGCTCCCTTCTTTACATCCGTAGTTATGCATGAAAAATGCTCCATATTTGGTGGGTTGTGAAATACATAACCACAAGTTTATGGCAGAAAGCAGGAAAAAATATGAATGGTGAGAAAGGCAAGTCCGCGTTAAGCAGAGTGGGTGGAATGCAAGGGTGTGAGTGATGATGATTTCTGCTAAATTGTAAAAAGCGAGAAAATCGAGGGAGAAAGTAGAGAAAGGTGTTACCTGATGGGGGGCAGATGCAGAGAAGAGTGGTGTCGACATCATCATCATCATTCTTTAAGAAATGTTCTCATCTTTCTTATACGACGTCGAGATATGTAAAATTATATAACAGTAGAATTTTTCCAGAAGAAGATAGTCTAGTTGGTCGAGCAAATTAGATTAGACTAGTCTTTGGAAGAGGAGATCCGCCAACCTTGATAAAAAATATTGATATAGATTAGATGATGCACAGAAAAATGGGGATTGGCCCCAGCCAATTCTTTCTTACTCTTTGTTCTGGGCTACTTAAATATATGAGAAAGTGAGACGACGCACAGTTGAATATTTTATGAAATCGATGATGCTTATTCAAATTCGAAACTGAAAGAGGAAACTCCACAAAGAAGGTTCGATTCGAGAGAAAATGGAGTTTTTTGATGGGAAATTAAGTGAAATTAATCAACCAAGTGACTCTGCTCCGTGTACATATCTTATTTATGCAAATATTCCAGAGAGGAATGATGCTGGTTGAGGTTGATACTTAAATTGGGAAATGTTGCTTGTTTAATGCAGTATGGTCAATAATAGACAGAGAGATATACTTGATGTCAGTTTGTTGAGTGTCGGATCACTTTCACATGAAATGAGACATTTGGCAGTGAAAGGAGGAGAGAGCGAGAGGTCGATTGGGCCACTTGAAATTAATCTTCCCCATTTCCTTCCAGTCTGAACCGCCTTGCTCAGTGTCGACATCAATTTCTTGCAGAAAATGACAATAAGTGTCAAGAAATAATGATTCGATTCACCAGCTTTATAGCGCAATTACTCGGGCTTCAACGAGTTCATCAATGTATTTATAAGTTAAAAGAATGCCAAGAGAGCGTGCCCAAGTCAATGTTAGTCCACCTATTTTTGTAAATGTCTTATGGTTTTCTTATCTTGAAAATTAAACGTATGATCGATTATCAATAACTAAATAGGTGCAGCTTTAAGTATAGTTTAACAAAGTACCAGGAATTTAGTTCAATATTTGCTTTTACCAATGTCAACAATGTGTGTGCTATCTATAACTGAAATTCTGGAAAGATTTTAAGAGTATCGCTTTTCGATGCGCTTTCTTGGATGGATAAATATCGCTAAAAGATTAATCTTATTTCAAAATGTAATAACGATTAAGCACTTACCGACTCTCGTAACTCGTGCAGAATTACGTTAAATGACGGATGTAAATGATTACTGCGGGTGAAAGGTTTTTAAGCTCGGTCTGTTTGTTTTAATAAACTTTCGATTTCCGGGCCAATGAAACTGATTGATTTATGATTCTGTATGTAGATTGTAATGTTAATGATATCGAGTTCACTTTTAATTTATGAACAGAATAGAAAAGCGATAAATTAATGTGGTGAAGGGTTTAATCAAAGGATTTAAGTAATAAGGAGGCAAAATGAGACGTGCGTTTCTGCGGATTGATGCTTGTACGCTTTCCCTGTGTGGCTGGTGATGCAGGTGGTGTAAGTGGAGATGTGCTGCTTTCAACGCTCGACGAGCAACTAAACTACACGACGGGAGAGGAGAAAGTGGGGAAAGTTGAAGAAAATGTGGAAAAGTGGGTGCACGGGTTGAAATTTGGCAAAATAAAAATCCAATATGAAAAGAAAAATGATTAGCTCTACTTTTTCATATTTGAGAAGCAGGAGCACAATATTAAGTTGTTTGCAAGAATTTATTGACATCTGTATAAATATTCGTAGTTAACTCAAAAAACTAATACGAAGCCTGCGAGACGTACATAGTGTCAATAAAATATCGTAGTATCGAAAGTTGTAAACAGATAAAGCAAGCTACTTAATCGACAATATGTTACGTAACATTCTCATAAGTGTAAGAAATTGGATATTATGCAGATTTTGATGTATGTATGTCTATTCTTGACATTGTGATGTAATAAAACCTGGAAATAGTCCGGTATAAGTTATTGCCGAGGACTTAACTATCTAGGGAAATTAACTCGTAGATAATAATCAGCTACCTAGTGTGATGTGTACGTACGTATGTGTCGACATATTCAATCTACAATAAGACAATATTGCGCATATCAACTTTCACTTTCAAAGGAAGCTTTTTCTATTTTCACCATCATATAATTTCTTTTTTTCCTTGTATCATTTTGGTTTCGGTCACAATCACTTGATTACATCGTCCTAATACACGATTTAATGAGAAACTGAATTAGAATATTAATCATTACATACTTATTTCAATTCTATTCTATGTATTTCTTCAATAACTTAAACTTGAAATTTATTGCATGAATGAATAAAGAAGATTGACAATGTACGAATAACGTGTACATACATCATAAGACGACAAAAGCATTAAATCCCCTAACCTTATAGAATTCAAACTTTAAGTGCAAAATTGGAGAATGATAATGTCTTTGTCTTACACTGCTTAAAGCATAATTCCGCCTAAACCTTTTTGTATATTTACTTAATACTACTGTGAATTCCAGAAATAGATAGAAATAATTCCAGCGCTTTGATGTTTAGTTCTCAGCATTTGCTTTAGGATATTTAAATAAAAGTTGCCATTTGACATTTTCAAGGAGGACAAATAATCGCATTAATTAGTATTTTGCATTTCACAGGCTGCAGCTTGTTGCATAGTCATTAAAAGTTGAACCCTTGAACCGTGTACTGTGAGTGTTATAAAGTTTCTCGCAACAGTAAATTTTTGGTACGGAAACCAAATTAATGGGTTTTGGGTGAATGGAAATTTAATTGTTTAACAAAACAGCAAAATACACTAATGTGATTATAATACGTTATGCAACATGTTCATTTGTAGGTCTCCACCGAATTTGTGTTTAAAACTTCACACAAAAAGGAGCATGTTATTCATGGAGTTACTTATTATCACTAAATTGCGTATAAGTGAAAAAAATTGATCGGATTTATTCCATGTATTTACGTGCATATGCCGTTTGCAGCCCTGTTTTCATTCAATTTTACGCTAAAAAAGTATACAGTGACCTTAATAATTACACAGTTTGAGGTGACACCATAATTTAGATTTGTAGGAAATCACGTTCAAAATTGCAAACCTTGATCCACGCTGTCATTTAATTCTGAGTGGACTCTAGAGGCGATTAATTTCGTAACGCTGAAAGTGATTTCAGTAATTAAATTACCCCCAATTTGTTTCAGATTGTTGTGCCGTGTTCCTACATTTATACGAAAAGTACAAACGTGTGCAGGTTGATTATCTAGAGAGGCCAACAAATGCAACCATGCCCGCAATATAATCATTCCTTAATTCAATCAAAACATTCAGAGCAAAATAAATAGCGAACTTTGGAATGATAAATTTTAATTTTCTGGGATATGATGATGAATGCGAAATTATCGTCCTCATCAAATACAGTAATACTAAAATTTTCACCTCTCAACTTGTATAATATGCAAAGTTGTACATACATCCGTCATTTTACGTTTGGCACGTCACCCACAAATAAATCTTAATATTGTTTAGGCCTTATTCCGATTGTATATACATAATTCCGTAAAATGAGAGAAAATGCCTTTTACTCAGGAAAACAATCGCCCGTAATCAGGGAAGGGTTGACACTGGCGAGAATCATCAATCAAGAAAAGCTGTTTTTCGTACTGTAATTTCTATCGACAAAGACACAGGAAGACCGAGGGTCGCATACATAATAAATAACAAAGTAATCGCCCAAGATTATAATTCGCTTCTAACTTTCCATCGTCCTACGCCCTATGCACAAAGTGTATCTAATAATTAAATACAAAGAAGTATTTCGCCTGCGTATTTCCTGACCTTGTCGTTTCCTAATGAATATTTTACCTATACATTGAATATTTAAAGTACCATGCACAAAAATAACCACTTATGCACTGTAATATAATTTTTACAAGGTTTATGTAAAACTAAATTATCTTAAGCTGCCCCACATTAAACTTAACACGTTCAGGTGTTATAATCCTAACTAAAAACGTTACTAAAAGAACTCACATAACGTTAGTTTACGTGATAAGATTGTTATTGCTTTTTGGACAACAATGCAAAGCTAGAAACGTACAGAATTGAACTTGGATCATTCAAGTATCAGGCGTTTGCATGAAACGGAACAAAGCATCGATATGAAGCATTCCGAAAATGAAAACGTGTAAGAATAGCCGGTCTGACGATAAATAAGCTAAACTACTTCAAGTAATGACGAAAGTCGGCGCATATCAGTTATTTATTGAAGGCTGATGATGATTGATTAAAATATATAAGTGCGATTGATTTTGCATTATTATTATTCCACCACCATTGCAAGACAAGTTTTTCATTCTGAATAAGTGTACTTTACGTACGTCACCCTACATTTATCATGTTGGGTGTTTATATTCCTTTGAGATAGGTACTTGAATTTACCGATTTGCGTGTACATTCTAAATATTGTAGCATGAAATGAATGTAGGTTAGTAGATCCCTAAGGCTAATAGTTTGAGTGAAAGGATAGCTTTTGTTTTTAAAGACATTTACATATGTCAAGCTCAATTCAGTTTTTTACTACGAGTTGAAGATAGCAGTTTAAAATTGATAAAATAATTACATTTCGGTCATTCCAAGTGGTGCTACTCCGAGGGTACAGATTTATTAGCAGGGAGAATTGTATTTTACGTTGTAACGTGCGTAGTCGTAATCCAAGTAGAAATATGAGTGCTTCATTCGCCAAAGTGGAGGAATTGTCCACTCGGTATCCAAATAGTGCTGGAAAAGTTATCGGATATGGAACGGCTGGCTTTCGGGACAAGTAAGAAGATGAAAGAGTAGAATTATTCGTTACTTAACTAATTACGGACTATTATTAAGCATTTTTGATTTTATAAACTTATTTCATTTTTAAATTCAGGGCTTCTATCCTGGACCATGTAATGTTCAGAGTGGGAATTCTCTCGGCCCTTCGATCCAAGCAGAAAAATGGTAATATTCTACGGACGATAATAATTCAACGTATTTTAATTGTTATATATGCGCAAAACTTTAGCCACGATTGGTGTCATGATCACTGCCTCTCACAATCCTGAAGATGACAACGGAGTAAAGTTGGTAGACCCCGAGGGTGAAATGTTGGAGAACGCTTGGGAGAAAATTGCTACTAAAGTCGCTAACCTCGAGTAAGTATTTACAAAGACATTGTCTTAACTAATCTTATTTTAACAATTAAATATTGTTTGTTTAACAGTGACTCAAAGCTAGCATCCGCAGTTGAGGATGTAGTTAAGACCACTGGGATTGATTTAGGAGTGAAGGGTTCAATATTTGTTGCTCGTGATACCAGGTATTTAAAAAAAATATCTCATTTATGAGAACAAGTAATCATGTTATAAAAATATAATTAAAAATTCTATAATGAAGAGTCTTTATATTTTTTCAGGGAAAGCAGCCCCCGTTTAACTCAAGCCGTTTTAGACGGCATTAGTTGTATCGACAACTGCGAGGTTGTCAACTGGGACTTGGCAAGCACCCCAGTGTTGCATTACCTGGTGGTGTGCAGAAATGGGAATGAGGCCTATGGAAAATGTTCCAAAGCTGGATATTACGATAAGTTGTCTTCCGGATTTTTAACCTCAATTGGGAGTGTAAGGAAATATAATTCTATTGAATATTTTCATGATCACTACTTGTTTTGATAATTTATGAATACACAGAAATCTGCACAAGGCGCATACAAGCCTATTATCACGGTGGATTGTGCAAATGGAATTGGTGCTGTAGAAATACGAGAAATTGGAAATAAGATTAGTAACGATCTAAAGTTGACCTTGGTTAATGACGGAAAGCCAGGAATTCTAAATCACAATGTAATTTGCGCATATTTTTGCATGTTATTCTAATTCAATATTATTAACCAATTTAAGCCTCTGTATCTAGTGCGGAGCAGATTTTGTAAAAGTCCAACAAACATTCCCAGAAAATGTAACTCCAGCCCCTGGAGAACGGTTTGCCTCGTTGGATGGGGATGCAGATCGCCTAATATATTATTACTTTGATAGTAATTCAAAGTTCAAGATGTTGGATGGGGACAAAATATCACTTCTGGTATGCTCTAGAAATGTTGAAAAATAATACAGTTAAAAAGATAAAACCAATTAAAACTAACAATTTTATTTTCTAGTTTGCGGAACACTTGAGTGAGCTGACAAAACATGCAAATCTTCAGCTTAAGACAGGCGTGGTACAAACTGCTTATGCGAACGGAAGTTCAACAAATTACGCTCAAGATGTGTTGGTATGCTACAAACCTCACAACTTACTTGTTAGCTTGAGATTTTTAATAAACTGAAATATTGTTTTAGAAAATTCCTGTGGCTTGTGAACCCACCGGGGTGAAACATTTGCATCATGCAGCTCAAGCCTTCGACATTGGAGTATATTTTGAAGCTAACGGCCATGGGACAGTTCTGTTTAGTAATAATGCAATCGCTTCGGTCCGTGATGCAGTTAAGTAAGTATCAGATACAAAAAAATTAAGTAGATTACTCTATCGTTCTATGTGTAAGTATTATAATTTGCAAACATGTATTCATTAGATCTGGAGACAATAAACCGGCCCAAGAATTGTTGTCATTCATGGACATAATAAATTCTACAGTTGGTGATGCAATTTCTGATTTATTGGGAGTGGAGGCTATTCTTTACTCGAAAGGCTGGAGGTGGGTTGGATAAATTAACCGTAAGACTTAACTATTATAACTAAACCTAAATTTCCATTTACCGTTACAGTGCTCAAGATTGGGACAACATGTAAAATCTGATTGAGATAAAGCTAATGAAGAATTACGTGTGGATATTTTGTTCATGTTGTGCCGTGGTTTCTGTTTTTGTAGGTACACTGATTTGCCAAATAGGCAATTGAAGGTATCTGTTGAAGATAGAAATGTCATCAAAACTGCAGATGCGGAAAGAAAGTGTGTCTCACCCCTTGGATTGCAAGATAAAATTGACCAATTGGCTGGAAAATATCAAAATGGAAGAAGTTTTGTGAGGTGAAGCCATTTGTCTTCTTTTATGGCTCAGCAAACCTTATTTGTATATCTTATTTAGGCCATCTGGTACCGAGGATATTGTTCGGGTGTATGCAGAGGCGAATACGCAAGGAAATGCAGATGCTTTAGGAAAAGTATGGAAAATACGCACACGTCACTTGTCATATAAAATAAAATTCGTATATACTATTTACAGGAAGTAGCCGCAGCAGTTTACGAATTATGCCGTGGAGTTGGACCAAAACCATAACTAATAATACGTTATTCGCCTACGTTAAAACAGTATTGTCAAGCCTCTAACCAAATTATGAAATAAAAATTCTGATTTAAAGATAAATGTCAACAATTTCTATGAGGTACATGCATAGTTTTAACCGTAACAAATTAAGTAACAAAAATTTTATTAGATATCTAAAGCTTCGTATCATTGCAGCACCCATACATGAACAAGGTACATATGAATCAGGTACATATATTTCATTCAATATAACTTTAAACTCAACTAGAAGATAACGCAAGCATCGTTAATAAGTACTATAAAGAAAGGGAAAGCTACTAACGAATATCGACTTTCGCAGCACGCAAGTTTTTATACCCGAATTCTTCATTTTCACTCGCTCAACGGCTAAGCCGGCTTCGCATCTCGCCATAGTCCCAAATGCTATAAATTAAAAAGTAAATGAGAATTTTAAAGACAATACAAAAATGATTTCGATTATTACTCGTTATTATTATCATACCACGTCTCCCAGTCAAGATAGTAATTAGGGTCATCCTTATGCTGATTTAGAATAGTCAAGATCCTGGGTGACGGACTTGGTTTCAGCTGGAACCGCAGAGCTCTCTCATATCTCTCTCGGCGAGACATTCCTCGACAACTTCCATACGTTGCTTCGATGTCAAACGCTCGTAAAATTTCGAGCTCTTCCTCCTTCTTTGTTAACAGACGGGGTTCTACATTGGCAGAATCTGCAAGAGCTGTTGCCAAGCTCCTGAGAGGGGAATTTGGCGATCCTCCTGGGCAAGCAAACTCCAACGTATCAGATGAAGAGGAGCTGCTCTGGCTTAACTTAGCAGTTGTCTTTTGATCTTCAGCAGAAGTAATTGTAAAAGTTGAGCCTTGGTTTGTCCTATTAGCACCTTCGATTTCTTTCTGCTTCAAAACTCTCTTAGCACGACGGCCTCTTTTTCCAGTTTTCAAAGTCTCATCAATTCTTGGCTGGTTCTTCTTGACTCGACGAGCTTTCAATGGCTGCTTGGGAAGTGGCGACTTTTTCGCTGGAGACGGCTTTGACGAACCTGCGACTCCCCCTTTAACTGCAGATGACCGAGTTAAACGTCTTTTTACAGGGGCCATGTTATCCTTCTGTCTAGAAAATCAACAAATTAAAATCAATGTCTTGTATAGATGGTTTATAATCGTTTGACTTGCAAATTTGATTGTTTGTCAGACTTGCAACAAGATATTTGCAAAGATTTCAATGTCTCTCCACGTTAAGGTAGATGTTATCATAAAATTTTGCATAAAAACGAACCGAAAATGACAACGTCAGCCAAAAATAGTATATTTAGCAGAAAAAGGATAACGAACAAGCTTAAGAGTGAATAAACAGTAAACAAACATGATAAAACCTTAACTTACTTTGAAAATTTGTGGAAATTTATATATTTCTTTCGCTGTTTTCACTCTTTTCACCACGAATCGAAAACGACAACTTCACAGAGCAAACTACGTACGCACACGAGCAGCAGAACAACAATAATAACGACGTGTTTTCGTAATTGGAAGTTCAGAGTGAAATTCAATTCGGGGCAAACTGCAAACTGCAACCGTACCCGATTTTAACTTTAATTCAGTGAAATCGCTGAAACGTTTTGTATGATTTTAAGTATGTACTTTGTTATCAAATGTAAAAGGTCAAGGGTCACGACGTTATATCTTTTCTTCGGCTGCTTATCATATGCAAATGCGGTATTTGTAAGTTTAACGGTATTGGAAGAACGTCATAATTTCCTTCATCGTAAATAAACTTGTGTTGTATATAGGCTATGCAAAATTAATTTCATGGAAATAGAATATATAGACTATTTACAGACTGACTGAGATTAGCCCGAATGATAATAAGAGTGTAGAGCATCTCAGCCACGTCATTCGTAATCCAGGATGGGATTTCCACCAGAAAACAGATATTTGCATGAAACTTGGAAAACAAAATATCCATGCATAACACTTCATTAGAACTGTTGTGAGATTTATTAAGTTGAACATCAGCTTGTTGTGCACAGATAAGACCAAGGAATTATTCGTACATAAATGTAGTTTATATGTTTTCCTTGACCTTTACGTAAAGACGAGATGCCGGATGGGTATAAATAAAAGGTGAAATTGGTGATCATGGTACATACACTACTCATTCACGAACTCGCAGTTTTCTTAACTAATTAATCGTAAGAATTTTCAAAATGTCGCACACATTTTCAAACCTACTGCTCATCGTGTCCGTCTTTCTATCTGGAACACAAGCGGTTCCTCAAGCCCCAATTGCCTCAATTTGTTCCTTCCAATGGACCCCGTCCAGTGCTTACGACATCTTTAAGGACCTCATTAATACTTCTGGATACCATAAAGACGTTCGTCCCATCAACGCTTCTGCCCCATTCGATCCCACGACGGGAGCCACCCCTACAACTGTCAAGGTCAACTTCTTCGTGTCCACGATCGAGTCCATCGATGAGGTCGGGGGGTCCTTCAGGGTGCAACTTCTATTTCGACAAAAGTGGCTTGACCCTCGGTTGGCTTACGAAAACAGTTTTCAATACCAAAACCAATGCAACAACAACCGTCCATCTACGTTGAGAATTCCTGATTCGATGATTGACAACGTGTGGACACCAGATCTTTACATCAGCCAAGAACTTGACTCCAAGAAGCATGGACTTTTTCATCCCAATCAATTCATCAAAGTCACCCCGAAGGGAAACGTTAATTTCTCACAAAGAATCACCCTGACTCTGTCCTGTCCTCAACTAGCAAAGTCAGACGTGGTCAAGAAGGAATGTGACATGAGTGTTGAAAGTTACGGTCATCTGCAAGACGAGCTTGCCTTGGACTGGACAGAGGAACATCCCGTCTACGTTGAAAAGGACATTTTCGCCCCCAGAAAGTACAAGTTGGATAAGTTGACGAATGGGAGATGCGATACGACAACGTCATATGGAGTGTATAGTTGCATCAAGGCAAAATTCCATTTTTCCAGAAACTAGTAAAACTGTTTATGAAATTATAAGAATTATTGTGAATACTAAATTGATGAGATAATATATTAGATAACTAACGCATGAATGCATGCGTCATTAAGTTACATGACATGGAGATAGTGGAGATCACATTCTGGCCGTAAATTTTTATAACCATAAGCAGAGCAGAGTTGTATGTTTTTGCTGGATTATATCTAATCTGACTTAAGTACAAAATTGATACGCGAAAAATATTTTGTTTCAAATATGTTATGCACTAATAAAAATATTACAATCCTCGACCACAATTGCGCAAGAATTGAAACAATTTCACAACATAAAGAATGCTGTAAACATACAATGTAATACTTTATTGGATGGAATGAAAATTCATCAAATTAAAATTGTATATTTAAATGATACATATGCACACACACATATTTAGATTTTTTTGCATTACTGACGGTGACAGTATTGATTGGCCTCACTGAAAACGAGACCTTCGCCACACTTTCCAGTACCGCTAAGTTGACCTTGAAATTAAAGTAAAGCATTTCAAACTTGGCATTCTTTCCATTAATGCAAATGATAATAAATATTGTTGAGACCTCTAAGACAGATGAGGAAAGTGTTGGACGTGCTAGTGGCCAGGTAATAGTAGGGCGCATCTGGACATTGCCCATCTCCAATTGGTTCTACTGGGGCAGGTTGTTCTGGAGCTTCAGGCTCAGGGTCAACTGGAGCAGGGTCAACTGGGGCGGGGTCAACTGGAGCGGGGTCAACTGGGGCTGGGTCAACTGGAGCGGGGTCAACTGGGGCTGGGTCAACTGGAGCGGGGTCAACTGGGTCAACAGGTTCTTCTTCATTGGTGGGTGGGACTCGAACACCATCCACGCATTCGGGAACATTCCAAGCATAGTCACATGTTTGTCCATTGTAGTACAAGCTTCGGGAACAACTCTGCTCCGTAACGAACCCATTATTACAGACAAAAAACTTGGTGCAATCTAAATTAATGACATCTTGAATTAGAACAAATACATAAATGACACCTTAAATCAACATACCAGGATGAACTTTCTGGCCATACTCGGACTTGCTACAAATGGACAGATTTTGTATTGGCTAAATTGGAGAAAAATCGTATAAAGTCATGCCTATTTCCTGTATATGCGACAAATTAATAAATCTCACCGATGCAGATGCAACTGCCAACAGGGAGAAAGTGAGGGTTATGATGAATTTCATTTTTATGTTTTATCGGTAACGCAAATTCTGAAGGGTGTGGCTTCTCGCAAATCTGGACTCCAAGTGAACACGGTGCCAATATAGTGTTCTCTTAAGTACCTAAATCAATGTATCAAGATTGACGCAAATCAAAATCATATAAAACTACATACAACTAAAAAGCAGCTGAAATTTAACATTATATACTTACATACAATTCGAATATCACTACTGATTGAGGGGATCGGTAAATGTTATTTCAGTTTATGATAGGTATTTACCATCCTTAATCTACCAAATAAATTCGTGTTTTCGTAAATCTTAAAACTAAAATAATTCAAGGTTTGGCAATTAAATCATAAAGTTATGTATTAGGCTTATTGAACGATAATAATATCATTCGGCACAAATTAAAGCAGATTGGGAAATCATTTTAGCGTGGTCATCGACGTAGATTGACTTTATACGGAGATAACTAAATAGATACGTAATAGTTATAAAATACGACGCTGATGATTTGAATTGCGCAAATTGATTTTATTGGCAGGTCGTATTTAATGAAAGCCATAATACACACATCGTATAAAAAATTATAAAATTGCTATAAAATAAAATAATTAAATATTAAACTGAATGTCACGTAGGTTGGGAACACTATTGAACAAAACGATCATCGAAAATGTTTGGGGAACAATTATCTGCCATATAACGCAGATTAACCGAAAGTGCCGACAGAGTCGACGACGTGAGGTGGATAAGACAGGGTTCAGGTTCACTGTCATTGTCACTTTTGCCGCCTGTGACCCCCACGTCAGCAAACACCACGGCATCATCGTCCGTCCTCCAATCGCCGTATAGATTTGTGATACATCCACTTTTGGAAGGCGCCTGCCATGACAAAATTTCTCGAAGCCAGTCACTTTTCATGAAGTTTGGGTAGCCCGAAAGACCACAAAATCCGACTGAATAATAATTTAGTAATTAAGTCAAAACTAATTAAATAGTCCAGTTTTACATGCGTACGATCCGTACCTTGCTCAGCAAAGAGGTCAATGTATCTCGTGGGAAAATCATGCTTCTCAAGAAATTCTGCTTCCAAATAAGCCTTTGCACATAATCGATCCCGGAAGTCTTGAGCATTTCCAAATGCATCCTTATTAATGGTAATACAGGACCGCTGTTATTTAAAAGACATAACTCTAGTAATATTTATCACAAAAATATAGGTATAAATTTATAATATCTAAATTTCAGACCCACCCTTTCTGCGAATTGCTGATACAATATTTGGCGAATAAGCATATTCTGAGAGTAAATTCTGGAGAGATACATTTCTTTACAATGAAGAGGAATACTGCAGTTTTTGACCAATGATACAAGGCAGTCGAAATTCAACGTATTATTGAAAACTTGATCCTTTTCATCACCAATATTCTCAAACTGTGGGAAGTATTTTTTAATTCTGGTGAAATCAATCCAGTCTCTGAATCTAGCTTTTAAAATATGACTGTGGTTTCTTATCACTTTAGCTCCTAAAATAATTAAGGTGTTGTTAACTGTCATCAGCAAAATGTGTACAAAGTTTTTACTAAGTTTTATGGATTCACCAAGTTTCATCTCATTATCCGTGTTTTCTTCAATGAATTGGTCTAAGATACTTAAGGCAATTATGCCAGCCGTTTCATGCAACCGCCCAAGAAAATATTTTAGATTATTGGATAATTTATCTTCCCTTCTTCCCAATAAGTAGTTGACCTGACCTGGCATTACATATATGAAATCAAATACATTCATAATTAAGTTACACAAATTCCACAATATATGAATGTATTTATGTACCCTTTAAAACGCCAAGCCCAATTCCAGCATCATGCAGCATGTCAATTTTTTTATAGTTATTCAAGTAAAATGAATTTACGATTCTATCAATTGAATTTAGCAGTTGTTTTGCATCCTCTGGCCGATACGGGCATGAGTTTTCCTGGAAAGGATAAATGCTGTATTAATGCATCGCCATAAAATTTATAAAATTTATAATTAAAAGGAATTTCTGATTAATTACAGGAAGCTCTTGGATGATAGCTACAGGTCGATTTGTCCTTGGTGGGTATAAGTTGATACGTTCTCTCAAGGAAAGCAATGTTCCACCAGCAATGTCGCTCTATTTTAATTGAGAAATTTAAACTTTGTAAATTCAATGGAATTATAATGAAATGGCCGATATCGTTTGCAGTTGTATTTGTTTAGGGGTTCTTACTGCAGTTTCAAGACGACACTGAAATGTTATCCCCATAATTAGAAATATTTTAAATGAAAACATGATTTATGTTTGTGAACGATTTTCTGTAAGAATGTATTTTATTGGATGATTTACCTCAACTTTAAGACATGCGAAGAGGTGAGACAATCATTTCAGGCAATGATAAGTACATAGATATGTACTTACTTTACGACTACTTATAAGCAACGACGAAGATGTGCATCTCAAATTTAATTAAGTGCATTTCATAGTTTACAACGATATGAAATAGGAATATCAAACGATAATGTAAGTGGTAAGCAGATTGTACACATTGCATTTGAATATCATACACATATGTAAATATGTACAGTACGATTAGTATTTTTAGCTCGCCATTTACATGAAATACAGGGTGGTTTAAATGTCAGGTTACAATGGAAAATTTTTCAATGGAAAAAATTCGCAAATCTCCATTAGTTACCGAAATTTTGCCTCTGAAATTCAATATTTTAAGAATTTGTCATCGGTGTTTTGATAAAAATTAATAAAAATGTCAATCCCAAATCCGTAACTAATGGAAATTTACGAATTTTTCCCATTGAAAAATTTCCCATTGTAACCTGACATTTAAACCACCCTGTATAATATAGCATAAACCTAAATTTCCAGTAAAATTGGTTACAATTACAATATTGTGGTTCGTGAGACTTCATCTATTGATCCATGATGTCAGGAGTAATTTATTGTGGAATTTTGTATACCAATTGTGTCTATTTGCATATGTACATGCATTAGATGAATAATTAAATACATTAGGTATTTTGCATAATATGAAAAAAACGATATCACACTCCGCTTTAAACTTTCAGTGCATGCTAGAAATACTCAATCAGTAAATAGAAACAAGGAATATGTACAACCTGTCTTCAAATTAATATGAATTTAACCTGACGCCAAAAACAATATTTATTATTATGACTTGGTGAAAATAAACAATGATAAGAATTTTATATCGCGACAGACGAATCTCCTAACACCAGCACCGTCCTATCGTCGTACACGTATATGTAATGTACATAGTACATACATACGTCTGCTATAGATAATCAGACTTTTCATTCGGCTTTAGTTGGGTCCACTTGACTTTGTTAATGCTCTGATTTCAAAGAGCTGCTGAATATTCTCATGGTGTGAGAGCATGTTAATATGTAACAAGACCAGATAATACAGACACATAATTCAGTAATCTCATTGCTTTATCTGAATTTTACTTGAATACTTTAAAATAAGTTCTATTTTAGACCTTCATTTGTTGTTTGGGAATATGATTTCACACAAAATTTTAAGAGTCCTGCGTACAGCGGATAAATTGCCAAGATGTAATAGTAATTTACTACCTCGATTCGCCTCAAATGTGCCCAACACTAGTTTAAATAACAAAAGGAAAACGACCCAACTAAAGGAGATGATAAACTCTCCAAAATTAGAATTTATCATGGAAGCTCATTCCGGTAAGCTCATTCCGGTATGAGTTTATTTATTAATTTTACTTATGTTCTTAAATTGACTAATCCTCACAGGTCTTAGTGCTCGAATTGTGGAAGAATCCGGTAATTTGCAATCAAAATGAACATCACTGGATTAAAATCCGTATTTTTACAAAATTTGATGACACGTTTCTATTCCCATGTTTAGGTTTCAAGGGGATTTGGGGGAGTGGACTCGCAATTTCTGCAATGATGGGCGTTCGTGATAGCAATGAAGCTTCATGGACTCAAATTACGGACGTCCTCGATTTTATGGCGGATGCTACTTCAGTGCCAATTTTATTAGATGCAGATACTGGATTTGGAAACTTTAACAATGCAAGAAGACTCGTTTCTAAACTGGAACAAATTGGAGTTGCTGGTTAGTTAGCTATTGCTTAAGTAATGACCACATAATATTGGAGTATTAATATGGGATCACCGTAGGATGTTGCATGGAGGACAAGCTGTTTCCCAAAACAAACTCTTTGTTGGATGGAAGGTATGCATATTCATGATTCAGTGATTTTTAATGATTTCGCGATCTCGTAGAAAACAAGACTTGGCTAACATTGAAGAATTCGCCCTAAAAATTAAGGCGTGCAAAGATCGCCAAAAAGACCCAGACTTTATCGTAGTGGCGCGGGTGGAAGCTCTAATTGCTGGTTGGGGGATGGACGAAGCTCTCAGGTTTTTTCACCCACTTTATTACTATTTAAAGGAAATGACAAATTTGGTGTAATATCTTTTTAAATTTCAGACGGGCAGAGGCGTATCGTAATGCGGGAGCAGATGCGATACTAATGCACAGTAAAAAGTCGGATCCATCCGACATTGAGGGCTTTATGAAAGTTTGGAAAAATCAGGTAAGACAGTAATTATTTGAAAATATTTTTATAGCGTTAAACATGTCGTATTTGGAATAGGGTCCAGTAGTGGTAGTGCCCACGAAATACTACAAGACACCAGCCAAAGATTTGGCAGATATGGGCGTCTCAATGGTTATATTTGCAAACCATAATATGAGAACTTGTATCACGGCAATGCAAAAAACTACTGCAAGGATCTTTAAAGATAAATCATTGGTGGGGGTGGAGAGTGAGGTTAGCATTCAACAATATAGGACAAATTAAAAATTATCTGATTATTATGCAATCATTGTCACTGCAGGTCGCCTCTGTGAAAGAAGTCTTCCGTCTGCAACGAGATGATGAACTTATCGATGCTGAAAGTAAATATTTGCCTGTCAAGTGAGGTTTCACTATTTTTAGGACATTTGAAACTGTGCTGTTAGCAATAATATTACGTTTTTAATAATAATATGTACGTATTTATTAGGTAAAGGTCAAGAAATAATCAAAATAAAAGTTGTCGAACTATGTATATAAATCGTAATTGTGCAATTGGAGTGAATAATATTTCTCACAGCATAAATATATATTTACACTCAAACTCAAATTATGGAAATATTGAAATCAATTGGAAATAGTTATTAATCTGATGATAGAAATGTATTGAATGACATTCCGAAACCATATCTTCTAACTAATCCTAAGATATTATGTCGCTTAAGTACATGTCGCTCATTACTATTCATTGTGCACATGCATATATGATTCTGGTTAATCCGGATGTGCATGATTGAATTCTACATACGTGCTTATGTACCTTACACAAAATGAGATAAGGAAATTAGTGATAAAATGCTGTGATAATGTATGTAACGTTAACCGAATCTCCTGATATTGGCTGATATGTGTGTCTCATAAGGGTAAATATATGTAGGTAGGTGGATCTTTTCGTTCACACATTTGATACCTGTGTAATTTACAATTTAATTTACTGGGAATTATATCAAGTGCATAATCAGAAAATTAATTTTTCAAGAAATACAAAAAGCTTTTCCAACTACATATTCCAATAAGTAAAATAAAATTTCACGGGACATTTACAAGTTTTTATAAGACCTCTATAAGTTTTCTACATTTATTCTGAAAAACTCGAAATGCAACTCGAAGAGAGAAATTCGTACCTGCAAGGTCCTTACAGCAGTCCAACAATTGCTACAATTCGCGAAATGGATGATAGCGACACCGAGGCTGGAGCACCACTTCGGTCTGGGAGCAGAAAATCCCGTCCCCCCTCCGTCGTGGTCATGAAAAGAGAGTCGTTCGCAAAAAGTGTGAAGGCAATTGTTCTCGAGAAACCTCCAACAAAGGTAACATGTCAATAGCTGACCAAATAAGTATATGATGACAATGGAATCAGCATGTTTTATAAATTAGGTCGTGAATATTGGATTACAGTTTATCTTATTTTTCTCTACTTTAAGGACCCTGTTGGGTACACTGCGTCTATGGTTCAGCTCTGCTGTGCCATTCCAGTTGCTGGGTGTGGAATTTGCTGCTTTCTTCTCCTCCTCCTCCTTCTCAACTTCATCCCAATTGGTACAATTGTCGTGGGGGCACTTTACTTTGATCGGAAAACGTATTGTCCCGTGGAGAATGTCTCACTTCTACTCGTCATTGGTGGAGCCATATCTCTGGTCCAGGGGCTAGCGGAGTCTACGATGAGGGCGATTGGATTCTGGAAAAGTCGAAAAGGAGAAAATAGGACGCCTAATCATCCAGCCATTCAAATTACGAATCTTATCTTACGTCTGGCTTCGTTTGGTTGGTTTGTTGCTGCTTGTGTTATTATTTATCGATTATATCCAGATGTCAGTTTTGATAGTTCATCTCAAGATTATTGCCATCCCTTTCTCTATGGCGTGGCTTTCTGGTTGGTGACGGTTACTTTAATCTTTATTGGGTTGGGGGCGGCATTACTTTGTTGTTCCTGTTGTTGTATGTTATTCATTAAGGGGGAGTAAATGCTGTCCCTTTCATCTCTCTATTTGCCATACACGGAGAATATGTAATAAATAAGTCTATTAGATAATAATACAGTCTAATTCGTATAGCGAGATAATTTATTTTGTTGAATTCATGAGTTACTACAACGAAAATTTGTAAGTACATACTTATGTAATTGCAGTACAGGTCTCATACGTAAACGTAATAATGATAATTATTTTTTAATGCGTTTAGAATCGCTAGTTCTGGATGAATCAACGTCTGAATGTGTGGGTCCATAGACGCTGCTTACGTTACTACTACTACTACCTTCAGCATTAAATGGGGAGGGAACAATGGACGACGAGTCGTGCATTTTATCCATTTGGGTAGTGTTGGGAGTTTTCGTGAGTACAGGGATTAATTTTGTCAGACTTGTAGAATCTACTACGGTTTCTTCAGGAGATGGTATGGAAATGTCATCCATTTTTTGTTCTTCACTTTGATTATTGCAATAATCCATCCGCAATGAGTACAAGGAGGCTAAATTTGCTAGTTTTACCCCTTCCTCGGCAGAAATTGGTTTTAGCCTAAACAAAATTATGCACGAACATTTGCATTTTAATCATACATCAGAATAGTGCAAATACAAAATAAATATGTAATTTACTAGTAAGTACCTAATTTGCGACTGCAGAGGATCTTGCAGGAATCTGGACACCTCTTCATTTGCAGAGGTCCATATGCCTTTCGTGGGGAAACCTGGCTTGCCTACAAAAACTCGCCTCTTGCCTGCTCGAATTTCCCGTGTATTGATTTGATAATTCGAGTTAAGTGGGCCCCCAGCAACATTTGCAGATATCATGTCTTCATAACTTCGAAGCATTTTCAATAGTCTCTTTTTCCTGGAAGAAACTGTTTCCTCTTTGGGCTTATTAGAATTGGTGCTCCATTCATCAAATACCCAATCACTTTGTTCATCATCCGCTGCAAGAATAAAATAAATTTATAAGCCATTATGTAATTATAGGTTAACAAATTTCAAATAGAAGATTTTTTAAAGAATTTTTTATAACCTTCTCTCCCTCTGTCATCTTCATCTCCTTCCTCGTCAACAGAGTCACACGAGGAACACTCGTCTTCATCATCGCTTCTCATTTCCTGATCCTCCAGGGTCGTTTCGGGGGAGTTTAGCGATAACCTTCCAACATCTGCAATGTCCATGTCCCCAAATTTCTTGTCAGAGATTTGAGCAGAAGCACTTCCAGCCGATGATGCAATCGTTCTCTTCCGTTTCACTCCAAACGCATCCAATGGATCAAGGACGGTCTTGCTTTTGTCCACCTTGCTGGTAAGTTTTTTGTGTGATGGGCCTGGCCGTTCTGCCGATAATATTGAATACCCAGCTACAGTTTCATCTCCACTCAGGTGACAGTCGACTGATGCCTCTACAGCCATTCTTTTAGTGTTTGTGTTGTGTCCTCTGCGTCGTCTCCTTCGTCGAAATCGTCGTCTGTAAATGAAATATCGAAATAATCATAAGTCACAAAATTCCCTTCTTGAAAGTTTGTTTATTTTATCGTATTCATACCCTGTACAGTCGTCCATCGCCTCGCTGGCTCCATCCCCATCGCCCGTCGTCGTAGCTCCAGTGTGATGGCATCCGCTGGATGATTGGACGGGGATAAAATGGTTCTTGAGATGAGCTTCACTAATTGAGTCTGATTCATGAAAACTGGGATACGATGGATTTCTAATTTTAGATATTGAAACTGAGTGTGGAGAAAATGCCGCGCTGCTGGCTGCAATAGAACTATTTGCTACAATCGTCGACGACGACGACGACACTGTATTGTTTACACCACCACTACCTACTCCATAAAAATGCCCTTCTGTGGCCTCCTCCTCCTCATTCACCACAAGTGTTGCACTATGCAGCGATAACTTTGATAAGGAACACAGCCTGTCGGCAATATTGTCGTTTTCTGAATCATCCACAAAACCACTTTGTTCGTCATTGTTGGTCGTATTTTCATTGTCACCATCGCCCTCATGGTGACACTTTCTAAACCCTTCCTCATCCCCGGACAATAAGACGGAAGCGATGGGAAGGGGGGCGTGAGATTGATGATGGTCCCCTCGTACGTCTTCATCTGTGCTGTTGTTCCGCCCTCCCGATGCGGTCGATCTCTGACCTGTAAAACCAAGAAGCACAAACTTAGATACTGCAAAATCATTGTAGAAGTATAATTTCAGTGTTATTTTTTCACTTTTTCGATGGTTGTTTGAAGTATTTCTTTGCTTCGTGGTCTTTAAGGGGTTCATTTTGTTCGACGAAATCCCTTCCATTGTAGTGGGGCTACCTTCGTTCTCCAACAAGGCACCTTTCAGGTCGGAAACTGTTAAACGATCCATAATTTACCACCGGTTGGCTTATTGTTGTGTTATTAAAGTCCAAATGGGAGTTTTAGGGAGTAATCTCGTTAATTTTCCGTCCATTGAAACCAAGAATATCTGACAGCAATCAAATTAATCACAATATTTAAGTAAATAGCAGCCTGAAATTCAAGTAAATTCCATACTAATATTTGGCAATTGAAAAACATTGAATATTATATGAACAATATCAAATATTCAATATTTACCCGTGTGGTTGAATATTGAGAAATCACTAGTCAAATTGCTTAAATCAAGCAATAATATACAATGCACATAATGCTGCGACGTGTTTACATTCATGGACAACACTGACACTGACATTTAACAATATCCCAAAGCACATATATATTATTACACGACTTTAAAACTAAACTAGTAAATCGTGTAATTTATCACAGAAAGGCTGAAATTCTAGTTTGATAATTTTGCAATTAGAATGATTATGTATTCGTCGGAGGGATTCAATTTTGTCGTTTTTGACAGAGATTCAAATGTAGACAACTCCATTAAAAACAGATCAACTACTTTATATTGCAATTTTCAGTGTTTAAAACTATAATATTTAGTTGATCAGTCAGATGTTATGAAAGTCGGGTATGTTTGTCAGTGATAAATTTCAATGCAACCTGCTTTCTCGAAAAAAAGGCTGGACCGAACTGAAAGGAAATCCAGGTTCACATATGTACATAAGCATGTACATACATATGTACATATATACAAGTGATATGTAAGCATGTACATGTAAACAATTAGCAATAAACATATAACAAGCTTGAGGGTAGAATTTTCTTAATCTGCTCAAAAGATTAGTATCTTAATGGATAAGCAATGGATTGGATGAAAATTAATGGATTTAAACTAGTTCAACTTCAAATAAATTGGAAACATACTGCAACTTTTTTGCAACCCATGAAGTATATTTTAATTTAGCATACATACATGAAGCTTTCTAGTGTTACATAATAAAATAAGTGATTAGGCAAGTGATACTAAATCAATAATACACTCATATGCAGCATATTTCCAATTCTTAAATATATTGATTAATTGATTGAGTAGGATTTTATTAATGGTGTCGGCCACATCCTCTTTCGGCTTTGGACACTAAAGTTTAGTGACTAAACTGATAATGGAATATTATATTACATTCGAATATGCATTTGCTGGACTTCTTTGCACTTGAGCTTCAGGTAAAAATTGCCATACCCAAATATGGTATTAAAAATGTATGTGTGTTTGTATGCTGTAGATACGTATGTATGTAGTTTAGCTTTGCAAAAATATGGCATGAGTCAAGAATCTGATTCGCGAAAGCTGCAATCTAATATTAACCGAACCTCTCGCAAAAAAGCCTCGCAACAAACTACATATGCACATACACATATAGAAACAGACACAACTCCGAAATTTTACCTCTGATACATACATATATTACTTGACCTTGTGATAGAAAACTAGTGAAAATATAGGCAAATAAGTCTTGACTAACTTGTCTGTATCTGCATGCAAGATATTTGTTAATAGCAATCGTTAGTAAATTAACTTAACTACAAAATGCTGGACGAATTACCAGATGTTGTAAGGTTTCATTTTTTAAAAGATTGTAAATATACTAGTTAAATTGACATTTTAATTAATCCTTAAATTACTAATGCAGGTAAGTAGATCAATCGTTGAGCTCTTGGACATTCATGAAAAGCTGGCACTTCGTCTCACTTGCACCTCTACCATGGACTGGGTGACGACGAAAGATTTTATCAAAAAGTTTAAGGTGAAAATCACCTCGAATGAAGACCTCATCTCTTGGATAACCAGATGCGAGTTATTTTCATCCGAGGATATTTGCGACATTTGCAACAGCTTCTGCTTTCAACAAGACTTGATAGAGTACGACCAATCGTTGCTGACTGAATTCTTCTCCTCATTCCATGCCCAAATTGATACCCTAGAGTTGAAATACTGTTCTGCTAAAGATGACGCATTTTGGAAGATTCTCTCCCACCTGGACAACTTGACATCGTTAATCATTCAAGAAATGGATGTCTCAAACTGTGAGGACGAAGACTTTCAAGATAAAGCCAGCTTTAGGATTGAGCTGGATCACCTAAGGACATTTTCCGTCGAGCAACTCGTATTCTGCAATCCTGGAGACCTTCGAGCATGGGAAAAGATTGTAATACTATTGGACATCGGAAGCACCCATGTCGTCACAATTCCAAAGCCACGATACAAAGGGAACGATAGCTGGGTGACCTGGCCACAAGTGAAAGCACTCCAATGGGTTCTTATCGCAGAACCTATGCTCCATTATTTGAATGGTTGTCCCAAAGGTCACAAAATCCTTCTCAATGTCATACATTTAGTGCCCATTCACTTCGGGAGGTTGGCGGAACGCTGCATGGCGATGAACGAGGCTGGGTGTGACATTTACTTTAACAATGTCCACTCTAATCATGTCAAATATGTGTTCCTGCTGGCTGGAAATGAACACGAGGAAGATTTTCTGGGTCGAATCGTATCTATTCGAGAGAAGATAGATGATCGACGTCCTCTCCGGAGGTGGACGGCATTGGAGGAATTGTCCATAAAAACGAGTCGATGTGACGTACGAAATTCTTACGAGGGAGGGGACTTAGTATTTCCTCAATTGAAGAAAATTGAAATTGACTTTGACTCTGTGTCGAAGGATGACCCAGGATTCGTGGCTTTGTACAGAGTTATCAATTTGCTCTTAAAAGTTAAGAGGACCAGCGTGGAAGAAGTGGTACTGAAATGGGGTCAACACTTACACGACACACCATTAAGTGTTGTGAATTTTCGCGAAATCAAAGATAATTTTAGTTCGCTTCGGTCATTCGTTGTCATTTCTGATGGGGTTGTCAAAAGGATTGTTTGACACTGATAAGCAATCTATTGAACATGCGTACATTGTAAATTATGCATAATTGAGATGCATTCTTTTCGGATTTTTGTTAAGAAATTATTAATATATGTACACTAAATAAAGTTATAATTAAGGGAATTTAAGGGATGAATCCAGTATTGGTTTTATTTTCATAGTGAGTGACCATTTGAGACCATATTACTGTATTGTTGTCTGTATGAGACAATCTCACTTTGCCATCGTGTGTGACGATTGCTCCACGGCGGAGGTTAAACCAGCATGTGCACTGTGCAGCAATGTGTTCGTCTCATAAAATAAACTAATTTTTACACCGGCTTTGAAACAATTTGTAATTACATTTACGTAAAATAAGCTTATCATACGTACACTAGGGAATTTTTTAAGTAAAATGGGAGAGTTTTCCAGCAACGGGTAAATCCATGCACTTGTGTTTTAAAACTTTTAATTCCTTAATTATTTCGGCATAGTATTTTGTAATTGTTATGCGTTTATTTAGTTGTAATTTATAGCTTATGAATTAAATTAATCTAATTGTAAATCTGCAGAATTATGGGAGCGACAGACGAGAAGATGGTGGACACCCGACAAGTTTCAATAATGATTGCCGTCGAGGAGCAAGCTTTGGTCATGGGTCCCATTGACGGTAACAGAAATGAATTGAACATTATTTATTATAACTATTTTTACAAACTACTAATACATTTCAAATATTTAGTTCCGGTGACCGTCACTCTTGATCAAATTAAGCAAATGGCAGAGGGACTCGGAATGGATGTAAGGACAAATTAATTCAAAATTCATGTTCGTACTTTGAAACCTTCGAGCTAAAGTGTGTTTATTTTTTAAATTTGAACAGGGAGACCCTTTTATGTCGGTGTACTTTGTCAATAATAAAGAAATCACATCCAGTCTCTCTGGCGTTTTAACAAATGAAGAAAAAGATGACCATGAAACAGTTTTCAAAATTATTTGCCAGCCTCAAGCTGTCTTTAAGGTCAGATGTATCACGAGATGCACGAGGTACGTTATTTAGGATTAGTTTGCTTATATGGCGCACAGACCATTTTTTTTAGAATTTAGTTTTTTATAGTTCTCTGTCTGGCCATGCGAAGGAAGTTTTATCTGCTAATTTTAGTGGTAAGTTGTAATTGAGGTACTTTATTTGAATACAAATAATATTTCTTATATATTGTTTTACCCTAAAGACCATTTTTGCAATTAATTAATGCTCAACATTTGCCATTACTCGTGTTATTTCATTTCTAGATTATTGTTATTTATTACTCTTTAGGTGATGGAAGGAAATTGGCTACTGGATCAGGGGATTCGAGTGTAAGGTTCTGGGATTTAGATACAGAAACTCCAGAGTATACTTGTGAGGGTAAGGGACACAATTTTAAAGATAACATGGTTGCATTATATTGATAAATGTTGCAATTTTTGTAGGACATGGTGACTGGGTTTTAGCTGTAGCATGGGCTCCATCAGGACTCCGGGTGGCTTCAGCAAGCAAAAACGGGAAAATATTAATTTGGGATCCGTCGAGTGGAAAACAAATGGGAAAACCATTAATGGGACATAAGGATTATGTCAGTTTTCTCTGTTGGGAACCTCTTCATTTGTAATAACCGATGAAATTTTTTGAAATAGTGAAAACGTTTAGTTTTAATTTCATGTGATGTAAAACATCTGGTGCAGGAACGGAGAGTGTCGACATTTAGCAAGTTGCTCAAAGGATCAAACAATTAGGATTTGGGACGTAGTTTTAGGCAACACAGTTCGAATTCTAACTGGACATACAGCTGGCATTACTTGTATTCGTTGGGGAGGATCTGGTTTAATTTACTCGGCTTGCAGAGATAGAACAATTAAAGTTTGGAGAGCCAGTGATGTAATTTAGGAAAAATTAAATTTAAGAGAAAAATACAACAAATTATATCTGCCTTTGTTTTATGATAAATTTATAGGGCGTCTTGTGTCGGACTTTGGAAGGTCATGGGCATTGGGTCACCACATTGGCCTTAAGCTCGGACTATGTAATGCGAACTGGGGCATTCGATCCTAAGGATGTGGAAATCCTGGCGTACAAAGAATTGCCAAAATTGGGTAACTACTTTTTCTCCCTGTTCTAACTATGTAATAAACCATACCATAATTACTTGCACTGTGTTTAGGTCATGGAGAATATCAGGAGATGGCAAAATCAAGATATGATGCGTTTATGGCAAATAGGGGACCTGAAGTGTTGGTTGCTGGATCCGACGACTTTACGCTTTCCATGTGGCATCCTACCGAAGATAACAAAATTAAAAGTATGTATTAATCGTACCTCCAGCCAGATATGTACTTATATATATACTCTGGACAGCGTAAATAATACAGTCCATTGTACTTTTTTACAGAAAAGATGACTGGCCACTGTCAAACTGTCAACGACGTAAAATTTTCTCCTGATGGTAGACTTTTAGCATCTGCTTCATTTGACAAATCAATAAAATTGTGGGACGGAAAAACTGGGGACTTTATAACAACTCTGAGAGGGCATGTCCAATGTGTTTTCCAAATAGCTTGGTCTGCCGACTCCAGATTTTTAGTTAGTGGAAGCAAGGATTCCACGGTTAAAGGTATGAATTTTGTATTAGAAAATCATTAAAGCCATGAAATAATGTGTTATTCATATAGTTTGGAGCATGAAAACTAAGAAACTAGAAGTTGACCTTCCCGGTCATGCGGATGAGGTTTATGCAGTCGACTGGTCTCCAGATGGGCAGCGAGTTGTTTCTGGAGGAAAGGACAAAGTTCTAAAAATGTGAGTTTTACTTTTACAAACGTCCAAACTTTTTAGACGTGTAAAACTAGTTTATTCATAATAAATCATTGTTTTTGTTTCAGTTGGAGACATTAAACAGTTTTACATCTTATATATTTTATTTCTATACTTTTATGTGACCATTATGTAAGTTTACTATAAATGACTATAATTACTAATGACATAAACATATGTATTATCGGTCGGGTGCACTGAATAAAATATGAACTGAAGTAGTTTGATAATATTATACAATTTTTATCGCTTTGTTTACTGATTTTATTTGTGTACATACTTATGTATGCGTATAGGATGCACAACTCATAATTTCTCCAAAAAACTAGTTAAATGTACCAGCAAGTGTTTCAACTTCAAGTATAAATAAATATCATAAGAATTTCGATTACCATGCACTATTTAAATATCTACATACGTATAAAGTTAAAAATATTTCCCGATTATCGCTCAAGTATGAAGGCTCAAAATATCAGAAATCTAGATACTTTTCTGATTTAAATGAGATAAGGGATTGTGTGAATGGATGCATGATAATGTACTAAACTAAGTAAGTACATACATGCATTGTTCAATTAAATCTCAACGGGACGTGTGTTTTTGCAAGTGAATTAAATGGTTATCCAACCGGCTTTAAATAATCTTAATCCGGAACTTTTCCATTTTCATGCAATGGTATTTAGTATCCCACTCTTGCAAAATCAGTGAATGTGTTCATTATTATCCAATGGTACAATTTTTTAAGTTCAATAATTTCCCTTTTCTCATTAATTAACTGCCCTATTTCATATTTTCGACTTTTGAAATTTGAGCTAAATAATTTAAGTATTTAAAAAATGACAGTGCGCACCTACACCAAATTGCATTTGATTGTCTATCTTGCTATATTTACCGTTTGCATTGTGACACTCAAGGCAATTTTGCATAAATCCACATCGGAACCTAGGCGTAGGAACGAATCTCCCAATTTAGAAATCGAAATCTCTGATTTCCGTGTTGAAGAACAAAGTGTGGATTTTGAAGAGCAAACTGAGGTTTCGTTGATCGATACAGGATTTGTAAAAGAGTTACCATTTTACAGAGCACGATTAGATAGAAGAAGACTTGTGAGTTACTTCTTCTTGCTAAATATTAGTATTCAGGAAGGACTCGAAAACATTGGTCTTAAATATTTTCGTGATGAAATTGCAGATAAAAATTTATGACTGGGTCTGGACTGGTGAAAGATGGGACGAATTACTCAGTTCTTTCTCGATATGTCTTTCTACTCAAGTAATCAAAACAAGCAATACAATAATTAAAACTTCAAATTATTTAACTCTGATTTAAGGGTTCCATGGACCGAATTATGTCCGTACCAGAACTCGTGGAAGCTTGGCGTGGTCCAGTTTCACTAGCTGTGTATATTACCAACCCGAACGAATGGGTTGGACTCAATCTATTGGTTAATCACTACCGGAAGTGTCACCCTCTGTTCAGAGATTATGTCTCGATCCACTTGGCAATTCCCGTTCAAATTGAGAATACCTGGACGGCAGACCTCCAACAACTGGAAGACGAGGAAGAGGCTGAGAAATTTGTTACGAGTTTTACCAATTTGCCATGCACGACGTCGGATAAAGTTTTGCAACACATGATTAAAAAAATCCAGGCCAATGAAGATTCAAAACTCTTGATGGAGAATTATCCACAGAATCACATGCGAAACATTGCAGAAAAGGCTTGTGGCACTGAATGGACGTTTTCCACAGATATAGACATCATCCCTCGTCCAGATTCTGCCACCCTTCTTCAAGACTTCATTCTTACTGACTATGTACAGGAATGTCAACAGTAATTAATCATATTTGTATTTAGTCGTTAATTAATGATAAAGTACGTAATGTGCATATTTTACAATTTTTTGGTCAGGTGCGCCTTTGTAGTTCCTACATTTGAGCTAGATATTAAACAATCATACCCAGCATCAAAAAAAGAATTGGTGCAGTTGTGGAACAGTAGTTTAGCTCAGCCATTTCATTTCGATGTGTTCTTGAAAGCGCATAACGCAACAAATTATAAAAGGTACAAATTCAACCTTAATTAAATCCAATAGTGTTTGTAACACTGTGCTTATGCATTTTTCTAGATGGGCCAGGACGAACTTGGGAGAAGAACCGATAAAAGTGTCTCATAAAGCTACTCGGAAATATATGCAGTACTATGAACCATTTTACATAAGCCCAAGCAATATTCCCGAGTTTCAAGAAAGATTTATCGGATATGGATTTACACGAAGTTCTCAGGTGACAAAATTCATCTCATTTACATACGACAAGCAAATCAAGTTTCATTTAGTAATTTATAATTTAATTAATCTTCAGACACAAGAAGCCTTAACGGAAGGGTGGAAGTTTCAAGTACTAACTCCCGTATTTGCTATTCATTGGGGGCTACAAAATCGAGAAACTCTCATAAATCCTGGAAATGAAAAAATTATACGAAGAAGACAAACATTCTTCAACAGACGAATTTTCAAACGGTTCATGATAGAGGTTTGGACAGATTTGAAGTTACACATATGTAAATAATGTCACGTTTAAAATTTGCATCAATATATGTATTTGTTTAGCTGGAGCTCAGGAGAAAGTTGAAGCAGGAAGCAAACTATGAAGAAAAACACGGGACTACACCAGACTTTTCCAAATATTAGTAATAATTACATATTTTTGGGTATCGTTACCCCAAATGATATTACTCTCTGTAAAACACTAATTCATTTTACGGTGTTCATTTGATTTCTGTTAAAAATACGGGTTAACAAAATTCTGAAACTTAAATAACTTGGCGTCATGTACTTTTTTGTAGTTTCACCATTGATAAATCATTTTCAACATGAGAGGGTAAAAAATAATACGAGATTTTTTTAATTCGGATCACTGGACAAGGATCTTTCGAGTTTACTGTAACAAGCATTGCTAAGCTTGCGAATTATTGCTATTTCGAAGATATTAAAGAAAAAGAGTAAGAGAATTGAGAATTTTTCCAAAATACTGCAACCCAAAAAAGCTCATGCACATATTTAATATCTCCGAATTAAAAGCCAGTGAAAACGATAATCAAGGTTGGTCTCATCCGTATATAATTTAAAATGATACATAATTTTTCTGCAATTAAAGTTAAACGACTTGAAGTTTGACATGTGACAGAAGCAGATAAGAATGTGACCATTAAGAAAGTAAGCATTGCATATATCGCACTTTATTTCGAATTTATTGAATCAATTAACAAACGAATTGATTTGAGAATTACTCATTTCTCTGGTTGTTTTAAAGTTATATCTACAATTGGATGTAATAAATCATGTATTTCGTAACCTCGGAATATCATTTTTTCGAGTATGCATTTATTGGTCACATTGTGTCGGTCTCGTGCTATTTTCCAATTTCTGGCAAATTACATTCATCAAATTCTGCTCACTGCCAATCATATCCTCCACTCGCCAAACATCGTTGTAGACGATCCACGGGACATAGTAGAGCGTTGGGACAAGGTCGTGCGTCCTTATTCCGGCAGATGCCAGGATTGTGGGACCTTCCCAATTGTTGTAGCATTCGCCGATTCTCGTGTAATTCAAACCTAGCGATATTGCGCAGGCCTCTGCGTCGATAGGAGCGTTGAACGAATCCATCATGCAATTAATGTAAGCTGCAGATTCATTCTTGGCGAGTTTGGCGAGTGCACAGCCGTGAATCATATTTCCGAGACTATAAAATCAATTAACTATAAGATATTTTAAATAGCACGTGTCAATTTGCACCCAACAATTCTCACTTTATACCAATTTGGATTTCGGTAGAGTTCTTGTGGGGCATTTATTATGGCAGGAATCGATAGAGTGAAAATTGATGGGTGCAAATTGTTGAATGCAAATTATTGGATGTAAAAGTGCACATTACCATTCATTTCTTCCATGTTGACAAACAAATTCAAAAGTGCCATTTACAAAAGTAGTCTGCGATCAAGTTACAAATTATTATCAAGTGAATGAAATGAAATTGGTATGATAATCATGTGATGAAAGTTGTTTAAAAATCTTACGTTCGCTTTTCCGTACGGGACAAATTCGGCTTCCAGAAACTCATTATTCACTCCACCGAGAAGATTTATGGTGGGATAGAGTTGGTTGATAATGAATCGGCGACTGTCAGGGCAAAGACTTTCGTAATAAACGGTCAGCCGAAGTTGCGCCTGTAGCATTGGTATAATTGCATTGAATTATTTTTTTTAGAAAATCTATCATTACATTTAAAAAAAACATTTACCTGGAAGGAAACTCCAACCAGTCCGAGAATCAAAAGACCCAAAACAACCTTCATATTTACTTATTGACCGAATATTTTATGAATACGTGGTCTCTGAAAAGGTAAAACGACAAGTGAAATGTTTGTCTTACTTTCAACTCAATGAAACCATTATTAATCATCACCGTCGATAGATTACATAAATTAGATAATTTTTATCGACTTTGGTCATATATCGATTGTATATCATCCGACATGCAGTGAATTATGGAAAGCAAGTACATACATAAATATATATTTATAGGCATTGTCCAGTCAATATGTATTTCTCTACATATTGTTGACTGGATAATGCAGTATCCCTTAAATTGATGATGTCCACGATTTAATTTAATGTAGTAAATTAGACTCTGAACCGATAAGGGATGTACATATTTATGTATTAGAGTATTACGTATTGATGATGTATGAGTTACATAGATATTTATGGTAACTAGTCAGGTAATAAGTGGCACTTTGTCAATTCTGATAAAGAAATAAAGAAGAGTCCACATTGATTAGGATCAAGGTATAGATAAGCGAACATACAAAAATCCTTCAAGTATACGTTGATACCGTAAACTCCAGTTCAGACTTCAGAATAACTGAAAATATTTTATTACACTTTGTGTAAATTACATATGCATATGTAAATATTTATGCACATATGTATTTACATATTAAATATGTAGATATATGTATATTGGATTGCATTTAAAATATTAAAGTTGTTCTTGAGGAAATTGAATGAAAACTTCATCAATCAATTACCCATATAGTTGAATTAAATGAATATGCAGTCTCAAAATGTATTGTTAGGTGTTGCACTGTACATATGTTCACACATACATTTGGCAATTAATTGAGGAAATGTCACAACGGTTAACATGACCATGATACAGGTACTGACTATAGGATTAAACTACACATTTGTGAGACTGATAAATCAACCCTGGCGAAATATTCTTGGATAAGGGAGGAGTTAAACCTAATGTAATCGCCCCAGAAATTGTCATGACTTTTGATTTGCGGATTACCCCAAAATGGTCTCAAATTGAGGCTGAAGACTTTATTAAAAAAAGTCTGCACGGATGCTGGGGATGAGATTTCATGCGAATATATTCTGAAAGGGCCAGTTATACCAGAGACTCCAATGACACCTGAAAATAAGTGGTGGACCAGCTTCAAGTCGGCATGCGATTCAGAGTAGGCTTTTGTGAAACTCGTATTCGGCATTTTGCTAACTAAATTTTAACTAATTACAGAGGAATAGAACTGCTTCCTCTAATTTGCCCGGGAGCTACAGATGCAAGATTCCTACGGGAAATAGGAATTCCAGCGTTAGGATTTTCCCCAATGAGTAATATCCCAATTTTACTCCATGATAATAATGAATTCATAAACGAAAATGTTTATTTAAAAGGGATTGAAATCTACGAAGAAATTAGTCAACGTCTTTGGATGACTGAGGGGGAATAATGGAAATTTTAACTATTATGTGTCAAAAATTACTCTGCCGATGTCGCTAAGGGCGGAATTTAATTTTAACCTCTAAATGTCAAGAATGATTGCGCAAGAAAATAATGAAAAATCGACATATTCACGACATGTGACATTACTTTTTTGTAGATGATTAAACTTCATTTTGTATGTTTTTGTCAAAATGCTGCATGCATGGATTCACAGAATTATAGCAGCATTCATCTTATTATTGCCCTTCGTCGCCTGGCCCAGCTCCAGTACCAGCTCTTTATTGGATCCACAGCAAGAGCTCATGGGAATCTACAACCAACCAGACAGCAGTTTCGAACAATCACTCCAAGAAAGCATAAAATGCAACAACGAGGTGAAGAGTATCAAGAACATAATATCAAAATTTCCATACCCCTCACCCCGAGACATCAGCTACAAGAATCACGGCTTTCGACAGTTCGGAGATGAGTGTGATTCGTCGAAACAACGTGAGTTTTACATGGATTTGCTCCAAGTGGCGAAAGCGACACCAGTCAACAGCACAAGCCAGTTTAGTTTCCCTTGGTTTATTGAAAATTTTTCGAAAGTTTGGCACAAGTGGGTTGAACATAATGACAGCCTCAAAATATGCAATCCTATTTGGCTACTGGAATGTGGCAAGTCGCCCAAAGGAAAGGACGTTTGTGTAAATTACTACTATTTTAAGAATAATTGTGGCATGATTTTATACATATGTTTCTTATACACCATTGCGTGCTTTAGGTTTGTCTCAACGTGAAGTCCCTCGCTTATCCGATAGAACTGGAGCAGGAAATGATCGTAAACGAGGCATGTGAAGATAGTGGAAAATGCCATGATGATCCTGGTACATGCGTAGCCTCAAAATTTGTATGATTTTTGTAATTCGAGCGATAATTTTCTGACCATAATATGTCCCATCAATAGGGAAGGATGGAGAGGTGAAAAATCCTGACGTTCCTGGTTTTCGATGTGTAGCCAAAGAGTTAGAAATTGACCCGGATGCTGACGACGAGCCAACTTTGAGCGGATGCGAATTAAATTTGCAATTTTTGGGGAAATGTTTTTCAGATTGCAACCATAATGTTGAGTGCACAGTTCCACGCACAAGAAAACTAGGAGACAACAACAAACATTTTTTGCATAGAAAAGTTTGTTGTAATAAATCCAAGGGATGTTTCGCTGACGCTGATAAGAACAAGGGACAAATTATGCAAATTCGATCTGCAGTGACTTGGGCTGGATTATTAGCTGTTTTTGTTAGATTAGGAGCACTACCAGCTTGAACCGATCCGAACCCCCCATCCAGACATGAATAAAGTCGCTTAGACAAAAATGCTATGCACTTCTAAAATCATTGGACTGTAGTTATTTTATTCGTCAATATTCGCCTGGTGTATTCGACTTTCAATCCACGGAACATATTGCGTGACTACTGTAAAAACGTCGGGACTTTTCCCACAAATCTTGCTCAAACTGAAAGAAGCAACTCCAACCTGGAATAATTAACAATACTAATTAAACAAAATTATCGGTAATACGGATTTGTTGCAGTAATACTAGAATTATCGTTATTACCTGATACACTTTTTCCTGCCTTTTATACATCAGAGCACCTCCGCTATCACCGTAACAAATAGCGGCGTCTAAATTCGAGTCCGTGCACAGCATAAGTTTTGGGACAAAAAATCGTTTATAGTATCTTTGGCACGAGGCGTCATCGAGGAACGGTAGCCGAACGCGGTAGAGTTGTCGAGGAGCTTTTTTCGAGGATTCCACTCGTCCCCATCCGACAGCCACACCTTTACGACCGTCTAATTTCTCGTGACGCAGTTTTCCCTTCGGTAAACAAATTGGAGATACGTCCTCCGTGTATCTAACTGCTTCGGTGAGCTTCACTAAGGCGATGTCTGCTGTGAGTGTTTTGGGACTCCATTTTCTGGAGTTCATTTTATAAACAATTTATAAAATTTTTTATAAATAAAAAATATATACTAAGAAAAGATATACTAGAAAAAGATATACCTGTGTAAGATATACTTTTCAGCTTGGACGACAATCTCACTTCCCGTAAACTCGTGTCTGTCAGTTCCCCCGAGAAAAACACTGATGGACTCGGCGTTTTTAAGGCAGTCTAAATTCCATTTAATTAATTATTAAGCGAATACTGCATAAATGGTTTTATTTTTGAAACTTTTTTATTACGGGCTGCTGTGAGGACAAAATGAGGCGAGACAAGGGTACCCGTACAACTTTAATGATATTTAAAGATATCATCGTTATATTTAATCGTTGTTTATCATATGGATATTAGTATCTAGCTCACTCACGCAGTTTGTGTGCCATCAGTTCTCGTAATATCAAGCTGTGAAACCCAAGGAAATAGTCCATTCGAGACTCGACGACCACCAACAATCTAAGTTTTAAGTATATGGTCTTCAAAAACTCGTCTTTACGGTGCAACCCAAATATACCTTTGATACTCTACCCAGCCGACCACAATAACTCGACGCCTGAAGTCCTGCTACATCCCCTTCGCCGAAATTGAGTTCCCTGCGCGTTCTCGTGTGAAAAGTGCATGTTGCAATTTGATTGTTGGCTGATGTCTCATCTGATTTTCTAATCTTTATGGAAATTCTGTACGGAATTATGAATGATTAGTAAGATGCTTATACATATCCGTTAATATTTACTATGCAGTTTGCATACCTTCGTCGCAAAGAAGTTGCTCTCACTTGTGCATTTGCGCCGCAGTAAACATAAGAATTTCTTCCAAAACGCAAGTCACCTATAAAAATGGGATTTATTTATTTTTTATTCGGTTGATCTGGGAATTTGACTTATGTGGGGGAACCGAACCCAACCCTTGCAATATAGGTCATACCTTTAAGATTAACTGTGAGAGTGTCTCTGCTAATCGAACAGTTACCCAGCGATATTGGGGAACAATTGAGAATTACAGTAGACTTTTTCTCAGGAGTTGTAACCAACACCAAACAATCTTGAGTAAAATTCAGAGAAAATTGTCCCGATGTCCCGTTAAATCTAAATTAAATTATTAATCCGAATAAACAGAAGCAAGATTGTTTTAACTTTTAAAACTTCTCACTTCATTCGACATGGTTGATTTCCAGTAAATGCTTTCAAATCTATGCTCATAGGTTTGGGCTCGCTTGTTTGCTCGCGGTCCATGCCCTCAATTTCATTTTCCGACATGGAAGGTTGGTCCATCAAAATTTCAGAATTATCATGAGAATCGCCATCTGGCTCGATGTGTTTTTCGTGAGAAATCATTTCTTCCATCATTTTATCAACCGTCATTTTTGGATCGACAAACTGGCGAATGATGATATCAGGCGCTATCATGGGCAGTGATGACAAAATAACCTCGAGATCCTAGTTGTACATTTAGCAAAAATAAATACTGTAAAATACATTTTTCCCGACATTGAATAATAGTTTGACAATTATTACCGCCTCATGATTTTCCCTGCCTGATTTTTGACGAGAAGTAGATTCGAACCTGTCGATTACAGTCTTGTCGTCTTCTGCGTTATCTAAAAAATCGCTTGCCCCGTCATGAAAGAAACTGTGGTCTCCACAAGATTTTTTTGTTAAAAAAGTGAATATCAAAACTGGCAATATTTTTAACATCTTTAATTTGATTCGATATATATTCCCCTAAAATACAAATTCCTACTTTGCTTCTGAGACAATTAGTGCTTAATGATAATCAATTAATTAATATCCAGTTGGTAATGAATAGCATATAAAAGTAATCGGATTAGATTAACCTAGTTTCTTTTCCGTATTTTGTTGCCTGAATAATATCCAGAACACCATTGTTTTCATACAAATTATTGCTTTTGTTCTAGAAACGGAATACCGAACATGTAACTACATACATAGATGAGTTAACGGTAACATCTCATAAATATGCAGAGTGTAATAACTGCCCGAAAATTTTTTAAAATTTGCTGGTTTTTGTTTGTAAAGACACTTTTGATGAAAGTAAAATTCATTAAAAATGTCTGTGTCATCTTTTGAGTATGCTATATTGAAGTCCATGCATCATCTGTGGAGGTCATTATATAACTGGTTCAAATGCACGACATATTTATTACTATGGCTGGTTATTGTATTCCACATACATTTCCATTTATGGCATATCATCACTTGAAACATTTCACTGATAAGCCTGCTAATCGTGTGAATTGAGTCCGGTTTCCGAGTATTGTCCATTGTCCGGGCGGACATAATAATTGACCTCACAGAACGTTATAGATTCACTTTCACATTTTTTAGCCATACCATCAGCTATAAATCCTTTCCTATAGGAAGTTCGGCTCATGTAAATATGTAGCATCTGACTCATCATCTTGCATGAACTTGACTAGTAAACATCCACCGTCGACTTTGATAACCACTCTATTTATTATGGCTTTTGTAGATGGTGGTGATTATTAGATGATTAGTATATAATGCTTGGTAACATGCACCAATGATCCAGTACAACATTGCCTTAGACAAGTTGAGATATATATGCCTAGCAATTAAATAGATCAACTCTGTGTGACTAACCAAATTACTTGTGTAGGTACTGCCTCACATCAGAATCGTAACTCCTACCCAAACGCACAAAATTACATAATCGCCATTTGTTCTACAAACAAATATACCTCAAATGGTGTCCTTCTTATGAGTATACATACATCAAGAGATAAGTGTATAAGAAAAAATCGAAATCATGAACATTGAGACTATTACAAGTAAGTTGCTTAAATACATTACACCTTCTTGCCATTACAGTCCACGTATTCAAGTTGTAAGTATAATTTATTGATTATTTAACAGAAATCATGAGAAAAGTGGGAAAACTTATGACGCATCCAAAATCACAGTGCACAAATTGTGGCAATTGGTTGGACCCTGGTGAAACCTGTGGATGTCGTTGAATCACATATTTAGTGCGACAAACGACAAACGTATATATTTTTTGGTATCCAGTCTGGTCACTTGCATTTGCAAAGTCGTCCATACGATTTAGAAAATATGTATTGATAATTAATTCGAACGAAAAAATCTGGATAATGTACGTCACAAAATATACGTTTGTCAAATATTACGAGGACTTTCCTGATGATGGAGTGAAAACTAGAAAAAGCTTTTGAATTTATGCGTCATGTATCTAAACTTTATGAATTTATCATATATTTATGAATATGTAACAAGTCTTGTGACCGGACTTTATTGGGTATCAATAAATCTATATCAACAATGTATCACATTTTTGTATATTTATCGAACTAGAAAAGTATTGACTATGCAACCTGTCAAAATGTTACGCTGTATGTATGTACATATGTAAGTATGGATGCTCATCCATACGTAAATAAATGACGACCTTTTCCAAGTAGCTTCAAACGAATACAAAAAATTGGACAAAGAAGCGTTGATAGTAGACTGAAAGACAACCATAATACATACTTCTGGCTAGCTAATTTAAAATAATGTCATGCATGAATGCAGTATGCGTACGGATTGTCATAACACGTTTGAATATTTTAAATGTTTCGTAAAGTGCATTAAATGTACGTTGCATATGTACGACGACAATTGAATGAATGTCAATAATCAAATCAGTTAACTATGTACAAACAAATGTTTCGAATTTTCCTAGAATTTCTTGACAATTCTTTGTATGCCATTGTTAAAATGTGATTATTGCGAGGACGACCAAGAAGAAGAACCAATGTAAGCATGCTGCACCGTGTTGACCGTGTGTACACTATTTTGATACTCTCAAAGGACAATGGAATGAAGGGCATGTACAATTTCAGATAAATGTAGATTACACATTTCTATGATCATATCTTAAATTTATTCAAATAATACGAAAGGTTACAAAAAAATAACGTCCGAAAACGTGGTTAGTAATAGTGACGTGTATGTGTAATAGCAGCATTTGTATTACTGTTAGACTGCTACTAGGGTTTTTTGTTGCCGGATTAAACAAGTCAAGCAATAAGAAACATGCATTAAATAGTCTCATGAACCCACAGAGCATTGAGAATCTCATTATGGTGTTAACTAATAAATGATTCATCGTCTAGTCCAACCATCAGCGTATGCATTACATATGCAGCATGTTGGCAAACTTTTGTGCAGTCTAACGTATTTTTCATAAGCGTTTCATGAACACGTTATGGTACAAGTTGTAAAATGTGTAAACTATGAAAAGTATGAAATGCCATTCATGATCACATTTCTATAAATTGGAAACGCCGGTCTTAAAAAATCACAGTATCTCCGCGACTTCTGTTCGATTAAAATACCGACAAGGAATTTTAAAGCTATCGTCACCTCAAGAAAATAAAACAAACAAATCGGAAATTTGCAGGTACGTTGGTAAACTTGAAATTTATTTAGAAGAAAAACTTGAAATAATAATTGTGTAACATTAATTGTTCTTTATTTTTCAGAAATGGGCAAAATCACGGTGTCAGCCTCATGCCGATCCAACGGTAACAGCAACGCCACTACGAAAATTCCTGGAATGCGGGACCCAATAAAATGCCACAGCTATCCAAGCGTCCAGTGCGTAAAATGCCATAAATTTATCTCTCCAGAAGAAAAAATGTTACATACACTGAGATGCAATGGGCTCATAAATGGACCAGACGTCAGAAACTAGACGAGTAGAAAGTTAATATAACTTTGTATAAATTCAATTGTTGGAAAATCCTTCATTTCTCAACCGAACGCTTTAAATCTCTAAATGAATAATTGAGACTGTTTTTCACTACTTACTAGTAATAAATATTAAGAAATAAAATCCATAAAGCAAGCTCATAAATTTATTTTCATCTCTATAATTCTTTTAACCAGAAAAAAAACAAATTCAAATTTACAGTATGTCATAGTCCAAACTCTTCAAAATGCATAATATTTTTATGGTTGATTTTTTTACTTTCAACTTGAAAATTATGTTCCAAAATAAATATTCCTCCTTCAAATGCATAATATATTTGTCATGAACAAAGACGAGTTGCAGTTCATGTGTTCATGAGGTTCGCAGTGGCTTTTCATGAATGAATCATATCATTTCATCACGGGATTCAACTCAACCTCATGAGTTCTGCTGTGGAGTGAATAAATAGTGTAAATAAGTATGATGAATGCGGATGCAATACTAATTTATTCTTTTGTGAATGTAAAAATACGCAGGTTTTATAGAAAATTAAGCCTATACGTGAAATTTTATACAAATTATAATAATTCATGTTCCGAGGAACAATTATTTATTTGATAACTCACGTGACAATGTTTATTTTTACAACGTACAAACAACACGTAAACATATAAAAAGAAGGGGGGTTTTAAAAAAGTCTATATTATTCATTTTTGATTTCAGTTTTTGGACGAGTCCATTTAATCAACGTTTCGGGACTTCTATACAAAAAGATGAGTTTTGCAAATAGATCTGCAGGTTCAATAAAAATTAATTAGTACTACATATTTGTTGTTTAATCAATAATGTCTCAAATTTAAAATTAAACAAACCTTCTTCCAAAGCTAATTCACCACTTTCACGAACCAAATAAATGTCCAAGCACAACTACAAGTCAAATAAAAAAAATACTACTTTACAAATAGGCTTACAAAAGACTTTATATATTAGGAATATCCTTTACCTGGAAAATTCTGTCTACATTTGGCATATCGTCAAACATGATGAGAAACGAGATTCCGGAAAAGAAACCTGTTTAGCCAAAAATTAGTGAACTATTCGTTCCTCGTTAGATTACATTAATTTGTAAAATTTTACTTACCTCGAACAAATTTACTCGCAACCAGTACGAGCGTTGTGTAGAGGCCGATAATGCTGTGATATAAAGAGAAAGACTGTCAGAATTGAATAACTAATTAAATATTTTATCGATTTTTGATTACCCTCCTCCAGAAATGAACGATAGCGTGGGTGGGAAAGCCTTCTCATTAAAAGTGTAAAGGTTCAGATGTGCACATCGGTCTGAGAGAGGGAGACCGTGAGATTTTTCCTGCTCATTGCAATCCTCCTCCACCACCCACCACTCCTCCCCGTTCACACTCCTCTCCAACTTGAGCGTCAAATTTCGAAGAACAGCATTGGAGGCCGGAACATTCGTGATGGTGGAATCAACCGGTTGCGTCATTTTATTGAATCGCCAATGACGGTCGTCAATCAAGGCTACGGATAAAAAATGAGACATTAAGTAAACGTCCATACGAAATATGTACATAAGTATAGGCAAGTAATCAGAATCACCTTGGTTGAGGGCATACGCTACTTCTGCTTTTCCCAAGTTCGAAACCCGCAAAACCTTGGGAAAAGCTGACATAATTTTGATGGGCTGCGTAGAATTTCCAGTCCCATTGATCATTTGAATAATATTTTCTCTGTTTTCAGGAGTCAACTTAATTTCGTCCCCCTTTCCGCGAGCAATCCCTTGAACATTTGGGTTGGACGAGTCCCTCGAAACCGCCCATGTTAAACGAACACCGACAGAGTTATCTGCGAAAATTTTAGACAATTATTGCAGTGAGCATGTACATACATCTGAATTTAATGGGACTAGTTTATGTCGCCCACCTTTTGAACTGAGCTCCTCTATCAACTTTTCCTTGCTGGGAGGTGATATCCCCCACACCCCAGAGCTATTTCCGTTGAGTCTGGCAACCCAAACGTCCTCCCACTCGTAATTGGATAAAAAGTTGAGTCCTGATTTATCCTTCCGGTAAAAGTACTCCAAGTTTTCCCAATTCGCGTTGGAAAATTGCTGAAGAGAATTTTTCTGAGCCGACATTGTGTAAATTGGTTGGTAGCTTCCCAGAGTTATTTCAAGTGATATGTCCAATGGTTTGTTTGCAATTCCGACCGTGTTACCCAACGCAAAGAGGACGAGTGGGAACCAAATGATGGCAATTATGAGAAATAGTGAACCACCACCAATAGTGTATTTTGACCACCGTGGTTTCGATTGGCCTCTTCCTTGAGGATACTCTTGCTCAACGCGTCTTTGACACTATGCAAATAAGACGTAACAAATGTGAATCTCGTAAATTGTGAAATAATGAGGGTTTTCACGTCAACTTCGTAACTGTCGTAACTGTCGTAAATAGCGTAAATTTACGACATCTATGAAAATTCCATGCTTACGAAGCTTCGTAAATATACGCTAGGTTGAGACATCTTTTTCGTTCGTAAAAAAATTTAGTAAGCATAAAAAATCATGATGTTTCGAACACCATAGTTACCGATGATATTAGGCAAGGAAAAATGTGAAATAATTTTTACAAAATATTTTTTACGAAGGGTCTTTCACGTCAACCCGTCGTAAATGACGTAAATTTACGAATTTTATTTTACGAATCCACAGTTACGAAGGTCGTGAAAACCCTCAATAATTACGTGGGTACTTATCAAATTACCTTAAGTTGAAATATATGGGCGAAAATATCTTCAAGCTTTAACCAATCCGAGAGCGTCATGCTTGTCTCTGAAATATAAATTGAACAGTAAATTCCTTACTTCTTATCCGAACGATAAATGCGGATATCTTAATGATGAGCGTAATGTTGACTATTAATATTAAATGTAAAAAAATATCTTGCCGGTCCAAATCCAGTCCATCAATGCTCTTAATTCAAATAAGAATGGAACTGCCATAAAACTGTATGGAAAATTTTAGAGACTAAAATTAGCAAACGCGTCATAACGTTAGGTGAGAAATACGAACCATGAAAAGTGTACTCACCCTGTAAACGTAGGTTGGTCGTGTAAAAAGTATAATTACTTAACATCTCAAACATTACGGATTAAATATTTTTTAATTGTTTTACTATGTATAAATTACCCTTGAAAAGGAACATGTTCAAGTAATTATACTTTTTACACAAGAAATTCCCCAAAATTCTGGTGGGATATCTGTAAAACAAACATTAACCCCACTATAGCAAGGTTATTTCAAACATTACCATCGTTTATCGCTTACCCAGAACGAATTTGATATGCTGAGAGCAACAAATATATGCACTTCACAAAGTACCACATTTGTGGAGGAAGATTTGCATTGAAATCTCTACATGTAAAAATTGTGTATTTCATTTAAAGTTGTAAATCTGCTGGTATTATGGAGAAATTACATGGTAAGCTTCTCTATTCAATGTGCTTACCTTTCTGTAACTGATGGAAGTATAAAAAACATTGCTATGTGTACGAATGTAGCAAGAGCGATTTGAAAGAAGAATTTTCCCATGATATCTTTCCTCAAGTACAATGCTCTGTCAATGACTATGAGAGCGAATTGCAAAATAACCATGACCAGAAAGGGTACCTGTAATCAGTTAGTCAAATATCGGGATTATTATTCCATAAATTAGGTTATTGTCATACCGGAACTTTGTTCTCTTCTAAGTAACGGCTCACATCACCATCTTGAGACTGTGCATAATAATTCCGCAATAATTATACCCAATAGATGTCATTCAGCAAATCTAGAGATTATTTGCACAAGACCAAAAACTTACTCCAAATGACGCAAATCCAAAAATGACCACGAGAAAGTTGAAAAAGTCACACATAAACATGTAGGAATACACATCTACTTTCACTTTGTACTCAAGATTGAGGATTTGCGAGAAAAATATTTGGATTGATGAGACGTACTTTGTGACACTGTGAAACAATGGAATTGTAGTCAATAATGATGCTTAAATAATATCGTATTGTGCATGACGGATAAAGGTGCACAATTTTACAAGTCAACATACCATAGTTTAACATAACTAAAATAATTAATTTCTTCCCAGAGAACTCTATCCACTAATTTTTCGTCCGATGAAGACGACGCTGACGTGGAATTTGTTTGTTGCTGTTGTAATCGTGCTTGATGTTCTTGTTGTAAAGCCATCAATTGTTGCTGCTGCTGTTCTAACTGTTGAAATTTGAGCTGTTGAGTAGAAGAGTTATTTTTCCTGCATAGAAAAAACCTTATGAATTGCATTTAATTTGATGGTAGCTTTAATAAGATGAGAATTGCTTACCAAAGTCCAAGCGACTTGAGCATAAATCGGTGGAAAAATACAACCATGAGTAAGACCACGTCGTAAACCGCATATTTCTCTTGTTTCTCAATTCCAAGGATTTTGGGAGGCCAAAACGGATCTTTCTTTACTTGAATCGCTTTTCCATTCCAAGGAAAAAAGTCAAATTGGAAAAGGTATTTTAGGACCACCATGGCTTCTGTGTAAGCAATAATGGTGACCCAGAACGTCTTTGTAGGTCTTGGAACGGAGAGTGATCCCCAAAGTAGGACCATCAATGGCAAAGGAAGTGACAAGATACTTGCAGACTTGATTTGGTTCAGAAAAACGACAAAGTAGCAGACTAGGTCGGAATGCGAGATGATCACATACCACAAGGACACAACAAGTTTTATAAAAGCATTCGATTTTTCCTCTTCCTCCTCTTCGACTTCCTCTCTCAAGTCGATAACGGTTTGCAAATCGTCCCTGCTTTCATCAATATTCTCCGAGGATGATGACGACGACATGCTGTCCTGCTCCTATACAATAACCACGAAATTACTAGTGAGCGACCCATCACATAAAATACTGTATTTATAATTATACTTACTTTTATAGCACTCCTCTCTTTTGTCAAACACTTTGACACATGTCGATAATCTTTGGAAAACTTATCCAACCAACTTGTCATGCTCACCATGAGACTTTCGACCAGAGCCCAACTGAATCGCATATAACCATAAAGGCGTTTCCAAACTGTGGGCTTTTTTCCTTGTGCTTCTCCTCCGTCGTCTTCTTCCTCTGCAATTTCATCTTCTTCCCCCACCGATGCACGAGACGCTTTTCGAAGGAAGGAACGTTTCCTTGTAGCAGCAGCAGCAACATCCCCGGTTTTCAATGCAGTGCTCATCAACTAAAAGAAATTCAAGGAACGAGTATTGATTTATTAAGCAATTTTTCCCGTGCTGATTTATAGTTCCATCATTATCTGAGCTAACCTCGCTAATAGTAACTCCAGAAGAATGTCTTTTGTTTGCAACTTCTTCGTCGTCCTCCTTGTCCTCCTCGTCATCAATCATGCCAATGTTATCGTCCTCATTGTTGAACATGTAATAATCTCCTGAGCGGATTGCTGTGTATGCGACAAATAACACAAACACACGTTCATTGCTATCTTTCAAAATATATCAATCAAAACCAAAAACTAAACATAACGAGGTTTGTTTGTAACATAAACTTGCAAATAAGATTATAAGCCAAGGAAGCAGATTAATCGTTATTATTATAACACGCAGGTTTCAAAAATTATTTACCCGCATCAAACAAATTAAAAAGCAATATATGTTTTATTTCTAAATCTCTAATCTAATCAAAAAGTTAAAAATTGGAAATTTCCTCTCTAAAACAATTTACATGTGTGATGAGTGTAAAAACTTTTTCGTTTTTTGCTGCCCAGTCTCCTCTTTTGATAAAAGACCTCTTCCTCATCCTCCTCATCATCAAGGGGAAGTTGTTCATGAAGGTGTTTTTCACCTTTGTCATAAAACTCGGTATCGTCGAATATCTTGACGTCGCCTTCGTCCTCCTCCTCGAAGAAGCCGCCGACGGAGAGGGTGACACATCCGGCGGACGAGGGGGTGGGTGTGATGAGTGAAAGGGTTGCCAGCGGAGCGAGCAGCACTTTCTCCTCTTCTTCTTCAAGGCTCATCATCATTACCGAGGAGTCTTTACGCTGCGATAAGGTATCGAACATGCACAACATTCACTAACACATCAACCAACAATTTCTCAAAAACTATTTAAAAATCTATATTTTGTTTTCAAAAAGGACAAATTGGACATGACATTCGTGTAACGAAAGACAAGAACAATTTCACAATATCACATGCTTGACGCACTACTAAAGGGATCCTTTTCAGATTGCATAATATTTTATATGCACATGATTGCATAAATATTTAGTTTTATAGAGTAAGAGCAGACTCACCCATGAAATACAAGACAATTCACCGTTAGCAAATACAATACTTACAAATCCAGAAAGCAGCAGTACAAACAAGAATATTATGGTAGTACACATTATGTGCACATGATGGTAAAAAATGCAAAGCCGGAAAATATACCGTCGAAATGGTTATCCTTATTATTTTGCTTGTCATGTGTTGCTTTAATTCGGTCCATTTTCATCTTGATCTTTTCCAATACTTGTTTTTCGACTTCTTCCTGTTGGCGGATTTGGTTTTGCATGAGTTCCTCGATTAGTTCGGCCCCTCTGTGTAAATAATGAGTTTTGAATATCAATTTATTGCAACAAACCAAAAATACTGAATTGCTTTCCTGTTGAATACCTGGAGGCTAATTTAGCTTGAACTTCAGTTTCTGTGAAAAAAAGCAACACAATTGTATTATTCAAACTGATAGGTTATTTGTGTTTTCATGATATCAGCCAACGCTTAAAAATAAACAACGCGTTGCATCTAGAAAGGACGCTTCCAAGATAAGAATTCAGCGTTGTATTCTCCTTTTGCTTGCTTGTTGGAGTTCATAGTATAAACTCCATACCCTCACCAACTCTCAAGCTAGAAGGTCGTTTCTCTCGCTCACAAGTTTAAACTAGTTCCGGTAAATAAATATTTTCTGACGTTTAACAAACAGTTTGACATTATTTAAAAATGAGTAAAAGGACGAATAAGAGCGACTCTGGTAAAAAGAAGAAACCAAGACTGGTAAAGGAGGAACCGGGCGCAGAAGAGTCACCATCAATTTCTGACCCCACCCCGTCCACATCGAGGTCAATTTCGAAAGCGTAAGTTTGAAGTGCAAAACATTTGTAATCATTGTGCGACTATTTAGTTTCTAATCATGATTAATGTTTAATTTTTAGAAGTCTTAAGCAAAAAGAAGAAAGGAAAAAAAATCTAGAAACGGAAAAGTTTAAATGCATCATTTGTGGCAAGATTTTTATAACAAAATCTTTTCTGGACGCACATACGGCCAGAGTTCATGTAATGGATGACTTGTGAGTTAAATGCTTTATTCATCTACAACGCAAATAATTTACTCGTAGTTAATTAATAAATATTTTTACTATTATTTTTCCTAGATCGAACTCAGTTCTTGGTCAGGTTAACCCGTTTAATGTTGAACGAGTGACGCCGCTTCAAATGTGGGGAAGCGAAGAGGAAATTGTTCAAACCCCAGAAAGGAAGAAATTATTCGACAACTATGACAAGCACAGGAAGTTGACTTTTGCGCAACAGAAGAACAAAAATATATCCTCAGTCTATCTAGTCCTCCTCATTCCAGAGCCGTTCCTGTACAAAAATGGGAAACAATTGGCAGCAAGAGAGCTTAAGGCGTGGCTAAAAGCCAATCAATCCAAAATCCTACATCTTTACTGGTACATTGGGACAACGGTTGGGAGCACTGTTGGAATTGACCAACGACATTTTGCGAAACGAATGATAGATTTGTCGCCAATTTACGACTACAAAATCAACAAGGGATTCAGAGCATTTCTCGTGAAGCAGTGGGTATTCTCTTCTCTCGAAAAGGATGAAAATGTGAGAAGTGCTAAACTCTTAGAAGCATGGATTCAGGTAATTTCTAATTTTCCTACTGTTGATTTTTTAGCCAGACAAATGATTTTATATGTATTTTGACCATGGTATAGGCAGTAGGATTGATTTTCAAAAATCAGAAGTTTGCATTGCCACCCCATTTGCTGAAGTACATCATCCTCAACCATAAACAAGGTCCCTAAAAAGGGGAAATCTTAGTGAGGGAGTGCAATCACAACTAATAAATAAAATTAGATTGGAGAATTTTTGCATCACCGCTCTCGGTACCATTTTTACTGGATGCAGTATAAATTTTTCTTTGCATACGCATGAATTCTTAGTTTTATTGAATAAATTGAGGAAGGAATACATTTTTACTGTGTAGTGAACGAGAAGTGGGTTAAATTAACTGAGGTAGATATGTAAGATATAATGGCTAAATAATTCTGAGCTACGTATTTGTTTAAAAAAATATACAAATTTCAACTTCATATATTAATTTGGCTACTCTATGCAAAATCATCGAACCTTTTGAGGGAGCAAGTGTTCTATTTAAACGATTAATGCTTCCAGTAATAAAAATGGTACCGAGAGCGGTGATGCAAAAATTCTCCAATCTAATTTTATTTATTAGTTGTGATTGCACTCCCTCACTAAGATTTCCCCTTTTTAGGGACCTTGTTTATTTATAACTTTTAATTGGGGAATTAGATTGTCCATTGGATGACTGCATTGCACTACCCCTTTTCAGTAGTTTGATCCGGAATAATTTTATTAAATTCTGGGTGTTTAAAATTGAATAAATCCGTTATTTCTTAACCGATTTATATCATTTTGGTCAAAATGTCCGGCCTAGATTACTAAACACCAAAAGACCTGATCTGGAGGTGCAAAACCAACAACAATTTCACGCAGTTTACCAAGCATGTTACAGAAACAATTAGTTATGCTGTTTACAGTTTTGAATGTAATTTGTTTTCAATTTATTAGTCTTGCGTCGTTGTCAATGGCAATGATTCGTAGCACGAGCAGGAATTTCTGAACTTCAAATTGGAATAACTAAGCCAATTCTTAACGGATTTTGATATATTTATACTTAAAATTTTCGGGATAAACTGCCCTACAATTCGTGGGTATCAAACTTTTGATAAAGTTTGCTAGTAACTAGCAATAATTACAAATGTGTTTCTAAGGCTACATTTTTGCCCATAATTCCGGTCAAGATCACGTAATCCCTTAGTCGGATCAGATCCCGTTTCTATATTATGTAACAATAATCGGTGCAAAATTTCATCAAAATCGATTGAAAAATGACTGAGATATCGCAGATGGTCACTTTTTTGGGGTGGGTCAAATGCATACTTAGTAATTTTTTCGTTGTTAGGTATTTGCCTCACTAAGAAAAAGATTGAGGAACCTTTCTACAAACTGGATCGAACTGTTAGGGAAAAAGCATACAACATTGCTGGAAATTTTAACAAACCTTTACTATGTTTTGATGATAATTGTAGTGTCGCGCATCATATCACTCCGCATTTTAAAGAGATTGGGGGTGTTAGATGCAAGGGTGAGGGGATAATTGATTTTGAGGGTGAGAAAATTGTAAATGTTAAGTGGGATGGAGTTCATGTGAATGAAATTGTTGAGATCGGGGAGGATGGAAAAATTATTAAAGATTAGGGCAGTTGTATTCCGTTTCAATTTTTACATTCCACTTTTTTACCGTATTCCGTAAGTTTGATTTGTATACCTGATGAATTATAAATTGTATATGATACTGACTAATTGTATTTCAATGCATATTATTAATGAATTTAATAAATTGAGTATGTCAAACTAGTTTTTTCCCAGTTTCTCATCATTGAATTAATTGTAGTGCAATTTATAAATGTAGTTACCCGCACGAATGTGGAAAAAGTAGTAGCTGAAGAATATTCTTCGCTGAAGAATGAGAAAGGCGAACGTGATGCCGTCCCACACCATTCCTGCTTCATCATGCGGTACATCACACTGTTGATTGCTTGACCCGTCCAAGAGACCTACATGCATATATATTTTTCAGAAATGGTACACAATTGTTTCGGTACAGATTAATTGCATATCAAAACAAACCTCTGTTGATTTCGTAGGAACTTTCACTCTTGAATTTGTTAAGACAAGCAATTCCAAACAGTTGAATGAGCCAACAAAAGTTGTACTGCAACGCAGGCAAGAATACGCAACCCACGAGTTGTAATAAACACTTGATGCAGATGACGAAAACATTATAAGACAGAAGAATATTCCATCGCTTGATAATGTCAACTTTCTCTCGAAGATAAAACTCATTCCCTTCCCAGAGAAAGATGAAACTTCCCACGAGATATCCAAGAGCAAATAAGTTCACTCGATTAGTCCCCGTGAGAAATATAATGCCCAGAGTGAGCCAGTAGAAGGAGAGCAAGACCGACTTTTTGATACTGTTGAGCGTTTTTTGTCTAAAAATATGTATATTAAATAATTTAAGTAAAATATACAAAGTTCAATTGGCGAAACTATCGTTTGTTTGCAACATACTCTTCACGGACGGTGTGACTTGTGGAAAGGAAATCCGGGGTTGGATTAAGATTTCCTTCTACCGTGTTTGATAAAATTTCATCATTTGATCCAGCCTCGCCCTCCAAAGCTTCTTCAGCTCGGAACACTTTATGCTGGCAAGTGCATATTAGGAGGAGTATAAAATCCGCTGAAAAACAGTATGGAAAATATAATACTACTGGTCATAGAATGACTAACTTTTGTACGGGGCTGACTTACGGACAAGTCTTGAAATGTCCGGAGGTGCTACAAAGTCTGGTAAGAACAACCACCCCTTAAGTTCGGGATCCAGCGGAGTCCACGGGTAATCTAAAGATTTTCAGTGATATAATTCTCATTTTTCTGCCGATGGATATCAATTATAATTGTTCTTACCAACACACAAAAACGGCGGAATTCCGACACTAGAGAGATATTGCAGGGGAAGCAGTATTGTCAAAAAAGTTATGAATGGCATCCAAATTTTAAATTGGAGTTGCTTTCGGCTCATCCAAAACATTGGGACGAGCCAAGCAGAGTATAAAACAGAAAAAAAGTCGAGGCGTGTTCCAATTACTAGAACCAATGTTACTAGTGTGGTCTGCAACAGGGATAATGTTATATTGTGCCATTTATTGTATGTTATCGTGTATAATTTGTACAGATTTTGAACATACCTCGACACCAAATTTATGAAAAATATAGTTTACAAGGAACTGGACCATTGGAATCAATCCTTTGTCTGCATCTGGACGTGTAATGTTTGGGAACACAATGTTATCAGTGCCAGCAGCTCTGCGTCGAAATTGACGACGAATCTTTATAACTCCTTGGAGCGTTAAAATTGCAATCAAGCCTAAAAATGAATTCGTAAAGTTAGTTAATGTATGTGATGAGAAACGTATGCAGACTCTCGATAAGTGCTTACCAATATATCCGCTAAGGATGGATATGAGTGAGTTAAATCTTTCCCCATCAATCTTAAAGAATCCCAACCATTCAGCGTCATTTTGCTGTGTAGCGTTGCACCCATCATTATTGTATGCAGAGTGTTCAATGTAGTCTATCTGGTAAATCATCTTTAGCAGGAACAAGATACAAATGTAAATGGAGCAAAGGTGAATTAACATTGTCTGCAACGAAACCGTTGCAATCACTGCAAAAATGCAGAGCGGAAAGTGTAGCAAACTTTTCTGAAATGCGAATGTTGTCAAATATTAAAGTAAATACGATTAATAAACATGAAAACTAAACAAGTACGAAATGAATACTTACATCAAAGACACTCAGAATGAAAACGGAGGTGATGACAATTTTGCCAATGTGGATTTCCAACAACTTCCAACATATTTCAGATCCCACTTTGTAAACCAGAACAGCTTTTTTGTACATGATTTTTGCATAGAGCTTAATAGATTTAGTAAAGTTCTTGTTGTCTTCCACGATGATTTCTTCGGGCGGAGCTTCTTCTGCTGCATGCCCAATAATTTCTGATATTTTGAGGAAATCTTTGTGAAAATAGTGAAGCTGAAAAATGCACACAACAAATCATACTCGTTTCTAATTCTGTTCGGATTCCTTTTAGCGTGACTTTACCTGAATTACAGTGATGATTAGGAAAAATGTTGGTGTGAGAAGTCGAACGAATAAGTCCCCAGTATCAAATTTTTCAAGTCCAATATCTTTTTGTCTGAATAAATAATTTCGTATCGTTTACTTTAGTCAACTATAAACAATAAGCATGTATTCGCTAGACTAAGGACTGGTTAAACTTACAGTTGTTCAGGTATCCCAGTTTTATTCAGATACTGTGGAATATCCTCAAATTGATAAGTGTAGATAAGTACCAAAACGAGCATTGAATAAATGATGACGGTGAGCCAGAACGAATACAACATTCTGCGCCAGCAATTGTAGGACAGCTACAACAATCCAAAATGGTTAACTGTTATAATCACATATCTTTAAACCAGATATCAACCTGACTGAAATTTAAATACTCTAGATTTCATACCTGGAATGTGATAATGAACACAAGAAACAGAGCCATGTACACGATTCTGTACAAAACCACTTTATCTCCCCCTCCAAGTCCTATAATGAACAGCATAATGGCAACCACCCAAATCCATAGCTTTATCAAAATGCTCTTCAACCAGTGTTCCTTCCCTTTGACTATAAGCTCTGCTGGACAATGGAAACAGCATAAAAATTTCTACTCCAATAACATAATGTACACAGACCATAATTTCTAGTAAAAACATAAAGTTACACCTGGTTGATTTGATACCACAACGCGGAAGGATTCTTGTGCCGCATTCTCAATGAGACTAGAAGTCGTAGTCTTTTCGGTAACATATTGACGAAGAGTGATCCAGAACATTACGGCATAACAACTCTAACAAACAAGAAGCCATTGCAATTTTCCTTGAGTTATTTAAAAGTTAAAATGTTTCATACTCGTCATTGTATTGGCAATACTATTGAAATTTGTATCACACCTTGACCATAATGGCCTTAAAGCAGTTGGGATCCTTCGCCAACCCTATTTCGGTTAGATTAATTCCATCAATGAATTTAGGAAAGTCGTATTGCAAGCAGTACACATATTGGATAAGCAGCAAGATTTCCGCATAAATGACCAATATCGGGGATGAAAGTAACATCGCCCGTCTCTGATTTGGGAACATCCAGAGCAAACAGGCCGCAATGAGGAGAATGAAGGTCAACCATGAATGATAGGTGATTGACCATGCCATCATTATGATATTGGTTCCAATGTAGCTGGATTTTATAAAGAGATTTAATGTCTTCAAAAGGGCGGTGGTGAAGAGCTGGAAAATAGAAATTAATTAAATGAGAAATGTTTACACCCGCGCACACTAAAAATAATAATCTTGCAATAAATCTGACACGTTTTGTACAAAAAAATAATCAATCATTAAAAAATGAATTTTGAAGGGACCCCACCCCCTGCAGGCAGTGCTTTCCGATTTGAAAAAATAGAAGGAGGAATATGGTTTGGACTAACGGATTCAGCAGTTTCAAAAGGTCAGCTCCACTAAATTTGTGCCTTGGATAATATGTAAAATTTTGATTATTTAATGCAGATTATTGTCAATATGGCATGGAGTGGACCGACCCCAATAAAATCCTCACTGATGATAGGTCAATTGCATTCAGTTCACAAGACATGTACAAAGCAGCATCAGCTGTCCAAACGAATTCGACAAAAGAATCGTCCCCTGAGTCGCGGGAACTGTGCAACGGGTGTAGTCTTCGGTACATACTCATAGTTTAAAAAATATAGCAAATAATTGTTTAATATAATAAATATCAATCGTGTTTGTTTGATTTAGTGACTTGTTTTTACTACACTGGACAATAAGACCCTTTCATCTCTATATTTATACGTCGTCGTTCCAAGAAGCATGTTGGATGAGGTATGCCCTGAAGGACTTGTTTGACGCATTCGGGGTCATCATGCCCAGTGAATGTTTGAAGCTCATTCTCCCTCATGCGGATCAATTGTTGAAACATTTATCGACTATACCGGAACTGGCTAATTTAATGCCTGAAGAAACTCGCCGTCTGAAGGGGAAACCAATGTCCCAATTACTGCGGCGAAAAATGTTCCTTGAATTTGCCATCAAATATTCAACATGTAAAGCCTTATCTAATTATTATTCTGATGTCTATTTTCATCCCGGCACCAATTAATTTAAATAATTCCATTCCAGTGACGGAAGAAGAGAATATTTCTGAACCAGTGAGTGAACGGTCGGTCATGATGGAAATAAGTGAACAGAAAGTTTACAACAGAGTCGGGAAAGGACATTTGGCCCCCACAACAGTAAATAATCAAATATCAGACTGGCTTCTTCAGAAATACGAGCACGTTGACGACCGAGAGAAATGGATTCGAAAATCAGTTGTACATGAAGAATATGTTAATCAATTTCCACATCCGGATCCAGAAAAAAAATTGGTTAAACAGAAACTCGGCGCCCTTTTTAATTCGACATTTCCTATTGCAACAACCAGACACCTCGGCCACATAAACCGTTACGAGGTGTATGCAAACATTCGACGCAAGATTCCCGACGCCACATCTCAAGAGAACATGACAATGGGTACTATTGTTAAAAAGGAAGACAAAATTGAAAACAAAAAAAGTGAACCCGTAGAAATTCATGTCATGGTCTCATTTGAAATACTTGATTCTATTGTTGAAGTAGGAAAAAATGTGATACAAAAAATCTCAGATAATTGCGACGTCAGGATTACGATCCCGAAATCCAAACAGAAATGTAACCGTGTTCAGGTCGAGGGAGATAAGGTCAATGGTTGAAAAGGCAAAAAAATTGTTATTAGATTTAGTCAAGATTGTTGAGCAACTTAGTATGTAGTGACAATTTAAACACGTTTTTATGAATTATAACTTAACTGTGTCGAGCAATAAAATTTTTTCTTAAATTACCTGGAGATGTTTTGTGGACGCGGTAGTAATTGTTGACGGAGCTGTAATTCATTAACGTGCACGTCAAGTCAAACGTCCTTACGGATTGTTGGAGGTTGCATAAATTGTTGTGCTAAATTTCTTACGCCTTGAGCTACTCTGAGGTGGTGGTTGATGCTGCTGCTGTTGCTCAATAATGGAGCCATAATTATTCTCTCCAGACACCATAAGCTGAAAATAACAATTTTGACAATGTGAGATTTATGCATTAAAGCTTCAAAATGCAAATTCATGCAAATCAACATGACATGAAACAAACAGCAAGCAAATTTATTGACTAACTAACTACTACTAGTAGAACATTTAAATAAGCTACAATTAAAAAGCAAAAGCAAATTTTCTACATATAGCAAATCAAGTCGAGTAAGTTTGTATAATTTTTATGAAACAAAACATTATAAAAACGCCGTGCAAAAATTGTGCAAATATGTAAATAAGTACGTCACAAAACATGCTAAATTAAAAATTAAATAAAAAGTCATACAGGTACACGTTCACTACCGGCGCGTCTACGTTTATAATGACCCTGATAATAAAAATAAAATAATAAGTCATGTATTGAAATGTTGAAATGCAAAAATAAGTAAAATTGCAAAAGTAAAAACAAATGATGGTAAAAAAATGTAAAGAAATCTACGAATTTCGTATTATGCGATTAAAATTTTCAAAAGTTAATACACTTGATTTCTTCTTAAAGGTGTACTTTCTCCTAATCGTACTCCGCTTACTACCCCCACCACCCAGGGCTGCAGCAAAGATTGATGCACGTCTTTGTTGCTTGCAAAGGAATTAAGTTACGTTGTTAATGAATTAAAATTTGTTTAGAACTGTTATTACGAAGTATTTTATGAAATTTAGTTGACAAGAAGTAGTGACAAAGATTGGTTAATTCATTGGAAAGCTTGTACTGGATAATTTGTATTCATTACCTCGGGCGGATCCTTTCTCAGGAGAAAGTAAATCTGATACACTGTGAGGTGAAAGAGGAGCAGGATAGCGACAGGGCTCAGCCATGTGCTTAATTTTAGATTGTCATTTATGACGAGAACGCGGTCATCCTTGGTGCAATCGTACTCTACAAAATCCACCAGCCCCAGCAACCTAGAACACGTCACAGAAGGTATCAATCAGTAGTATTTTGGACAGACCACGTGTCATACGTTGCATATGTACCTCATGTTAAAATTGAAATCTATAAAGAGCCTCCCGAGACTGATCTGATAAACATACGTGGCCAGTATTTGGAGGAAAGCGTTGAAGCTTCCAATTGCAAAGAGGAAGATGAGAATCCGCTTTGAGAAGATGTTGAGTGACCAGGCAGTACACCCAAAGAGAAAAATTAGATAGTACGCCGAGTTTATTATGGATGGTTCGAGCGCTGCCGTGACCAAAAATAAGGTCAAGGTGACATAGCTGCCAAACTTTTTGTACACTGATTTGAACAATCGTTTGGGTTTGGTGTACGTCTTATTGTGGGTGTAGTAGTACACACAGGTTGTAGCTGCAAATAGGACAAGGTCCGGAAGTACCCATCGCATGATGTCCAGGGCATTCAGGGCGGATAAGGGAATGAGGGAAAATTGCTGAAAGAGTGTGCCCATCGTGATATTTTTACCTGAGCGGAGAAAATCAGTCAGGAGGGGTACACATTAATTATCATAATATAAGAATTATGGGACTCACATCCATATTGGAAAATTTGTATTTCATCCAGGAAATATCCATACGGAGGAAGTGAGAGCAAAACAATTTGGAAGACAAATTGGCTCAAAATTGCGAGGGTTGTAAGTACCAAAAGAATTCTTAAGTATCCTAATTATAGCACATACAAAATTGCATAAATTACACATACTAAACTTAACCTATTTAATCAAAACCCACCTCTCAACTTTATCCCAACAAACGGAAGACACAAATACAAGAGAAGGTAAAGGAAAGATGAAGCGCATGGACGAACAATGGAACCTACATTGAACACATCAGTTTTAAATATGTATCATAATCCCTAGTGACCTTCAACCACTTTAATTGCATAAACAAATTTCGACTCAATTAACTGTAAGTAACTGCGCATAATAGAGCTTTTAATTAGAAAGGATCACTTTGTGCCACTTTCGAATCTTCCTGATTAATTAATCCATTAAGACAAAGTGGTCTTATTTTAATTAGACAAGTCTGACAAATTGTAGTCTTAAGACAGTACATAAAGTTCAAAAGTTTGTTTGCATGCTTTGTTCTTCCTGCTCGTGTGGTCATAATGAGTTGAAATAATTGGGGCTTTCTCCCAAAGCCTTCTTCCAAATAGTTCGGAGAGAGCGAGGGAGAAAGTAGTAGCAGCAGCTGCCCTCATTTAATTCGGACTCACTTGGTCATTCAATTATGGTCTGTTACGTAACGTATTTAATTCCGTAACGCATTTCACCAAAGTGGTTTCACCCTTCCAGCAAAAACCCCTCTCTCTCATCTCAACTGGAACGGAAATGAGTTCAGTAGAACAACAAAACCATTGTGAATCTCGAGACTTTTCACAGAGCTAATAAACTTGTAATAAAACTGCTCCTACAAAACTACGCAGGAAGAGTAGAGTAGTAGATACCTATTATTTAGTAATACCTATGTCTACATGCTTTCATGACTACTTTGTTAATGGAGTCCATTTAAAGTAGAGTATCCAAGACTGAATAAGTAGGGATCAAGTATTTAGAAAGCTTGGAAAATTTGACTTACACGCGACGAGGACGACGGGGAGAAAGACGCGGATGAGGAGGATGGCCGAGATGGGAGGTTCCTCTTTCGCCCCGATGATCCGAACCACTCCCCCCACGCCGCCCTGCTCCCCACTTCCAATACTCGGCATTTCCTATGCTGTGGGGCTCGAGCACTTTGAGCAGCCCTTCATCCTTTCTCACTGCAAACAACAATTTAAGATTCTTGAGTCTGTAATAAGTCTATGAATAAATCGAAACAAGCACGTTTCGCCCTCTTATGAAACTCTAAAATCCCAATGTCACCCCGTTTTATTAAAAGTAATAAATAAACCCGAGAATTTGCAATATTGTCAAAATATCTATCTATTTATGAATTCTCTTTCTCTTTCGTAACCTCATAAATGGTAATGTTTACCGATTTAGCCCTGATAATAGTATATTCTCTAGAGAATAAAAAAATCTTTTCTAGTTTTCTACCCGATTGGACCTTTAATAGCGTTATGAGCTGAAGAAGCGTGATTGGAATAAATGCGGATGCTCTTCTCCTTCGACTTATCCTTAAATACCAGATTTTCTTGTAGATTATGAACTATGAAAATGGTAGTCAGTCGTCGTTCATAGTCATGAATGAATCTCTGGAATCAGGTCGATGGACGTTCCCGTCTGTTGATAATGATGCGGGTGGTGGTGGTGGTGGTGAAAAAATTGATGATTCACATTCACAAGGGAAGGAAAGCAAGGGGAAAGTTTGTGCTTTCACAAGGTGGGTAATAATTCCAAAATGTCAAACCATGAACCATTTCTTCCCGTCGTCGTCTCCTCTTGTTCTCGCAGCCTCCTGATTGTTATTGTTATCGCGTTTTACAACAAGGGTTCCCATATCAGTGCAAAGACGACGACCGAGAGAGGTAGCAAAATAAGAGGATAGAAAGTTGAGTGGCTGAGCCTTGCTTTCACCAAAAGTCGACAAGATCTTGATATACAACTCACATTGATTCATAATTCATACCATATTTGCCTCTGTCTAGGTCTTTCTGCACATCAGAAGGATAGTATCAATCCTGAAATGTATTCTTCTCCCCACTACAAGTATTGTTGCACTTGAATTTTAAAATCACTAATATTTTTGATGTTAGTTAATAATTTAAATTTTACAGTAGAAACAGCACGGAAAGTTTATTATTATTATTATCTATGCAGCATAGGTTGCACTCAATTCAAGTCAATTATACATACACTGCATGATGTTAAAAGAAACATTATGTATTGTTGATTCAGATTCACGTGAGCAGAAGAATAAACACATTTATGACGACGGTAACAAAGATTAAGAGATTTTAATACATGTTTCATATGCTAGTGTAAATTGAGCTAGATGTTAATTTGCATTTTAAATAGCATTTTTGTCACAACTCAATTTTATGTTTTTTATTTCATAACTTTTTTAATAGTGTTTTGTCATCCTTGGTGTTGCGTTACTTGTACCAAGCCAAAACTCGGAGTCTCCTGCTGCTGCTCTGTCTGAATTTCAGACTCTGAAATGCATAATGCATTTTACGCATTATTCTCCTAAAATAATTGTCCCCAGAAGTTTCACAAACACTTTTAAAGTCTTCCACGTTATATGCATAGGATTATTTTCACTAGCCATAAAGAGATCTTAAGTCAAGCTCTCTGCAATTACAACTGATCTTACAATCCAGCTGACACATGAAGAAATCTGGAACTGGGATACGTAATAGCTGCACTAAAGACAAGTCTGTAAAAGTAACTGACACATACAACTTCTGCAGATACGTTATTACATTAGTACTGCTTGGTTTTTGTGCATAATCAAGCCAAGTAAGTCAAGCAGTGGTTTGGCACTGTACATATATTGATGAATATATTACTACAAAGCTTGCTTCTTGTTTATCTTTTACAATGCTATCCATCCACTCAAAATGTGGGAGGATATCCAATCCTTTTAGCAGCTCTTCCACAACTGACTAACTATTACGTTACAAACACCACTTGGACAAGAATTCCATGCTAAAAAACCCGATCGAGTATGCATAAATGTATGTATGCATGCATGCAGCATGCGGATGTTGCATTTATTTTTTGGTGTAGAATCCTTGATTATATAACGCTCCCTCGTCGCCGTATGTTAAATGTAATAATAATAATATAAGCAGTTTGGAACCCGGTTCGGACGTCGCTGTTGCTGCTGCCGTAGCTCCGTTTTTCTGATATTCCATACTTCGAGATGACTCCCGTAATAAAAAAATAAGTTCACCTCCCGACAAAACTCAAACACCACTGAACCAAGTCGAGTAGCAGCAAGAAGAAGACTCAAAGATCAACTTTTACTCTTCTCTGAGTTTTGCGAGAGTTGGTAAAACAGTATGAAATTGAAGAGGAGAAAGGAGAGGCTTCATGCATGGATATACAAACATACATAGGTCGTGGTAGCTTTGTTTTTAACCATGTAATAACAGAATCATGACGACGACGATGGTAAATAAGACACGACTTACCTATATTAATGTAGGTCCCACTAGTTGTGTTATGATGTATGATCAACCCTGCTGACCTAAAACTTTGTTATCAATCACTTGGTCTTGTGCTGTGTGCGCTTGTACTTGGAATTCTATACACTGGATTTGTTGACAGCATTGAAAATATTGAGTATTTGGATAGCTATATAGTAATCATACTCATCTTCAGACAGACCAAAAATAATTAGGATTACAAATGAGTCCAAATGAGTCAAGTCCAATCCAGCTGGATATTTACATTTACATCATGATGAGTTTAGACGCAATGCACACAGTGTAATGATTTTTCTATTCATTTCGTTAGTAACTACCATTAGAGGTACTAAATTTAGTCATGTGTCAGCGGACAGGAAATAACAAAGTGCATGCATGGACAGATATATTTCGTGGTTGCATTCATTATTCGAATCAATGTTGGCGTTTAAAGTAACTCAAAAAGTAAGCACAATTATGATGCTTCAATGAGTGACACGGTATATTTACTTTGCATAATCCATGCAAAATTCATACATGTAGTACAGTCTGTGAAAGCTGTACTGTAATTCGCTCAAAGAGAAATAGAGGCGTTAATTCAGTTCATGATAATGACAAAATAATAAAAAATTTGAAAATGACGATATGATTCTAAATGCAGTTCATGACATCCTACCTCAGCCATTGTGGCATAGAATACAGATACCGATCGAGTGATAAAATTTAGTATGGATAGGACGTATGCAAGCACTCCGTTATGTAATACTATTTACGGCGGCGTACTCTGTATTTTCATGAGATATTATGTTACCCAGCTATATTCCTATAATTTTGTAGCTACTTTGTATTTAGGGTCAGCCTGTGGGTTGACCGATAAGAGAGTAATGGTCCATTCGTTGTGATAGGTACAGAAGCCTAATATAAGCTCCTGTCATTGTCATTTATCCTATTACACTAACATAATAATGTAATATCCTTCCTTTTGCTTTTATCATATCAAAATATTATCGGAAACCGAATAAAAAAGGATGGAGCCCGCAAAAATGAATGAATTTTGCTGCTCCACCCTACTCCTGACTTCCACGATATAGTAGGGGAAGCATAACTTCCATCAAAATTTGGCTCCCGCGTTCGTATCCCTACCATGCTAATAGTATGGGAAGGATACGAGCGCGGGATGATGGAGGTTATGCTTCCCCAGTATTAATGCATTCATTAGTTTTCCACAAATAATATTTAGTCAAAAAGGCATTAGCGAAAAATGTAAGAATTTAAATTTTGCGACCACACAACTTGATTGTATTTATGTTACTCAAAACAAAGGGAAAGTATGGAAAGTAAAGTTCCAGAGCGCAATTAAACGACAGTTCCAGGTCAGGTTATGTGACTGACGGACAATTCCGTGACAAATGATGACGATTATTAGACGGTTGGAGATTAATGAGCTAGTGCGGTTGAGCTGATTTTGTCCGTAGTTTGGAGTCAGTGGGTGGAGGTTTGGAACCAATAATCGAGAAAAAAACCGGCATTCCAAGTAACGAACACGGAAACAGGATCTGTTTTCTTTCCGCTTTTCTTTCAACGGAACACGCTCGTTTCCTTCCATGCAGAGGAGAAAACAGGTTTAATTATGTAATTCGACACGCAAGCCTGCCGACTGAAACAAAGCCACCTGGTCCAACCATCACATGTACGCTGCTTGGTGTATGACCTGACAAAATGATACATTCACGGATCTCATCTCAAATTGAGTGGACAAACCGCAGCTGACCAGGTCATAAAGGAAAGAAAGTAAAATCCGACTTGTTCAGCGTCCAAAAAGCTTTCTTACATAAAAACATCATACTTTTTCCATTGAAAGATATTGGGTGGAGAATGAATGGGGAAAGCGAATTAAAGCTTTCTTTGCGTGTGGCAACTGCATGCTGAATTATTATGCCTCATTACTTTAATTATGATGTGAAATATCAATTTCGGAACGTTTTAACAATATGCGTGATAACAAATTGACGCTAAATAATAAACTTTTACAAAAATACGACTTGTAAAAAATCGATCTACTTAGAAAAGTAAAAACCCTTTCATTTCAGGATTAGTTTATTAGTTTTTCTGGGCAGGTTATAGTTATGTACTTCAGTAACTGAATAATTTTTCTATACGTTAAAAAGTACGAAACACTACATAAATCAACCTAGACATTCTTACACCAAGAATGATATACAGAATCTGTAGTAGCATGGTTGCTTTTCAGTTGAACATATCGACTTTCCAGTTGACCAGATACAAGAGAAATAAATCATAAAAGTAGATGTGCTGATAATAATCCAACGACAAAGATCAGCAGTTTTACAAGGCACATAAGTAATAGATCGGTTTTTCAAGTCAGAGTCAGAGGACAATGTGAGAAAATACAAACCTAGAGATCATGCAACAAAGTAACTTTCACCAAAAGTTGATTGGACACACGGCACGGCCAATTAGTCCCAAAAAATGACAGCACATTTTTTCACTCACTCGTAATGCTCATAAGGCTGGACTGCATCCCCTTCTTTCCCCCACCACTCTCGTGGCCATTACAATTATTTCTCCCAATTTTTAGGACATGACATTGACTCAGACAAACGCAAATTATACAAATTGCACAACGTTAATGAATGCAACTCATTAATAACTGAGCCTAAAAATAACTTTTATATTATTGATTCTTTTGTACAAATTGTAATGGGTTCATTGCATAACACAGACTCAAACTATTTAGTGTGAAAAATGCAATCGTCAAATGGATTTTTGTGGCACAAAACCTTCCTTTACATCCATGCACAAAACCCATGATAAATCATGAATATAACCCATGCAGCCATGCCTCTGCACTCAATAAGTAGAAGATTTAATTTTATATCAAATATTTTGCAATTTTTATTATGGATCATTAGCATATTCGTAAAATATAAACCTTCAAACAACAAAAAAAAACAAATTGTCAATTGTAGCAAAATAATTTAAATCATAAGCACGATCAACCTAAAAAAAACCTTATATTTTATAAATGCTGACAATTTGACATATATAAATCTTTATTTGTATAAAATTTCTTTTCTAAATGTTTTACTGCTTGATCCAAGTCGATTCTTAAAGATAACTTCGAAATTTCAAAAATGTCATGAAAAATTGAAAACTTAAATGCAAATTAATTTGGGGCAACAAGTTCCAGCGGGCTGTGGAGGTTTTTTGTCCGGAGAGCAGACCGACCACGCTGCTTGTGCTTTACACGCTTTTACACACTACACGCTGCCAGACTCTTCCACTCGCACTTACGACTTGTTCTTCTCCGCATCCATTGCTCCACACGTTGTCGGATTTTTTTAAATTTCTTTAAATAAAAGCAAGAGACTTATCACAATGGGAGTTAAGCCAGGAAAGAAGTCCTTCGGGGGAATACATCTGTTGGGGGTGCCTCCGTTACTCCAAAAACTCCAGATAACAAGAGAAAGGTAAGCATTTCATTTTAATATTTTTTAAATAATGCATTTAAATTGAGAAGAGAAGTCTTGAATGTGAAAATTACCATACATTATGTCACTCACATAAACTCGTCAGAATTTTAACGACGTTTGGAGCAATTCACTTACCTTGATTTTTTACGTGTCTAAGCAGTCACTTCCCAAACCTGCCCCGACCACTCCCATCGCTACAAACAAGAAGCCGGCTCCAGCCCCTGCAAACCCAAGCCCGAAGAAGGAAAAGGTTGCTTCACCAGAAAAGAAGCCGGTTTTGAAGCAGGGAGGCATTAGCGCCCAGTTGGCCAAAGTGAGCGACAAGAGTAAGTCAATTAACAAGTCCAACAAGAAGAACAGAAATAAGCAAAATCGGAACAAGAAGGATAAGGCACAGGGAGGCGGACCAGGTGGTCAACCTAAATCCAATCAGCAAGGGAAGCAGGCAGTGGGCAAAGTCAGCAAGAAAAATCGTCGTCAACGACTTCAAGCTGTAAGTGTGCTAAATTATATGGCAAGTCATTGTCAACCAACAAGTTTGAGAATACTAATATGTTGACAAATGTGTTTTTTGTTAGAAAATGTCTGCCAAGGCCCGCTCTCCCTTGTCCCAGGCTCGTGCGTTTAAGGCGGAACAGGAAATGAACAAGACTTCCAGCAGAATTTTGCTGGTTAAACTTCCTGACCAAGCCGTTACTAATGACATGGTGAAATCTTGGAGTCCAAGCATTGAGAATGCCATGTTCCCAAAGTCGATTGAACCTAGATCTTTCCTCCTCGTCATGAAACCGGATGCTAATATCAAAAAAGAGATTGATACTTTAAAGAAAATTAGTTTTGGAAATGGAAAGTTGTCTGTAGAAGAGAGAAAACAGACTGAGTTTGAAGGTAATTAGACTGCAATTTTGCGTATTTTTTATTTAGTTTTTCTAGAACATGTATCTTATACTAAACTCTTCATCTTGTGAACTTAGGAAAGAAAGCCACCGAGGGGCTGACAGCAACGGATTTTATTGATCCATACACTCTGTATCTTACAAATTTGGATGAGGCTGCAACCCGAGGGGACTTGCAAGAACTCTTCCCTTCCGCCAAGACTGTCATGAATCCTAGAAAACACAATCCCCGAGTCACTGGAGCCGGTACTGCGACGAAATTTGCTTTTGTTGGTTTCGATACGGCTGATGCTGCTCTGGAAGGATTTAAAATGTGCTTCAACCGAAAGTTTGTCAATGATAAATTCATTGTTGTTCGATTCCGTCGAGTTGGAAAGAGTGAAGTCAGCGCTGTGAAGAGTGAAGGAGACAAGAAACCTGTCGTCGCAACTGAAGGTGCTGGTAAAAGGAAAGCTGAGGAATCATCTCCAATTAAGGGCCAACCTTTGAAAAAAGAAGATGCCAGCGCCAAGAAGAGCAAATTGATTAAGGTTGAGCCTAAGGATGAGGATGACGAAGATGAAGATGACGATGACGACGAAGATGAAGAAGATGATGATGATGACGACAATGACATGGATGCGGTAAGTAAAATCGTTTATTTATACTAACAACTGCTTGAAATTGTGTGGATTTTCCTTGCGACGAGAGTAACGTGTTATTTTATTATTAATATTTTGTAATTATTTTGTAGCTCCAAGCCGGCGTTGGTGATGATGACAGTGAAGACGACGACGACGACGGACTGGACGATGATGATGATGAAGACGACGACGATGATGATGACGATGAAGACGACGACTAGAGATAGGGTTTCGACAATTACATAACATCATGCGCTAAGATTTGATAAAAATAGATGTCCTCGCGTTGTTTTACAATTATGCTTTTTTCTATTTTCTCTGCTGTTGTTTTGTTATAAGGTTAGAATTTCAATTTTAAATCATGATGTACGAATCAATAAAATGCCACGAGTTATAACTATAACACAAATACATTTATTCATTTTAAACATAAATCGAGGTATTTATTTTCTGCAACATTACATCGAGACGTTTTAGAAATTAATTCAACAAAAATTAAATATCCATCGGCATACTTAATGGCTTAGGATCAGCCCTCAATTTTAGCTCCCTCAAACTGTCAATTCGCATGTTAATAGTGTTATTCACGTTCGCACCCACTGTCGAGGCCATCTGGAAGAATACAAACATTCAGGCGCCTTGTCACTTTAATCAAGCAATTAATTACACTCACTGCTGTAGCAGCTTGAATGGACTTGACTTGATAGCATCCTCTGCCTAACTTATCAATGGACGTGACACAGCCGTCTGGCGTCACTCCAAACGCTAACTTTCCCTTTGAACAAGATTCTTCTTCCAAGGACGCATCCACCACGAAATACCTCCCAACTCTGGGCAACGTGACCACAACTGGAGAGTTTTTTACGTCGAGGTAGTCAAATTCAAATTCGTCAGTTGAGAAAACGGGGACTCCTTGACCCAAATCGTACCTGAGTCCAGTCACTCGTGGAAGCTCGCAAATTCCCAGGCACAATTTTACAGCCATGGATATCACATCGATAAGATTCCCACCACACTGTAACACCTGTATAACAGACACTTTTGATATTATATAATTCAAAATCCAAGAACACCTCTTCTTGTTTTGCACCAGCTTTACAGTTACCAATATGTCCACATCAATCACATAGCAATACTTTTTTGGCGTGATACATAGATTTTTTAGATCAATCGTTCCTGACTTATCATATGCGATGGATAATATTCTGCAAATCTTTTCAGCCAGCTCGTCCCCACCTCTTCCTTCGAAATCTGGAGATGCAGTTGGTGAGCTGCAAAAATTAAACAATCATATATATGTATAAGCAATTTGTAGGATATAATTTACATAGTTGTCATGATGTGTTAGTACCAGTCGACAAGGAACTTTATCGTTCCTCGGTCCGGTCTATCAGGGTCGGGGGTGCCGAGATCCACTTTCGTGGCAACGATGACATCCGTCTCCCCCAGTCGAGCTCGAATTGATCCATGTGAATTGGTCACAGCGTTCAGATCTATGTCCCCCTGCCGATAGTCTGATCGAGACCTGCCATCCACGCGGACGTCTTGCTGCAACACATTAAACGACAATAGGTCATTCACCGTCAACAAACATTTACTACCAAATACTAGATAATTAATACTAGAGTGGAATTAAAGACTTGCCCCCACGCCCATCACAAGGTAGTACTTTTCAACTTCACTTAAAAGAATTTCGGCCATTGTTTGTTCTTATCTTGTAAAGATTTGATAAATATCTTACTCAGTTCATAGTTTGTTTGTTTTTTTTAATTTTATAATAATTATAATTATTTCCAACTTCTCGCCACGCACATTGCTAAACCCGCTTCGTTTTGCAAGTTGCAACAGGGTATGAAAAATCCTGAGTTTGAGATTTGAGAATTTGAGATCTAAAATGTATGTAATAATGCTCTTGCATAACTTTTAAGTAATGATAATGATAGTGTCCAGTCAGGATTATTATGATGTTTTTAGCCCGAGTCAGGGCTTATGGAACCATCATGTCCGTCCGTCCGTCCGTCTTACGATAACTCTCGTTAAACTCATCCTATCGACTTGAAATTTGGTACACATGTAGTATGGGGCAAATGAGGAGTTAAGTTCGAAGATGGGCGAAATCGGTCAAGTGGTTGACCAGTGGGGGTCATATAGGTGGGTGGGGTATTATGCATCAAAATTTCAAAATTGTCGTAGAAGGCAGAAATTTGGTATAGAGGTTGCCGATGGTGTCTAATGAAAGAATATAAAGTAAAATTGTAAAAATTTTCATCTGGAAGGACCCTAGGGGGTGACCCATACCGATTTTTAAAACTCATCCAATCAAGCTGAAATTTGGTGTGGGGATTGCTAATGGTGTCTAATGAAAGAATATGAATTCAAGTTGGAAAAACTGTCATGTTGAGGGACCCGAGGGGCTGACCCATACTGATTTGTCAAAATCGTCATATCGAGTTGAAATTTGGTAGAAAGGTTGCGTATGGGTTTTAAGGAACAACGTGAAATGAAATTGGTCAAATTTTTATCTGGAGGGACCCGAGGGGGTAACCCATACCGATTTTTGAAAATCATCTAATCGAGCTGAAATTTGCCATTGACGTTTCTAATAGCTCCTAACGAATAATATGAAGTGAAATTAGAAAAAAAATTATGTGGAGCGATCCTAGGGGGTGGCCCATACCGATGTTTATAAATTGTCTTAAAAAGATTAAATTCGGTACGGTGATACTTAATGGTTTCGTCTGGAAGTATATGAAGTTATAAGCGAACAAAGTGGAACCAGAGTAGCCTAGAGGGTGACCCATACCGTTTCTAAAAGTATTTTAAAAGTTGGTTGTTGGTAGCTGGTATTCGGGAAATTGGTCATACTTGTGTACTCAAGTGAAAGTGGAATGTCATAACGACCGAATTACTATTTTTAAGTACCCAGTAGGGTCACCCACCCTGGTTTGGAAAACGGGCGTAGACGACTAAAAGTTGGCGTGATCCTGGAGGGTTAGATCAGCTTAATAAATGTGAAGTAAATTTTAAGATTTTTTTGCCAGGAGGGTTTTTGGAATTGGTTAAAGAAGCTGCAATTTTGCATGCTCGATTATGGGAACATTTGACGATTGCGAAATAGTAGTCGGTACCGGTCACTTGACAAACATTTAGAAGTGGACTCTATCCCTGACTCGGGCTATATAAACACTGCACACTGTAGGTTTTAATTTATATAGTTAGAACCAACAAGGGATTAATCGGTTTCATACGTTTATTTAAATTCAGAGTGCAAAGTTCGAATGACTTGACAATCAACAATTATCCGATTGTACGGTACAATTTAGCATTTTTGGAATGTAGCAAGACATTGCATTAGCTTGGAAGCAGAATATAGTATGTTTGAATACGAAGGTTACATTATTAAGGGTATTCACAATCACTTAATCAGATTGCGAATAATATCAAATTACTTTGTAGCATTATTACTTCAAATACAAGGCACAAATAATCTTCAAAATATTAATGTCATCAACTACGGAAGTACAGAATGATTTCTACATACATAATTTCACACAAAACATGACAAGATTTTATAAAGCTATTAAACTATATTTCATTTTGTTCTTGAGCAATGAGCAAAGCAATATTTTTGCCTGAGATCAAGCTCATTTCCATTGCACTAGCAGCCCATTCAATGGCATTCAAGTAGAAAAGTCGTGGAGCTAAAATAAAGTTGGGAATTTTTGGTGGAATAGCATTGTATTCTGGATAAGCCAACCAATCATGGACTTCGACATGGTGACGTTCCTCAAATATCGAGTCCAATTGTTTTTCAGTTAGTGGCTTTGGACTAAAAATCTTGTAGACTGGGTATTTTTCAGCGACGAGTAGAATAGTGGGGTGAATAAGGGAAATTGAATTGTACCAATTTGGGACGCAGGATATGATGGAGGAACGAAACTTGTATTTGTCATTAGTCCATCCAGCAACAAGTGTGGCAACTGTTCGATGGTATTTGCGAGATGCTGGATAATCATAAGGTGGGGATGTAAAACCTGTAAAGGTTAATTTCTCTGAAGCGTCCAAAGGAATTGCGAGAACAATGTGGTCAAAAACTCCCAGTTCTCGCTTTCCATTAAAGAGGAGGAAAGTCCCATCACTTAATCGTTGAATTTCTGTCACTCCCGTGTTCAGATGCACTTTAGCTTTAGAATCTTCAGCAAGCTTTTCTGGAATTTGCTTATTTCCTTTATTCACACTCCATAATGAAGACGCTGCTCCGGCAGCTGCTACACTTCCTAAAATAAATAAATTACACTATATGTAATTATTGTATTGCATGCAGCTGCAGGTATATCCCAAACTAAGGTACTCCTTACCAACGAAAGAATGAATACTCAAATCTTGGCCATAATTTACAAAAGTTATTGCCTGAATCATTTCTTCAATGAAATTTTCAGATAGTCCCTGTTCTTGTAGAATTCCCTTGAACTCATATTTTGTCAAGTTGAGTAACATTGGATCCATTGCTTCCAACATTTCTTCGGTTGTCCTGAATGTTTTTCCGTCCTTTTGGAAGTCATAAATTCTACCACAAACAATTTACGAATAAATAAACTAAACATGAAGTAAAATACTGTATCTAAAGTAAAGATTACCAACCGGCTAAATTTTTCAATAAAACCTGAAATTGTTGCTTCCAGATAATTAAAATTCAGCCCATATCGAGCCAACGTCTTAATAATTGTAATGATGGTCCATTTGCTGGTATTAAAGATGAATTCGCCATCCTTAGTTATTGACAAAGCCTCTCCAGTGGGACTTCTTGGTTCTAATCCTAAATTACAAAGAAATCAATTAGGTTTAAATGCTTGTTTTATTGATGTATCACTTGTGTCGGATATCAATTTGATATGCAAAGACCACTCACTCACCAAATTTGTTAGCCAAGTCCACTGCGTATTTGTTTTTGGGGTGAATTATGCTGCCACCAGTTTCGTATCCATTCCCAAGGATCTATAGGTGTTATCATTTGATTACAACTACCATTTATATTTACCACCCTTTGAAATTAATTACCATTGACACGTTTAAACGTCCTCCAAGCAAGCCTGTTTTTTCAAAGATATCAACACGGGCATTTGGTAGCAGTTCATGTATAAAATACGCAACGGATGCTAAGGAGAGAAACAATCAATTAATAATTAATTATTGATACATAATTATTATGTATCAAGTTGATACTATCAAGAAATTTCAAATTTGTATATTTAAAAAATTACCTCCTCCAATTCCACCACCAATAATACCTGATATTGATAAATGACAAAAAGTGAATTCACCGAGGAAATTGAAAAATTCTGGATGATTTGGAATTCTATACTCAAAGAAGAAAACTCACCAATCTTTGGCGTTGTCTTCCCTGCAAATGTGAGTCCCAGATAGGTTACAGATAACAAAATACAAATCAACCAAATTTTGAACCTCATTTCGAAATTAGTTAAGGACTAATTAATGCAAATATTTATTCGTGGATGTCAAATTTGACGAATCACCATTATTTTAGGTGTTCCAGGGAAAATGGAATTCAATCAAGTGCCGCTGATGGGAATAAACTTTGTTCAAAGTTCATTCCGGTGGTTCCATTCTGCCCCTCACGCTTGACAGTCATGAAATACATGCGAAATGCAACAACAAATTTTGTATAGATTTTTCCAGTCTCATAAATTATTCTCATATTTTTGTGTATATCTCGTGGTGCATCAGATTCCTAAATTATACAGCACCATGTTGATAATCATGAAATTCATATATTGAATAGCCAACAGGTATAGAATCCGACTCACTGCAGTAATTTTCGACTCATAAATTTTACAGAGTATAGTTCAGGTTATCAAAATGAGGTTGGTCTCCATCATTAGTGGGTCAACTAGCTCTGAAAAACTGAAATTTCATGTTTCCGCTATAATTTTGATTTAGTTTTCAATTATCTATCAGTTGAACTAATCTATGACGTTGGGTTATACTTACTAGTACACTGCGGTTTTGACCGGACCAACTTTAATTGAAAAATAACTAACAATGCGATGGTGTGAAGTGTAACCCTCCGATTTGGCTGAAATTTTGAAATTAGGTGGTCCAAGTCAATACAACCAACGTTTCTTCAGCCAGTTTGTGCGATGGTTGGAGTTACTCAAAATATTTGAGGTCAAAGTTGAAAAAACGGTCGACTTTTTTGGGGCGCAGGGAGAAAACTCCACTTCCATTCTCTTCCCCTCTCATTGATTTTCACTCCGAAAAATAATCCATTTCACCAATTTTAAATTTAATTTATTATAGAAAAATATTATTCATTGCACATGGGCCTTGGTCTTTGTTTTCAAATGAATTGGAAATCAGAATAACGAACGCTTTCGAAATGGAAAGTAAGTTAAGTTTTTCCATGTTTATTTGCCGTTGATGAATTTATAAATTAATGTTTGTATGAATTTTTAATGCAAAGAAGTAAAAATCTCACGTATTCAGTTATGAATTAAATTAAGCGAGCATGAGGCGTGTTAATTCTTATTTAAGCCGGAATTAATAATGTTTTATTTTGATTATTTTGCATCACTTCTTATGCTTATGTATAAAGGCGTATGTGTGAGTGAGAAACCTGAATAAAATCAATGCGAGGGGAATAGAATGGAAGTGGAGTTTTCTCCCTGCGCCTGAAAAAAGTCGGCCGTTTTTTCAACTTTGACCTCAAATATTTTGAGTAACTCCAACCATCGCACAAACTGGCTGAAGAAACGTTAGTTGTATTGACTTGGACCACCTAATTTCAAAATTTCAGCCAACTCGGAGGGTTACACTTCACACCATCGCATTGTAAGTAATATCTAAACTTAGAAACATTTTTTATATAATTATAATCAATTTTATAAAAATAAAAACTAATAAAGTATGTAGATTGGTCTGGGTGGATTTCGCTTGTGTTATTTTAAGCTAAAATCGATGCCAAAAATAATTATGCAATGTGGATAGTCTTTAGATAATATATTATATAAAAATTAAAATAAATTACCTATAACCTAACCTGTCGTGCATACTTGATATTGCCCGAGCCAGACATTTTCTTTGTTTTGCTCAATTTATGACGAAAGCATTTCTAGATTTACTACAGAAATAGTGAATTATATAATTCCAATTATTTAATTCCATAAATAATGCATATGAATTATTTTATGTACATGAAATGCATCTTCAGCTTATAAACAAACCAATACCGTGCAAAATTGTAATTATATTTAATATAAATTAAACATTTAAATAAACTTCTAGAATTAGCGAATCTACACTAAGTGTTACAAATTGTAAATATACTTCCAACTATATAATAGTCACAGAATTCATTCAATGCATTCAGTTAGAAGCTCAATATTTTTGGAATCGTCGATAGAGTTTCATAAAGAATTAGAATCATGTCCCCCGCATAACTATTTTGGAGTGATATTTTTCACTATCCGAGCTACTCTGAAAATCAAAATATTTCATGAACTTTAATAGAATATTGACACTACATACATAATTCATATGAATTACTTTCAAATTGTAAAAGGACTGAATTATGTAATTAAAACTGAAAAACGATGATAATGTGTTTACCTGGTTTTTGGGAATTTCTAATTTTGCAATATGCCGGTTGAAAAGTGTGTAATTTATTCCTTTTGCATTTTTATTCAGTCACTTTTTTAAATATTAAATTCGCAGATGTCAATAACATGAATATTTATTTAAGAGAAATCTCAAATTTGAATTTCCAGCCACCGCAAAGTCGTCCTTAAAGTTGGCCGTAAAGTCGCAACCAAAATTTTACGCACCACGTAAACGCTAACGCTAACGCTAAAAATTAACGTTTACGTTAGCGTTTACGGCGAGACCGTAAGGTCGCAATCTGCCTATTATCAAACAAGTACATACATATGGGCTAGATTTAAGAATTTATATCCGCCTTTGTAAGCTAGATATCAGATATCTAATAAGTACCTCAGGTTTTTGTTAATAAATGAGTTCGCTGATCGATTTCATTTTTGATTCCTACTGTCAACTGGGTCGTAAAGATATGGTTTAGAGCCATTCCAAAATCTTATAACCATCAATTCTAAAGTATTCCAAATAACGTCCAGTATTTTATTACTCACATATTTATTCTGTTTTTTAAACTGCATGCCTTATCAAATTGGATCCTCGTATTAAAATTCAATCAATTGTTGAAATTACTTTTTTGACGACTGACATTTCGACATTTGGTAAACATTTAACATTTCTGACATCAGTACGAACTACAAACCACAATAGCACACATATTTACATGCATGCATGCCTACAAAGTACGTATGTAGATAGTAGATATACATACACATGAGGTTATTTTGTTATTGCCATTCAATTTGAATGCATCGAATAAAAATGTCGGGCACGCAGCTTATCAAAAACTTAAAGGAGGGTTCAAAAGTTCCTCTCCCCAAAAGCCTCCTATCTCCAATTACCTTTGCAAATATTGTGTTTTCAATAAAATGGGGTAGATTTTGGGGCGGAATACCGTTCGAGTATGATTATTCGAAACATCGCTTGATCATTACAGAAAAGTCAACTAGTTTCTGGACGGCGAGTGTGACAATTCAAACAATAAATACTGCATATTACATTGGGGTGACGATTTTTACCCTACTCAATATTAGCAATAAATTGACTAACAAAAGCAACATGTTTGATATTGCTTTTGGATTTATTGTAACAATGGTAAGCGCTATTTTGCTAATGGTGGACATAAGCTTCGGATACGTTAACAGGGCGACATTTTGTTCGTTCGTCAATACTTCGTTGGACTATTACATATACTTAAAAGGTAATTTATAAATAACTTAAGGTGTGTCGTAATTTTAAATAAAAAAATAATAATTTGCATGTTAGAAACTTACGCAAATCAATTGGGCGCAAAATGGAGAAATGGTTGTGAGGAAATTCTGCTAGCTTTACGAGCTGTAATGTTCATCATGCCTTTTTTACTAACTATCCAATATTTCCAACATCCTGAGCGACCCATTTATACTGTGTCACTTCTGCCACCATCGGATTCGCTATTTTACACATTTTTTGCTCACATCGGATATGGAATTTTTCTGTTTCTACTTCAAATTTCATCAGCTTCGACAATATTGGGATTTATTTCCCCTACTCTGGGCATAATATTTTGTTTCATGTCCATTATCGAGGAAATGAAGTGAGCAAACATGTAGTAACTGATTAAATATTTGAATAATGAATTCGAAAATTGATTTGATTTGGTTACATTTAATTTAGGGCTGGGAGAAAGGTTTATCGCATGAAGCCTGGATTTCGTAAACCTGAAAATCTTCGCATTCTGGTTCGAATTATGCAACTTTTGAGTACTCAAATAAATGTGATTTCGAGACAAGTGATCATGGCCGAGCAAACCCTGATTACATACACTGGAACCATATGCATCTTTTCTGCAATCCGTTTTTGGGGTCAATTGAGTATCAGTGCCACAAGCGTCTTAATACTCACGGCGATAAGTGCCGTCGGATTATGGACGATGGTCATCACTGTTTCTGCCCACACTTATACTAATACCGAAAAAGCGCTCAATACGTGGCGAAATTATACCAATTGGTCAGCATTTGAGAAACTGCAGATGAAAAAGTTTAGAAAGTCAGTGAGACCTATTCAATTAGAATTTGGAGGATTTTATTATATTCGACCAAAGAAAATATTGACTTTTTGTAATACAATGGTTTGGTTGGTTGTACGATGTTTACTCACAATTTCTGATACACATAACAATCATGGAATTAATTAATTATTGAATAAATATGCTAAAATGAAATAAAAGCTTGATCTGACTTGTGCTTTGTAGAATTTTGACCACTTTTATACTTCACCTAATTCCATAATATTGCAATAACGAAAATCTCAAGGTGACGGTTTGTTCAACACAAACTTTTCATTCTATAACGTAGCCCCCTTATGCATGACCTGAATTTAGTACAAGCTCAAAACTTAATCAAATTTAGATTTAGGAATCGCATCACCGAAGATATATATCAGCAGCCCAAAAAGTATAATATCGTTGTTGACAATAAATGTATGCAATACACACGTCTCACTTTCATTATCATCAAAAAAATATATATAGATAACAATCTTTTTAGATTACAAATTTCTCTTTTGTTCATTAGTGTACATAATATCATGGACACCTTCGTCATGAGTACAGTCAGGTCAGAAGTGTGTTACAATTCCTTCAAGCAACCGTTTATTTTTCGTAAAAATACAACGGTATGGAAAAGAGAACGCAAAAGTCTCATCTCATCCATCAATCACCCAATCTCAACTTTTTGCTTCATTTCTCATCCATCTCAGATTCGTCTTGATGCTCGCTTGCTTTCACCCAACTCCACATTCTACAGCAGCATACACAACACAAACCTCTCAACTTTTTCTCACTTTTCCGTGTACTTTCACCTTTTCACCCACTTGATCCACAACAAGGAGGAGAAAGTCGGGCCTTGTGGAAGGAAGTGAAAGTGAATGTGGAAGGAAACATTGGAGAATAGTGGATGGAATTGGGAGTGTTTTTGGGGCGTTGTGTGACTCGCTGGGACCGACCCACCCAGCCCAACTGATTTCTCACTCGTATTCACATCATCCTTCTTTTTTATCACGTCTTCAAGTCATTACAGTTATTATTAAACCAGTCAAAAATCTCAATTTAATTAGTATTACTAGTATTATAACATTGTCGTGTCTGCATGTAAATCTATATTGAACACAATCACCCTTCCTATCGTCCGTAATTCTATTAGGCTTTAAAAGTTCAAAAAAGTTATTGTTATTATTAACTATTCGACTTAATACGCTTTATTATTAAAGCTTTTAAACTAGGTTATATATTTACTGTAGGTTATCAAGAAAATAGTGTAACGGGTCAAAATGTCAGTTATTTTGCCAACGCCTTCCCAGGTATGCTTATTTTTAATTTAGGTTAAAACTGTGCGTGAAAGGAGGCGTTTTCTAAATACAAAGTTGTGATATTAAAACATTAACCATTTTTTAGATTGCTGGAAAGTATTACCAATATTATGAAGCTTATTACAATCAAGTAACAAAGAATCCCGATGGTTCAATAGCTGCGATGGAGGGAGCAAAGTTTTTAAAACGATCTGGCCTTTCCGATGCAATTCTTAGTAAGGTAAGTAAATAGGTCGCATAACTTAATATCGAATGATTCATACAGTAAAGTTTTGTAGAAAACTTGGCCACATAGGAAAAGTCAGGTTATTTGAAGAATAATGCGTGGATTCTAAAATAAATAAAACATATTTGCAGATCTGGGACATGTCCGACCCTCAAGGAAAAGGACATCTTGACAAATCGGGTCTTTTTATGGCGATAAAACTGATAACACTTGCACAAACAGGAAAGGATGTAACAATGTCCAATGCCATCCAAAATTACGACGATCTTCCAGAAATTAGTGGGGATAAACCTATAATTAGACCACCCAGTGTTCCGCCAATGGCACAAAATATGCCACACATGGAAATTGCAGAAGAAATGCTAGCAGCTTATCAAAAAATGTTTCAAACCGTGGCTGAACCCGGTCCAGCTGGTCAGCCCATGTGTGTGCCTGGAAATAAGGTATGTTTGCTTATAATGGTGATGATTGCTAATAATATTAGGTTATGGTTAAGATTAAGAAGGTGGATGTATTAAATTTTATTTTTTATTTATAATTTAGGCAAAGACGATGATGTTGGAATCTAAATTGCCAATTGAAGCCCTTGGTAAGATTAAATTGTATGAATTCAATTGTTGTTAAAAATTTTTAGATATGATTTGGGAAAATGATAAAATTTAGGGAAAATTTGGGATATGGCGGACACTGATAAGGATGGTGCGCTGGATGAGCCAGAATTCATAATTGCTCTTCACTTGGTGCAAACGATGAAACGAGGAGCACCGATCCCCTCAGTGTTGCCTCCAGATTTTATCAATACGGTTCGAAGGGGGATGAAATCCCCTGGACCTCCGAGGAAACCTTCTCTAGTCGCTGATGACTTGGTTTCTCCTCCTCCTCAACAACAACCACCACCTATTTCATCACCCCCCATGGTTGCCCCCGTTGCTACTGTTCCACCAATTCATCCCCCCATGCCCACACAAACTCCTTCAGTTGTCCCAATGCCCGTAATGTCACCACCCGTTGCTGCTCCTCCACCCACTCATGTTCCCAGTATGCCTATTCTTGATGGTTGGGTCGTAAGGTACTTAGAACATTTTAATTATACAAATATCCAAGTGGTTGATTATTTAAATGTTATTATCCCATTTGCAGTCAAGAAGAAAGAATCAAGTATGGAAATCTATTCCTCCAGACGGACAAGGATCACGACGGGTTCATCTCGGGCGTTGAGATTAAGGACGTATTTCTGCAATCTGGTATACCACAGCCAATACTAGGTAAGAAAATTTGGAGTAGTGAAAACAATGTTAACGTATTTCCTCTTTCCCTTACTAATGGTAGTACCTCATTGATAATTTATATAATTTTTAGCTCATATATGGAACTTGTGCGACGACCAGCAACAAGGAAAGCTCTCTCGAGATCAATTTATACTTGCAATGTGGTTAATACATCGGAAAATTGCACAAAACATTGATCCACCTCAAACACTCGCTCCAGAAATGCAAATTCCGACTCTCAAGGAAGGGGAAGAAATTAATCCGGAATTTGAGCTAATTTTAAAGTAGGTTTGAATACTCTCAATTCCCAAAATAAGATATGATGAAACCAAGATATAAACTGTATCTTTAAATATTCCAGATCGATAATGGAATATAGTAATGAAAAGAACACACTCGAGTGTGAAATTCTGAGTAAAGAAAGTGAGAAGAAGATCAAGACGGGTGAACTAAAGGTGAAGGAGAATTTCACTTGCAAATATTTTGTCGCTAAAAGATCATGTCTTAATTCTTAATAACTTTTTGCTTTAATATTAATTTTCAGAGTTTGCAATCAGAATTCGACACGCTAGCAGCTACTTTGAAGCAGTTAGAAAATCAAAAAAATATTGCAAAAACCAAGCTGGCCGATTTAGAAACTCAAGTTACAACGCTTCGAAGTCAAGCAGAGGATCAAGAATCTACTCTCGTAGAACAAGAGACAGAATTGGGACAAAAACGAACCGAACTTTGTTCCATTGACACGGAAATAGGTTTGAACATTTTTTTATTCAAAGCTTTATTTTAATTCAATAACAATTGCAACTCAATTTTAATAATGGATTTTAGAGGACAATGAAAAAGAACAAAAGGACATTGCAAATAGAATGGAAAAGCTTACTGAAATTAAACAACAAACGCAGCTTAAAATATCAAAAATTCGTACACAAACTACAGACCTGCATGAAATGGAGAATACAATGAAGTCGTGTTTAATCAAATACGATGACTGCATCGATAATAATAACTATCTTGCCGGAGTTACAGAAGTAGATTTACGAGACTTGGGACTGGAATTTGATGAAATTTGCGAAATTTTTAATCACGAAATTAGAACCCCTATTGCAAAAGAAGCACCTCCAGCGTTTGAAGAACACTTTGAAGAAAAGACTGGCGTGTTTGATAACCAATTTCAAGGAAATTTTGATGCTTCCCCATTTGAACCAAAATTTGAAGAAACCCAGGCGTATAACGTAGGCACACATATCGAAAATACCATTGAAAATGTTTGACCGACCTATAATTATTGTGATTATGATTTTTTTCAGGATGACCCATTTGCTGCGTTAAGGCCGGAAACGGCACCTTCTTGGCCAGCAAACAAACCTCACACTCTTCATGACCCTTTCGCTCCTACAGCCGCAAAGAGCCCTGGTCCTGGGCTCGAGAGAGACCCCTTCGGTTCTGAACCTTTCAGTGCCGGTAACGCACCTGGGCCAAACCTTCCGCCTAAGAAACCTCCCCCTCCAAGACCAGCACCTCCAAAAGCAGCTCCAGCTAGGCCTCCGCCTCCTAAGGCCGCTCCATCGCCAGGTAGTAGAAATATAATAAAGTTTTGTCGTTATATAATTTGTCATAAATAAATTCTATTTACAATCATGTTTTGTTCAGCCCCGTCTGCTTCTTCCGATCCGTTTGGAGGAGGAGATAGTAATTTTGCAGACTTTGCTAACTTTGATAGTGCAGGGGTAAGATTTTTATATAAGATAGACATGAATCTATGTATGACATTTACTAAAACTCGTAACATATTTTTCGCTTGATATTTTAGTTTAATTAATTTTTCAACTTAGTAGTTTCCTCGATTATTTACTCTCTGAATGCGTGTGCATATCCTCTATGTTTATCCCACTTTTAATATTATTTAACCATTTTTCTTTATTTATTTTTGTTGCAACTTTCGTATGTCATATTTTTGTAGTTTTCATCCTCTTCATCATCATCACCTTGGACAAGTAGTAGTTTTGGTAATAGCAAAAGCAGGAGCAAAAGCCAGAATCAACATCAATCTCCGTGGGGCGACAACTTTCCGACATCCTTTTCGACATCAACTCTTCCTACCATGTCGAGCGTTAATAATACGAGTAACAGCAACAACAGCAATAGGACAAGTAACAGTAATCGCGGCCAGAATGGAAAATCGAAATCTCATAATAAGACCCACAATCTCTCTTCCAGAAGTACAAGCAATTTAGACTTCACAGAAGATCCCTTCAAAAACTACCGGTATGAAGACCCCTTCGCCCTCGGAGGCGACCCATTTCTTAACAACAATGGTAATAATAATAATAGAAATAATAATAGAAACTTTAATAACAACAACTTTGACCCATTCAAGTAGCCTAACAATGAATCGTAGTGTCTTTTTACTGCTGCTACATAATCTATACAGACAAGTCTATGACATTTCGTGCATAATATAAAATATTAAAATATCAAATTGTATTTATTGTCCAAATATATTATGTACTGGAAATTATCATGATTATCTTGTCAATTATTCCTTGAAACATAAGCTATAAATATTACTACTTGTAAGTAACTGACTGTTTTGCTTATTTGTTACTTTTCAAATGAAACAATAGCTTCGAAAAACGAGAATTTGTACAATAGTTAAGTTTAATTAAGAATAAGACAAAACTCCTGAATTATATTATGCATCTACACTGATAATTTTAAAATGCAGGGCAGAATAATAATAACTATATAAATCCAGTAAAGAGCGGCGCTAGTAAATAGTTGTGTACTTGAACCAAAAGATATTGAATGTAGGTTATTACGCAAAGCTAAATGTATTATGAATGTGAGCAAATGTTATTCAAAATGATGAGCGTCGTAGATGAGGAGAAGTGAACTTTGCAGCTTTGTAGTACAAGTCGTATGAATTGAATTACTTATAATGAAATTGAACGCGTCTGAATGCAGCACTGACTCATAAATAATAAACCAAAGTAGCTTTACATATTTTTCGAGCAATTTTTTCCCACATGCATTTTTTCCCATTGTTGATTCATCTGTGTAGCTGCGTACAGTAGCTCTAACTGAACTGGATCTTGGCATAGAGATCACTTTCTTTCAATCCTTTTCTATTGTTTGGCTTTACTGCCTATGTACATATGTACATGTGCATGTTCACATGCATATAACCACGCTTCTCTACCCGTTCCGGGCACTTTTGTATTTGAAATCAACATCTGACAGAACAGACGATTTTACAAATTTGTTAAATTTTTGAAATTTTGCTTCTGGAAATTAATTCTCTTAACTCTGCACATTATATTATTTATCTATATACTGCATGGAGCATTACAATAATTTATCTCACAATCTCGAACAGAATTACTCATCATGTCTCCTACAAGGTGAGTATAATTCCATATATGGGAATTATAAATTATAATTTACAATCATGAAAAATAAGCACATGATAATAATAAGTAGTAATAAATAAAACTTATTTTTTCCTTCCAAGGGAGTTCAACAAGCTCAGTCCCATGTTTTATGACGGCATCATCACCAGTTCCATTCTCCGCAATTTCTGGGGAACTATCAATTCCACCCATTTCCCAGGGTGCTGAAGGCACTGCTGTTTCACTGACAAGAAACAAATTCCAAATAAGTAACCAATCCAAAGAGGCAAATTGCAAGTTTAAGTGTCGTCGATGTGCGAAACGATTTCAAACCAAGGGTGGACTGACGCTACATTACAGAGAACATGAGCCAGAATTGTTCTTAATACGGGTGGGTTTGCACTTCATTAGTATGCAAAAATAGAATAAATGTTAATGAGCAAGATTTTAACTTCAATTTCCCAGTGTCCTGATTGCCCATTCTTCACCTACCAAAGGTCCAACTTTTCCAAGCATGCCGCAATCAAGCATAAAAAAGATATAAATGGCTTAACAATCTCTGAAGATGTGCAATGTCCCATCTGCCCCTTCAAATGCTTCACTGACGAACAGCTCAAGTTGCATTTAGCAAGAAAACATACAAGTCCTGAGGATAAGCCTTTCAAGTGCTTGGAATGTAGCTACGCTTCAGTGGAGAAAGCTGCTTTGGAGAAACATGTATCAATTGTTCACAAAAAAGAACGAGAGTACGACTGTAATATTTGTGGATTTAGGTGAGAAATTTAGCATTACCCATAGGCGATTTTTGTGCAAATACATAATTTTCATTCACAGATCGCAAACTTCTAGCGGTCTAGCAAGACATCACCGATCACATTCCGAGGTTAAGCCACATCAGTGCCATTTGTGCGAGGTTAGGCTGGTGTATTACATGCACTGCAATAAGTTGAAGTGGTGTTAAAGAAAAACCCAATATTTAAACTGAATATGATAATATTTTTCCAGAAGAGTTACGCTGACAAGAAACGGCTGAAGGATCACATTTTAAAACATTCAGACATTAAGCAATTTACGTGTTCTCACTGTCCATATGCAACCAATAGGAAGGATAATTTGAAAATGCATCATAAGAGAAATCATATGTCCCCTTGATATTTAAAATTGGTTCATTCAGTTAGACAAGACTCAGTCATTCATAAGTTATACATAAACAATTTAATGAATATATTTGTAAAAATTAAACAAAGCGTGGATTTTTGGCCAACACATGTAAAAACGGATCTATAGAATTATAGTACCCAATCGACATATGTAATAGGTTGATATCTATCTATGTACATTGTTCATCGCCATTCATACTTATGTACATTGATGTTATAGACACATTGAGTAAATCTATTATTTAATGCTGCACATTGTGCTTTAAACATGCATACGAAATGATAAGATACTCATATATCTCTTATCAGTCAGTGTACGCAGTAGCAGATTACCTGTTTTTTCGGGGGTCCTTGTACGGAGAGTCCATGGTTGTATACTTATTATGCTCATGCATATGCATAGGATTTAATTTGTTACAGTTTTCCGACTTGTCACTTCTGGTGAAATTAAATCCTCATAAAAGGATAGCACATTATGAATTGTAGGTCAATGTCTCATATGAAATTTGTCAATCTGAGAATGAGACCGAATACAGCAGCAGGTGCAGGTTCAAAGTTAAATACATACATGCATGTAAGTATATATGCATATGCACATATGTATACATGTGCTTGTAAAATCACACCCGGGTTTTTTATTAGTGCGTAAAATCGAGTAACCTTTGATAATATATCGTCTCGAATTCATTCATCGTCCTAGATTTTACGCTGAATTGTGAGTGTCGGTGGGATCAAGGATGATTGTCTAATGTTTTAGCGACCATTTAGCCTAGAAATGCTAGACTGCTTTATTAGCGCTATACACCATCACACAATTATTTATTTACCTCGAAATCATGCAATTTATAACAAAACACGTAACATAACCTTTTCTGGTGTTTATAAGTTTTAAGGTTGAGGGCGTTTATTTTAAGCTTCGTCTAAATTACATTCCTCGTACATATTAACACAATCTGACATTTCATCTCGTTGAGTTACTCGAAACTTGAGTACTTATTTAGCTGGCTGGACATTCTGCATATACGAAATTACGTGATCACATGATCTTGAAGTTTCTCCAATTGCTAATAAGTATGTAATGCTCAAATGGATGCTCAGATAATTTGACACTTTGAGCACTTTTATTTATTTATTTCTCATAAGAGACGTCGGCTTCTGGCTAAAAGCATTTTTAGAGCAAGCGGATGCTAGTCAAAAGGAAATTCAAGTGAATATAAATAAACAAAATCGAGGGACGACGACGCCAGCCTATCCGGAACGTGAGGGCGTCTGAGTAAAGTTTATGATTATCCTCCTGCTCGAAAAACCAGTTTCAAAACTAAAAGAGAGAACACTGCGAGCTCTGCTAAAATTTAGCCATGCCATGTGCAAGTCAAGATGTTGGATAGAAAATGAAAATTCTTTATTTTGCATCATCATATTTTTGCACACCGCGTGGGAAGACGAGATGACATCCTATGGACAAGTGTTTAACTCTCTAGAGTAATTTTTTTGGCTTTTTATCGGTTCATCTGATGATGCTCTGGGATGATGATGATGTTATCCATGCTGTGGTTAATTCTTGGCGTGGCACGATCAAGGGTGTGAAGATCTTGAACCTCAAGCACTTTATTTTAATCAGAGAAAGTTGCTTTAATATCTGTACCACAATTTGCTAGGAAGAAGGATATACATCGCATCGCACTGCTTCGTCGTTGCAAGGATGTGATTTCATGACAAAGTCGGTGTTATTGAGAAGGTCATCTTATCCATTTGATCTTTTAACCCACCAAAATATAATTTCAAGGCGCACTACACTACGAAGTTAACATTGATTTTGTTTACGTGTAAGATACTAAAACAATTATAACTTCCTAACAGGGTGTCAAATTTAATAAAATATCACACATTCAAACAAAATTGGTAGTCGCATGATTTTACTAAATTAACTTCATTTGTGTGCAGATGCATGAATGTACATATTCAATTAAATGCAAAATATGCATTACAAAGAATTTATTTAGGTTATGCCATCGTTTAGTAACTACGTATGTATTTAGTACATATGTACATGTGTATTCCACAAAGGGAGCTATTATGTAAATGCAAAATATATGTGTGCTATTATTGGTGCCACTAATAGGACAAAACAACAGACGTCTTGTTTGCATACATTGACTGAGGACGAGCTTGGTATGAATCCCAAGTTAAAATTGTACTTTTATTCCGCACAAGACTTACATTCCTGGCAAATTCTTGATCTCTTGGATTTACGAATGTGAAAATACAAATATTTAACGTATTGACGACTAGAAGTACTTACTTGACTGCATTTTTACGTGCATTACACAGTATATGTTAACTGATGTGAGATTTAAAAACACACTATAATAAAATACTTAGGCTACTATTTATCCAAGGCTACTTTATCTCTGTTCCATTATATTTCCCGTCTGAACTCATTGTCCCGGATTAACTCCTGCTCTACTGAAGAGTCACTAACTAGCTTTCTGTGTCCTAGTTTCACCGTTCGTCAGAGGCAGTGCTTTTTCTGTAATAATTAACTAATTAATTACAAAATCCCAATCAATGTTTTATCCTATTTTTTATATGCATAAATACCTCTTTGTGGTGCACTCATAAATACTTTTTCCAACGCTATAAATGGACTTTCAAAAATCATGGACAATCCAAACCCAACTATGAAGCACATAATCAAGTGGGAGAAGAACATGTTGACCTGAAATTAGTAGAAATCGATTAACTATGAATATGCATATTTGTTAATGCAAATCTATTGATCTTCCTCTTACCACCGTATACATGTCAAAGTTCATAGGCTGCCTCAAGCTTAGCTGAAGCATCATTTGAACTGATAATGACGATAAGTAAACACAAAACGTTAATCGTCCCAATGGTATCCACGCTTTCCACGATAGCATATCGTTGATCCACCCCCCATAGCCCTTCACACATGCAAAAATTACCCAACAGATCACCATTCCCCAACAAAATCTACTTAATCCGCCATAAACCCCAGCCGCAACTTGGCTGTCATTATTCTCGGGGTCAAAATAAGGGATAACGCAAAGAATGAGCGCTAGTGAGGTAGCAGTGGACACCAGCCATCCTCCCAAGACAGCCAATCGTGGAAGATGGACGGGTTTCTTCCCAATTTTAAATAAGAGATAGCCCATCCACATGCCAACTAGGTAAGGCCCAATACGGTACCAGGGATGCATGTACACCTATTATGTAATAAACTTAAAGAGTTAGAGTTATGCAAGAGTTATGTTAGAGTTATGCTAGAGTTATGCAATATTGTACACTATGAGAACATTCACTTGACGTACCTCCAGAGCCCGTGGGTTAGGACTTGTTCCCCTTTTAAATCAAGCATAAAAGTAACAGTTAGTTTAATCATCAATTGTCTGTTTAGAATCGATAGGACAAAGTAGCAATTCTCACATTTTCCAAAAAACCTGCGTGGGTGGAAGCCCTTCGGTCCCGATCACAATTCCAGGTGCGAGTATGGAAGCCAGAGACGCTGCTCCAAGAACAATAATTCCTACCATGTTCCATTTCCAGAGGAGGAAAGCAAAGAGTGGTGACAATATAAAGAATTGCATGTCGTTGGCAATGTACCAGGATTCTGCTTCACACTGGGAATTTGATACACACAAATTAAAAAGTTGTGTCATATTACCTCTAATTCGGATATAATTTAATACATGCAATTACCATTGATTCGCCATTAGCGGCGTCATATCTGTACACATTGTTGAAGTAGAGGAGGTTATGCCACCAGTACTTCTGACAAGCTTTGCTTATCCCGTCCGCAGTCAGAGTAAAGAAAGGACCACTTGAAAGATACGGGAAGAGACAAGCTATTACTCCAATGATGAGGGCGTAAGTTGGTGTCAATCTAATGATGCAAATTAAATATTAGTATTTCTTATCGGACAAAACCTGCCGAGTTACCATGCACTAATAAACATGTTCATAAAAGTACCTGAGGTATCGATGCAAGTAAAGCTTTAAAACGTTCAGTTTTCCTTCTAATTTGTCCAATTCTTTCATAATTGAGTAACAGGCGAGAAGACCTTGAGCAATATCAGTGTCAACGTTAATACTGGAATTCAATATGTTAAAAATATATGTAAGTCTCGGAAAATGTTGTAAGTACCGCTCATCGTGAAAAATGTGTCCACTGAAAAATAAGCGTTGAGGATAAAGTAAAAGTGCCAAGGTCGTTGATAAATCTGTAACAACAATCGACCCACAAATTAGAGATTCAAACTTTAACAATTATTTTTGTTTACTTAATTGCTTCCTTACAGTTGTGACATCAATGGTATTCCATGTGGGGCCTTGCATCGTAACGACAAAAATCGTGTGTGACAACACGACCCAACAGGTGCTCATAAAACGAATCCCATGAATGCATCCAAAGCCTCCACCTGCCGAAGTATTCGACCATTTTGCAATATTTGTGGGGAGAGAAAATGCCAGTAGTAACCGAGTTGGCAATTCTACAATAATTCCGAATATTTAAAATAGTCGCGATATAAAATAAAATGCTATGCGTCAGAAACTTAAAAAATCAAACTCACGTTTTCTAATCGTTTGAAACTTATCTGTTTTCGTTTTAACAAAGGCCCCATTAAGAACCACATCAAGAATTGTTCCTGCCAAAATGAAGCACCCCAAAACGGCAAGGACGCCACTATGTTCAAACATAATAACAACAGATTAGCTATTACATATGCACCTGAAAATTGTTAATTCAAGTTTACTCACATCATAACTTTAGCATTAGTGGTCAATGTCCTGTCCTCCTTCAATTGACAAAATGCTACGAAAGGAGATGTATTTGGAAAAAGTTCCATGAAAAGCAGGGTAACAGCCACCTGAAATTGCTCCACGAAACACGTCGAAGGAACACAGTATGCAGAGGAAGGTAAAACCATTACTATAAATAAGTAGGTTTCATTCACGTTAGCAATGATTTCAATTTAGGGCTCTAAAAAATCTAAAATTAGTTTGTAATACGTCAAAAAACCTACCGGCCGTCGGATGAAGCATGTAATACTGCAAATGTGACAATTAAACAATTAATTTTCAAAATATTTTCGAAAGTTTAGTTTATCCTCCTCACCAACAAGTCATCCACGGATCCAGCTTTCCTTGTCGATATTCTATCGTCATTAAAATCACCCTTCGCTTGGCCCCCTTCTTCTGCAGCAAGGCTTCCAGGAATTATATAAGTCCAACAATACTGTCCAGAAAATTTGGCATTTCCTCCCCCTTCTGATGTCCCTCTGTCATCGTCCACTTCGACACCGACGCATTCGTCGTAATCGCCGTACGAATTCACATGTCCTGACAGCATCCCCTCAGGCAGCTTTCCCCAGGAGTCAACCACTGCAAAAATCAAGATATGATTTGCATGCAACTCTCTTAACAGGAATAAATATTGGATAGTTACATACTTTGAATTGCCCAAGTGTTTTTTGGGTCTCTGAGTTGCGTAAGATTTGATATACTTTCAAATACTGTGTTCAACAGAAAAATAAGATGTGTTACACAATCAGCTCCTTCTTCATCGTCTTGAGTCGGATTGAGATGGTTCTTCAGTTTATTAAAAAATTCGACCTTAGAAGACTCGTTTTTTAAAAAATTGGTAAGATATGTAGGAACCAAGGACATTGCAAGGTAATCATTGCTTGGAGAAAATCCTTGACCATTTGAATTCAAAGTTGGTGGTTGTCGAAATCTTGAAATTAAACGTTGTTCATTTTGAATCACACTTTGATCAAAGTCGTTTATTTCGTTATGTTCTGAATTATTCGAAGGTAACCCTGAGTTGAATCCTTCACAAAATGCAATCTGTCCAGCTAATGCAAAGACAACTAATAATAGAACTATTTGTAATTTAATTTCACGTCTTGTGAATGGAGAAAAGCCACAAGTTAGTCTTAATTCCATAATTTTACTGGTACGATTATTGGATCGAAGGCAAGCAGACAAAAATAATGATCTGACCTGAGATTTGTCACCGGGATCAGTTTTATTTAATTTTTTTGTGACGTATTAAATATTGCTTAACAGTAGTTGTTTAATAGTGACAAATTTCATTATCTTAATTGTGTACCTCCATCAGATTGATAACACCTTAACATTGAGCCATGTGTACGGTGTATTGTTATTTTTTGCGATCATTGAACGTATGCACAACATCAGAATGAGTGACTCATGTCGAATTTAACTTATTGGCATCATTTATGTACATGATTTCTGCTCCCGTTCTCTTTGTCTGAAAAATTATTAAAGTCATGCGGGCTGCATTGTAAATTGTAAACAACTGAAACCTTTGTTGTTTTGGAACAATTGTCATACTGCATGTGACAAAAAATTGTCGCGAAGCTCGTGCTGTATTGTTCCAACAGCACGTTGTCCTAGCTATTTTTGTTTTGGGACAGTAAACAGCCAGGTGGAGACAGGTGCTTCGACGAATGCTGTTGACGTAACGAGACAAAAGTCCCAATTTCCTTTACAAGGGAATTAATTGATTAATAGATAGAATTGTATTCTTGCTCATTAATAACATGAAGAGGTCGGCCAGGTACTTTTTTAACTCGAACTTTAACTCGACACCATTGACGGTTAGTCGAGTGGTCGAGTCATCAATGTGTAACATTTGTGATTATATTTGTGAATCATCCACTCGATAAAGTTTCTACGGGTTGCCCGAGCCAGGGCTTATGTACATACATACGCTAGATACGTGTTATGTATGAAACTTGACATATGGCTTCTTCGTCTGTATTGCATAGTGCGCCTAAAGCTTATCTAATTGTCTGAAAATTGTGTACTCGTGGTATGAATGCACGGGTAAATGAGGAATTAGATTCAAAGATAGACATGATCGGTCCAGTGGTTGACCAGTAGAGGTCATTTATGTGGTGGGCGTAAACGCACCAAATTTTATAAAATGTCTCAAAAATCTGATATACTTATGTATGTATGAAGGTAAGTTGCAAGTACGTATGTAGTGACCATGTACATATCAGATTAAAGAATATGAAATCAATTTCAGGAAAAATTTTTCCAGATAAATTAACCAAAAATAAAATTAAGTACCCACTTTGAAAAGTTTGAAAGTTTTCAAACCGATTGTACGTGACAAAATAATGCAGAATAATTAATGATGCGACTTTTATAACATATTGATCAGGGAAAAAGAGTAACTCATGCAGCGTGGGCCACAATGGTTTTCCTACCGTCGGAGAAAGTGATTAATTGAAATATGCCCCATATATAGGGAATATTTCACATACTGTACTGTGGGCAACGAGTTTACAATGGTTACTGTAGGTTAGGTTTTGCATGTGTCATTACTGTGATTATTCCGTACATGAGGGACATAAAAATACTTTAGCCACATAATTAAGTATATTATGCATTAATAGGAAATAGTGTAATTTAGACAACTGGGTTATCATTGAGAATTGATAAATATTCAATCACTACTCTGTCTCAATTGAATTAAACGTCGCATCATTATAAGTTCTCATTATTCTGCTAAATTATGCGTGTGACCATCTAATTCATCCCAACCTCAAATTGCATGTCTAGATTGAATAGCAATCACACAATTCAGAGACTTATGCAACTCCACATCGTGCACTTTTATGAATGACCACTAGAATTCATACAGTGAGGCAAAAATGCTGCCACGCCACTTGAATTCCTTCATATGAACAACTATCTATTCACAACTGCATGCAACTAATTTACTTATTGCATATCCACCATGGCTGGCATTACAAACGTTGTAAAATAATGAAACCAAAGCCAGAGAGATTGCACGAGGGTTAAAATGATTCTCGCTCTGCTCCCCAAGCACCAGTTCTCATTCAGATTCACGCCAAGTAACAACACGCGTCTGCATTATACATTCGTCGTTGATAAAAAGATTACTCGAAATCTTCTTTGACTCCAGCCATTCATTTTTTGTCGATTGTTCTCAACCAGAGTTAAATCGGTTAAATTAAACCCCGAGAGTGCGTTTTGTCGGCATTCTTGTTCTTCTTCCGTGTTTACGAGAATAACACCTCGTGTGCAATTACAACGAATTGCATCGCATCTTCAAGTTCTATTTCGGCTTCGCAGAGATTGTGTAGTCTCAATTCAATAAAGAAAAAAAATCGTCAAGTTGTAGGTAAGTATACTCATTCATAAATACTTTCTAAAATTCTGGCTGGGATTGCATGCAGTACTTTTCATGGTCTAGCTTGTTACGCTAATTGCGAATCGTAATGGCGATAACTTTAGTAGGACTGCATCGGCATGCAGTTAGCATTTATTTATCATTCCTGCCTGCATACATAATTTGAGATCTAGTACACCTTCGTACACATGCACCAAGGAAGAACTTGTTGATATAGTCGCGTGAGTTGGCTTATTATAATTCAGTCGGATAAATTTTTCGTCGTGCAGTGATTGAAATGAGCAGTCGTAAAAATGAGACGGATTTCTTCACTTACATATTTAATCAATGGCAGACATGAAATTGGGGCTGCGTTTGTCTCGATTGGTTTGATAATGTTTGTGTGTATGTATGTCTCACATTCGTTGGTGTGTTATCTTGTCTGCACTTATTTACTGTGTACCTACGTCTATTTTTTTTCTTCCATCGATAACAATGTCACATCAGAACATGATCCCTCCAGTCAGGTTAAAATTGGTGATTAGATTGCAGTACTAAAATTGAGCCTTGAAAACAATGGGATCCATGGCCAGAAAAAAATACTGCGATCAAATTGAAACTAATAATTGTCAGCAGAAATATCACGTCTCTTGGACTATATTTATCTACATGGCTAAATTTTTTAAGCACATGCAGGGATTGGAGATCAAGAATAATTAAAACGCTTGACTATACGGAAGTTTTTTTTATTGCACTTTCTGACATCGAATTTGTCAGACGCATGTGTTATCATATGTGTAGTTATGATTGATTAAACAAAAATAATGAAATGCACAAGACCCAGTTAAAAAAAGATAAAACGAGGATTATCTTGACCAATGAAATATTATTTGCTTTACTTCCGTGCTTAGCATGAATACGTTGCGCAACGTTGTACAAGAGAAGAGTGTTTATTTAGGTACAATTTGGTCGTCATTTTCATTCCATATTAATTTTAATGTAGAGCGTGGACATCTGCGAACGTAAGATACTTTAACGACCACGCTGTTTTGTACACTTGAGCGGTCACTCTTCTGAGTTGTCAAACATGTCAAATATAAACCCAGAGTAATTTTTAATAATCCATGTCGTCCTCAGTTCAAATCCCCTTATCTCAGGGTTTTTTACTTGCTTATACTCGTGTAAAGTCAACAATAAACCAGAGGCAATAAAAAATTACTGCATAAGATTTTTTTATAAAAATAGTAATGTGGCATTTAAGCACTCACCATCATTTAAAATAAGAATTGAAGCTTATTTTCGTCCTAGCATGAATGTCATTTACAACTATTATTAAATTTTATTTGCAACCTAACAATAATGGAATTAGACTATATATAACAATTACTCCGATGGAATTGTACTACGCATAATTCTTTGAATAATCAAGCTCGGCACAAGGATGTACAAAGTGAAAACAATGCATAAAATAGTTTTAAACGCCACGAAAAGGAGGCGAAATGAAGGCATGACAAAAGTAACTTGTGTCATGTTTCAAGTATGAGTTTATTATTAGTTCCATTCAGTCATGTTATTGTTAAAAATTCCTCAGTGTCCCTGGCAAAACAAGCCTCAAACTGACCAGTCCGTCTATTTGTGTAATATCCAATTTCACACTCTGAATTGCCAGAACCCATAAAATGATTTAATTTATTGTTTATCCGCCATTAAATAAGTTTCACGACCTCGTAAAAAGTGATTCAAAAGACTAAAAATATGTTATTTTTCTCTGAATTTTGCAGAAACCAGAAGAAAAGATGAGTACAGCCTTCGGTACACCGGCGTGGAGTTCAAACTCCTTCTGCAGCAGCTCCACCTCCTCGTCGCCCTCGTCCTCCAGATCCAGCAGCACGACGTCATCGCCCTCCACAAGTCCCCCAGAAAATGACTCCAACAAGTTCAACTGGATGGAAGCCATCACGAACCTCCAGTCCCAAATTACCGCCGAGGCCAAGGTGAAGAGGAAATACGCCATTTACACCATCCCAGAAGAGACGAAGGATGAACTGACTCGATACAAGATGAAATAATAAGTCTTACTTGTGACACTAGAAATAGTTAAGTTAATTATGATAATTATACATCAGAATAATTCTACTCCAAGTCAATTTACTTGTTGTACTCGTCATACACTTCGTTTAGTAATATTTTTGATATTCAGCTGCTTTAAGTACTCGTCTTCCTCCAGAGTTGTAATGTACGAAAATGACAAAAGGATGTGCGCAATATTAGAATTTTGCTCGTGTTATGTTGAGAAAATATTTAAAAAAAACTAATAAAAAACAAACAGTGGTATGAACTACCAAGAAATCTGTTCCATCGCCCACAATCGCGAGCAGGAAGGAAGGTTTCAAAATTTGACCAGGATGTTTTTCCCAGGGAGGAAGCCTGTGAATTATGGGGCAGGTTGTTTGCGGTGTTGGAAGTATTTCCCCGAGATGTATATGATGTGTGACAGTTTGTTAAAAACTTATACTCAATCAGTGTATCAAGTAGGATAATGCATATGTACATGTGGTTGTACGCATATTATATCTGTTTAGTCTGACTGACACTCGCTAATAAATTAAATAAACGACTCCTTGCTATCCGTAAAAAAATTCTGAGTAACGGTTGTTTGATTTTATGTGGACGCTAATTGGAAAACTGCCCATACTCACTTGTTCACTCTCATAATCATAACCGCCCAAACTAGGTATTTTCATTGTACGTATTAGTATGTTACATTTTCCTGTGTGCTGTTATTGCGGAAAATGAATGGAAATTCATTTGTTCTTCGTGTCGAGTATTATACAGACATGAGTTCTGCCTAATGCTTATTCATACTCGTTAACCCATCCAGATCCTGGTTTGTCTGATTTCATTGTATTGATATGCAGAAAGCCAGAAAAGGTGTGATTTGAGCGAGACAAAGAAAAGTGTGCTGGCTGATATCACCCATTGCATTTGCGTTTTCTTTTCGTAGGCGAGTCGTGTGTGCACTAAAATAAAATACGGCAGGTTAGTATGTAGTATGGCATATCCACATTCCGATGATCCAATGCACTCTGCAGACTTCAAGTTTCGTGTAAAAGACCAAAATTATACAGGAAATTACACGAAAAACTGGCAAATTAAATATAAAATGCAAGTTGGAGATGAGCCAATATCAACAACATAATTTACTTGGTTTCTTCATCATCCACGCAGCAGATGCCATATTTTTATCCTATAAATACTATTCATTTCAAGATTGAATCATAACGAAAACGGGGTTATAGTGTTCGTTCGTTCGTTGTTCACAATTTTTTACCGAGGACACAGATGCGCATACCTTCCACTAAACTCCAAGTAATCAAAACCTGCTCTGGTAGTACATATTGCACGCAGAAATAAAGCGTAAAATTAAGTTTTCAAAATTATGTCACTCCAAGAAAGAGATTACAAATAATACATTCAACTTCAATCATGAATTATGCGATGTGGCAATCAACAACAATCCATCAATCAACAAAGCATATCATATCGCACACCTTTTTCACGTATGTATGGTAAGCACCAATTGACACCTTTTTTGCAATGCAGAGTGTCCGTTGGCACTTTAGTTTAGTTTGTTTATCAATAGTGTAAGACGATAAGAAATCTGTTGTGCAAATTCCGTACGGTTTTGTATACGGAAAACGAATTGTGATGAACAGTTGGCAGTTTGTCTGTATTAAAATAAAATGCATTATACATAAATAAAATATGTAATAAACCTCGTTTGCTGCACAAAAGCAGTCGATCGCTTTATTCAGCCATCAAATTCACTGTGTATATTAATACTAAACTAAATGTGTAATGTTCTCTAAGGATCAATCATTCCTGTTCGTTTGCATGTTTAATAACAACTTGCTAATCTGTACCACGTCCATCATAACTTCAGTTAGTACTGGTACTAACTACTAACTAGGGGTTACCAAATACTATGCTCATCAATCATGTCATAAAACATTTCCCTACCTAATCCATAATCTAATTTGTATTGATGGCTATCAGAGAGCAGAGTGTGTAAGTGCATTAGCTTTTTCATCAATATTTACCTTCTATGGTGCTGTTATTATCGTAGCTCGCACATAAGTATGCAACACAACAAGATATGAATTTGCGCAATATTTTGCACTTGAGCCAAGTTAAGACGCAATTTTATCCAGACTACTGATATGTAAATATACATGCATACATATTACTATCTCCTGGATGGGCTGGAACAACTGGATAATTTGAGTTGTTAGTTGCGTTCGATTGGAGCAATTGATAAAAGATGATAAAAGACGGAGATTTCATGGGTATGTAAATACGTGCATAATCGGCTAATTGCATTCTTTTACCACTCCTGATGCTATTTACTAAATAATACATGAACTAAACTTGATTTTGCTTCATCTTTCTGCCTTCTATTCTACTCATTGAGGTGGAATGGCTTTTGATTATTTAATTGGACAGTACTTACATACACAGCAAAAGTCAAAGTCAAGTATTGCTATTTATTCGGCTAACGAGTAAAAATGGAATGTCGATATGCAATGTCTCGTCTTTTTTGCTTTCGATACGCTTGGCATTGGACCAAACCATTCAGCAGCAAAATTATATTTATCAAACAAAAAACACTCTTAAATTAAAGTTATGGCTTTGTTTTGTTCACTTTTTAATAAGAGACTGCACCATGACCAAGTAAATATGTGCATACATACGTAAGTACGAGTATGTATGTAAATACATGTATACAACTCTAGGAGCCTGGACGTTTATGTAATATCAAGTCAGTATAAATTATAGGCTTGTTGTGCCTTTCGTAGGAACAACACAAAACCTGGATTGACTCGAGTAGCAAGGTCTTTTAAATTATTAGACATCTTTTATAATATACTTACTCGAGTGGTTTTAAAAAATCAAGGCGAATATTGCATACCTCGTGAAGAACTTTTGTCGTTGGATGATTTGAATGCGAAAATAAATGAAGTGAATTTTTTACGGTATCAAATTATGCCAAGTATCTAGCATATCTATCTAGTATACATACATATCTAGCGTAGATAGATATCTATCAGGAGGAGAAAGCCAAACGTTAGAATAGACTCGCGTTTTAAAGGTATCTACATAAATGAAGTTCTCATCTTGTTATTCAATTTTGGATTTAGCTATAGAATTTTAACATAGACCAATAGATATATGTTTCTAGGTCTTGGGAAAGGACATAAAACCTCAACATCTAATTAAAAGACACGGTCGGTCTAAACTACATACAGGACAAAACATCATCCTGTCGCTATGTCTATATGCATCCTCAGGCTTTCGAGACCAGCGAGTTTAGGAAAAACATGTCAAGCATTATTGAAGGGAAGCATACGCTTCAGCGAGGACGGCAGATTTTGCGACTTTACTTGATTTGACAATCCTGTTGTTTTACTATCGTCATCAACCCGACTTTCTCACTCCAGGCAGTCTTGCAACTCATCGTATCTGTCCTCTCTTGTTGACGAATTCGTTAGAATAGGACAAAACAAACAAGAAAAGTGAAATCTTTTAGTGCTAGTTGCAATCTAATGTTTGCGGGCTCTGAGAATGTCGCAAAGTACATAAACCATGACATTGATGGTTGGAGTCTAAAGGCAAAATGCTTGTATAACTCTGAATTGTTTGCAGATAATAATATGAACAAGGAAAAGAAGGAACATATTATTTGCAAGAACTGACTCGGTTGGCTGCTTTATTTTCCTGTAATTTTCAAACTCTTGTTATGGCAGTGTTTGTCTTTGTTAAACGCAATGATTCGTGAAAACATACGCATCAATACATGGGAGAAATAATAAAATGAATTTGACATTTGCTTTCCATCCATCGAGTTGCTTCTTCTTTTAAATGGTAACATTTAAGCCTAATATATTCAGTAATCGTCACAAACTTTACAGCATAATCCTGTCTCATTATCCCTGATCATAAATTATTTTGATGTCACCATGTCTGGTATGTTTGGGTTTAAAGACCGTCAACCTTTCCTGATCCTGATGTGACGAAATTAAAGCAGAAATAGACTCGTCATAAATAATCCTTCAAATTACATCCAGTCAAATTGAAAGAAAATATTGCTTGTAAAATGGCCATGGTCTACTTTACCATCATCCTCTCTCTAGTTTTAACATAGCCTCAAGTTAAACACACATATGTACATGTGCATACTTACTGACAATTAGTCACTACAGAAATTATAACTCTGCACTAATTTATACTATGAGCATATCTATTTATTATACACGCACGTACATCAAATCATAAATAACTAAGCGTTGACCGTGCCCTAAACCGCATATGAATCACAAGACGGCAATTCTAAGAAGGCCGACTCGAAAAGTCTTTAGTACGAGAGAATTCTATCATCCATGCAAATTGCTTTCACCGAGTGGGCAATTACTACCTTGTCAGCATAGATCGGATATTTTGCGTACTCCGGCCTCCGCGTACTCCGGCCTCAGGCCGGCAATGTGTACTCCGGCCTCCGCGTACTCCGGCCTCCGGCTGGCCACGCGTACTCCGGCCTCCGGAGGCCGGAGTACGTACTCCAAGCCCGGAATTCTCCTATCTATGCGATCGGAAATTTTGCGTACTCCGGCCTCCGTACTCCGGCCTCCGGCCGGCAATGCGTACTCCGGCCTCCGCGTACTCCGGCCTCCGGCTGGCCACGTGTACTCCGGCCTCCGCGTACTCCGGCCTCCAGAAAAAGCTGCGTACTCCAAGCCCGGAGTACTCCGATCTATGCTTGTCAGTTTTCCGATCATTTAGAAGGCGTTCTAGCATTGGTCATTGGTTATTACGGAATTTGTTCAAGGCGAAAGTGCGAAAATAGTATGCAACGGATGCCATCGTTTGATCATATTTCGCGTCTCGTGACTTTAGAGAGATGAGCCAGCTTTTTACGCAGGAACAATTACCGCACATCATAACTTGTCTCTGATTCGCAAATTTTGTGGTTGTGTGTGTGTCTGTTTCGTCACGTTCAGATCATTGACGGTCACTTCAGTTATTTCTGTATATTGAAATGTTCCCATTATATTTCACCATTCAACGTTTATGCATAGATCAACGAAAAGTATGGTTGCAATCATTGTCAATTTCATTATAGAACTTTCGAGATCCTTGGGCACAACGTTTCATTTATTTGTATTGCACTTTATAACAATGTAAACCTACAAATAATTGTATGCAATAATAAAATTGAACTGTACGTAATCCTGGCTCCGTGAAAACCTGACTTGGTGCACGTTGCCGATTCTGTTTTTTAAAATTGTCAAGAAGTAGTAATAAAAGAGTGCTAATTGTTTACTACATATGTTTACTGGTAATGTACTTATTGACGTATGTATGCATGCACTTATAAATAGTTGCACGAATATGTAAACATCTCGTTTAATTGAGTTCAAATTAATTGTTTTTGATCAATTGAAATGAAACTCCTCCCTCACTTGAAAGTTAAAATTGGACCGTGTATGTTAAATATGTGTATGTATGTAAATATGTTGTTCTAGATTAACTGCATAATAGAAATGTTGATCAATGGAAGCTGTGTCATGCAAGAGCTGGAAAAGTACAACAATTAAGAAGCAGCGGAACAGAATGTATTAATAAATATTATTTTATAAGCATTTATGAAGGACCGAAGCGACAAGTCATTACATATTTATGTATCTACCATTCTACGTATATCTTGGTTGAGGTTTATTTATTACAAATGTACATGCATGGAAGTACGTTTTTTATGTATGTATGAAGTGAATTCTCCAGTGATGAGTCCAAGTTTTTATGCCTTACTTTAGTCAGCAAAGTTACATTTAGAATTCATATGCATAATTTTACCATTTAAAAATCGGTTCCACACAATGAAATCGAAATATCCTCGTCGAAACCTTGCATTAATTTGTAAATGATTCCGTTGAAGCAACGTGACCAATTATACATGGAATAACTTCCTAACTGCCAAGTCTTATATGTAGTATTCCAAAATAGATTTTTCATACCTACCAGAAAATATTTTAAGCTACTTCTTATGAGCCTAGTCATAAGTGATAATTTACCAATTTGAATTCATATCTCAGTTCACCACCACTTCTAAATTTAGTTGAACTTTGATCATTCAGTCAAAAATAGCTTCAAAATGGATACCAGACAAAAATCTTTGTCTAGCTCTTCCGACATTTCATCATCATCAATTATCGATAGATCAAACCTCAACACTTGGACGCTGACGTTTCATTTATGTACAGGGATGTACAAGGTTAAAGCCAAAGCTGTACCGAAATGTTTAAATTTGTAATTCCGTGAAGCACATTTTTGTTAAATTCTTTTAACATTGTACCAGCTAGGAAGTAGCAATCTAAACATGCTTCTTTAAATTTGCTGAAGTTATATGCGTACAACATTTTTTCATCTACCCAATAAAAGTGTACAAAGTGATAAAGTTCAACAGAAAAGGTAGCAAAAAATGAATGAATTTCTTGTAACAACTTTACATTTATTTTGATCTTTAACAACTCCTTGATCATGGAAAAATTTAAGGCGCAGATCATCCCCAGCGATTGAACATGTCGATGTCAACTATGTGTGTAAAGCAGGTCAACTTACTTAATTTAGTACGCATGGAAGTTTATCAGCAGACTCAAAAATAGACAAATAAGGCAATAAATACAAGTTTTAACTAGTCTATTTGAATACAGATGAGTTAACTGGGCTAAAAATAAACCCAGTATTTAGCATTTGTCATTGTACATACATACAAAATTAATTTCAAATGAATGCATGTACATATGTATTGCTTTACTGATTGAATTATTCCATTCGTTATCATTGCTAATCGTTCTCAACAGAATAACGTTTCCTTCAGAGACATTGAGAGGTCGAAGCCCAACTCGTGCCTGACTCGGTTTGGATGAAGAGCATTTCTGGTTCAACATTCCTTCCAGTTTAAGGTCATCATAAAACTAATAATAATTTTTAACCAGCCAATCAAATATAAATAACTATTTCCCAATAACTAATTTGGCTTTTATTGGATTGTGCTGGTGGTGGGTGGGATTTTGCATACATATTTTGCATATATATATTTTTATGCCACTGATTGTTCTCGCAGTAAAGCTTGACCAAGTTATTTAATTGGGTGCTTCACTTCAAAGACCTATTAAAATGTGTTGCTCACTTTTTGTCACCCAAGAAGATGACCATCGCCTGGTGCGCTGAGAAGTACTTGCATTTACTTATTTAATACTGCCTTATCACCACTGCTGGTCTTCAATATTTCTCAACAAATTAATGACGCGTGAACAAAATGTAATTAGCCATCAATATTAAATGAATAATATCATTGTACGAGTTATATAATTTCATATCCACGCCCTCAACGCGTGAAATATTTCCTTGTTTTAAATAGCTATTTGCAGAGCTGTTTATTTTATCTACGAGAAAAACAACTTAGAACACATGTCTGCAAATGCTCTGCACTCGAAGAACTAAAAGTACTGCAGTCAATCAAGTGATGCGGATTATGGATGACTATCAAAACATAACATAAAGAAGGAGATTAATCGTTATTAGCCATTAAGGAGTTATTAGCTAATTATTATGCAATAATAGTTGATAAGTAGTTGGATCTCGTATGAGGTGGTCGCAACTTGTAAAAATAATAACTGCAAATTAAATAGATAAAACAACTGTTTAATGAGACTCGAGATTATACTGGTACCACTTTACATGATAATTATGGACGGTTCAAGAATTTATTCATGAGACGTGAAGCCGATCAACTCCAGAATCTCCATCTTCTTCCTCCAAAATTCGTAGTGAATTCGACACTTGCATGTAATCTTCTTGCTTCATCGTGCTATTGTTAAACTGGCTACTGAACTGCTTCATTGTTGCGTACAACGTGAAGAGGACGTGCAAACTCTGAATTTTTGACTTGTACACGGGCACATCCAACAGACCACAAACGATGTCTATGTACACGGCCAAGTCGCAGTTGAGGTCGGGACTTGGGAGTTGGATGTCTTTGAGCAGGGATTCCACTTCTGGACTCCATTCTTGAAGGAGAATGTCGATGTCTGGCATGGGTTTCGAGTAGTGGACAGAAGGACTTGGTTTCGATCGGTGAAGGTCACTGATGTCTTTAATCCAGTTTTCAATAACTTTGGTATTTTTCCCCAAGTTTTCTACCTTTTTCACCGTTACAGTTTTAGCCGAGTTTTGCTTCGCTAGGGCCCGAAGTCGTAGGTCAAGGACGGAAGGGTCGCTTTGAAAGGGAGCTGGTTCATCGAGAACTTTCACCCCGAGACCGTCCTCTTTTATTCCGGGCTCCACAACTTTGGTGATTTATTAAATATACCTTTTTACCCAAAAGTTTGATAACTCAAAATAAATACGTCATTTTAGCTTGCATTACCCTTGATGAACGCGTCAATGTCTCCAACGCTGGGGTAATAGTCGGGTATGAAAGGGTGGAGTTTCACATCATTGACAGAATTTAGAGGGGGCAATTGAAATCTAAATGGGTTAGACAATTGTATAAGTTACGAAAATGTCCGTGATATAAATACGTTCAGTTCATATTTGCCTTACTGTGAAATATATCCAAACAGTTCCTTGATTTCTGCAGTTACGTTCAGATTTTTATAATCTTCTGGATTATAAATCCTAGAAAGTGTTATATCCGAATTACAATTTTTATTGCTAACTTAAGTAGAAGTATTTACTGTACAAACCCCTCAATCTTTCCCACATTCAATTCGTCATATTCATCATCATCGTCATCTTCAACTTCTTCCTGTGAAGGTTTTGTGTCTTTGGACGTCTGTTTCTTTGGGGCTGAAGGAGGTCGAGCTTTTGTGCTGGATTTTGGCTGTTCACTTTCACCCTCTTTATTTGCTTTCTCCATCTATGAAAATACAAAATTATTTTATATTTTGTCAAAATACAAGAAATAATTATTGTAATTGATTTTATTCGTTAAATCTTTCCTAAATTGGGACAATGAAATTACTTTGACTTCAGAACCGTCTTCTGGGAGAAAGTCCTTGGATGAAAGTTGACTCATGTCACTGCCAGTAGTATTTTTGGGGGACGATTTTACAGGCTGACGACGTATGGTTGCTGGAGAAGACTCCGATGTGGTGTCCGAGTACAGGCCATCATCGTACATTCTTTACTTCCTTTCAACCCACATTTAATCGATATCAATACGAAATTTAGCATTAGGTGAAGGAGCGTTTAGTGGCGTGTATTATAATGAGAATGTCTCCAAACTCTAAAGGGTTGAGAAATAAGGGGTACGTAAGCAACATGCCCAGGTCCACGTAGAAAAGTGAAATCAAACGGAAAATGAAAAGTGGGCAGCACGGGTTGGGTTTGTTTTGTTTTCTGGTATCATAGCATTCCAATAAACAAATGCATAAATGTGGGTAACATGGGTTTGCAAAATGCGAAACTACTAAGGAAGGTGAACAGCAGAACAATGAACATGTTAAATATATGACGATCTACGTACTTGTACGGCATATTGAATTAGCCTAAAAAATATAATTCCATGAACCTTATAAAACAATTGGTCTGCAAAATCCCCAAGTTTGACTTAAAACCCAAAATATGTGGAAAATGTAATCCATGATCCATTATATAATTTTGGAAATGTATTTAATATTCTTCCCTGGGAATAACATCCATTCATACTGTTGTAAATAAATGCCTCATCCTGTTTTCTCCACAGCTATCTGGGTCTATATATAATTCTACATTGTACTTAATCTACATATAAAATTCAATTGCAGTTAAAAGAAGAAACGAGCATTATATGTATGTACATATGCACTAATAATAGAACAATTTTTTTCTAAAATCGCGTGATTGTCCACAATAATAAATTAGTTTTGTTCCCACAAAGTGCATGCTTCATCAATGTCAATCTGCTGTGTCAGTGTCACGCTAAAGCATAGATCTGTACACACAAAAGGGGACACATACTGACAACCAAAAAATGTAATGAATATGTATGCAATGGTAATATTACATGCAGTATTTTTAGTAGACGATAGAGTTTTAAAATGACATCCATAAATACAAATTACTTAAAATGAAATTACCCAAAACAAAAGTTTGTTCATCAAACGTTTACCTAATTTTACTTATTCTTTGTGCACACATTTTCATCCACTTTGGACAATGTTCCTCCACTGGTGCAGTTGTAGTTTATTTTCATACTAATTATATAAAAATATATGGGCATTTAGTAAGATAAAGTCGAATGAACTTTATACAGGGGAAGATTTTGATGATACTTTGGACGCTGTAGAAGTTGAAGATGAGAACACGAATTTGGGACAACCTTTATTTCTGGATAAAATCATGGAGGGTTTAAAACAGCTCAAGAAGGATCTGGTCGGGCCATCAGATATTGGCCAAGTCTCGTTTCAATTGTTTCACCCCTCTAAGCCGTAATTTGACTATTGATGTACTTACATCTGCACGTCTGCAGCATAGGTATACAAAACTTGTAAAATGGTCATATATCACTTAGAAAAAATGAACAATGGGAAATAATTGGAACCGGAAATTCTACAAAAATTAAAACCACTGGATTAAAATCAGGAAAATCTATCAAAATAGCAATTCATGGGTTCTTACAAACTTGCAACATTTCAGATTCAAATTTTCCAGAAGTGGTTTTTCGGGGTGAGAATTTAGAAGTTTCTTTGTCAAAGTTTCTTAAAAAATAATTAAATATGACTTTACTGTTCATTTTGCATAATGAATATGGTCCTCGCAGCGTATGAGAGTAGAAAGAAAGGTGAATATAATTTTATCTGCGTGGATTGGGGCCCTTTGGCGAATCCTGGAAAGATATCCCAAATCATGTCCATATTCCACTACCCAAAAGCTGTAAACAACACGTTAATCGTGGGCGATGCAACAAACAAACTCATAGAAGCTCTCATATCAGCCAAGGTTTTGAAGGACAAAGAGGTCATCGACGACTTTACTTTATTTGCTAGAAAATAATAAAATTTGAAGTGAGAATATTTAAGGTATGAAATAGACGATCGACGTTCACCTAATTGGGCACAGTTTGGGCAGCCATATTGCAGGAGTTGCAGGACACGAGTATTACTTTTTACACAAAAAGAAGAAAAGACTTGCAAGAATTTCAGGACTCGACCCTGCTGGGCCTGCATTTTATGAAAAAGGGAAGAGTGACAAGTGCAAATTAGGAGCAAATGATGCAGTCTTTGTCGACACAATTTGTACAAATATGGGTCAACTAGGGACAAAGGAGATGTTGGGACATGCCAATTTTATATTAAATGGCGGAATCGCCCAACCTTTCTGCAAGAAGGATGACATCATTGAAGACATTGCGGAAAAAGTTTCTGGTAAATATAAATACTTACAGAGGAACATGATGCTTAAATGTTTATACTATGGAGCGTACTCACGTCAACCTTCGCATATCTCGCATATCTCGCAAATTGAGCATAGCAACATAACTTGCGAAGTTTTGCGAGATATGTGAGATTTCGCAAAAAATTTGCTGGAAAACCATGGGATTTTTTTTCGCAAATTTATCCAGCAATTGGGCATGTTCTTATTTCGCAAAATTACTTCGCAAACTCATCCTCATCATCGCTAGCAAGGGAAATGAAAGAAATCCATGGAAACAATACCAAGATAGACATTTTTCAGTAGATTTGCGAGATTGGAGAGATTTGCGAAGTTATATTTTGCGAATCCCCTCACGACAGAAAAATTTTGATCTTCGCAAGTTTGCTAAATGAGTTGCGATGCGAAATAAGAAGTTGTCGTGAGTACGCCCGTTAATAGTTATGAAAAATTAAAATATGTAGGAATATGCAGTCATGCTTCGTCCGTCCAAATTTTTGCCAAATCGATAAAGGAAAATATCAAATCTTGCAAATGTCTAAATTGGAATGCTTTCCAAAAGTCAAATGGGTCATGCAAAACAGACCAAACAATTCTTCTGGGAGACAAAGTTGCCCTCAAGTAAGCTCTCGAATAGAATTCAAGAGATGATTAACGAAATATCTCAAATTTGTGCCGTTGCAATCCGTTTTTACAGATCTCGAGGAAATTTTTGCTTAAATTTAACTTCATTGTAATTGGAGTTTCATGTGTTTGTACGGATGTGAAATTAAATAAAGTTATCAATGCCCTAATATTTGATATGATCGCATATATTTATGTATTACTTTCAAACCAAAATATCATCAGTCAACAATTTTTTCACTAATATGTATTATTTGAAATCGAGTATTGTGTGTTTAGCCAACAATGATTACTAAAGTTATTTTAGTAAGTTTAGAATGCATAAAGCCTTTGAAGAACAACTGTATCCGTAACTGGACGAATGACTAGTGGTAAATGATAACGTTTACAAGACACGTACAAAAATATAGCGTTATTGAAGTAACTTCTGTATAAGACACACTACCGCAACTATATATTTTGAGATTTTGGGCCATTAAAATACTGTGAGTGATATTTTCTATAAAATATAAGCATTTTCATAGAAATGTACACAAATGTCTTTTCTATTCATCATTTTCGTTTACTACTATTTGCGAATGTCGGGTCTCTTCATAAAGCGCCTTTGCATAATTTACTTGTTGTACTACCCTTTTGGCTACTTGTTCATTTTCGCATATCACTTGAGGTCTCCCGGGGGCTTGTACATCAGGTAATATGCGTACTAATTCAATGTATGGAGTTTTCTCTTTCGCAGAATGAGCCATTTGACATTCTATAAGTTCACTGTAAACAAAATTATAGTAGCTTGATTAAACATGTACATCACAAACATAACACTGAAAATTATTGTTTACAAACCTTAAATGCACTTTTAAAAGTACAGGGTTTCCTTTATTAGGGCGAAATACTGTAATAGCTTCTGATGATATCATAATTCTTAGGTCTTGGTTGGGACCACTCTTTAATGTTTCGCAAGCGATATAAAGTTCGTTGAAATTTTTGTCATTCAGGTCAAATAACAGTTCTTGTCCTCGAGATGATACTTCAGAATAAACTGGAAGTAATCTAAAATAAACAACCGAGTGTTATTATATTTAAATAACCCCAAAAAGAATAGTAGGATATTAATACTCACCCCCCATTTCCGATTGCTACTCTGGTTGGTCGTAATCTATGAGGTATCATCCGTGAGGAAGTTTTTGAGGAATCTCTTATGGCTGACGCGGCCCCGGTCGCAAGGTCAAGTACACCAACGGCAGGTTTCGTGATTGTGCCTACTAAACCCTTGGTCAAGCCAGTAAATAACCCCTAATAGAAGAAAATTGTTGATGTTATTACATAATTACAAGTCCCATTATTAGTAGAATGATTGAGTTACGTACCGCGAATCCTTCGTTTGCCACTCCTTCATATGATTGAGAAACGACGGATGTCACACCTCCAATTAGCCCATGCCCGAATCCTTTAAGTCCAGCATAAAGGTATTCTCCGGAAGATCCGGCGTGATCTTCTTTTATTCTTCGTCGCTCTTCCTCATGCCTGTCGTCTAGGATTGTTTTCCCCAGTCCTTCTCCCAGCGTACCTGTCACCTTTGCTGCTGAGTTAGAGAGCCCATGTGCTACATTTTTAACCAACGCACCGACCTAGTTGAAAAAATAATACATATTTGTTACAATATAACCCCATATAATTTAAGTGCAATAAAAAACAATTATTGTACATACAGATCCTTCATAAATCATTAAGCTGACTCCTTCGGAAACGTCATTCACAAAGCCCAGTGGATTTCCCAATATATCCGTAGACCCTAAAATTATTCCCGCTTGAGAAACGAGCTCATCCCGATAATGCTTTACCACCAAGGCACACAAAAACTCGAATGTTTCGAAAGGGTGATGTTTTTCGAAGCTGTCAAAGTCAACAATAGCGTCTTCAAATCGAATCAAAGTTAAACCAAGTCGTCGTTTAAGTGCAGCTAATTGAACGGGTAGTTTAGAGGTTGTGAGCACACTCAGTTTGACCTAATTGAGAAACACATCATATTATAAAATAATCATGCAAACTCTTGATCGAGCTAATACTTACTTGATTAAATATTAGTTTCAATATGGCGAAATAATATCTCCTTGTATTTGTGGAAGCCGTACTGGTTAGTGCCTTTTGCACTTCAAAATCGGATTGCTGTAACATATCCAAGTTTTTAACTTGTTGGCCGAATCCCCACCACATGCACAGTTTCAGTAACAGTCTTTCTTCGATTATTAAACTAATAGGTTTGACCATCAACTCCCATACTTTGAACACTCTAGCGTTCAAATTAGATTTCATACTTTCCCAATACAGACAAAGTGCTGGTTGTTGATGATACAGCGAAAAATCATCAATGGTTTCTGATGGACTACCGGAGGGAATGTAAATAACTGCAGATTTCTCTGATTCCAAGAGTTGATTGTCAACTTGCAAATTCATCACGGATGCCTTTAAAATCTGTGAATTCTTTGTATCTGTCCATTCCAAAGCGAATCTAAGAATTGAGAATATGTGGTTATAGTAAATCTGTATACTGGAATATGCATGTAGGATAGATTTTGGTATTTTTTATTATATTTTACCCTGAAAATCTCCCATACAGCAACTCCTCACGAGGGTTGCAGGCTACAACGCTAATACCTACTCCAGCAGGTAGCTCAACTTTCACTCTGTACTTTGGCGTAGTGTTGTAATCATTTTCTTCAAACGTGTGATGCAATAGCTGGCGCCTCGGAGGGTGTTCAACATCTATAATTCGGAGGACTCGAGTAGGTCCATCGGTTTCAATTCCCAAACTTAAAATTCCTGAACCAGCTCGAAGCTTTTGACGAGCAATAGCTTGTTCTGCAGGAATTCCAGACTCAGTTCGAATGTAACAGACAGGTTGAGATGGTCCGAGCACGACTTCACTCCCTGTTTAATACGTATTAACAATATTCATTGTTATAATATGCAACAAGGCAAAACATTAAATGCATTCATTATATATTAATTACAAAGTTGCCAAGAACCAACTGCATTAGTTCCTCCGAATCCATCTTTAGCTTGGACGTACAAGTTTTCGTACATTTTGCATTTCATTTTCCCGTCGCTAGTAAATTCCCAATGTTGCGTGGATATTCTTCGCCGGTCAGGTTTTCTTAACTGTAAAGGCACACACTGTGTCGGAAGGGGAGCAGATCCTGATATATCCAGTACAAGCATTGTCCCTTCTTTTTGGGGTCTCGTTAAATCTCGAGGAGGACTAAATGTATTTTTCAAGAATCAATATTAGTATTTATATCGAATGGGCTTGTAAACTATGTTCAGCACTATTAAAATCAAACTGCTAACCTTGACCCCTCGTGCTCAATAAGCCCTTCAGCACTCACGCGCCACAACTGCGAACGTTTCCCCTGTTCCTTCTTGGTTAAAATGACGTTGACGCCTTCAACATCAAGAACTAGCTCTAAACTTTCCATCCCAGATCTCCCAATGCTTCCATCAACCGGAAACGTAGCAGTGAACCCAATGTAGAAGAAATTTTCATACGTCAGGTGCGACATGTATCGTAAGTCATCCATGTTTACAACGACTGATGTTCCTCCAGGGGCTGCAACTGTAAAGTGGAAGGTATGCATATTTATTACTTAACACGCATTAACAATAATTTGTCATACTAAAAGTAAGTGTGAGTAATGTGAGAAAGGATTTACTTGTCAAATGTGCAAGCTGTGTTGGTTCGTCCAAGGCATACGGAAGAGATGACTCTGGTCGTGCAGTGATTTTCAGTCGTTCTTCCCCAAGACAGGTCTATAAAGTTTAGCCCCATAACAATTAGTACTGAGGTAGATAATTAATAATATAGAGTAGATCAATCTCTAACCTGATGAAATATTAATGGAACTTTTGAAAAATTGTCAATTCTGAAAGGAGGTGGTAGTTGTGTTGTATCGCTGAATATTAAAAAATACGAAGGTCCTTGAATGACAATTTCTACTCGTAAAAAATAACAATTTCCATCCGCATCTCTGCAAAAAATTAAATCCCTTCATTATTAGTAACCTGTCTGGATTGTTTTTAATTGCACATGTAAAATGTGTATGCAATTCAGCCTCACCGAATATTGATGTGAAATGAATCAACATTATCCACTGGAAACCCTCCTGACCATGAACTTCCGGCGACGTCCTTCAGTCTTACGCAGAGCAATTGTTCCTTATCCAATCGAGGCCAATGAAAAGGTAAATTTGACCCTGCAGGGAGTGTCAGATGCGTCTTTTCTGCCTTTGCATCAAAAAAGCTGGTGGCAAATGCCCGTTGTGAAATTTGTATTTTATAGGTGGATCGATTGTCAACAACGAATCGAGGTGACACAATCACAAGTTTAGTATCTTGATATCTTCCTGTCCCATTTTTGATTTCAACACCAACCATGTATACAGATTGTGGAGTATTGTTACAATGTGCAACGACCAGCTTCCTTACTCGTAGACCATTCTGACAAAGAATTGACCGACACCAAAATGGCTTGGAGTCTATATAAAGAGGAAAGAAAATTATTGACAAATTTGTGTGACATGAACCATTCCTATTTGTCGTGCATTACCTTTATGAAGGCCAGTACCGACCCGAAAAATTAGTGATTCTGAACCATCCTGATCTGCGAAACTCATCATAAGTGGAGTTACCATTCTTCCAACCTGTTACAAGATAATTGTCATATTGCTTTATTATGGTATTATGTTTATTGTTGGTAATTGGGCACAGAATTTAGCTCAATGGTCGAACCTCATGTTCCTGGAATTGTCCTGCAGCTTCACCCGAAATTCCATCTTGCTTACATACCAAGGGAAGTCCACTTTTGTTAACGATCCAACTTGGGCAACTCAATTGAACGGATAAAACTCCTCCGTCTTCTTTTAATATTTTAATTGTCAGCATTAGTGTCCTCTTCAGTGCATCTTGAATTTTTATACGCTGAATCAACGTATTAGACTTGGGATTCACAGATACTATCATCACTTGAGCGAAATTGTCAATTTGATAGTGTATTTCGATTGGTTCAGACGTATCGACCTGGATACATATAAAAATGTAAATAAATTTTCATACTGTTATCTTAGTTTCTTTGCTAGATAGTTTATACAGTAAAATGCAAGGGAGACTTACATTTGACATACTGTCATGTTTTCCAGGAGGGATTCTTCCATGAATATTTTGACGTTTTATTTCGTACGAGATTTCATGAGGAAGTAAATTGACCAACTTAAACGGGCTCAACAAAGTAATGAAATTAGCCCGATTACTCATACTCATCAGTTGGACAATACTGGGCAGAGAATTTTTTGGAATGATGTCATCGCTATCGGCAGGAAATTCATTTCGCTTGACGGCAGCGCAAAATCTGTAGGACTGAGACTGATCCTCGGGGGACATTGGGCGACATTCGCGAAGCCCTTCTTGACTGCTGCCAACCAATAAGGCTTTGGTGCAATAGAGATACGTCCGAGGGGGATTGTCTGGAATCACTGGACGAATCCACATGTGAGCCCAAACGGAATGTAGTGGAACTGGGTACTGAGGCAAAAATGAAAATGATTTTTTTTTCTTATTTCGGAGTTTTAATTGTTAACTTACACTTGCACCAGGTCGAACTTGAACAACCATTGAACCACCAGTTTGAGCTCGTTCAACTAAAAAATATATTTTGGTGGTGATTATATGTACTATGTATTTATGTAGGGGATATTGTTAGTCACAACAAGCTAATGATTACTTACATGAAGGATAAACAATGGTGTTCTCCAATTTAAGTTCCACTGGGTTCGGTAGTGAATTTTTAATCATTAATGCAGACCGAATAGTAACAATTTTCTGAGCAGATCCTTGTAGCCCAACTTCAAGAACTAGTCGGGTAGGGGGAAGTTCCATGTACCCCTTAAAATGGTTAAAAAATGAATTATGATCATAGCCAGCTAGCAGAACCAATTCAATACAAATAATTATATAACTATTTGTGTATTACACTTACCCCGTATCGACGCAAAGAAGTTTCTGGTTTGGCAACTCTAAAGTAAGTTCCGACTCTATCGACTGAAACTGAAATTTCGTTCCATCCGTCCACTCGAATAGAAAGTTGGTGAGTTTTAAGTTGATGGGTATTTCGATGTCTTAGCTTTCCACGACCTTCGAAACTGAAAGTTTGAACAGCACCATGTGCTACTTCAGTCCAGCTTGTTGTACCCGAACTGCAGCCAGTAGTTGCTTTCTGCTGCTGTCGAAATACTTCTTCATTATTTGAAATAGAAGTACAAAACCAGAGCCTAGATCCAGTCTCGTTTTTTAATGCAAATGGAATAAATGGGGCTCGTCGTTTATCGTTTTTGACAAGATGGTAGTCTTCGGTCCAATTCGAAGATACAATTTTGTAGAGATTTAAAAGAGATGAAGTGACATTTAATTCCATCGTAACTCTTGATGATACCATAATTTCAAACTCTGGTGCTCTTGACGGAAATTCACACGAAGGGGAATAATCATCTAGAAAGAAAAGCACATAATGAACGAAGACTATCATATTTTGCAATTCATGTTTGTGTTACCTAATTGTCCCAATAGGTTCTTTTTCCATTTCACGTTGCATTTCCACGGTTCAAGAAAGGGTTCCCAACCAGAAAGAGCTCGATTGTAGTAATCTCCGCTTAAAACACAATCCGCAGAAGTTAAATTATCCAGGTAATTCTGATATAATTCCAATTGTTGAACACTGATCTCTAGCACCGGGACATCGGAATCTTTGCAATCGTCAATGACGCATAAAGACAAACAACTGCATTTTACTTCTATTCCTTGAATAGCCGACATGCTTCCTCCTGCTGTCTCTTTTTCGTGAGGAAGTGAAGGAGCCTCACTGGATGCCAAGGATTTAGCAGATAAAGAGTTATCCCTGGAGGTTTTCCTATCAGATTGTGATTTAATTTTTTTGTCTGGCCTTCCAGCAGTGCTCGTTAAAAAGAAAACTGCATCCTCGAGACAACCATGAGTTTCTTCCAGTGCTTGGATTGCTTCGTCAATAGTAAATCCCATTAACACGAGTTGATCAATTTCAAATGTGGCAAACGACTGAAATGATAGGTCATCCATAATGTTGGTGGGAGAGGCTAACGGAGATGTTTCAATTTCAAAACTGCTGGACTTGAGAAAGTGTACTTGAGCGTCTTTAGAAAACTTGTCCATGAGGCGGAGGAACATTTTCATGTCATAATAAGACAATCGTAAGTTCAAATTTGGACTTTGGATCTTTAATATTTTTCCCGAGTTCGCAAGCGAGAGCGTGGCGTCTAAAATGCCTTTGGATTCTGCTTCTGTTTGTCTAACAATATCCAGCTGAATGTTGGTTGGGTCAAGAATTGAAAGTGCTGTTTCAGACTCCAGTCCTAAAATACAGGAAAATAATTCACACTGTAGGATATTACAGCAAATTGGTCTTTCCAAATGTGGTCGATATCCTAGTGCAGCGGATGCCTGTAATTTCGATTAATACAAAATATACTTGTAAATAATAACGACAGTTTAATATGAATTTAATCAATCATATTTACCTTTAAAATTAAAGCATTTGTATCCCAGACTGAAGCCTTTTCAACCGCAACTAGTTCGCAATTTGAAATATTGATTTTAAGCTCAAAGACGGAGTCTGGTAAGTCAAGTACAGGTGCCCGTCTTGTGACGATGCCAGTCGATACCGTTACAGGATTTGATACGACTCGAGATCTTTCCAACAAATGATGGGCATTTTTAGTTCGTTCTAGGTGTTCCTCCCATATCGCTGTAATTTCAGGAGGTTGAGGGATCTCTTGCCCGAGAAAGTCTCTGACCTCCATCCACCAGTCCAATATTACCATTAGCCGCATATTATTCAGTATAATTGTCACATTTGATCCTCGTTGAGTCATTCGATAGTGGATTTCAGCTTGAAGTGGAACTTCGGCAGATCCATGGATGGTAGGGTTATGGGATGATGAAGATTCAGGTTGTTGCTAAAGAGAAAAGCGATAATTAATACTATGCTGATTTATGCATATCACCATAATCTTCATTAAGAAATAAGTTTCATACTTTTGAGGACGATGATATGGGAAAAGTGACACTTTGCTGTAAAATATTGGTGAAAATATTCACATTTTCTGCTTCTCTCGCATTATCAATGTCTTCAAATCTAGAATCGCATATAACAATTTCCTGCGACGCCAAGTCTACATCTTTTGAACCGTCATTGTTGCTTTGAAATGTGAATTTTGATTTTATAAATTCAACACGTCCAAGTTTATCCCCAGGATGTTTTACAACTTCCAATGTTACGTTGATCAGATCTAGCTGAATGTTGAGGTCAACTTTTGTAGGACTTTCTCCTTGACGATGAGTTCCAATGTGGTGGGGTTTACTATTGCTTGTTCCTTGTTGGTAATTCATTACTGTTGGTTCTTCTTCTGGTGATCCAATATTCTCTCCAATATTATGAGCCAGCAAGCCACGAATTAGCTAAACAAATAAAATAAGCATGAGACAATATAATAAGTAATTAATTCCCGTCAATAAAAATATGTGTATATGTACCTTGTATTTTTCATGATCAATTGTACAATGTAGGGTTGACAGAACTCCTTCTACTCGAGTCGCTGCTACTGAATCACCAAGATTACCTTCAAACACTCGACCAACTTTTAGATTAAGCTGACACTGTTGTCGAAGAAATGATGATGAATCCTGCGTCTTGATTACTGACCAGCCTCGATGTAAATTCCATTGTTTACGATTGTCAAGAGCAGCGCCCACTCTTGGACTCAGTTCTCCAGAGTACAGATCCATCTCGATCAAATCTACAATGATGTAGTTTATGACCAAGCCTTCGATATCCTCCACAAACTTATTTCGAACAGATAAATGGCCCAAATCAGCGACAAGCATTTTTTCAGATGTAGAACTGTACGGGAGAAGAATAACTGGCGCTGGAATAAAAAGAAACAAATACTAATTCAAAAGATCGTCATGAATTATTAGTCGAGAGTATATTTTAAATGTTTTGTATAATAAATATAGTAAATATCTAAATGGTCATTCAATTAATCTATCAATCAGACTATATACGATTATCAACGCTGTAACAATCTTGTTACTTCCGATGTTTTTTAGATTAAATAAGGGGCGGAAACTTACCTCCAGCTTGAATATCCAACATCACTCGAGTGTTATTGTAACCAGGTTCCGCAGGAGGAGATAGACGATCATCATTGTCGTTGGACTGATGCCCTTGTTGTGCACTACTCGGAGGCTGACCAAATAATGAGTTCCATAAGCTCATAAATTCGGTGTAAAATCGATTCGTGTGAACAACAACGATTGAAGACATGTTCAATCGAAATTTTCCATCTGATCCTAAATAAAAAAGCCAAGCGTCACAAATTGAGAATAGACATGCTAAATTATTATTCATAGTTTTCGTATAAGTACCATTTAATTCATAGTCAAAGTCCAGTGCTTGATCACCTTGAAATGCAAATTTAACAGGATACAAACCATAGTAAAGACTTGTGTCTTGAATTTCTAAAGATCCTAGTCGTCCCTCTACACTAAAATAGTCTTGGCATCTACTTTTAAGTTCACAAGTTGCATCTTCTTTGGCACGATGTTTTCTGGTTTTCGCCAATTTCAAGTGTAAGGCCTTTACTTTTATGACAGGTCCACGGATATCTTCAGACTGCAGATCCACAGATACATTATGTATTGCAAATTCTGCCACAAAGAGGTTACCAAAGCTCTTGTAAGGATTACGAGTCATCAAAGTTTCACTCAATCTGAAGTCAGGTCTTTCTGTGTCTGCTAAGTTAAGTTGAGATCCACTAAAAAACGAGATATCAGAAGAGTCTTGACGAGGATTTTGAAGTTTTGTAGAAAATGCACTTAAGACTGATCGCAGAGTCAACATTTTAACCTCGTTCAAGTGAAACGTTAACTTTGGAAGCGTTCCCATAAGTGTTAAGGCAGGCCAGAGAGGATCTTCACTATAGACTAAGCGACGTTCCAGCTAAAACATTTAAAGATTGTGGTAATTAGTTATTTACAAGCGTTTTGGGTTAATTTAATTGTGTAATTTCAGATTAAGTTAAGTCTTGTTCCAAATAACTTACTTGAAGATTGATTGAAAATCTGTCCACCAAATGCATCATTGATGTGCCTTTGAAATGAGTAGTTTTCCAACTAGTTTTCTTTCCAGATTTACCATCAAAAACTATCACTTGCACATCTGTAATTTCTAAGGAGTATTTCTTGTAGAATATTGCATGAATTTTGTCCAAAGAGCCTCCAAACGATTCAATCCCTTCAGTCTGGTTCTGATAGACTATGCTTTCACCAGTTTCTGATACAGAATGTCTCGGAGAAGTGAGTAATGATGAGTCTTCTATGACTAGCCTTTCTGGTACAGGAGATGAGCATGGCGTAAGAAATTCTTCGTTCTCGTCATCATCATCACTCCATTCTTCATATTCCTTATTATCATCAGGGGGTAACACAATCTTGTCGTCAATATGAAGATTGGTGAACTTGAATCTACCGAGATCAATTATTACTGCGGACTCTTGACTTGTAGGTTGGTCTTGGGGAGTCGTTCGAGAAATGGTTTCCGTCTTCTTGTTGCCATCCTCTTTTGTTGCATATCCATAAATAGTAATTTGAGGAGCAAATATATCCATATATATTTCCCACGACGATCTTCCGTCATCTCCACTTGACTTGGAAATTCGGGAATGAACAAGTCTGTCCCAATAAACCTGAAGCTCCTCCTTAGTTTTCTGTTTCATTGCTTCATACCCATTGTACGGTATTTCTAGATAATCTGAAATAAGCAACAATTTTGTAATTGTGTTCAATAAACCTCAACATTATCGTTTCCTTAATCTAAGATATTAATTATAGAATCCAAGATATTAAAAAAATACCTTCTTCATCTTTAACAGAGAAGAACCTGCCAACTTCGTCCCATGTGGTAGGATAAAGGACTAAATCCATTGGTTTAGTTGATACTACAGAAGGTGAGATGTTTATTAGGTTAATTTTTAAGATCAGGGTTTATGTACCTTCAATACGTATTAAATCACAATTGTGCATACTTACCAGTTACGCGATGACCAGCCTTCTTATGTGGCTTCATTTCATAAACGAGATTAAACAAGGGATCTGCAGAGACATTGGCCAAATATGACAAGGGGTCTACTGAATGAGGAGCTAAGATACATGAATTCGTCGTTGCATCTTTCAACATCAAAGATGAGAGGCGCATTTGCAATTTGTGTGACCCGGATCTTGGTTTCAAAGACAGTTCTAGAGAAACTCCACCAAAGTTGAGATCTAAAATAACGTATAAAATCGCTATAAGTTTACTAATATACAGTTGGATAATATTTGTTCATTTTATTTTGTACCTAAAAATGGCCCCTTATTCTTATTCAAAAGAACAGATCCTTCATTTAAAGTGAAATTGAATCGGGCCAATAATGCATCTTGACCAAATGCTCTCATTTCACCCAATATTGCTTCGTCAAAGTCAGTCTCACTCATGCTTCGATCAGCCAATGAACTGGAGCTTACACCGTGAAGCAACTGAGAATTAACGTTTGTTAAGGAGTCTGGTTGATCCGTGGCCTGTGTATAATAACCCCAAGACGGAAAAAACCATGCCAGGACGCCGGAACTAGCTGCTTTCACACCTTCTTGTTGTTCTTCAGTTGGTGTAACTCCATGAATTTCTTGGATTCCTTGGCCTGGATCATTCGTGGAATTAGGAGCTGATGTCGTAGTCATGTTTGGCTCAACCACCGGCTGACTTTTGCCTGATACTTCTGGAGCCTTGTTCATTTGTTCAATTCTTTGCATTGCAACTTGTCGAAGCTGAACAATGTCGTCATAATGAAGCTCTAGTTCCATGCGATCTGGAAAAAAAACAATAAAATTATACATAGTAGTACAAGGACAAACGATCAGGTCTCGACGAATGTAATCTGTTAGCTAACCTTTTAATTTCGTTGCCTCACTGGATAAAACTTCTTCAGTCAAATGGCCTTGGTATGCATGAACATAGTCACGATTGTCTCGAGCACGATGAAGCATTTCATCCCAAGTTTTCAACTTTTTTCTTCGTCGAAATCCTCTTAATGATAAAACAGCCTGAGATGCATACAACCACCACTCCTTGATATTTTCTTTAACATTACTAAAGGGTCTATAATGTCTTAAACGACAATTTCTATCCAGTTTTCGCAATGACTTGTACAATCTAAAAGTATGTGTGTACTGTGAGTCTGAGAGCTGGAGTGGAACTTTTTCTAAAGAAAGGTGGACATCGAATCTTGGCTTGCTTAAGCTTGCCAGGGGAAGAGTTGAATTATTCTTTGCGACACGTGCTTCAGCCGATACTGGAGAAAGGACATAAATATGACTAGACAGTGGCTTACACATTGCAATCTAAAGATAAAACAGAATTATATCATGTAGGCTATTTTCGAGAGTAAAAATTGAGTATTTTAACCACCTCACCTTTAATTCTTCTAGTTTAAAATCACTCAATCTTTCTGCTTTTGTATCACAGTAGATCCCAAGATTGCTCATCCTTAGGGTTTTGAATGAACTATCGGACACATTTGTAGACGAAGACGATAAAGGATTCCACTTTGGGTCACAGCTTTGTACATTCAACCCTTGTAGAGTAACACCAAATGCGACTGTATGATTTGACTTTTCATTTTCATATTCAAACCGAATATGAACATTGGTAACATTCAGCTACAAAATAGAACAAATCATTCAATTAACAGCATTACATGATCTTATGAAAGATTGCAATATTTATGTCCTACTTACCTGTAAATTCTCAACAACTTTTGTGACAATTGAGGCACCAATTCGCATAGACGAGACGTAGAGGGAGGAATAATATGAAGAATTGTTAGTTTGTTGCTGAAGATCGAACTGTGCCTTCCATCGACCTTCATGTGCATCAAGGGCACTCATTTTTGACTCGTGTGCCAAGGCCTCTTCTTCCAAGGGGTCCAACTATTAAATATGCAATTACGTCATTTCGTATCTATTGCATAGTATCAACCAAATCCAATCGATCAATCAATAAAGCTTGTAAAGTACCTCCGCCAAGTTAACTGGCCCTGCCACCAGACACACATCTTCAATCGAGATGAGGACAGGCTCATTTCTAAAATACTTTAAAATATTGAATTCGATTTTGATTCTGCCCACAACTCCAGATTTGACATCCACAGGGAGTCCCCAACTTCGAAAAATATTTTTCTTAAGAGGCACATTCTCCAGTTCTAGTTCCCCTGAAATATTAATAATGACGAAATTGTCAACTAATTATACTCAACATTGAAAACTAATATTTCAAAACTTCCTGACCTTTGCTCAGCGCAAGTGACAATTGCTGAGAGTTGAGGTTTTCGACGTAGTGACCCAAGTAGTTGTTGATGTACCAGGAGATGAATGTCTCCCACATAGTTTTCGAAAATTAGGTACAACTATCACAATGTAATTACACATTAACTTTAAATATATGTATTATTTTTTACAAAAAATATCTGTATTGGTGAATTGATGAATCAAGAAATTTCGATTTAAGCGGAAAATGACTTTCCCCGTTTTCTATGTCAAATCAGTTTGAGAAAAAAAATTTGTTACCTATGCAAAATGCAAATTATTTTTCAATTTAAATTCTTACAACCTTTGTCTCTATTTTTTGCGGGCGGACATAATTCATAGCCAAATTAATTAAATGATAACATTAGAGTTAGTCACAGTCATTCATGAGATGAAAAACTACTTATTTGGTTAATTAAAGTGAAACAGTTCCATGAGCAATAAGCATTCGTTTATCATGCATTGCTACAGAATCACGTGCATCATTTAATTCATAAAAAAGTCTGATGATAATACCATAAACCATATGAGCTTGATGGGTGCCATAAATGGATTTGCCAATATAAAGTATGCGTCACCACGCAGTGCTTGACATTGACTTCCATTAGATGAGCAGTCGTCACTTAAGACGTTGTCACAATTTGTCAACTGGGGCACTTACACTGGACAAAGTCCTCGAGCTTGTAGCACCCTAAACTGAAAAAAATATTGAGTGAGTTACTTTGGTGAAAGGCATAAGAAGCTTAAGTTGCGGAATAAAGAAGTGATATGAATAATTGATTCCCATTTATTCTACTTTCTATTAACCCAGCGATCTAATGTGGGATGCAACCTTCATTCAACAATCTGACTTGAGAATTGATGTGCATTGGTATAACGTTTTGACCCAGATTAATTTATAAGGCGCCGTGAAAGTTAAGTATTACACAACATGTTTGAAATTAGTAAAGACTTGGGAGAAAACTATAACAGAAAGACTGACCATTTACAAAGGCAGTTGCAACAGGATTCAATTCACATTCAATTTGCAATTGTTAAGACCTTGGTACAACCAAACTTTGGAGAATCAATGCAGCAGATCAATAATACATCGGCTGGGAGTCTCAAGAGAAATTGGAAAAGAAAAAATTTTGCAAACTTTTTCATAGCATGGTTAAATTTCACCAACTTTCTCTTAATTCTGCCATTCAGAGTGGTTAGAAATGATGCCTGTTTCGATGGGACGAATGAGAAAGTAGAAGAGTACGTTATCAAGAATAATCGAGTGCAACAGGTAACTAAATATGTTTTTAGTTAATTAACGCTGGTTTCCACCTTGTATTCATAACTTGCAGGTGATCTCTGCTCTATTCCACATTTCCACTCTCCTTATATATTTTGGAGAATTTAGAATCACTATTGTGAATAACATGACGCATAATCCGGTGGAATTCTTGTCCATGTTCGATAAAATTGCAACCTTGCTACATAATTTTGTTCTCATGTACATCATGTGGAGAAAGTCACCAAAGTTTTTACTCGCTGTGAATAAGTTGGCTGCTCGAAAGTCTATGATTGTTGAAGAGAAGAGTCAAATGGTACATAAGGTTTTTCTCACTTTGTGTTTATGTCAGATGTACATAAGTAAAATGATTTTTGTGATTTAAGCTACCATCAAGATGGGTTGCTGTTACGATTATGGGAATTTATGCTTTATTCGCACTGATCACACCTTTACTTTTAAGTGACCAATTCTCCTCATTCGATTTGCAAATAGCGAAATTTGAGGAAAGGATAAAATATCATTTTTTCTTGACGAGCGAAAAACCTTCAGCTTTATTTCATGCAACTGCAAATTCATCAAACACGAACTTGGTGCTTGACTTGATAGCATCACCAGAAAAAATCCCATCATTGGCACTTTTCTGTATTTGTTTCGCATTTCGAAGTTTCATGGGCAGTTTTACGGATGCCTTGGTCCTAGTCACGGCACTTTCGCTTTGGCATCCAGTCAAAGAGTTTTCGGAAATTCTTCGGAAATCAATTTCTGAAGAAAATGCAAACATCGGTTTCGCAGATGCTGTTAAGGAGTACAGAAAGCTCAAGGAATTATCAATTGCAATTAATGACGCTGTTCAGACTGTAGTTTTCACTTTTGTTGTTCAAGCCATATTCTTTTACTCGACAAGGCTGAAGGAGTGGATCACGAATTGCGGTTCCGGAACACTCTACCTCAGTTTTTTCTTTATTAGTTTCTTTTTCATGTTTTATTTTGCATCGGATGTGTGCAAGCAAGTAAGTCATTGAAAACTACATAGAAATTTATATGAACATTTATAAAATACAATTTTGACAAGGTGGACCAATTTCGACTTTTCATTTATCAAATGAATAGCGAAGACAGAAAGTTTGCTGCTGAAACCGATATAATGGTTTTGCTGCATGAACTGTCGTCTTCACCGATTGGAATTTCAGGGAAAGGGCGATTCGTCATTAACTACTCTTTTGTAGCCAGCGTAAGTGCTCTTCATCTCATTATCATTCCCACATATTTGCATAAATGCTGGCTACACTTGTCTGAATTTCTTAAATAATGTTGCAGATGTGCAGTACTTTGCTGACGTATTTCATTGTTACCGTGCAGTCTGGTGAATAGATTCTTCGTGAAAGAAGCACTATAATTTTAATAATTTTACCTTTTGCATAAATCACATTAGCATATTGCAAATTAATGTATTATCAGATTATTTGTTTGCAAAGTATGTTCAAAAGTTTCAAATTGAAACTCTTGAATTTTCAATTTCTTAAAAGTGTTTATACACCGCTTGAAAGATTTCAGCAAATTGAATAATATAGTTGTCACTTGTGGATAAGTAATATGTAAGGTGTCCTTCATTGTGACATTGATATGCTAGTTTAGTGCGTAGGCGAAACAATGACGATAATATATTTAAATCATTTGTGTAAGTTTTAGTTATATTAGATTTCACAAAGCAGGAGGTACACAATGGCGTATCAGGAGAAACTTTTTCACAAAACTTTCTCGATTCCTCTGGAAATCCTGGAATTGCAGCACGATTCGATTGAACAATCAAAGCATATTGCTAATAAATCTGATAAAAAATTGGGAAACTTTGCAACCCTTTTAACAACTTGGTTTGATTTCGCTTACTTTTTTGCAATTTGTCCATTTCACTTTAAACATGAAGGTTCCAAAAACGGTTACAAAATTATACGACATAAAATTCAAAATGTAAGTTTCAGGATGTATTAGAATATTGATACTGAATTCTGACGAGTATATGTAACAAACAAATTTCTGCTATAGATAATTTGTGGTCTTGGTCATATTTCGACGTTGATGGAATATTTGTCGGATGTTCGAGGGTTGCGTAGAGAAATTTCTCCAAGTGGAAGAAATCCGGTCGTCTACCTTGAGTATTTTATGGTCCATGCGTCAATAATTCGACACTTTCTTTTAGTCGTAATTTATTGGAGAAGATCAGAACTGTTTCACAAAATAGTGAACAGTTTGGATGGAAGACAGCCCATGACTTTTAAATGTTTCTCTTCGACTATAGAAAACCATAAGCTGAAGAGTCAGGTAATGTGTGTCAGTGCTTGTATATGAACTCTGAAACTTTTCAATAAGGGGCCTAATCGGATTCAACTTGATTTTCAGGTGCCAAAGAAATGGATAGCAGTTATCATTACATCAATTTATTTCTTTCTGGCACTGTTCACCTCCATCACCCCATTTTTTTATGCTTTGAGCAACAAACCTGAAGAATTTGAGCGTATGGAAAAAATGGTCAAGTTCATGTATTTTGTACCAGAAAAAGGGTCGCAAGTACAAGCTCGGCATAGTCCTGTTGTCCTGACCTACAGTCCACTGCTTTCAAATACCATGCATATTAACGATTCCGATATTCCTGATTACATAATGGGTTTCGGAACAGATGCAATGATTCCTGATCAAATCCACCAAAAATATCAACCAAATATACCCTGCGTGACATTTGGAATTGTTGCAGTCATATTCCGATATCTTTTCGGTTGTTCTGCTGACTGTCTGATTTTAATCATTGTTCTCTCACTTTGGTTTCCCGTTGCCGACTTTGCAAAATTTATTCGAATCGAGAGAAGAATGACAAAGTCCATTCTGACACCAGCAGACGCATTTGTGGAGTACAGAAGTTTGAAGAGGCTTGCAAACCTTATAAATGCCACCATTAGAAATCTGATCATTTTCGTTATACTCCAAGCAATATTTTTCTACCCTGTTGGCATTAAGCAGGTGGTTGCTAGTTGTGACAGTTCAGGGGTTCATTATATTGGATTTTTTCTATTAAGTTTCTGCATTACTTTCTATTTTGCGGCGGATATCTGCAAACAGGTTATTTGCCTTATTTATAGAATCAAATATTAGAATTTTCTTCAAGGCATTGTATTGAGTTGATTTTGTTAATAAATTTAGATGCAGTCCTTCCAAGCCTATTTACGAGATGAACACAGGCAATGGGAGTTTGCAAAGTTGGATCGCTACATGATATTGCAAGAAACTGTAACGAATCCCATTGGAATTGCCGATGAAGGAAGATTTACCGTCGATTTTCCCTTTGTCGCTGCGGTATTACACATATTTTAGAATTTCAGTTTTTAAATAGTAAATACTCATATAAATCTTTTCCAGGTTACTAGCACATTAATGACGTACTTCATTGTGAGCGTTCAGTATGATGATAAACATAAATCATAAACATAGAACTTTTATAGTCAAACATCAAATCTCAATATTGCAACAGTTTTGTTATTACATATTGCATATTTTTGGGCCAAGTCAACACTGCACTTCCTGTTTTTTGAATTCATATGTAATAAATAGTCCTAATTCCTTTATGATTTTGATGAGTTGTCAATATTAAAGAAATCATGCAGAGTACAATGCTTTAAATGAGTGACATATTATGCAACTCACATCCGTGGGAGGTCTACTTTCCAGCACAGATTATGTAAAATGGTGTACACATTCACATGGTCAATACCCAAGGGATAAGGTCGCGTTTATTGTGTGGAATTGGAAATCCATTGCATAAAGAGAAGTTTCATATAAGCTGTTTTCATCGTAAGCTTCTCAATACATAACTTGCATTTATTTCTTGAATGCCTCAGTCAGAGTTCAACGAAATGAATAATACACTTTACCTGGACTTCACCTTCAACCTTTATTACTTGAGAAGGACTAAGGATTATTGCATGAATCGAGTTGTGGAAAGTTTAATTATTACATGAACATGTGTGTAATTGCTTGAATGAATAAAGGTCAAATATATCTGCATTGCCACGTAAATAATTACATATTTACATGACTTGGTTGTTAGTTATCCAGATATACTTTATTTTCATGGATTACGCCAAGAGAATCATTTCTCAGGTAAAATATACACTGCTCGTAAATGACAGTTTTGCTGGCTCATACCCAAACACCATACGTAATGTTGCGAATTAACAATGAGAACCAGGTAAAACATCGTCCCATACTACTCTTTTTTACGTAGTTGCATTATGCAACTTGCATAACACGTGCATACACTAAACAGCTGCTTTGTGAACCATAAGATTTTTTAAAAATAATTGTACCTACAGATCATTAGTTCAAAATTTCATATTAACAAGAGGGATTGTTATTAAGTGAGTAATTAATTACGCTAAACCTAGTGAAAAAGTGTGAAATATTTTCATGTGTTTGTGAGGTCAATCATTACAAATACAACGCGTGACAGTTGGAATGCGTAGCTAGCTGATAATAAGTATTGTAATTGAATCATTCCACATGAAATCATGAAAAATTGATCTATGACACAATAACGCAAAGTTGGAAGCAGTCATGGAATCGAGTCGGGATCGAGGGTAAAACGTTGATTCTTTTCATTTGCACCACATATGAAATCACTTTTAATTGCAAAATAATAAGTATCTATTAAATTTAAAGCTGCGTTTTAAAACTGTGTAACGATTTCGTAACGATAATATGTTTGACATTGATGTAATTGACCTGTATTTCATAAAGCATCGATGACCGACTTTATCAATAGAATTTACATGCGATGCCATACATAATCCTATCCATGTCCTATGTTTTGTTATCTATCGAATGGCCTTGGCCCCACTGTTATCATCATTAAAATGAAATCACAAAAAATCTGAAAAATGTATAAAAGGATAGTTCTACATAGTTCCTCAATAAACTGATTTTTCCTAATTTCATAAATACATACATACATTTCCGTAGATTTTGTGACCAGCTTGCGGAGACTTTGAGAAATTGTGTGGACACTTTATTTCATCGTGGTAGTGACCAATCTCAAACAGGCAGAGTGGTGGAAGAAGAGGCTCCGTATTGTCCTCCAAACAGTAACCAAATCTGTCCTTCCCTTAAAGTTTGGTCAAATTCCGAAGAGGAGAAGACTTATCAACTCATGTGTTCCACCAAAAAATGCTCGTGGGTCATTCCCTTGGCTGGAAATGCTTACGTAACGTCGCCAGAAGGTCCCCCAGAGGAAGAACCTCTCGAGAACTTTATCTCCGACTGTGGAGTTTCCAACTGGAATAATGGGTTGAGGAAAATGTCCACGTTTTTTCATTCTACAAGACCCGGGTACGTTCTCATGGCGTTGAGATTAAGGGTGCCAAACTCGGATGGAATCAGTAGATTACGGGTATTCACTAATTAACTGCCCTCACGTAACTAATGCACTATTTATAATTAGAAAGATGTTTTATATGTAGATAACTTTGAGCCATGCCAAGCCACCCTTCCGCCAAATCGATGTTGGGAATGAATTTCCAGCTTCGAGTGAGGAGGCTGATGATGCAATTACAATTTACGAGGCAGAAGATGGGAAACAGTCCCAAACGACAGAAATATTTGTCCAGGGGTCGAAATGGCAACTGGCCCCTTGTGGCAAATTCTTTCTGCCGATGGATGGTTACATACGCTTTGATCTGGAAGGAATTTCACGTTCTGGACCATATTTTGCCGATGTGACTCATCTCATCATAATCCCCGAGTCTGATTGGTTTACGGAACAAACGTTTTTGAAGTTTATTTCTAGCCCATCTGACTTCTATTGGGGACGCCGAGGTTTTAAATATTTTGACCTATTTTGACCTATTTTGACCTCATAATAATATATGGATCTACATCATAGGTCCATCTGTACATCTCCGTTACATTCCTCCTCCACTAACGGATTTTGAGTACTTCTATACAGAGTTAACTGTCCCTGATGGCGGGGATGTGATCGGCGCTTACTTCTGTGCCGCTGGATTTCGTGGGGGCTATTTTGGCTTTCAAGTGAATAGCGAAACCGAACGAAGAATCTTATTTTCAATCTGGTCAGAGTGGAATACGGATAATCCGGGGGATATACCAGAAGAGTATAAAGTCGTGTTGATAAAAAAAGGCGATGGTGTGATAGACGGCGAATTTGGGGATGAGGGTTCAGGTGGTCAGTCGTATCTCATCTACCCTTGGATTGCTGGACGCACGTACAGGTATCGAACTTGAGAATTTTCTGCTTTAAAAGCATTTACATGTAAATAACTTGGAACGGTACATATTTATAGATTTCTAGTATTTGCGACAAAATCAGGGACTGAGGATACCGTTTACACTGCATGGTTTAACCCTACCGGCGAGGCTTCAGATTGGGGGTTGATTGCTTCGTTCTTTAAGCCTAAAGATTCGACATATCTGCGAGACTTGTATGCTTTTTCTGAGAATTTCATTCCCGAACAGGGGCATTTAGAAAGAAAATGCGAGTATGGTGCTCAATGGGTGCATACGACAGACGGTACTTGGATTGAGATGACCACTGCAGAATTTACAGCAGATGCAACTGCGACCGCACAAAATCGGATGGACATTAGTGGTGGATTAGAGGTTGAGAGTGGCAATTTTTTCCTACGAAATTGTGGATTTTTTTCAGACGCTGTCAGTGCAAATACCATGTTCGAAAGACCAGCCTTGGGCGTTCCACCAGACATTGATTTTTCGACGTTGCCTTAATGCTGACGTAAAAATCTAATATTTCAGTATTTACCCCATGAGATACATATATTTACAAGTGTGATGACTGTGTATACTAATTATACACTTTTAAATAAATTATTTATTATTTATTCTCAAAATTTCTGGAAAATTCGGTCGTGTACATATGCATGCACACAAGTCCTTATTTGTTTGGTCATGTCGTGTCATCAGATCATCTAAGCGTTACATAATAATCAAAGTGCTGCTTTGTGGGAGGATTGTGAGGGACATTATTTCGTATTGCAAAAGAAAAACATCAAATATATGAACATACATATTATGCATGCATGTATAGCATACGTAGCTCATCCTCAGATGCAATGTAGATTTTAGATATTAGGTCGTCAATGAGCATATAGTTTCCTGTAAATTAGGTGCTAAAGAGGTCCTTTCATCCTATTTATTTAGTGTTGTTGACATGCTGTTTGCATTATCTTGTATGCACAACCTTCATGTCCAGATTCGGATTATGCTCTGAATTCTACACAAGCTTCATCAGATGAAGACCCGTACGTCCGTCCCCGCATCAACTTTTTGTGGTGTGGATTAGGATTTTGGATTAACTGAAATTTTCAGGTTTCAGATTGTTGGCTGTATCATATAAGTAATACATATCTGTTGCAGCTGTCTGATCTGCTCTTCTGCATTCGATTCGGATAATCCAGTGGATTTTATTCTAGATTTAATTTAAAGCTTGGCATACGCTGGATTTTTTTCAAATAATTTGTTACAGAATAAATAAGTTCATAGATAGGTTTCGCTGGTACTAGTGCTACGTACATAGGCGAACATGTATGGTAAGTTGTGTACCTAAATGCTGGTCTTTTAAAGATTCAAACTTTTTGAAACTGATTTGCATGGACATGAACATGATGCATTTTCCTTGCTTCATCTCCCATACGTGTCAAACAACCCTTCCAAAGAACAAAGTACTGCAACGTATATTTATCTATGTATGTACCCTTTAAGGACATAAGAAACTGTTGCCTTTCTTCACTTTGTTGGCATTTCTAGGATTGGTTTTGTTTGGACAAAAACTCGAAAATTGATCCAATTTTCCAAGTGAGCACACCTCTCAAGCAAGCCACGGCGGCTTCTTTGCCCATAGTTTCACATAATCAGTCAGATTATGTCGCTTTTGTCCCGTACTCTTTTCACTTTAAAATTTGATCGATTCGTGGTACTGTAGGGGACTCGTGGAAAATAATTTTCAAATTAAAATTTTAAACTTGACGTATGTTCAAAATCTACAAATTTCATATGCAAGTAAAGACGTAGTATAGTTTAGATTATCTGATGTGCCCTGGAACTTAGTAGGCCATGAACGGTCGAATGTAGTCGGTAGACTAATAATTCGCATCCCACCCGTTAGAATCATCCTTCGGGTTTCCTCGTGGAAGGAATGACAGGATTACAGAATTTAGAGTTGAGATTAAAAGTTTTTGTTGGCTATTATTACAAGTTCGACCACAAGAAGCTGGGTCGCGGCATCCTTTGGATTTTTACAATTTAGGATTTGAATTTTGTAAGTTTTGTTTGATGACAAGAAGACAACCAAATAGAAACATGGTGGCTCACACAAAGCGAATAATGAGGATGAACGGAACTTTTGAGCTGTGAATGGACTCAGTTGTCAGTTCACCATCCCATTGAGGGTTCATTATCTGATGTGACTTGACGGTTCTCATGGAGGTGTCCATTTCATCTGATAATGGTTGAGACATGAATATATTCAGGGCCCTGCTGCACTGAATATCGACCCTCCTTTGACATCTCCTCCTCGGTTTCACCTCGCCTCCGGATTATCTCAAAATTGGTCTGGGCCATGTACATACGTGTTATAATGTGAGAGAGATTGTGTTCCTTGATCATCATTATTGCTTCCTCGAAATGCTTGCTAATATTTCAAATAACTTTGCAAGAATATTTTCACGCAACGGGGATCAGCAGGAGCTGCAAAGTTGTAAGGCTAATCAGGATAAAGATTTCAAGTTGATTACTAGCCAGCAATATTGAGACTGCTTCTGCTCTTATGGGTGAAAGGAATAAATCCTCAAAGAGCTTTTTAGAGCTATGGGGAACATACCTGTGAAAGATTCTGTTTGATCCAAACACCAACCAGCCACCCCAACGCTTGGAGAGCGACACTAATAACGATAGAAAGCAGGGGGATGATATAAATTGTATGGAAATAGATTGGCACATGCCAAGGTTAATCTCGTCAGCGTCACCATTAACAGAAGATGCAGAAAAAAGAGAGAATTATATTTGCATGACGTCTCTTCTGTTTCTCTGTATTAATTTCGTGTCTGTAACAGGTTAGAAAAACTTTTTTTCTTTGTGTCGCGTCATCCAGACCGTTATAAAAGACAAGGAATTTAATGAACTCGAATAAAAACTGAAAGTGGGAGCACAAGCCGTGTTCAATTCAGATCTTTTTCAGAGCACGATAGACCAACATTTGGTTCGGCACTTAATGCATAATTATAAATTTGCAAATTCAGCGACTTATGTATGGGCACTGCAAGTAGGCATAACGCTTTTAATTTTTCAGACAGAAATTCCTCGGTATACAACCGACAACCGATTGTTAACAAAATTTTGTAACTCGTGCTAAACTTTAAAAAGCTACAAGATTAAAAAATAAGGTTCAGTGTTTGAAATATTTTTAAAATTCCATCAAAAGATGAAACTTGCGGATGTGAAAAAATATACTGGTTTATTTTTGTTTCGAACAAAATAAAATTGGTCCCACCAAAAATGGAGTTACGAACACAAGTCTTTGGGTGACCGTATTACTAGGTAAGTCTTCGGTAGGACATAACGCAGTTTCTGTCCGAGAAACCTAGCATTTTAACGAAATTGTAGCACCCATAAGTTGCTGAATTTTGCACATCGCAAGAATCGGATACCCGTCGGCGCAAGTGCTGCACAATAATGTTGTTAGGGCAGAGTTTGTAATGTTTGTAATGTTCTATGGGCAGGGAGGGCAGGGCCTATCTAACTGATCCTGAGTGGATCCTGAGTGGATACAAAAAGATACATGAGTTGAACATGGTTTGCACTCCCAAAAAGTATTTTTGGGACCAAATAATTCTGTTCTGTCAAATGGTCTGACTAGAATTTATAAATATACATATTTGCCCCATGGAGCAAAGGAATAAGTAAAATGTCAGTTTTCGAAATCAAACTTTGTCAAACAAAATTGAGCATGTAAATACTTAGAAGAAACTCAAAAGTACATTCAGATTCTGTTGATTGGTTGGATGAATGAATCTGCATTATTATAAATTTTTAAAAAACGCCATGTATTACATCATGTGAAAACCTAGTAGTTGAGGTCTAACGAATCACGAAATATTGAAAAATCCCAACAATCCACGATAATAATAGCATGAAAACACACCTGAATAATTTACGATTTTCTCTTTCTATCCCGTATATTCACATTTATTTCAATTCAATCTCATTCTGATTCTGCGAAACACTCAATATAAACGCAGCGAATACAGCTTCTCTTCATGCGATGTGATGCGTACTTAAACTCATAAATTGTTGATTGTCTATTGTCTATAGAGTAAAATTGTTTTTAAAGGCAAGCTGAGACTGAATACGTACATATGTATTATGCTTGTGGTAATTCACTTTCATCAGGCTTTTCAATTTGAAGCACAAAGAAAAAGTTCCAGTAAATAATTTTTCAATTTCTGTCCCTGAAAGTTAGTAAAGCAATATAGCTTAACAATAAAAATATAGATACAATACAGTATATTTGATAAGATAGATTATCGAATAGACTTGAAGAATCACTTTTAACCGAAACTTCGATTACGAGGCGAGGAGAAAGCACGCTCGTACAATGCAAAGTTGCCTGGTTGCAACAGCAGCCGACCTTACAAGAAAAGAAAGAAACCTCATTACGGACACATTTTCAAGCGTGCTGAAATCACGAGGGAAAATTCTCCTTAATTGAGTCAGAGAAATCTGACAACTATCAGGGTTTAATGGACGTTGAGGAAAAATAAATATATTTCACTCTCCGTTTTGTTTCGTTCTTAAAAATAATAAGGTATTTGTAAGTCCTCTTTAAATTCTAAATGTCGTAACGTAAACGATTTACGGCGCTCTTTAATTTATGCATGACTGAACAGGTAATACATTGTCTGAGAAAATTTTTATAAAATCGAGAAAAGCATCAAAAATATATAGAATCGGCTTAGCTGTTAAATAATAATAGTGATAAGGGAATTTTCCTATCATGTATCTACTGTCGACTCAATATTATGTATGAGAGGGTATCAAGTGATTGTGTTGACTTGTGGGTGCGTCACAATCCTTGGGTGGTGAAAATTGGGCTCGTTGCATATATTTGTGGCAGTATTTTTCAAACGGATTACGTCCATATTATTTTTTCACGAGCCTTCGCTGAGTTGATTTTTGAATAAAGGTTCAGTAAGAACTTGTGAATTGTATTCTCGCCCTTTGCTGAATTTGCATTGAGTAAGAAAAAGCCTTGGTTGATTGTGGAAAGGCTTAAATATAAGCATTGCAATCCTCTGAAGCGCGAGAGTCAGTCTAAGGTTTTTAGGGATGACGATTTTTAGGTTTTCAAAAAATAAGTCTGTTCTGCGTATTACTTAGAATTTCACGTTTAAAGGTTTACGGATGATGATGATATCACGTGTGCATAATGCTCGTATAATGGCCATAAATATGTGTATAGGATGATGCAAAAGTTTTAGTTTTGAGCCAAATATATGGTTTAGCCAGCCACCGAGCATTACATAAGGGTTCCTAAGCAAATGCTGAGAATGAGCTGAGACGAGTTGAGACAGTGCTTTATAATTTACCAGAATCTCAATCCTAAGGATATCCAGAAAGTCCGAAAACTTTCATTACTCTAAAAGGATTTGGATTTCACTCGTGTTACGTAATGCATTACGTATCTGCACGCATGTACTAATTATTGAAGTGTACCACGTAACTCCAGAAATTACATAAAGAGACTAAAATGCATAGCTAGTCTACATATATCTTGCACTACCTAAATACGTACATAGACCAGTTTGGATTCTACGCTTTTCTACTTTGCTGTTCAATCTTTTAGATGCGACAAACTATAAGTTTTATAGGTTCATCTTATGTACAGTTAGTGATGTTGGATGGATTTCTGGACTAAAAGTTTTCGAACCCACAATTATTCCAATCCTCTTCCAATGAAGAACAGTGGGTAGCTTTTACAATCCCGCAATCCAGCTCTGCCGATTGTAAGCTAACCTACCAAAGAGCAAATAAATAGTTGATGAAAAAAGTCAAGCTGACCTCAAGAAACTAAAGTACACGATGAATGAATGTAAGTAAGCGAAAGAAACTATCATGATCCCACTGCACCGCATACAAGGCGAGCTCTGCCCTGCATTATAAATGGATGACTGAGTTAAAATGTGAGTTTAAGTTGACAAAGTCTCAAAGTCTCATGGGGCAACAGGCGGACAAGAAGTGAACAAAGACCACTAATTCGACTTGCTCTTTGTCGGTGTTTTCCAATAATGGGACAATGTGGAAATGGAGAACAGGGTACAATGGACTGCGACCAGAGAATACAATGCTAAATATGTGGCAAAGGGTTCCCTCTCAATTGTCAAGCCATTTGTCAACTCACACAAGTTAACACTCACCCGTTTTGCGAGAACTCAAGATATGTAGTGGCCAAAGAGCAGAAACAAGAAAAGAGGTTCATCTTTTATTAAGCTTGGTTGATACCTGCCTGTGTTGCATTCAACCAGTTTTTAGCTGGCTAATAAACATGAAAACATTTTATGTGTTTGAAAGGATTCAAAGATTTTACAAATTTTGTTGGTTTAAAACAAACCTTTCAAATGTAAGAATTAACGTTGGGTTTACACAAAGCGAGCACAACTGTTTGCATAGTCTTGGCATGTATCTAAATACATATGTACAGTAAGTATGCATGCACATGTGAACATATATGTACATAAATACTGCAGGTCTAACAATAAACTATTAATTTCCTGCAATCCTACTTTACCACGACTATATGTAGTAAGAGAAAGTAATAGGAAATGGACATCCGACTCAACCGGATGATCTTGGTTTCCCCTCAATGTTTATCAGAGGGGTCAAGAAAAGCAATCTTATTTCGAAACCGGATCTCCACCAACAGTGAAATCCGAGAAAGTCAATACGTACGTACCTACGTTGACCATAAGATAGCTAAATCCGGACGTGTGTCGATAAATTTCCATTAAAAATAAATCAAACCAATCAATCCTTTAAGTGAACTCTAAACGATGAGCACAATGTCTTCATTATGACTGAAAATGAAATACATCTGATGAAACACTATAGCTCGGCTTCCTTCCTCTGAAAACAAAAATGTTGGGCTGTATGTACATCCGTTCGATTGAGTAAAAATTTATCTGATGAATTTTGCTAGAATAAAATGTTTTGTCGGTCATGGCTTTAAGAGATTGAATCGAATTGAAAGCGAGAAAAAGAAAAAGGGGAGGACGAGCGAGGAGAAGAAACCGTAGTAAAAGTGAGCTCGATGTGTCGTAGGGATCAGAGGACGCGACGCGACCAACACCCGACCACGGAATAAATAAGACAGCATCCGATTTAGATTTACTGTCACATAATATCGTGATTACGGCTGCAAGCAGTTCTCGCGTATTTGGATAATTGGATGAAACCCCACCAACGTTCCGGCACCACCAAACTCGCTCTCCGCTTAATGGTTTTGTTGTTCAAGCGCCGATGATGATTATGAGCCAAATAAGTGCCAAACTTTTTTCCCTTTGTTTGGATAAACACTGTGAAAGACGCAAATTAGTTTTTTGATGCTGCGTTCGTTCTCCATCCGATTCTGAAATTAATGGAATACTGTAGAAGGGATTTGAGCCGACAGATTTGAAAACATGTGCGTCTTCTTGTCACGTACTTTTTGAAGCCTTGGTGTATGTATGTAAACTTTCATATGCAACGGTAAGTAAAAACTTAAAACACCTGGATAAATTTTCATGGAATTACATAATAATAACAGTGAATTTATGTCCCCTTTATACATATGTAATGAAATTAAACGCCTTTTGTATTGGATACTCGAGTGTTTCGCGTTACCATATTATTCTCCTTCCATGATGGATATGAGCTTAAATCATCATTCATTAGGATTAAACCTCTACAATATGCATGCAGATGGCTATGTATGTACATACATGTTTATGATGTTTTTCCAATAGGTGAGTGACCAAGAACACGTTACGGTGTTCAAACTTGATGTATTTTCGATTCCAGGCCCTAAATAAGAGAACAACTATTTATTAGAAAATGTTGAAGATCCTTCAAGTTTGAAGTAAATAATCTTGTTTTGACTTTTACAAGAATCTATTGTGACTCTGAAAGTAATGTGAGGTGGCATTTGACATGGGTTGCTGCTGACCAGACAGCTTTTCCGTTGTGAATTATTAACTTTTAACCCACAGGACAGTTAATCCATTTACAAAATCCACCCTTCCTCTTGGCTCAAGCCTTTCCATATTTTTCACGCATGCTTTCCATGAGACGACCAACGGATGGTCTGGCCACTTGACATGTCCGTAATGCAACTTGTGAAAAGTCATTTGAATTTGAACAGCTTGAGGTATTACGTTTCAGGGACATTATGTTATGAAATATAGAATTTGGATTTGTTAATTTCATTTCATTGTAAATCCCAGGATCCCACTAGGATCTATTCACGCCTACTTTTAACACCTTGAAATGTGGTTTGGTTAGTTTAATCTGTAACTTTATCCCATACCTCACACCAAATGTTGACATCCCAAATAGCAGACAACCTTGTCAGCCACTTACTCGGGTTACTTTACACCTTTCGTAAAATGTGGATTTTAGCGTACGGATTGCCCCATTTGTACTTTAACAGTAAGAAATCATAGTTTATATTTTATGGGATGTACTTGTGCTACTGCAGTTAATGGGGAATTATGATGATGATAATGTTTACTTTGACAATTGTGCCACACACAGATTCATCTCAAGTCATTGTTTGCAAGAGTCATAATTTGTTTTCTGCTGTGACCACCCAAAATGAAGGAGCACTTGAGGAGAGCATGCACGTAAGCAGTGATCTCAAGTGGTTTTGGAGAGAGCGATTAACAAGTAATAAAATAAATAAGTAAAGTCACAAATGCCTTGAAATCTCGGAAAGTGGGCTCGGGAAGGACAGAAATCTGGATTGACTACAAGATGCGATAATCCATCAGTTTAGTTCTTAAGAGGTTCAATCCATCTGACTCGGATTTTTATTTATTTGCGAACATATTTACATAATATGTACATATTCGTATTAATACACATTTTTAAATATTTATATTCAGTGATGATTTTAAGTTGGTGAAAATAAATAAGTCGATATCCTAACATGAGGTGCAAGTAATGATTGTTGTGTAGCACTTATTACACGAATACTAGTGCTCAATATTTAATATACAATTTTTTTTACAATTTTTGTCGATGCATTTTAAATTAAGTATCTAAAAGCGATTGTGCTGTGTCTCCCAAGCTTTACCATAATGAGTGAAAGCTAGAAATAATATTTGAATGGCAACTATTAAAGTGCCTCTATGTAGATATTTATACCCTGCATTGTGTTATGACTGAAACTGGATATGATATATTTATATTTTAAATGCAATGACTTTTTCGTGAACAAGTACATATATTTAGCAAACTGTTGTTGATTATGATGATAAAATCTACCCCAGAAAATATCTACCTAAGTAATCACTTCTTAATCACTTAAATCATCCGAAAAATCATCGGAATCATCACCGTCATCGCCACAAACGCGTTTTCGTCCACGTCTCTTGGTATCGTCGTCAGGGTTGTTGGGCTGCTTGTGCTGCTGTTGCTGGTGAAGGTGGTGGTGAATTTGAGACGGGGGAGGAGGAGAACTCACCACCGATGCTGGACTCACGGGGCAGGAGGAGGCGTCCACGGAATTTAATGACATTTGCAACATGGCCCCACCAAGTTGATGATGGGAATGATGAGGGTGTGGATGGTTGTGTTGTTGTTGATGGTGAAGATGGAGCAGGTTGGATAATGCGGCTCCAATGTCCGTCGATCCTGGGGGCAAGGTCGACGGAGACGAATTTCGAGAGGAGGTAGAAAATTTATTTGATTTCATCTCAGAATCTTCGCCAATTCGTCGGAGACGTTCCTGTTCTTCGCGTTTTTGCTTGCGCCATTTTGCTCTTCGATTTTTAAACCAAACCTAAATCCACAGGAGAATAGAATGGTTGTTAATTTTAACAGTTCACCTAGATAATTATAATGCTACGTTATGTAGATGGGTCCAGTGGGCAGATTGAGATAATTTATTTGCTTCCCGAGTTAATAATCCTTAAAAATTCTTTGAATTACAGTTTTGCATGCTTTATCAACTAGAAGAGATGGAATAATAAGTACATATGTAATTGTGTAAAAGTGTAATCCCATATTTTTCTCCGATCAATCAGAGTGGAGAATGAAATGTTTGAAATTTGATTCAGTCGAATAATCAAAAGTTTTTGGGTGGGTATTCAACTGGCGAATGTCGAATCAAATCATCCTCGCCAACCAGTTCATGTGTGACTGCCAGCTTTCACTTATGCAATAAACAGACAAATCTCTCATACAGATTGTTGGACTCCATATTCGTAAATCCTAAAATTATTGCATAGATAGGATTGAAGTTCTATAGTATTTCAGTCTTTGTGTCATGTTGTACAGTTTTCGGATTCGGTTGTAGCTTTATTTATAATTGACTGACTATGACTGGAAGTAACATCCTTTTGATTAGCAGAGGAGTAAACCTGCATGGTTTCAACAAAGCCAATAAAGTCACCCCCTTATCCTTTCCCACCATTAAATGAACATGAATACTTCATCCTTTGATCTGGACTGAATCACTGAATCATGAAATGTGGTTGTAATTGATACACAATCACAGAATATTATTAATTTTGTTCGATACATGTAGCCGTATTACGCAACAGAACTATATTATTTAACACTAAAAGTCATCAATTCTTTAGGTTATTTTTACTGGCAACGGGGCGTATATACGTAATTGTACATTCTTCATTCTCCCAACAACAGTCGATATCATAAAGTCTCTCATACGTATATATGATAACATTCAGTAACGAAAAATTCATATAAATTAATTAGGAATGATCTATTTGATCTTTTGATCTATCTGTGCATCCACCCATAATATTTTGATTATATATCTTTATAACTCTTATGAAAGTTGAACTGACTGAGAACCTGGTATTCGATGATTGACTCGAATCTTCAGAAAATCAAGACAAGCAATGAATGTAATTTTCTACATGGGTTTCCTTCCCAGGATGAGCAGGATATAAAAATAATAATTTTATGTAAATTGTTGTGTCCCGAGTGGTTATAACTGAATGGTGTCTTTCATAGTGTTAGTACAAGTTCACATTTATGTCCGCCATTACGACGGAAAATGGTACATGCACTTTACATGGATATCCTAAAGGAAAGGGAGGGCCCCTACATCCATCTAATATCTGATAATAATGGTAACAACGACAGCTGCCCTTTTATTACCAGTAGAAAAAAAGACCTTTCATCTTTTCCAGCCATTTTTACTTCACTAACTACACGTTCACAAACGCAAACCTTTATACATACGTAAGTATATATGTGTAACATGCGTGTGTGCAGGCAGACATAAAGGGTCAACTTTCGGAACAGATTGTCTACTTATTCAACTGCACAATACTAGGGGAATGCACAAAACGCTTTTTGAGATCCAAACCATAGACGATGGTTTGCTCATTTGGCAGCTAAACTTTTGTAATTCATCCCACTGCTCAATATTATTATCACTCGAGCAAAACGTGTTGGATCAACAAAAGCAAATGAGATGATTAATTCTTAAGAATGAGAATCACAAACATCGAGCACAGACTTTAAGCAGAGACAGACGACGGCTCGATCAAAATTCAATTATCTGCTTTTCAATTTTTATCGAATGGCACGATGACATTCGAAGAAGAGAAACGGGTGAAAGTCGAGTCGTCAGTGACACTGGCAGAAGCAGCATCAGAATTATGCAAGCAAATGGATGGGGAAATAGAGTCATCAAAAGTATTATGGCTTTCCTCTCGTATTATTCCACGGACGGAACTGGGAAGGAAGGGGTGGTGACTGATTTTCCTGTTCTGCTTGTTGGCGTGATCCACTTGAAACTCAATTCAACTCGAACAACGCCATACAAAAGGACGCCGCCCATCTCTCAAGAAGGGTGTCTCGCACTCATGCACCAATTTCAAATCAGAGAATACAATACAATTCACATTGTGCACGCTGAATGCGGTCAATCAATCTTGACTTTGCACTTGATGTTCATATTATTGTTGTAAGTAAAACACAATTTTCAACCCAGATGATCACATTATTCGCCTTTCTACTAAAGTCATTATATTGTCATCTCAGATCATGATGAAGTCAAACATTTCAGACTCTGCCTCACTGCTTCGGCTAAGGGTCTAGTTTATTATTATCTGCCCAAAATAATTCCTCAAGATAAAGAATTTTTTTCAATTTGCATTGAAAGCGAAGAAAGTTTGTTCGAAATAGAATCAGACGGGATTTAAAAAATGAAGATGTGACGATACTCCTCAGCTGCAGAATCGGTTCAGCAATATCCCGTATCATACGTAATATTTTACAGGGAAATAAAAAATAAACTTGTGGGAGTGTGGGAAAATCTGCAGATTGTCGGTTTTACTTTCAATATATCCCATATTAAAATGAGAATAATTCAAGCTGGATTTTTTACGATCCATCAAATCCCGCTTGTTAGGTAAAAAGGCTTTATGTTATTTATGTAAATGAAATTCTATAAACCTCTAGATTCCAAGTTTGTAACGATTTTTATATAATTCTTGTACATGTAAAGTATACATACACACATGTAATACCGCTCATGGAGAAAACGGTCAACGTATTTTTCCCCACATGTACATATGTATGTGGCCTGTTTACTTTACGTGAAATTTAAATTTCAAGTTTGTCGAGGCTGTCCGTCCAAAGTTTACCAAGTAGATTGTAGATTTGCCGGATTGTTTGCACAAGGAATCTCATTTGCTTTGTTTTCCCTGAGATACGCCAGATTATTATGGGAATTATGGAATAACATTCCGGATTCAGATATTTGCTCAGGAGCCAGGCCAGCAGGATAGGCTTCGCTGCTCCAGTTTTCACATCAAATAACACGCCATCATCATCATCATATTAAATCTAACTCATCTAGCCTCACGAGCGTATACCGCGTTTTCACGGACGACGATAATGGAATCAATGAGTTCATGTATAAAATACTCTGTGGCAGGAAAACGCAAGGAGAGGAAAAGTTGAGACTGGATGATGGAAATTTCTACTGCTGGCTGAGAGAGAGGAACCACCGACATTTTATTACAGTTAATTTTGTTTGCAGAGAAAACAAAGGCTGAATGGATGCGAGATCCAAAGTTTCGCATTCGGGAAGTTTGAGGATATCAGTCTTCACCCCAGTTTTATAACCGCAGGAGGAGAGCAAAACATAAACATTGAGAATGGGCCGAAGAGTCAGAGCGCTCGGGCTTTGCGTATTTTTAAATCGTAGCAGGGATTTAAAGGGCTTCGCCACTACGGAAAATATGGAAGCTTTATTGCTTGTTCAGGGAATTTGAGTTTATCTCATACTCCGACTATCCTCTAAGCAATCTTTGCAGATTGCTTAAATTCATGGATAATGCAATAAGTAAAGTAATATGTAATGGACTCGAGGGTAGAAAACTGGATGATAAAAGTAGAGCCTCGGTGTCCGTATATGTGTACCCGCACTTGCGGAGCACCAGAAATAATAGAAATTGAAGGGAATCTGTAGAGTTGCATTAAGTGAATCTCCTACAAAAATACTTGAGTTTGCATAGTGAGTGGGATAAGCAATAATAAGGGTTAGTCAGGGACATTAGGGAAGAGTCGAATTATGGAGCCTTTGTTGATTCAGCGTCTTTAAAATAAGCACCGTATTGATAGCGTTGAAGGCTTATTTAAAACTTTCTAACAATTTTTCCACTCTAATTCTTCCATAATTTACTATTATGTGGGATTGTTGATGTTTTGCGAAACTCGCTTGGGCTTGTCTCAATTTCCCCAATATGCCTTTCGAATTAGTACTGTTATGGATATTATAATTTTTTTTGTTAAAATTTTTACCTCGACACGTTCCTCCTTCAAGTCTGTTTTCAATGCCAGTGACTCCCTTGCACACACGTCTAAATTATCAAGAAAAGTACGCATTACTTTCACCGATCAAAGCCATTCTGTAAAACTTGAGCCAAATTTTTTTATTTCACGGCAAGTTACCTGGATAATGAGTGATCTCAAATTTTGCTTCCAATTGCTCCAGTTGCTCCTCTGTAAAGATTGTCCTGTTCAAAGTAAACCACAAACAAACATTAAAGTACAAGTCGCCTTCACACAAGCAAAACTATTACAAAATTACATGGTGCATATTCATATTTATGATAATGTAAATGAGATGGTGTATGTATGTGTATAGATGATTAATTGTACTTTATGTATCTGTCTCACCAAAGTAGCCCCTCCTCATTACTTAAAACACCCTAAAATAAGTGTGCCCTCCAGCATCCTCAGCTTCTGTGGGGATTTGAAATCTCAAATTCCAATCCAATTCATCTCATCACCCAGAATATTAATCAAACTGCTCAAAATGAATGAGATTTCCTTCAGGCGTCACGTACTCTCGGTTTAAATCCCTCTGCATTTCCTCTATTTACCGCACAAGAAGTAACTAATTTGTAAACTTTAGTCTTTTCAGGTCGCTTGACTTGGTGGAGCGAATTACTTAAACAAATGTAAACTTGGGCTAAGGAAAAGCTCAGCACCTGCTCGAAATAGCCAAATAAATGAGACTGAAAAGCATACACTTCCGTGCGTCACATGCACTTACATGCATAACATCTTGATTTGTAGCTCTTGTAACAATCCCTAAATGTACAGTGCATATGCAAGGTGAGGAGAAAATTAGTTCAGACGGTTACCTCGGCCAAAGAAAGTGCTCATGCAGATTCATCACATTACTTATTCAATTGCTCTGAGCACTTCTTAACTCGTCGAGACTGAACAAGAAATCTTTTTTAGGATGGCGGAGAAAAAATTTTTCGCATTAAAAATATTTTTATATGGGCACAGAATTTGGTGCTACATATTTTTCATGTATTCTGTGGCTTAAATAAATACTCTCGCCATAATTATCTGTACGAGTGAAAAAGTCACTGAAGGGTGAAACCCACATTGATGGACATGTGGCAATTTTGTTAACAAGTGCTTGTTGTAATCCACTTCTCATCACTATTAATTTAATCCCAATTCTTTCTTGTCATTACTTTTAGGCTTTGCACTATACTTTTTCTACGAAAATTAATGAAAAGTGAGGCAATAAAATAATGTGGTAAAAATAAGGTCATAAAAATGTAGATGCATGTAGATGTTGAGGCCGATCACGAGTGTCATATATGTGCATATGTGTACGTATGTATGTACCTGTGCCTTCTCTTTCGTTTTGGGGTGGGTCCACTGCCCAAAAGCCCGGAAATCATGCCTCCACCCACATTGACACCACCAGATCCAGAGCCTCCCAAGAATGACTGTGCTGCTGCTGCGGCTGCAACAATGGCCGAATTGCCGAGGGTGTGATGGGATGGAAAATAGTGACCGTAGAATCCCGGATATGCGGCTGCGATAAAAGTAAACTTATATTGTTAAAATTATTTTATTAAAGTTATACGACTGTCGGAAGTCTTCAAAGAAATGGTCATTTTTAAGCAATCAGCGACAAGTAGTAACTGGTTAACATTTCGAGACCTTTTTTCTCTTAGGGATGAGCACATGTGAACAAGACAAGGAATACCGATTTATGGTTGGAATAATAATCGCCACTAATATGTATGCACCACTTTTACGAGTGCTAATGCAACCTAGGATTGGGGATTATTGACACATTCACTAGCAACTTGGTAATGGGTAAAAAAGTGTGAAAACAAAGGTCAGACTGCTTGTCGCCTATCGGTTTTCGAACAAGCAACAATGCCAGCTTTATGGAAAACTTGAAAAATATAACTATTTTAAGTTTTCGTTCCAAGAACACTTGTGTCTCTAAAAAATCAATCTGGCTCAATAAAACCAAACGGGTTGAACAATCTGATTCTTACACAAAGAATGTTCTATGAAATTCGTATTTATCTATTTTCTGTCAGAATATTTTTAGATTTCAAATGTGGTTTCATATAATCATAAATCCTGACTGGATCATGTCAGTGTTATTAATTAACCTAATTTGGTCTATCTCGGGGACAACCAGACCTCGTCTGACCACTCATCACATCCTTAGTTTACAATATGTACATGCATATGTCCCATATTTAACCTGCATGCTCTAACTGATTGTGACTGCTTTGGGCAGGATGTAAAGCATATAACTATCAAGGGTGATTAATCAGAGGTAATATGATAAATGACTAATCTGAAGGAAGCCGCACTAGTTTATTACTAATTAATATTTTTGGGTGTTTGTTGACGTGTCTCTAATTCCTATCACCACCCTAACACATAAGTCAGTAAGTAAGGAAAAAAAAGTCTGCCGAAATAAGCTTACCAAGGAGTTCTGCAGCCGCTTGCTGATTATGAATATGAAATGCAGGATGATGAATGAATGGGAAATGTTGGTAACTTGATAGGTTGTTGTGTCCATTGCTTCCCACGTTATTTATGCCCATATTTCCAGACGACGAAGTGGTGTGGGGAGTGCTGTTGTTGCAAATTGTTGTTCCCCCACCGCCCCCAGAGTTAATATGTAACCGTCTCTTGACCTCGTTCGATGTGGACACCGAGTTGGTGACCGAGATTGGGGACGAAGTGTCACTTCGTCCACCTACACTCACACTGTCCCCACTTTTGTGGGTGTCATTGTTGTTGTTGATGACGGAATTGGTCGTTCCTTGTAAAATTGACTCGATGCTAAATGACTTTGCTCCACCGGGGGGGTTGGCACTGGTCGTGAGTCCTTGAGGTGACGTGGAAATGGGAGGTGATCCGGAGTGAAATAACTGGGAATTGGTAGAGATGAAGGGGAAAAGGTTGAAACAGGTTGAAGGAATTTTCTCCATTTCGTAGTTTGTGTTATTTTTTAAATGGCGACAAAAATTGGAGAAAGTAGTGCACACACTTTGTAGATTTTTTTTCTCTGGTAGGAGGATGAGATTTTTAATGGAGAAACTCTGGAAAAGTAGAACGTGATGAAGGAGCGATGCGAGATGAGACTGCTGCTGTCAACGCTGTCTCGTCCGAGGGTCTACTAAACGTGATGTGATGTGTCTGTCAAAAGGGATAAAGAGCAGATCACATCGCGGAGTGAAATCACGGTAAAGCTCACGGTAGTAGTTTTCAATAATAACGAGGACAGAAGTGCATGGTGGAATAAGGCCAATAACAGCAAGATATGTATACACGCTTCTTGGCCACTGTAGGTACAGTCGATCATGTACGAACTATTGGGTGAAGACTGATAGGTTAAGGTCCAGATCTCACTGTTTGACGGGTCATATTCGACTTAACAAGATGTTACACACTTGCAAGGCAAATTAACATGGAAAGCGTAACGACTTTTGGGGGCAGGGATTTAAAGGGTTATAATTTATCCACTGCAAATTAAATTATGTATGAAGTGAGATTTTCATGCTTTCGATTCTATGTAGTCACTCCAAGTTAGTAAATGGCTTGTTTATGGTAAAAGTAAAATTATATTAATTTCTGAACTGGAATAACCGAGCAAAAATTCCAGGCGGCTGAATCTGGATGGATTTGGATTATCCGTTTTGGGGTTTGTTCTTTAGACTTTTGGCCTTTAGAGCATATACATGTGTGCATTATTACTATAATACTATTTTGTACTGCTTACTATTTTCATGGATATGTACGGACCAGGAGGGTGCATTGTTTGCGCCTCGTTACATTTTCAAGTCTTGTTGGACACACACACACGTCCACATCGAACTATTAATCCCACCACCCAAGGTACATGTGTGAGCGTAATAATCCGAAGGCTTACAAATAAGTCTAGCTGATTCGGATATATTCAAATAAACATCCAAAATATTTGACCAAATCCAATCCAAAATCCATATGAAGGAAGGAAGAAAGCCAAACTAGGGCCAATGCCATTGGGGACTTTGGCATACATGTAGTTCCGTGGATTATACAAAAAGGATAGTATTTAATAAGTACCCCTCTCACATATCCTAAATTCCAGGATAAATGTAACGTGGGGTCGACATGCCACATGCCGAGAAATATGCATGCTAAGACCAAAAATCAACTCTGGAGCTAATAAAATGGTGAACTATGTATAATCCAGGAAACAGACCTAGACGGCTCGGTGCCTGGCTTTTCTATTTCATTGTCTTCTGGATAACAATGCATTATAAAAACTTTTGCTACAAATACATACATTACGACTGGCAATTTAAGTAACATTCTTTTAAAAGACCTTTATGTACTGCCGTTCGTAAAATGTTTACTTCCGAAAGAGTGATTCCTTGAGACACGTAAATTATCTAGAAAATTTCTAGACTTTGTAAACTACCTAATGAACTAACTAATTAGTAAACGGCATGATATTTAAAATTATGAAAGTTGCATTCTCAAATTTCCACAAACATATTTAGAACGGTGTTGAAGATGAACTCGTCAACACTTTGGCTCAGAGTGGTCCCGATAAAACGGAGACTGAGCAAGTTTCCTGGCGTGCGGAGGGAGGGTTTAGAATAGGGTTGGGCAACCAACTTCCAATGATCTTGATCCAACTTGATCCTTCTATCTCTTTCGCATCTTTTCTCTGGCTTGTGTACTTTGTGTCGTAACGTAATGGATACATAAATGCTGAACCATTCCAACTTTAAGGTGTTATCCAGTCATTAAAAATTCGAGTGTTTTTTATTTGGTGCATGTCACATTTTCTGCAAAGGAAAAAATGCGAATGTAAAAAAACTCTGGTAAGTTCATGTACGGGAAGGATTAGAGAGAGCCTTGAATCAAGCGAGGATTATTAGCACCTGGATGGATGTGATTGTGTCCATTAATGGATATTACACTCACGCTCGCCAAAAAATAAAGTAGGAAAATTCATCCGAGGAATGTTTTCCTACTTCAATTTCAATTTAATCACATCCATCCATCCATCCAATCCATCTGGATTACTTGCTTTCCTTTGTAGAACTTGTGCTTATAGAATGATTTCGTATTACATATATTCCCATGATGCTATAGAGGGATGCATTAATCCCTTTTGGTCTTTTACGTGTATGTAGGAGGTAGCTTTTCTGCTGCTGCTGGTGATCTGATTTGATGACAAGAAATGCGATGGGTGGCCCAATAGTTGAGAAAGATTTCGCTTTATTAAGAGTTCTTATGAAAGGCTCAAGACTTTTTATTTTGATTTAGTGAGTGTAATCATCATCGAGTAGGACAACCTTTTAGTATTAATGCTTGGGTGTGAGTGTGGGGTCTCATGATCCTCAAAGCCGGGGGTCAATGATTCACATTGCGTGCAGTTTACTGCTTTCACATCACAATAACCTGCCCAACTGTATCTATACAGATTGTAGATTGGTGGAAACAATGCTACAAAGGACTCAACCAAGATTGAACACGGATCATTTTGGAAAAGAAGGGATTTCGTCGGGTTCAAGCCGAGATGAGGCAAAATGAGATGATTAAAAGAATCTCCGGGTAGAAATCTGAACGTCCATGGATCCTCAAAATGTATATATTGTTCGTTATTGATGTTGAAACCAATCAATTTTTTGGCAATAAATTAGTTTGCAAATTTTGAGCGAGACCACAAAGTCTTTAACATCGTTCAAATCCAGAATATTTAATAATAATAACAACTAATAAACGACATGTATGTATGTAGGTAAAACTTGTTAAGTTTTCTTGACAAATGATGCAGTACTTTATCCATGCACATCCATTTTTAATTTCCTTTGCTCACCGAAGCAAAAGTGACAAAACAATAATCATGTGTATAAATTACATTAGTCTACACACATCTAAACACGTCTTAATTTTCAAAGACAGTAACGAGCCAACAATGTGTCGGAAAGGAACCAATTGAGGACAACAGCCGGCATCAGTTCATTCTCCAAGAAAACCTTTAGAAATCGGCTTCTTTTCCCTAAAAATACAGTGCCCGACCTTTAAAATATTGATATTGATACGCACAATTGACTGTGTTGTGTTCTACCCATGTACTAGATTTGTCATGAACAATAGTGATGCATTCTATCGCTGCTGCCTTACTTGAACCAGTTTTAAATATCATATGCATTCATGGATTAAAATCTTACAATTGAGTTTACACACGGTTTGGAACTACATAACTGCAACTAAGCATTATAATATGAGAGAAAAGTGCATGGGGAGACCTTAAATTTACCTACACCCATCATCCGAACTATCCGTCATACGTACGTATAATGCATCTTATTCCTATTTACCTACATGTTGGAACCCCCTGTAAACCGACCAACGGATTAACTGATGAAACTAATCCAGTCCAACCGACCATGAACATCATTTGTGAGAAGAAAAAGTTGAACCGTGGATTCAAATGGTCGCTCTTCTCATTAAAATGCGTGCAACATTCTAGAAATGAAAGCGCTTTCTCTGTATCACAGGTCACGCAATTTTTGTGCTGCTCTTGGCTGAATATTCTGAATGAAGGTAAACGGTTTTGGTGATGTAGCCAATTGACAGTAAGGAGCACAACATTTTTTGTTAGGTCGAGTATCCACGTACTTTACCCACCACGAATCATTTACAGTGCGTTCAAAAGTATGCATTGTACAACGACGTGGAATTACTATGATAGACCTCCTACGAGGTTAAGTTGACCTATTGAAAATGATTTCATTTTACATTCTTCCTTCTATAATACGTAATAAATAATATGGTTTCTTTGTAAACTTTTGCTTGATAAATATTGATATATTGTATAAAATTCACAAAATTGTCAGAATCGGGCAGTATTGGCAGAATGAAAAATGGCATTGGCAGAATGGCAGAATGACAAAAATTGGCAGAATGAAGGGCTATTTTTGCTGAGAAGTCAATCCACTAGTACGACCTGCTATGCGAGCTTTTTTTGTTTTCGTAGAACATGAAATCCTAGTTCATAAAAGTTATTGATAATATTAATTAATTAAGACGCATTACGTATTTTGGACTAAAAGATCTCACAATGAGAATGCAAGCTCCCAGCAAAACAGCCTTAATGTTGACGGATAGATCTCCAGGAAACGAGATACCGAAGTTATCCGCAGAGGTAAAAAATTCTTGTGCACCAGCCCACGTTTTCGTGATTTGTCCAATTGGTGTTTCGTAATCACTTGGAGAAACCAGCTGAACAAAAATGTCTCAAAATTTGTAGACATATTTAAGTATGCGAGTATGTATATCCTTTACTAAAAATAATGTCAAAAACTTGCATCAAAACTGACGTTGCCGCAACAAGCGGTTGTACAACAGGGGGCTTTAATGATAAATACGACGTTTCCCATCTCATCATTCACATTGAATCGGGCCCCACTGCAGAGTACGCATTGTTGCTGAATTGTCCCCAACAACTGACCCGTACTGATTGCAAACACACTCATGCTCTGAGAAAGTGGTCAAATTTTGGTGCAAAGTAATTTAAAGGAAATCAACCACAAATTCAGACTCGAAATTGACTTACAGTCAAACAACATTGGAGTGGTCGATCCAAGAGGATGCCAAACCCGTTGGGGTCTCGAATGTGCAGCACGAATCCTCTCGCACTTCCGCAGTATTGTCTGGCGCAGCAGTTGCTTTCTTCGTCACCAATGTACACCATTTGTCCATTTGGAGCAAAGAACACGTAGCGATTTGATTGCTCGAATCCGACCAGAACTGTGTATTATTCAATTGCAAATAAGGGAAGCACTTTGTATTCAATAATCATGTACATTCCGCTTATTGGTTTACCCTCTAACACATCAATTTGTTGTCTTACAAAAATTTGACTGAGGGGAAGCAAGCACTCCAATCCAGGAATGACATTGGATGATGGGATTGCCACAAGCATAGTCTCGGGATGGCCCCCTTCGTTAGTTCCATTCATTTTATTAATATTAAGTATCACTTATTACAGATCCAATGTTTCTTGAATTTAATACATAATTTAATTTCTTAATATACACAAGTGTTTATAACATTCATTTTTAATGCGCTTTCAAAAAATTGAGAGTAACTTAGGTACAAAAGCTAAGTTAAGTTGTGCTCTCATGCTCAGATGCTTGTTTTGAACGAGCCGTGGGTGTCAAACGACATTGGTAAAAAAATGCCAATTTAATTTGTAATTTGTACAAAAAAATATTACAATAGTCAAGCAATCGTGATAATCGTGGACGTTGCATAATTATTGGACACCCTCACGAAATATTATTCCGTATATTTGCATACTTGCATAACTATAGTAGATCATCAAGATATGGCGGGCAAATACGACGAAAGTATCGATATGAAATCAGAAGATGAAGATACATCAAAATCATATTTGTCTGATTCCAGCGACCACGAATGCCTTAATTTCGCCCCTCAAACTGTGCAAACAATGACACAAAGTCGACCTGCAACTGCTCGTAGCTTCCAGTTTAACAATAACATTGTTGAAGGTATTGACTAAATTTAATCGAATCACGTGAATTTTAATCCTGTAAATCTTGACCTTTGGAAAATAATTGTTTTATAGTTGTTGGGAGTTCTTCAAGAATGACACCCCAAACTCCTCACAATTCGACGGCCTACAAAGATCCCAGACACCCGTACAGCGATGCTCTCGGGTTGGATGCAGAAATTAAAAAGATATCACAGACTCAGAAACTCTTAAGCAATATAAAGCCTGGGATGATGGTGGACAATGATGACGAGGATGATGACGAATCTTTAAATGATGACACCAACCTCTCCTCTTTCATGGACGAAGACGAAGATGACTCCGGTTTCCTATACCCCACTCACGATTATGGGGCGTGGATCGACTCTGCCGTAGAAGAGGTGCCCTCTCCAGACCAAACTTTCCCCACACCACCAATTCATGATGAAGCAGCAATGAAGGACTACCTCAAACTTAAGGACATTTGGGAGCTTCAATTGGACATCAAGAGGGGTCGGCTTGGAGAATTTGTCAGTAAGAATTGTATGCAGCCGGGGATTCATAAAGCTGATTCGTACAACCCGAAGGATTATTCTAATCTCAAAGTCTCCCCGGCAGTTTCTCAACTCTTCAACTACATTCGTCCCTCAGCGTTGTCTCCAGACGTCCAAGAGGTCAAACTAGCTCCCTTCATTCCTGATTTTTATCCAAGTGTTGGAGACATTGATGCCTTCATCAAGGGTAAATTCCGAGTTATCATACATACATGCATATGCATAGATAATAAGATTAACATCACCGTTTTATTCAATTATCAAAGTGTGTGAACCGACCATTGACGATGATGGCGTCGGACTGAAAGCTTTGGATGAACCATCGACGAACCAGAGTGATCCTTCCTTGCTTGACCTGCAGTTACGAGCTCTCGCTAAAATGAAATCGGTGAAAGCCGTGATGGTGAAAAGTTTGGAAAATGCGAGTGAGCATCCTGACTTGGTGGAGAAATGGGTCAAAGATATTACGCAACTGCACAGATCTAAACCAAGCCCTTCTGTCCACTATTCGAAGCAAATGCCGGATATTGAGACCTTGCTACAAGAATGGTCACCTGAGGAGGAGGAAATCATAAAACAAATGAAAATTCCCGAGCCAGACATTTCCTGCAGTTTGGAAAACTATGTCGATATTGTGTGCAACATGCTGGATATTCCCGTCTACAATGAGAATAAGGTTCACAGTCTTCATGTCCTGTTCAGTTTGTACGCCGCAGCTCAAGAGTTCAATGAAGTTGTGGGTGTGGATGTGCTCAATTTGAGGGAGCAGCAATTCGAAACAAGAGATTCCAGGCAGCAGGAATTTGATCAAGATATGGATGCTTTGAAGCTTAATTGAGTAACTTATGTATGTCTCATCATTTATAACAGTTTTAGGCCCACGTTAATTGCAGGTGTTCCACATTAAATAAACTGCCTTGGCTGTACGCACTTAAGTTTGCACTTGACTCTTGAACTCGAGTGTTTGTTTACTGAATAGGTCATTTATTTGCACGATATCAGTTTGGATGTACATTATCCGAGCTGATAATAATAATTTTAATTAATTAAGGCATATTGATCTGGAATGAATACAACTTTGTTTGCACGTGATGAAATGCAAACAAATAAATAATTAGTTACAACCTTCGCCGATGTACAAAAAATGATCCTCTTCCATTCAAGTCATATCTCACGGTGGATTGAACTTCCGTTGCATTCAAGAATTCTTCAACCACGACTGACACTGAACCGATTGGATCGTCAAACAGAACATCTTTGTCAATTACGTCAAATCTCCAACGCTGTGATCAATTAAATAATCAAATTTACCACATGAGCGCAGGCATATGCATATATGTGACAAAAATGTAAAAATTTAATTTTTAAAATCACCATGCGCTCCGACTGGGTGTACTGAAAAGTAAATCGTTCTGGCCAAACCGGAAAATTGTCATCCGTCATTTCCCGAGTTTGTCCACAGTTCCTCCAGTCATAGGATGCAGTTGAGCATAAGATCTTAACAAAAGCGTCACAGGCCGAAAGTGCATCGCATCCATTCAAGTCACTATAATCAAGTATGAATTATGAATATGCCAATAATATTGAAATAGAACCTTCATAATTACTCAATACTCACGTTGCAAAAAGGCTGATGATTACTTCCGTTTGGTCACCTTGACTTTCTGCCCTTTTATCAAGAAGGGTAACGCCAAGCAATAGGCACATAAAGAGCTTCCCGTGCATTTTGCAAATCAACAAATCACGATCACGACTTGTCCAAAGCTTGTGCGATTCTGAATGAATGTAAAATTATACTAAGCAAGTGATCTAAATATTAAAGCGCATGGTTGGTTTATACTGGTTTAGGAAAACGTATGTACGTCTAATTGAGTTACTCAAGTTGTTATCATACGATTTCCCGTACACCTACTTATCAGTAAAAATAAGCAGTCATCGACACGTTACCATCACGAGAAGTGTCATACGAGGTACTTGAATTAATTATGATAAGTATATGAATGCTGATAAAACGATAAAACGACGATATCGAATATACGAGTTCATAGTTCGAACAAGGAGCAGTGCTACATATTTATTTCTATTTAAGTATTACAGGACATTTACGCGTTGGAAATTCCAACTTGAAATTTTTCAGGGCTAGATATGCCATTTATTTAAATGGTCGACAATGATAATGGTGGTACATATTTGTATCCTCCTTAATAGTTTTCAGAAGATTGCTCCTGTTCATTTTGGAGTAGCGGCTTGTTCCTGCTCAATGGATCGAATTCTCTCGACAAGGGACGGATGGTGGTCATAAAAAAGCGAGTAAACAGGGTCCGTGCTCGGATAACCCAAAACAAGCATCTTCAACTTAACCAATCCTGTCTTCAGCTTTTCTGCATATCGAATTGGAACTGAAAACATGTCTGCCTCTCTTTCCATAGCGCATCCCACACTAAGAAATTAATATAATATTTAACCGATCATTGTCCTCTGAACTTTACAACTCGTCAATCTCACTTACCTGTTCCAGAAGGAATAAATGGTCTCGAAAAAAAATTCAAAAAAGTTACTCATATTCTGAAGTAATAATTTTTCATCAACTAAAAATAAATAACTAACTTTGTCCAGCACTCTGCAGATAATTTGTTCTCCGATGAAGAGGCCAGGGAGGAGAGGATACGGTAAACTACTAATGTCGGAAGGAGAGAAATGAAAAGCTTGGTACAACATCTTTTGCTCTCTTGACCACATCGCGAGCACAAATAAAATGGGCTCGCAAAAAATGCTGGCGAAAATATCGTTCTTTTCGTTGTGACGTTTCACCCAGTGTCCAACCTCGTGAGCAAATATTCCTTCCAGTTCTGATATGGTTAAACCTGGACTTCGTTTACCCTGTGTAACAAGATTACATTCTTAAAAGATTACGCGAAATATTTCTCAATTTGATGATAGTAAATCTTAATTGACTTTACCCTGACGTGTCTCTTATTACTGTCCTGCTCATCATAGAACCCCTCAATCAGAGAGGAAATTATTACAATTCGAGTATACAATCCGAAGAAGGATACGCAATATGCATTCATGGGGTGATTTGGTGGTACGACTTCAATATACACTTTGTCCAAAGGATATCCCGTTCTTGTACAGATTGCTGCTAATCTGTCTCTGAAAGATCGCGGAAATTATTAGTATTCAATTTAAAACTAGTAAAAAAATTATCGGCTCACTTTAATAATCCTTCAGGAATTGGTTTGAAGGAGTCACGATCCATGTAGGTGAATACATGTTCCAAGAACTCGACGACAAAAAGAGTTATGCAGTAGATTATGGCAAGAATGGTGTGTCGAAAGAGTGTGTGATATCCAGTCGTTTGATTGTCATACACCTAAAATTATGTAATAAGCGACACACAAACCAAGAAAAATTACAATGCCAAGTCTTTTTTGCATTAAATATTCCTTACGTTTATGAAGAACGAGAGAAAAAAACTTGTCACAGTTTTGTGCATCGTATTCAAAAGCGTTTCCTCAAACTTATTGCGTACCCAGTAGCGCATGGATTTGTCGTAAAGACCATAGGCCTTGAGTAATCGATGTTCAAAGAATTTTACAGGGAAATCCAGCACTAGCAGCTCAAACAAGGCGAACCAGAAGCCTGTGATTTAGATTTTAATAAGTACATTTACATCGTAATCCAGTATTTCTTAATTGGCGTTATGTTTTTATTTAGTCTTTGATTATACCGAAAGAGATGTCCTTTCGTATCTCCAGGTCGAGAAAGTTTGGTGTAAAATCAAACTGAGAGTCGGCCAACTGGAAATTGTCCCACATGAAAGGAATTATGTCGGAGTAAATGGTCACCTGAAATCACAAACATGTACTTTGAGGAACATTTTCTGCCAGCAATTATTTTCAAAATTGTTTTCAAAATAATTTATATCTTTTAACATTTTAAAATTATTTCAAAATTTGACTACGTGGGTAAGGTCAAAGCCGTTCCTGTTGGAAAGGAAATGTTGCATCTAAACTCTTCCAGCTAGATAAGAACTGGAGGTGATTTTTATGTTATATAATTTTCAAAATAAAATACGTATGCTAAATAACTATTCTAATCCTAAGTGTTAGAAGATACATAAAATATAAGCAATGTGCTTGTGTTTAATAAGCTATTCATATTATGATTTTAAAATATTTTGCTGCTACCGTCCAAATAGATGTGGTAAAAAGTTTGGCTTTGATGTCCATCACCAGTTTTTTGTGCATTTGCATTCCAGAGAGGTGAAAAATCGATTCCGTGTATTGTGGATACTTCGACAAGTTTGTATCTTTCCATTTATGTTTTTTAATGTAAACGATCTAGTAATCGAAAGCACGAATAATTTTCTGCGATTTTGTGAATACAAAAAATATTGCATATGCATATTAAGTATGTACGTATGTACCTGTCTTCCCATTAGAAGAGTTGCCATAATGCATTCAAGCCAAAAACCGGCCACGCAAACGAGGCGAATATTATCCTCCGTCATGAAGACCTCGAACGACGACATGCTGCATGCAGGAAGAAGCTATGTCCAATATTATTGGAACTTTATCATTTTACATGTAGCACGATTGCTTGACTTTTGGCACCTTAGGAGCATTTTAATAGAATTATACAGCCCCTAGATACTAAATGTTAAGCAACCGATGATTCGACACCAATGTAGTTTCAGTTTAGTACGCAAATATGACTAATTTCCTCAAAATCAGCCTTCTACCACATTCAGAATATTATGCACAACAACTCCACCGGTCGGGTGGGGTTGTACGTTTATCTTTACTAATTTATGTGTATGAATTCATGTATCAGTCACAACGGGGACATGTAAACCTTCGGACAAAAATGCAAATTTTTATTACGATATTGAATATAAATATAAATATTTCACCAACGCATGTTGCGTAATTTTAATTTAACTTAAATAATAGAATTAAACTGAAAACCAATCCAAGGAATTTCGTGCAGGTGAATGTCGATTAACAACGTCACTGTTATGTCGGTGGCAATCTTCAAGAACTCGAGAAAGGACGCATTTCCCATCTTGAAGAATGGAGAGCTCGTTTTCAAATGTAAATTCCACAGAGATTTTGCGACTTTTGAATCACGCGTACCCTTAATTTGCGACATGTTGACATGTCGAAGGAATTTTTTTCCTATTGTTGATACCCCAGCTACAAAATAGACTTCGAACAACACGATCCAATTTGAAACTACCCAAGCACCCAGAAGCACCCAAGAAATTAATAACTTGACTCTTCCAATATATCGAATAAAGGCAAAAGCAGACATGCACCAGAGTAATAAAACTGTGCCGTGATGAAATGAAACGTACTTGTAAACTTCGTTAATTCCTGTATTAACAATCTGATGACATTTGAAAGTCCAAAATATTACACTTTGACTCAGCACTCCTAACTCTGTAAACTGAAAGAAAATTTTGCCATCTCTCGTTCTAAGAGCGTTCGAATTTCGGGACAACAAAGTAATTTCGCGACGCCCTCTTATAAGTCTTTGAACTGGAGTGATGACACTTATCCAAAAGGTTTCAAACTGCATGTACATCATGGCCGTGTTAAGCAAGAAGCCGGCTATGGTTGAAGCTTTCAAGGTTGCGTGTGCCGAGAAGATCATTACAATGATCATGGAGACTGAATGATTTCTTGGGTTAAAGCCAAATATGTATTGGATGAAACGGTTAATTGGTTGGTTTGGGTTGAGTACCATGATAGCAAATCCAATGGGAGGCATAAACGTGGAGAATACAGTTGCTGCCATAATGGTCCATTCGTAGATTAGAAATCTTTTTCGGGAGGTCAATTTTTTCTTTCTTCTTTGCAAGTTCCTTTTGAATACACCTTAAATGAAAACGTAAAATTATGCAGTGTCAAGACCGAGCCAGATTAATTCTATGCATACTTAAGTAAATATGTAGATAAGTACATATTTATGTAGGTAGCTTACTCTGCAGGACGGTGTCCAATTGAAACATTAGATTGACAGCGTCAACAAATTCTCTCCGTTTCATGATGATGAGCAGCATTGCAAAAACGATTGTAGTGAGTACAATGCAGTAACCAACGTCGAATAAAACCTTTTTGATTGGGACATCCTTCTGTCTTAAACTTCTTACGAGCTGATAGAACACTAAGTAAGCATAGATATTGTAGTACACAAACCATAATTTCCACCTTCTGTAGAATTTAGCGCTGCTGAGATGCAGTTTTTCATGGTTATCATCCCACGTGAAAGGTGTGGCGTGATCCCATGAGGACGACTTTACTTGAAAAATATACCAATATTTCGTCCAAGCCGTAAACATTGTGGAGGCGTTCTGGCGTTGAAAATTGTAGGTTGTTTAATCAAATTTCTTACATGAAATGCAGTATTGGGTATGATGTCGGTATGTGAAGCAGGCAAGAATAAATTTCCGAATTGTGAAACTTGACCATGGAACGGTCAATTTAAAATTGCATTGAAAATTCAGTTGTGTTTGCACATTTATTTTAGGTAATTTTGCTAATCAACTTATTACATTATGGAGCACTAGGATTTTTATGATAATCTATTTATGTAGTATTGCTTATAATTTAAAGTAAAAATATTGTGTGTATTCTACTAATGCAATTCGTCATCCATAATAAATAAAGCTGTATTACTCTTTGCATAACAAGGGTTATGAGGCAGTATTATCTCGTATTATCATTATCGACCTATCCAATCCTTAGCTATCCTGAGTTGTTGAAATTGAAATGGTAACTTTAGACCCTTGTTCGTGACCTCTTTCCAACCGTTGCCTGAAGTTTTATTCAATTAATCATACTAACAAGAGCCAGTTGACGTTGATATCTAAATAGGAATTTTAAACAGAAATTTCACTGCGACCTTGTATTTAAATTTGATGGTGATTATGATAACATGCAATGAACTCGGAACATTTTATAAAATGGGACTAGTCTGTTACTAGTTTAGCAATTCCATTTTTAAATTAAAAAGATTGTAGATAAATGTACATACAATTACTTTTGAAAATATTCTCGTTTCAATTTATTTGGTTCTATTGAATTTGTAGAAATTCAGAGGATGATATTGTAAATATACAGCAATTGGTAATTATTTTATTTTGCCAACGTATGAATTTTCCCTTTAAATCCCTCTTAAGGTTTGGGTTCCTTGGTGTTTTCGAAGAACATATAGTCCTGAAATAAATACAAAATTTTCAGGTTTGTTCTCCATTTAAATTTTACGTGTAAATATTGCAATTTTGCTTACAATGAGTATGGTAGCTGCCACTAGAATAGATTATCATGAAAATCCTAGTGCTCTATAATATAATAAGTTGATTAGCAAAATTACCTAAAACAGCCTTGATTTTTACGTCCAAATCCACTGGGAATGTGATACAAAAGTTGTCAATGTCTGTAAATGACTCTTGTATTATGCCCCCCCATTCCTTGGAGATCGATCCCACTTGATGGCCATCCATGTCTTTGATCTGGGTTTAAAAAATTATTTCTTTTAATTCATATGCAATTTCAGGTAAAGCTATTTGCATCCGACTAGCGAATTTATTTTAGGTTCTGAATTTTTTCAGACTTTGCTCTGGACTGAGAAAAATAGCTTGCTTTTCATCCTTTCACAATCGCAGTGCACTACTTATATTATACAATTTGTATATCCTTCTTATTACTCATTGCATATATATTAATTACCGTAAACTTGATATTACCGCAACAGCAAGACGTAGTGCAACATGGGCCGGAAATTCTCAATACTTTTTCACTATTTCCACCTTTTATGTTGAAATATGTTTTGCACATACTCCAGCGCTGTTTCTCAAATCCAAGTGTTTCTCCATTTTTAGCAGTCACGACCACTTTCTACACAGGAAATAGATGATGAGAAAGTTACTTATATACATATGCACAAGGATTGCCTGTTGTATTGTATTGTTTTACTAACGTTCATACAACGTGGGAAGAAACATGAGTTACATGAAACCTTCCGGTCCAAGTAAATTTCGTGTTCGTCGAAATCGTCAACTGTAAAATTGAAGGGACGCCTGTTTGTGCAGCAGCAACATCGCATGTAACAACAGCAAGTATTTTCCGTTGCTCGCATGAATTCTCTACCGTGCTCATCCCGAATCGAGTATCGGTTTTTTCCTTCACAATGACAGAAAACTGTGGATGACAAAGAAGAATAGATGTTTATCACAGTGCTCGAAATTCAGCAGTAAATCATTTCATATCGCATTGAGTCGGGAACTCACTTTCCATGAGCTCGGGTTCCTGCTTGATAATCATTTTATCCAGAGTTACAAATCTTTCTAATCCTGGACAAATAGCTGTTGGTATTTAAAAGAGAGTATTAATAAGAATCAGTTAAAAATATCAAGCCCAATCCACTTGCCCGGCTTCGAGGTCGAAAAGGCCTTTTGCAGTTCCACCTCCTCATAGTTGTCATTCATGGTTTAATCAGGACAAAAACTTTTACAAAAAGCTAAATTGTGAAGCCAATAATTTTTTATTTCATACGGATTTTATTCCATTTGCTAATTACTGATAAAAACAATAAATTATTTTTGATATTTATACATATAAAACATTTTCAGAAATGATTGAGTCCCATAGAGATCGATGGGTATTCTGTGGGTTGAAGATAAATTTATATCGTGAATACCAAAGGGAGGGCGGCCTGGTGGATACGAATTTGACCTTGAATAACCCCGGAACGGTTTGTCGTAGCGGGTCAAAATTTTGAACAGACGAGCATGTTATCCTCAGATAGTTGTGTGCAAAATTTCAGCCTTCTACTTTGAAAAATGCCTGCTCCACAGCCCCCAGAAGCTGAGACAGTCATTTCAAATAGTTCCAGAAAAAATCTCGCCCGTGTTTGCAAAAAATTTTATTTGAATATTCTGTTGAGGAATAGAAGTGAGCTATTGGTGACAATTGACGAAGAACTATTTTCCCTACAAGTTACTAATTGGGTTCGAAGAGCTTACTACACGACAAATGCCGAAAAAAAATTTAAGAAATTTGGTGCTTTTCAGTGAGGAGAACTTTTTTAAACAGTTGATGGTCGTGGGTGCAATGTCCTGTCGTGGTGTCCTCCCACTTATCAAAGTCCCCCAAAAAGTGAAGGAATCTTCGAAGTATTATGTGGACCTTGTACTGAAACCACTTTTAGAATACAATTTTCCTAATTTGCACGGTAAAATAATAATTAAGGTGATTTTTCATCATGACGGAGCGTCCTCCCAGACGGCAAAGTTGACCCAAGATTATGCAAATGACCTTGAACCTAGATTGGGGATAAAAATCATTTGGAATAGTGAAATACCTATACAATCCCCTGATATAAGTCAAATCGACTTGTTTGAGTTCGGATAGATGAAAAGAAAATCTTTCTGTGGGGACCGAATTTTTTAGACGGAGTTTGGAAAAAGTTGAAACGAGTGTCTCAACTTCTGGGGGCTGTGGGGGAGGCATTTTTGAAAGTAGAGAGTTGAATTTTTGCACACAACTATCTGAGGATAACATGCTCTTCTGTTCAAAATTTTGACCCGCTACGACAAACCGTTCCGGGGTTATTCAAGGCCAAATTCGTATCCACCAGGCTGCCCTCCCTTTAGTATTTGGAGTTTGTAAGCAGATCTGATGAAATAGCCAATTGCATAGTGTTCAAATAATTGCAGAAATGGCTGCATTAATGAATAAAAAGTAGCAATAAGTTTAAATGCTAGAGAATACTCGAGAGTATTCAAAATATTACTGTGATTTTAGCTTATTCCAATATTTTGAAGGAAGTGGGAGATTCTTCGCAAAAAACGGTTTCATTCTGTGATGACCTAGAAGTATGAGAGATGCATCAGTAATTTGCATTAGTTGACATGTCTTGATTCATTGTTTTATTTGACAAGCAACCATAAAGGCTCCATGCATGCAATGTTTTAAGTCAGGGTTAGTAAAATTCTTTATATTGTGTGTTAGTCATATCAGTAATAACAGTCTTTTTTATTTATTAAATACTTGTATTCGATTAAAGTTCCTCACTTTTAATTTTGGAACCTCTTTGAAAATTGTAGTCGGTGTACAAAATGGGGCCATCAGCAGGGCATGGGCCCGCTTGGTCTCCATACATTGCGGAAACATCGCGACTCTGTTCTCTCGAGCAATCTAAAACTTTGAGATCCTTGTCTAAGCAGATTTCAATCGCGAGCATGTGATATTCCAAAGAATTTGCGTCTTGGTTCTGAAAAAGTTTAAATTTTGGTTAAATATATTCTGCGTATTAAAGGAGTTAATTTTTCATGAAAATACACTCACCGTAGTTCTCAGACATTGAACGTATGGAATGGCAGTCTCGCTTCCGAGTGCTTGTTGAAACGCTTTGTGAATGTCGTTCAATTTGTACCCCGCTGTTGGACTTGGGATGACTCCACCAGATTTTAAAATGGTGTAACTATCAATTATTAATTAAATTAACCCACATATACAAAACCACAACTTATATGCAAATATGTAGATTGGTTGAAAGTTGGAGTTAATTATTTTATGGATAATTACAGATCGAGTTTGTTCCGAAGAGCTACGCCTTCCCCAAAGTATTTTAGTTCTGTTCCAAAAATGTCAAGTTCCATTGCACAGGAACCATGTTTGAGCCATTCATGTTCCCAAAAATGATGAGCGTCTTTGGTATCATCGATCTCATACCAGTATTGGTTTAGATCAGGAAGAATGGGGTTGAGTGCATTAATATCGAATTTCACTTTTTTGCAAAAATTAGGCCCCTGTGACCCTTCTTTAGTAGGCCTGGAAGAATACATAATTTATGCAGTGCGCATCTCGAGATTTAAATATGCATTCATCAGCTTTTCTAGCTCGTACCAAATCCCATGGACAGACCAAATTGATGGCTTTCCCTCAAATCTGCACCTTTTCTCGGAGCCAGGACCTAATCGGTCTTTAAATTGGCGACAGGCGGCGAAACCCCACTCCTGCGTAAATATCAGCTCGTCCCACTGCAACTCGTCAGAGTTGATGAAAGGCCTGTGCATAAACAGATTTTTAATGTGTATGTACTTAATTTTCATGATCTCATAGCGTACTTAAACTAGAGACTTGGTGCACACTTACAACAAACTGAGACAGAGTATGCCTGCCACCAATGCAGTTGTCGTACGCATCTTTCTAAAGTACGGCGAAGTAGTTCAATCCAATTTGTCACTCTTCCCAAGACAAGATATGTAGTTTTCCTGTATAATTATGATTTTAATTTGCTCACTCTTATCTTTAATTTCAAAATATTTCCAATATTCCTCTTCTAGTAAAAGTGCATGTCTTAATTTAAGACAAATTTGGCATGCAAGTAACAACTAAGTAAGTTGTAGCACTATGTCAAACAAAAAATGTTCTCTTATACGCTTCAGTTTCAGTTTTAAGTTATGATCAACTGAAGCTTAAGAGTGTAATGAAATGAAACGAAGTGTTGGCCGTTTTCATTTCATTATCAATCTCCACCAGCAGCTGTATTGGCTTTAGAATGCACATCATGGTGAAATTGAAAGGATTCTGTTAAAGCAACCATACATATATATACATACGTACGAGAGATAGGGTAAAGCAGCTAATACAAATCTATCGCACCTTTTATGCCTGGTTTTGCTTAAACTTACCTTCCATGTCATATTACGTATACGTACTAAATATATTGAATATCATTACATTACACATTGGGGGAAGGAAACTGGCTGGAGAAGTTTCATAGAGACATGAATTTAATGTAGAGTGATACACAATTGCATACACGGCATGAAATCAGAAACTTCAAGCTTCAAAAATAACAAAACTCAGACTTCATGAACATTGAAATTTGTTAACGAACCTATTAAACAAAAATATTTAACTCAACTGAAAACGAGCATGTGGGGTACTTGACCATATGCATATGTATTAAGCTAGTGCAGATGGGAGTAAAAAGTAAATTGTGAATTACGCCCACCTCTCAAATCTCTTGATGACGAAGTTTACATGCACCAACTAATCTCTGATTAGGTTTTGTTCGTGAATTGAAACAAACCATTTACGACTTGCAATAATAATACGCCTTCTTCCAATTCTTCCAGCTAAAGCACAGTCAGAGTTCAATTGAGACTTTATTTACTTGGTATTAAAAGTATTCATATGCATACATTTCCAGAGAATTTGCATACAAGAATTTGAGTAGGATTATAAAAATTGTTTATCAAGGCTTAAAATTATTGTTGATGACAAAGCTGAAATGAAATTAATCATGTGAATTAGTCAACGCTGTATGCAATATATACTTAAATGTCCATTATTATGGTTTTAACCCGTACCATCAGAAAGTTTCGCGTCATGCATTTGACGAAATTGTCATGAGATTTGCAATACTCATCACCGATAGGAGTTGACAGACTTGGTTCTAAAAAATAAATTTAAATCTCTAGTTAGGTAAAGTTTTTAATAAATGCTCACTATTTTACTTATGTATGTATGTAACCGGATGCACTTACGAACTAGTTTCAAGCATGGGGTAAAAGTAGTGTGGGCCTTCTGCCTCAGATTCGAAGGGAAATGATCATCAATGTATTGGTCTAATTTCGCAGCGGAGACAGATCCATCATGATTTATCTAGTGAAAAATAAAATCTCTATAACATTTCTTGGCAAAATATATGTATGACTGACTTACCACGCCGATGGACTGCAAAACACATTTTAAGATGCACTGCAAATGCAAACAAAATTAGCTGACATCATACAGATACATGCATAAACATTTCAGTAAATCGTGGAAAATTCACCGTCGACTTTTTTAGCCTTTCTTTAGTAGTGGTGAATCCAAGTTGATTGGCACAACTATTAATTTGAGTCATTTGCAACTTATTAAGCTGTGCTACCACGTTGCGACAACTTTTATCATTTCCGACATTTTGCTGCACAAAATATATTAGTATGATTAGTACTAAATAAACTACAATAATATGAATTTAAGGCACTTATGAGTCTTACACTGCTGATGAGTCCCCTAAGCAATCCGAGAAAAATCAAAATCACCACTTTGGTCATTTCAAACTAATGATTATTCTATGAAATTTAGTTCCAAAATGTTTATAAAAATGAAAAAAGACTGCGTATTTGGTTCTATTTGACTGCTAGAGACTTGAAGTTTTGTGTTCCATCATTGTACACTCATCTCATCAGTCATACATATGTACATATTATTTCTTCTGGTTAGTTATGCTATGTAAAATAATTCTTGCCAAACTGATATGAAGATTTTTCACGACATTTTATTTCGTAAATTAAATTTAGTTCATGTAAATGAGAAACATCATACGTACATATACATACTAGTGCTCATGCTTTTCTCCCAACAATTTTTATTCTTGTGTAACTTTATTTAACAGAGAATCCACCAAAGCACAAAGGACAAGAAGGATGCAAATATTTCGGATTTTTGCATTTTCCGATTGGTGACGGCTGAATTGCATTTGTCGGACGAGCAGTAGCATATTTTTCCAGGTTGGGGGGTGTTGAACTGGTCGTTGACATTGGCATCAATGCACCCATTCGGTTCGATCTCTCCAAGGGAGCAGCCCTTCACCGTATGGGTTTTCCCATTCTGCTGAAAACTTGAGGTGTGGCAACGCTTCACATTAGCTGAAATTATGATGATTGATTTTAACCCAAATTGATTTAAATTACATAACACAAAACAAATACATGTACAGAGATCATATGTACATAAATACCGTAACAATCGTGCAGAAATGAGCTAGGTGGAGAGCTGTGACCGCAAGTTTCTTGTCCAGCCACCCAAGAGCCGCACATATAGCACTGGAGCACACCTTTTGAATTATGAAAAATATGTAATACAATATTTTGCTTAGCATAAAATAGGTACCTTCCGAATGAACAAACAGCCCGATAAAAATTAGGAGCATTGCCAAACTCTGTAGTATTGATGCCATGATTTCCTATGAAAAATGCTAGAAAATGGCTAGATACGTCTCTGAAGATGGATAAATATTAAAGTTATTTTGCAAGGCGTAAACCTCGTGCTGCGATGTGTTTAAGTGGTTCACAAAGAAATTAACAAGTTGTATCTGTCAATCACACTGTTATCAAGGCTGTAGGTTTGAATATGAAACGCCAGATACTGACAGAGAGGGCAAGTACATAAATACGTACGTAGGTAGTGGAGAAAGTAACAAGAATTGCGACGTGTTTAATTTATTTTGGGCCAAGAAAGTCGTAGAATTTATTCATATTCTAATAGAATTCAATCCAATTTGTTTATGTGTTTGCATTGTACTCGATAACAAACTCTTGTCACCCTCAAGTGGATTACTTCACAATGAGCGACAGGAAAAACTTATTCTTTTCATTGCTAATAGTAGCATTTGGGTCGCACAGTGCTCTTTGTTGTCAACACCTGCTTATCATCATCGATTGCTTAATCTTGTTCGGATCGATGAATCATTATGTTCGCTTTGAGGAAGGAGAAGGAATAAGGTTTTCAATCAAATTGTCATCTTTCAGAGTTCAAGTGATTTGCAAGTGGACGAATAATCGATATCATGCTTGAGTACATACGCTAACATTTTTTACATAGTTTGAAAACGTCCTTGTGTTTCGAGCGTTGGGGTGAAAATAGGTATGGTCATCTTGATATAAGTAATAAAATAATTTTCTAGAATAAAATTGTATTTTATATCATACCGCAAAGAAAAATAAAATATGTATTTTGGAGGTATGCTCGAATCAAAGGAAATCGATGGTATGAATTTTTAATGAACGCTATCTTATGAAATCCAAAGAAATGATGGTGAAATGAAAGCATAAAATACGTCGGATATATTTACATGGGCACAAATGTAGATGTAAACATTAGGGTAGGGATATTAGAATCCGAAATAATTTATAGGCTATAAAATGAAATTAATGTAAGCATTTAGATATCTCTATTCGTGGTACGATAGACTAGAAATGATGAAAACAAAATAAAATAGCACAAGCAATTGTGCTATTTCATGACCGGACTGTGTTGCATTTGATTGTTAAAACTTTTATTTTATTTTACACATGCTCCGACATATGCGTGCGTTTGTCATAATACATACATACATATTGCTATTTAAAAAAACTCTACTGCGAGTTCTACATATAGACTGCGGATATTTGGCTATGTCAATTTGTAAAACGTTTGTTATTTGGTTTGGTTGAACACAAGAGGTGATGAATTTTAATTAACCGTGACTATGAGTAGTTCAATTTTTTAGATCTCATTTAGTGCAAACGTGGAAAGATCAGAAACCAGAATTGAGGAATCCCACATATGTGCAATGGTCAAGATTCAAAATTTTGTAAGATTATAATAGTTGTACTGTGAGTTTTGAGATGATGTATGTAGACCATTATGAGTATAGCTTCACTTGAGCAATTCTTCCGCTCTGGAATTCATGGCGTCGGTTGAATTAAGCTGGTTTTGTAGAATCCATTTTTGTGACTTTATAGCTACACATTCCCAAATACTTTCGAACGGAGCAAGCTTTGTTTTGAAAAATATTATGGCCAATGTCGTTGCCCATGCTCTCGCGTCCCATTCATTACTCTCCGCATCTAAAAATACCCGTTATAAGAATGATTTCAATATACCAAGTACTAACAAGACTCATAATACGCAACAGTGTATAGTTATCCAATACCTTGTTTCAATAATGCCAATTCCAAAGAGATTAAACTTGCAAACACAGGGTTAAGTGAGAAATAACCCTCAGAGTTTTGACAACTGATAATTCTTTGAAGGAGATCAAGTCCGTAAACATTCACATCTTCCATTGTCGTCGTATCCATTGGTTCAATATCTGTATGAATTGTATTTCTCTCCCTGCGGACCTTCTTCAATGGAGAAGGCTTCCTCTTGATCTTACCAACCTTTCCCGTACTTGCACTAGTTTTTCGAGGTCGTTTACTTGTACCATTCAGTGGAAAATGTTGTGCTGAGCCATGTGCTAACAGTAGCTTTGGTCTTTCTTGTCGCATTCCAATTTTTGCACAACCTTAACGTAATTTATAAGCATTAAAAAATAAGACATTCATTTAGATTGTGTACATATATAAACAAATTACATTTTTGGTTATCACGGCCATCTTTCATGACACTATATGCAAATGGATATTGCAACGGAACTTTATGCATTCGATTACACATGTTGTCTTCATAATTACTAGATTTCCCGTCAGGACTCGTAAATGAGGTGTATTTTGAAGATATTCCTAATTGCAAAGGCGATCATATACTTCCATCCTATTTGCGCTTAAATACTTAATTATACAAATATTTGTAATTGCGTACCATCTGCAATTGCAACTCGTAATATAGCTTCTTTGATCCTCGTAAGCTCTGGTTCCCTTCGAGGACGGGATAAAAATTGAGTTACACATTCTTCCAATTCCAGTTCACGCACACTTTTAATAACAGCAAGTCGATGGAGCATTTTAGTTGCACCCAAATCATTTTCAGCAGACAGCTAAAAATCAGTTGGATTCATTGCATGTAGTTTACAGTAAGAATGATTTCTCATTATTATTAGGTACAAAAACGACCAATACTTTCATGCCCAATGTTAAAGTGCCATCAGGAGAATCCGCCATAATCTTTGCCCCCAACGGTTTTTCTGCTTCAAATACCCCGAAGATAAGAACTTGGGTTCCGTCAAAAATGGGAGAAATTTTATCATGTGAGGTTAATGTGTTTTGGGAATTAATGTTCTTATTATAGCCGTCTAGCGTTTTTTCTTGGAAGATGGGTTGTTGAACTCCTTCCCATTCTATTTTTATATCTAAAATAGAATATGAATGTGTTAAGTCTCAAAATCTATGCAATTGCCGGCATTATCAATGTTTTTAGTGTTTTGCATACTAGTTAATGAAGGCTGAAGTGCATTTTTAAGTTGTGCTAATGTCTGTTTATGGATGTTAGCATCACTATCGATAAAAGCACATGTCCCATTTCCGGCTTTCGCAATGCCTTCGAGTAAGTGATGTGAAGGGGCACTGCCAACTCCCAGAGTGAGAGTACGACCTATGTGTGCATTCATTCTAACCAGTCCGATAATGGTGTTTGCGTCACATACCTGTAATTGAGTAATGTATTATATTACAAAGGACAATTAGTTCAATTTAAATAAATAAAATAGGATAGAGATTCAAATTACCGCTCCGTCAGAGATAATCAAAACTTGACGAAAATAACCTGAAATCATGCTTTCGTTGTAAATATTTTGTAATGGAGCTACTAATTCTGTTCCTCCCATGTCAGATTGGATTTCTGTAAAATTTATTTCCTCTTTAGTTCAAATTTTTGTGCTATGGGAGAATATATACATTTAGCAAAATTCATACTGTTAGCATAATTTATTGCATCTTTCAAAGTTTGATCATTGCAACGCTTGCTCCCTCCTTTGAACATAAAATGATGATGATTTCCAAACCCAACTACATTAAAATAGCAATCTGCAGGTAAGGATTGAAGAAGTAGCTAGATAGAAAAATTATTACGGTTTTAATTAAAAACTTTTAAATGGTTTATATTTATATCCATGATTGCCAACAAGTCTGACCTTCAAAACTTTTTTGACAATTTCAATATTCCTCCCCGACATTGATTCAGACCTATCATATAATAATAAGGATTTATTTGTTCACGCAAAATCAGCCCATTACATTTTTAGCAAAATAAGATCAAACCCCATCAAGTGGGAAATACTTGACCTTATACTTAATACTTGACCTTGTTTGATCTTATTTTGCTAAAAATGTAATGGGCTGATTTTGCGTGAACAAATAAATCCTTATTATTATATAAATAATATCACATCTACATATAGCATCACATATGAATAATATCAACCTATCAACAACGATAATCAATTCCATTTTTTGTTCGTCTAGCTTGAAACTAGGGACAAAATATGACATAACAGCACTTGAACCATTCGGCAGAGTCTGAAAAAAATTAACATTATGCTGTTGAGATTGGTAAAAAATCGTTATTTAAATCATTAATGCATAATTTTAAACAAACCTCAGCGTATAGTCTAGCTTTAATAGATTCCTCAGGTTTAATGAATAGCACAAAATCTCTGTCCATCTCTGTTGTTAGACCCTCAAGAGTCGCAATTGATTTATACCACATTGGTTTCTGAAGAATTTCTCCTTTATGTTCAACCACAATTTTATGAGATGGGCTTTCTACTGATTTAATTTTTCCTTGCATAGATGCAATAACTTTGATGGAGAGTGGGGCTACTGATTCTTCTGTCATTTGTAACTCTGGCATTATTATCGATCCTTTACTTCGCTGTGAAAAACTGTTACAACATGGTATTTTAGCCGTCGGAAGACATCTCGGTGTAATAGCAGTGGGGAGGAAGAATCGTACGGTATGAGTATCAGCATCATTTTTAGCCTCTGTTACATATCCCACAACCACTTTGACTTCCTGTCCAGGTTTGAGACGGCCAATGCTGACCTACAAGAGCACAAATAAAACCAATCAATGACAAATAAACACACATGTAGATAAAAAAAATAGTACAACAATATGCAAAAAGTATAACCTTAAAAATATCGGGTGTTTCTTCTTCGCCCACTAAATCAATCTCATCGTCTTTTGTCGAAGAACATTGGGTATTTTCCTCCTTTCCTTTTGCTTTAACAATTCCCTAAAATATAATAACGTATTGAATATTTCTTGATCCTTTAATAATTCACCTTGTGTCACTGTTTTGACCAACCTTAACGACACGACCCTCAATTTCTGCTTGAAAATGAGTAACAGCCCCGTTGGAATCGACGGGGAAGAAATATACTACTTGTATTGGAAAATTCTCTTCATTCCTGTAAATCTGCGTGACCTGAACTTGAGCCACGACATGGACTAAGGCAGCCTCGATTTTAACTGACTTGAGAGGAACCGGAAGTCTATGCAACAATGATCTTTCGTCATCACTTGCATTTCTTCTCTTATTCTCCTCATAAGTCTCTATAATCTCGTTCACTCTCTTTTTGCATTTTCCGTTGATGTTGTTTCGTCCCAGTGGTGGACCCCCGTAAATAAGACCAGACTCCACCACGTTTTGGAAAGACTTTATGAACATTTCGTCCTGCGATTCAATTTCCAACGATCCACATGAGGAACCTATGAATTCCAAATTTCAGAAACAGAGTTTGCTATAGCCTTGCTCAGGATTAAAATTATCACAACAATGCAAACCTTCTTCATCGTCGTCATCTTCCTCCATGTCTTCGTCTTCAGTTGAGGAGCTAAAACTTTCAGAAATCTCAACGTGGTCCATCCTGTACTTTACGGTCGAACTTCCACCTCCCCGACCACTCCCTGGAAGACGGGTTTGTGAGATTGCAAAAAGGGCTGGTAGGTTGGTTAACTTGTATTTGAATACATTTGTCACTTTTGGGTTTAAGTAGATACAAAAATGACATGACACGTATTAAATAAGATGTCAATATTGAAATATTTTCCTTATCACGGTTTCAATTTACGCTTGAGATAATTTCAGTGTGTGTCGGGTACTAGATTTATAATTATTCTATTTTATTAGAAACCTTTCTTAATTGCTCACTAACGAATAATTGTGACAGGTTATAATTTTAATGGGGAATTGGTTGTTGTTGTTGCCAGCTGCAAAAGGTGCAGCAGCAGGGGTTTGTTGTGGTGGTGGAACAGATGATCATCATCAACAACAGGAGCATTGACTCACTGATGTGCCTGGTCTTTGTTCGTGGTGCATCGTATTTTTGCATTCAACACTAAATTATGATTCTTCTTGTTTAGCTCACATAATGAACAACAATTATTTATTTGGCATTGCATAATCATATTTACATTTGATATAAGTATATTAATATTTTGCATAATATACAAGATGACATGCAGAAAAGCTGACAATTGTATTGGTAATTTGCAGTTTGCTGTACATACATATGTTTAAATATATATGTGGATATGATTTTTTGTGGGAACCTTCAAGGGTTGCAGTTAGTTTAAAAAATTTGGTCTAATTGATGTAAAAAATTGATGGACATTTAGGTACAAATATTGTGCCCCATGTTTTACATATGTGTTGTTGGTAGATATTGAAGTACTGTAAGTTTTTTTTAGTAAATATATGCTGATTGCATAGTGCTTTTATGATGGGCACGAATGAGTGTGAATAGTGCAGTCGTAGTAAATCAGAATAATTAGAAATTGGTAGTTAAAGGGTTGAGATTTAGAGAGGCGATAAGATCCTCCAGCTTGGTGTTGAATCCAATGGTACCAACAATAATTGGGAGTTGAGCAGTGATTTGTTTTTTATTATGAGTTTCGACTGTAATCTGTTCAAGACCATTAATTAATTAGAAATGCATACAAGATTTAATGTGTAATAAATAAATAAATATAAGTGCATACTTCGAGTGAATAATCTACGGAAATGAGACTGCATCTCCCTGCCAAGCGACTAGGAGGGAGCCCTTCCGGTATGTGCACACTTTCGCCCGCCCAAGTCCCAGCACCCCCTCGAAAATTATTAAGAAATGTACATAAGACCAGAAGTATTTCATTTTTTTCAGATTTCCCCCATTCCTACACCATTCTTTTCAAACCTTACCTCGAGTAACGCTGGGACCCTTCAATTTGAGCAACTCTTTCCGTTCCACTTTATAAACATGATCGACATGATAAGTGGTTATCTGGAGAGAAAGTATATAATATGGTTAGTTATGAACTATAATGTGTAATAACAAAAGGTACCGAAGTGTAAGGCCAAAAAATAAAATCAGGAAGGCTTATCAGATTTACATAAAGATATCCAGTATAAAAAATAATAGGAATTTCATGTTCCAAATCGTTATAAGACATGCAATAGTTTACAACACTTATTATCTGTTTTGTGATCAAAGTAGTTGTTGAATGCTGGTGAAATGGCACGGTCAGAACGTGCAAATCATGCTACCAATAAATAAGTACTTGTGGAATACTATAAATCGAGCATATACATACTCGACAGCTTAACGATGGTAAACCTAGTACCTTCAATGCCGTGGTAAATTAAATGAACCGTGCTAAGATTGAATATTAGGTAATTGCATTTAATCTAATAACAGCAATGCACATACCTAAATTGAAAAATATCAAGCTTACGAGCCAAGAGACGGAAAACAAAGATAAATTATAGAGAATCCAAAAAGTGCACCAGTAATATATGTTATTCACGAGAAGATATACATAAATTTCATAATGGGCGTGTATTTTGTATTCGTAAATTTATACTTACTTGGATGAGCTTCAACTTAATGTAGACCTCTCGGGCATTACTCATGTTGTATATGTCTGCCAAGAATTGCATTTCATCTCCTGGAAGTACTCCTGCGTTGCCCAAGATCCCAAAATTGAACCCAACAGGTCCATTTTTACAGCAAAGACAGCACAAGAGTTCTTCATGTGACATTTCTGGTTTATCGATTTGAGCTTGAGGATCCGAATTGAGATCAAGAATGCCTTTGACATATATCTGACTCTTGCAATTGTGGTCATATTGACCTGATGGGCGTTTGATTGTAGCTTCCAAAAAGTACTTGACATGCCCGTGCTCTCCCTCAAACGAAGATGGAATCCCAGTAGGAAGGAGTATTTGGAATGGGTATGCATTTCGCCCTGGCGGAATTGTAAGATCATCATTTCCCTCTAAAAAATATTGATTTTATTATGAATTTAAAAAGTATTTCGTAATTTTGAATGTTAAAAACATAATACAGTTGTTAGTTCAATTTAGAACTTGCTTTTTTCTAATATTGTGTGCCTTCTGTCACAGTAGGATTCCTCTTTCGAATACATTTTGTCACTGGTAGCGTGATCTCTGCTGTGACTAATTCGAATTTCCGGCGTGGCTGATGTTTTGGGTCTCGAAGTTTTAGGTTGCTTATGTTTTTTAGGATCAACCCAACTGACCTCTGCTTTTCCCCATAATCGCAGTACTAGCTCTGAAACATGAATATTGAAAATACGGTGAAAGCTTGTATTACAATCACGTAGGAATTTCCTTCGTGCCACGAGAAGAGCATCCTCACCTTGAACTTTCATCTCAATCTGGTCAACTTCCACGACAACTTTTCCCACAAGGTTTTGCCCTGCGAGGAATGTTTTCGTAGGATTGTCAAACTCGATTTCAAATATACGCAAACCCATTATTCTGAGCGGTATAAAAATCGCACTTAATTTTCCTTTTGCATGGGAAGATTTGTTGACTAATTCATACGCTTATTACGTGAAAGATGGGACGAGGTGGCATACAATTTATAATGCAGCAGTTTATGCACTACCGTTCAGCTAAGGTTGGGAAAGTAAAGTGGTGAAACCATGTTCACAACTCCACAAACTCACTTGACTTGTGCACATGTGACACAAAATTTATTTGCGTGCAGGTTTAGAATGGAATCAGTTGACCATTTCACTCGACGCCATGAAATGAACTGAACACAAAAGTAAGTTAGACCAACCAAGAGTGAGGTGAGTTCAATTCCAAACCATGCTCCTGCTTCGATCGGGTGAAAGAAATTTTCTTTGAGGAGGTTTTAGCAGTCGGTTGTTGTTGATACATCCATGTTGGCAGTGGCAGCAAAAAAGGTATCGTTCTGTATGTTGGTATAAAAGCAATTTCTAGTTTTTGAGGACCGCGAGGTAAGGCGCATACATGTGTGTGAGTTACGTAATATGTAAGGACGGAATTTTGCTGAAAGTATAAATAAATTGCTGAGGATGATATTGATTACTTGCTAAAGCAAGATATTTAAGAGTTAGGTAAAGCCACGCTGGCTGTTTGCTTTCTAATTTCTCCTGTAATTTCTCTAATACCTTAATGTTGAATTAATTTCATTACTGGCAGAGAGTATTAATTAACTGTATCGAGTAAGTAAATAAGTAATTGACATATAACAGAAACATGAAACATAGACCGTAAGCAATTTCTACTTGTAATCAATTCTCCCACTTCGCTTGAAATTATTAATTAGTAATTGGATTCTTTGAACCATAGAACAATTGACATAACCCAGTTACGCACAGTGACCAATAATCCTGAGCATGGGTACTAATCTTAATTCAAAGCTGGAGTAAATGGTTTTGTCCTGTATTGAATGTCAATTATGAAGGATTGTCTAAAATGAATGAGTTGCACGATGCTTTTTATGGGTGCGTTGTTCATGAAAGAAAAAGAAACCTCGCCTACGATTCAATTTCCATATATTGATGATGGGACTTGCCAAAATGACTCAATTCACTTCATGAAGCGCACTATTATTGGTTAAATTCTCAAAAGGAGAAAGACTCATTTTCCGAAGATTATTGCAGGAAATGCGCAATTGTCATATGTGTGTAGGTGCATACGAACGTATGACACAAATCAAATTAAGGATGACATACTTTCTCTGGCTCAAACGTAACTATTGAATTACCAAGTCAACCAAATGTCACATTGAGTGAGGTGCTTATTGACTGACATTGACATGACGAGGGGGAGAATTAAGACGAAAACAGCGAATTCTACTCCACTATTCTCGTACATATAGAATTTATTATGTCAAGTTTTGTCATTTTCCATTCCAATTCTAAATTTATGTTTATAATAAGGCGTGCATACAAAACGCTGCGACAAGTTCTGCACAATATGTATTTGTCACACTTAAACTCAATTTATATTTCATACGCAAATCAGGTATCGACTGATTTCATGAGTGACCTTTACGTTTGGTATGACTTAATAATTTAGAGTTTTATAGGCTACATACTTCACCACATTGCGATCGGATGACCAAATGACTCGCTCTCATATTTATAAACTTGTACAACATAGTTTCATTTCTAGGATTATAAGTATTATAATGCAAATATGTTGTTTATGAAGTTGTGACTACAAACATGCTCATGTTTGCGTGTTTAATTGTCCTTTCCCGACGAATTTTTCATTTCAACCTCCCAGCAAATATATATATGTATGTATGTATGTATGTACATATATGCAGTGTTCATGCAGACGGCTGTCTGCAACACAACACAACGTTTATTGAGATGAAAGTTGTGATAAATTTGTGAATTACAACCTACTTAAAAAATATAATGAAATTCATGGCGTGCAACCCACAGAAATGTGGACCTGGTGAAAGTAAACTACAGTTACATACATACGCTGCTGTATGGTCTGTCTGCATGGTACAAATATACATGGCATATGTACAAAAACGCAATACTACGTGTGAAATGAAATTGGAAAACAAATTTAATCGATACATCCATCGACTGATATCAGCGTAGAGTTTATTTTCAATTTTTCATGAAAGTAGACAACATAGGAGGACATAGTATGATTCCGATTCCAATCGCATATCATATCGCCAGCATGGGAATCACATTTCTAGGTAAATTCAGCACAGAGTTTGCAAAAATATGGCGGTCATGCTTACGTTTGTAATTTATTTATCCATGTTCCTGAATTATACAATCAATTCTACAAAATTCAAGTGATGTGTGATAGGAGTTGTTTACTGAATAATAATGTATACAAGTATTACGCTGATGTTGGTTTAAACCTATACTCTGTCGTCCCTTCTTTGAATGCTACTCCCAGTTCCAACAATTTTTGATAGGCTTTAGCAAAATCTTCGAAATATTTCTTCTCGTCTTTTGCATACAGTTCAGACCACTGCCTGAATTCGGAGTCCTTGGCAAATACCATGTCAGCCGGCAGCATCATCAACTGGCCTGTTTCCTTATCAGCAAATTGTTTTGGACCCGACCAACTTCGATCCACCCATTTTTTGGTGAGCAGCTCCACGTAGAAGCTGTTGGAGAAAGCAGTCGGCGAGAAAGTCCACGGTCCATCGAAACCAGATCTATCCGTGTGACATCGGCCCAATGTGTGAGCCCCAATGAGAGCAGTAATTTCTTGGTCATTGAACCCCATCCTGTAGAACACGTCCCTTGGGTGTTGTGGAGAGGGGTTAGCTCCGTCTGGCAACCGTCCGTCGGGGGGACACTCAGAATGAGTACCATCCACACGGCCTGAAGGAAACCTTATTAGTATCTGCGTTGTCTCAAATTGAATACCTACGTTTCAGCCACGTTCACGTGGTGCAAATTTAGTTGGTTCCTGGTTTTACCTGGCTTCCATGGGACGATTGGGCCCCCCTAAAAAAGTAACATGAACGGTATTGAACTGCTTGAATTACTATTTATGTAGAGTCATTTCGTCTGTCTCACCATCTCTTGAACGGCTACTACGCCAGCCAAAGTCCACAAGTCTCCGTAAGAAATGCCAGGGAATTGATTTTTCACTTTCTCCAACTTTTCTCGTGCAATGTGAAGTCCAGCATTAGCTGTAAAATAACATAAACCAAACATTACACCATTAAAATGAATAACAGATCGGAAACCTTAAATAATCAATCCAACTAACCTCCATGCTTAGCCTCTGGCTCAAAGCGCATCGTTCCCTTTGACGAACCTCCCGTTCCTGAGGCTTTGTCATATGTGCCTGAAACGTTCGAAATTATTCAAACTCTTTCAAATTTTCAGAACCTGGCAAAATTTCATGCGATGCATTTACTTTAATAGTATTATCTTGACTATTACCGGAAGCGTGCCAAGCCAAACGGACAAATACAGGGCCATAGGAGCCATCATCATAGTTTGGATCCTCTTCCAGTATTTTAGCAATAGCATCATAGACCTTTTATCCAGAAATTTACTCATACAAAAACTAACTCCTCAGAATCAAGTCATGCACACATACATTAACATAGTTTATGTATGTAACTACCTTCTGATAGTCGACCTTGCCACCCCCACCTTGACTCCATAGTAAGTAAGCACCTCCAGCTCCGACCGCAGCAATTCCGACGTAGAGAGCCGTGTTTGACTGCTGCATAGCTACCCCTTTTCCACCAAATTGTCGTATTAGCCGAGGCGCACCCCCAGTTCGGAAGGAATTAGTCCCCTGAGAACCCATGACCATGAAAGCACCACGTGTCAGTGGGGCTCTCAAATTTTTTAGTGCCGATGCCATTTTGAATTTTGAAACTGTAACCAAAAATGTAAAATCTTGAGTAAAATCGTTTTTTTAGATAAAGAATATTTGCAAAACTTACGCAGTATAATAGTCCTCCAGTTACTTTGTGCTACTTAATTTGCAGTGTCTGGAATACTCTGTGCAAAGCGTGGTGTGAAGTTCAGAGAGCTACAATGACGTGACAGAACATTCGTGAAAAAAGCCGGAGATGACTTTTTTGTATATTCAGCACAACTACATATATCCACTGAATGCTGAATGTATTCACATGATGTACCTCAACCCATTTATTACTCCACAAATCAAGCCAGTAAAAAAACACAGTTATAAGCTGTGCCTACTCACACATGCTTCTCTGTCTGGAAAACGTCACGAAATATATCCTTGCTATTCTTTGGCACAGATAATATGGAGCAGCAAGCAGGTATTATGCATAGGGAGATGAACTTGGATGGATAGAGCATGGTGGCAGAAACATATAAGCGACGAGAGTTCGAATGCTACGAAGGTCATTCATGCTCGTGGAAAGATTCTCTTAATAAGAGCCATGGTACACCCAGAAAAAGGTTGAGAGGTACGTAACGTGGTTCAATGTGAAATCGGCATTCAACGTCTACGAGTGCATTGTGTAAAATCTGTGCAATCGAACACGTACTTTCGGAGCAGAGCAAAGCTCAAAACAGGACAAAGAGAAAGCGGTGAGAGTTTCATGAATGCGTGGACAATCAAATATCAGAAAATAATTAAATGATATGATAATGACAAATTTGCGATTGTGTGTCGTACATATGTGCCGATAACATGCAACAAAAGCGTTATGAGTGACATGATTTCATATTCCGTACGTGTACATACAATATGTATGTAGATAGCAGGAGCAAATTGCAAGACAATGGGTGTTACAAACATGTACATGAAATGTCTTTAATTAAGTAAGTCCTCGGCGTAGATAAAGTTAATTTGTTTTCATATTTTGCAATTCTTATAGATTCATAATTTATGAAACAATTTCTAATTGCAGTTTATGAGGTAAAATTTTGTGAGTCATCCGATTTTTATTATGGCTTCTTCAATGACACAAGCTGTCCTTTGTAGCTAGTAAACTTATAGTATTATATAGAATGATTTATGCATTACATTCTCATTATACCAAAAGTACAGGTAAGTACTACTATTCCAGGCCCAACTGTTTCCTAATAACTGAGACATAGTCGTCCCACTCGGTGGTGTAAAAATTGCCAGCTAGAGCTTCCCCAAACGAAAACCTTTGTGCAAAGGTACGGATGGAAAAATGCCTCCGAAGGGCACGATGCTCCACAGACTTATCAAACCTTTGCACCGCGCTAAAGTCGAGATGGGAGGGTTGCTGGTGAAGGACAAATGTATAGCGATGAATTCCAGAATTTTCGCCTGGACACGAAGGCACAAATTCAATTAGCGTGTCTCCCTTCGAAATGTCCTTGCTATCTCCGGGAATGTTGACCACCAGCCAGTGAACCCATTCGCGTACGGTGGGTGTGGATCTGCTGGGAGCATCTGGATCTGTCGCGAGAGATATAAATATATGTAAATATACCTGCTCAGGAAGGTATTTTCCCCTCAAGGATAATTTTAACTAATGCGATATTATCGATAGGTAGATGTGTACCCACCTGTAAAGCAAAGCGAGTAGAATTTTCCTTTTTCCGCATCCCAATCGACGAGAGTGGGGGCTTCGCTGACTTCTTGAATCGTTAACTTATTGCCCAATTGTACCTTTTTAGGTCCAAACTCTACCCGAAGTAAAGATGTTGGCTCCCGATCAAGAACGTCGGGAACTAATTCTGCGTTTTCCATTATATAAAAAGTAAATTTTAGTGTTGCTTCTCAGGTGTCAATATGGCAAACGGATAATTTGATTACTTGCTTTACCGGCATTCATGTGCATAAGTATTCAGCAATATGTGGAGAATGGAAATCTCGTTTGGTTGCAATGTCATCTGAATCAGATGAACGGTAAAAGATGAGACTGAGACTTCCACGTTCACGTGGTGTGACAAATTTCCTTATCATTCTATACACATATGTATCCTCGTTGGAACTTCGCGTCGCCACAAAATTTCCCACCGGTCCTAATAAAAGAGTGAAGGTTGGAAATGTTGCCTCTTTGGCCCTTAAATTGAATTACTCTCCTTTCTACTATTCACCATTATTATCATCGTCGCTTGTATGTATATTTTACCACACAAAAGATGAGACGCTTATAATATGTGATATTATGCAATATGAATTATGTACATACGACGCAAGTTGATGGCACGCGTATTCGATAGGAAAGTGTTTGAAGGATATTAAATAGTACTATGGCTAAATATGAATAAACGAATTGAGGAATTCCCATTCATAAAACTTGTGCATATTTATTTCAGTATTCTGGGACGTACATTTATTAAGATGGATCTCGATCTCGAGCAGTAAAAATTGTAGCAATGAGGCATCGAATTATCCAAATAAAAGGACCTTTTATCTAAAATTAAAATTAAAATTTATATTAATGAAATCGTGTTTACGTGTGTAATTGTTGTTCCAAGAAAAAACCGGACCTCTGCTGCTCACCATTGCAAACGAGACATAAATGAATTGAGCGTACATTGCCAAATTAAATAGATGAATTTGTTGGCCCTCTCCGACAGTAAAATTGAAACAGTAATTCCAAGGTTGTAATTTACCATTCTGCTATTTTCAGTTTGAGCAGTGACTTTCGGGCTGAAATCAAATATCCGAAAATGTTACTTCTGCTTACTCAAAGGCAAGTTTAGCGTATTCTAAAATTTATATTCTGTACACTACGCAAGACTTACTAAATCTTGGGCTTTCCCTTGTTAGTAGCACGGTTAATGAAGTTGAATTTTGGAAGGCAGTCATAAATATCTTTCTCCCAATCAAAACCACAGCTCCAGACGATTTCTATTTTGTACTGACCACCCTGTTATTACATGGACGCATTTTTCCAGTATATATATTATTTACATAAGTATACAATATCAATACTACATATTTCTCCGTAGAATAATTTTTAGGACTTGACTCACAAATTTGGCCGTCTCATTAAAATCGTTATCAGTTACGTCAGCCAACATAACAATGTCTTCAAGTCGAAATCTTGGGCAGTATGGATCACTTTTCGGATTAAATAAGCACGTAGACACGGACTTTTCATAATTGTGGTATTTTGCATAAATGTCTGCATAATTAGCAGAATAGCCTCCCTTCCCCCCTCTTGACCAACTTGGTGCTCTAAATTCTGGAAAGTTAGGCTTCAGATCTAGAAATATTGTGAAATCATCAGTCTTGAAAATTGCTTCTTGAGGAAAATTACTGTAAAGAAAACATATCTCGTCGTTTAAAATCCATTTAAGAAAAATCATTTTGTTAATCATACTCTAATCTTATCGGAGGGCACCAGCCTCTAATGCCACAAAGGCGAGAATCTATGCACACGTCGGTTTGAATTCCATTGTCATACAAAATACCAGGCTCGCATACGCCGGGATCATCTTCCAAGTCGGAATCTGTGACTGGACAACTCACAGGATTCCAAATTGCTGATCTTGTGAGTTCGTGTGCAAATGACCAAGAGGTTTTCTCCATCCATTTCAGACTCTTTCGACCGGGGTTAATATTCTCTGTACTGCAGTATGCTCCAGTCTACGCAAAATTATAAGACTTTTATGGACGAAATGGTCATTTTATGAAAATTAAATATTTGCTTTGTTTAATTAAGCGTGTTGGTACACATGTACATATTTACTTGTGCACATTCGCCTCTATGCTGCTCAAGGCCGAATACAGAATTTGTAATTATTAAAATCTCGTTTTCTGAAGGTTGTGATATTAAATCCGCAGCGTCCCAAACGTCGGTGGAATTTTTTTTGTATGACGATCCACAGGGATGAATAATCATTTCACAGTTGACTGGGCTTTTTGTGTATAAAGTATTTTCGCCTTCTTCTTCCCTGATTTTATACGATGCTTATATAATTAATTTAAGGGCAAACTTGAAGAAGCTGTATGACCTGAACTTACTTGATGTAAAAGTACAAACCAGCCAAAAGTATTGGAAGGAGTAACGCTTTGATTGATCTTGTGTAGTTCTCATTGAGGGACACTTTATCGTAATGCTTCTTCCATGTGGCCAACTTCAATTTAAAGACGCAAAAGAGAAGAAATAAGACAACAAAGAAGACTCCGATTGGCGTTAAACCAGCAATTAAGGCAAACTTCCACGGTACTTCCAGTGCAAATACCAATGCGACGAAAAAGCTAACTATGCACCCTGAAACAAAAACTATATGACCCCAGTTTGCCAATGAACCTTTCAATTCTTGCGACGCCTCCATTTAAAAAATAATTTGTAGTGAATCACCAATCAAATAATCAATTCTCGAACATATTAGATTTTTAGCCCGAGTCAGGGCTTATGGAACCGTCATGTCCGTCCGTCTGTCTGTCTGTCCGTCTGTCTGTCCGGCACGATAGAGCCAAAACGGCTGAACCGATTGACTTGAAATTTTTACCACATGCATATTGGACAAAATTAGGAAACGAGTTCGAAGATGGGCGAAATCGGTCCAGTGATTGACCGGTGGGGGTCATCGGAGTAGGTGGGGTCTTATGCACCAAAATTTCAAAATTGTCGTAGAAAGCTGAAATTTGGCACAGAGGTTGCTAATGGCTCCTACTAGATAAAAATGACTTCAAGTTGGAAAAATTTTCATCTTGAGTGACCCTATGGGGTGACCCATACCGATTTTTCAAAACCATCATATCGAACTGAAATTTGGTGGAGAGGTTGCTTATGGGGTTTAATGAAAGAATATGATATGATATTGGTAAAATTGTTATCAGGAGCGACCCTATGGGGTGACCCATACCGATTTTTAGAAATTGCTTTAAAAAGATGGAATCCGGCACAATGATACTTAATGGCTTCTAATTAAAGAATATGAAGTTAAAAGTGAGCAAAGTGCAACCAGAGTGACCCTATCGGGTGACAAATACTGATTTTTCAAAATCGTTATATTGAGCTGAAATTTGATATGGAGGCTGAAAAAGTGAAAACCACTGTTGGATAGTACATGCATACAGCTTAGAACTTCATGATGTTAAAGAAGCCCACTGGTCATGGTGGTCAAGGCACATGATTTGTAACTAATTCAAAAATTTGGTACCAAATAGTAGAAACTATCTAACAAACTTTTAACCATCCACAACACGGAAGTTGGTGATATTATGTCGGTCGGAAAAAAATTAGAAGTGGGCTCTGACTTATTGATTCAGGGACTATGTCCCTGACTCGGGCTATATGGAGTCTGCACTGTAGGTTTTTTAAATATGTATTTGCGTATTGAAGGAAAGTGGTTTATTAGACCTGTCGTATTCTGAGACCATACCCCTGGTTATCGTAGTATGCTGATTGTCATTACCGCTGGCATACAAATTGATAAAATAAATTGACAAGTCGCCCACAATGAAACATTGGCCATGAGTCATACATACATATGTAATGCATCTGATAAAGATATGCACATATTTACACATTTTACTATCTTTTGCCGTGCTGAGCTTGTGAGCATAGAATTAAATATTTATCAGTTTTCTATGTGACTTAATGAAAAATAGTTTCGCTTACGCGTAAAAATAATTATCGTGCACAAAAATTTATCCGTTTATCCAAGTCTACATGCGTAGAAATAGTCCAACATTAACTTTCACAATGAAGGGTGTTGAAAAAAACTGCATGTTTACGGTAATAGTATTCGGCATTACTTTTGGACTACCCTTCAGCATTGGTGAGTTGATGTGACATAAAATTTACTACAATACATTTAAAATTTTTCGATTCGATAATTAGTTCGATAATTTTATTTAACCTGAAAAAAATCTGATAGGTCTGCAATGTTATGACTGCGGGGAATTGTCCATAATAACTGCCGATAGCAATGCATGCGCAATGAATTTGGGGTCGTGTGTCTATGACCTTAGCACTGGAGGGCTTAAAGGAATAGGAAATACGCATGCACGTATTTAATACAAATAATAAATAAACTCTTAATTATGCATCATGTGTACAATTGTCCTAAAATGGGTGCAAATATTTCAGATTTATTTAACAGTTCCGCACCTGTGAGGGAAGTGTGTTACAGTCTGAGAGGAAAGTTTCGAGGCGAGTCCTTGCGAATGGGGGGCTGTGATGCATTGCCTCTCGAAGACGTTGACTCGGAGCACTGTTTGGATCCAGATTTCAAAGTCTGGTTTGAAACAGAATCTGGTCGCGAGTACATTACCGAGAAATCATTTTGCATTTGTGGCACAGATTTTTGTAACAGAGTTCCTGCTGGTGGGAGCGTCCGTGTGAATTCATGGACTTATTTTTTGTTTATTGAAACCGTTCTTGTAATCATCTCTTTTTCAAGGATAAGTTTTTGAATAACAAATAAATACAATGATTTTATTCAAGAATCTCTTCAAGAATCATTCTTGCGCCCATTTCTCCAATCATGATACTTGGTAAATTAGTATTTCCGTTGGGGACGAACGGCATCACACTTGAATCAATAACCCTCAGTCCGGTAGATCCAAATACTCTGCAATAGTTTGACAATTTACGTGTACAGTTGATTTTAATAACCAACAACATATGCAAATATGCATACACTAGTTATGTAAATCTGTCTACCTCAATCTAGAATCAACTACAGCCACCTCACTGTTGGGGCCCATGCGACATGTTGAAGTTGGGTGTAAGGCTGGTCCCGTGTTCATTTCCACGAAACAGGTCCAATATTCAACTGAGGGGAAGACAAATTGTTCGCATTGAGGAATTTTTTCGAAAGTATCGCTCCACCTGATCCCAAGGCGTTGCCAAGTCGTTGAGTTGAGAAATAGATCAGTCACGTATTCTATCCCTTCAACTAATCTTTGCGTGTCCAGAGGATTCTCCAAGAAATGGGGATTAATTATTGGATCGTCCCTCGGGTTTGTTGATGCCAGTCGAACGGTCCCTTCCTGATTGGTAAGGACCATCTCGAGTTCAACGAAAACTTGCTGCTCCGCGGGTAGTCCTTCGGGCGTTGCAAACACTTGATTGATGTAACAGTGAAGATCAGGCCAAGTGGGGTCGTTATACAGCTTGCTGGGAAAATACCCATGAGCAATATGTGTTGCATAGGTCCCCCAGGATTTCATATTGGCAAGCGGGCCTAAAATTGAAGACTAACTTGTAACACGTAGTAAATACTCTTCACGACACAAATATGAACTGAATAAGTACCTGTAGTATTCTTGATGAATAAGTTAATGTTTTCAGGTGTCAAAGGATTACTTGCAGAAAAGGTTTGGTTGACAAAGAACGGATGCAAATTGACTCCAAGATGCTCTTGCAAATGAGTTCCTACAGCAGGAAGGTCCAGCACCGTTTCAATCTATTTACAAGTTAATCATCATTCTGCGACGTTGTTGAAGCACCACCTCATGTTTTAAATATTTTTAAATTACGCCATGCTCAGCTAGATGTGCACTCGGGCCGACACCGGAGAGCATCAGCAATTTGGGACTGTCTATCACACCAGCGGACAGAATAATTTCTCTGTTGGCAACAACTTGTCGAGTTTGTCCATGTCGTTCATAAGTTACTCCAATGGCCCGGTTTGCATTAAAGTGCACCTGACACGATTATAATTATGAAATTGATAGAAATACAAAAACATTTGACACATGTTAAAAAATTTCTCTTATTTGACAAGTTAGATCGCTCACCTTTGTTGCCCACGCGTATCGATAGATTTTAAGATTTGATCTAGATAAAATGGGTTCCAGATAGCCATGCCAAGCGCTCCACCTAAGTCCGTCTTTTATATTGTGGTCCAATTTCGAGAATCCAAAGGGAAATTCTCCCGAGTTCAGGTCTCCGATTGGGACCCCCTTTTCAGTTAAAGCTTCCTCAAGCACCTCAAACCCAGGAGCGTAGTCCAAGTGACCGATGTAAATTGGCCCGCTAGTTCCATGATTTGGACTCGGATTCTCGTGATAAACGCCATTATAGGTTTCAATTGCTTTGAATGCATCAACCACGCTGTTGAACGCCCAAATTTGGTCACCGGTAAAATTTGCCCAGGAATCATAATCTTTGGCTGCACATCGATTGTAAACCAAACCATTTACAGAGCTAGAACCCCCCATAGCTTTCCCTCGACCGAACCAGCAAGTCTGGTACAGTCATGTGAATCATAAGTACAATTAACATTGGATTTAGTGAATATTTGAGCTAGCATGTTTTCATTGGCTGCTTAATAAATAAATAATTGTGCTTACGCCATTTGATCGTGTGATACAAGCTTTTTCCTGCGCTGTGGTCACATAGTTTAATAACATTCCACCTTCGTCTAAATCGTCGACAAACCAGGGAACTTCGCTAATTGGATTTGGATCACCACCTCCTTCGAGCAGTAAAACTGTGAAAGCCCCACTGGCAGACAATCTGTTGGCCAAAACTGATCCGGCAGACCCGGCTCCCACAATGATATAGTCGTAAAATTCCGTCTCTCCTTCTCCTTCCCCGTTGGCAATACTTAGGGTCCGGTCACTCTCTTCCAATACTTTGGAGTACAGGTTAGCCTGTTCGGGCGCATTTCCTTCCAGATAAAACGCCGCTACGATCAACGGGATAGCAAACCTGGTAAGAAATTGGATAGGAATCGCCATCTTAAACAGTCACCAACGCCAAATTGCAAGGTATTATGAAGTCAAATGATGCTTAAAGTATGAGCTTAAAGTGCTCAAAGCAGCGCATGAGAATAAATATATAGCTTAATTAATCAGTATTTATATGCAAACACTTGATTAATCCACGTCGCCTAACTCTGGTAAAATGTTGCAGCAACGTGTCATACACGAATCTGTCCCCTCGAAAAAATAACAAAATAGGTTATGTGATTTGATCTGCCACGAGTTATCTCAGAGCATATCGATCAACCTGAAGTGAAAATGTAATGTGTTTTACAATCAAGTTGTTATTTTGAATTTGTGATAACCATTTATGCATTTAATTGCCTGCTCTGATTCCAGAAACGATTGGAAATCAATCTCTTGTCTCTTTCACTGTGAATTATGCATATATTTAATGCCGATCCTGAAAATAGGTAATTAACATATACATGCACATCTAACCTCTCCATCTTGAAACCGCACACAGTTTCAATAACCACTCAAAAGGATTTTCGATATGATCCACAATTATATTTTGTTAACGTCTGATTTTGATAATAAAAGATAAATGTAACAAGCAGTAATGTAGCAAAACAATTTGTCTTTAAACATGCTGAGTGTGCATATTTAACTGTATTGCTACCGAAAAATTGATGTTTCCAGATATTTAATTCAATGTGCTACTACACATTAGGATTAGCTAAAGCTGAAATTAGGGAAATGGTTTATAGGGGCATAAATACATATATGTATCCCAACACGGAGAAATTTAAATAGCTTCTAAATGTTTTAGAATAAGCTTTGCAGAAACAATCTTCCATAAATTTTATATATTTACAAAAAAATAGCACTTTTATTAGTCTTGTCGTGGTTAGCACGTACCCATTGACAAATAAGATTTGTACTTTTCATTACTTTTTGATTATAGGCAATTATGGGCTTTAGAACCAACCTCTAGAAATAACCAGTAATGCTTCATAACTCAATGCTATCAAGTATTGCCATTGTCATTTCGCTCATGCGTTTGCAAAGAAGGGATGCAATTTGTAGTGCGATGTGATAGATATAGAATTATATTGACACTTGCCTGCTGCAATTAAATGCAATATTGTCGACCCATTCAAAAAATTGTAGACTGACATTGAAATAATTATAATGATTGTGCTATCATATGTTATGATAAGGGTAAAGGGTTACATAAGTATCTCTATTATATGTATATGCATGATAATATGCATAAGAATACGTTAAGATACGTTAGCTTCTTAAAGTGAATGCGCGTATTGCATGACCACTTGACCAATATCGCCCTCAGATATACATAAAATATTGCAATCGCATTTATTGTCATGCGAATGTCCTCTTCAAATCGTAATCTCAATCAAATCAATCAAAATTTATATTCATCAAAAATTTTTGTGAAGTCTTTAATTAGTTAAAATGCTCTTGCATTTTGCATTTCAAACGTTTTGTGTTCTGTTTAACTGTTTTCCTACATTTCCTGAAGTGAAAGTGCAGCAGAAAAGTGGACAGACTTATAGGACAAGCAGAGACAATAGTCATTCTTGGAACGATCTCCCCCTTGATGAAACAAGACCTCCCACAGCGTTCACAAAAAGTGGGTGGGTACAAGGTTATTTCCAACAGACGATTTTAGGAAGAAGGATAGCGGCATTTGAAACCATTCCATACGGACAACCCCCAGCTGGAGAAATGAGATTTCGGGTGTATAAAATTAAAAATTTCCTTGATATTTGTACAAATGGATTTTAATTTTATTTGTACAACAGGATCCGCTACCGAATCATCCATGGCACGGAATTTACAAAGCAACCAGAAAATCCCCAGCATGTCTTCAGCTAGATTTTGGTCAACTGTTGAGACTGCATGGACAAGAAGACTGCCTGTATCTTTCAGTCTACACTCCAACTGTGAGAAAATTGTTAACATGTTTGATGTTTGGGATTCGTTCAGAATATGTTAACTTGGCCTTATTTTATTTTTTTACACAAGTTACCGACACCGGATGACACCAAAGTATCTGCAGGCCTACCAGTTATAGTCTTCATTCATGGAGGTGTGAGACCGATTAACTTTATTGCTTGCTTAATTGACCGCAGTTGTATTACAGTTATTTTATGCATTAGGCGGATATATTTCCGGCAGATCTTCAGATTATGGTCCTGCGTATTTGCTAAATCGTGACGTTATTCTTGTCGCCATAAATTATAGGTGAATTTTCTAAAAAATTTACGCAGTTCCATATTATTATTCCATTTCCTTCTTTCAGACTGGGCATTCTCGGTAAATGTGGAAAATCCAATTTGTAAACCAATGTTAAAATGTAATTTGGGGACACCTTTTGTTATCGGATTACGTCATTCAGGTTTCTTCAGTAGTGGGGACCAGCATGCAGCAGGAAACTGGGGGATGAAGGATCAGTTGCTGGGGTTGAAGTGGGTTTCATCAAATATAAAATATTTTGGTGGTGATCCCGATCGTGTCACCATAATGGGAGGCAGTGCGGGTGCTGCGTCTGTTGGTACATACATATCCCCTATGATACCGTTTTATGTAACGTGATAAAAAATACTCAGTTTCGTCCAGGTCTTCATATTGTTTCGAAGCGGAGCAGTGGACTGTTTCAAAGAGCAATATGCGAATCCGGTTCATCTTTGGCACATTTTGCAGTACAAAATGACACATTTGCAAATTCCAGAATAACAGCTTCTGCTGTTGGATGCCCAACATCCTCATCAGAAACTATGATGGCTTGTCTACGTACCACCAATCCTAATTGGATTGTTGGCAGATCAATTGTAACTTGGGAACTACCTATTCTTTCTCGTCTTCCCTTTGGTCCTGTGATCGAAGGGCAAGGCGAATCTTCTTTTTTGGAGGAAGCTCCTGAAGTATCTTATCGTCATGGGAGGGTCAAAGCCATACCCATGATAATCGGTATCACAAAGGATGAAGGCTCTGTTTTTGCAGCAGGTGAGTGGATATGTATGTTGTAAATTCAGAACGAAACCAATGTCAATTGCATTAACTGCACTATAGACACATACATTTTCCAGGAATGTACATTACGCCTGGGAATATGCAACAAATCAACAACAACTGGGATACGTTAATTCCTTATGCGTTGGCATTCGACAAAAGGACAAATGACACGGTTGGAGTTTCTAGAAAGATTCGACAATTTTATTTGAACGGGGAGAAAATGACCTTTTGGAACAGAAAAGGGTGGATTCAAGTAAGAATTAATTAATTTTTCATATGACGATTTAAACTACAGGCATCATTGGCAGATGTTTGGCGATCGAACAATCACTGAAGGAGTTTATGGCGCAATGCAGCATCATCCAATGGTGGCAGAAACGTATGGCTATATTTTTAACTACGAAGGAACTACTTCCGTAGTGAACGTGATTGGATTGGAAACAAAAGATTGGGGTGTATCTCGTAAGGCCTTAAACTAATACATAAGTATGAGCGATGCTAAATATTTACTTACAAATGTACCCTTTAAAACTTGTCAGATGCGGATGAACTCATTTACCTGTTGAACAGCACAACTGCCTTTGCCCCACTCACCGTTGATACGAAAGATTACAAAGTGTCGGAATATTTAATTGATATGTGGACAAATTTTGCAAGCAGCGGAAAACCGTATTATGAAAATCACACTGGGAAAAAGTTAGATATCTGGCAGCCAATACGGAATATTCATGATTTAAACATACTAGAAATTAACGAAACTCCTCGAATGATTAAATTTCCAGAGGATTTATTAAAGAATTTAAGGTTTTGGCAAAAGTTAAGACTAAAAGATGATAATAGTTACTACTCGTCATAATAATAGAACTTTTTTGTAACAGTATTATTGTTTGTTGTATAAAATAGGTATCTATACTCGTAATTAATGGTGGTACATTTTTGTAAATCTACATTTGTAGATATAAATCAAATATTATTTTTCTTGTGCTAAATCATTACCGTATTATTACGCTACTTAATTGCTTACGACTTTATAAACTATTATTAGATCTTGGAGTGTCAGGAGGTATATCCCCAGGGTCATTTTCCTCTTCAGGCTCTGGTGGAATATTTTGTTGAAATATTTGTTGCGAACCCATGCGGAAATTTCTTTTGCTCATGACCTTTTCCATCAGGGATGCAGACCCGGCTATTTCCATGTCCGCAATGGACACAGCCGACACGGCTGAAATTGTGCTGCGAATAGACGAGGGTACTTCGCTTAGCTCGATAAGCCCTTGTTCAATCATTTGATACACGACAAATTCTTTCATCTCGTCAAAGAAGTAAGGGCGCTCTCCCATTGCCTTATCTGCATCTTCCTCCTCTCCTTCGCCCCCGATATGGTTGGGGATTAGCACTTCGGCTTTGAAAGGTCCTCCATGATTTACTATTGCAGTCCCCAGCCCTTGTCCGAACATGGACTTGTGACCAAATCCTTTCTGGCTCCCCTCAGCTCCAATTAGTTTTTGGTGTTCTAGCAGTTTCTTGACATATTGCAGCTCGGTTATTCTGTGGTCAAGGATTGTCAAGCACAACACCGCATTTCTCGGTGTCACCCCGTTTTGATTTCCTTATTCATATATAAAAGTCATAACGAATAATGATTTATTGGTATTGTGAATTAGCAAACTTATGTACGATGTATGAAACTATGTATAATTTTATTGTACCAAGAATGCCAACAAGACCGGCATCTGGACATTTAGCCACAGTGAACAGCGATTCAACGGCAGAAACTAGTTGTGACAGTTTGGTGAAGTTTGAATCTGAAATTATGTTCATGTTGCGAAGGGCATTTTCCTCTTCAATTACTTTGTTCTGAATTCGTTTCAACCTTTCCTGCTGATTGTTCTTTCTCAATGTAATAGTGTGATGCGTAGATTCGATGCCTTGTTTCAACACGGACACGGCTTCTCTTAATGCTGCACACTTGACACTCAAAATTGTTAGAAATGTATGTAATTTATGTATTTAAATAAGTTGATGGCATTGTGCAAGTATCTACCTCATGGTTGAGATCTGTTAAAAATTTGAATAGGGCCAGGTTTCTTTGTTCCATTTCGCCATATTTTTCGCAAAGTTTATCAACCGAATTTGATGCAGCCATTTTCAAAATAGTGTTAACTGTTGCATGATGCTGGCTTAAAATTTGGTCCAGTTCACATTCCTTGGCGTGCTCTTTTCTCACTTTGTAATTTGAAATATTTGCATAAGTATATAAAATACACACTTGTGTTTGTCGGTAATAATTTAATTATTCAAAAAATCTCACATCTTCGTTCGTCATCCTCTTCTATAACGGCTCGGCCTTGATTTTTGTCGTGAAGAAAATTATGAACCTTCCGATCATGATGAAGAACTCGTTGAAACTCTTTTACTTCCGTGACATGCTGCTTCGACTCTTTACTGTCACGTTCTCGCAGGATTTTGATTTTTGCCACAGCCTCATCCCTAGAATTATTGCAACAAATATAAACTACAGAGGTTGATATTAGATAAAGCAGAAAAGTGCACAGTGTGTTACCTATTGTCATATGTAAACTCGGCGTGCGTTACCAACTGCAGCATTTTGTTCTTCTCGTTTGCAATCTCTCTTTTGAGATAATTGTGTCGTTTGTGGAATGCCGTCCTTGCTCTGAGAAAGAAAGAAATCTGTTCGCGAAGATATTCATTTCCTTTGCATTGCTCGTCAAATTTCGAGGTTATCTGTTCAATATAGGGTAACATAAGTATATTATCTCGATTTTAGTAAAAATAAAGAAGAAGAGACGTTTTACATGATATAATTTATTTTCTCGAATTTTTATTCGCCTTTCTGATCCACTTCTGCTTATTTGTTGTCCATAAAGGGTTAAAATCTTGAGTTTCTGATGTACAACTTGCGCTTGGATTTTGTCACCTTCATCTGACAATTCTTTAATATTTCTTAAATGATCCTCAATATGTATCTTGTACGTTTCATAGCGTTTAATAAATTCAAGAATGGTGGCCTCTGCTTTCTTTGCTTTTCTTTTGTAAAGAGAACAATTTGCATTTCTAAGATTGGAGATGATATCCTCCTTCTCGTCTTTGAGGAGCTGGACCATCCACAACTGCTTCCGAGCTGTGCAGCCTCCTTCCTGAGTGAAGCCATGCCGCTGATCCTGATTTATTATCGAAACTTAGTTTTGCATATTTGATTAAGGTATTTTAACTGAATTAAGTTGTGAAAATGCATAAATTTAAAACCTCGAGCACACGATAACGACGCTGCAGGCCAATGAGTTCAATTCGAGCTTGCTTGTTCAAGTTATTGTCATCAGAGAAGGAGTCAGAGGACGCCGTGGAGCGGACGACGCTGTTGGTGACATTGGGTGGTTGATTTCCAGATTTACTGGACATTTCGTTTTGGGCAGGCATCCCAGTTTAAAAATAGTGCAATATGTATGCACAAGTGAACAAAAATACAAAACGACTTGGAAGATTGTTTTAGTTAGTTCAATTTGTAGTTTGCATTATTTATTTCGCTATTTCTTTCATAATCCGAGTAAATTGAGACGAGTGCATGTTTGAACGCATCCCTGGAAACTTTTTGCAGCATATGCATGATATTAGAAAAATATATACATTAGAAAACTTGATACTGAACGCCTCGATCGACTAATAAAATTATTAAGCAAATAAATAAAAAGAATGGGAGACTCTCAAAAAGTAAATTCGATAAATTATCTGAAGGACAATGAGAAAGTTTCAAATGTTGCGGAAAATGACGACACTTTAGATGACTTTGACGATTCATTTGAATCCACTCGTACCACATCGGGAGAGACGTTACCGCTCCTAGATTCTCAAGGGACCAATAATGTTCCTCCGGAGGAAGTTATTAAGCGGCCAAAAGGTAAGAAGATCGAAAAACACGGCAAATAATTTAACATTAAAGAATTACCCCAAGTTTAAAATTGTAGGGTGGGGACGACGACACACTACAGGTCATTTCTAAATAAAAGTTGAAGCTAGTACAAGTTTCAATCAAAAAATACAAGGATTAATTAGAAGTTAATTTTACAGCACTAATGGCTTCATGCGGATTGATGGCAACTTATGCAATGCGTTTCAACATGGCAATAGCAATCACTGCAATGATCAAATCTGATCCAATGCAAGGAAGCTCTGCTGATGGCACCCGCAATGATTCAGCCAGCGGCGTCTGTGTTTATCCAGAGGATGCTCTAGGAAACAAGTCGGAAAGTTCGGCATTGTTGGAGGAATATGGCGAGGGGGAATTTGAATGGAATGAAAATCAACAAGCAATGGTTCTCTCGTCATTTTTCTGGGGGTACATTCTTACACAAATTCCAGGTATGTACCATATTCAAGTTTAATATTTCTTATGAAAAATAGCCACAATATATTTGGCTTATATTCATAGCTACGACAAAACTTAATTTTCTATCCTTCACAGGAGGTTGGGTTGTCTCCAAGGTCGGAGGAAAATGGCCGTTCGGATTGGGCCTTGCCTTGTCTGGGCTAATGACACTTCTTACTCCGATAGCAGCGAGGACAAATGTTGGGATGCTGTTGTATTGCAGAATTATCGAGGGTCTTGGGCAGGTGATCATTATACAGATTATTCAATACTCTAAAATAGGATGATAATGGTCTAGTAAAATTAAAGGGATTCATCTTTCCGGCTCTGTTGGAGATACTTGCGGCTTGGTCACCTCCAAATGAGAGGAGTTTTCTTTCGTCGATGGCATATTCAGGTGATGATCTTTAGTCTACATATTGTTTGGTGTTTCACTGAGGAAATCATGCTGTTGGCTGATAGGATGCGAGTTTGGCGCAGCGTTGTCCATGATAACCTCAGGATATTTGATTAGATGGGCTGGGGGCTGGACTTCCGTGTTCTACTTTTCTGGTGGAGTTACAATGCTGTGGTTTATTTTGTGGATTTATCTCGTTTACGACACTCCGGAGGAACATCCCAGAATTTCATGGCAGGAGCAAAAGTACATAAGACAATCAATAGGGACTAGCACGGCAGAGGTACATACATAGCTACACAATTGACTAATATCACCAAAACACAATTTGGCTTTGTTCGTAGTTTAATTATATCATTGAATTTAACCAATCTTTCCAAAATTTATTTACAGCGTCCAGACCAAATGCCGTTTAAAGCTATTCTAACCTCAGGGCCGGTTTGGGCGATTGCTATCATTGAATTTTGTCATGGGTGGGGCTTATACACACTGCTGATTGAGCTGCCCACATATTTTAAAACAGTCTTAGACTTTAGCATGGAAAATGTATGGGAGGCATGCAACGTTTATGAAGAGTGATTTTCATAATTGAAAAACCTGTTCAATTTTACAGAACAGTTGGCTCTCTGCCGCACCGAGTCTAGCAAAATGGACATTTTCAAATTGCATCACAATTATTGCAGATATTTGCATATCAAAGAAATTAGCAAGGAAGATGGTAGTGAGGAAGACATGTCACATAATTGGTGCGCCACATTAATTAATTTTATTTAATGTGACTATGTAACTCACATATGTATGCACATGAATGTACATCTATAGCCGAGGTTGGCGCGGCTCTTGCGCTTGTGGGTGCGTCTTTGGTCGGATGTTCAAGAACAAGCGCTGTAATTTTATTGACAACTGCCGTGGGTGTTTCTGGTGGAGTGTGTGCAAGTACTTTTATTATTCCAATTGTTCCATATTTGAAATTTTTACGAAGTATATACTTAAAATGACACACTCTGCCTACATACATAAATAGGTTACATCCCAAATCAGGTAGAAATTGGCCCTAACTATGCAGGTTTGGTAATGGGATTTACCAACACGGTTGGAAATTTAGCTGGTTTTTTAGTGTCTGCAGTTGCAGGTAATCGTTATCAACATGTATGCACATGAACAATTGCATGTTTTCGTCTCAAGCGCACAGACATTTTCTTCGATTGCAGGTTCCCTCACTCGTGGTCATCCAACAGATCAACACCGGTGGAGATCAGTCTTCTTTATTTCTGCAGCAATTTACCTCGTGAGTGCTTTCATATTTGTAGCATTTGCAACTGACAAGGAGCAGTGGTGGAATCGGAGGAAAATAGTGGAACCAACGGATACACCAGGTCAAACAGCCTATGAAAATAAGGAGAAAGGCGACGCGTCCACCGTTGCTAAACGCCAATCTTGAGGTGCTTGTTGCAGTTCTAAAATTGACAACTGTAATTTTAAGCCGAACAAGAAAATAAATGACGATGCTTCAAATAATCTGAGGTTAATACCCATCTAAAATTAAGGTTTATTTCTGTTACTTTCTCTCTGCACAAGTACAGTCTTCACGGCTACAATAAACTAACGGCGAACTATGACACGATTTATGTATATATTTATATTTATCTATATATTTACATGTAAGTATGCGTTTCAATCTCAATGAATCTTGTACAGAAAGTATGTCTATAGTGATATTTATATATGTATGTAGATAGGGTTCCGGGATAAATCGACGCACTAAAACAGCTAAGTACTCATTAAACGAAATAAGCCATATTGAAAATATTGAGTCCGTTAGGATTTCTAAATACTACTAATATTTAGTAATATTTACTACTATTTAGTACTTAGATTTACAACCGACACTAGAAACCTAAATACATATAATTGTTACAATTTTAAACCATAAGAAATGTCCGTAAGTAATAATAAGTAATTTCACCCGCGTGGCATTTAAAAGACAGACGCGAAAAACACGTGTGTACAAATAGGTCAAGTTCTCCAATCAGGTAAAACAAATATTATTAATTACGGGTGGCAATGTACGGTATTGTACGCGTAGAGAGGATTTCCGTCTCCGCCTCCAGCACCGAGTTGAATTTGGCTAAAAATGTTTCCAGAACTGTTGGCTTGTTGAAGATCTCGGATGTAGATGGTGAGGATTGCCAAGTAGATGACCGTGGTGAAGAACAAGAATGTGAAGAATATGATTCCAAAGGAAGAACTGTCCCCCTTCCCGCCGTACGAGGAAGTAGTCCCCGAATTCACCAGGGTCATAATTAGCTCCGACATGATGACGTAAATCACCCGCAGAAATATCACGCCGTGGAGAATTCCAAACAAAATCGTTGAGACTTTCAACATTCCACTCTTTTTCTAAATTAAGAACGAGAAGGTACGTATGAAGTAATGGAGCATTGTTCACTTCCGGTCGCAATCATAAATATACATGTACATACCTGCTCAATCCCATTGAAAATGCAAAGCCCAAGGATCAGCACCAGTATCGAGTATATCAAGCAGATCGTGAAAAACCCATCCGTGGTTGCTGCGACCCCGTTCTACATACAAAAGTCAAACTTTCACCGTTGTGCATATTTGACTTCGGTTTAAGATTCATATTTGTTCCAAGTCCCTTGCATAAGCAGTGCAGGAACCTTTTCACTTACGGAATAGTAATTAGCGATGCTCAGGAGATGGTAATAAATTAAATAGCCCGTCATGAAAAACCCGACGCACTAAAATTCATCAAAAACAAGTTCATAAATATTCATCTTCTATATAAATTTTAAAATTAATTAATTATAAAGAATCAAACTTACGATGTGAGCACTCGCAGCAAAATAAACGCCTCCATTTAAAGTCGAACAGGGCCAACAGTAACCCATACTGATTGTTCTGGACTCGTCGGCAATTGAAGCTGTGCTATGTGCCAAACTTTCTCCACAAGCTCTTATTTACAGCGTACGTATATTGAGGTTTTCGTCGATTCAATTGATTGTTGAACCAAATAATCTTATTCTAACGAAATGGCAAAGACGGAAAATAATTCATCGTGTTATTGCATCCACTTATAAACCAATATAATCCCCACACAAAAAGTCAATACGCGTGTGTGTCTCCTTGCCGGAATCGTGGATTAAATTGGTTATTGTGCCAAGATAAAAGCAAGAAATCACATTTTCTGTTCTGTGAAATTCTAGATATTTCTTATTTAGCAGGAAAAATAGAAACAAACTAGTGCCAGGTTTCCACTGGCAGGAGAGAGCAAAGTGAAAGGAGAGAAAGTTAAATCTGACTCAACCAACGCAAAAACATTGTATGGATGGGACGGGACTAGAATTTAATCGATAAGAAAGCAAGAAAGTGTCAGAGAAAGTTCCTTGGAAGCAGGGACGTAGCTGGCACCTTACAAATACAACCACAAATTAAACACATTTTATTCCATATGCATCCCATTACTGATGAATCTGACCAAATTTCAGACATGAATCCTCATGATTGGTTTCATATTGTTGCATAAGTAGTTTACGAATCTTCCGAATTCTCAATTTTCTAAAATAGAATTGGAGAAAGCGACACAAATTTGCACCAATGGAATGTGTATGTAGTTCGGGGTTTCGGTTACAGCCGAACCTTGGGCAATTGGGTTACTCGGGGATGGGTTGCGAAATGCACACTGCTTTCTCTGGACAGCATAAACTTTCTACTGTAGCGAAATTAAGCCTGAGCATTAAGGGTGAATATACATGCACGTATGCAACATGGATGGAGAGAGACATAAATAGCTCCAAGCTAAAAACAGCAATTTAATCATACTAGGCCACGGCCATGTCCAGAGAGTAACGAATGTATTCCAAATATCATGCTTACTTGTTGGCTCTAAATTAAATGGAAAATGGAAAGTAAGTTAGAAAGGGGCTTATGTGCGGTGTTCCATTTGTTTCTCAGAGGGACATTTCACTCTACATGAAAAATGTTCTGCTATTGCTAAATACGCATATCGTCGAATTTCACTTTTGGAACTTGTAGTGTTGCAGAAATGTTTGGTTTGGACATAAATAAATATGTCAATTTAAAGGGCACGCAACGTAATTCTGGCTTTCTTTTGCTATTTTAGTGAAATGCCGGAGGATGTTAATGTTGACCAGTTGAACACTTGCTAGAATTGTCTTGCTCCTTATTGAAGGTTGCTGCCCAAATGTCCACCAAACAATGCGATGCAATAAGCATAAAGGTCATCCATCGTGCTTTATGGCCGAATTTAAAATTGTGCATGTGCAAAAGTCATGACGAATGCGATTGTTTAACCCTGACTGCAGTTTCTCACCAATTATCCCATTAAATTGGTTTAGTAAGCTATGACACGCCTAATTTCTGACCTAATTGTCTAACCTAGCATGAAATTATCACACTAATTCGATTGCAACAATAATTCCGTTTTTGAAATAAATAGGAAGGATTCCACAATTTTGAACCCATTCTAGCTACACACCATTCGGGCAAAATATTTATATTTCCACAAAATGAATACCAATTTGTTGCTGCAGAATACATTTATTGTTTACTTGTTACAAAATATGTATTCATCTCGTGCCCTAGAGCATACTGAAACTACTTTCCCAATATCAAGAATATTAAACGTTATTAGAATTTTTCAACATGATGGGGCCAAACCTTTCACTGTTATTTTTACGGATGCTCACTTTCCGTCATTCGAATATTTAGAAATATTGTGTGGAAACATTGGTTACTTTCTCCCACAAATTGTATTTTATAATAGAACCAACTCATCCTGGGATTTTGAGCACAAATTCATGCAAGTACGAGAACAAGACATTGCTTTCACGAGTCTCCTTCATATCGCACCAGTGTTCCCAACATTTTCTGCCAGCATAAATATGCATAAACAATTTTGGAATAAGAGAAAGGACAGATATATTTTCTTTCACGAAAACCTTAATGTATTGAGGCAATTTTTACAGCTTAACGAAATTCAAAAGATTCAGCACAAGATCGGAATCACAATATCGCGGACCTTTTCACCAACCCACTATTTGCGATCTTTGTCTCCACGCGTTGGTCACAGTTTGAACAATCGTCACATCAAATGTTCCGGATTTTTGACATCGCCTTACTTCTTCATCTTGGACGATGGTGAGACTTTTGACGGAACAAATTATAGGATTGTGGCTGAAGCGTCGAAAACTTTCAACTTTACTTTCTCAACTCACGTCACGTCAGGATATGGAACTCTCCTGCCAAATGGGACGTGGATCGGCTTGTTGGGTGACATATATTATGAGGACAGTGAGTATGAAGTAGCATACAGCTTGGGTCATGACGTTATTTTGGATGGTCTCATCGACTACGCAGCATGCCTCGACTTTGTCAGGTTGACCTTTATGACCAGACATCCACTCCCACAAGTTATGAACATGTGGGGATTGCTCCTCCCATTTCAACCATGTGTGTGGTATGCCATTTTAGGCATATTTTGTGCACTAGTTGCAACTATTTACTCAGTTTTTGTTTGTGAAGACAGAAGGTCACAGTGGAAGAAGAAAAATTATATCGATGCTGTGATTAGTAAAGATGACGGGTTATGTAATTCTGATTACTTCTGCAGATCATTTGTTTTAATTTACTGCATAACACTGGAGCAAACGGTCACGATCCCGAACAAGAACATTAAACTTCAACTGTTGGTAGCTGTTTGGCTATTCTTTATTCTTAATATGGGGACTGGTTACAAGAGCAATTTAGTTTCGTATTTGTCCATCCCAGAGAAAGGATCGATTCCTCGTGACATGGAACAATTGGCCACGTCAACGTATGGCGTGACTTTAAACTTCTTTGGCATCGTGGAACTAATATTCTTCAACACGTCTGATCTCAACACTGTCAAAGGGATCAATCGCCGAATGCTCTTGGATTCCAGTACGGAAACTTGTGTAGAAAATGCAATGTTGAATATTGACCAAGTTTGTTTGGGTTGGGATCAGTCCCTTCTATTGAATGCGGCATCGCAATTTACCATCCAACCACAAATGGACCCACTTTTCAAATCCGCTGACGATCTCACACAAATCCCATTGTCCATGGGATTCAGAAAAGATTCAAAGTTTTTGGATGCTTTTACTTCAATTTCGTACTCATTTTTGGAAACTGGAATATATTCACGGTGGAAAAATGAAATACATTGTTTGTTCAAAAGGATAGGGGTACGAAGGATGGAAAAAATTCGGGGAAACAACCCATCCGTTTACAAGATTGTGGATGAGATACTAAAGTCACTGGATGGTCAAGTCCCAGTGAAAGCGTTTCACGTTGAAAATGTAATGTTGGCTTTTGTAATTTTAGGTAGTGGGTTGGCGTGGGCTAAATTAATTTTTTTGTGCGAATTGATATGCTTAAGACGGTTAAAATAAGTTTAAAAAAGTCAGTTATATTTTGTAGTACTACTGCTTTAGTTTGTTTAGTTTAATGTCAACAATTGCTTACGATGTTTACAAAAGATTTTGTAACTATCAGGGAACAAAAAAATAAACTTTTTCTTTAAGACACTTAACTTTGATTGGTTTCATTTCAAACTCTTCATTATCAATGGACATGTACTTATGCCCATCTATTGGAAAGATTTCGATTTCTTGACAATCAATGACTTGAGCATAATTTGCACTTGCATTCTTTCGCCTCTTCAGACCTTCAATCATAAAATCAGTCTTGTCCAACTTTTTATTTACTTGGATTTGAAGTCGGCCATTTCCTGCCACTTTCACATTTAATTCTGACGTGTCCACGCAAAACGATTCCCAAGTCCCACATTCTGGATTAACGTAGGGATTATCAACTGCATCAATTTCTGTGGTCGTTTGAGCTAAATATAAAGTACGAAGAGTTAAAAATGTGGTCCACAACTTTAAATTGAAGACAGTATTTTTTTACCGTGAACAGGCTGAGGTCTAAATACTGAAAATATTCTTGACCAAATTGATGGTTCGTTGCTTTCTTTGAAAGTAACAGGAGAATCAGTAGAAGCTTTTACTATTGGTTTTGGCTTTACGCAAGTTATGCATCCATCACACGCTGGGACATAACGGATTTCTGCTTTGAAATTCTCTTGTGGAGTTCTATACAGTGACAGAAAGGTGGCAAATAAGTTTGGGAAAAATGATGGCATTTCATCCCTTATTTTCTGTGCTTCTCGGAATTTGCCAATCGAAATTTCATCCACAGAATAAAATGGCTTCTTTGGCTTGGTCACATCTTCTGCAGCGGCAGCTACCTCTGGTTCTGGTGTCTGTAACTAAAAGAATTGTAATTAATAATTACAATAATTACTAATTATAGTCTGAGATTAGCTGAATAAAAATACAATGAAATATTGCATAATATTGTAATACCGAGTTATCGACATCTGAAATCGTTATTTGCATTACATCCTGTGGCCGGATTTTATGTTTGACCACTGCCATTGCTGCTTCGGCAATTAATCGAGGGTCTGAATAATCTTTTCCGGCTTTATTATGAAATAGATTATGTGCAAACTTATTATGAGAGCCGACAGGGATAACAGCGAGTGGATATCTTCTCAATGCTTCTTCAGCGTCTTCACGTCTTAGTAATCCAGTCACGGTCTAGAAAATGAATGTAGAACATTTTACAAATCAGATTATTCAAGTATTCAATTCAGTAGACCCACTAATCCTAAGCAAATAAATATTTACCTCAAACAGAGTACCATCTCCTCCAGCAGAAGCAATAATGTTTGTCTTTTCAATTATCTTTGCAAGATCTCTGGCCTCATCGATTCTCTCTGTTCGAACAATGTTGACCAGAAATCCGGAAAGATGAAAGAGTGGTTCGGCAAATTTTTCCAGCTTGGCTTTTGACTTTCTGCGTTAATAAATTCAAGAAGTAAAAATCTCCCACATTTTATGTTTCGAATAGTTTGTTGGGAAACGAACCTATTTCCAGAGGTTGGATTAAGAAATATTGTAATGTGCTTGTTCTTCGCTCCAGCTGGCAAAGGTCTCTGTCCGTGGATAAGAGCTTCTCGGCTATACTCCCGCATCATTAGGAAATTCCTACGTATTTAAATTACCAGATTTTATGTATGGTTTACATTCGGTACCTAACCAGGCAGAGTTCAGAAATTAATTTATTCTCAGAACTAACCTGTGCCAGTCTCTGGCATATTCGATTCCGTAGTAGCCTAAAATAGCTGCAAATGTACTCTTCTTCCAATTGTTCCGCAATGTGCGAAATATCCTGATAACTTTCGACATCTTGATCTGATATTAATGTCCCTCACAAAATAAAGTAAATAAATTGTCGATGATAAGTGCTTATTGTCAAAGAATTTTGCAGTGTTTTGTGCAAAAGGCGAGATTGAAAATTGTTGAAAGTTTTGCGATCCTTGGTGGTGAAAGCACATGCGGCTGGGTGCCGCTGGGTTGGTTTGGTATGGGGCAATATAATGTCCAAGAATCACTTTTCTCATGCAGAAAACCAACGCTTTCACCAAGCCATAAATAGTTGGGGTCATGTTTGAAACAGAAGCAATTTTCGTTAAAATGTTATTATATTGTATTTTAACTCATGAGTGGACGTTGCATATTTATTTATTCGGTACAACTTGTTCGAGTAATCATAAAGTCGGCATGCAAAGCAAACTCATGTTACTGCATAATTTGAAAACAATATGCAATACGTACATACACACATTCAGTACATTTTTGTATGTTTCGAAATGTCATAAAAGCATAAATACGTACTTGCGGACAATTAACATAAATGTAGATTCTTTGCTACATAATGAGCCTATTGGTTGAGGTACCTTGTAATGTACACAATGATGCACAAACAGTTTTGATAAGAAGGAAGAACATAACAGATTGATAAGGCCTTGTTGTCACTCAAGGAACATATACAAAACTGATAAAAATGTGAATCACAGAGTAGTACGTGATGAAGTTTTATTATTCATTCAGCTTTTTCTGCATTTGCCTTATCTACGTATAAGCTGAATGAAAATAGACAGCTTTTCCTACACTATCGAATTCGTGTGTTGTTGACAGCATTAAGTCTTTACTTATGTTGTTATATACGTTTTAGACTATAACAATTTACAACTTACTTATAGTACAATTAGTAATTGTTGTAAAAGGTTGGGGTCAGTGCACATGGAAAATTAACCATTTTAACAATTGACCAGTAGATTAATATATATATATAAATTTATTTTCTTTTATGTTGTCACAATGAAATTGCTAGTTGGAACGTTTATCTAGTTTTAGTTAGTTCAGCTCTTATTGGGCGTGGGTATTTGGATATAATGGGTGGCGATTTTTTGTTTGGTGGGGAGGAGGAGGCTGCAAGATTACTAGGAGGCAAAGATAAGGCGTATTACGGAACGTACGGCGATGACAAGACCAGTGCCAGCAGTTCAAGGGTGAGGCGTATGATGGAGGAGGAGACAAAGGAAGTAAAGAAGATTTCAATTTCAACCCTGGTATTGCATTTTCATATTTTTTCTGAAAGATACTTTTTGGAGAAAGTGAGTGATGTTGCTCATTACTGAAAATAATTTACTAAAGTTTAGATATGCGACGTACCGAGATAAGTGGTTTATCGGTATTGGCACGGTTTTTGCAGTCCTTCATGGCGCTGGGTTCCCACTTTTAGCTCTCATCTTCGGAAACATGACGGACACATTTATTCGGCAATCGTTATATGTACGTAAAGTGCTACCAACTAGAGTAATTCGCAGTAATTTCATTATGCTCCGACTTATTTTACACTGAATAGGGTTTCACAAATGATAGCGACGTTAGTGGAACTCAGGACTCATCAACGATGACAACCCCATTTTTCAATTTTATGACCTCAGCCGATGGTAGTATTGATTACGACACAGATTCTCATACTGAAGCAGCCAACAATTCAACTGCTGGAATCAGCAAACTTTCATTTGAACAACTCATGAATGAATTCACAATTTATTACATTGGAGTGGGTATCGTTGTCCTGATTTCGTCTTTTATTCAGGTATTTACTTATGAAGAAATCATGTTTTGTTAAATAACTTCATCATCTTGTACCTCCAGTAAATTATGTTTTCTAGGCTGTTTGTTGGGAAAGCTCATGTGAGCGTCAAGCTTACCGTCTTCGGCAAGAATTTTTCTATCAAGTTCTTCATCAAGAAATCGCCTGGTTTGATGATCACCAAACTGGCGATTTAGCCATAAAGTTGTCAGAGTATGAAAACGAAATGATTCTTTTCGTGCTATATGTAAATGTATGAATCAGTAGGTCTGAAAAGCCGCATATAATTTATTTCCAGTGATCTGGAAAGAATTAGAGAAGGGATTGGGCATAAATTTAGTATGATCATCCAATATGGATCAACATTTGTGATGGGGCTGGTAGTAGGATTTTTGACCTCTTGTCGTTTGACTCTGGTAATAATTCACATATGAAAACCATTTGAAACAGTTCTACTGTTGTTCCTACATATTTTATTACTGCTTTGTATTGGCAGGTAATCTTGTCCCTCACACCTGTTCTAGCTGGGACCACAGCTTTTTGTGGAAAGGCAAGTTTTTATTGGCAAATTAACTACATACGTGTGACACCAAAGATTGTAACCTTATTAACATGCAAAACAATTCCTTGACTAGCTTATTGCAACACAATCCGTCAGAGAACAGCAAAAGTATGGGAAAGCTGGAGGGGTCGCAGAGGAGGTCTTGTCTTGCATCAAAACGATCGCAAGTTTCGGGGGAGAGAAAAGAGAAATTTTAAGGTGGACATATATACATACCCAAGATGTATTTTTTTAACACAACTGCAAATCACTCCATGGTTATCCTCTTATCCTTAGATACTCGATAGCTTTATCTGCTGGTCTGGAGGTGGCACTGAAAAAATACAAGGTATTTGCCGTAGCCATCGGAGCGGTATTCTTTCTCATGTATGGATCCTACGCCCTCGCGTTTTGGTATGGATGTCAATTGTTAGATCAAGGATTTCTCACTCCAGGGGACATTTTTACGGTACAATTAGCAAATTTTATACATAAATATCAATCACTGATAAAATATTGGCCTACGCATATTCATATAAAATCGTTCTTTAGGTGTTCTTTAGCGTGCTCCTTGGTGCTTTCTCTTTAGGGAATGCTATTCCATTCTTGTCGTAAGTGCCGTTATGATCTTCACGTGTAACGATATATCATTTACATGGAATACAATATAACTCAATGGTTATCATTATGCGACAGAACTATCGGAATGGCCCAGGCGTGCGGAGGCATTATTTTTAATATTATTGACACGCAGCCATATATCGATGCATATTCTAACGGTGAGATAATAAGTACAAATTCTGAGCATGAGTGTTGAGTAAGGCTCGCGATAATGCTTTCAATTTCTAGCCGGGATAATTCCAGACAAGTTGACAGGACACATCGAATTTAGGGATGTGGGGTTTCGCTACCCCTCAAGGAAAACTGTCAAAATCTTAACCAACTTTAACCTCGACATTGAACCAGGAAGGAAAATAGCGATCGTGGGCCTTAGGTAAATCCTACGACAGCCAAGTTTTCTTGCCTGAAACTATGAGTGGAAAATAATAATTTAATAATTTGTTTGAGAATTAAAGTGGGTCAGGAAAAAGCACAATAGCGAATTTAATATTGAGATTCTACGATCCGAACCAAGGATCAGTGCTCATTGATGGAAATGACTTGAAAGCGCTAAATCTTTCATGGTTAGTTACACACCTATATATTTAATCGGTTTAAATATTCAGTTAATCGAATTTCCTGGTTGACCGGAAGATCTCGTCATTTTCTCTGGAGGTTCATCATCTCCACCGTGTAGATTCTAGGAAATAAAACATGATTTAAATAACATCATTAGATAACTAAACTGAAGAACGTACTTTGTAATGTCGAACAGTGGTGCCGAAAAATGACGAGGAATAGTTACACCCAGGTGCTGGGCAGGTGTGCGGTTTTAGTCCTAAGTGGGTGCAGGCGTGTTCACTGAAATATGAACGATATTAACTAACATAACGATTCCCTTAAAGTACAAAATGAATTACCGAGAAGTTGTAATCCCTTTGTTTAGTTTTCCGCACTCTGCCCATAAGCACCGATACGTGGTTGATTTCGACCCTTCTTCCAGTGGGAGAAGCTCCAAAAATACATCGCATTTACCTGCGTCCTCTTGATTAATATCTGGGATACCGAAAGTATTCCTCTTTGGTGGTTCTGTCCCTGGGTGGTACCTACTTCGATGACGTTTTCGACAGTCTTGTGTTGCAAAAGTACAGGGACACAGATCACATGATAATGCATCGGGTCCCGAGTAATGGCTTGTCTAGAAACATAAATATAAATATACACATACCAGTTAAATTGTTCCTAACAAATCAAGAAATGCATACCCTCATGTGTGTGTTCCCTGGCTTTGATACAGCTGCACTACATAACTTACAAAGACGTTTCTCTTGCGGCGGTGGGAGTGGCCGGGGGTTTTGTAATTTATCTGCGGGAGGAGGAGGTGGGTGATTAAAGTAATCCTCCCGGATTTGAGGAACACGATGAAGGAATTGTCGCAAATGAGCATCCATTGTATCTGCGTGTTTCCTCAAGACCACTTCGGATGAGTACGGGGCTTTGGCGCACGTAACGCCAAACGCGTAACTCCAAACTTTCTCCTAACGCGAAATCTCAATTGGTCACAGACCCAAGAATCATCACTGTACATGTGGAAAGAATATGTCATCGTGGGATCAACTTTCCATCCCCATAGTTCTTCGAGTTCTCTGTAAATTGTTCGTTTGCGTAAATGCACTTTGATAATTATAGTGTTTAATATGAACCGTTTATCACTTACTTAACTTTGCAACCTTCAAGGTCCAAGGCGTCGCTATTAAAATTTGCCGTTATCGTTAGCGTTGTGCTCAAAAGACATGCGGTGGCTGGTCCCATATTTACCGTCATATCCCTCACGTCGCCGTGTTTGTCAGTCAGAAGAGAGAAGTAGACTTGGAATAAGTTCTCTGAGTAACACAATTTATTAGGATTTGGTTCCAACTATTATAGGTTAAATGTAAATACGTACTTTTAAGGTCCACTTCTGAGATAACATTCATGTGAATCTCGTCATTGTCGTCTCTCCAGAAGAATAGATCCATTCCCACTTTGGGCTCTTGTCTCAATAATTCACTATCACTAATCATTATGTGAGATAATTTTAATAATTTTTATTCGAAGAAAACAAAGAAAGACCTTGCCTAGCTGGCCGGTTTAAGAATTTCAACTCGTTTGGCAAGAAATGCACCCATGGTGAAAAATGAGATTGCAATTACACTTGAAAGCGCTCAACTTGGCATGGTTAGCTAGATAGTTTCGACAGTTTGACCGTGTGCGCAAAATATGTAAGCATTGTATTTATAAATATCTTGCTTTACACAAAAATAGGTTTCGCCATCATGTCGGCTACGTATCTCAGGAACCTGTGCTCTTTGGAATTTCTATTTATGAAAATATTCGATATGGTCGAGAAGACGTCGGCAAGGGGGATATTATCCACGCAGCAAAAATGGCATACGCTCATGATTTCATATCACAGTTGCCACAAGGTAAAAGGTAACAAGTTATTAATGAATATAATTTATAAAACTAACAAACTATTAATTATAAAAAAGGATATGAGACGCTATGTGGAGAAAGAGGCAGTCAATTGAGCGCTGGGCAGAAGCAGCGTAAGATGTTTATGATAACTTTATGTTTATTTCTACATATTATTTCGAACTAACAATAAGAGGATTTCATGGTTTCATAGGAATTGCAATTGCTCGTGCACTAGGTAAGTTTTTATTGGTAGATTATCCTATGACATCAAAGATTGCAATTTAATATTCAATTTTTTCAGTTCGCGATCCCAAAATTGTATGGTATAATTAGTGAAGAATGTTATTTATCTATGTACGTCAAATTTTTATTTTTAAAATTGTGGATTTTATTACCAGTTGGTGCTGGATGAAGGTAAATGCATAAGGAATTGTAATTAAAAATTAAGATGTTAACTAATCTATATTCCATTCTTGAAGCTACATCCTCTCTCGATTCGAGGTCTGAGGCTGTGGTTCAAGCAGCATTGGACCTTGCTGGTAAGCAACAAGCACACACAACTCACAAATCTGCGATAAGCTCTTTCGTACTGGTGCTTATTCTGATTCTTATTTTTTTCTAAATATGATTCTCATTTTTTTGCAGCAAGAGGTCGGACGACAATCATAATTGCTCATAGGTTACAACGCAAACATTATGTATAAGTATCCTGAATGGACATCATGTAGAACTGTTTACCCTATTTGCGATTCCTCATTTAATTCAAAAATATGTAAATGTGTACTTTAACTTGAAGAAATTCTTAAGTTATTAAAATTATAACAGGTTGAGCAGTGTGAAGGACTGTGATGTTATATATGTCATCAAGGTACACACTTGCTACAATATGCTAAGTAAACGCTAATAATGAGGTTCTATAGGATGGTCACATCATGGAAAGTGGAACACATTATCAATTAATGTCCTGTGAAGCGTTGTACCACGACCTGGTCATGGCTCAAACTACCGTCGTCGAAGATGAGTACATCAGTCAGAGCGCGGATGAGTCTGGTGCATGGTATTTTCTTGATAAATATAAAATGCAGCAAACTCGAGTAAAACGGCGCAGTACAATTAATTCCCAAATTAATTGTGACCTTAGGGAAGAGTCATCCAAAGAGCTAAGCGTATTGCTTGCATGCAATCAGCTCGACAGTTACAGGCGTGTCAAGAGAAAGCAAAGAAAAAACTTTCGGAAAAGAAAGATAATTCTTCCGGATCCGGATCGGTACTATATTACTTTTTAAAAAAGTGTACTCTTTCTTAATTGGGTTAGTTTATTTAATTCGTGTTTTTGGTGCAGTGATAGATTGGTTAAAGAAGCAGAAGAATTGAACGTGGAACTTCCAAGTATTATGAAAATCTTGCGAGTAAATGTATGAATTTATATCTCAGCTCATTTTTATTAGCGATGAACTTGTGCGTATGTACAATCACTGACATATGCATTTTTTACTGTATTTTTACTAGAAACCTGAGTGGTTTCATCTGATGATCGGAAGTCTGGGGTGTGCCTTGACTGGAATAGTAATGCCTGTTTTTGCATTTTTTTATTCGCAGATGTTTGAGGTACGGCGTACAATAATTGAAACTATTAACTAACAATGCAAGTCTGTTACGTGTACAACTCAGATCTGGTTGGGACCAATTTTATTTTGTTCACCACAAAAAATAAGCATACCCGTATCTTCTCATTTTTCATAATGCGCTAATTTGAGTGCGAGGCGCGAATTTTAAAACATTTTTCAGCCAAAACCTCCGTTTTTAAAACTTCCATCAATTTTCGAATTTTAGCGCGAATCCGAAAATTCGAAAACATGTCTCTTCAGAATGATTTACTTGTCTTGTAAAAAATCCATATGCATTATTTTTTGAAAATTTAAAAATTTGAAAGCGTTTATAATTTTAGTGAATTTCAAAAACCGACAAAAAATTTCGAAATTCAAATTTCGATACAATTGGATTTTTCATAAGTCAGGTAAGTCATTCTGAAGAGACATGTTTTCGAATTTTTGGATTCGCGCTAAAATTCGAAAATTGATGGAAGTTTTAAAAACGGAGGTTTTGGCTGAAAAATGTTTTAAAATTCGCGCCTCGCGCTCAAATTAGCGCATTATGAAAAATGAGAAGATACGGGTATGCTTATTTTTTGTGGTGAACAAAATAAAATTGGTCCCAACCAGATCTGAGTTGTACACGTAAAAGACTTGCATTGTAAGCTATGAAAGTGTATGGTTTAATTTAATTCTTTAGACGTTCGGAAAAAAAGGAAGTCAGTTAATTGACGATGCGGTTTTTTGGAGTCTCGGATTTCTAATTTTGGCTGCGGTTAGCTTCGTTGGCTATTTCATTAGGGTAAAATTACAGATAATACACATTAAGTAACTCATATGCAAATATGGCTTTGCAATTAAATCAATTTTCTTTTCAGACCATTTTTGTAGCAACTGCAGGAGAGCATTTGACTATGCGACTACGCCTACATTCTTTTGCTAACGGTTAATTGTAAAGTTTTAAATAATTTCGTTAACATTTCCTAACATACAGGTGTTTTACCTTTTAAATAGTTGTTCGTATGCCCATGAGTTGGTTTGACAAAGAGTGTAATAGCCCTTCTAGAATTTCAACTCGTTTGGCAAGAGATGCGCCCATGGTCAAAGCCGTGAGTGCTTTCCCTTACGTTATTTTCATAATTACGATGACGTGTAATTACAAAAACTATGTTAATGTATTGCATAATAATAAAAAATTGTAGGCGGCTGGACATCGCTTGGCTGTTACATTAAGCTCGTTCGTGACGGTAACAGCGGCGATTTTTATTTCGTTTTATTTTGGATGGCAGCTAGCTCTTGTAATTCTTGGGGGATTTCCAATCCTCATGTTTTCCGGTTATGTTCAAGGTATTACTACAGAATTCAACATCCAAGATAATTTATTAATGTTCAAATAACTTTGAATTTGAAGTACAAGTTCAGAAAAGTGGTCAAAAAAAGGACGCAGCAATGATGGAAGATGCTGGACGGGTAAAAATTCACTGTCGCTAAATATGAACTCGTTGAATTTAATTTAATTTCATAATTCGTTCTCAGTGTGCAAATGAGGCCATTGCAAATGTAAGAACCGTTCAGTCAATCGGACTTGAAAGCATCTTTTGTACAAAGTATTTTGAGCTGTTATATCCCATGTACATGTAAGAAACAAACTAAATGTACAAATAATTAATTAAACAACTAATTGGAAGTAGTAATTGGTGGTTGGTTTAAAATGATACTTTTTAGAGAAGCGCATCGTCAAGCGTTAATTTACGGTATTAAACAAAATTTAGTTTATAATGTAAATATTCTATTTTTAGTTTATGAAAGAAATCTTCTATGTTTATTTAGGCACCGCGTTTGCTTTTTCAGAGGCAGTAGTTTTTATAATTTACGCAGCCAGTTTCAGGTACAAAGACTTTTATGCATCCCGTTCTATTAGAGTGTTGTATATCTGATTTCTGAGCCTTTTCTTTTCTGGAGATATGGGGCCTACTTGATTTCGATTGACTTAATGTCGTCGAGTAGCGTTTACCGAGTATTTTTCGCAATTGCATTTTGTGCAGTCTCAGTGGGGCAAGCAACAAGCTTCATTCCTGATTACAACAAAGCCAAACTTGCTGCTGGTCTTATTTTCCATTTGATTGAAGAGAAATCAAAAATAGATCCGTTCAATGCGGGCGGATTAAGGCCGGTAAGATGACATCGTGGCTAGATGTACATACTTCATGTATGTAATCGACAAATTTGCATATGCCTGACATGTATCGTAGGGGTTAAAGGGACAAATTTCGTTCTCAGACGTACACTTTCGGTATCCAATGCGGCCAGATACTCGTAAGTTCTAAATGACTCGAAATGATTTTTGAAGTAAAAACATACTCATAATTTTTTTTTGATACGCATGATTTTAAAGTAGATTTGTTGTCTTGTTGTTAGACGTATTGCGTGGCTTGTCATTTTGTGTGGAGCCTGGACAGACGCTGGCCCTTACTGGTCCCTCAGGTACTGTAGCAGTGAATTAATTTCGTTTGGTCTGACCGACATGGAAAGGTGTATTTAATCAAAATAAAACACAATAAAGGTTGCGGAAAATCGACTGTCGTATCGCTCCTGGAGAGATTTTATGATGTTGTAGGAGGACATGTGGTAAGCATATTATATAATAAACAAGGTCCCTAAAAAGGGGAAATCTTAGTGAGGGAGTGCAATCACAACTAATAAATAAAATTAGATTGGAGAATTTTTGCATCACCGCTCTCGGTACCATTTTTACTGGATGCAGTATAAATTTTTCTTTGCATACGCATGAATTCTTAGTTTTATTGAATAAATTGAGGAAGGAATACATTTTTACTGTGTAGTGAACGAGAAGTGGGTTAAATTAACTGAGGTAGATATGTAAGATATAATGGCTAAATAATTCTGAGCTACGTATTTGTTTAAAAAAATATACAAATTTCAACTTCATATATTAATTTGGCTACTCTATGCAAAATCATCGAACCTTTTGAGGGAGCAAGTGTTCTATTTAAACGATTAATGCTTCCAGTAATAAAAATGGTACCGAGAGCGGTGATGCAAAAATTCTCCAATCTAATTTTATTTATTAGTTGTGATTGCACTCCCTCACTAAGATTTCCCCTTTTTAGGGACCTTGTTTATTTATAACTTTTAATTGGGGAATTAGATTGTCCATTGGATGACTGCATTGCACTACCCCTTTTCAGTAGTTTGATCCGGAATAATTTTATTAAATTCTGGGTGTTTAAAATTGAATAAATCCGTTATTTCTTAACCGATTTATATCATTTTGGTCAAAATGTCCGGCCTAGATTACTAAACACCAAAAGACCTGATCTGGAGGTGCAAAACCAACAACAATTTCACGCAGTTTACCAAGCATGTTACAGAAACAATTAGTTATGCTGTTTACAGTTTTGAATGTAATTTGTTTTCAATTTATTAGTCTTGCGTCGTTGTCAATGGCAATGATTCGTAGCACGAGCAGGAATTTCTGAACTTCAAATTGGAATAACTAAGCCAATTCTTAACGGATTTTGATATATTTATACTTAAAATTTTCGGGATAAACTGCCCTACAATTCGTGGGTATCAAACTTTTGATAAAGTTTGCTAGTAACTAGCAATAATTACAAATGTGTTTCTAAGGCTACATTTTTGCCCATAATTCCGGTCAAGATCACGTAATCCCTTAGTCGGATCAGATCCCGTTTCTATATTATGTAACAATAATCGGTGCAAAATTTCATCAAAATCGGTTGAAAAATGACTGAGATATCGCAGATGGTCACTTTTTTGGGGTGGGTCAAATGCATACTTAGTAATTTTTTCGTTGTTAGGTATTTGCCTCACTAAGAAAAATCAATCGTTTATTCCAATTACACATGATAATCTGCTAAAATAGATGGTTGACGGATATGACGTTCGGTCTCTTAACATTGAACATTTAAGAGCTCACATTGGGTTTGTGACGCAGGACCCTGTGATTTTTGATTGTTCGATTAAAGGTACTTACTTACTGAATATTAATTGGAGATGACAATATTAAAATTGGATTTTATTCTAGAAAATATTGCGTACGGTTACGGGGGCTCAAGCGTTCCTGATGAATTAGTAAGCATTGCTCGATTAATTGAATATTATAATTTTAAGGTCGACTAATTAACACTTAATCGTATTTTATTATGATCGTGGAATACATATCCTAATAATTTTTTGACCTAGGTCGTGGAAGTAGCAAAGTTAGCTAATATACATAACTTCATTACAAGCCTACCAAATGTAACGAGTACATATTTCTTATGCAATATTTATTAAGTTGAAAATTATCCGTCGTTTAACTGACATTAATTATTATACAGGGGTACGAAACCCAAGCGGGGGAACGCGGTAATCAATAAATAATAGTAGAAATAAATAGTAGTAAAAATTAATATGAGAAAGAAATTCTGAAATTTAGGCGATCAATTGTCGGGCGGAGAAAGACAGAGTAATTTTTTTAATATTTGTACTTAGGATTAGTAAAAATTTACATAAAGCTTCTGAAATTTAGGAATTGCCATTGCCCGAGCATTGTTGAGGGACCCAAAAATTGTATGTCAATATAATTTTATGTATTAGCTTGAATTATTATGTGTTAGATCTACATATTTCTATTTAAAGCTCATCCTTGACGAGCCCACGTCCAATCTAGACACGGAGAACGAAAAAATAGTACAAGACGCCTTAGACAAGGCTCGTGCTGGAAGGACCTGCATCATTATAGCACACAGGTTCGTTTTTAGATGTCGACAGTCAAAATAAGTATGGACTCTATCTGTGAGTTATGTGCACAGGTTATCAACAGTTCAAAATGCGGACTGCATCGCCGTCATCAGTCAAGGGCGTGTGGTGGAAATGGGGTCTCATGATCAACTTAAAAACGCAAAAGGCATGTATTATAGGCTCACAAAGAACCAACACATTATTTATTAGATAAAGTTTAAATAATAAAATCCGTCACATGATGGCTTTCATTGTACGTATTAAAAAATCATTTCCAAAAAATACTAACAATAGCTGGATGTAATAACTGGTGCTAGTGAGCTCATTGAAATAATAATCGCTTCTTCAGTCCTTATCGTTCTTGAACCTTGATTAGGACATGTATTGATGTAGTGGTCAAATAGTACACTAACATCATCCTCCATCAAGGATTCGTCATTTTCCAGTGCATACTCTAAACCTTCCACTCCACCGAAAACAATTAGAATGTGCTGAAACGAGTTGTTGTCCATTTTGAAATGTTTCACTGGATAACCCTTTTCTGACGTTCCTATCGTTAAATCGTACCCAGTGCTTCCCTTGAATGGGCATTGGGTAAAAACCTTGCTTAAACTTGTGGCTATTCTCACAGTGTAACCCCAGTAAAAACCGGCTGAAAAAATTATTGCATGCAATTTTCCATATTAAATTGATTGAATAATTATTTTTGTAAAGAAGTACCTTCGGTTCTGGGTAAGTGAGGTGAGACAACGGCTCCCTTCATGTTCCCTTTTGGCTTCAGGATGTATTCTGGTGATGGGTTGTCAAACTTGACAGTCACACGAATTCCTTCAGGAAGGCGTTTTTCAACTCGACAATCTCTATCCAATCCGACATAAACATAGCTCACATCTTTCCCTTCCTTTGTTGGTTTACTAGAAACCACTCCCTCCCTGCAAAGAAGTATGTAGACATATATATATCTAAATTACTACACCGTAATATTCACTATACTATACTAGCCAAAACTCGATCAATGAATATGCTCATTTACTACGCTTGCTTTCACAACTCTCACCGATATGGTAAAGCTTCGTGTCTCTTCAAATGATGTGGAATGTCCAACGGAGCAATTAGGCCAGCATATTGCAAGTCTTGATGAATTTGAAACAAGTATTTTCTCAAGTACGGCGGTGTCTCTAAATATTGAAGAATTCTTGCCATCAGTTCACAAGCTTGAGTTGAATTTCCTCCAGTGTCATCAAAAATAATGACTTCGTCCACATTGTAAATACCAGCAGCTCTGGCAATTTGACCTGCCTGAAATTATCAATAGTTGGTTAAAGTGTGCGGAGGAGTTTAATTATATTTAGTTTAAGGTAGAACTGAATTACCAAGTATGCCTTGAGTTGTGGTGTTTGAGCGTTATCCAGAACTATTGGTTGTAATTAATTGAATGGAATGAAAGGACAAAAACTTCAATATACTACATAATTTAAATTACCTGATCCGGCCACCGCTATGCTCACTGTGTAAGGTCGTCCTCCTCCGGATTTTTGACCCTGAGCGTCGGTATCATTCTCCTCCACTTCGTCGACTTCTACACCATTGTTGAGTTTCGCCTCATGTTTTGCATTCTTCCTCTTCTTGGCAGGACTTGATTCGTCCAAGGCAGCGTTAACATTAGTTTGGCTGTTCTGATAGGCTTCCTTGTCAAGCTTTTGGAGGAGTTTCTGCTGTCTCCTCTGTTTTCTCAGCTTTTTTGCTATTTGTGGTTTTACTTTCTCCTTTTCCTGCAAACTTTCTCCAGTATCTCGAACAAGGGGTTTGGTCAGCTTTTTATTTTGAGGTGTTGGTTCTTCATCCAGGTCAGAATCGTCCATGCTAAACGAATATTGAGTGAATCTGAGTTGAAGTTAAACAAGTTTACTTGAACACGCCGTATTAATTTTCTAAACCTTCAATGGCTTCAAAACCGAAAGGAAGTTAACGTTAACGATTACCTATGTTAGATGTTAAATATTTCGAATTTTTTAAATCCAAAACTAATCTGTTAATTAGCAGCAATTACTTTTTCAGGCAGGTGTCCTAAAAATAAAAAACTGAAAAGCATATGTTGAGCAAGAATCAAACTCGTGCTAGAAATTACACGACTCACACTTCCCCAAGTTTGTGCTTGTCGATTGTGAAAGTCATGAAAACTTTTATGGATATGGAATGGATTTATAAATATTTAATATTCATTTTACTGTTCAACTAATAAGTAACAAATAAACCTAATTGTAAAAGTACGTACAGCTTTGAAAAGTATGTATTATTACCCAATAGAAAAATCTCAGGTGTGAAAAATATAAAATTATCTCAGTTCATGTTCAATTGAGCTAACTTTTGGGAATGAATTTTGTTTTGCGACAACAACGACTTGATGCTGATGAGATATATATCCTCGAATTTGACCATCGCAGATGAGATTGGCCACTATACAATGGGTTTCATCCGTGTCAATATCTTCGTGACCGGCCCATTTTAATGCTGCAGTCAGTACGTTGATAGGAACTTGATGGTTTTTGTATATCAAACACCTGGAGAATTAATAATTGGGTGGTTAAGTAATTATTAGCTCACCCTGCGTAGCAAGGGAGCTATTGAATTCCTCTTGTTTAGAATTGAATGACTTGTAAACCCTTACACTTTCTTAAAAAGGTTTCTGTACAGGGTCATGTGAAGTTTTTCAAGTATTAGGTATACTCCAGCCTTGATAAATTTCGCTTCAGATTTCTCTAAGGCAGCTTTAAATTTGAAGATATTTCCATCTTTTAAGGCCTCTGCTACATGACCAAACTCAATCAAATCATACTTTTTCAGTGCTTCATCAGTAGGCAGGAATCCCTATTTAGATCATTAAGAGAAATGAATCTTCATACAATATATTGTTACTTTTGATATTTCATTTCTTACTAAGAACATCTTTACTGGCGTGAGGTAAGTGAGAATTTTCTTTTTATTCTCCAAAGTGGAGGCATGATAGAATGCATACGTTAGGCAATCATCGGCTAGAGATTTAATAAATATAATTTAGTTATTACTGCAAATAATTTATTGGTAAGAATGGTTAATATCTAATACAAGATGCAGTGAGATGTCAATATTATACCTTCATGGAATTCAGAGTCGAACATGGCCTTTCTTCCAACGTAATATTTGTAGGTGACCATTTGTTCACGAGGAAATTGGTCTTTAAAACTCTGCTGTTCAATAGCTCGTATTAAAGGTTTGCAAAGTTGGAGTCTGTTAATTCTAAAGTAGATTTTAAACAGGTGATTCACTAAAATCATCATCCCCCACCGTTTGGTATTGTGTTCTTGAGTTCGCCTAAAAAATATTTAAAAAATTATAAGGTAAACTTTACCATTACTAATATAACTGTTAATTATTTTGCATACGTGTCAGCAGCGCAAACTCGAAACAATGCCATAATGACATCGGCAGCTGAAAAGTATCAAAACATTTACTAATAACTTGGGATGATGATGATATTTGCATAGTAATGCAAATCCGGGTACTGTTTCTCGTTTAGAGGTGTATTTAGCCCATACCTTTCTCCATTCCTGTGGGAGCATGTTCTTCGGACGACCTTTCGTCTGGCTCATCAAATTGTTGAACACTCAATGCAATTTTTCTAAGGTCTTCAACCAGCTTTTCCATCAACGTCAGACCCCAATTCTCATCCTTCTGAGATTGAAAGACTTTACAGAAAAATTGACCAAATTGGCATTGCAAGTTCAAAGCTTTATTGAAGCTCTGTGTATTCAGCTCCTTCACAACTCTACCAGTGTACACAAAAAATACAGAGATTTCAATTGTTGTCAATTATTGTTGCACGCATATTGCATGGTTTCGGTTTTAGAATACACTCACTTCAAATGGAAAATGACCATTTCTGACAATGGTGACTCCAACGAGTCCCCGACCACATCTTGTGGTTCGTCTTCACTTAATCTTGAACTTAAGACATGTGGGTCTTGTAACGACAACAGTTCCTAAAATGTTGACAATAAAGGAATTTATATAAATAAATTTATATAAAAACAATCGTATAATTCAGCCTTGTGATTTATGCACTCACTGCAACTCGATCCCCGTCACAATCTTCCCATGCATTACCAATCTATGAAAAATTACGACGATTACCATTATCAATGACTCTTAATCAAATTTATGCAAAATACAAAAAGCCACCTGGTGAATGTACGAGTTAATTGTCATATTCGACATTTTGCACTTCAACTTTTAATTTGTATTGAAAAGTTAAGAAATCTGTTTTAATGTTGGTTTAAAATATTGTCATAATAGTATTCCAGAAATTTTTATTACACCGGAAATCGTCAATCATGCCCAAATTTGAATGTTTGGTTTGTCTGTTGTCGGTGTTTATTTGTACGATTTATTTATAGCCACCGCCTTTCTCCCTATCTCACTCAATCCATGATGTGAGCCTAAATCGAGCTGAAGCTGACTCACTATTATTTTGGATCAGGACAGGACGGAGGAGGAATTAATTCCCAAAATAATTAAGAAACTTTTAAACATGCAAATAGTTTAATTAAAACACTTGAGAGCATTTATTTCATCACTTTCAATGGCCGAAAGGCCAATCCTGGTAAAGGCAACCCACGCCTATGCACCAGTCAACAATGACGAGGTAAAGAATTTGACATTTAAAATTTAAAGGTTACGTATTTTTTTAAATTAGGTATGTTGTTTAAATGTTTAAATAATATTTAAAATTAACTTTGCAGCTACGTCTTGAAAAGGGAGAAATTCTGACGGTGACGAGGAAAGAGGACGGTGGTTGGTGGGAAGGGACATTATCAAATGGAAAAACGGGCTGGTTCCCATCTAATTATGTCGAAAATATTGTCCTCATCATGTCGTCAAGTTCGTCGACGAGTCCTCTCTCATCTCTCAGTGCTGTCGGTCCAATGGACAACAACCCCCAACATCACCAACAGCAGGATGTCGCAACAACGACTTTGCCAAGTAGTCCGCAGGGGTCGATAGGAGCTGGACTCAACGTTAGTATTTCTAATGGGACCAACGGTGAACCTTCAACTGCCTTTGCTGCCCAACAGGCAGAATACCGACAAATTGCCTTCAAGGAGCTCATTGAATCTGAAATGGGTCATGTCCAAGAGTTACAAACTTTTTGGGAAGTTTATTTAGCACCGTTGCAAAAATCTGAAATGTAATTAATATATATGAATTTATAAAAAATGACGTTATAGCATATCACTTATTAACATGTTATTATATTGCAGTTTAAAACCTGGAGAATTTAAAACTATTGTTGGAAATATCTTGGAAGTCACCAATATGCATCTAAATCTTATTCTTAATCCTCTGAGAAGTGAACAGAACAAGGCAGCTAAGGACCAAAGGATTGGAAATATATTTTTGGAAAATGCAACAAAGTTTGAAGAAATTCATAAAGCATGGGTAAATTTATTTATTATTATTATTTTAATACGAATTTATATTATATTCCAATTCATTATCTACATATACAGGGTTCCAATCATCCAAGAGCGGTGCAAACTGTAGAGAAATATAAGGAACAGCTTTCTATATTTATTGAAAGCAAAGGAGGGCGAAAGCCTGGCATTTTGTATATCATAACATTACTCAGCCAACCGTTTCGAAGGTATGTTTTTAAGTAATCTCATATTTTGGTAGTATCATTCCCGAAAATTTAAAAATTGAGCATTATAAAACTCATTTCATATGACAAGAAATGATACTGCAACCTTATAAATTAGAATTTAAACACCAGTACTAGGTAATTGTAGTTATGAATTTAAATTTCACGCAGGCTGGAAAAATATCCAATGTTACTGCAAGAGATTGAAAGACACGTTGAAGAATTTCACAAAGACAGGGGAGATTTGCAAAGGTCAATCGAGTACTACAAAGACGTCCAGAAAACCTGCAGTGCCTTAAGGAAGCAAAAAGAGATGGAATTGGAAGTCCTGAGTGGATCAGGTATAAAAGACTGGGAGGGATCTGATGTTTCTCAACTTGGTGACATTATTTTCATGAATCTGGTGCATCTTGGTAAGGACAAATTAAATTTTGACTTAACGAGTATAGCAATATTTTCAAATCTAATAAGTTTCTACTGTGCTTAATTCAGGCAACGAACGCCACCCTCGGTATTTAGTATTGGTAAGTAAGATATACAACCTTGTTAGAAAAATGCTACCTCATAATAATATATATACTATCTGTATATTAATTCTAGTTTCCAAACACTTTACTCATATTGAGCTACAGCACTGAAACTAACTCCCTGGTGTATGAGGGAAAAGTCCCAGTAAGTGGAATAACATTGAGACCACTTGCGGATAAAGATGCCCTTGTTAATGCATTCGAAATTGCAGGTAACGTAATAGCCCCCTTTTGTATAAAACTTTGTATATATAATAAATTAACTACTAAATTGTATGATAATTTTCAGGTCCCATGATTGATCAAATTACCGTTGGTTGCGCTAGCAAAGCAATCCGAGAAACATGGCTCGCCCACTTGAACAGTATTTTAAAGACAAACCGTTTTCCTTCATTCAGCTCATCCCCACAACAGGTACAATTTTCAAGAAGTCTGCCTCAATCCATCGATTTCAATGACAGAATATTTTTAACCTCTGGTGACGAAAAACAAGAATTGCCCAAGTGTTCTTTGACTACTTCTTCCTCTCTTCCAATTTCTTCTCAAGTACCCGAGTACAAATATACTCCTTCTAAAAATCCGCCTTATGTTGAGTTGTGTTCATATTTTCAAACTTTGTATAAGCAAGGACTAATTCACAGCAAAAGTTTCGAATGTATGCAGACTTTAGAGTTACAATATGATAACATTGATCTAGAATGTCAACGTAGGGTCAAACCACATTCTTCATGCCCAAAGTACACTCCTTTATCTCACGTTACCAGTCTAGATTCTAGCAAGATTAAAAAACGTCAACACTTGTTAGTGCCTTCACAATCAATTTTTGAACCATCATCACCCTCCTTTAAATTTTCTTTTTGTTCAGATTTTGACAGCGACGATACAAATAGCGAGAGTACTATAAGAGATAGCAACTGTTCCACCGCTACCAGTAGCAGTTCTCCGTCAGAATATCGTTTAACGAAGGAAGTAGGCTACCCTTTCCATAAATGGAGATGGGGAATGTCAAATTTATGCGTGGAAAAACTTCGTAGCCCTTCCATGTTCTTATCCCCATCAATTCATGGTGGTGGTGCTGGTAACTCTTTGGCAGGAATTGGTACTGGGAGGAACGGTGGTTGTGGGGCTCCACCTGGTATGATAGAAAGGAGCCCTGGGGAGTTGCATTTAGACAAGTCCAGATCAATTACATTTGGTGATACCAAGCTTTATTGGAAAATTAAAGGAACATTCTCAAGTTTTATGAGTAGGTCACAATCCTTACCTGTGATAAAGTTGGCTTTTTCGGAACATAAAGACACATTTTCGCTTGTAGAGCAATCATCGATGGCTGCTAAGCCTGCTTTCCCCCCTACCGAGATTCTCAATAATGCAGAACAGCCTCAATCGACTACTTGTGAAATTAGTTCAACAAGGACGAAAGGTCGACTGGTGCGACAAAATGCGTTTGATTTTGATGATGCAGAAGTAGAAAACTTGCCTGATTTAAATGATAATTTACAACAAATAGTCAATCACACAGCGTCCTCGTTTGACTCTGGATTGGGTGATCTCACTCCTTCAAATAGGACTACTCAGACAAATTTCTATGAAGAGGTTACTTTTGAAATAGCTTCTCCGCCCCTGAATTACACTGAGGGTGAATTACCTCTGAGTAATATTAGTAGAAATAGTCCAAGCGGAAGTGCAGGTCACAACAATGACACTCTACACCAAGCATCTCCTCCAGATCTGTATAGATCTGGTTTTTATGCGCATTGGTTACTGAAATTTGAAAGCAGCTTTAAATAATACTAATAACCTATACTTTTATGTATAAGATTTAATCATGTTATTCACTTTTCCCCCTGTGCATTCGAATTTATGACAAGGTTATTATGTTGCGACTGTTTTTACCTGTATCAATTTTACCAAATATTAATTTTGCATTTACTTATTATTAGTTTAGCCTGTTTGACTGATCCCTAGTCATTTGCACAAAAACCTTTATGTTCAGTATTTTTTTAAATCGATAAATCGAGGAATAAAGAAATTAGTTTGCTATCGCAAAAGAACGCATTAATGAAGTAAATACACGCTTAATTGCCGTTAAGTGCTATATTTTTTAAATTTCTGCCAATGACCTCATCATTCGTGGTTCTATTACATACATATTGTTACCGATTAAATACTAAATTAAACACGAAATAAGTATGCACTTGCTATTTTTATGTTGCTCTAATTTTGCACTTTTTTTGTTCTTTGCACTTTTCCAGTCGTTTGGTCACCTAACACCGCCTGTAAGCCAAGCATGGACAATTGACCGTTTAAGGCCGAGCCCGCCATTTAACCCCTTCCTAGCCGAGTATTTGAATAGCGTGAAAAAACAAAACAACTCTGCAAGTACAACAAGTTTAAACGCCAACAGCCCTAAAATCACCAGCTTAAACAATGTCAGGAGTCAAAGTGCAGGGGGAGGCGTTCCATCAATCATGTCGTTTAGCAGCAACTATAATAATGCTGCCCCCACGGTCACAAATGAAGAAGAGTTTGCTATTTTGGCCCTTGTGGACTCTTTTTGTACGACCAATCGCCATACTGGTAATTTATTGTATAAAATTAATTAATTCTTCCAATATATTCTGTATGTATTTAAAAGTCAAGATCTATTTATCTCGTAACAAATTATGTATTAAGTGCCTAACTAAACGATAAAATACAAAGTTTATGATAATCTGTAACAACTGTTGTATAACCACACACAGTTTCGCCTAATTGAATTGCCTATATTTATATGCTTATCGTCTGTCACACTTGCTAATTTACATGATGTACAATCCTGTTATAATCTCTTAAAAACCTGTACTAAGAGTTGGCTAGTGTTTGTCTTGTACAATTTTAAATCTCAATTTAAAAGTTTTACTTCTGCTTTTCTGAGTATTTAATATTTATGGTTTGTTACGTACATATAATATTTTTACGTCCGTTTGATGTGGCAGCATTGATTGAATTATATAAATTAAAGTGCTTAATAATATAATATACATAATAATACCATGATTCTGGGCAATGTCCTTCAATCATTAGATTTATGTACACATTTATTTTGCTCATGTGGTGCACATAATTCTTGAAAACAAATCTATATCAGAGGACGCAGGGGCGGTGGAGCGTCGAGTGGGGGCTTACCATGGTCGAAGATACTCTAGCTGGTGCTGTGTCATCTCTCCAAATACCGAAATCTAAGGACAAGTGTCCAATCTCTCATACTTAGGAGTAGAAGGTCACTACTTGTCGGGCCCCGATTTCGATCTCCTTTGGATATGTTGTAGTACTATATGAGTGTAGAAAAAGTGAAGGAGGGTTAGACTCCATGAGCCCATTTACGCCCGCCACACCCCCTCAAAGGCGCCCAAACCCCCAGAGTTGCAGCACTAAATCCATCGCCAAAAATCGAGTTTTGGTCAGATTTTCAAAAAAATTACATTTTTGTGATCCCAGATAGTTGCTCTATCATATCCAATAGCAAACTCAACTTTTTTAAAATTTCGAATTTTTTCAATACCTACCCTTGGTCAGAAAATCTTCGAAAATATTGAAAATTTCAAAAAAGTTGAGTTTGCTATTGGATATGATAGAGCAACTATCTGGGATCACAAAAATGTAATTTTTTTGAAAATCTGACCAAAACTCGATTTTTGGCGATGGATTTAGTGCTGCAACTCTGGGGGTTTGGGCGCCTTTGAGGGGGTGTGGCGGGCGTAAATGGGCTCATGGAGTCTAACCCTCCTTCACTTTTTCTACACTCATATAGTACTACAACATATCCAAAGGAGATCGAAATCGGGGCCCGACAAGTAGTGACCTTCTACTCCTTAATCTACCTCATAAATGCCACTACTTTTCTCTTCAATTTCTTCTCTACACACTCCTCCAGCTTTTGGTAATTTTCTTGTCTTCACCTTTATTCACAGCCTTTATTGCACATAGCAATTTGTAGCTATCCTGCATAGCTAAAAATAATGTGCATACGTAGTTCGTGTAATTTCATCACCTTCCTTGCTTAATCATAAGTTGTTATGTATTGTAGTACTTACATATTATTTTTTTGTTACAGTAACCAGCACGCATTCAGACGTTACTAAATCGGGTGTTATTCCACCTCCAATCTCCAGCAATGTATCGAATAAATCCACACTACCTCAAGAACCTCGGTATAAATCTCTTTTGTTAATATTAAATGCATATGACATTTTTTATTCCACGTTTTTTTAACTCAAACCTGATTTTTTTAGGACGTTAGTACAACTTTTACTAAATTTACGAGACGATGTCTCGAGCCTTAAAAAGTCATTGGACGAAGAACAAAGAAAACGAATTGCCTTGCAAGCTATGATTCAGAAAAACCTTAATAATAATAATATTAATAATACTCCGGATGTTTTATTCTAGGCTCATACATAAATTGTTACTTTTAATATTGATTATGTGTAAGGGAAAAATGGAGTAATCATAATCATGCAAGTGAGCGCATAGCTTGTGTCGATGCCGCTTCCTCTGATATTACAACCTCGTGTATTTAATATCTAATCAGTAACAAGTTAATACTAAATGTCCGGCAAATACTGATTAGGATGTTAGGATATGACTATGCTGAATGATAACTAATCCATTATCGTGGATATATTTACTTAGCATTTCATGCTCAAGTTGTGAGCAATATTCGTATACGGGTAACTATACTCATCTTATTTTAAATTAGTTTTAATAACCGGTGAGTTTGACCAGCATCACTGGATTGAACTCATTTAATTAATTTTACTTTGACTGTAATTCGAATTCAATAATAATATTTATTAATTCTTTTGATAATGGAAAATCCTGAACCAATTGCTGCTACAATTTCACATCCACTGACGAAGTCCACTAGTGCATTACAAATAGCATCACCAAGTGGTCATCAAGTTCAACAAGTTCCTTTACAAAATGTAGTTGTTCATCCGTCAATAATTCTGAGTGATGAAACCTCGAGCTCTGAATTCTCAGATTTTGAACTTGAAAGTCAAACAACTCTTGGAGGCTGTGTCGGTAACGATGGACGATTTCAACCATTGGCATTGCCACCAAATTTTTTCACAAATCAAAAGCTATTCAAAAGTAATCTTCCTAACCCTTCTACTCCCGGTAGCAGTTGTCACGCATCATCATCAGCATCATCACAAAGGTCACTTTTAGCCGTAAAAACTGTGCACAGTGAACGACAAAATTATTGGAAAATTAATTTCTTTCTAATACTCCTCCCACTAATTGTCTGCGGATTGCCAGTGCACCTCTTACTCGGTGGACGTCGCAGAATTAGCGGCACGAAAGAATGGCTGAAGCAAATATTTCTAAAAGACCCAATTTGTATCCGAATTATAACGGTCTGTTTCTTCCTCTTTGGACTTGGCGTGAACGGACTTTTCATATACATTGCAGGAGGTTTATTATACAGCTTGACCATAAAGGGTGAAGTTCGTTCCAGCATTTTTGAAGATGTTATAAATATTGTTAGAGTGGCCCCAGTCGTAATACCCATTGATATAATATGGATTTGCGGATATTCCGTGCGCAAATTACTAATTTCCTTTGACCGAGTAACTTATCCCGAAATTGAGGTGGAATGGAAAATAGACTACGGAAAAATGTCAAAGAAGAAGAAGAAACCTGACAAAGCGTGGAAGAATGGATGGAGAAGCATGACATCTTATAGAATCAGGCTTGTAGCCGTCTACTTTATCGTTATCTTCAACCAGCTAGTCCACGCCTTAATTACATTCGAAACTACCAAAGATGTTACGGATTCATCCCGGATTTTTGACACCTGGGTGTCCTTCGCCCTGAACTTTATGTACAATCTCATGCTTCCAATCCATATGTGTCTGGCTTGGGCGATTGATTGGGAATTTCAGAGACTCTCCCTGTATATCAAATCCTTAATTGCGTGCAAAATTCATCCCACCTTTGAATACCTAGCGCAGTTTAAAAAGTACTATAAATCCGTAGGGAATCATGTCATGTCAGTAAATGATATTTGCGGTGGCTACTATTCCTGGGTGCTATTATACCTCTTCCTATCGATGTACAATGAGGTCTATGGCGTGATTCAGGTCATCATCACCTCCTTCATCAGCTACATTCTCGGAACTGTTTCAAACGGGACGGACTTGCCAAAAGCGAATGTTCGCCTCTTTGTCGGCAACGTTTTTGGGGGATTTTCGCAAGTGTTACTGATTGCCCTGACAGGTTAAGCTCAATTTCATATGTACACATATATGCATATTTTAATTAGTCAGACAGGCGACCATTTTTGCTTACACTACATAAACTCTTAAATGCAAAAACAGTTTGGTTCTGCATCTCGGCAAATGACTCGGCGAGACATTTACACGTACGGCTCAATGATTTCGTCTCCGAGCCCTATGTCGTATTAACACCAGAGTTGTACAAAAAGGTATGAACATTATGATTGATTGCAATTACATGTCAGAATTGTTAGTCCTTTGCATGGAATTAACTGATTACTAAAAATTTCTTGTTGTATTACTTTTGCGTATAGTTTCGTATGCTAAAATACTACATACACTCAAGAATGGAGACTGAGCGTCCAGCCCTGTTGACCATCCCAATCGTCGGGGCTTCGCCATATTGCTCTTCTCTCTACAACTGGAAACTTGCTTATCGTGTTCGACATTGATGACCGGGCAACAATAAAAAATTGTAGTTTGTTATCCATCCAATGTATACATACATATATTTATTAAGTGCTTATTTTCGTTCCTTATTTTTGTACAATTCATTAAACAATAACTTTACTGCAGGCAGTATTTCAAACTCTATGTACATGCATTTGAACCACGTCAAACGAGAATACAATAAAAATAATGCATTGTTCAGTTCTTTTCATGTGTGGATAATTTCATTTTCATGTTTGCGTACACTTGCTGCATGTATAGATTTTGCGGATCAATAATATTTGCAAGGTAATTATGAAATGAAAGCGCAAGTACAGTTATTCAAATTATGCTTTATCAGTGATCAAGTGGGTGCACGCTTGTGACGCATTTTGACACGAGTTGCATTGAATAATTAAAAACGCTTTTGCTCACCCTTGGCTTCCGCTTACTAAATGATTTCAGTTTCTAGTTTCAGAGAACGTTTTCATGAGCATAACAATGGGCAAACCGAGAACCAATAAAAGATCCATTTGGTTTATTAGCAATAAAAGCAATGTTGACACACCATGTATGGAATGGGTTGGGCTTTGTGTATGAAACCTGTTAGGCGAAACTAGTCTCATATTAATGTCATATCTTTGCATATAGAATATGTGTGTACATCCTTCCTATTACTAGCACTTCCACGCATGCAAATAGCACGTAATGGGTGTGGTTTGCTGTGTAGCAAAAATGTAGCACGATGATCAACTATACCACTACAACTACTACTGTTAGTTATGTGAATGTGTTAGCTGCATTTGAGATTTTTTACAAGTCAACCTGCCACAAGCAGCCAGCCAGCCAGAGTAAAAATCATCATTCTCAAGCAGCCGGGTGTCAGAGAAGCAGCATTTTTCAGATTCTTCTTCACACGAGTCAAAAATTATTATAAAAAAACGCTAAATTTTTGTGGAAAAAGAAGTCCCTTCGTGCAAAACATTCCATACGACATGGATTTCTACTTTTACGTAAGAATTTTGAAGGTTTTATTATGCTCAATGTGTTTTCTTTGCTTCTTTCTGCCGGTGTCTCTGTTGGGATTATTTGGTTAGGATTAGCAATATAGGGTTGCGAATTTTGTCAACACCGTAATAGATCTATTCACAATTATGGTGTTGACAAACTTTGTTCGAACGTCGAATTAGTGCATGAATTTAGAAAATAATACAAATTCATGAATTAGTGTGTCAGTGACAAATCATGTCATGGACAAATTCCCCCTCCCCCTTGACCTGGGTTACGCCGATGTTTTGCCCAAATGGGACTGCCACGCGAAATGCCAATCCTCCCTCCCTCCCCTGTCTTCCGTGACATCATTGTGATTTGTAGATCATCCCTTGTGCAAAATTTAATTTACACATAATTTGTTTATGTATTCCTTTGTTTATGCGTCCCAGGAGCCGACTGTTGTGCCGACTGATGGATTTGATGCTTCCTCTGATGCTAAGGCACTGCGTAAGGCGATGAAAGGTATTGAGATTTTTGAATTGAATGTAAAAATGAAATAAATTACTTAAATACATTAATTCAATTCTTTTAAAGGAATCGGAACTGATGAGGATGCCATCATTTCCATCTTGTCGCAGCGAGCATTTTTCCAACGCCAGGAGATTATTCAAGTGTACAAGAGCGACTTTGGACGTGTAAATTTGTATTTTATAAACAGCAGTAATGGGTCTAATATTAATTATATAATGAAAATAATTGTATTCAGGATTTGATCAAGGATCTGAAGGATGAGTTGGGTGGAAAATTTGAAAAACTGATTCTAGCACTTATGGAGACTCCATACAGCTATCTCGCTACTGAGTTGCATCGGGCTATGAAAGGAATTGGGACTAATGAAGATGTTCTTACTGAGGTAAATATTTTATGTCTGTATTTTTGCATATGTATGAAGATTTTTTGACTTCAGAACACTTTGCTAAAAAAGTAATTCATGCTTACAGATTTTGTGCACACGTTCTAACCAGGATATTCATGGTATTATTACGGCCTACCAAGAAAAGTTTGGCCAATCTTTGGAGGATGCCATTGGAAATGAAGTTTCTGGACATTACAAGCGTCTTCTCGTGATGCTGCTTAATGTACTAAATAAATGGAGGCTTAATTTCGTTTATTCATGCCACATAGTCCAATAATTTAAATTATCTAATAGGGTGCTCGAAATGAAACTGCAGGAGTTGACATGGATGCGGCTGTGGCTTCTGCCCAACTTTTGTTTGATGCTGGTATTTTACTGTATTAATAGCATTTTGCACTATGGGGCATATGTACATATTATTATTTACTAACAGGAGAAGGAAGTTTTGGAACGGACGAGGAAGTATTTACCAGTTTGCTGTCTCATCATAGCTTCCCCCAACTGCAAGTGATTTTCGATGAATACCGTAAAATTTCTGGAAAAACTATCGAGCAGGCTGTGAAGGCCGAACTTTCTGGAGATATTGAAACCGCGATACTGACGATCGGTTGGCATTGTTATTGATTTTATAAATTAAATTACCCCCACCTAATTTGTAGCCGTTTCAGTAAATGTGTTTCTATATGCGTAGTGAAATGTGCCAACAACCGGAATCGATACTATGCAGTCAAGTTGGAGGAAGCAATGAAAGGAACTGGGACGGACGAAGAAACCCTTATGCGAATCATTGTATCCCGTTGCGAAATTGATTTGGGTGGGATCAAACGTGAATATCAGGACTTCTATGGAAAGACTTTGTACGACTCTGTAAAGAAAGAAACCAGTGGAGATTTCAAAAATGCTTTACTGGCTCTTATTGGTGATGCCTGACTTGTTTCGTCATGAACTTTTCATGTTTTGACTACTATTACTACTTGATATTTTCGCTATATATTCAATGAATATGGTGCACTGTTTTTACTTGAAAATCATTAAATAAACAACTGCTCTGCAGAAATTAAACTCCAGACTTTGAGTTAATCTTTATCATTATATCATTAGCATATAAATAAACATTTGTGGAGTTTAAATCGCCGTCAGAGGACATATACATTGAGAAAATATTTACTATCTTACAACCTTTCGAATTTAACATGCATTTATTATAATACGAAAGCCTTATCAGCAAAGCATAATAACTTAAACATACAATATAAAACTTGTCCACACATTATTTAATTCCAGTCGCATCCATGATTTGACGAGCTTCATTGTATCGTGCCCGCATCTCATTTTCTAAGTGAGCTACAGGCTCAAATAACTTTATTAGCTTCTTTTCAGTGGATCGATTCGTGCCGCACCATTTATGTCGCTTTACCGCCTCTAGGGAGAGACGACAAGAAGGATCAGTGATCAAGATCTACAATATAGTCAACAAAATGATCATAGTTAGTTGTCTTCAGATTTAATTTGTGCTCACACACAAGTACATGGACGCAATTTGACTTACACTGCAAATAAACTCTTGGGCATCGTTCGATACCCATTTGGGAAACTCAAAGGTCAATGTACGAATGCGTTGATAAGTGTCGTCCCGGTGATCTGTTTCAAATGGTGGCTTTCCAACCAGAAATTCGTATGTTAAGACACCCAGACACCAGAGATCAACCTTGTGATCGTATGATCGGCCATCAACCATTTCTGGTGGCAGATAGTCCAAGGTTCCGCACAAAGTTTTACGACGGCTGGACAAGATCATATATATTGATATGCATTAATGATCATATTAATATCGGGGCCACTTTTGCGAAAGGAATTTAAAATCTCCATCAACCTGTTTTGTTTTGAACCGCTGGTTTGAATAGACCATCCAAAATCTGCCATTTTTATCTCACCGTAGTATCCTAACAATAAATTTTCCGGCTTTCTAGAATATGTCATTCATCATATAAAATGTAAATAAAGAACATCATTTGTATACAGATTTACGTCCACATCTATTCTAAGAAACTCTTACATATCTCGATGAATAATTTCCCGTTGATGCAAGTAACCCAAAGCTTCAGTCAATTGAAAAATGTACGTAGCAGCTCTGTCAAATTATCACAACATAATGTTTTTAAGTGTTTATATTATTAAGCGTTAAAGAATTTTTGTATCAGCTATTTTCCTACCGTTGGTCATCAAATCTCTGTTTCGGCTGGTTTAAAAGCTCTCCGTAAACCTCTCCTCCAGGAGCATACTCCAGGATATAAACAATCTTATCGACATCACGGAAGAATCCAAACATTTTTATCACGTTTTCGTGGCTGCAAATAATAAAATTTGTCGAATTAGCAAATACACTTCATGCTTAGAATTTCTAGAAAGCTTGTTTATAAATTACTCAAGGAAAGCATGAATATCAGTTTCTCGGTTTATTTGATTTTCCATCTTATCCTCTTCAATCTGTTTGGCATGAATCACTTTTAGTGCAACGACAAACTTTTCTCGTCGAGTCCTAGCCATGTACACATGACCAAATTTTCCTTCTCCGAGTGGTTTTCCTATTTCAAAATCTGTCTCCAATCGCCACTCTGACCTGAATCAAATTTATTTTTTAGGAGAAAGCTGCTTAATTTTAAATAAACAAAAAGAGATAACTTAAAAAAATCCTACCACGGTTTTACTGGAACTTTCCTAGGCTTCGTCGGATCGTATCCTTTGACCGAGTCGACATCCTGCATTGTTAATCTGGCTGGAGTTTGTTGCCGAATTTTAGTACTAGAAGCCGCATCTTGTTGAGCGGTCCTTGTGGTAGAATTTTCAGTGCTTTTGGAATCCATTGAATTTCTAAATATTCAGGATTCTGAGGAAAACCGGCGGCGGAAAACAAGAAGATTGTATACAAAATATGTCGTCGTAATTTTAAAATTACATACAAATGTCCGAATTCGTGCAGAGTTTGTCTTGTTCTTGAACTACTGCTGAAAGTCAGTTGGCATGGCTGAGCTACAGTTGACAATAATTACAACCTCAACCCGCCGTGTCCATCATGAATTCTTCCCACCACCACCGCTTTCTGTGGCTTCAACTCGTCATAGCGAATTTGTATCTTTTGTACAACGAAAATTAGCATGAAAATAAGTCTCAAAATGATTGTATGTTTCTATTTATTCAATTGTTGAGCATTTATGTGAAATTTGTTATTGAAATTGAGACTGAAAGAAGATATAGGAAGATTAAATCATAATCATGTATAACTTCCGAAAATATGTGGATTAATTAACTAACACTTTGCTACGATCTAATTATATTAAATGTAATTTGCATTTGCATTACGTGTCACAAATGTAAATCCCGTATACTTTAGAAATGTGAAATATTTCCCAATTTTTGTTTACAAGTATATGAACGAAAAACAACCTTTTGAGTATATATGGCATATTACTCGAATAAAACTACCACTAAAAAATAAGGGGTGTCATAACCGTCTAATCTGATTGATATGTGATTATGATTTTGAGTCCTCTTTCTCTCCAGCTTCCTCGGTGAAATCGTAGAGATGCATCCAAGGTGAGATTTTGTCAACCCCCACAAGTTTTTCCAAACTTGCTCGCCTCTGCTCCAGTTTCTGAACTATTTCTTGTGGAGAAAGTGTATGGGAATTATATTAATGAGGAAATTATACAAATGTGCAGCTAATTTGACTGAATGTCTTACCAGGTGGCAAGTTAAGGGAGTATCGTCTTGGACCTGGAGTAATGCTTTTCTTGGTAGAAGGAGGTCCTCGAGGCAATTCTGTCGCCACTGCAAAAATTATTTGCAAGATAAGTTTTGTACTTGTAGTAGAAAATTTTGAATATGTAATTGAATACCTTTGCTGGAATCGTCGTTGGTGGACTGAAATGAAAAAGTGGAATATGAAAAGTAAATAAATAATTTCGTGCACAAAGGGAAACCAGTAAAAATTTGAAGGTGTTATGCAAATATGATTTGTTTACCATGATGATATTGGTGTCTTCAAGGATTTTGATTCCCCAAGATAGTTTGACCTCTGTATTATTCTATTGTATGTATCTCACGTTGGGCAGCTGTAAGTTTAGATAAGAAAACTTAATCATGTGGAATTGGGGAGGTTCCAATCCTGAATATCCTAACAGAAGTATGAATATCTTCAACCTGGTCAAAACCCTATTCGCAAAATATGGCAATTTGACTGTTTGCTCTGCCATAAAATATGCCTTATCGATCCTAAGCATAAATATTTAATTGAGCCCACTGAATTGAGTAAACATTCAAATAATTGTAGTTACGTATACATGTACATAAATTATTCATGCCATTTCTCTTGCTTTTTCTGAACATGTAAAAATTCTGACATTAACCTCAATAGAGTGCAAAAGTTTTCGGTGACTTTATTAAAGACATCATAAAATTCATGTGCATAAACTAATAAACATTGCATTTCCTCAAATTCTGTTTAGGAATGCAAAAACAAGCTTTCAGGGCTACATATATTATGCATCCTCCTGTTATCTGAATAGCAAATGCTACTAGGGCAAATAAATATGTGCAATTAAAATGAGTTAGATAAATTGCACATTTAATAGATAAGTTGAGTAGATACCGTGAATAGATGTGAGGATACTTTGTGAGCTTACTAAATAGCTCTGAAGAACGAAATGGATCGAAGTATGTAAGTTTCTACGTTGCAAAATTGCAGAAAAATATTAAATTCTCTTTATAAGAGAATCGAAATTAAACTAAGAGTATTAATTTCAATTATACTAAGGAAAACTATACAATTTAAGATGGTGTCGTCCAGAAATATTAAAGGCGAAATACGTACTGAGTTTCAGCAATCGTACATACATAAATGCATACGTATGTACATATGCAGTATGATGTGGTTAGGTCTTGTATGTATTAAAACTATTATCATGGACACACATTTAAACGGCATGGAAAAAGAATACTTCTAATACTTACCCACACGATTGCCCTGTGCTACAGTGATGATATTACATTTGCAGCTAAAAAGTATTCATGTATATGAAGAGAATAATGCCATAATTAAATCGTTTTTTGCTGCCGTTGAAAATTCCACTTTATTCGTGTTGTGGCTGTAGCAGAATTGTTAGAGCTAACTAAACAAGTAAAATTAAACTGGTTTTCACAACCAGTGCTGTGCTATACATATTTGCATACATTTTGGCAAATCCAGGATGAATGTCATGATCATGGTGATTATTCAATTTTTTTATAAACATTTTCGACCAATATTTAAAAATGAATGTATTTTATAATTTATAAAAAACATCATGTGCAGCCATTTTCTCTTACCTGCAAATGTCCTGATCCAAATGCATCTTTTCATGAGGCGCCACTATAGTGGTATCAAGGAGTTGTATAATGAATTAATTGGCAATATATAGTAAACAGACTATTGATCTCGTAATTCTGGGGTGTCTTTTTTATAAAAGAACTGGAATTGCGCATCTTGTGTAATCGTACAAGTTAGCGTTTTTTAGATTGTCCAAAAACAATCGACATGCTACAACTGGTTAATTGTGGATTCAGGAATGAACCATGTCACGTTTTTCCTCATGGACACCTATTTGATTTAAGGAAGAAATCTGAGCGTTTCTTTCCCTCCATAAATACGGGTTTCAGTAAATATGTATAATGGTGAAATAATAGGGTCGTCATTTGACTTATTATAATTAATTATTTAAGTTATTTTTTTTTTTAATAACTTAACTTTTTTTTTTTTTAATAACTTAATTTGCTTCGTGGAAAGTTAAGTCTCATTTTGCGCTTATTGGTATGCACTTTAGTGGACTTTGACAGGAGTCTTACGTACATACACAGAATATTTAATTGCATTCTCTGTTAATGGCAAGAAGCCTTCTATTGATTATAATTTCCTTACAAGAACCTAAATAAATGAAATCCCCAATAGTCAGTCATCCTTTGAGTTGTCAGTTGAGCTTTATATGTACAACTTGCACAGTAGAAGCCGACAAAATATTAAAATGAGTGAATAAATTATGAACAGTCTTTCAAAAGTTATGTAAATAACAGGGGTGGGCAAGATACTTGGTCAAGATACAAGATAAAAGATACAAGATACAAGATAGTATCTTTATCTTGTATCTTCGTCGCCTGATCAGAGAAGTATCTTTTACAAAGTCGAAAGTATCTTGTGTAAGTATCTTATCTAGATATGCCTGGCAGAAAAGTATCTTAAGATACTTTTGACAAGATACAAGATACTTTTTCTCAAAATTCCGTCAAATTACGTCAATTTCTTACTAAAGTCAGTCAATTTGACCATGAATTTGTCGTAACCAGAATTTGGTGAATTTTTAGTTTATGTTTTGCCAATTCGTAACAAACTTGTACATATATGTATATATATATATATATATATATGTACATGTGTACTCGTACATACATACTGATACATACGTTGCACATCTACCCTGAACTAATGTATAGATCTTATAGGGTTTAGTTTGAATAAGCAGGGAATATTGTAAAAATAATACCAACTTCTTAAGAATATACGTATGTTAGGTAGAGTTCTAGTTTTTCGAAATTTAGACCTTTTTCGAAGTTTTGGCAACAAAATTTGTAAGATGATTCTAGAATGATTTTAAATTTTGTACTCACTAGATTTTTTCGGTTAAATGATTAAACATGACTAATTGGGCATGAATACCAAGCTAAAAAAAGAAAGTATCTTATCTAGTATAAAAGTATCTTAAGATACATATCTTGTATCTTGTATCTTGACTACTCAATTTTTAGAAAAGTATCTTGTATCTTGTGTACTTGAACAAGATGTATCTTTTATCTTGTATCTTATATCTTGTCTTAGAGAGTATCTTATCTTGTATCTTGTATCTTACGACCAAAGTATCTTGCCCACCCCTGGTAAATAACATACAATGCAACTGATGACAGTTGTGCGAGGTTGCAAATGCAGAATAATACCATTTATATGTCCTAACAGTTGCACCTTTATTCTAAGAAATTTATGTCTAGTCTCGTTATTCCCAACACTAATTTTTAGCTACACCTTATTTGCCAGGATCCCGGAAATTATCAGAATTTGTTCGTAATTTATGTCGCTCCAACGAATTTCTACCGCGTTACACAATTGGCTATTATGCTCATCAAAAAGACAAATATCCGCGCAGCCAACTGGACCAACCGGAAAAGCAATAAAAATGTTCTGGTCTGGTAGGCTTTATTTCTATTATCAATTTATTTATACCCAACACAGCCTGTCAGCCATTTATGTTTCGTCTGTTGTTAGTTCAAAACGACTGTGTATCAAATATCAGTGTCTTACCGTTAACGCTGTGTCTTTGTACAACCTCGACATCATTAAACAGGGATTGTTCCACATGTCACTTCTTCCGGTTTCATGTATCATAAGAAGCGTAGTACTTATTTTTTGTATGCATAAACATTTGAACCAAAAATTCAAAATGGTGTCACATGCGTGAAATATCTAAGTAATAGAAATGCATATGACAAAAATTACTGACCATTGTTATTGCCGTTGAAATGGAAATTACCATTAACGAATAAATAATACTATTCCCACCATGAAACGTGCAGAATGATATTCACCAAGTGTATGGACAAGTTGTTTAATTAAGACATCCGTGGTAATATATTTACGTTGGTACATAAAGTCGTGGTGCGTCACTCACTGCTTATTTCGTGATGAGATAATGATTATGGCTCTCTCGCTTACATTTGAAATCAAAGTGAGAAAACATGAAAAGAAATTTGAAACGTTGGACCGTGTAACAAAAATCTATAGTTGAAAGCCGTGTTCTCCTACAAATGTCTCACGGAATACGATATTCTGGGTATTATGTCTTACTCGCTAGTAATAAAAATAGGAATTTCATCAGGACTTTCACTCCGTCCAACAGCAAGAATTTCACTGATGAGAGTCTGATGACAGTTGGTCGGCTTCAATGAAATCCTGCTTTCTCTTATTCCTGGAATTCCCTTGAGAAGAATATCAAAGGATTCACTTAACGTGTGTGTAGCAAATAAATAAAGATTCTTGACATCAAAGCAACACTATTTCTGTTTTCTGCCAATGTGTCTCGTATTCGCGTAATACTACGTTTTGTTATCTTCAAAAATGTAATACTAATTACCTGACAGAAAGACATGTCGAAATGAAATTTCTTCATAAACGTTTTCAAGCTCCGACAACAATTGATTGCAAAAAATTTAGTTGCAAGTTCTTACTTCACAACTTTAGAAATAAATAATATATACGAAAAATTAAAGTACGCTTTAAAATTTTCATATGTAAAGATGGGCGCTGAAAATGTATAGGACCCAAAATGAATGAATCTTGTACATACATAATAGGCTTTTATTCATTTAGTGACAAAAAGCTGTAATGATTTCATATGATTTCACATTTATTGAATGCAAAAGCAAATCTGAGTAACTTATTTATTGGGATGTTTCCAAGAAATTCTATTGAATTTTCCTACTCAAATTAACAAATAATTCCTTAGCATATTAAGTTAATACAAAAGCATTCTAACTAAATCATCAATGCATTTGTGGTTTCTCAGGCCGAAATCGGACAAATAGCTGAAATACCATTCGACAGGTAGTTAGCATTATGATTGAGATGACAAATATCAGGACTCCGACTTTAATCATTTCCAAATGTTGGAGTCTGTGTGGAGAACGACCTGGTTCTGAAGGACGAGGTTTAAAGGTGACAATGTTTGTCTAAACCAATAGAAAGTAGTTAATTGTCCTAACTCATTTTAAAGATTATTATAATTTATGTAGTGAACATGAAACACGAACAGTGCATGAACTTACTGCATTCTGTGTTGGTCCAAACGAGTCTCCCTCCGTTTCCAGGAGCGAATTGTTGGCATTAACTAATTGGCCAAACAGTTTTCCTGCAAACTTTAAATCCTGACTGTTAAGAACAAGAGTCTGATTGGACGAAGAAGATGTGTCCTCGTCGCCTCGTGAACATTGGAGAGCAACTTGCACGATTTTAATTAGTTTGTCAATCACGTTCTGATCACAATTTTCATCCAACAACGCCTTTGTTATGGGAGACATTGCGAACGAAATTCACCCAATCTTATGAATATTACGTGTATTTATGATTCACGAAGACTGTGCTTTTCAATGACCCGTCGCAGATTTCAAGTGTGCTCACGATGAGAGCAGGATATTATATATAACATTTCATGATCGGACGAGCGGATATTGGGAAGCACTAAACAAGAGGAAAATGTGTATTTAAAAAAGATTTATAAAATTGTGGATTTCAAGGTCTCATAAGGTTGAACTGTTTAGGGTGCGGAGTGTGGAACTTATTTAAGCGATTTGATGCAGTGACGCTGTCGTGTCGACTGATGATTCCGATTTTTTGGTCTCAATATTTACGCTTAAACTGAGGAGTTCCATAAGAATAATAAACAAGATAGATTCTTTACGACCACTTTTACTATTTTTAGGCTGAACCAGCGCTTTTCATTCTAGATGAAAATCTACATATTATTCTCGCCCTCTTCCTCTCTTGTCGTTAGTGGAGCATAACGGATAACCTGTCTTTTCTGGTTGGAGGCTATGTGAACGAACGAACGAACACCCACGTGTGGAAATCAATTAAATATTTTATCTTCATTTTTGTTATGCGGCATATTTTTGGACATTGTGCCAACAACTGTCACAGTTAAGGAGCTCTAGGATATGAAATGTGCGATGAAGCAGAACTAATCCTAAATATTTACAACTTTATCCAGAAACCAATGCCACATCTGACTCTGATTAAGCTCAGCTTGCATTTCATGGAGATAAATTTATGGTTCTATTGCACTTTGACATTTTTTAAACACATTTTTTGTACCCCGAATGACTGTGGTTTCTGAATCGAGATGTTACGTATTGCATAAAATTAAATATTTATGAAGATTATCATTTTCATACGACCTCTATTTTTATTTCTGTGACATTCCGAAAACATTGAAATTATTAATGATTAGATAATAAATCAGTGTTCAAACTGCATCCAATGGACTTTCCCACATTCGCCATTTCCTTAACTCAAGTTCTTTGATCATCGTTTGCCAAAATTATAATGGCGTGGGACAAGTGCGTCACATATAAGTAGGTACACATGTCAGGCACGCATTTATTTATTATGCATGTACAGGTCAAGTAATATAGCGACATTCCACTGAAATTTGATGTAGAGTTGCATCAGAAATGAAATTGTCCCAATGTACTTGACTTTTTTGACATCATTCAATTATAAATACATATATTGCACGTTAATAAATCATTGCGTGTTCAACTTGCATATGTAAGTATTTGATTTCTTCATACACCTGTAATTGACAACCAATCAATGACATATCCACTTGAAATGTAAATTACTTGGTACAGCGGCTACCTATCGATGCCGTAGTTGCTTTTAATTTTGTAAAACAAAAGCCCACCACTTGAAAGACCATTTTGAATAAATAGGATTGAAGCCCTGCTAAAAAACAGCATAAATTTTTCTTGTCCTGTTGAACCATTACTTAAACATTAGCACCAAAAATATAAAATGTTTGTTGCATTAATTGTTTTAGTTCTTATTTTCGCATTAATTTTTGGGTTAATTGCGTACGCTCGTTGGAATTATGGGGTTTTGGAGGCAACAGGTATCCCCGTAATAAAGCCTACACTGTTTAATGGCAGCGTTCCAGATCTGCATCTTAAAGTGCAAACTGATGAGGATATCAAGCGTTTCCAGGAATTTGGACCACTTTGGGGGGTAAATTGATTCATAATGGAATATGGTCTTCTTGAGAGCTTGCATTTAATAATCGATGTCTTACTTGGTTCTTCAGTTGTACGAAGGGAGGACTCCAATAATTCACGTGTGTGACCCGGACTTAATACGAGAAATCTTTGTTAAAGATGTAGAATACTTTTATGATCGGCGCGTAGGACATTTTGGCGATGCACGTATTGATGAAATACTCGATTATCTTCCTGGTAAGTGTAGCGAAAATGAATAAAATATCATATTTAAATAATTAACCCTTACTAAGGTTTTCTGCATCTTTAGGCGAGAAGTGGAAGAAGATGAGAAAACTGCAGACGATATTGTTCTCCTCTGGTAAAATTCGCCAATACAGCACGCAGTTGAAGGATGCGGCTGACGATTTTGTGGACTATTTGAAGGGAAAATGTGATGGACATGGGAGTGTTAATTTAGACACGAGAAAGTTAGTCACGAAAATATAACTCAAAATTATGTGAATATGAAAGAATTTTCTGTAATAAACTGATTTTACTCTTTGCAGTGCAATGGATATCGTCAGCCTTGATGGGATTGCGAGGGCAAGCTTTGGTGTCAAGTTGGAGAATGTAGAGGATCCAAATAACCTATTTTTTAGGGCCCTCAAGAAATTGCTTGGTGAAGGTCTAGAGTACAATTGGCTGTATTCATTGTCAAGTAAGTTAATTTAAAATCTTTTGGTTGGTTGCATAATTTTGATCATCTCTACGAATAGATTGTAATTTGCTGCATCTTTTATAGTGACATTTCCAATCCTTCATAAGCTTGCGCCAAGCTTTCAAATCGAAGAAGTGCTCTTTCACACATTCCGAGAAATAATTGCGACACGAAAAGAACAGAGAGACATGGTAAATCGTGAAACTAATCAAACTCTCAAAAAGTCTGAAGGAAATTGGAAACCAGCATCAAATTGTAACGACCTAGCCGACCTTCTCGTAGACTGTTTTGATAACTTGGAATCAAGTGATTTCCAACGATTGGGCATCTCATCCACCACAATCTTGGCACAAGCTCTCAATGTTACTGCACTTGACATGATTTCTGCCACAATGACCATGATCAGCTACTACCTGGCTACCAATCCGAACACGCAGAAAAAGCTTCACGAAGAATTAGATGAGATCATTGAAGGACAGTTTGAAGGTCGAATAGACAACGAAACAATTCAAAGCCTCCCGTATTTGTCGGCCTGTCTCAACGAAACATTGAGGCTCGCTCCACCCTTAATCCGCCCGGAGCGAATGTGCACGAAAGACTGGGTAAGCTCTGAAGGAAATCTTAAAATAAAGAAGGGCACCGTCGTGATGGTCCCCTTGTGGGCGGCTCAACGCCATTCCAAGTATTTTTTGGACCCTGATGCCTTCATCCCGGAGCGATTCATCCCAAATTCACCTCAATATGAAGCTTCTTCCTGGCACCCCTACATATACTCTCCATTCGGCCTCGGTTTAAGAAACTGCATCGGGATGCGTATTGCGATTGAGACGCTTAAATTAAACATTGCAACTGTTTTGCAAAGTTTTAGAATAGAGGTGAGATCTGACACTAGACTCGAGTTTAAAAAAGGGATGCTCTTTCTCCTCCAGTTTAAACCACTCTATCTCGATTTTGTACGTCGTGAAAGAAAATCCAAGAAATTGTGATTTCTCTGTAAATAGTTTGTTTTTGAAATATTTGTATAAAATAAATTATTACTCGAATAAATTATTAACAACTAGTGAGTAAAAAGTATAAGATAGTGGCCACAAGTTTATTAAATAATTATAAAACATCACAGTTAATAAAAAATTTAAATAATGTTTAAAATTGAATTTCTCACTCACTTAAACTTTCACCCTTTTCACAGAAGCCCTAAAACCAGACGAGTCTGCTGTGTACTTGACAATCCGAGTATAACCGTCTGGTTCTAAAACAGAAAATTCGCCTAAGGTTATCTGACCTTCTCTGCTTTCAGAATGGGCTTTCACATCCATCGTCTCTGCATTTGAAACTGTGTAGCCGTATCGGTAGTTGGAATTGGTGTCCTGGTAATGACTCTCGACCACTGACGATGGCCCAGATAAGCGTTGGGCTGCTGAGGCAACTTTAATAATGGGTTTTTGTGCAACTGGTTGTTGGCGTTGCTCAATCCGCATAACAATCGGTGCAAGTGTCGTACTTGTCTCAACTTTCAAATTACTGCTGCCACTAGGACTTCTCGACTCTGTAAAAATGCCAATTATCACATTCATGTTGAAAGGTGCCACATTAATGCACATTGTACACACATTAAACTAGACCGGAGTATAAAGAATGCTAAAAGTGTCAAGGTCTTTATTGCATGGTCGAATAAAAAAATGAACGACTTGGTACCTTGCATTTTAGACTCTGCGAAAGAATGATCCGTAATGACTGGTAGCCTATCGCTATTTCCAAGAGGGTCTTGTCGTTGCATAACATCGATCGGTGGTGGTTGGCTTGTCAGAACATTTTCCTGCTTATTGTTTCCCCTGTTGGAAAGCTGTATTCTTCTCTCAAATGAGTTATGAGGCGGAGGTGGTGGTGGGGAAGTTGAGACGTGTTGAGATTGAGGAACAATAATTTTACTCGCATCTTCACGTCTCATATTTTGCTCCGATGCAAAAATCTCACTACTGCTCCTTCCGTCCCAATCGCTCTTGATGACTCTGGACGACGACCTTCTTCTGCTTTCACTCTGATTATCATAGGGCGAATTCTCCTCTTTAGAACTTTGCGATGCAATAATTGATGATTTATTTTGTACATTTCTGGCGATTGGTTGTGGCAGTGTAAACTGGGGACTGAACACGGGAGTATCAAACAAGGGTAGATTTACCCATGCTAAAGGTATCACATTTTTTTCGTCGGAATGGTAAGTTTGAGAGCGAGGTTGTTTCTGGGATGAGCGGAAGAGTTTAGAAAAGTCGAATCCCACGGGATTTATGTTACTTGCAGAAACTAATGAGCTATTCCCAGAAGTGAATATTATTTCGGGACGTGGAGAAGAAGGAAGTGATTTTCTTAGCTCGAACGGATGTCTAAAATCAAAGTTAAATTGTGACACTTTTCCGAGCACTGGATCACCAACTATAACACTTGTGCACAGCAAAACACTAATGAGGGGATTGGAGACTGAAGAAAACGTGCCCATTTTCCTGATTTCTTTCTAAAAAAATCAAAATTCAATTAATTTCATGAACAAATTTGTAAAAAACGACGTTCTATAAACCTTACGTAGCACTCACTTTGACGTATTTAAACATTATTAGCACCAGGAACACATTACTAATACCGCTACAAAACGAATATATAAAAAATATGAAGACAAATTAATTGGATGTTTACATGATTTTGACTTCACGTCCCTTTTACATGAAAAACTACAACAAACAATGAAACCAAGTCGGACAAATACAAACTGCAGATCAAATCCATACTGGTAGAGCTGACTAGGCGACTCTGCATAAGGCGACTGATTACATTTTTCATAAAAATAATGCATGAGCTGGTTGTTCTTGCTTCATTCAAGTTATGCACAAATATCTAATACGTGAATACGTATGAAGCTTACGAGTTTGAAGGTAAAGGGTATAAATTTGGACAAATCTTCCTAAAAGAGAATTGTCGAATTAAAAATGAAAGTTGTCCGTCCGTACATATATATCCGTTCTATGAGACTTATGTCACTTGCACTTTATACAATGTTCATACACCTGTAGTCGAATGGCTTGTCTAGTGTTTCATGGCTACATGTCGCACAAATAACTTATGGCGTTGAAACCATTTGCATAATACAGCAATGTAATGAGATAGTGTGAATTGTCAACTAAAAGCATTAGGACCTTATGCTCTGCGTTATTAGGAATGCATACAAAATTAAGATTACTCATCGTATTGGGTTGTATCAAACTGCATTGTTTGTATGCACAGGTTCCTTGCTGTCTAAAATTGTAACAGGCCGTCAGAATTTTTATATTTCTCGCCCAATGTCGATTTTTATGGCTTTAAACTTCATTGCCTTCATATTCTAGGTGACGCAGGGATAGCCACTGAATTTGTAATTAGGTGAGGTAGTTTGATCTGGTCAGTTGATTGATGGATCGACTGTGACTGCGATGATGCGCCTCTTGTGTATTTGGGTAGTGCAATAACGGTTGTCTCCTTTGTCTGTCGATGGATATGGCTCAGCATGAAGATGTCACTGAAAATAATGGCTTCTGAATTCATTAGATCTAATTGGATTCAGAATTGCAATGTTTTTGACAATTTTATTATAAAGTCAAGTCAATTCTTGACATTCAATTGCAAATTGCACACGCATCTCATCTCACGGCTGTACTAATTCAGCCTCCATCCACAAACCCGACATGAGCGATTAATCTTGAGGTGTCATTTGTCTATTGGGGTTACAGAGGACAATAAAATTGCAAACATATAAAATGGAAACTACTCAAAAATCTGTCTGCTAACATAAGTTTATGTCATTTTTATCCTGAAGGCATCACATCATATCTGCCAATTTGGCTGATGAGATACCCAATTTTGCTAACATCTCAACTTCTGCAAAAACTTCACGCATGCCATTCAAGATGTTGAGACTGATGAATGAGGATTCTATGGATTTACATGTTACTAAATAGGAATAACGAGATCTATATTTGGAGATTTTTTGCAACGTTTGGCGTTAGAAGTTGATCTCGAATTACAATTAGTATCGCTTGTTGTAAATATCTTATATTGTCAATTAGAGTAACATGAAACTTCCAATTTAAGTGAGTCCATATGGTTATGGGCTTATTATTTTTTACGCCTGCTCTGGCAGAAATACTACAGTCACATACATGTCATAAATAAATTAGTTGCAAAGATAACATTCCACATTACGGAAGCTCCACACAATTGAGCCAAGTTACACAGGATTTATTTTTACAGAAATAAATAGCTCATATGAGTTCTAGCTGAGAGATGACAATAATTATTGTCGTTAAAAACATTTACATTCATTCATTTTTATTATTGAGACATTATTATGAAACTTATATTGCATTCAATTCCATTTCCAAGTCATTCGTCACTGCTGATCCTTGGCCTTGACCCAACTAGTACATAGTTCGTATCTATTATGTGATGCAAATTTCACTACTTTTTGGCTGGATGAAGTGAAAAATGGAGAAATCTAATCGATAAATTATCCTGCCTTATTGAATTTATTGCTGTAAATTTTCCCAAGCTCATTAATACATAAGACCAAAGCCAAGTAGTCTCCTTTTACGATATACACGCCTCTCAAATTCCTTAAAATGAGTTTTGCTAGTGGTGCCAATTATCATAATTAATCAGTAAAACTTCTAAAAATGCATTGTAGATAAAATCCTTCAAGTGGACCAGATAGATATATGTATGCAAAAGTTTTCATGAAAGCCGTTTGTGGGCGATGAAACACTTTAGTGGGTGTACAAAGCAATAATAATGAGAAGTTCAATACTTATCGTAAAAATTGTTTATTCTGATTGAACCATACACACCACAAATAAGCGACAAGGTCGGGAGTTAATTAAAGGAACCAAAATATCCATAATTATGGCTTGTTGTTTATGTTATCGTAAGCAAATTTTGTTTTTGGTATAAAACTTTATGTTTTGATGATATCTAAAAGGACTAATTTCAGTATATTTAGGACAATCAATTATCTTTAGATGAATCATGCAGGCATAAGCCAAAAATTCTATTCTATTCTCACACTAGAGGAAAACATGCCAAATTTTTCAAACTAATCCAAAGTATTTCGTTGTGTTACAGGTTTACCAGCATTATGTAAGTGGAAATCTATGTACACACAACGGTTGTAATACGTATGTACATCTACGTGACGCGTTACATATGTATGTAATCCGTAATTATGGAATTATGCGAATATCCATTTCAAGAGACCTCAAAGAATACATATTTCCTTTGTACAAAATTGCGAATTAAATCCGTCACTATGCATAAAGATCCAATGCCACACACAGTACAAATACATGTAAGCTTAAGAAACTTGCAAAGATATTATCTTTTAAAAAACTGGATTTTATGTATACGACATGTTTACAATTCGCTTGTTTCAATGGTTGGAATCACCTTGTCAAATATGTGTGTCACATCGATAGATAAATTCTCATAATGCAGACCATTTATTGCGGAATGTCACAACAAATCCAGCATGAATTTAATCTTTGCCTCGCATAAGCTGTACTACATATGTACATATATCTAATACGATTTGATTTGAACGGCGACCAGATCCTGCTGCCTAGATAGTTCTTATTTCTTATTGTTCTCTGATTAAAATCATGCAATTTTGCATTTGATTGGCAGAGATACAAACTTTTCAAAATGCTCGTGTGTTATTTTTTTGATAAATAATAAAGACACGTGTTTCATAGTTGTGATCTTTGAAATCGTAATAACAAAGCAAAATGTCAAGAGTCAAAGTCGAGCGCCATTAAGAATCACTCTTTTATGGTGGACATGCTAAATTTTGATGTCTCAATAATAGGACTTGGCATCTTGAAGCATTATTATAAAATCATGATCTCAAAAATTCTTTGAATTAAATCGTGTCGCATTTTAGGCATGTGATTATTGTTAAACGTTATCACACCTCGTCCATGATGGAAGGTATGTACCTAAATTTGACTGTCACTGAAAAACTGTGAAGATGTACATGCACGTATAAAGCAGATGCATATGAATGATGCCTAACGTCATAAAAGTCACAGTTTATGCATTATAATAATAAGCTTGGTAAAAGATTAATGATTTTGACATTGTCTTTTCTTGACAATTCTTTGACACATGACTGATACAGTCAATTATGTTGTATGGGAAAAACAGTGCTCATCATCTTTAGATACTAAATACTTGCGAATAGAGTGATACAATTTAATGGGGGTGCATTAATGGCCATTAAGCGTAATTGTTTGTACAAACCCATGCATTTTCTGAATATTGCTCAAAATATTAGCTTTATAGTGCTTTCTGTGCACACGAATATGCACATACATAATTGCATTTGGGAGTGGAATAGTGGGATGGTTATACATATGTAATTTTCTGATAATTAATTTCTTCGGGTAGATGAACGACTGAAAGTTTGGATATTGAGGGAAGAAACTCTTTTTGTGGTGATCTTGGGTTTTCATTCACTGTTATTGGTTCGTTGTATTGCTTTGCAATTTCAGAATCTTCTAAACCACGTTTCACATCTACCACAATGCAAACTCTTTCCAAATTCGAGTTATCTGAAATTGAAATGTCACGTTTTTCTTGTTCAATGCAGTTGCTCGTTGTGCTGGGATTGGGTTTGTCGCAGTGAGAAGTTTTCCCAAAGTGGTTGTTCCCCGACCAGGGGAACAACCACTGGGAGAAATTCCAGAGCCCTCTCTGTCAACTATTTGGTTGACCTTAATTTCTTGTGTGCAACAACATGACCGTTTAGATGGATTTGTGTTCCCCCATAAAACAATAAGTGGGCAAATGAGTATGTAAATGTAGAATATGGTTGTGATGAGACCCAACAATGACATGGTATAGCCTTTGAAATTTGTGTTGGATTTTCTCCTAGTAGTTTTGTAAAAGGATATAAATAGTCCGAGTGGAACCCAGAAAACGATAAACGTAATTGAAAATAAGAAAATGAATCGCACTCTCTGAACTTTTTCTTGTAATTTGTGGTTTTGTATGTCCTGTTGAGAGAAGACAATTGTTTAATACTGCGATTAATTATTATGCAGTTTGGAAATTACTTATCGTACGCAAAACTTACTTTAAACAAATAGATGTACTTTAGTTTTGAACGTACTTTGTATAACTCTGCAATTAATTCAAAAAATTAATATAATGACATTATTTAAGATTTTATTTGTTTCCGTATTCCAAAAAAATAATACTCTCAAACTTAGTTTTCCCAAAATTAATGTAAAAAAAAACACAATATGCTACTTGGATTACTCATTCATTCTTTAAAGTGCTTCTTTGGAAATGTGTCTAAAGTACATGTCTTACCAAACATCATGTAAGAACAGACCGCTGCATGGAAAATAAGAAATCGCACACTTTCCATAAAAATATCCCAGGCCACGATTCCAAAAAAGGGAAACTGTTTAACCCAAAAAGTTAATTAAATAATGCAAATAAAATTGAGTAAAATGATTATATACCGTTTTGCAGGACGACGTTTTCTCCTCGTCATCTTCCACATACACGCTGGTAAAGAAACTGGGCAAGGTCAATGTTGTGGCGATTATCCATATGCACGAAATAACTCTGGAGATGAGAACCGTCGATAAGCGAGGCGTCAGGGATTGTACCCTCTCGTAACTTATACCCAGAACGGTCAGAGAAAGCAGGCTGATTACCAAATCTACAAATGAAAATTCATTTCTAAGCGATATTAATTAAACAGAAAATGAACCTAGAGTTTAAATTAAAGTAAATATTAAACTTGTATTTGTAGAAATTACGTTATTAAGTACAAGAGAGCATTTACTCACTTCTCGAGTAAGATAGAATTCCACACAGCCAGGTTCCTTTGAGACGACGGTCCCCAAAGTAAAGAATCCCGACAACAGAAGCAATTATAGAAACAATGGAGAGATTTGCAATTAGGTAATTCACTGGCCTAAAAATGTAAATGTAACACAAGAAGAAAACTTATAAATTAGTTGTGTTAGTGGTCGCAGGGGGACAAAGAAAACACATTTTCGTAATTCTACGGACAGCGTATGTAGATCAGAATTTGTCAAAAATTCTCACCGAACTCTTTTTCTCCGAAATATCACCATGATCGTATAACCGTTGATAAAAATACAAATTAATGAAACTAATGATATAGCCAAGCCAAATTGGGCCTTATTATTCGTTCTACCATCATATAAGTTATCACCATTTGTACCATTTAGTGCCATGAACGATCTACTGTTGCTTAAAGAATAGCTTAATTCGCCATCTAAGCTCTGATTAAAAGTATATTTAAGGTTAATGTAGTAATCTGTGTTAGAAGACAAATGGCTGGAATTAGTAAAGTAGTCAACAAAATCAAGGGGTGGATTCATGACGAGCAAGAAAACTTTCTCCGCAACTTTCTTTCATGGATGCCTGAAGCAGACTACGGAGTCTGGTTTTCACTCTTCACATGTCTTTCACTTTCACTTTCACTTTCACCTCTTCTTGACATTTGGATTGCTTTTTAAACCTCCACTCAGCAACTACTGAATGGCGTATATACAAGCAAGATACACGTATTTGTAGCAAGTCCTCCGGTGACAGTTTATTTCCTTATCACGACTGCTGTAGAAGAAAGGATGATTTCGGATATACTTTACTTTCTCATCGGACATAAATCAACTTGTCAATCTCCTTTGTATTGATTTTATCATGAACAAGGAAACGAGACATGAGAAGTATCGGATTCGAATCAAACAATTAGTTCATATCGTTTATGGATGTTTAAAATGAAATCGCTATAAATCCTGTCCATTTGCAGATGAGCTCCAGCACAGACTCAAGTCATGGATAGAAAAATGCAGAATTCGTTAATTATTAGTCTACCAATTTACGTATATATAATTTATTCAGTACTTATTTGAAAGTAAAGACATCTGGACAAATCACAAAAATTTAAAGCTCGAAACAGAGACCACAGTTCATAGGGAGCAAGAGGAATAAACGGATGCATTTCAGAGTCGAAGAATAGTTGAAGAATAACGTACGAAGAATATGTAGGAACTCCTCTTTCAAGGGATGATTTAGGCTACAGACACACTAAAGATATGCATAGAAGAAATAAGAAGCGTATGAAAATAGTAACTTGTAGCAGTTTAGCTATAAAAATAACACTTAATAATAGCCGCGTTGTGCGTTAACGGCATAAATTCCTTGATTAGCATGCACTGCATGAATTTGGTTTGGAATAGCGGCGAGTGGACGATGGTGGGCAATAACTGGCGCTGCTTGGACGGCGTGAATCTGTTGTGGGTATCCGGCTTGGACGGCATGGATTTGTTGTGGGTGGGCAGCCTGAATTGCGTGAATTTGTTGTGGGTGTGCTGCTTGGATAGCGTGGATTTGTTGTGGGTGGGCAGCTGCGACAGTGTGAATTGGGGCAGCAGCCACAACTGGCTTCACAACATGACCGGGGGCTTGTCGATCAACGACAGCATTGAATCCATTGATGGCATCGGCAGTGTAGGTCACGGTGCGGATGGAACCGTCGGGCTCGACGAGAGAGTATTGTCCCTTGACGACATCTCCATCCCGAGATTCGGAGTGGGAGTGGTGATCTCCAGTGAGAGAGTCATGGACAGCATAGCCGAAGTTATACTGTGGATGAGGGTCGAAGGGTTCAGCTCGGACTGGGACTAGAAATTGAGAAAAATACATTTTACATTGGATGATTTTCCCCAAAATAATAGGAATTTTAGGAAACAGATCTTATGGAACCTTTAGCAACGGTGGCAATGGGTGCCGCATGGACGGGATAAGCCGGAGCTGCGTGGATGGCTTGGAACGCTGGAGCAGCTCGAACTACTTGAGCTGGGGCAGCATATTGGTGGTAGGCTGGAGCGATCTTTAAGTATTTCAAAATATTTTGGTGAGAATGTGCACCGTTGAAAAAATTTGTCCAGAGGGCGCTAGGATTTTTCTGAATACGGAGTGAAAACTTACAGCAGCCGTGGCGTAGGCGGGGGCAGCATATCCAATCGGTCCTCCAGCGTTGGCAACCGCCAACAAAGCAGCGAACGACACAATCTTGAACATTTTCTACTTATTGAGCACAAAAATATTGTATATCTCTTCTCCAAGATGTCAGATAACTGAATGATGTTGATTAGGTCGTAAAATGTCCTTTTATACTAGTTGAGTGATTTAAGCGGAAATTCAGGGCCAATATACAAAGTCTCCTATTACGCACTCTCTCGTCGTCGCCTCATCATGTTTGGCCATAAAAGCAACGGGACTGAGTAATTGTACTACGTGGATGTTGAAAAAAATTGTATCAATTGAGGGAGGTAGCTCGCCATCCCTTCTGTTGCTTGGAACTTATGAGGATTTTCCACTACTTCTTCTTTATTAGCAAACGGTAACATGTTGTACTGTTTTCGCATCGTTTTTTTCGTCATTCATATCCCTCCTGGTCTCCCCTCGCCAGAATAAATAAGGCACGGACCTACGAAAACTAAATAGCAAAAGTCCAAGGTAAGAAATATGTAGGCAGAGAGTTAATTTGTCCCAAAGTTAAATAAGTTATTATCTATGCATATTATATGCGTATGTACATGAGCATGCTATATACATATACATATGCGACGATATGTACATGCATGTGGCGTAATCGATCTAGAATATAATGATCAGTTGGACGAAATTATTATTTAGCAGAGCCCAAATCAAACAGATTGTGTTACAGATTCTAATTATCTTTCTCTCATGTTGCATTGCAATGTAACTCGATCAGCATTGTCTTTTCCTCCTTATTGTCACTTCACCCATGCATTTCTTCTTGTAATAATGATATCGAGTTGGCTAAATGTACATATATGTACGTACACGTTTGAATGTTGGTTAAACGTATGCATGCATCCACTCCCTGTCCATGTTCAAATTTTCTGTCTCGAAGAGTAATGAGAACGTCGCATTGACTAATATTTCTGCTCGACGGGAATTGACAAATACAAATTAAACTTGAGCAGGCTTTGTTAACCCTTGATTAAATTTGCAAAGTGGCGTAGAGGAAATTAGCGAAATGTTCCTGGTATTCATTGTACCCGACATTTTCATTGCGTGCATATTTTAAAAGTCTGCATAGGACGCCTTGAAATGAATACATTCAAGAAGAAAAATATCCAAGTATCTCCGCCCCTGCCGGTGTCACACCTCTGATTGATAAGGAGATAACTAATTGGCGAAGGAGTATTGATTGGTCTCATTTTATTCACGATTACCTCACTTTTCTCACCTGTCCAACAAAAACAGCTCGATCAATCGATCAGATATCACAGCGGCATCGTGGTGATGGTGATCCTTGTGAGGAAAAAACCAACACCCTCTCAGACAGAATACCCAATGAATTTGATCCTTTGATCTGCACTTGATCAATTTCACCCATGAAATTAAAAAAGCTAGACGACGTTGAGATGCAGGAGATATAAGGAGATCGAATTATTTGCTAAGAAAGAACGGTGGCGATTTGAATGGATGCGCACATTAGCAAAACTATCAAATCATTCAAATCTTATATAATTGCACCCGACTGTAACTGGTCAATCAAGATTACAGCATAAATTTACAAGTACATACACATGTTCGACGTTATTGCACCAGCATACTAATTTATCTTAATTTATTATTATTATTTCTGCAGGTGATGAACAATTATGCGTATTAGATAAAAATATTCCCGTTTTCAGCCAGTATTGTTCAGTTCCAAAATTGGATTAATCTCTCATCGCCGAACAAATTTGGAATTCTGCTAGAATTTGTCCATCAAAATAAAATTAATGCTCTGCAATCCTGGCCATATTGGAAGGATTTTATAAGCATAAATCATATGCAGAAGTCGGCAATAGTAATTATAAAATGTACAGAGTTTTGCATGCTTCTGAATGCTTTATAATTAATGAGAGGTCGGAGCGTATTTCTACACACTTAATAGAAACGATGGTGTTTGAGAATGTGTGGAATTTGCAATTAATCAACCAAACTGAACTGGTTTCAATGATCTCGCTCTATCTGGTCAATTAGATGAAGAGATAACAGACCAGCAACGACACCAGCAAGAGAGTCGTCGGTGGGTAGTGGCCAAAAGACAGTAACTATGTGTGACAATGACAAGTGATTATAACTAATTAACCTTATCCAAATCTTATCTTTCAACTTGGGCATCAATGTAACTCTGTCCGTATTGCACAGATTTTACGCAAAGACAATGGGTGAAAATAAATATGTATCTGCATAACACCTTTTGGCATATTTTGCACGATTATTAGTATTATAGCAAATTTGGCTCAATGCTAGGCTGGCGTGGCTTACGACCTTTCATTGTGTTGTACGCTCGTCTAGAATTGTCTTCGGAGTTGAAGTTGACAATTCAAGATCAGTGCTCTCATTAAATTACAAAGATCACTGATGCGATGCGTAATGGAATAAATAAGAGGATCAAAAACACCTTTTATCTCTCTAATAAGGTGTTGAACGTGCAAATTACATCGCCAACTGAAATATATTCACAGGTCGAGACAATCAGAATGAATAAGTATACGGAAATTTTTACCAAGCTCTTTTTCTCCAACCACCCAAATCGAGGAGGAGGATTTTTTCTACAGATAATTCACCATTAAGTCGCCGTCATACGAGTTCAGATTTTAATTAACCTGACCTTCACATTATTGTGGCCTAATGCATAATTGCCACATACTTATTGACCATTTTTTACCGTCTGGACTGATTTCATTGCAAATGTAATCAATGCAAAACACTAAATATTTCAACCTACGTTTCTCTTTCCTAATATTTTTGATATATTCACATCAAATTTGCATTTTTTACAATGATAAATCACTCAGCAAATTAGAAACAAGTTACATAAAGGCAACAAGCAGAGTCGGTCTGGTTGTTTGTTCAAAAATTCACACATAAATCATACATTTCACTTCAACCTGACACAAGAAGCATTAATAGTTATCAAAATTTTAGGCCGTCGCCATCTTTATGATTAATTGCTCAAAAAAGATATGCAACAAGTGGTAACTTGGATTGATCGATTGATGACGATAATGGAATTTACTGGTAACTCCAGCAGTTCCGTAGTCTTTTTTTTCATTGAAAAGGGATTACGATTAATTTGATTTTTCTTCTATACTTGTTAAAAATTATATCAGTCACCTTACGCACAGGAGCCAATAATTCCTGCCTGAACAAACAAGCCAAGGCATTTTACCAATAAATGAATGAATTTTAATTAATGATTGGCCTGCTCCACTTCATTTTAATTAGTTCAGTTGCTTCTGACATTTGGAAAAAATAAAATCCAATAAACGTCTCATTAACTGATACACACACATTTCTTCCACAATAAATAAAGCAGATTCATGCCCCGGGCTGATGAGTAGCAAGTACAGGAAAGATCGGTCGTCGGAAGAGATTGACAGGTCAGTGCTACGCTGACGGCGGACGACTGTTCTGCTTGCTTCATAAGTCCAAGATATCCAACGCAATGGGGGTGTTTTTAGTCATTAAAATTCAAGTTCAGACCACATTTATTACGTGTGCATGGAAAATGAGTTCAACATAGTTCCGTTCGAAACCATTAACTTTGCTTGCATCAAGTCGACAGTTGATCGATCCGCGTTTTATGCAGGAAGAATAAATGTCGAGGATGATGATGAAGCACGTAATAAGTGGGCTTGCTATTTATTTCATCCGATTGACTGGTTAATTGTATGGATGCTAATTAATAACTATTGTAACATTTTATACAAATGTTAATCAATTTATTGAAATCTATACTAAATTGGTAATTGCTGATGTGGAATGATTATCAAATCAGTTTCTTAGGCAGTGGTGCTTGTACATATTTTGTGTGAATGAGATGATTGTTATTCGTAGCAATGTCAGTGGTATTGACAGGTCTGTATAGGTTCCTAATAGATAAATGGTGCGTACTTGGTCAATGACCACATATTTTATAGAAATGGAATTGTAATCCAATTCTTCATAAGCCAATTAAAATAATTAAAGTAAAAAGTTTAATTTACTTTTGATTGATTTGATAACTAACTGACCTTGCTTCAGTTATTTCTTACACATATTTAGAAGCAAAAATCTTTTCCTTCTCCTTACAGAAAATGAGTCCGAATGCGTCTCATCTATAAAAAAATCGGAAGTTGGGAAATATGAGACTGTGTTTGTTTTTTGTCATTTTACTTCCTTTCGTGAAACGGTGTTAAACGATTTATTATTCAAATGAAAATGTTTATCTCTGCGTAAACATGTTATAAAATTAGAGTTGATATACAATTATTTGGGAAAATTGTCAAAATAAAATCTCACTTTGTCCCACTACTCTCATTCGTTATTGTATTTAACGTTTGTCAGTTTTCTAATAAATGTATGTATAACGAGCTGATATTCATAGAATGCATTCATTTGCTATCAATAGAATCCAATTGCATCCAATGCCTAAATAAATACTTGTGTATGGTTGAATAAAATCATAACTCACAAATTCATTAACTTCCAAGGTTATCGTTGCAATCCACCCTTCAGTTTTATAAAATACTGAACAATTTAATTCGCTAATCGTCGTCATTTAATCATAGATCCGTTCGAGATGATCACGTATTCTTGTCAATTTTTACTAGAGCAAGAAATCCGTACATGTCCATTATCATTTGGTAATTCGACCCCTCCCCTGAAATAAAATTGGTCAATTACAGAATATCTCGTTAGTAAGACAAATGTAGATAAATGTATTTATTTAAAAAATAATTAATGGTATAAGAAACAACCGTTGTAAACAAAAATAGTGATGTTGAATAAATCTGTATCTTTGCATGGCATCAATTGCACGAATACATAGTTTTATGGTATCTACATAAGTTTTGTTTTAGTGTGATTGATTGGTATTACAATTAAAATGGTAGTCAAAAGGTGCCGAACATTTTTAAATATTGTGGAGAAACCTGTTAGTCATAGCTGTTGGCGAATTTGATTTTTTAGTATTTTACATGCGAGATTACAACTCATATGCTCGTTATGACATGACAGCTTTATTGCTGGCTACTTGGTTGAGGGTATTTTAACAGAATCGAATTTCGGTAGCATGTCTTCTCTCAAGAGACATTTGAGAAGAATTGCATGCATTCTGTAGGCAAATAAAAATAATTCTACCCAACAACTAAATTAATTCAACTTTACAACTGCATTACATGCAACTGCACTGCAAGTAAATAATTCTCTGCAAACTTTAATATTTGTTTAACTCTCATATTTTATAAATTGGTCAGTACCTTAAATTCTTGATCTTAATTTTGCATACGTGCATCCCAGGTTATTATATAATTTAAATTGAGCATTAAACATGGAACAAGAAAGATGGAAATATGGCAGACGCGAATCATCGAACTTTAAGTCAAATTCGCCACAAAATTCAACATGCATTCAATACATTATTTGTTAGTAATGTGATTTATGCAATGTAGGGCAGTAAGTTGGGGCAATTTTAGTAAATTTGTTTGACGATGATGATCCCTAACATAATCAAGATTTTTAATGACATTTTCACACTTTACATACATACGTACAAGGGGGAGCATCACGTTAAGTTGTGTCTTCAAACAAACAAATACATAATGAACCAAAAGCACATGTACATATGCATGTATATGTACTTAAGTGTCCTCATTTCAACTTTCACATGCCGATGAACTCAAGAAGAGTGTATAGTGGAAGACAATTTTTAAGTTGATGGTTGTTCTTGTGTAACGTAATGATCATGTTTTTGAATGCTGGGAATGGGTTGCTACAAATATGCCAAACTTAATTACTCTGTTTATACAGATCACTGTCAATGTTAAATTTATTGCACTTGCACGGCTGTCAATTGGATCAATTCCGCCGTAATGAATAGCACATGTGCTGGGGGACATAAAAATTAAGGGCAATAAGAAGTATGTACAACTAACGTTTTACGACGTATGGCTAATGAGGAAAATATAGAAAAATGCTATTTTGTAATACTTCACAACACACAATTTATATATGCATTCTTTGAATTAGAATAACGAGTGGGACATTGGACATAAATTAATGGACATAATTAGTTAATGAGTTAATTTATTGCAGCTATAATATTAATTGTGGAAAATACAATTAATTATACAAAATCCGGGATCCCCGTCTGGCATCTGATTTCACCAGCTATATATAAATGAAAAAAGTTAATATGGATATCACACTAACCATCTCCTATTTCCAGCTAAAGTTAGATTTGTTTTTGTTTACGAAACCATGAACAAAGTCATTCTTGCCGTTGTAGTCGCAGTTTGCGCTATCACCGTTCTGGAAATTGTCACCGCTGTAAGTGGCGGAGCTACATATATTGTATGGAGTACAAATTTTGATTAATTGGTGTTTTGCATATGTATGTCATAGCGGTCACATGAAAGGGACCACCGTCGTCAGCGTGGCAACTGCTCCACGAAGGGGGACAATTTCTTGGTCAACGTGAAATGCGGGGCTTCCTGTTGGAAGGCCAGCAATGGCACCCAGTTCGGTGGATGTAAGGATGGAAACTGCACTTGCTACGATAGAGGAACCTCAAACAGCAGCACCAATACGACCACCGGTCGCCGCTCCCTTGACCTCTACCAACTCCCAATCTTCGAAACTGAGGCTGTAGCCCAAAGGAAGGACAAGAATCCTCTCTTCGGTTAAAATGCATAAATTTAAACTGGAAATTTACAATGAGTGGGAAATAAATATTATCTGTGCATCTGATATGTTGTCTTACATGTGCTATAACACATAATTTATATCATGAGACATTCATTCATAGCGTACAATAAATTAGTATACTCAATAAAACATGTAATACATATCTGCACACATGCATACAACTTTTAGAATGTTCAAACTTTACATAAAAAGAGAATGATTTTATACCTAAAAATGGTAGGATCCCAAAGCCAACATAATATGAGAACAAACAAACGGACAGATTCAATCATAATTAAGACGTTGCAATATTATAAAGCAAAACGAGCAGCTTTTTGGGGTTATAAAGTGGTGAGACGCTCGCACTTCAGACCTTGACCAATTGATGATTATGATATTGACGATACCTACATGTTATATTAAACGTGATCATATTGCATGATATGGATGAGATGGGGAAATGTGAGAAGGGCTCGAGTTTATGTAAATATGGCCCTTGATGGCATATGTAGTTAAATATGATCTTTCATATATGTATTGTTACTGTTATGAATGATTTCACACCCGGATAGATTTTTTTCGAACACTATGACGCTCATTGGATTATGTTCTTAAATAAGCATTTTTTTATTCGGTAAAGTCTGCCAATAAAACGCGCAAACTACGCAAATTAAGATTTACGATTACAAAACATCTTTTCCATACACCACAAAATTGTCATATGCCCATACAAACGAACTTATTTAACTATATCTCTTCCATCTACGCAATTCAATTGTCAGGTTTACTAGTGCAGGAGATGATTTATGTTTCCAGTGAAAATAGTAATGTACATCTGCGGACCATACAGAGTGAAAAAGTATTTAAATGTGAATACAACAGTACTTAAGTATCTCAACGATTGAAAGCCATCCTGAATTTGATTGTATACTTTCAATCAATTTCTAGTCAGGATGATGAGGAACCTAATAATTGCCGTTGCCTTTGCCTTGTTGGCAATTGTAATTATCGAAATCAATGCAGTCAGTTCTCTTAAAAAATTCTCACAATTACAGCAATACAGATTTAAATCTAATTAAAATGTGTCAACATTTCAGATGTCGGCTGAGGCGAATAACGTGGAAGGCTTACGTTTTGGGGGAAATAGGAGGAACTTGAGCGACAATGCGACTTGTGACCAACCCAACAACCGGACAAATCTTGGGACAAGGTTCAGGAACAGCACGTGCAATTTTAGCTGTTTCTTAAAGTACATTTTCCAAGGGATTCAAGCCCAGGGGTGTTTAGCGGGTGGAAATTGTACCTGTTATAAAAATAATGGCACTTCAACATAAACAGATGAAATAAAGCGAATAAATAAATAAATATGAGTGTATCCTCCAAGCTCTATTATCTGTAAATTGTGTCCCATGATGAAAACCGAAACATGTCCTCACGTCTTCGAGGTACTCCGAAAAGATGCTCACAAAAACTTGCTCCTTATTTGTAAGATGAATCTCATCCTCAGCCCAAGTTTTATGGCAACAACAATTATTCGTACGTATCATTCACTTGTGGACCACGAGTTGTGGTCATGTATTTAAAAAACCTACAGTGCAGACTCCATATAGCCCGAGTCAGGAACATAGTCCCTGACTCAATAAGTCAGAACCCGCTTCTAATTTTTTTTCCGAATTGACCGACATAATATCACCAACTTCCGTGTTGTGGATGGTTAAAAGTTTGTTAATAGTTTCTACCATTTGGTACCAAATTTTTGAATTAGTTGTCAAAAATCATGTGCCTTGACCACCATGACCAGTGGGCTTCTTTAACATCCTGAAGTTCTAAGCTGTATGCATGTGCTATCCAGCAGTGGTTTTCACTTTTGCAGCCTCCATATCAAATTTCAGCTCGATATAACGATTTGGAAAAATCAGTATGGGTCAACCCATAGGGTCACTCTGGTTGCACTTTGCTCACTTTTAACTTCATATTCTTTAATTAGAAGGCATTAAGTATCATTGTGCCGGATTTCATCTTTTTAAAGCAATTTCTAAAAATCGGTATGGATCACCCCATAGGGTCTCTCCAGATAAAAATTTTACCAATATCATATCATATTCTTTCATTAAAGCCCATAAGCAACCTCTCCACCAAATTTCAGTTCGATATGATGATTTTTAAAAATCAGTATGGGTCACCCCATAGGGTCACTCAAGATGAAAATTTTTCCCACTTGAAGTCATTTTTATCTAGTAGAAGCCATTAGCAACCTCTGTACCAAATTTCAACTCTCTACAACAATTTTGAAATTTTGGTGCATACTACCCCACCCACTCCTATGACCCCCACCGGTCAACCACTGGACCAATTTCGCCCATCTTCGAACTCGTTTCCTAACTTTGTCAAATATGCATATGGTAAAAATTTCAAGTCAATCGGTTCAGCCGTTTTGGCTCTATCGTGCCGGACAGACAGACAGACAGACGGACGGACGGACATGATGGTTCCATAAGCCCTGACTCGGGCTAAAAATCGCAATTTGTTCACTTCTCATTTTACGACGGCCCAGACTAAACAGCTTCCACAATCTACAATCATAAAGTGAGAAATACGAGACGATATATGAGACACTTTTTCTCAACAGCGAAGAAGGACGAGAAATTTGAGACGAGAAATGAGACGACGACGGGGTATGTACAAAACGTCGGAGGAAGGAACCATTGAATTCACATTGAATTGCATCACCAAATCAGTCAAGTCAGAAACTCAGAAATCCAACCACGTTGTTTTCTGTTTGTAAGTTAGTTCTTTAGCTGTTTGTAATTTCTGACCGAAATTCAACTAAAATTACCCAGCATAAAGATAAAGGAGAGTAGAACAGGTTGGTAATTAACGTTTGTTGATGCTCATTTAACTGTTTTGTCTAATTCAGTCAGTAATGTTCGAGACTCGAACTTCGAGTTTGTGTTTCACAACGAAAAGATAATTTTTGTAATCTTAAATTATTCTAGGACAATAGTGCAATAGAGATCAAAGTGTGTGGGGACGAAAAAGAAGGAGTTTTGCCACCACAGTAATTCATTTCAAATGCTTTTCAGTTGCACTACTCGAGCAATAAATTCAATACTTCAACCTCTCTCGTCGCATAAATTCGCACTATTTGTAAGTTTGTACTAATTTACTTTAGTAGGTGTAGTGTTGTGAATTATACAAAGTTAACTATTTTTGTCTATTTTTCCTAATAGAAGCAATCTTATCATCACGGGATTAAGATCGCATTTCCTTATAACGCGATAATGGAGATTCGAAAGACACCTTTTCTCATTGGTGTCGCAGGAGGCACGGCTAGTGGCAAGTCGACAGTGTGTCAGGTAAAGATCAAAATTATAATTGAGTTAATTCATCATCCAACAGATTAAATTATGGAATCATTTATTTGTTTTCAAATTTCTACAGATTGAGAAATTAGACCAGTAAAGTTATGAAAATATTGTCAAATTATTTATTTTTAGAAAATTATGGAAGCCCTTGGACAAGCGGGTAACAAATTCATTTATTAATATAATAGTTTAACATGACATAGTTTAACAAGTGCTCTTAAATCCAATTAATAATAAGTTTCTCGTAAACCTTCTTCTGAACACCTTCCTTTTTCATCTTATCGGTATCTAAAACCTGTCGCTTCTTCTCCCCAGCCCCTACAGTCTTAAATATCGGAACCATAAAATCCACTTCTTTCGGAACAGTTTTTAGCTTATCTTTCTTTACAACAATCTCTTTACCCGTCATCATAACAATAAAATCTTTAAAAATATCCTCATCCCAGCCATGATCGAAATGGGTGAACTTGTCAGCTAAATTGTAAACATCGTGACCACCGACTGTCTTCATTCCCAACATATTAGCGACGAGAACTCCCTTGTGGCCTAACGTCTCCACCTCCAGCGTCTTTTTCAAACTCTCTTCTGCTGTGAACGTGGTGGGGTCGGCTTGAAACACATTGTGCCTGTTCTCGGGGTCAACCCCCGCCATGGTGGATTTTTCGCGTTGGTGATAATTGGCTCCTTTAATAACAAACCGACAGTTCTCTGAATGATTTTCCCCGTATCGATAACCACCCTCTTTATTATCCCCCACATACACGTAAGGGAGCTTGCGGTTGAAATTTGTGGGAAGATGATGTGATTTGCAAAATTAAGGGAGTTGTTGGCATCCGTAATTTCGAAACCCATGTTGTTTAACGCCAAAGTTTTGTTCACGTCATCCAAGTTTGCAGACTTTGTGTAGATGTCACAATTTATGAACTTGATCTGCTCTGCTGGTTTTGTAGCGACAGAGTTGTGAAATGACACCATGAGAGACATTAGAATCTGGGGGGGGGAACAAAATGTTATATTTATTTAATAATTGAATTGAGGAATTTTTCAGAAATATCACATACCCCTAAACTTTGAAACTTCCTCGTGCTTTCCTCGGAGAGATATTCCCAACGTTTCTCTATTACAAACCACGCAGTAGGAAATTTTGCGAGGTATTGGCCGATTGCCCGATCGTCGTAATGCGCTCCTCGTAGACATAAATTAAATCCGAGATCAGTGAACTTTCCCTTCCTCAATTCCGGCTGAACGAGGGCCATGTTCACCTTGTCCAAATTGGCCACGTCCCTCATCATCCAAATCTCCCTTTTCACTGTGCTGTGCCTGTAGCAATATCCGTCCAACTATAAATATTATAATTTTATAATTAGAGATGATTTCAACAAAATAATGACAAAATAATGACCTACATGACTCTTCTCAGGACAATTTTCCACCCTGCATTTGGTTCCGACAGAGGTCTTCCACCCAAATTTCTCTCCCTCCTTCTTGACTTTATAAAACAATCTCTCCCCAACATACTTCACTCCCACTGGTTGATTGTCGTGAAGAAACGTTACACCGGGTGGAGACGCCGCTTTCCATGGGTCACTCTTCTCAAACTTTTTGAAATGTTTATTCCACAATTCCATGAGATCCTTGTACTCGGCAGTTGACTCGACAGTCTCAAAGGTGAACTCAATCAAGGGATATTTCTCCTGGAGGTGGTTAAAAATTTGTTTTCGTACTGTGAAGAGGGTAGATTGGGTGTGTCGGCTCGGTGTGGGCAAAATAGCGGATGAGGAGGGGGTGGGTGGACCTACAAGTTAAATTATTTATATATATTAATTTGAGGAATTGCATAATCAGAAGAGGATGAGGAAAACAACCATTACCCTCGCTATACAAATTCTCAAACTCTTCCTGCGAGTTGAGAAATCCAACCTCATCGTCATCACTCAAAATGACCCTGCTTCTCCAATCAACTGAAATTTCCCGTTGTGGTGGGGTGACCTTGACGGAAGGTTTTGCTTTCTTCACGGGGGGTTGTTCTGCTGGCGAGGGAGGAGGAGAGTCAACGGTGCTGCTGGTACAGGCAGTAGTAGTTGAGGTCGAGGGGGTGGCGCTTAGCCGAATCACGAATTGATCCATAATTAAAACTGACTATGAAACTAACTAAGTTTATATTTTTATGTGGAGAGAAAAAATCAGAAACTCCAACAACAATTTGTATGAAGTGGGAAAACAGTGAAAGTGGGGTAGCTTGACATTAATAATGATTTGTTTTTATATCGGCTCCAGATGTGTTGGATAGTCAGCGAAAAGTAGTTTGTATCGCCCAAGACTCTTTCTACAAAGAACTTTCACCAGAAGAAGCAAATAAGGCTGCCAAAGGTTGGTTATATATACCTAATACATAGATATGCGTAAACATAATTATTATACGAACATGAATAGGTAAGTAAAAGGCCCAAAAATTTTAATTATAGTATTAAAATTTGCACTGCAGGACAATACAACTTTGATCATCCCAACGCCCTGGACTTTGATCTAATGTTGCAAACACTGGAATCTGTGTTGGAAGGGAAAGTGACTGAAGTTCCAATCTACGACTACATTCACAATGCTAGAAAGGAAGGACAATCAATGAAAGTTTATCCTGCGGATGTCGTTCTCTTTGAAGGAATATTGGCTTTTTACTTTTCTCAAGTACGGAATCTCTTCCACATGAAGTTGTTTGTAGACACTGACCCCGACACTCGCCTTGCACGAAGAGTGACCCGAGACGTTGAAGAACGCGGCAGAGATTTAGACACGGTGCTTACTCAATACATGAAATTTGTAAAGCCTGCTTTTGAAGAATTTTGCCTTCCTACAAAAAAATTTGCCGATGTGATTATTCCTCGCGGAGCAGACAACATGGTTGCAATTTCCCTCATCGTAAGATAACAACAGTATAATAAATGTATAAATAAACTTATTAAATACATAAAGATTTACATGTTTACACTCAGGTACAACACATTGCGGAATTGCTAGCCGTCAAGAAACGAGAAGGCCTTCAGTCACCAACCAATTTTGAAGTCGAGTCTTCCAACGGAACGCCAATTTCTCTTGTCACTGATATTAAAGGACCACCTTCAAAACGCCGAGTGGGCAACGAATATTCCCGACCACACTAATTCAACTATTATCATTGCATCGTTGTGCTTACTGCTTACTATGCTGGAAAGTTTCTGAACTGAATACCAAGGAACTGAACTAGTGACTATTTAATAATTAATAATATGTGAATAAATAGTCTTTTTTACTAGTTGCTAGTCTTGGTTTTGGCTTTACAAATTGAAATTCCAATGCAACGTTATCCTAGTAATAATTGATTGATAACCATACTAATTAGACCTTATGTTACTGTAAATTCAAAATGTATGAGTTGATTGCACGAAAAATTGATTGAAAAGGCCTTAAATTTCTAGTTTCTAATTTATAGCTTTAAATGCCCATGTTACATTTTTAGTTTTTTGACATTATTTTTTGTAACAACAATAAATACTTGTTTTCCCGATAGCTGCGTACTCATTGACTATAATTCATGAATTATTTGGCATTTTCATGCGATTAGAGCCTCAGCGTGGGTCTAATTCCTGGCGAGGGAGGAAACTTCAAATCCCTCTTCCCACTCACGTTGGTCTGCAGTGCGTTGCTCAAAAGACCGACGAGAGCTATATGTACTTGCACTTTACGTAGCACGCAGTGTGGTGGCCCTCAAAAATTTAATCAATTCTTCAATCACTTCCCGTCTATTTTACAAATACCAATAAAACAACAAAACACTCGTTATCACTCAACACCTGATTACAAAATGATAATCCTCTCCGAAAAGTAACGGCCTTTTAACATAACGTTGTTATCTCATTATTCTTAAAAGAAAGACTCGAGATTCGAGATAAAAGGTGGCCAAATACTATAGTGTGTAGTTATATTTTGTTGACTAACTTCACATAATAACTTATAGCATCTTGTTGACTGTATCTAAGTTATCTATATCAACAGCCTCCTGGTGTCTCAAGACACAAGAGTCTTTTAAAGAAAAGTTGTTTGTATAGTGCTACGTTTCTCTAAAAAGAAATACTTTTGTAATAAGTGTAATAGTTATTTTGAGAAATATGGAATTTAAAAAGTCGAGATTAGATTTGGAAGGTGGTGGTGGAACAATGCCACAGGAAACGAATTCTTCCACCCCTTCCCCAGCTCAAAGTCCATTCAAGGGTAGTGGGGGTGGTGGTGGTGGGCCGTACCGAGGGCGATATACCCGTTCCTCGCTAGGAGGAGGAGGTTTGGCGACCGCAAATACGTCCAGTGGGGGAAGCAGCAGCAGATTTTCGCCTTACGCCACCAGTCGCGACCGACCAGCGAGAAGAAGTATTCCGGTAATCACGGCCCAAAGGGAAGATGTGCGGCCAGTGGGGGGAATTGGAGGAGGTTTTAACTCATCGTTCTTTGGAAGTACGTCCTCCACAGCGCAGAAGATTATGGATACGCTGGCGTCAATGTCTACCCCTGTTTTGAATGCTGGAAGAGTTCGGGTTGACTCTATTAGTAATTACTCATCTCCTTACACCTTATTTTTATTATTCTTTACAGTTTAATTATTAAAATATGAATCCTTATACCAAGTTAATTAATTATTATACTGTATTTGCAGAAACTGTGAGACCTATTGGTATGATTGGCTCGTCGTCCCCATTCAATTCTTCTGGAACGTTCTTGTCGGCTACGAATAAATTCAGTGGACCTCCGAAAACGTTGAGTCCGCTACTTATTCCCCTGACTGCATCCGGAGTACGCCCCGATTCTGATAAGTCAATGTGGTCGTCAAAATGTTTGAGCATTCCACCAAAAATGGTTGACTGTGGTACTTCCACAGATGAACTTTTTCCATCAGATGAAAAGACTAAGCTAAGCATGGGCATGAGTCCCAATAATAATGTTTCTTCGCAAAGGAGTTCTACTATTCTTACAACAACAACACATGTAAAAAATCATGGAGGATCGCTTAAACTGTCAGATTTGCTAGCAAAGTCAAGACCGGTGAATGGGGAGTACAAGTTCGATAAGCCATTATCTTTGGGAGATATAGACAAGTATTTAGGGAGTGATAAATATAAGAAAGATCTAGATAAGAGTAATAGCTCAACTTCTGATGGGACTGATGATGATGATGATGACGACGCCAATGAAAATGAAGACTCGAATATGAGTAACCATAAAATTCCAAATGGTGACATCAAATCATCCAGGACCTCTACTTCTACTGAATCGAAAATGAAACCTGAAACTAAACCATTTGCTCAATGGAGTACACCAAGTAACCAGTAAGTCCCAAATCAAACTAACATGAATTTATTTATTTATTAAATGATTTTGTACTTAAATACTTCTTATTAATAGATGGGAATGTCAAGTTTGCATGGTGTTCAACAATCCTAGTGTTTCCAAATGTGCTTGTTGTGAAACACCGAATCCAAAGGCAAAGGCTGATATCGTAGATAAAAAAGTTGACAACAAGTAAATCACACAATTCGTCATTTAAATAATTCCTTTAGTTTGTATATGTATATGAACTGTGTTATAATACTTGTATTGTCCTTATTAGATGGTCATGCCCAACATGCATGGTGTCAAATGAAGCTTCTGCTGCAACATGTGTATGTTGTACCGAAAAGAATCCAAATTTTGTAGGGGATTCAAAATCGAAAGATTTCTCTTCATCGTCACAGCCACCTGTATCGACGTCAACATTCAAATTTGGGTTTGGATCATCAACCACAAGTGCCGCTACGCCAGTAACTGGTTTTACCTTTGGAGCAACTTCACCAGCCAAAACGGTAGAGAATGACAAGAGTGCTTCAGGTGGGTTTACATTTGGCTTTAATAAGACTGCAACATCAACAACGACAAGCAAGTCGAATGCGACAGAGATGCTGAACAGCAACAAAATTGATAACAGTGTTGGTAAAAATAATGCATTTACTTTTGGGACTCCTCCTACCTCTCTGTCTAATTCGTCGTCTTCGTCTGGATCAAATTTCAAGTTTGGAGTTACTGCCAGCGACGAAGAAAATTTACTTAGCAAACCTAAACCAATCGAATTGTGGCAATGCCTTGTTTGCCCTGCTCAAAATGGCATTAAAATCTTTACCTGTGTCACTTGTGGAAGCCCTCGACCTAGAGAGTTTGATATTGGCTACGTGAAACCTGACAATAAGATATCACCAGACACTAAATTTCAACCAGTATTTGGAAAGAAATCGACTCAGCAAGATGTTACGTCATCATCGCCCCCACAAACCGGCACATTTACATCAACAATATCACCAGCCGTTACTTCCAGTTCAACAACGTTTGGTAATACTTCATTTGGATCTTTTGGTGCAGGTGCCACTGGAAATCCCTTTGGTGGTGGAAGTGGCAACACGGCAAGTTTTCAAATCCCATCAGTTGCTTCTTCAGGCTCAGGAGGATTTGGTAACACGACAACAACAACTACAAGTTCAGCCACCACCAGCTTCTCAACTTCAACCGGAAATAACTCTTCAGCTTTTGGTGGGGGTGTAAACCAAACACAAGTCGACGGAGGAAACAATACTTCTTTAACATCTGCTGCTGGCAGCGGTGTGCCAAGCTTTCAATTTGGTTCGCCAAAGCGAAAACACGATGAATCTGAACCTGAAGGTCCCGCAGATAGTGCAAAAAAATCTCTTCCGTCATTTCAGTTTGGATCCTCGTCAACAAATGCTCCAACTCTTAAACTAAAGGAACCTGCAGTTGCATCAATTCCAATTTCTGCTTCCTCTCCAACTCCTCAGCCAGCAGCAAATCCTGCCGGATTTTTGGAAGCTTTAAAAAATGCAAGTGCTGCAGTGAAAGCATCCAACGAAAAACAACCCAGCACAATGCTGACACAACCCGGAGGAGGAGGAGGAAGTCTTACCACAAAACCTTTCCAATTCGGAACTAACAATAGCAGCAATCCTACTACAACATCAGCCAACACTTCAACGTTTGGAGCTTCTACTACAGGAAACTCATTCAATTTCGGAATTAGTGGTGGTAGTAGTAGCAATGCGCCCAATACTTTCGGATCGCTGTACGTAATGAATTGTTTTTAATTTTTACTAGACCAATCAATATGCACTTATTAATTTTTGCATTATTCCTACTTTCTCCTCTATTTTAACTTGTATATAGGCCAACTCAACAGTCAACAGGGTTTACTCCAAATCCTCCAATAAATAATCAATTCAATTTAACCCCGAATTTCAACTTTGGTGCCACTGCGCCCTCGTCAACAAACACCTTCACCTTTGGAGCTGCATCAAATCCTCCATCTTCAAACAGCTTTTCTTTTGGGGGAGCACCCGCAGGTTCTAACGCTCCAAATGAGGGGCCACCGCCATTATTCCAATTCCAATCTAATCCTAGGTAATGCCTAGTTTGAATATTATCTGAAAACATCACGTAATAATTTATTGTAAACTGTCAATTAATATGTCTTGCTTTTGTTTCAGCACTGGAGGAGATATAACTGGAAGAAGAATAATTAAAAAAGCTACGCGAAGATTTCGATAAATCACTAAAACATTGTTTTGCCTTAATTTATTGAATGTTATAAACTACTCAAACTCTAGAGATAAATCTAAACTATTATACGTCAAACGTGTATAAATGAAAATGCATATAAGATATAAAATGAAATATTTATTCATTGGACTATATACACCGGGTATTGTTCTTAATGCGTGGTGCACATATGTACAAATGCATATTCAGATAAAACCAGTCTAGTCTCTTTTATAACAATGGCTCCCGTTTGTAAGAATCAAATGTGTTCGAAATTTGTGAAGATGAAATATTGCACGATTTATACTAGAGTCAGTAGTTTTGAAGGACAATTATTTGGTTTATGCCAAACGAACTTGTGTCAATTTACTAGAAGTGAATTTTGCAAAGTGAAAGTAAAAAAAAATACTTCAATACTGCATTGACTCATGCACTGGTAACGTAATGCATTATCTTAAAGAGAATAAAGATCTGTTGACTGTAGGTTTCTGAAAATATTTAATATTGAAAAGTTTTAACAAACAAAACCATTCCTCGTCAACATAACTCGAATCGAACTACCATTATTCCTGGAAAAATATATTTCGAAGATGATCTTCAGTCAATTTTCGCATTTCCTCTATAAAGTATAATTCAAGATTCAGTAATCGTGTTCATTGCGGAAGTACACTTTAAATAAAATGCATGACACATTGTGTACTTACCATCAATTTCAAGAAGATTTGAATTTTTGTGGTTAAAAATCGCATAAAACTCTCGTTTGTTGGATACTTTTGCTACCAGCCAGTTGTCGGATACCATTTTTGTTATAATTTCTCCATTCTCATTCATTCTGAAAAACAAAGATATCTCACCATATTATACGATGAAACCATGTAATGTCAGATTTACAACTACTCATTGATGGTACATACTTTGATAGGTCTTGTTTCAAATCAGTCAGCAATTTGTATGCTTCCAAATCGCATTGATATCCAGGACAAATTTTTTCAGCAAAGTTAAGATTGTTGAAATAGATGTATTTGACACCGCTTTGATTGTCCATGCCATTTGATAATCCAGAGCCAGAACTTAAACGGTAAACCTTTGACAAGTCTCTTGCGATTGAGGTAAAATTAAGGTTGAGGAACCCTTCAATTTTGGAAATGTATTGACGGTCAAAAGTACTAGAACCTGTAAACAATACCACCAACTTTAATAATAGTTCAAATTCCTAATTACATCAGTCCGTCAAATCGATTATACACATGTATTTATACCTGGAATTAATATTGTTAAATAGGTCTGTTCAGCTTTATAAATCAGCATATGGAATTTCGAGGACATTTTTTGTCCATTAATCGTGTGCGACGAAGATGCGGTGATAAATGAGGCATTGTCGTCATCTTCAGATTGACTGGCATTTAAACTTTGGCTACGACTGTTTGTGATGGAACCTGGGGGCTGAAATTGTGTCAATGTGGAGCTAGAAGAAGATCCCAACGTTAAATGTGATTCACGCTTCATAATCACACCAAACGTCGACTGTTTATCAACTCCACTAAGAAAATGCTGCGACAACAAATCATTGACCAGGTAATCGTACAGCAACTGGATATGGCTCTGGTCAACTCCGCTCCTGTATTGTAGTAAAAAAAGTTAAATGCAATGTTTACAATGAAATTTCAACGTTTTGTAATTCTCACCAAATAAGCTTTTCTCTTTGCAGAAGGACAACGTGTTTAATCTGAGGCCACGAAACCACTAAATGATTTATGAAGCATTGAACTCGAAGAAATGCATCTCTGGAAAGCGGTAGGAACTGCAGTCCTCGAAAAATATCAGCAATTCCGCTTTGATTAACATCAATTCGTTGCACCCACTAATCACAAGAATTAAATTCGTAGTGTTACATTACAAATTATTATTATTATTATCATGCTAAATACATATGCACCCCTTACAATGTCGTAGCATTTTTTCAGCCTCGTTCTCAGCTCGACAAGTCCAATTTCTTGCACCATAGTTTCAAATTTGTCATTTAACAAGACGAATTTTTCGTACAATCTCTTAAGAATAGCATGGAATACGGTGTCCTGTATTTGGTCGTCTAAATACTCCACACATTCTACACCATCCGGACTGGATTTCACCACAGATGGGACAGATAATACCTACATATTTCAGTCAAAAGCCATTGTATACACGACAAATTTTGTACACTTATTTAGAAATTGTTTGTATGTTTTTATTTATATTTCCATTCCATACCAAAATGAACCAATATCCATCTTCTGGTTGATAATACACATGACGGAGTTTCAAAGTGTGTAATGAATCGCAGGGTTCTTTGGAGTTAAAAGTTCTGTAATATTACAAGAAACACATGAACATAAGGGAATATTATAAAGCTTCTCTAAATTAAGGTCTCACTGGGCAAACTTGACGATGGCTTCGCAAAGACCAATCTCTTTGAGCTGCGTGTCTGGGTGGGTGGTGTCACCAGGGTAGCAGTACAAGACTTTTCCCATCTCCTGTAAAAGTCACAAATTAAATTAACTATTATTTGATTTGATGAAAATTTTCAACAAGAAAGACGCCCGAGTCAAATGTGTGCATAATAATAGAATATGGATTTGATTACGTACGTTATCCGTATCGTTTCCAAACTTGGAATTAAAAACATACAACTCTTTGATTTGTGCGGAACGCGTGGTGTTTTGTCCATTAGCTTCCATTTTGTAAAAAAAATCAATTATGTATATAATAAATTGTTTATTATTACATTTCTGTGTGTAAAAAGAGTGTAGCCAAAGAAGACTGAAAAGGAGTTGTTGTTTTGCTAAAGTTTGGTGGAAAGTTTCGCTGTCATCAGGTTCACTTGAAAATACAACCCATGTTAAATTGTCAATTTGTCAAAGCACTTGACTTCGTATATTTATCGTTACTACTACATATTTATTTATATGTATCCAAATCCAACCATTCCCAATGTAATTGTACAATGCATGTCTCAACCTCAAGCCGAAGTATCTGGAGTGATATTTCATATGATACAGAAGGCATACCGTTTATGCCTATGGATAATGTTGAATACACTACAAATCGTTTGATCATACTTGCGCCGACACACCCACTCAAAGTGTTGAAAACCCGTTTTCTCTTCTAATAGACCTTTTGTGGGTGTGGTGGGCGCAAATGGGGCCATGGAGTAAAACCGTTTGGGGTAATGCACTCTCCAAGTAATGTCGTCGGGTTAATTCTAAAAACCCCTAAGTGCAGTCTCATCTTAATTTTAAATAACCCTAAGTGAGACTTCATCCTAATTTTAAAAACCCCTAAGTGCTGTCTCACGTTAATTTTAAAAACCCCTAAGTGCTGCCACTAGTTAATTTTAAAAAGCCCTATGTGATAAATAAAAACGAGTAAAAAGCCCTAACTGTAATTCAAATTTCAAATTATGCATAATTAATTAGTTCTGATAAACTAATCAGAGTATCATACAGTGATACTCTATGATTACAAATTAAATTTTGAAAATATTATGCAAAGCTTCACTGGGCTATTCACAGTGGGTGTGGCTGTAGGCGCCTTTTCGATTTAAATGAAACCATGTCATGTGATATATCATTTTTCTTAGGACGATGAGGACATTACGCCTGAATACTTCAAATTTACGAACCACACCCCCAGTGGGTGTGGTCATCTGCGACTTTTCAATTTAGAAACAACCATGTCATGTGATATATAATTTTTCTCAGCTCGATGAGGGGATTTCGACTGAGTAACTAAAATTTCAAACCACACCCCCTGTGGGTGTGGTCATCTGCGACTTTTTGATTTTGACACAACCATGTCATGTGATATATAATTTTTCTCAGCTCGATGAGGGGATTTCGACTGAGCAACTAAAATTTCAAACCACATCCCCTGTGGGTGTGGTCATCTGCGACTTTTCAATTTTGACACAACCATGTCATGTGATATATCATTTTTCTCAGCTCGATGAGGGGAATTCGACTGAGTAACTAAAATTTCAAACTACACCCCCTGTGGGTGTGGTCATCTGCGACTTTTCAATTTTAACGAAACCATGTCGTGACATATTATTTTTCTCAACTTGAGAGAATTTCGAAAGAATAATTAGCTATTCTTTGAATGCACATGTTTAATAGTTCGATCAGTAAAAAGGCCAAAAATATGTGTCCAATTTCCAAAAAGTCTGCTAATTTACTGTTTATGCCGTTGCTTGATATTATGATATTATAATAAACCCACAGCTGCTTGAAAAGATAAGATTTTGAGGCATTTTTATATCTTATTTAAAAATAAAGTCGGAACATACATATGAGCCACCATTTATGGAGCCCCGCAAGACGAGAAAAAATCACGAGTCTGAGTGGACTTCCGAAACGGTGCACTAGCAAAAACTAATTTTCTTTACTAAAAAAATTAAAGCGGCGTCCAATCGGAAATTCGCCATTCTCCTCAACATTCAAACTCCACTTGAACAAACTTGAATTATGCGGAGAACCCCACATCCGCGTGTGAAAAATGGAGTATCACATTAATGGGTTCATCAAAAATAAAGTCACTAAGGACTACACACACCAGGACGTGGTTCCCAAATTTCCCCTCGTAAAACTAAAAAAAATTGTATCACATTGTATGGTTTCACAAATATCGCAAGGTTTCAGAGCATGACACCCAATTATGGTGTGGTTTCTAAATTGTAACTATTCGGCGGAGATCCCCAAGGCGACCTGAAAAAAATGATATATCACACGACGTAGTCACGTTAAATCTTTCCAGATATCCTCATCTAGCTGGGAAAGATGACATATCGCATAGCATGGTGGTGTAAAAAATCGAAAGTCACCAAGAGTCACGCCAGATGGGTGTGTGGTTTGTCTTATAAGTTCTCTGTCGAAATCCCCTCGTCAAATTGAGAAAAATGATGTCACGAAATAGTTTCGTTAAAATTGAAAAGTCGCAGATGACCACACCCACAGGGGATGTGGTTTGAAATTTTAGTTGCTCAGTCGAAATCCCCTCATCGAGCTGAGAAAAATTATATATCACATGACATGGTTGTGTCAAAATTGAAAAGTCGCAGATGACCACACCCACAGGGGATGTGGTTTGAAATTTTAGTTGCTCAGTCGAAATCCCCTCATCGAGCTGAGAAAAATTATATATCACATGACATGGTTGTGTCAAAATCAAAAAGTCGCAGATGACCACACCCACAGGGGGTGTGGTTTGAAATTTTAGTTACTCAGTCGAAATCCCCTCATCGAGCTGAGAAAAATTATATATCACATGACATGGTTGTTTCTAAATTGAAAAGTCGCAGATGACCACACCCACTGGGGGTGTGGTTCGTAAATTTGAAGTATTCAGGCGTAATGTCCTCATCGTCCTAAGAAAAATGATATATCACATGACATGGTTTCATTTAAATCGAAAAGGCGCCTACAGCCACACCCACTGTGAATAGCCCAGTGAAGCTTTGCATAATATTTTCAAAATTTAATTTGTAATCATAGAGTATCACTGTATGATACTCTGATTAGTTTATCAGAACTAATTAATTATGCATAATTTGAAATTTGAATTACAGTTAGGGCTTTTTACTCGTTTTTATTTATCACATAGGGCTTTTTAAAATTAACTAGTGGCAGCACTTAGGGGTTTTTAAAATTAACGTGAGACAGCACTTAGGGGTTTTTAAAATTAGGATGAAGTCTCACTTAGGGTTATTTAAAATTAAGATGAGACTGCACTTAGGGGTTTTTAGAATTAGGCCGACGATGTAGACAACATCCAACAGCGATCTGTGTATGCTGGTTCTACTTATATTGTCCTCAGTTAGCATCATATTAAAGAAGATGTAGAATGTAGAACAAGTTGAATATGATAAGTTCGTGTATTTAATCGTGTTTACAATATGACGTTGCATAATAATTTGAGTTGCTCAAATTATGCTCTGGGGAAGTAATAAATTCAATTTTATATTACATGTCGCTTATATTGAGGTACATAACATACGTACAGACAGTGCATAAACATTCAATAGTGTTATAATATGATATATGTAAATATATATATAAGTATATTCAAATCACCGAAAATCTCTTCTACGCCATTTCAATTTAAACTTTAAACATTGCCAAAACATTGAAAATCTGAGCTTTCTACTTGTGAACATTGTGAATGAATTGTGGGAAAATTGTGAACATTGACGCAACTGTTTTTATACGCATAAATATGTACACATTTATGCAAAACTTAAGTTTATAAAATGCTATGTATTATCTTCTCTTGGTTTGACATTCTGATGCTGTTGATGTCTGATGAATGAAACTTTTCTGAAACGATCCATAAAGTTTATGTCTTCAGGGTTGTTGTTTGATGTTTGACGTTGCTCTAACTTTTTGGGCAATTGGTTCTCAGAAATGGAGAAAGTTGTCGCCTGCTGGGTTGCAAATCTACTAATATCTAAATCAGTATCATCCTGTGTCGCAGCATTGTTATCTAAGTCCTTCCCACAGCCAGCAGCATTGCGCGTGGGAGTTGTAATACCATCTGCATGACAAGTGCGACATAAGAATTTGCGGAATATTTTAATGTCTTGGTTTGAAAAAAATACAGCCAAGGGATTAACGAACAAATAGGCAAACGTAATCCCCATTAAAAAGCTGTATGATTTGGATGCTCTGGATGTAGACGATGATATGGAAGTAAACCAAATTGGAACTCTGTACACAAGTTGAACAGCACCGGAGGAAACCCATACCAACACGAGGATTATTGAATATAAGAAGGCAAATCGGACTCTGCAAACTTTCCTCTGTAATCTTGGTCCTGGCACCTAATTGAATAAACATACATAGTATTAGGAAATATATAGGAAAATGCGCCAGAAAGACTATTCGCATCAACCAATTCCATCCAATAAGATTTTGAGATAGCATATTATATTTGTACACAGCCTTCTTTTTTGAGGAACAAACGGATAAGAAGTAAAGTACATACATACATATGCATATTTGCATATATCCAAGAGACTGAACCAATGAATTGAAAATGTCTTAAATTTTGTGTCTTAAACTCAATAGCAAATATTTTTAGTAATCTCGAGGAATTATATCTAATTTTCAAATTATCAACGCTTATCAAAGTTTATAGTCATGTGCCTTTGTAAGTCTAGATGATGCACCACATGCAATGCTTGACAATGTGTATATCTATACATATGCGCATTGATACTATGGAATACTCTCGTTTGATAAACTTACCGAGTAAACTCCGAGGTACTTGATTTTAGATCTGATGAGGTAGAGTTCTAAAGTTGTGAGAAAAACACGAATCAACAAGTTGTTTGATCAGAGTAACAGGTCGAATTATGACCTACCATACAGAAGATAAACTGAGAATAGGATATGGAGAAAGAAGAACTTTAGAAGCTCGTACAATATGTCCAAGAATTTGGAATCGAACAATACAACCTGCACAAGAATTAAATTGATACAAATCTAAATAAGCTAATAAAAAAATACTTAATTAACTCGTAGGCGAGTGTGTAATTGATGTTTTTGACAAGTTTATAAATAGGGTGCAATGGCACACATACTCTTTTACACAATGTTGGTATGGTGGAAGGATTTTGATCGTCTGCAGTGCTATGGGTGGATCGCAGGAGGGCTGGAGATGTAATTAGGACAGCGGCGAGCCAGATGAAAATGATCGTCTTGACCGCAGTTCCAGTGGACACGGTCCTTCCACTTCTCGTCTTTAATGACCTAACTCTCTCAAAGCTGATCCCAAATGACGAGAGTGTTACGAGTGCTCCGGGAAAATCTGGCGAGAATTATGAGAAAGTGAGTATAAATTGAAAGAAAACAGGCCCACAAAATCCCTGCTTGTCTCATTGTTCTCTAGACAAAAGGAGATTTAAAGGGAGAATAAAACTAGCGAGGACTACGACATGAACTCAATGCAAACCATATTTTTATCAATGCCCAACAATAGAAATGCTACTCGAAAAAGTGACACAAACTTAAATAAATCTGTATTGTCATCGCATCTTACACTTTCCAAAGTTGATGAGACTGCACATCCATTGTTTGGATTGAGAGAAAGTCATCATGACGGACATGTGAGTCATGGAGAAGCTTCCCAAAAGCGTTAGGCACATGAAGAAAGTGGAAAAGCACAAGTTCGCCACGAGGTAATCCACAGGTCTGTATGCGCGCATGGAATAATTGAACATGAAAAAAGATGGAATATATTTAGAGAAAGACTTGCATTTAGATGAGCAGCCAAAAAAAGAAATGTCTACTCAATGCGAGTTCACCTTAGCCGTTTCTTTTGTGAAATGAGGTAGATGGAAACGCCGTTGAAGGTGGAGCTAATTGTGGCAACTATGGCAGTTATGATAAAGTACGTTCTGTCAACTTCGAATGATGGATGCAAATTGGTTGGCAAACTTGGTGCCGTTGAAGCGTTACTTGTGATAAGTTCAACCATATCTAGATCAGCGTAAAGCTCTTCGTTAGAATATTCCAGTGAGTTGAGATCAAGCAAGCTTGAGTTGCTGCCTACTTCACCGTATCTAATCGCCCAACTATCCATTTTCGTACAAATGAGACACTTCCTACAATAATGTACACTCCTCTGAGTCTCCACGAGACTTTTCGCAGACGAATCACTTTTTGAAACTAAAATAAAAATTCTGATTTGGGAGCTATTCTTATATCGCTCACGTTGTAAATGTAGTTATTTCGCACCATGCTTGAGGTTCGTTTATCTCAGAAGTGAATCTTGTTAGGTTTTAGGATAGGAATCAATGTGGAATGTGCAATGAATAAACTGCGTAAATATTATGGCAAATTAAATTTGCTAATGTATTTAGAAAATTATCAGAGGTGTAAATACTTGGTGTTTCGTGAGAATCCTGCAAGAGCGAGACTTGGAGCTTGGAGAAAGTTCTTGGGAAACTGAGACAGATTCGCGAATGTTGCACCTTTTCATTGGATGTTTGGCTTTCTCCTCCTCATGTGTCGAGGCTGCCAATTTGCGTTGCCAATGTTATACTTGACGGACAGCTCGACTGTAGAAATTGGAGAATGGGACCTCACTATTATATATCCATTTCGATTCAGACTCGGGCTTGCTTGTCTCATTAATCCGTATTTTGCAAATTGGGCATTAATCCGTAATATTGACTCTAGTTATACGATCATGTAAATAGGGATTTTGAGACAAATGTGCTATATGTAAATGCAAATATTCGCCATATTCTGGAAAGCAAATGTGCCAATGCAATGTATAGTAGAATTATTGTTGCGGGTCACTTAATTTGCATAATTCTCAACATGCCCATTTTTGGTGATGCATTGGATTCCATGTTGAACTCTGGCTAATGAGTATCGCAATTCGCAAGACTGTTTCTTTGTTCCTCGGCTTCTTTGTATTTCCGACAAAAAACATCAGTGCATTTAAATGTTTTCTTAGTAGATGGATGGGCGGGCGAGTTGAAATGCAAGAGGCGCGCTCCAACTACTCGACCAGCACACCGAGACAAGGGACCATTTGGATTTTTGCTGTTGACCAGAAGTCATCACAAAAAAGTTTGCTTTCACAAAACTTCCGTCTTTCCTGCTGACCTGCTTTGAGATGACGTCCCACCCGACTTCGAACAAGATGGTGTTGGAGGCGGTGGAGTCTTTGAACGATGGGCGACAAGGATCGTCCCTCCAAGCAATCAAGAAGTTTATTTCCGAAGTCTACGAGGTGGACATGGGGAAGATGGCGCCCCACATCCGGAAGGCCGTGAAGAAGCATGTGGAGGATGGGAACTTGATCCAGACAAAGGGTAAAGGTGCCTCTGGATCATTCAGGCTTTCTTCCAAGGCTCCATCGTCTTCTGCTGCTGCTGCTGCTGCCGGTGGACCTGGAAAGAAAATAAAGGTTAAGGCGCCTTCCAAGAAGAAATAGCTTGTCGGGTTGCTGCCCACATGTCCTCTTTCAATTTCTATCTTTATGGTAGGTCATTTTTTTATGAAATTCAACCTGTTGTAATCTTTGGTATTCTCGATCAAACAACTTGTTGATTCGTCTTTGTTTTGTAACTTTTAGATCTTCTAATATCTTCCCTTTTGGACATGAAATAAATTTCATCGGAGTATAACTCGATTCTAGAGGAATATCGTATATTTATATATGTATGTATCAATGTGCATATTCAGTTAATCAGTAAAGTATATATAAATAAAAATTTGAGCTAATTTTCAGTTAATTTTTTTTGTCTAGCCACCTATGCGCGTCGTACCTAATTTTTATACTTCAATGTAGTCAATAATCTTTTTTATTTCAATTTAATTCCTTCTACTTGTTTAGCGTACTGCAGTTAGAGGAAATGTAATATGTGTTTCAATTTCAATTTAGTCTTTCTTCTAAAGGGAAATAGTCGAATTAGCATTTGAGCACAACAGATATAGTTTTGAAAGATTACATTATGTATATTTGAATATAAAATGACTTTATTTTCCATTAAATTCACAAAACATTACATTTTAGCTCATTTCTGAAAGCGATATGTATGGAAAATCAGTCATGTACTTTAAGCTAAAAACAATAAATATTTAGTACTTTTAATAGGAAGTGAGAGATAAGTAAATACTTATGTACATTTATAATACTTCCACATTATGCAGTGGATACATGGCGCATAAATAATAAGGGTCCCATGAACTTTATACCATAACTATTAACTAATCCAATTTTCATGTTGTTGGTTGTGGTTGACTAGTCCTATGATTTTCTAATTGGTCGATGATAGCCGTGATGGGTACATTATTAACAACAGCTTTCCCTGCTTCGACTTCTTCTGGTCGTACGGAGGATGTCGATGAAGCGTTAGAAAGTTCTACATCATCCAGAAACAATTGTTTTGAATTAATTAACGGTCACACATAATGTAGTAGTACAAAACTTACTCCTTATAATTGAATAGTTTTCACCCAGAGAATCTAACGTTTGCCTGTTGAAGGCAAACATGAGAAAAATAACGAATCCTTGCAAGCTGACGGAAAATTCCATGAGCGTGAATAGCCACTTGATCGTAGGTATTGTAGACTTTACGAGAACGTAGCTGAGAAAAATGGAAGCCCAGGCCATCCCCATTACGACAAGAAGTTTGAAAAACAGGGACAAACTTTGTGGAACAAAAATAAAATGTTATTCAATTAAATGATAAAACTTTTAAGTGTCATATTATGAACAAAGACGTGCAGGGTACATACGCTCTGGAATAGTTTCGCTGTTCATTGATTTTCACCAACTCTTCCTTCCCCCTGAGATGAACGAGACAGATTCGGGAAATGGTGACGAGGAACAAGGAAGCTGTGACGAGGTGACAAATTGCTTCCAAAATTTCGTCTGCAAGCCAAAATTTAGCTTTGCAGTTTGTGTAGCCATACGGAGGAGCGTGCATGGAACCATTGCTGAGACGTAAATGTAGCAATTAAAAGATTAAGTAAAGTCAATAGTTGCAAAATGGGTTATATATGGTTGCATGCCACGTACCTAAAGTATAAAGAAAGTCCAACCAAAGTCATTGTCAGGGCCACCATCCAAGCTAAGGCTTGTCTTTTGAGAAACTCTGTTTTTGACATTTTCTGCTCGCCGTTGTTTAAAAGTTGGCTAAAATGTGTAACAGTTCCAATTGATTTGTAACGTAACGATCGACTCATAAAGAAATAGTAGTTCTTACTGGAACATGGAGAATACGTCAACAGCCAAGGCCACCATAGTTGTAAGTGTAGCGTTGTGTAGAAACGTGCTAACCACAGCTATAACAATATCATTAAGTCATACATATGTAATTACAAAGTACATGTGTACAGGTTAGTTTCATCCACATATTCTCCTTACATGCCGTGAAACACAGTGGACCTCGAGGTTGACCAGCACCCTCGTTTGCTACTTTGAGATTGGCATCTTCATAAGTTTGGTAGTAAATGATGCTGGCGAGTAACAAATTAGACCAGAGAGCAAAAAAGTAGGAAAACTGGGTCCAACTATGAACATTTTGATGACCTCGTAACAAGACATAGATAATCAGCGTAAGTGCCAAAAATCCTAGAGAGATTTGAATCAAGACAAAGTTGATGGTGTCGACAAGCGTCAGACTCTGTATTAATAACGTTTGACATAATTATGAGTCATGAGACACAACTTGGGTAGAAAATTGTTACAGGGGAAATTATTGGCAAGCTTACGTCATTAATTTTGGGAATGAAATCTTCCAGACATCCAACAAGGACGATTCTTCCTGATGCTTCATCATCGTCCCCATCTGAAAGTTCTCGATCCACGCAGAACCGACCTTTGGGAATTTGATACCAATCCAAAACATCAGAGCTGGTCCATGCAACTTCTCCATTCTTCAAGATCTTGTAGCTAAATAAGAAGAGCCACATACATAGCTTACGCATACACATGCACATATATGGCATATTACGTATTTAGAATTGTTTATTTATGCAATTTCATACTCGAAATGTTGGTACTGGATTAATCGGACTGTTGTACACTCTGCAGTTTTGGAAGGGTCGCTTACAAAAAAATGTACATTGGACGGTACTAACTCAACTTTGCTGTAGTAATTGTTGATATCATGAATTTCCGGTTTCCAGACTTTCTCTTCCAAACTGGGCACGCAGTAGACTGTGTTGTTTGTAAATGAGACTACGGAACAAGGAGTCACATTAACATGGGTCCATGAATATGGGTTGCATGCATACATTTCATTAATATTATAATTCAGTTGAGTTAACGACTTACCATCATCCCATAAATTACAGCATTTAGGGAGACAGAGTTTATCAGATTCGCATTGAGGTTTGCAAATCTTGAATAAATTTTAATTTAAGTATGGCTTCATTTTACTTTCTACGTGTATTTAAGAAAAGTATAAACCTTGACTTCTATTTTTTCCTCGTTCAAACTGTGCAGGCAGTAGTCGTTTGGGGAGTAGAAGCCGTCCTCATATTTCAGAAAATAGTTGGGAAAGAAGCCATCGCCTTCCCAGACGCTCCCAGCATTGAAACTTCCATTGACAATGTCTTCGCACTCGAGAGATCCATATTTGAACTGAATGTTCTCGCTTTGTGAATACATCCCGTCGCACCAAGTCTCGTTCTTGGAGTTCATCGAGTTCATCGAGTTTAGAGGTTTTGCACAACATGTCGTCACTTGAGATTAAAAGATTGTATTAACTAGGTTAATAATGAGATTAAAATAGTTGAAAACTTACCTGTAACGATCTCTTCTTGGTATTGAGCTATTCTCATAAACATTAGAAATTTACTTACATTTAATCAGTTTGTTTCCAATTAAGTAATGCACATAAATATCATGATTGCAATTATTTTACCCATTAGTGATCCTGTGAAGCACAGCACCACCACAGATTTAAGTAAATACTTCATTATACCAATAAATAGAGTTGTTTCCAATTATGCTAATTCAACAAATCTAGGAATAATCCTATTTCCTAGTTTCTATTCTACTACAAAAGCTTGGTTTAAATTACAGATTTATTTAGACGCTTATAACAATCGTCGCTTTAATGATCATTCCCTCGGGAATATGGTACTACGCAATGCACGCTAGTAAAAGGTAGAGACTGAACTGCGGAGATAATGACAATGCAAACAGAAGTATTAAATGAGATGACCGAAGTTGGATAGAAGGTATCTAGTTGGGCTGTGGAAGAACAAACAGATAGATGCGACTGGTGTGTGAAGAAGTTCATTTCATGTCCAGTGAGTGTGTTTCATTTTTTGCTTGATTTTTATTACAGTGTGTAGTGTGAAATTTACATCCGCAAACATGCAAATACAACTGTACGTACGTAATAAATACTCGCGAAATAAATCCAGAGCCGTTGTTGAACTCGTAATTCTTGTACCAAACTTCCTCCCCACTTCCGGCTAATTTCGGAAGTATATACATGATGCAACTGGTCAATCAATGAATTTTGGCAAAACCCCTCGTCATCCATCATTTTAAGGCAATCCCCTCTCGTAGTGCTAAAGTTAATAATCTATGCTGGAGATATGTAGAGGTGTGATCACTTGTGTATTTCTTGTGTTTGACTTCTGTGATGATGATGATGCGATATGCTGTAATGCTGATAGGATGTGTATATCTATGCAGGCAAGTATATACATAAGCGACTAGCAGTCCTACCAATTTGGATTGACCTCTGAAGAGAGATTCCTTAATCATGAACTTGAGAGTTGACCAAGGCCGTTTCCTTATTTATTCCAACACACACCAACTGGTCTGTTGGTTATGAATTGAAGTTATGTATGAATACTGGTCGTCATAACCATCATTACCTGAATGTACCTGACCATTTTTTGCAATTTGTTGTGCCACGAAGAAATTGAGTGATGAGATTCCAATAAAAAGTTGTATTTTATGTGTTAGGTCATTCTTTCTTATATCATTTTTTTATTATTCATTCGTGTCCTGCAGGATTATTGTAGCCTCCACAAACTTCTCAGTAAAGATGATAAACAAAATAATTTCGTAATTTTAACATTTTAATAAGGAAAGGATTATTCAGTCATTTCTCCAATTCATTCATAACAATAATGGCAACGGAATTATATTTATACACTTATTTACATATATGTATAGCTATTGGGCACCATATTTGCGTGAATTTAAATATCGAATGGGAATAATGGATGCTAGTCTACATCTTTGACATTGAGTAAACTATCATCGTGACGACTTTGTCGGTCGGATGTCGAACTGAGATCATTTTGCCTCATTGCACTGTTTTCGAGTAATGGAGCCCTTGACGAGTCCGATTCTGACGGAACACTTGTAAACAAGTCGGTTCGATTGAGGTCATTGGTTGGATTCACGACAATCACGACTGGAACGTTGGGTTGTGGTGGTGACACTACAGGCGTTGAACTATTGTTATTATTGACAGAAGCGTTTTGATGATGATAATGATGAAGATGCGAAATATTGCGATGGGCGTGCGAGTGAGAATTTTTCTTAAATGCAATGTTTCCGATCCTCCCAATGTTGTGAAATACAGAGCGACTCGAGCATGGTTGCTGTGAGGAATGCGTTGCGCCCTCGACTGTGGTCAAGCTGGTCAGATTGTTCACGCTGCTGTAAGGTGGGGGTGGTTCAAAGTTGTAACTGAAAGGAGTTGTGGACATCGTGGATCGACCACCATGGCGCCGATGTGAAGTCCGATGATGTTCGGTGAAAAAATTAGAATTTGTGGAATATAGAGGAATTCCACCACTTTGACCACCATAAATTCGACCAGGAAAGCACTCTAGTTGTCTAGCGTAGAGGTAAAGAGTGACCAGATATGCAACGGTGGCTGCAATTTCTAACGATAGGATTTTGAAATTATCTACAACATTTGAAGATGGTCCGCCTCGTGTTGGTAGCATCAAATTTGGAGCAGTCATGTGACCAAATTTTACTTTGATTATCATCCCAAAAAGTTGAAGCATAAGAAATATCGCAGATGTCCACTTCAGCAGTGTTTTGTTTTCCTATAAATTTAGAAATTGAAAGTAAAAATTAAGGACAAAATCGGCATTATTATGTGCAATTTAAAATTATTCGCACTTACTTTATCAATTGCTTTAAATATTAGAATTCCTAACGGCAGAAAGAGCCCAAAATATATAATGCTTTCCTTGTCGACTTTCAAACCATCCAACTGAAATATGTCAAATGTTAAGACTACAAAGGTGCTTCACGTTGTGTACGTCTATACATTACAAAAATTTAAACGTGTAGATATTACATAAATTGCTTACGTTAAAATTCTTGTAATATATTTGATGCACCAGTTGATCCAGGAACATGACAAAGAAAATCATTCCAATGCACTAAGTAAAGGAGAGAGTGAGACAATTTTTCAATTAAATAGGAAAAAATGGTACACATTTAGGTATGCACTCACGATATGTACACTGGTTCCAAAGTAGGCAGCTCCCCGCATAGAAACTCCACAAATGGTCTTCATGATGATTGTAAACGTTAAATTATTGTGTTGAAATCTGGACTTATGAAACAGAGATCATTTTTAAATGCAAGGTTTCACTGAATTCTTCTCTTTATCAGGATTCGCCACTAAATGGCATAACAATATGTATCTCGAACGGATACATGCACGTCTGTGGATTTACTGCCCGTGAAAGTTAGCCAAGAAGAAAGAATCCACGGGAGTTGGGTTTATTGATTTTTGTGTCGGGAAAAGCAACCTTGGCCCCGTACATTACATATAACTTTGGGATGGGGAAAGTTGCATGCGTCAATTGCATATGTATTGCTCAAACTCCACAAACACCTAAATAAATAGGATCGGGTTAGATGCGTCTCGTAGCACCCAGACATATTTAGGTTGTCGACTGATACATACGTGTGTATGTGCACATGTCCATAGCATGGGAAATAGAGATCCGTGTATCTGTTTTAATTGACAGGACATCACTCCAGCTTCTCATGGAGTCTCATGTTCACTGAGGAACATTTTAGTCTTCTGACGGGATTTGTATAGACGACCTTTTAGAGTAAATGTCATGTCTAAATTAAAACTCTTCCAAATGTGCCCATCACTTGTTAAGGATTTGAATGACATGACATGGTCCAAATCTAAGCATCTTTTCTGCTTACGTAGTGTATGAGACTGCTGCTTCTCAATAGCGAGCAACGATACACGTGTATGCAAAATATCATAAATCCATTTTCGAGTCTGCAATTGGGTAGGATTCTACATGCTTATTTATTTGTAGCAAATAATCTTTACAGAAATGTGAGATTTATCGTTAGCTCATTGAATGGTATTAGGCAGTGGTCCCATACAAGTAGGTCCGCAATACACAAATTCAACCATTAATGCTAATGCCGTGTTCATAATTCCTATGAAATCCCTTAAATAAGTACGACCGGAAGCTTGTAAATTTAATGCTTTCAAACATTTGGAGTAAGCAGCTTAATTTTTCTTTTCAGGAATTGCCAATAACGATGCTTGAATTCCAGCCCAGGTTTCCTCGGCGGTGGGAATGATTTGATAAGCAGGAAGCAAAAATCCAAATAAACCGTAGTCCCTGAGCTCAAGGGTGTAGGAATATGGTACACCCACTACGCCCTAGTTTATAAAAAATTAATTATAATGATCCACTATATATTAAATGTATGTACGTATGTGGCTAATCTCGTTGAGACAATTGTAATACCTTCCACCAATCCATGCTCGATCCTGATGCAATGTCTGTCAGGGAATTGGAAATTAATATTTCAATTCTGATTTTATATTGAAGACTGTAATCAATATTAGTATGCATTTTCTTACATAAAGTATTGGCTGTTGAACCAAAAGAATATCTTGTACCGTGGACTGCACGTAAAGCTTTGATACCGATTCTGCCAACCCTCTCCTAAAGGAACATGCTATTTATAAATATTCCCACTCAGCAATTTAATGCCAGTAAATTATAATTAACAGACCATTTCAGAGTAGTCTTCAGGGAGAACAGAGGTGTGACCCCATGGACTCAACCATTTCTGCATCAAGAAATTGGAATTGAATAAATAATGAGAAATTGACACATTTGCTCCAGTCAAGTTAATTCAATTAATAAAGATTTACCTGTCCAAAAGAGTGCAACGTGAAGTACGCTGTCCAATCAATATCTGCATTTTCATCGCTAGCAATAAAATCTCGGATAGCTGCAGTCTAAACCATAAGATTAGTTATCTGTCAGATTCAAGTTATTACAGATGTGCACAAATATGACGCATTATGATTTCGATTTGAGTACAAATAATCATATTGTTTATTACTTCTGGCTCAGAGAATTCTTGAGGTCCGGCGTAAATGAGAGAACACGGCTGCCTGCCACTTCCTCGACCTATACATATATTTGGACATTAAATTATTATTCACTCGTCTAATCTGAATTTATATAATTGAATTTTTTGCATTTATCTTTACTCACCGCCCCAAGAATAGCCAAAGTTTCTATTCAGGTCGACCCCTCGACATCCTATTAAGCTGTTGTAAATAAACGCCAGAAAATTTTACCATGAAAGTCATGCAAAAATTACATTTTAAAAACTTCAAAAACAATACCCAAAGAATAAATCATTGGCCTTCCTGGACTTTCGCCAAAGACGATTATAGTTACACGAGTGGGCATAGCCGTCAGGGTTAAGAAGAGGAATAATATAAAAGTCAAATCGCCTCAACAGGTCTTCGTATTTTGTGGAATTATGAACTAATTCATTGACAATATAAGTCGAGACTGCAGAGCTTATCCATTCCCGTGCATGGATTCCTACAAATATGCATTGTGAATATTTTACAAAACGAGACACAATTGTAGGCAAATTACAAATCAAGAAAAATACCTCCATCAATAAAAACGGCTTGTTTTCCGGGACCACCACTGGAAATTTTTATGAGTTTTATTGGTCTTCGTTCAACTGTGAGACCAATGGTGGAGGTGTTTACATATAACCCATTCCTGGTAGACACGAGATTAGTAAGGAAGGAAAACAACTGCAAAATATTAATGAGAAATTGTTAATAAGTCAAGTAGTGTCATTTATTGGAAAAATCAATCCGAAAATTGCACACCGTTTCAGGGTAATGATATTCTGTCCAGCTCATTGATTTTTCCCTGAACATGCCTGCATATTGTTTCGCAACCAGGCTAGAAATAAATAAAAAAAACATACAAATTGATTGTTATGATGAGATGACCAACGTTTCATGTATTATTGAATACCGTTCAATGTCATCAATCACCACAGAATAATTCATGGAAAAACTATTAAGTAGGTTTTGGAAATCGGACTCCTGATTTTTAGGCACCATGACCTGTAGGAACCATTGGAACGCCCATAATTACGTCACTACCCGCTTATGCTTAGTAATTTTGACAATTTTGCATTTATGTATTTACCTCCGCCGTCCCATTTTCGTCAATTTTTGGAGGACTCCAAAAATCGAACCCTTCATCTTCCGAGTCTTGCTCCTCCCAGAGATCTCTCAAGACTTTTAATCCCTCATTTGAGCGTGTGCTGACTTGATAAAGCTTAAACCTGAACCAAAAATGTTGAATTTTAATGGATTATTTACACTTAAGAAACTATAAATTGTTCAACTATAACTTACCCACTAAATTCATGTCTCTTTTCGGGGGACATAAACTTGGGATTTCCGTCAACAAAGGATAAGAAAAATAAGAAACTTATTAAAATCCCTACTTCTAAGCAATTAAATGATTTCATGATGCAAGAGTCAGAGAAGAACTTCCAGCCCTGGCGATAAGTTTCTGATTGACAATTATTCCAACGTGACAATCATATTTATAACATAAAGGGCTTCGCCTTTGGAAGGAATGCTGGACATATAACGGTTCGATATTTGGCCTAATTCTTGTGGCAGTGATGAAGGAATAAACCCGTGGATTTTGAACCCTTCATAAATTTCCATCCCTGTAACTCAGCTATTCCAGATTTAAACGGGATCTTTTTGAGCCGTTATTACTGTAACATTGAATAAGGGTTTTCATTCTCAAGATGCTCATCGTCACTACGTATGAATGATGCATGCATTGCGAAAAATTAATATACACTGTTTACTCAACACTGTCTAATTGAAGAAGGGACATGATTTATAAGTGTCGCATGAGGTAAGCCATCCTATGTAAAGTACGCTTCTGAATATGAACGTTTCTCACATTATGAAGTATTCTTCGTTTATAATTTTCTACATATGGTCTTAGTTGAAAAGTCTACGTTACTTTATTTATAAATTCATGCGAGGCATTTTAGTTTCTTAGCTAAGTACCGCTTAATTTACGATGGAAATGGTTCCCATGCAGGACCTTATCATGTAACTCGTAATCCTAATCATAATGTGTATGACCTTCTCTACGTACATATTCGCTACGTCTGCACATTATTCGATTATCCAAGTAATTGGTAGTTTTATTTTATTAAACGCCTGTCGCATTTAGATAGGTGTACGTAAAATCCAATTTAATCATTCATATGCCTGAGACTTTTTCACATGTTTGTCCATCCCACTTTATCTACATGCATGTACATTACTTGATGTATGGCAATATTGCAAGCAAGCAACTCCTCCAAGTCTCACGGATAACCTTTCAGATAAAGTGTGGGGCTCCTTCGCTTAGTCTTAGTTTAGGTTTGCAAATTACTCCTTCATAGCATTTTGGTGATACTTTGGCTTCACTTTTCATGAAATATGGTTCACAAATTTAAATAATTCCTGTTTAACAAATACACTGCAACAAAATGTTCTCAATCCGAGGGTTTATCATTTTAACGGTGATTAGTGCGTCACTTATTGACACTGGAAATTCAAGTAAAAATGCAACACTCGAGGATATCCCAATAAAAGCTATCTTGAAAGATATAAAAGAGTTGACTAGTGCCAAAGGAGATCCAAATAGAGACTCGTCTAAACTTGAGCTTAAGAGAAGTGTCGTAGGTGTTAAGAAGCATAAAAATTATGAAATTGTTTTGTACGAGTATTCAGATGAAGAAGATGTGCGGTTGAACGCGGATAAAAAAGATGCTGATTTTGAAACAAACTCTCCATCTCTGACCCAACGAACAAATGAGTCGAATTCATCGGAATCAAACAAGAAGGGTCCGACGCCAACAGGTAGCGTCAAATTTGTACTTTGCAAGCATTTTGGTTTTTCTTATTCTTATCGATTGCTACATTTTTATATATCTAAAGGGGACGATGTATTCGCACCAACAAACCGCACCAGTGTCCCTCCAATAGTTATAAAGAGGGGAAAACTATCAGTTTTTGAACAAAATTCAAATCGTCAAAACAGCTCGAAGCAATACGTGGTAGCCAACGGTCAGCTCTCTCACGAGGCAACGCAACTTGTGAGGTCCACGGACAGCGAGGATGTTGAAGCAGAAAATGTAAATGATGAGCACGACGACATTCCTTTCGTGTGGGGGCAACGTGAAGGACTTCGGAGTGGAAAAAGACGACACAAAATTTTGCTGAGAGGACGCACACCTGCATCTTCCACGGCTCAATATGAAGACGACTCTGATGAATATCAATCAAGCGCATCTCCAGAAAGGGAGGAGGAAGATGGAAACCAAAGCGTTTACGTCAACTCCAAGAAAACTCAGCGTCCTCAAACTAGCGTCCCAAAAACCTCAATAACTTCCACTAAAAGGCCAAATCCTAGGAAATTTGTGGTGGAAGATGCACCAGGAGCTGGGAGGTGGATCCCTAGACGAAAACCTACTGGTTTCTACGGATCTCATCTCATCGGACTAAACAAATCTAAAACTGTAGTGGATGACCAAGAAAACGAGGAAGATCGTGAAGATCGAGACGAATACGAGGATGATGAGAATGACGGGGTAAATTTCTGTAAGGATCCGACTGGGAAAACAGGAATCTGCGAAGAATACTTCAAGTGTTCTGTCCTTTACACTGAAAGTGCTGGGCGAATTAATTTGCAAGACTACAAGTGTGCTTTGGGAAATGAGATTGGCATTTGCTGCCCTTTGTTTGAAGAGAGAGATGGACGAGGTCAGCAAGGTTAGTGCATAGCAAAGTAACTACCTAAACGTATAATTACATATGTCCCATACCAATAGCGTGAGAGAATTGAGATCTTGTTGATACTGTAACGTTCTGTGATAATGTCTCGTACAGAATTAATTATCCATATCAATAGCAGATCACCTATTCTCTACGCTTGTAGTTAAAATTCATTTTTTGCATGCATTATAATTAGGTCTAGGGCGATCTATGATGCGGTCTCTCATGAAAGCTAATGATACAAGGAAGCCACTTAGTCGACAAATTAAAAAGCTAATTAGATCAAATGTCAACAATTCGATTGCATTTGGATCTGATTCGGTGGCGCAACTGGATGAAATAGAGCAGGATTTGTTCATCAGAGGAGGCGAAGTTTCAAAAGGGTTGCCAGCTTTTGGTCATAACCGCTTTTTTCCGGTAACAACAACAAAAACAACACTTTGTTGCTTGATGCTTTTGATTTATGACCGACATTATGAACGCATGCTAATTTTTTTCATCAATCGTTTTCACATTTGCAGTCGTCTAAGAAAATTCGCCAAGTGTCAGAGTTCGGATTTGAAGTAAGTACAAATTGTAAAGACAACAAATATCTACATATAAATTCATGTACGTAAAGGATTTTTGTCACAGTTGCTTCAAACAACAAATGATTTGAGTGAAAGGTGAAAATTAACCAAGTCTCAATTTTCGATAATGTTTGAATGAATTGCTTTCAATTATCAAGTCAAATATTAAAGGTTGCACCTGACGGATGAAGTTGGTGGTTTGGGATTACGGAGCTTCAAAGTATTTCATTTATATTTAATTTATCAACTAATTTTAAATTAATTTTAAATTTGTGCTTAAAATTCCAAGTCTTCAAACACTCGAGCAATTAACGACAGATGTCCACGCTCGACACCGTGCGGAATAAATAAATACAGATTAGTCGACGGATCTTGCAATAACTTGAGACGTCAAAAGATGGGTCAATCTTTAACTCCACTTTCGAGAGTACTGGAACCAGCGTATGCTGACGGTAGATGGGTAGGTGGAAATAATTTGTTGTATTTATGTTCAATTTAACATCGAGTCTGAATTTTGATCGGATAGAATCATTGAAACATTCCGTACAGCTTTATATGTAGCCAAGATTTTTTATTAAACATTTTGTAATCAAATTTTTTATCAAATTCTGTCATTATAAATGTTTGAACATTTGGTAGTAAATCTAATTAGAGTCTATTCTTCCTATTATTTGACACATAATTTTCGAAATATTTTCTCTGACAGGAACCTAGGATTTCGGGTAAGTCAGTCAGCCTGCTCAAAATAATTCTCAGAGTGCTGATAATACAAACTTACTACAACCTTATACCTTTTTAGTTCGTGGATTTTTGCTTCCAAGTGCTCGACTTCTGTCTCAACGTTTCATTCAGGACAGAGACAACCAAAATAATAAATACACACTGTTCGTCATGCAATTTGGTAACTCGTTGATATAATTAATACATTGATTTATTACCTTTGTATGACTTGACCTTGACCTTGACACAGGACAATTTGTTGACCATGACATATCGAGTGTTCCTATTTTCACCTTTACAAACGGCACTGGAATTTCGTGTTGTCGGAATGGAAATTTTCTACCCCCTCAAGATCGGCACCCGGTATTTTCTCTTCCTTCAGCAATATTTGCTTTAATCCTTAAGGTTGCCTTATTCACTCAAGATTATCTTTGGCGTAGAACTGTCTTCCCATTGAGATTCCGGCAGATGACCCTTTTTACAGTCAATTTGGTCAACGTTGTATGAACTTTGTTCGATCTCGGATGGCTCCACGAATCGATTGCAGCTTAGGTTGGGTTTCAGTTGCAAATTTGTAGATCTTGAAATGAATTTAACAAATTTTTCTAGGCTATGCGGACCAAATGAATGCTGTTACACATTGGTTGGACTGAGCGAATAATTAAATATCTTACAATTAACTCAGCTATCAATTAATGCAAATAATTCACAATATGTGTACTTGTTTTCATTTCGTTAGGTTGGATCTATCGAATGTTTACGGTAGTAGCGAAACAGAGTTGAGAGAGTTGCGTCTTTTCGAAGGAGGACTTCTTCAATTTTCCGAGCTTGCTGACCGAAGACCATTGCTGCCTCTTAAAAGAAAAAATAATGGAGAAATTGACTACAAGGTTAGAAATAAATACGGGACCAGAATGATCCGTATTATTTATTTCCAAACCCCATAAGCATAATTATACGATCTTATTCTATGACCACAAGGCAGGCGACGACCGGGTAAATGAGATGCAAGGGCTCATGATAATGCACCTGATTTGGTTAAGGGTACAGAAATTTATTTCCCAGCATTTGAAACGTTTGCCAGCAGGTTGTTCAGGTGTTGGTGTTTATTTCGCATTTATTTTCAATAGGAGCATAACCGAGTGGCTGTAGAGCTGCAAAATATTAATCCCTTCTGGAGTGATGAACAATTGTTTCAAGAAGCAAGAAGAATAGTAATTGCAGAGTATGAACACATCATTTACAACGAATGGTTGCCCATAATTATTGGTAAATATTTCCATTATAAAATTACTATTGGGTTTAAAACCAAATCATTGATTGATGTTACAAACCTGATAATCGTCCTATTTTATGTCCTAGGACGTGAATATATGGAAAGTTATAGCATCCTACCTTTGAGTCGGAAGAAGGCATTTAACGGTTACGATCCAGAGATTGATGGTGCAAAAAGACATACATAACTCGAGTTGCTTATCAATGGCAAATAATTCTACAATTTTAATCAATTTATTTTAATCCCACGATTTGTCTCTTTTCAGCTTCGATTGAAAATGCATTTTCAGCAGCAGGATTTAGAATGGGTAGAGTTAATAATATTCACAAAGAAACTTTGTGTCGAGTAGAATCGTAAAAATAATTTAATTCATTCTCCACAGGTCATTCTCTCGTGCAGGGTCTGGTTCGTCTAATAAATGAGTTTGGGCAAGCCAATGAAGCTGTTACGATAAGGTGTGTAACATAAATATAATGTACAACGATTTAATAATTGGAATTAGAATACTGTCCCACGTAATTTCAAGCTAATTATAAATACGAGATCCAAATTAATTTGTAATAATTAATGCAGCAATCATGCCGAAAATGCTGTCAGGACTCGTGCTCCCAACCAAATTGATAAATGGATTCGAGGATTAGCCCAACAGCCAATTCAAAGCTTTGACCCTTTCGTCACTCGACATGTCGGTCTTTTTCGCTTATAAATCAACGAATTATTTTTTACAACGCTAATCTCAAGTACTTGCGTTATACGTAATAATAATAATTGTTACTGCGATTCAGCTCAACGGGAGACTCTTCCAAGCTCGCGGAGGTATGTTCGGTATGGATCTGTCAGCTTTGAATATTCAAAGGTATGTCTATAATAAAAGGATTTTCGTCAAATGACGACATTTGTCAAATACTATATATATACTCTTAAAAATAGGGCCAGAGATCACGGGATACCCGGTAAGGAGAATTATTCCGCATTTATAATATAAATTCCTAATAAATGACAGTTTTGCTGGTGCATATGTAATGTTGCGAATTAACAATGAGAACCGGTAAATATATGTCGTCTCTATCTATTTCCGCAATAGGTTACAATGCATTCCGAGAGTTATGTCAAACTGGGAAGCGAGCAAAATCTTTTGAAGAATTCAAAGATTGGATCTCTCCCGAAATTGTGGATGAAATGAGGCGAATTTACGATCATCCGGATGACGTCGACTTGTGGATTGGAGGCATTTCTGAGTCACCTCTGAAAGGGGCTCTCATCGGCCCCACCTTCACTTGCATTGTTGGAGATCAATTCGCAAGGACGAAAAAAGGCGACCGATATTTTTATGACATTGGGGACCAGACCCATTCATTCTCACCTGGTATGCGCACAATAGCTCCAACTGAATATTTATAAGTAATTACATGATGGTTGTACCTGAACATTCGAATGTCTGAGTGCAGATCAGCTTCAAGAGTTGAGGAAATCGAGTATGGCGAGAGTGTTATGTGACAATGGAGATGAGCTCGAAGCTATTCAGCCTTCGGTGTTCCTTCAATCTGATTTTGATTTGTGAGTGGAATATTTAATATTTATTTATTTTGTGACAATCTGGCTCGATGTTATTTTATTATGGATGAAATCACAATTCATGTATAATTTTCTAGCAATTCGCTCGTCGACTGCAGGAGGAGTAGGATACCAAGAGTGAATTTGCAGCTTTGGGCAAACGAACCTACACCTTAATTTTAATTATGAATGCATATTGTGGGGGGCGTGGGTGTGAGCAACTACTATTTGAACAGGGATAATAAACAGCGGCGGAAAAGGCTACCTGTATATTTAATAGTCGGCTAATTTAAATACACATTTTTTTACATATGTCACAAATTTCAGTTGCTTTATTGCAATTAAAATATTTTTTGCAACTTTTTGAAGTAATAAATAAATGCGTTGAAATGAAAATATAACGGATGATTAAAGTTCAGATTTTGTACTACGCAATATCTTTTTATTATTCTGCGACACCTATTATTTGCAAACTAAAAGTACGATTACAATATGACCAGATGAATACAATAAAGTGTTCACTCTATGGTGTAGAAAACGTGACATCGGAGAAATCACACTTACATCAACGTGTATGTGTATATACAATATAATAAAATATAAGTAATTACGAATTAACGGATTATCCGGCAGTTTATGCACAACTGCACTTTGCATCAATCAACCCAAGTTCACTGTTAACATAATTTATGGATAAATACATCAACATCATATGAAGTCATTGTCGCATACACGACTATTGTGGATTGTGGGTCTCACTCGGATTAGTGCCATGATCAACCCAAATGACGATGACGATCAATTTAAGTACTACGAAAGTGATGCAAGTACGAGACTAGGAAAACAATCTGCAATAATATGTAATAAATAGTCATAACGAGGGACAAATGTTTCTAGGAATATTTATATATCCATAATCAAGTCCATAATTAGTCGGAACTCTTTCCGATTCCAATCTCACCAATAAATGAGCATTAAGCGTTTTATACCTCGCTTAGATAATTTTCATGAAAAGTGGTTCGATCTTATTTTCAGTAGTTTGGTGGCCTCCAGGCGAAGACAATCATATAAAGCAAAATGGGGTCGCATTTTTATAGGACTGCATTTTTTGTAAGTTTTATTTTATATTGCTACTACAATTACAATACAATTAATCAAATTTCATGTAATGAATATACATAGGCATTTGTGCTAGCCACAGTTTTTGTTGATGACACTTTGCCAAAAAGTATGAACTATGATCCATCTTCGATGTTGTTGAAATTTAAGCCAGGCATTGGCGTTTTAGCTCTTACGAATGACAGTTGCGTGGACGATCTCCCGTTTGCAGACCCTGATGATACGTACGGAATTTAAGTTAACACTCGAGCATAATTTTGCATAATATAAATAATATCAAATTATACACAGAACGTACTATTATCAGTGTTTTTGGGTTGATGATGGAGCTGGTAATTCCTTTTGGTACATAGACCATGATCAATGTCCATCTGGAGGTCATTTCGATCCGATAGCTCTTGCTTGTATAGAAACTCCAGGTACGCTTCAAGTTCTTTCCAATTCTGAAGGGTGTGTGTTGCACAACTGAAATTACTATAGGAAGATTTTTTAAATTTTAGTGACGACGGGGCCAACAACAGATTTACCAAGTACCACTGAAATTCCCTCTACTACGGAAGAAATAACAACTACACAGCTTCCCTCGACAACGGGCGTACCTACAACAACCGAGCCACCCACCACGACCGCAGTTCCTATCACCACCGAAATAACGACGACCGAAATTCCAACTACCACTGAAGTTGCAACTACTACCGAAATTCAAACTACCACTGAAGTTCCAACTACCACTGAAGTTCCAACTACAACCGAAATTCCAACTACTACCGAAGTTCCAACTACCACTGAGGTTCCAACGACGACCGAAGTTCCAACTACCACAGAAATTCCAACTACAACCGAAATTACTACCACGGAAATTACCACTGAACCTCCTACCACAACTGATTCCGCAACAACAACAGATGCTCTAACTACCACCGAGTCACCAACTACAACAGAGCTTATTACCACAGTTGAGGCAACTACAACCACACCCGCTCCTACTCCACAATGCCCTGCAGAAGGAACTTTTCCTGATCAACAAGACCCAACAAAATACTTCCGTTGCATTATCATTCTAGGAAAATTTTACTATTACATCTTCACGTGTCCAGCAGCAGCGTGTTTTGACCCAGCGAAAAACTTGTGTACATTCAGCACTTGCCCTGTTGTGACCACAACCGTCACCACAACAACTTTGGCCCCTACAACCACGCCTGCACCATTCACGTGCACAACAGAAGGCACGTTCCCACATGAAGACTGCACCAAATTTTACAGGTGCATCACCGTCGCTGGCGTACTGCGAACCTACGTCATCACTTGTCCATCAAACAGTTTCTTCAACCCCACAAGTTTACTGTGTGCTATTGGATCTTGTAGCCCCACAACAACTCTCGCCCCCTCAACTACCCCCTCAGCGCCCGGAGGAACAACCGCACTAGCAACTACGACGCCAGCCCCAACAACACCTTCTCCTTTGCCCATCTGCACCACGGAGGGTGTATTTCCAGATCCATCAGACTGTGAAAAATACTTCAAGTGTCTTCAGTTAAACGGAAATTGGTACATTTATTTGTACACGTGTCCGCCCGAAAGTTATTTTGACAATAGTGTTCCTGGCTGCATGTTAGGAAATTGTCCTGCCACAACCCTTCCTACTACACTTCCAACTACAGTACCAACTACAGTACCTACTACCGCAGCAACTACACTCTCAACTACGGTACCAACTAAGGTTGAAACTACCGTATTTGCCACCACGACCCAAGCCCCATTTAATTGCACGGACGCAGGGACTTTTGCGGACCCTTCAGGCTGCACAAAATACTTCACCTGCGTCTTGATTGCAGGAACACTGCGAACATATACTTACACCTGTCCCGCGGGGGCACATTTTGATGCGGTCAAGAAGTTGTGCGCGCAAGGGACATGTTGAAAGCCGGATGGGTTTTTACATATAAAAATGTAATGGGACTTAAATGACACGAGTACGATCTATTCCTAGTTGACTATCGCATATGCAGTTAAATAGGATAATTAGTTCGTCATTCTTAATATATCTTCCCTTCCTTACGCCTGCCCAATTACTGTGCTTTATGTTTCCCTTTTTAATTAAAGATTGTGTCAAACATTAATTTTATTATATTGGGTGCATACTATAATTTATTAGATACCTGACGTATCTGATTCACTGTGTGCATGTTTATAAATAAAGTGACTAATAATAAAGTACCAGAGGTGTTTATACAAATATTCCATTCATAAAATCATGGGTTTGTGTAAAACAAACAAAAATTAAGTTAAAACCTCTATTTAAACTTATGTAACTTGTGTTGTTGGCTCGACGTTGTTAAAAATATTTACCAAAGGTCAACCATCAGTTGTATAATCACTTTGACACAAGAATTTTCCCGTCAACTAGATTCATGCTGGCTGACATAAGGCTTGTAATGACTCTTCTGATCAGAGTGAGTGAGACAAGTTGCAGCTGGGTTTTGAGGAGTAAATCTCATTCCAGATAACTTGAGAACACATAATAAGATGCTATACTATAGTCTCAGTTGTTTCAATAGCTCACAATGGAAAATTTATTGTAATTTAATGTCCGTCGCACGTAAGCATCACCAAGATGTCGGGGGAAACACAACTTGGTTATTCATAGCAAAAGAAAAAGCTACAATTTTTGTATAACATTCACATTATTTTTAAAGCGTCAAATTCCTATATGGTATTAGCTTAATATAGATAGATAAATGGTCGAAGGAGAAAGGTGGACACAGGTAAATGACCGAAAAGCAGGACTTGGTAACAATGATGACGGTGTACAAGCATTTCCACCACCAGCGCACTTCTTCTTACTTTTGCAAACTGACACAGATTTTAAAAATAGCTGCGCCACCACCACAATTTGAAATTATTAATTGAATGTTTTATCCATCTCCCTTATTCCATCCCACCTTCCTTCGCCACAGTCCACATCTTATTAGAGATTCACAATCGTTTATGCAAACTGACTGTGCATGCCTACCAACCTAATGCGAATGAGGTGCTACAGTACGGTACTACTAATTCATAGATATAGACGACATGTTAGATGTCAAAGCCGTTACAAAGTCCGACTTTCGTTAATTTTTGCTATCCCTGAAGATTTCTCTTTTAAATAAATTGGATGGTTAGTTGTACCCTGAACCTCTGGCTTTGACAACGTTCAACATCTCCCATCATTAAAAATGGGAGAGTTTCACATCCTGTACTCACTGACGTCCTTTATTGTCAAAATATACAAATGGCTGGAGTTGAATTTACTCATAATTTTTACTTCTCGCCTGGAAAGAAAGCTCAGAGGCACGTACAAAAAGCTGGGGGTTAAATTTTCGGGGGCTGGAGTTACTGAACGGCTAAATAACTCGGAGGAAAACTTGAAGATCGCAAAGCAAAATAAGAACACGCTTATCTTGGAGGTAAATAAAATAAGCAGAATAAAATTTCAATTCTACAAACATCTTTTTTTAATATTAAATAGGTTCATGATAAGCGTTTCTACTCTCGCATAGCAAATCATGCTAGTCTGGGGATGGGTGAGACCTACATGGTAAGATGTTCATGTGAAATGTGCTTACAAATTAATAATTTAATTAAATATCAACACACATTGCATAACTTGCAGGATAATTGGTGGGATTGCGATGATGTTGTGGAATTATCATACCGTATTTTTAAGAGTGGAATTTACCTAGAATACTTAAACCCTGTAATTATTATTTTTTAACATTTGTTATTCTCTAGCAAATTATGCATTTTCTTCTTACACAGAAATTTTATTTTATTTTTAGTGGAATAGATTTCTAAACTATATCGAGCTTTCGTTTTTCAACCTTCAAAGCAAAGACAGAGCTTTTGAAGTGGGAAAAAAGCACTACGATATCGGTAACACAGCTAATGCATGCATTTGATTAAGATGTACCAACCCGTGGAAAATGTGACCATAATTTTTTAGGAAATGATCTTTTCGAATCCTTTCTCGACCCTTGGATGACCTACAGTTGCGGATACTGGGCCAACGCGACGACGCTGGCAGAAGCTCAGGTCAACAAAATGGAGCTGATCGCACAGAAGCTCAAGCTCAAACCAGGAATGCGAGTTTTGGATATCGGGTGTGGTTGGGGTGGTCTGTGCAAATATCTCGCAGAAAAACATGGCGTCGAATGTGTCGGAATCACAATCTCGGAGGAAGGTGTGAAATATGCAAAGGCAAAAACGAAGGGACTTCCTGTAGACTTTCGACTCATGGATTATCGAGATATGGACGAAATATTCGATCGTGTGGTGAGTGTGGGGATGATGGAACACGTAGGAAAACACAATTACCGGACTTTCTTTGAGGTTAGTGGCTTAAATATTGGTCCGCCCTAGACATTTGCATCATTTTTTCTCCATTTCAGGTTGTTCATCGCTGTTTGTCTGATGATGGAATCTTCCTTTTGCACACAATTGGCAATAATCACCCAGAAATGCCAGGAATCGAACCTTTCTTCCACACGTATTTAAATACATGTTTCTTAGCAAGCCTTAATGAAATAGATAAAAGCACTTTGTACCTAAGATCATGATACCATTCTTGCAGCTATATTTTTCCTAATGGGTATCTCCCATATTACCGAGACATCACCAAAGACACGGAGGGGCTCTACATAATGGAAGACTGGGAGAATTTCGGGCATGATTACAGCAAGACTTTAATTGCTTGGAAAGAAAATTTCGACAAAAATTGGCACAAAATTGCACACAAATATGGAGAGCGGTTCTTCCGAATGTGGACATGTAATGCATATACATATATCTATTTATTATTTTACGCTATTTCCGGTTGATTTATATCGACATAATTTTCTGTTTAGACTACCTACAATTTTCTGCCGGTGCATTCAAATCACGAAAATTTCAACTGTGGCAAATTGTACTGTCCAAAACTAGTGGGTATCCTGGCGGTTATCGTTCTGTTCGGTAGATCTACAACCTGTGTGCCATACCATTTTTGTGTATACACAGTTTTGTGTATGTATATTTAAACAAATTTCCCAAAAAAACTTTCCAAGAGTGTATTCCTACTTTTCCATGTGCATGTATCATTTGGCTGCAGCAAGTGTATTTCCAAATGACAAAACCATGTTTAAATTGATTGTCTCATACATAAATGAATGAATGCAAGGCTGGGTTTATTTGTCAGGCATTTCATTGTTGTTGCAGATCAGAATACATGACACACATATGTACCACACTTTGTAACAACCAATTTCCTCACTTTCAACCAACTTAAATGCTGTATCAAACAATTTGTTTAACTCAATTAGGATGAGATAAGATATTAACAAGGATATTGTGCCATTGTTTCAAGATCAAACTTATTCCAACATTATTTACAATTACTTTTAATAATGGCATGAATCATACGCATGTGCATGTATTGTGAAACTATGATGTTGATATACACGAATTTTATGCATATTCACCTTTTAAAATGCGTATTTGTGAATGAAATTTGCCCGTTAAATAAATAGAGAATAAATACATATAAACATACTTCTGTATAACTTGTCGTGTTATGGAACGTGGTGTGTTTTGTTTGACAATTCTTAAAGACATTGTTTTGAACACCTGTTCAGCATATAAAATAATCAGGATAATTGAAACTTGTAAAAATTTATAAAATATCAACAGATGAAAAATTGTACATATGCATACTTTTATGACGATACTACAAAAATATCAAGCCAAAATTAAGTTTGAGATGTTTGCATTAGTAATTATACTTACTTAGTAGTTAGTTTATTGTCATTTAATGTATGCGTTCGCACATTGGTTACATTCATGCCATTCACGTGAATGTACTCAAATAAGTCCATATATTTAAACCTGTTGTATTATTTACAGCAGTTGTAGCGGAAGACCTTTGAAATTTGAAGCTGTCAATAGATTTTGTGTTAACTTATGAAGACATATTTAGCCCTACAAGATGATAAACTCGAGGAATGCATGCTCTCATTCTGTAATAGGTAGATGTCAACATTAAATACGTAAGTTAACTCAACCATGGTTGGTGGAAATTGCTTTATTGTGCCTTATTCCAGGCACAAAAGTCTTGCCAAAATATGAAGACATGACAGATACTTAAAAAAAGCATGACGATATATTGAACTTGCTACATACAGTAGTTGATAGTCGTACGAAGTGTGTTTCGAAGTACTTTTTGCAGTAAATTACTTTCGCTGATAACAATAAGTGCTCAATTCAGTATGAGCAGGACCACGAAGTGAATTTCTGCCAGCCATTATGTACAAATAGATTAAAACAGTATCACTATGTGAAGTTTGTCTCACTGAAGTTACAGTGAGACGTCGAAGCGAAGTGGAAGCTATTAAACGAATTGACTTTCCTGAGCCTCTGTTTAAACTATGTAGTCCAGTTGTTGCTAAATGGTCTACCTAAAAAGGAAGCATGTGTTCCTTCACCAAAGTCCGTCAACCATAAAAAGCTCATTGCACAAGCTACTAATTACTGAAGCACGCTCATGACCCTTCAGAGTCAGATATGAAGAGTTTATGGTACAAATTTGTTGGTAAAATGCTATGCACCAATAATTTTATCGCAATCCTACGATAAATCTGCAAATGTAAATTAACCCAAATTCAATAATTTGCTCAAGTAGAATTATTAACCCAATATGTATCGTTTTAAGCGTTTTATACGCTTGTGTCTGTATAATTGTTCAATTGGCAGATTCTCATTACAAAAAGCAATGTGGATTTTTAGTCGCACAAAAAAGTTTGTTCTTTGTAGTTTGTTTGTTCATGTTTGTCGTTTACAACGTCTTTCATAAGCTTTAAGGATGGGACAATTTCATATCCTCCATTTTTTTACAGCACTAATTGTAAGGTCTTACAAATGGCTGGAATTGAATTTCCTCAAAATATTTACTTCGTGTATCGAGAGGAAAATTCGGGAGACTTATCAAGCTGTTGGTGTCAACTTTTGGGGGGCTGCTGTTACTGAGAACTTGGTAATCACGGACAAAAATGGAAACACGAACCTAGTCAAACCTAAAAGGAATTCATGGGACTTTGTTATCCATTCGCGGAAATTTTTCTCGCTTGTTGCGAATCATGCAAGCCTTGGAATGGCCGAAACATACATGGTAAGATCTAAATATAATTAAATGGTATAAGGCAAATCTACGTACATATTTCTTCGTAAATATGATAAGATGCTTTAGGAGGGTTATGTTACAATACACTTATTCGAGATTCATAACGGTAGTAATATTTCAGGATAATATGTGGGATTGTGACGATTTGGTTGAGTTGAGTTATCGTATTATGAAGAACGGACTCTACATGGAATATTTGAATGGATTCAACCGTTTCCTAAATTACGTGGAATTGTCATTCTTCAACCTTCAATCAAAGGCCAGAGCCTTTGAAGTAGGAAAAAAGCACTACGATATCGGTAGATACTACAACTAATGCAAATCGTTAGGATGTGATTTTACAATGTGAAAATGGTTTATTAGGAAATGATCTTTTTGAATCCTTCCTCGATGAGCGAATGACCTACAGCTGCGGATACTGGGCCAATGCGACGACGCTTGCAGAAGCTCAGGTCGACAAAATGGAGCTGATTGCACAGAAGCTCAAGCTCAAACCAGGAATGCGAGTGCTGGATATCGGGTGTGGTTGGGGTGGTCTGTGCAAATATCTGGCAGAAAAACATGGCGTGAAATGTGTTGGGATCTCAATCTCGGAAGAAGGTGTGAAATATGCTAATTTAGACATAAACGGACTCCCTGTGGAATTTAGACTCATGGATTATCGGGATATAAATGAGACTTTCGATCGTGTGGTGAGTGTGGGGATGATGGAACACGTAGGAAAACACAACTACCGAACTTTCTTCAAGGTAAAAATTCTTTAATTGGTATGTGGAAAGTTATGTAATACTTATTGTATAACATGTTCTGCTTACGTAGGTTGTTCACCGATGTTTGAGTGATGATGGCATCTTCCTTTTGCATACAATTGGCAATAATCATCCCGACATTCCTGGAGTTGAACCGTTTTTCCACACGTACGTACCTACTTATTTCATAATCCCACTGCATATGTATGAACGACATTGCATTTCTAGTTTATTGGCCATAAATTTTTGCTCTAGATACATTTTTCCGAATGCCTACCTTCCATATTACAAAGACATTGCCAAGTTTACTGAAGGCTTGTACGTTGTTGAAGATTGGCATAATTTCGGATTTGACTACAGTAAAACCTTACTCGCTTGGAAAGAGAATTTTGACAGAAATTGGCCCAAAATCTCAGACAAATACGGGGAACGATTCTACCGAATGTGGTCATGTAATTTACTATTTCCCAATTGTCATAATTTTAGACTTTAATGTTTTTGCGTTGGTTGATTCAATTAATGAAGTTAATGTTTTAGATTATCTTCAATTTTCTGCTGGAGGGTTTCGTAGCAGAAGAATACAACTGTGGCAGGTTGTTCTATCGAAGACTGGCTGTGAGGGTGGTTACATATCCGTCCGTTAACCAAGAACATCCTGCATCATTTTTAATTCGAATTTTAGAAATTTCTCAAAAATGCATAGTTTGATTTCAAATTATTACTGGTCAAGAAGTAGTTATTGGGCTTTAAAACCCCCAAAAATGTATTCAATTAAGCTGATGGTTCTGGACAAATTCAGAATGAACTTTGAGCACGAACAAACAACATGAATGGTTACATTTGTTATATTTATACGTTTGAGATTGCTTATATTTGTCTTGAAACGTTGTTACAGGACTGATTGTAACAGCGAGATTGTATTTTACAATAAGTCTTATGCCCCCAAACTTGAGAAATTTACAATGTAATTATTTACTTCTTCAAGAGCTTTGAACTTCAACGTACAAAAACTAACTTTTTTGCGACATTTATAAAATTCACAAAATAATTATGTATGAAAATTATGATGACAACGATATCTTGTATTATTGTAGGATTTATAAAATTTGTTACGAGGCATTTATTACTTTTTTACGAGATACTATACTGTAACGATTTGTTTAGTTTAGTGTATGTGTACATATGTACATGCTTTCTGTAACATGTTATGTGAAAAAAGTGAAATCCAAATATCAGTGTCAACATGCTGTCCAGTCTCAAAAGCAAACTCGACAATAGTTCATCCATATAACTATCTAACTACACACCTAAATGTTACGATCCTCCAAGTCAATCCTCTAAAATAAATATTACAAGTCAGCGTTATGACCATCGTTATGTGACGTGAGCTTCTTATACAAGTTCGTTTCATAATGTGAGAAAGTTTGATGATCTCAAGCTCCGTTGCATGAATGGCTTTTGCATAATTATGTATGTATTTATATAAGAAGTATGTACACTGCATCCATTTTTAATGTACCATTAAACGTGAACTTTGATGTCTCTCCACCCACTTGACCCAGAAAGAATAAAAATTTCAAGTGTTTAACTTGACAGGTACAGCTTTCATTGTTGATTGATTAATTGCATGCATATTTTGCAGCTTGACGTACATACGTAAACCTACAATCTATGGACTAAATGACGCAAAACATTTTATAATTGGACGCAAGTAAAGAAACAAACTACCTCCGGTTTCGCTAATTGTCCAGTAATTAAGCAAATCAAACGTGCCTAAAAATAGTATTGTAAACTATTCATTGATTCATGTTTGCAAGATTGTTTTTTTCACGCTTAGGCGTTGCTGTAAATTACATTTTGTTTGCTAATGTGCCAATATTTTAACAATTTTGCATATATGCACGTACTGGGCTGTGGGTTGGCCACTTTGCACCCAAGTCTGGAAATCAATATCCATCCGTCAACAACAGCTTTGTGGTTGATGGATTATCATCGTCATTGAGGTTGATTCAGTAATTTAGTTTGATGGCTTCCACCTTTGGATTCAAAATTGTGTTGTAATTTTAATCTTTGTCGGTCATTATTATTATTTAATACTATTCGATGTAGGGATGCTTGACGTCAGTGGAAGTTGGCATTGTCAACTGTTGATGAGCGAACATGATTTAGAATCAATTACGAAAGTCGATTGTTAACCGCAAATGAAGCGATTCGGGGAACGCACTCTAGCATCAATGTCGTCGAGCTATTTAGACGTTTAGACCTGAAACTAAATAATAATATTGCTCACATTAATATGGTAATTCACAATTAGCTTTTTGTAAAACTGGCGACTGACGTCAATCCCGAGTATTCTTCTTGTGAGATTCATGCAACAGGTGATATCATTTAGAATTTATAGAATTGAACGGGTAAACAGCTCATTCATACATGGCTCGTTGCCTATCTTTGCATTTGGTTAGTTTGTAAATAGCTTCGTCTTGCAGTAACTTTCCATGACTGATGGGCCTGGATGTCTAAAAATCAATGACAACAATCAACAACGACCGCAGCCCTTAACTGCCACATAGATAACTGCCACATACATATTCCTCCAGTAGTCTACCATGATTCATGGTTCATGATTATTACTGTGTACGTGGGACAAAATGGTGTGATGCGATGATGCCCGTATAAATTCCCCTAGTCCTTATATCACAATGAATCAGATCTCATCCTAATACCATTGACTAGTAATACTTGCAGATAAAATGGCGAGTAGAATAACATTATTTGCTGATAATTTGGTGTACCATGTGCAATTAATAGGTTTGTGCAAATGTGTTTGTGTGTAGTCTAAAGTACAAGGGATTCCTTTAAACACTTATTTACTTTTTTGACGCCAGATAACAAATCACTTCCAACAAACAATCAAAGGGCTTTCCAGCCGCGTGATTTCCCACAATTATTCCATGCAATATGATTATCGTTGTTCATCGAATTAGTTAAATTGCTTATATATCAACACGCCTAATTGAAGTGAACAAAATCAGTGCATCTGTACATATACGTATGAGTAAAGTATGTATGCATGTACCTTAACACGGAAGGGAATTATTGCCACTAATAATAATCCACTGTACAAATCTTCCTTTGTCAAATGGAACGATTGTGAGCATGTTGGTTTAGTCAAGTGAAATGAATTACATTACTTTTATTAAACATTACTTTTAGTTAAAGTTATGTTAACATGATATACATATTTATTGAAATAAATTCTTGTCAAACATATTATTCGCAAATATTTCTACATCTGTCCTATGGTGGCGTTCTTCATATGTGGTGACTATTGTGATGAAGGGTAAACAAACATCATCATCGCCAAGTTTATAAGTATGATGACGATAAATGTTTTGCACAATTACTTGACTACATATGTATCACACAACGTGCCATTGTATGATGCCTGATTAAGTGGAGGATTTAAGGATATTAAGGTAATAAATTAATAGCAAATCCCGCTTCGATTCAATTCACAATTCAGACACAAACATAAGTTCAATAATATTAATTAGCAGAGGGAAGGTTAAGTGGTATCGGAATCGGACGTACATATGTACATAAGCACGTACATGTGCACGAATGATGGCTGGCTGTCTTGGTGCTCATCGTTTTTTTATTTAATCACCTATGAAACTTTCACCTTAAAAGCGAATGAATGTTATGTTGGCAAACAGTCGAGAGTGGAAAAAGCCGCAGATCCACCCCCACCAAAAGCGTGTCAACTTTCATTTGCTGCAACTCCACGGTAGGAGCATACTTGTCAGGCATTGGCTATTGTGGAAAAGTTTGGAACTGATAATTGGTTGGCATTATTTATTATTTGGATGGGTTTGTAATGAAAACACGCGGTCTGACTTGATGATACCTTGAATATTAAAGTATTGATCTGTTCTGACGAGCAATAAGTAAGTGATTTTGTACACCTAGACAAAACGGATTGTCAGGATTATTATAGGACCATTAAACATAAATACGTGTGTCCGACCGACCGACGCGTACTTATGTACATGTGTATGTTCATATGTACATATGTTCGTATACTATTCAGCGTTTGGTTGTTGCAGTTATAGCTTTGTTGTATGTATGTGATGTGTTTCGGGTCTCAAGTAAATTAAAAGGTTAAGTAACATGTAGTTACCTAATTTATTTTTTGAATATAAGCCATCCCCGAACCACTAGTCACATCTCAGTTGCTACTTGGCACCATTTCATACACATCGAGCTGAGTATAACCTTTCATGAGCTCTTGATAACGTCAACCTGGTCCAAATACGAGTCGTTCAGCTATTATATAACACCAGTAACAGTAAATAATAATAAAAAGCAATGGGACTAGGATTAGGATTGACAGATCAAGATTTTGGGTTTGAGAAAGTGACCAAAGTTAAAGATCTTCTTCCCGTTTTAAAGGAAAGGCTTCCAAATTCATGTAATGTGAGTGAGTTGAATTATTATTTGCTTATGTGCATGCATTTGCATTCCAATTTTCTGCTTAGTATATGCTTTTAAAGCTCACAATTATCTGACTATCACATTTACCTACTTAATTAGGTATATACATAACTCGATAGGCTAATACTTATCTTAGGTTAATATGCGGAACAGAAAGTTAAGCAACATGCTAATTCATTGATTGTGCATTAGGTAATCAATATGGCCAAAAATTATCACAAATTCCAAAACGAAATGACGTTTTACATTTTACGAGCTCCACGTGACACTCCCAACGACGACCTTTGGATTATTGTTACCTACGCTCGAGAGGTAAACACTGATATAAAACTACAACGTTATTACTATCTTCATGATATCGCACTTGAGTAAGGTGTCGTTGTTGCATGTATGATTGCAGGACTATGGAATCGATATCAACATTTCTGCTCCGAGAAACTTGAATTTCAGTGCAGAATTCAAAACGGCGTTGGTCACTTCTGGCGTGATTGAGTGGGACGAGCCCTTCATTTTTGCCGCGACGGATGCCAGCATTTGCAATTTAATTCAGGATGCAGTTCAGGAAGCAACAGGGAAGGACCCAAGTGCTGGCGAAAACCTCATGTTCTACGCGTCCCCTCAGTACCACCCACTCGTGACCCAGTTCAGCGTGTAAGTACTTAACCACCTGATTAAACCAAAGTAGGAAAATATGTGAAAAAAACGAATGATTTTTTTCAGAAGGGGATCAACGATAGAGGTGAAACCGTTGGATGTAAACGACGGAGCCAAATTTCTCGTCGAGAACTGGCCGTTCGCAAGGACAGGAAGTCACGCATATGTTCGGAAGCTTATCGAGAGAAATTGCTCCTCGGGTGTATACGTTGACAATAGGTTGGTCTGTGGTGCTGCATTAAATGGCAGTGGAATGATCACCATGCTGCACACACTTCCAGAATTCAGGTAATCAAGATTACCAAACCTTATCACAAATTCAAAATCTTATTAAAGTATATTTATTCAGACACAAAGGATACGCAACATTATGCATGAATTACTTTGTGCAAACCTTATTCAAAGGTATTTACCACTTACTAACCTGATTTGATTGAAGGTGGAGGAGAAATAAACGTAATTGTTACTGGTCGATAGATAATCTCATTCCGTGTTGTACTGTTGAGACGACAAACATCGCTTCCATTAGTCTCCAGAGAAAAATAGGACTTCAAGTGTCTCACGATGTCTCATACATTCCAAGAAGTTAGTCCTGCATGAGCCTGCATGGCGTATGAAGTTTATTACTAAAGTCTTATTTTAACGAATAACATTGATTTCCATTTTTGATTTGCTTACGGAATATGACTTGTAATAACGTGTACATAAGAGAGTCTATATTAAGTGATTTTAAATGAAAACAAAATCCAAGCTATTTATGTAATATTACAGCTTTTTTTATATCATAATAAGTATGTAATTAGGTTGGGTAAGGTTAGGTTAGCCACAATATAATGAAGCTACTCTATCAACTCAAATATTCCAGATAAAATATTAACATTTGGCAATAAACAAACAATAACCCTTTTTTACAAATACTTATGCAGTAAGATGCTTACTTTGATTATTTCATTTGGTACATTATGTACTTATGAAAAGGTTGAATGCATTTTAAGAAATTACCTTTAAAAATTTCTGGCATAACTCAGGTTTTTTTGCATAAAATTCCAAATATTTCCAAATATTCTAAATACGATTGACAAAAGAACAAATTCTCATTACAGTTAAACTGTTCAATTTGATGCACAAACGCACATACATTCATATGTACATACGTACATACTTATGTAAATTCACATTGTGTCCGAACTAGGGGCATGTAGATTTATCCTAAAAGTAAGCTTTAAGGATAAATCTTTCATTTCGCCCAACCTTTCGATAAGTATCCTGCAACCAACCCATCCAATTTTGCATGACCAATTACAGTATGACATCATTTGATATTACACGATTTCACAGAAAGAATGGGGAAAATTGCTTAGATACTAAAATTCGAACAATCGTGGTTGGACTCGACAAATTATTATATATTCAAGAAAATTATTAATCAACGCTGGTCAACGATTGATAACACAAACACACTTGGGCCAATTTTTGAACTGCTGTGCGGATAAGAATTTTGTAATTACACATCATTTGTTTGTAAAAAAATCCCATTGTTCACGAGTGGAAGGAAGAATAAGTCATGGAGAAGGATACAGGAGCTACGAAGCCTAAACCTACAACTACGACCAAAAAGGAGAAAAAGATGACCAACGCCGGTCCCATCGTTAGTATATCTGACCACGAAGCCAGCGAAATAGTCAAGGAAAAGGAGAGACCAAAAGTCAAGTCGGTGACCACTATTAAACTGAAACAAAAGGGGCGGCATGGAAAAAAGTCAGTGGTCACCGACTTGGACGAATATGGAAGGGATGACATTTCCAAAGAATCGCAAGCATCCAGCAGCAGACCCAGCACGCAGGATGCCAGAATTCACAGAAGAAAAAGCCACCACAGTAACAATGTCACTGTGATATCCTCCCCACCAGAGAATCCATTGCCACCACTGGTCCCCCCCATTGATCCAGACGCAGAGAGCAGTGCGGCCGAAGCGGTACAAGAATTTTGGGACACTGCGTGGACAATTTGTGCCGAGCGGTTTTATCACGAAAATGCGGCCAAAACATTTTGCATTTTGGATTTGAGAGACACGTGGTTAAGAATTATGGAGATGGAGTGGTTGGACGTGGATATGCTAAAAACTCAGCAAAATAACCAATTACCTAGAGCTATGTTCATGCCCGATGAGCCTCTCTTACCGTTGGAGCCTGACACATGGACTCGTGGCGGACTAGAAGAGTTTCCAGCGGAGAAAAGAGAGTCAATCCTGGATCCATTTCTGAGAGATTATTCTAAAATACCTGACACAATTCGGAAGGAGTTCTCGTGGATTAACGGAGACTTGTAAGTTTTCATAATGCGAACATCTAAATCAAGCATATGTACATATATACATAAATATCATAGATATGTACATGCTGAACGATAATAATTCTGCGTTTTATATTTCGATAAGGTTACTTGGACCAGACGTCTCAGAAACCTCCACCGTCGAGCTGCCAATTATAGCGGAATCTAAAAAGTCTATACATATTGAAAATATTGAGATCAACGATGAACCCGAAGGTGAGATTGTTGAAACGGTGAATGAAATCAAGGACAATGAAGTCAAAACCGAAGAGAGAAAAGACATCGTCTCAAAATCTAGCGCAAAACAAAAGTTATTTAATAAACCAGGCGAGAAGAAAACTGTTGTCGAAAAACCAAAAAAAGTCAAGCCGGAGAAATTTACAAACAAGCCACAGAAATCGAAAAAGAAGGCAAGCTTGTCTCAATTTAAGCCGAGGGACAATAGAAAGAGCAAAATCCCCAGACCCGTTAATACCACACAAAAAAGTCTGGTGGATGACACCGAAGTGAAAGCATTGAAATTAATTTCCTTGGTCGAGGAACAACAACTTGTTGTTCCAACAAATTCTGAAACATCGTCAATGCACGAGTTTGATGAAAATGAAGACGATCAACTTGAGGCACCCAGCAGCACCCAGTTTGACAACGACACTGCGACAACTTTCCCAATCACGCCCGATTTATTAAGCGAGGAAATTCTGGTCATAAAACCAGAAAAATCCTTGTCCAAATCAATCTCGTCCGAACAGCGGCTGAAAAGCGTTTTTGGACCAAGACGGCTAGAATCAACCAGCAGTGTGGACATTGCTGACTATTACAACTCAATGGGGATGAAACCTTGGAAGCCTGAAGACTGTGGTTCGTATCAATCACTTATCCTTAGGTTAGTCTTTACGGTTGCCAACTTATTGTTAATACGCGATTACCTCTCAGGGGTTTGGACGGGAAAAGGCCACGGAATTTTTCGGTTGCCAAACCAAACCACTAATAAGGCCCTTAGACTCGCTTTCCATAACGCGTCCATGGGCTCTAAACCTGGGGATGGAGTAAGCAGGAGATCTTTATATACAATGTCGGTTTTGTGATGGAATTACACTGTAAATGTTCATAATTGCGTAAGGTTGAAGCCGGCGCATTGGACCTGACCCATTTGACGGATACTCACAAACATGGAGAACATGTGGATATGAGACTTTCCAGAAATCCAAGCCAGATGAATAATTCAGAATCACGTTAGATCATGCAGAATATTCATACATATGCACATTCACTTTGTAGCAAGCATGTACTTACACAATTTCTAAATACATATTCAGGTGCAGATTTTATGCGGTATAAATCTTTAAAATCCGTGAGCATGGGAAAGATTGGGCAAGTTCACGGACTGCAGAAACTTACTCCCAGCGAGAGGCACTTTTTCGACCACAAGATGCATGTTTTTCGGATCAAATTATTGCGTCAAAGTCAATTAAAAGAACATGGCGAAATTTCCACAGACGACGGTGCTGCTAACGAGATGAAACAGGTCGAAGTAGATGTCACAAGTGACGTCTCCACCACGAATGACATTTCAAATCAAAGATCAAAATCCATAATTGACACTGAAAAAAAGGCGGTGCCGAAGCGGATCACTATTGTTGACCCCATTACTGGACGGACAACAAACCGTAGACAGACGCAGAGGGGGAGCACGATGAGGAAATCAGAGCTGCAAAGCATCACCCCAAATCAAGATGACGATTTCTTGACCCGTCTTGCAGCAAAAGGAGTCATAGTGCCAGCCCTTGCTTCAAATGATAACCTTCCAGAAATTCAGAGGACCAAGAAAATGCTGATGAGACATTCTTTGTTCACTTCGAAGAGCAAGCGACAAGTAGCTTTACTATATTCGCAACTCAACATAGATGGTGAAAAATCCCTACAGAAATTAGTACCCAATGATTAGCTACATGTATGTTACATACTTATGTACATACAGTATGTACATAAGTATGTACCTCTATATGTTCCTTGTGGTCTTTTTGTCCAGTATTATTTATTATGACTCACCACATTTACTTGTGGAAATTTTGCAAGTAATGATCATTGCATTTAAATAAAACTACTCTGTAAATAATAAAATATGTCATGCAGTATGTGCCGTGCTTTATGTTAATGATTCAAACTGTTCATTTGTTATTAGTCGGTTAGTACATGTAAATATATTTGCAGACTGCATATGAGTACAACGAAGAAGGAAGATGAAATGTGGCAAAAAATGGAAACGCAGTTTCAGATGTTTTTTTTTTTTGCAATGGAAACTTAAACGAAATGACCATGAGGAAGTAAGCAAGCATACTGCTCAGCATGAAATAAACTGCAACATTGACATTGTAAGGTTAACATGTGTACGTTCATACGTATTTAACTATTTAATACATACATAAGCTTCGTTAGTATTGAACTGTCGCTCACTCATTAAGAATAAGAAGAATAACAGCACTGAGGATGAACCGGACTAGGTTGGTGTACATACAAACTCATTTTCATTATTATTCTAAAGATTTTCTACATATATACAAATTTGGTGATTGCATTTAGGATGGAGGAAGGAAAACGAGATGATGATTCGGAACTGGAGATAGTCATTACTCTTTTATATTAATGTTCCATACTGAATACCCGTCTCAACTTATCTGTTGTTAAGTTATTCATTCAGCCGTCTTGTCAAATGCAATGCGCTACAAATAAGAATTCCTCCCATTCGTGAATGTGTCTTCATTATTACAAGAAAGAGCATACAACACGCAGATCGTTGGGATGAAAGAGTTCATTGCAGTCCTCTCGTCCCTGCTTCTCGTTTCTTTTGCGATAATTGTGACCATCATCTTTTTCGGCGACCCTCCTACACCTCTGCCCAATGGAGGCAATGGGATGAAATCAGTCTCGGAAAAAGTGAGATTTTGTATCAATTTTTGTGCTCATTCATACTATAAATAAATTGGTAGATTTTAATGTTCAATTTTTCGCAGAAATGTCCAATTGATGATGTCCAGTATGGAGTTTCTTACGTTTAAAAAATTTCACATACTTACAAATGTACAACGTTGAAATAAATTTGAAACTGTATCATGTTCCTGCATAATAATATGTCAAGTTGCGTAATGATTTTGCCATATTCGTATTAATTTACATTAGTGGTGGGAATGTAAGTGGTGGTGGAAAACTCGACAGAAGACAAAGGAAACTTTAGTGTTTTCATTCTACATAATATGTAAAATGAACATACCTATTATGTTTGGACGACATTGACACGAACATTAGTGCAAAGATAAATTGGCACACTTTCATGCATTTTTCATACATTGGCAAATTTCCATCCTGTTTAAAGTGACACTGAATTCACATCCTTTTGTTTCGAACATTTTGCAAATGCCGAGAAAACCGAAGAGTACCAAACCAACTTGCAATTTGCAAATGCAAGAACCTATGCAAAGGTTGCTCCTCTTCTCGAAATAACTTTCACGTGTTTCATTCAGCTTTGCAAAATAATTGCGGAACTTGCTCATACATATAAACAGCATGGCTAATTTGGTGGTTCATTAATATGAAATGCCATTTTCGGTCGCTTAATCGGTCATAAAAGTTCAAACCTGAATTGGCATGCAATGATTTATCTCCAATTGCGTCAAAGGTCGAAGAACTGCAGAGTGAGAGTTGTATAAACAAATGCACAGACTGCCTTTTTGGATGCAATTCCGAAAGAGATTTAATCAAATTAAAACAAAAGTTCATCAAAGTTGCTCAATATAATTTCTTGGTCGTATGTTGAACCTCACACAAATTTTACGTAACAAGTTGACAATTAGTTCGTTGTGCGTTATTTTCCTGTGTGAGCCAGGCCTCTAGCATTAAGTTGTAGTACGTACATAACATTTGTACATATGTAAGTACTGAAGTCAGTAATATTTAGTCATCAAATGTGCAGTTAAAAGTATTATCGGTTATGCTCTTTCTGTCTACAATAATTCCGGCCATGAAGTGTACGAGCGAACGTACTCTTGTCTGATTCAGTTGATGATGGTGCATTGCATTCAGTGTTGTTGATCACGGATTAATGTCACGTTTGATGTCCAGCAGTATTCTGAAGTCATTCAACTTTTTAGGAAGGTTTGTTACCACCAACGCTGCATTACTATAAACAAGCGAGGATAGCCGCCACTTGCAGCTTATCAGTCAATAAGACTGACTCACTTGTAGCAAGTAGTGTATGGATGGATGACATAACATTGGGATACGGAATTGTATGGATGATTTCGTGGCATCGCTCGCATATGAATGTGGACATTTGTTTGCGTTTCGTAAATCTCCAGTAACGATCTGTATTTTTTTGGAATTGGCTAGGACATGGTAATGACGAGATGCGAAGAAAGGAATCAAGTTATTTACAGTGGTTCGTTGGGTGGCAGACAAAGAAGGATTGCGTCCCCGACCCTGGAGTTTCATTATCATTGGGCAAGGGACCCGATTTATTCATATGTATAAACGACATAGGAGGATTTGCCATTACAGATTATTATTTGCACCATCGGAAATGCATGCATTCGTCGATTCAATCATTTCTTCCACACTTTTATAATAAATCTCTCCTCCGTGTACGTCGAATCCTGAACTCATGTGATACATGATCCGTCTTAATTTAACAAATATTTACGACGAGCTTGTCCAGCTCGATACAGATTTTAAAGTGATTTATTTGTGGGAGGAAGCAGAAGGTGTGAGTTAGTGAATTGTGTAAATTAGCTCTACACACATATGACTGTTGATAAATATCGCTATTTCAATATTGGTGGTCAATAAGAACACAAAAGGTAAGGAAAAGTTTTATCACACAAATCCATCAAAAGCTTTCATGTAATACAGACTGGATTAAGCATGAAATTGCATGGCTGAAAATTTACAGTGTCCAAAAAATGAGCAGCCCATGTGCTGCCGACACTTCCTCTACTCAGGCCTTCACTTCTTATCCATCATATCCCCTTATTCCACATCACCGCCAAGAACGCCATGCATTTTTCGGAGTTGCATTGGCATCAGTGGATCAAGATTCCGGATTCTTTGACAAGAACGAGGACTTGAATGGAGTCTCCTCAAATTCGGTGTCGCCGGTTGATATGAAACCACTCCTTCTTGACCAACACTCATCCATCGACAACAGTAACGCAGGAAATCTTGCAATCTACAATAATCGTCTCAACCTCCTCCATGTGGAGCGTTTGGACATTAAAAGATACTCACAATCAGTTGAACCACTCGGACCTCAAGAACCTGCAATTAAACGATTCCGAGGGAGCGGTGTCCTCTCCCTGAGAGAAATTCCCTCGTGGAATATTTACTTTCATGATCAGAGGCGTCAGCTTGCAAAATTCTCGGGTAATTATCTAGATTACGAAATTCATTTGTTATGCATGTAATTATAAGTTAATCAACATCGCGTTTCAATTTTAGACACGAATAAAGGATATCAAAGAGATCCTTTCTTGAACAAGCGCGTTTCACTTTCGTTTTACAAAAATGTTCTAGTCAAACTTGATGTAGATGCGGTGGTGGCTCCAACAACTGAATTATATTCAGCGGACACGGGAGGTTTCCAGCTAACTTATTTTTTATCACTATTATAAATCATTTTTAAGGGACAGCATAATACTTAACAAAATTGCTTTCCATTCATAGTTGCGAAATTATTGCACGACGAGGCCGGAAGAGATCTGAAAGAGAAATGCAGTCAACTCCCGAAATGCGAAGTGGGCAGTGTTGAAATTACAGATGGATGCATGCTTCCTGCGAAATGTAAGAAAAAATCGCCGAAAATTTTCTGTCCAGCATTTTTTGTGGTCACTTTCAAAGAATTTATTAAATATGGAATGCTTTACTTTTCAGTTATATTTCACGTAAATGGACCCGACATTCATACCGAGCCGTACACATATCAGGAGATTCTTCACCGGTGTTACGAAAATTGTCTCAATTTGTTAGTTCAGCATCAACTCAGAACAATTGTACGAGCCAAACAGTCTCCTAATATTCTGGCATTCTCACCTACTTAATTTAATACATAATAAATGGTTCGGATGTCGACTTATTTCCAGGCATTTCCTTGTATAAGCACCGGGTCAAGGAAAGGAATCCCTAAGTCAGCTGCAGCTGAAGTTGCCCTCAGCACCGTGCGTCGGTTTCTGGAGCAGCATAGCGATAAAGTAAATCTATTATCTTTTCATATAATTATTTAAGGTATATTTAGCATAAGCCATTATTTAATTATGTGAACGCAGGTTGACCGAGTGGTGTTTTGTCTGCATAACAAAAAGGATATTGACATTTATCTTCGACTCATGCAAATTTTTTTCCCAGTTGAATAACATGGCAAAAATGGGTCACTGTAACACGAATTTGTTACTACTAATATTTTTACTACACAGAATAAATTGGAAATTGTTTACATATTTTCGTCATAAAAACAATCAGCATTTTTTATAATGAATGCGAATAATACTAATCACGCCAGGGAATGGAACTAGTTCAAAAGTTCACGGGCGGATAAGCTCATGGATGGATAGTTTGAATCAGTGGAGGAATAATTACATGGATGAAGTAATTTTCACTACAGCATTTCAACAGGACGACGTACTATACGTACATGAATTCAACTGTTAACTTGGTGTCATATGAGACAAATGCTTCTATAAATTCGTCTCGTCTCAATAAGCTTAATTCGCTTAATGTCATGCACGCCCGATTTAATAAGATCAGCACTATCCTATCATACGTACGTACAATGTGTAAATGAGTATCTCAACTTTGTCGCATCTCGAGCAAAAGGGTAACAATCTCAAATGCCCCAATGAACTTCCTCTAACCGAGTTCACGGCAATTTAAGCCAAACTGCTGTCAATTGCAAATGATTTTTTTGCAAGAGATTTCTGTCTCATTTATTTAAACTCTGTTCCGCACAACAGTCACTTAACAAATTATGTGATGTGATTGACTATGTCGTCATTATCTTTATGGTTTTAGAAATGGCATCTGGAAATAGATTAAATTTTGTTTACTAAAATATTCTTAGAAATCATAAACAGACCAAAATTTCGAGAAACTTGATCTCAACTTTTTTGACACTCTGAATCCAGAAGGAACAACAATTAAGAGTTTAAATCTTAACAGGAGTCAAATTGTATTTCATGTCATGTTTATTCATACGTAATAACTTTGTCTCATGCCGCTTTAATTTAACTGCCAACTTGTACATAAATATGTATCATCCTTCTTAAAATAACTTGTTTTCACTAAAGCGGTATTCCGACTGAATCAGCTAATCCTAAGTTCTTAAAGTACAATAGTGACCATGTAGCCTGATGATGAGATCAGTGAACTTTTAACGAAGAATGAGGAACCAGAAGCCAGATTATCGAGTTTAGAATGAAAGTTATTGTCTGTGGTTTGTTGGGTGGAAGTTTATCACTTAACTCCAACGTGTTGGGAAGTTTATCCTTCCGGATAAATCGATGCAGTAGCGCAATCCACGTGTTTAACCGCAAATATTTGTTGTTAACAAGGATGTGATCAGAAAAATCTATATTTTGCAATTGATGTAAATATGTATTATTCGTCTAGCATATTATGTGAAAATGCACATTATGTACGCTATGTCCAATAACAATACCAGCGAATAATTGTCAAATTTTTCCTCAAATTTAAAATTTTGTTCTTTGTTCTTGTCCAGCTTGGATGCGATCATTGATCTCTTGAACCTCGAAATCAATTAGAAGTGTCGGATAGCTTTAAATTATTCTACATATATTGTTTTGGCCCCATAATGTTTATGAGTTCAACTCAACACCACAAGATTCAACAGACAGAGTTCTAGATAATTTTACAGTCTGCAAATGTTGGCCCGAATTTTATCGCATATCACGTTGTCATCAAGAAAAAAATAAACGCGACCAACATGTATCCTATTTCAAAAAATCAATTTACGGACAAATACGCTGCTACCTACCAATAAGCAACATATACGTACGTACGTATGTATGTGTACTGTCAATAACTATAACAGACTGTTATCAGCATTTAAGGTTCTGTCGAGATATTTAGATAATATTTAAGAATGGGTTTCGACAGTCTGTCTGCAGTGTCTGTACCGAGTATAAATAATTAAACACAAAAAACAATGAGCTGGCTTCGCTCATATTTCTCACGCTATGCTAATATGATTAAAGTTATTGGTCATATTGAGTCATACGGCTTGAAACTGGTAGAGCCTTGAACAGAATTACTTATCTGGAACACGAAGACAAATAAATTAAAAAAATATATATTATGACAATACCCTATCCCAGTTACTGGCCCAGCGAAGTACGTAATATCTGTATTAGCAATTTAGCAATACTTGTGTATTTATATGGAGCAATGCACTTAAATAGCACCATTTAGTCGCATATTCGTAACCACACAAATGTACATATACATACGTACTAGTTGGCTATTTATGTATATGGCTAAAATATGATTCACACAACAATTTTAGGTCAACAAATCGAGAGCTTCGTGCATATCGTCAACTGCAAACAAAGGACTCTGCAATTTTCATATTGAGTTCGTACGGTACACCAGGAATGCATCTGTAGATTTGAATACGAAAGAATGACCAATTCCTATACCCTACTGACGAAAAAGAGTAACTGGAAACGGGATGTTTTTATTATATACTTATTATTTATTGTTGCCCACCCTCCCATTAACCCTGCGCATATGATGCATATGCCTATCATGTGATAAGACTTGATTCACTGCAGTTAAGTCCCACCACAGCAAGTAACTATAATCGTAGCAATAATAACTGAACCTGTTCTCTAGTCTCCTCTCATCTGCAGGATAAGTAGACCATCACGTTCACATCCCAACAAACGGCAAACGTGAGATTCGCAATTCTACAGACAGCAGTAACCCCTTGATGCCCAACATCCCAAGCAAACCCCGAGTCAACGGAATACGCATATTATTATTATTATACGAGATCCACCATCGCACAGTAGTGGCTAAACCACAGTCAACCCTTTTGCAAACCAGTCTCAATTCCTTCATCCTCATCATCCTCGCATCCTAGCAGTTTTGCTAAAAGAGCTTTCAGAGTGCATCACGTCTGTTGTATCGACACAAGTGTGTTTTAGCTCTTGCGGAAGTAGAAATTCGCAACCACAAACCAACAACATAACAGAACGGACACCACGAGCTAACGTAAATATTACACATTTGACATTACACATACCGAATTGATACCAGGATTTCAAGAAACGTTGGGAAACATGGGAAAAATTCAGAAAGTCTTGGAGCCCTTGGCGAGTGATCTTATAGAGTGCAAATGTTTGAAAAATCTCGTCATATTCCTCGAGGAAAGAAAAGTTCTCAAGAACTCTGACAGGAAGAACTTCATTGGGGCGAATACAGACCTGGAAATATTGGAGCGACTGATGACCGTTCTGAAGAAAAAGTAAGGTTTTAAACCCAAATATTTATTCTGCCTTTTTTCCGTTGTACATAAACTGTTCTGTAAACTTTGTTGTTACTTTTGACTCAGTTGACCTAGAAAAGAACTTTGTTGCAAATGTGCAGTTAGTTTCATGAGTTGTCTCGGCACGAGTTGTGCTTGCATACATGAACGTATATGAAATGCACTTTTAATGATGACCGAGGAAAACAAGCCTGTATTATAATAGCAGTAACAGCATTTCACGTCAAAAGGGGAAACAACTAGGTCATGTTTTGTCTCTTGTGTGGCTGGCGGCTATGTACATACATAGACTTTTCTTAATCTGATGATTTAACTCTACAAGAATTTCAACATATGCATGTAGATACGATAACAATAATATTTTTCCAAGTTTTCATGTCTCTGACAAAATTGAAAGTAGGTCTTTTATGGGAGCCAATGTGAAGGTTATGGCCAAGGTGTGTCAAAAGAGAAAAATACTTACACATGACTTTTCCTGTTCACACTTGACATTATTAACAATGCGGAATGGAATGTTGACGATCTTATCGTAAAAGCGTAATCTAATAGTATTATCGTTACACAGTTTTCCCTTCAATGTTATCAAAATAAATACATAATAAGAGTGGAAATATACTTATGACTGATTTTACGATTTCAGGGACGAATCTGCATTGAAGGTGGTGGAAGAATTCTTAATGTCTGACGGACACTATGCCCAACTTCGCGTCAAGTTTGCAGAGTCCTGGATTAACGAGAAAAACAGGAGACGAATCCGTACTAACGAAATCATTAGTTATGCCACATTAAGTAATTTTTGACGAGTAATTACGTAAAGTCGTTTATTTCGTTTACAGTGAAACGGGCAATTGGAGACTCAATGATGTTTTTGTGCAGCGTCCAACCAGCGTGAGACGATCATCTTCCTACCAGCGTGAGACGATAAAGAAAGACTACAAGTTTTTTGCAACTCATGTTTCCAGAAATCTCGACACACATTCTACCTTTCGCTCAAGAATTTTATTAATGTGTTTATTTACAATTATTATTCAGCTATATATTTAAGTTACTTTGTTCATCTGTAAGTTTAACCGAGCTATTTCAGTATACTATTTATGTATGTATCATATTTCTTAATTAAGAAGTGGATGACTATATTTATTTTCAAGAAACGATAGTTATAATATTCGACATCAGCGCAGCCTATATATTAAATTCATTTTCCTGCAATTCTGATATTATGATTTTGGTCCTCTTTGTTGAAAACTCGCATAATTATTTAACACATGAAGATTTTTATTCCAAGATGGTTGAAAATAAATTATAAACAGGAGAGAATTTCCTTTCGTATTTTATTGCCACGTTTATGTTCCGGGGTTGGTTCCAGCCGGAGAGGGGACCAAGTTGCCTTTTCACAAGGGAGGATTTTATGTTTTGCAATCTTCCTGGTTTGCCAGAATAGGGGAAGTTTTATTGCGAAAACCTCTTTGTGCTTTCCTGCATGCATGTGCGTAGTAAAAGGGCAACGCATGAAAAACGTAGGTATACATATGTCTCTGGAACAGTGCTCTGGGAACTACAAAACTTGAATACTTCTCGTTACTGTTTTATGCAAAAAAAATATAAGACAACCAATGTAAATTCTTCGAACTCTCCTGCGAAGTATATTAATAAAATCTCAAAATTATCACAATTATGGGATTGATATGATCCCCACAACTAAATTCTCTTACTCCCACGCACCTGGACAATTCTACTGACAACATGACATAAAACTGCAAATACAATGTAAATACATATCAAAATTATCATCATCATTTACAAAAGATGAGACGTATTTTTAAGTCGATCGTCTCATTCGTCTCATTCAAAAATGAACGAAGACAACCAAGCACAGGTGATGGGATCATGTTCCCCAATTGCTGGCGCGAAGCTTGAACGGCAACAAATAAAACAAACGAATCGCAGAATTTGTTCAAAAATCATACAATTTTGTTAAAGTCTGATAGTTTTCATAAATTACTACGTAATTAATAGTTCAGAGATTTAACTAACATGCAAGTTAGTGAGCGAAATCTATTGCCTTAGTTAAAAACAATTTGGACACAACATTGTTTTTAGTATACGCATATGTTTTTAGTGCACACTTAACAAGTGGCAAAAATATTAGAAATTTAACGAAATGACGGAACAATGGGTCAACGACAAGCTTCACGATATCCTGGGGATGAGCGACCGGACGGTGGCCGAGTTTTTGATTGGTTTAGCAAAAAAGAGCTCTTCTGAAGACGGTCTTATCAACGCCATGAAACAGACCGGTGTTATTAACGTGGATCCAAGTACGATAGGATTTGCGAGAGAGCTGTACCAAAAGGTGATTTGATTTGATCTATTATATATATGGCATTATAACTTAGTTTCTTATCACTATCGGTCTATATTTTAATCTTAATTTGAATATTCAGGTCCCACACGCTGCATCGAAAGTGAACCAGGCTAGAATTATTGAACAAAATGCGGTAGCACAACAACGAAAAAACTTGGCGTATCGGTTGGTTTCATCTGATGACGATGAGCCGAGGCCTTTATCTGCAGTTCAACAACAGATGGGATCGAAGGTTAACAAACGTTCCAAGCAAGAGCACATAAGGTTAGCATTCGTGTCATTTATAGTAGATTTAGAGTGTACTCATGAAATTGAAAAACTTAATAATTTGTATTAAATTGAATCTCTATAGACAAAGGAGGGGTAAGCGCTCTGATTCCGATGACGATGATGATACCGTCGTACTGCGGAGGACTCAAACTAGCAGTAAACGTGTCAAAATCGAAGAGCCGGAAGAAGAAGATGAATTTGATAAGATGGAAAGAGAACGAAACGAAGACATCAAGGGTCGAGATGAATTCGCAAAACGGTTAAAGGAGAAAGATGAGACAAAAACAAGGAGCATTGTAGCAAAGTCGGGTAATTAGTGTTTTCTACTTAAAATTTGAATTAGCTATATTAATTGTAATTGAACGCTCTGTCATACACACATATGCAGATAAAAAGGCATTGGCAGAAGCAGCATTCCGACTGAAACATGAAGCTACAAAAAGGGAAGAAATTGTTCCAGAACTTAGAACCAAGTCTAGATATAAGTACCTAGAAAAGCGAAAAGAAGACAAAATGTTGGAGCTTGAGCTCGATATTGCTGACGAAGGTCGATTGTGGCAAGAAGATGAGTAAGTACATGGATACTCGTTATTGTATTGAACATGAAGTTCCATTATTGCCCACTTACACAGATTAATTGAATTTCCGATAATATTTTTTTTAGATTGACGGAACGGGAAAAACAAGAAATAGCCTATAAAAAGAGAATTTTGAACTTGGCTAAGGAACACGAAAGCGCAAGAGACATCATCAAAGTTCAACGGTACATGATGCCAGAAGAACGAAGAGGTAAAGAAGATTTTCAGTATGAAGAGACGGACGAGCGTGAAAAGATCCCCAATTCCGAGCAGAAAAAGTGGGAGGATGAACAAATGGGATTTGCTCAATATAAGTTTGGAGCTAAAGATGCAAAGAACAAGAAGCCCAAAAAAGAGTACGATATAATTTTGGATGAGCAAATTGAATTTATCCAAGCTTTAAAGATGCCCGGAAACCAGAAAGAGAAAGTAATTTATTATTAAGAATTTACTTATTTCGTTTATGATATCTACATATGTGTTTGTTTATTTCAGGAGATGGAACTTACAGAAACAGAAAAGAAAAGAATGACAATTGAGGAAACACAAAAGAGTTTGCCAATCTACCCATTCAAGGAGTCTTTTATTGACGCAGTACGTGGACATCAGGTACACGCTACTTTTATAGTCTTTTGTAGAAAAACTAATGCTATTAATAATTTCATATAATAATTTCATAATTTCCCATGCATTTTCAGGTATTGATTATCCAGGGGGAAACTGGAAGTGGGAAGACGACTCAAATTCCTCAATACCTCAAAGATGCCGGATTTTGTGATGGTAATTAATTTATTTATTTATCCTTCAAATGGTTTGTGGTCCGACCAGGGTATTAGTGAATTATTTCTTTGTGTCTATGTATTGCAGATGGTATGAAAGTAGGCTGCACACAACCAAGACGAGTAGCTGCAATGAGCGTGGGTAGGTTAGGTTCAATTCTAACTTGGGTATTATTATGAATTACTTTGCAGACTTTAAGTTTATTTGCAGCGGCACGTGTTGCTGAAGAACTATCGACCAAATTAGGAAATGAGGTTGGATACTCAATTCGATTTGAAGACTGTACTTCTGAAAGGTAGTTTGGATTACATTTTAGTTAAATGCATTTGATTAAACATCAAATTTGACAACATGATTGACATAATTTATATTATTCTTTAAAGAACTATAATCAAATACATGACTGATGGGATGCTGCTTCGAGAATTTCTTGGTGAACCTGATTTGAAGTCCTACAGCGCCATGATTATTGATGAAGCCCATGAACGAACCCTCCACACTGATGTACTTTTTGGACTGATTAAAGATATTGCACGTTTCAGACCAGATTTAAAAGTATTAATATCTTCTGCAACTCTTGATGGTAAGCGAGTTTTATCGTATTACGGCTAATCTTGAAACTAACATTGTTATTGGGATTGCAACTTTTCCAAAGTGTTGTTCGTGGATTTAATGTATATGTTTTTTAATTACAGCTGAAAAGTTTTCCAATTTTTTTGATGATGCTCCAATTTTCCGAATTCCAGGTTTGATTTCATTACTATAACTAATTTTGGAATTGGAATTACACAATATTTATTATTCAATATGTATTTGACTATAGGAAGGCGCTACCCTGTCGATATTTACTATACTAAAGCCCCTGAAGCTGATTATATTGATGCCTGTGTTGTGACGATACTTCAGATACATGTGACGCAACCACTTGGGGACGTTTTAGTATTTCTTACTGGTCAAGAGGAAATTGAAGCTTGTCAGGTACGCATATTTTTATTATATTTTTACTTCTTAATAATATTTGTTTGATATGTAGCCTATTTATGTTTAATACTTTTATGTATTTTAATGTAGGAATTGCTGACAGAAAGATGTAGGAGATTGGGGAATCAAGTAAAAGAATTGATTATTTTGCCTATCTATGCTAATTTGCCATCCGATATGCAAGCAAAGATATTTGAACCTACTCCGCCGGGATCAAGAAAAGTCATTTTGGCAACCAATATTGCGGAAACAAGTTTAACTATTGATAATATCATTTACGTCATAGATCCAGGTTTCTGTAAAGAAAACAGTTATAATGCCCGAACCGGGATGGAATCATTAATTGTGGTTCCAATATCAAAGGTAGTAATTTAATTAATTTAATTTAATATTAATTTCAAGAGATTATTAATCCAGTGATTAATTAATAAAATATTTTACAACTTTTTTAGGCATCTGCAGATCAACGGGCCGGAAGAGCTGGTCGAGTTGCTGCTGGAAAATGTTTTAGATTGTACACCGCATGGGCTTACAAACATGAACTCGAAGATACTCAACGACCTGAAATCCAAAGGGTCAATTTGGGAAATGTAGTCTTACTTTTAAAATCACTTGGGATCAACGACCTTATCCACTTCGACTTTCTTGATCCACCTCCACATGAAACTTTGGTATTGGCGTTAGAACAGTTGTATGCATTGGGTGCACTTAACCATAAAGGAGAGTTGACTAAACTGGGGCGAAGAATGGCTGAATTTCCTGTAGATCCCATGATGGCAAAAATGATATTGGCATCAGAAAAGTAAGCCATAGCTCTAATAATCACACTGTGTAATTCGACTACATATAATCAATCTCATTGACTATATATATTTTTTTCAGATATAAATGCTCCGAAGAAATTCTTTCAATATCTGCAATGCTGAGCATCAACAATGCCATCTTCTATCGACCCAAAGATAAAATTATCCATGCGGATAAAGCGAGAAAAGACTTTTTTCTTCCTGGAGGAGATCACCTTACCCTTTTAAATATTTACAACCAGTGGCATCAAACTGGATTTTCGGACCAGTGGTGTTTTGAAAATTTTATTCAACACAGGTACAACTTTCAAATTTAGCTTTGTATGTACTAGTGATTCTTTGATATTATTTAAATAAGTAACCTAACCCTTATATAATGTTTTTCGTTTTAAAGGTCCATGAAGCGAGCCAGAGATGTTCGCGAGCAATTAGAAGGGCTGATGCAACGGGTTGAAATTGAGTTAATTTCCAATCCATCGGAAACTCAAAATATTAGAAAGGTGACATGCATTTTTTTGCTGTGTATGTGTTATAATTTACCTTTAATTATATTTACGTAATTTATAATTTTATATAATTTTATAGGCCATCACTGCAGGATACTTTTATCATACCGTGAGACTAAGCGATCATGGACAGTACAAAACTGTGAAACACAACCAAACTGTGATGATTCACCCAAATTCTAGCCTTTTTGAGCAACAACCACCTCCAAGATGGATAATTTATCACGAGCTTGTCTTTACAACAAAAGAGTTTATGAGGCAAGTTATTGAAATAGAAAATTCATGGTTGCTGGAAGTTGCGCCACATTACTACAAAGCCAAGGACCTTGAAGATTCGAAAATGAAAAAGATGCCTAAAGTGATGGGAAAGGCTAAAGATGATTTATCAAGATAGTATAATACCATAGAGTAGGTTCAAAGATTTTTATATCAAATTTCGTTATACAGATCACTGATTGATTATTAATTGATGATACGTAATAAACAGTTTTTATTTCTATTATGAAGCACCTTGTGCATCCAATTTAAAATACATGGCACGCAGTATTCATGCATCAGCTTGAAGCAAAATGCGTACAACACAAATATGAGCACATGAGCAAGGGGAAATTGTTGGGTTTTTTGTGTTATTGGGGAAATTGAATCATTGAGCTACATGAGCTCGCGTCCTTTTCGACAGTTGTTTTCAGAGTTATTTATAACGTTAAAGATTTTTAGATTCAATAGTTTTTATTTAAAGTACTTAATAATTTGATAATATTGTGGTACACACTCGTTTTCATAACTAATAAATCAACTTGTACGAACTGAACTGAATTGCATACGAATGTGTGTGTACATATGTAGCAACAATTAAGTAAATATCACATAATTAAATGGACAACGCTGAAACTTCAAGTTCAGTAGCCAGATTTGGTAACTGTGGATCTTCTTCCGATGTGAAACCTCAATCATACGGTAAATTATTATATTATTTAAAAGTCGCTGCATCTATCTTGTTATGTATATTTTAATAGAGCGTAACAACAGCGGTATCAGTTGTCTCGTAAATCCGCACACGGGTCATCTTTCACCGAAACGGGAAGACGTGGAAGAAAATAAGTCACCCCCTTTGCCGGTCATTTTGGACTCGGGGGACTCAGATTTTCCCGATGAAGTTGAGTTGAAGCCTGATCCGTTAACTTTAATGACGACGCCAAACGCCCAGGGCAGACCTCGCCGTAAACGTCCCTTTCGTGACCTGATGACGACAGCAGAAGATACCGGGGACAGTGATGCAAGTGATGACGGTATGAGAAATAATAGCAGAGATGGTGATGGTGAAGATGGAAAGGACTCTTCAGAATTCTACTCACGCCGTAGAGGAGGCAGGTTAAGGGATCCGGTGTGGAAAAGTTTTCATAATGTTGGGGGCAATAAATGGCAATGCAACGAGTGCTCCTACAGTTTAATTCGACCACAAGCCGATCGAATGCGGAAACATAGGAACAAGTGTCAAAATCTTGATGATGATGTCAGCAATGAGTACAAGTACACTCCTACTCCAGTGGTTGCCTCCAGACCACCACCATCATCAGATTCAGCTTTGCAAAATGCTAATGGAGCTGCATCCTCCGCGGCTTCTCCGGTCAGGGTCCCTAACAGTACTCATAGTCATAAAGTTATTGGTGGTACCACTAAATTCAGTACGAACAGTATCACCCGTCAACTGAGACGTATCGCAGATGCACTCGAGGAATCTAACAAACTTAAGAAATTAAAACTTGGACTTGATCCTCACATTCCGTTTGACGGGGGCCCGAATTAGATGTTGTATTATGATTTTACATATGTATACATGTTTATGTATGGTCATTTTATACTTCTACGCGTTCAAATTTATTTTTGTTGTTTCAAACAAATAAATAATTAAAGACAGCCTGACATCACACAGCGTAAAGTTAACCTTTCATGGCATCACTCACCAAGTCTTGTAAACGATGAAACACAACTCGACGCTTCGTCTTTTCCTGACTACCCACGGTCTTCACTGCAGCAGCAATTGCTTCCAGGGTCAGATTACTTTTGGTCCATAGGAAATTCTTGGAAACCTTGCTCAGCGTCTGAAATAGGTTATTAATATTTAACATATACGCATCCCAAATTGTGAAGACATTGCAGCATATTATTATCTTACATTAAATGGCAACACTGACTCTAAATCTAATTCAGGTTTCTCGGCATAAAATTCCAAAATTGTTTCCGTCCACACGTTGATTGCAGGTTCCGACTCCCCAGACTTGAAGAGATAACAACCCTTCCAGAAGGAGAGAATGGACTCTTGTTCTAATCCGAGAAGTTTACCGACTTCCGGGAACGATATATTGAAGAAGGACTCCAATTTGTCCTTGTTCATCTTGGGATCTCGAAGTAAAAGCTTCACAAGACTGTGGTAGGCTTCAGGGCTGTGAGGGTCCAATTCTATGGCTCGTTTGATATAAGTTTCGGCTTCAAAAAACTGGCGACCCTGAATTATCATAAATCAGGTCTCAAATTCAATTCATATAATAATTATACACATGTATTTGGTAAATGTAGGAACATAACATATAAACATAATTTTTACCTTGATAAGAAATAAGCCCATTTTGTGGTGAATTTTACTCGACGTAGGGTTTCCTTCTAAAGATTTCATTAATAAGGATTTTGCATAATCTCTGTCCTGTCGAGTGATGGGAAGTTCGGTAGCAAAAATTTCTGCAAATGAAAAGTTTGCACGTACAAAGGATGGGTGATCTTGGGTGATGGTCCTGAAAAATGCAACATGACAATTATATTTATTTACTGATGCATTCCCCATTACTAATTAGGTATAAATGATACGTATCTTTATGTGCATATATATGTATTACTCGGAACTAGTTTTGATAAATTCGACAATTTTTGAATGCGTGTCAAATTCCATATCAGCAAAGTTCAAGTCTGATGGTCCGTTGCAGATCAAAAAGTCACAAAGAAATTGACACTTTGCCAGTAGCAATCGTGGATCTTGACCAAGTTGTGATTTTTGAGATGCTGCTTCAAGAGCAAGCATCTCGTCCGTCAACTCTGCAAATTTTGGTTTTCTGTATTCTTCTTGTGCAAGCATAGTGTACACACGAAAATTCTTATTAACGTTATATTCCAAGAGATTCCATTCAGAATTAGTTGTGTCAATAGAGAGAATCTATACAATAATTAAAATACAGTAATTAAATGTTTTATGATTCTAATATTTAAATGCATTTACATAAGTATGCATACATACCTGTGCTAGCGTTTGACTAATTTTAGGAAAAATTGGGTTTGGAAATCCTTGTAGGAAATGCAGTTTTATGCCAAAAATAGTAGCATTCGTTTCATTTTCTTTGCACGGTGTCACTTGAACCACTCTCGCCCTTAAAGGAATCGTAGAACTGTCCGACAACTGACAAAATTCAATTAAAGCGTCCAGCACAGTCTCCATTCCATCAATGTACTCCTGTTTGGCACTTTGTAAGTCTTTGTACTTTTGTACAAAATTAGTCACCTCTTGCAAATGCGGACTTATAGCGTGGGGACTTGCATTTCGGTGCACATAAGAGGTAAAGAAGGCTATAGATCCCAAAGTGGCAAATGCTTCCAAAGGATTATGTTCCGTCACGAAGTTGCTATTTTGCCTCGTGTCCTCGGCAAGTTCCAACAAAATATCGGAATCTGAAGAATGTGAGATGTATTTTTTCACCCGTTCGATCCGTTGTTTTAAACTAATGGGAATCTCATCATCGTCATTTTCCTCGTCACTTTCCACTTGGGATGATAACAAATCTTCAAACAACGTGTCTTCAATTTCGGAAAACCATTTATGGAAACTTTCCCTGGTTTTCAGATCTTCGATTGTATTCAGGGACCCCATGTTGAAATAAATATTTCTGTGTGCAACCTCGATAATAATACGAACACTTGTGTTTTATTGTGCTGTTCTGAACTCAGCCTCACTGGCACGTATTGTGTTCTGTTGGATTATTCTCTTACCACGTCAATAAGTATTTATGATTGATTGAACAATATTTTAGTTTATTGACACTCTGAAGTTGAACACTTGGAATTTTATCATTATCTCTCTCACAGGATTTCACCACTGTTGTGTAGTATAAATTATACTGTATAATAATAATTCTTAATGAGACTATTTCAGCGACCCTTGTCATCAATCCTATGCGCCCTGCTCGCAGCACATTATTGGCGAGTAAGTAAATAGATTAGCATGGGATGAAGTCATGTGGATATGTGCAAATTCGGCTTTAATGGAATGACTAACGAAAACTGAGTGATTAAATCATCGACAGAGTATTTTATCCCAAATGATTTTATAATAATAATGATTACATCTGTCTGATGTTGACGTTGAGTTCTCACTTTGCCTCGCCTCACCTCAAATATTTATCTTATCTATTTTTATTATAATCATCCTTTGACACTGACATTCGACTCTGTCAAACGTAGTATTTACATAAACCCACGCACCTTGCCGTCTTATGACAATTTATTTAATTATAAACAAAATTAGATGTGACTCAAAGTAATGATGAAACAAAATCCGAGGTCAAAAGTTATATTTTTTAAATCAATACAGTTGAATGTACAATTTTTGGAAGGTGCTTAATACAATATTTCTACCTCTTACGATTTCACCTTCACAAGACGAATGGAATGTCCCTAATGCATATATGTTTCGTGCGTGTTTAATTGCTGCATTTGGTGGGTTACGTAAAACTCTACACAAAATGAATACGTACAAACCCGTAAAAGGTGAGGAGGAGATGCATAATAGGATCTCTACCAGTGTGAGTTTCATTTCATGGAAGGAGATCGATGCGATGGTCTGCTTAATGATTACAAAGTTAAATAAACCGTGACGAACAGGAACAACAAACCGTATGTACATATCTTACAATAAACACCCAAGAAAGCTCATCAACGACCAAAAATGCAGTCATGGAACATTATAATGCAAGCTGGCCAGATTACTCGTACTGTATTACATGAGGTTGATAGTAATCTGTCTTCTCCTTTCATTATTTATTCACCGTCTTCATCAACTTGGTAGATTTGCAGGGTATGATGGATAACGTGATCATGCAAAGTACTTAATACGGCATTGACACGGATATGCGATGAGATTGAGACATGCACATTTCACAGGTATGCAGAATGCAGAAGATATTAACAGGTTATCCCCGATGAAAATTATTTTAGCTTTTTGCCCACTTCATACATGCATGCATGCATCGTCGGAAACGGATCCTTTGTAAAACTGTACATACATGGATGAGAGTCGGAGAGAAGGGTTGAGAGATGTGAAAATGGGAACATTTTTATATTTGGGAGGGAGGTTGCTGGATTCGGCTGAGATTTTGACGACCCTTTTTGAAGAGTACAAACTCCGAGCGGAGAGTCCGACCAAATCCTCATTTCAAATGGAGAATCTTCCTTTTGTTATGCAAATTTCGATAGGTCCCACGATGAAAGAGGGTATCTCCTCAACAGGTTCTCTCTATTTCTCTCCTATTTTACTTGTGCTTCCTTAGTTGGATTGGATGGATGATGGTCTAGTTTTATGCTGACGTCGACGCTGTTATGCACGATGCAATACTCGGTCTCATGTTGTATGATGCAGTGCAGTTGTTCTTAAAGATAAGAGATTGTATCGATCAATACGAAATATTTCTAGATATTTAAATGTCCGCCTTGATGATGAATATTGGCACATGCAAACTTTGTTGAAATGGTAATTTCATTTAAGTGAAAGACCTTTAAGCTACACGGTGTGGAGTTGTTGTATAATGGTATGCAAATCAAATTTAATGTGATACATTATCCTCGCTTTCTGCGTTCATCCTGGACAAAGATATTTTACCGCTTTTAAGAATTGTAGTTTGTTTTGTTTTTTTTGAGCTGCAGAAACTAAATTTTAATCATAAAGTAATAATTGATTAGGTAATGGCTACCTTTAATTCAAAATCTGTTACCCAGCGTAAAATAGGGAATAGTAAGCTTGATTCTCAGTCAGTAGCTGCATTATTGGATGTTGGTGGCGGAGGAACTCCAGGTAGAATTGAGACAATGAGAAAGCATATAAAAGTAAACTTAAAATATTGTTATCATTCTTCAAGTATAATAAAATACAATAATATGTAGGTCTCGCAGCCAGAGTTAGCTCATCATCCCGAGCCGTTAATGTCAACAGTTGTCCAGCAAGTCAGCCGAGAAAAGGGCTTAGAAAAGATTCGCGTACGAATTATGACATTATGCTAATTAAGTTAGATAATATGTGTTTTAGATTCACTTATGTTAACGGGTATCATTATTTAGCTTTAAGTGGCTCATCGCAAGGCATAAATGTGAAGCCACCATCAAGTGCCAAAGCACTCACGGCTAACGAAGCTGTTAAAAAGGCTCCTCCGAAGGTCGCCAGCAAATATGGTAAAGACAAGTTGACAAGTTTGGTAAAAATGGAGTATATATTGATACCAAAATAATTCAGAATGTTGCATCAATTTTAGGTACTAAACCTAACCCGACGACGAGCACCCAACAGACAACGACGGAGGAACCGTCTCAATTAAATTGCCAGTCTCAACTCCAGACCAAATACTTCGTAAATGAAGAAGATGGAAACCAATTGTTTCATCGATGGAGTGGAACAGAAAAAGTCCCCATTGATAAAAAAACGAACAGTTGGGAAAGTGGGAGCGGAGGATGGGCCGGGGTGCTTGAGTCGACAGAGGAGACAGCTTTGGAGCACAATCACAAGGACGAGGATAAATACAGCAATAAGGACCAGCAGCCATCTTCTAATGGTGTCCAAGGTATATATACAAAAGTGATTCACTTAAAGCGAATCTACGTATTTGCTGTCTACATAATAAAGGTTACAAAAATGATTTATGAAATTCCACGCAGCTGTTAATGGCCCCGTTAAAATGTTCCTCGCACGAGAGTCTGCTCAGCGAAGTCGAAGCGTTCCTAATGGATTTGGCCTTTATCAATCCGACCATCCAAATTGTTTCCCCTTTCCCCCAGAGAAAATTTCATCGCAACAAATTTCTGCAACAGGGAATTCTATGATTTGTAGCCCAACCTGCACTGGACTACACTTTTGTCTTCACACAATTGGCACATTTCTTCCCGCTGTGTCATCGCCACATCAACGAGTCGCTTATCGTAGTCAACAGCAAACAGTTGATGAAACGAATGAACATCACGCCGAAATCAACGGTGATTCTAAACAAATATCTGGGCCACCCAAACTCGAGGTTTCTTTCCAAGAAGCATTCAGCAGCCTTCTCAAAATTCGAAATGTCGCAACCCAATCGGAAATGTGTAGTTTGGAGGATTATAAAAACATTGCCGCAATTGAGACATTGCTGCTGAAAGTGTTTTCCCAAAATTCGTCCAAACAGAAAAACTAATCCAACTCACGTTATTCATGTATGATAAGTATGCCAGTCGCCTTGAAGTAATTAAGTTTGATCTCTCTATTTTCTAATCTAATTTGGTAAATTGTATGGGAAACATAATAATCTATCTTGTGCACCTTTAATTTAACTTAATGTGCATTTGCCTCTCCCTGTGCTTAAATAATTTTATTGAGATAATATAATTCTCCTTCTTAATAAGTCCTTACTTATAAGATAAGTGTATGTTTATTAATACGTCTTATAACTGTATGAAAGCATATTTAAATTATGAAACGTGATATTGGGAGAAATAAATCAGTATAATTTTTGTGATCAATTTAAAACAAAATACTTAAAATTTAAAGTTTGTATCATCATTCCACGTAAAATAACGATTACTTTCTTCAGCAGTCATTCAAATTCATCTACTTCCATAAAGCGTTAGTGTTAAGTTCTGCCTGGGTCCCTGTGGCTCTCAATGCACATTGCCCCGTAGAGGAGACAAAGAAGCAAGCGGAGCAACGGTTGCATGCATGAATTTTCTGCATGAGTCTCACTTCGCCTGCACGTGACTTTCACATACGCTTGCCATCAATCTCAAATTAAATGTCTTTGTATATTTGCAGTGTGCAAGTAAATTGAGTGAGTGAGCAGTATACATACATACATCACTCATCAATAGTGGTTATCATGATAAGTGATCTTGATAAACACTATTAATTAATTATTTTAGTTTGAGAAACTCTACCCACAGCGAGTGGCATATCAATTCGAATGTATTTTTTACGCTGAATCCAACGCCATTAATGGTTTTGACCTCCGAGGCCCCCGTGACCTTGCCGTGACCGTGGTGTCCAAATATGGCTTATTCGTTATGTCGCATATCAATTCGAATGTATTTTTGATGCTGAATCCGAATCCGTCAATAGCTTGGCGTTAATTGTAGAAGTTAACGGGGTTTATGGAACTTAACGGGAGCGTGAAGCGTGGGAATTTAAATAGTTAGCTATGCAGTTACTCCAACGCGACGGGAATTTAAGTAATTAACTATTCAACTACCCCCACAGGGGGAAATTAAATTGTACTGTGACCAGGTTAATTAAAATGCAGTATGATTTGGGCAAACCCTCACTCTGATGTATGTATGTAGTATGACAAAGTCTTCACTGCGAATTATTTAAAGTATAGTATGACGGATTTTTCGCTTTGGGCACACCCCCCACTCTAGAACCCGGCCTTGGCCGGGCTATACGCTAGTAAATTCATAAATTAAAGTGAGACTGAAAGGGGCAATCTCAAGGAGGAGGAAGCAATCTGGAATTTGAGAGGGTGACGATGCCCTCTCTGGAGAAGCATCGAGATTCCAGTGCTTGCTTTTTCTTTCTTCTCACTAAAATCCCTCCATTTTCCGTGCTGCTCCTTCACTCCAACTCGCTCCACGCTCCACACCACAAGTCAGTCAGTCTCCCTCCAGCCAAGCGCAGCCAGTTTTCCTCTCTCCAGTATTTTCGCAGTTTTCGTAAATTTTATATTTTCGAAACTCCTCATCAGCCAGTCACACCCCTTTTCGAGTCGGGTAAGTTAGTATGACACTAATGTAACGGGGGGGGGGCATACCAATGGCTGTAGCAAATACGGGTAAAATATACTGGATTTCGACTTATTTTATTTGTTTTTTTTTTCTTTCAATTTCTCAGTTGTCAGTATGGGTCCTAAGAAGGCAGGGGGTAAAGGTAAAGGGTCAAAAGGACCATCGAAACAGCCAAGCGAAGTTGGTGATATGGATTTAAATATTAATGTCGAAATCGATCAAGTGGAAGAAGGGGGTGAGATAGTGGCCTCACTCCCTGTTCAAGAAGAAGAAGCCAAGAGCAGCTCGAATAACGATGGTAGAATTAATTTTTATATCCTTATCTGATTAAAGTAAAAAATAATTTAATGTATTAAATGCTAAACCTGTAACTGGTATGTACTTGAGCTTAACTAAATAAAGTTCATGTTTTTCAGGAAAGTCCAAGGGCAAAGGAAAGACGGGTGAGGTACCTCCCCAAACCGAGAAAAAAGGAACCACCATGGATGCTGAAGTACTTGTCGCCTCCGCGACTTCCTCGGACGAGAATGTTGAAGAGGATGATGAAAAGGATAAAACCCAAATCATAGCTTCTCCCAAGCGTAAGGGACAATCATATTCATAACTCGTGTGTTGTAATTGTCCAAACTAATTCTAAATTAGAATTCCTAATAATTATTATTGCATATATAGGTAAAGCAACTGTGGAAGATGCAGCAGGACCAAGCGAATCCAAAAAGAAGAAGGACGACGACGGAAATCTTCCTTCGAGTAAGGCGCAGGACATGTTAATTTTTAGTCCACTTGTTAAGCATATATTTTTTTATTTTAGCGAAGGCAAAGAAAGGTGCTAAAAAAGGGAAATCTTCAAAAACTGGGAGTGTAGTATCGGGTAAGAGATTATCTTCATTCTTGTAGCTTGTATGCAAACTTAAAATATAGTAAAAGTTACAATATTTGTCAGAATTAGGAGAAAATGCCTCTGCCGGTAAGGCGAATGTCAATGGAACTGATAAATTAGTCCTGGGTGCCATAGCCCAGCTTGAAGATATACTCTCGGATGATGAGAACGATTCTTCTAAACCTGGTAATAATTTGATTATTTATTTTCAATTTTACGTAATAAATATTAACGTTTTTAATAATTTGTTCTGATAGTAGTCGAAGCTAATGGGGCGTCATCGGCTCCGGAGAAAATGGAATCAGAAGGATCAGTAGAGCAAAGCGAAGAAAGTATGTTATTATTTTATTTAGTAAGTGGTCAATAGTATAGTGTAGTATTAATGGTACTTAGGTGAAGACGGGGCCTTGCCAACCCAAGCTAAACCGACGAGAAAGGTCAGAGGCAAACCTAAGACGGCAACAACATCAGCACGTAAGTTATTTTCAAATAGTGGATGTTGATTGTCTTGTCTTATCGTATTGTGAATGTAATTTTATTCCAGTGAAAGAAGTGAAGGGTAACGCTCGCAAAGGTAATGAGGGACAAGGATCAATAAATTATGAAGTAAGCCTGATTAATAAACTGACGAGTTTCTTCTTCTTTTTCCTAAGTAAAAGGCGCCGAACCAGTGCGCACAAATCCTCGCCGGAACTGCAAAACTGATGTCAGTTACAAACCTGGCAACGAATCTCAAGAGAAAGCCAAATTGGCTGGCACGTCCCAGGAAAAGCCAAAAGCGTTCCGGATAAATAAGAAGAATCTAAAGGAAAAAAGTGCAAAATCTGAGGAACACGAGTCGGAAAATGGTATAAATAATTTTATACCAATTTTTTTATTCCTACGTAACTTTATCATTTGAATGGACAATTTATTTGTGACTATATAGAAGAACGTGAGGTTGAGGAAGCACCGAAACCTAAAAGGTCTGGCAAAACTACAACCGCTGCGAAGAAACAAATGCCTGTCGCCGCTGCCCCTGCCGCCAAAGGACGCGGAAAGAAGAAATAGTGTGAAAATCATACAAATCACTTTCTGTTCAATGTATTTTTCGTAAGTTTAGCTTTATATTTAAATTTACGTAATTTTCCCATGATTTATTCTCTTATGTAATGACTTAATACTTTAATACATTACTAAAATTTCAACCTGATCCGTTGTTTTATAAAAATGAAATCATTTTGTATCATCATCTAACATCGAGATTAAAGTAAATTTCACCTGACACCACTTTGTACAAATAAAAGGAGTAAGAAGCTATTCAAAAATTAATTCAATTCAAATTTCGTTTGATTGATTATGGACATCCGTAAATTAGAGCAAATATGTCGAGTGGAGCTGTCATAAGTTTAAGACATAATTTGCATTTGTTTCAATGTCACATTAATGCTTTGAACTCGTTATTAATAATGAAAACTATTTAATCGATTGTTCATTATCCTCAATTTTGATTATTGATTGTTATTGACCACCTCGTACTCAGTTATGTTGCTGTGCTCGCATTCCTGATATTCATGATTAATAATCTCATTCCGCTGTGTCTCCCTTGCAAATCTGTGTTAAAGAGATTCATAGTACACATAGTTATGCATATCATTATTATGGATGGGAAACACGTCCACAGTGATCTTATAACGCAAGTACGTGCCACCCTCGCCATTAATGACCATCACAATAGGCGATGGAAATGGACTAATTTTATCATATGCACAACAAGTGACACAATGTGGCACAATCAATCAATCGGTTTTTGACCACATTGCTAGGTGGAATTAATCATAAATATCAAGTCAGTTTTATTTATGGATCTCTTCTTCTTATCAGAAACATTGTCTCCAAATCTGTAACAATAATGTAGAGCTTACAACGATGGTAGGCAACCAATTAGGAATGAGGATTTATTTTCCATAAAAGGACGCGTGCAATTATGAAGCATAGCGAATCGCCAGAGTCCATGGAGCAGCCGTAGAAATTAAGATGTAAATAAGTACATGTACAAACTAAGTCTAAAATTGATACTCTGTGTCTCGCAGGTGCATTTCAAACTTGGGAATTTCATACTGTGATTGTGATAACAATAGCCATTCATAATGATGATTCGTGCATCTGCTTCTCCACTCCTGACATGTCTGTATCAAAAGAACGAGGCCGGCCGTTCACAGGAAAATGGAAAGTGCATTTTATTACCGTCTCAGAATTTTTTATTATTTGCAGGAGCTTAATAATACGTGGCTTAAAGGAGCATCTGTTGATAATTACGACTGACTGAGTATTTGCTGTGCAACTTATTTATTGTCGAGTTTACTTTAACAGATTTTTCTACTTCACACACACCCCCCTTGGAAGTTGTAACCTTAATAATAATAGCAATATTGGTAGTTTAATATGAGATGCAGTTTGCATATATACCCATCCATGGTTTACATTTGTGTGTATAATAATAGCATGAATAATATTGTAAGTGTCCGTAGGATGAATAATAATAAAAGGGTTGAACAAACTCGCATTAGAGTTTTTCATTTCGCATAGTTAGTCAATATAGTGGTCAGCCTTTTGATAATTAATAAGAACAGATTCCAAGATATGCATACGTGTGCTGCACCTTCCACTCTTTCAGACTTGATAATAATACAAGCAGACATTATTTATTTATATGTGGATTAACATTCACCTTTAAAGAGCAGAATAAAATTAGCCTGTATTTTATCTGAATAGTTTTCTCGGCATCCACACCCTGCACTATTATACGTCTGGTACAATAATCACTGCATTTTTAATTGGCTTTCAGCATTTGCTTAACCAACAGTTAAGAAGGTGTGAAGTTGGGAATGAATGATTTCTAGAGTAAACACTCGTCCCCATTTGTATAAATATCTTATTGCCCAATGCAAATTTTTACAAGATAGCTTCTTGATCGATGAATTTTATTTGGTAAAGAGAAATGCGACCAATCTTAAAAATAAATAAGCATACTAGATTTCGACGGGTAACATTTTGACACTATTAACACGATGAAGAAGCTTATCTTTAAGCTTAAATAGACAACAAGCTGTCTCCTGAGGGCAAACATATGTACATCTGCATACGTACATAGTTTGACATATGAAATGCAATTTTCTCCGCAGGCAGTATTAATACTTTAGCGTAGTAATTCATCAATCGTTGATTCTTCTATATTTGCTTAAATGACGCCACATCAGTTCAGTTCATAAAGTGTGGTGACTATTTATTATTTTGCTACTCATGTATGTATTTTGAGCGTTGTTTTCACAAAATGATGTGTGCATGAAATATGTATGAATACCTAATTGCGAAACCCAATCTTTCACAAAGCCCTGCCACATCACAGCATCTGCAGAATTCCCCAGTTTCCTTACATGTCCGGTTCCTTGTTAAAAGAAAGGGATAATTAGTAGCAAGCGTCATCCAAACTTTCTTTTTCGCATACATTTTTCATGTGTGTGCGTGCATTTTTGAGCCGTTGGTCAGTGTGTGAAACAAATCTCACGTCGTAGGAAATGGAATTATCTGCAATGACTGGTATGCACTGAGCGCCGTCCATCTCATCCTCAGCATATGCACATACATACGTACGTTGGCTTCTTTTGTTGGTTCAGAAGAAAGTGAGTGTCAAGGTGTCATGTTGAATCACACTTGAAGCTAATTCTTCTTACAGCAGCAGCAGGTGAACACGGTTTTAGTGCCATAAAAGTTGCACGGCTAATTACGCTCGACGCTTTATTATATGAATTTGCCTGCACACAAGGAGGTTGCCGGTAATGAAATCCCATTAATGAACACACCCCCTCACTCACACAACAACACTTGCGCTCCGTGCCTTCGACAAATTAGCGAGAAAGAGAGAGTCCGCTGCCGTCGGTATTATTGTAACGGACTAATAATGGAAACAGGATAGGTTAAAACGGTGATTAATATGGGCGATTTTATTTCTCTATAATGTGAAGTAATGTAATACAGCATATTATTTGATACGGCTTCAAAAATATATGTAGTATAGTAATTAGGCGTCTCATTTCCCCTTATTCGGATTTTCAACCTTATCCAGAAATTGTTTCGTATCGACTGAATAATTATTGTAGGATGTTGGGACATTTGAAAATATGAATGTATATGCAATAATATATGCGAGTCTTGTATATTATTAATTGTTACATGCCTACTGATAAATGAGAGGATGGTAAAGTGTTGAGGAGGAGGGGAGAATTTGCAATTTGCAATCTATTCATGGCATCACACAGCACTTTAGATTAGCCGATGAGGCTGAGATGACCACTACCACTTGCACGTCGAATAAGATGACTAGAACGTGTCGACTTGAGATTGTGAGGGGTGTGAGGTCGGTGAGGCAGGGATTATATGAATTTCCTTGATGATGATGACCATGGCCCAAGAAGAGGACGATGTGTACATGTGCAAGCATAAAAAGATGTGCATAAGCTAAATGCACTAAAATACATGCACTAAAAGGGACGCATTTAACAGGGTTTTTAAATATTATTGTAATTTAAAAATAGAAAGAACTACGAGACGGATCTATCAAACCAAAATATAAGTCACTGTTTTGCACCATCATGGTTTAGTTGCCATTTTTCACCTTCCACGGTCTCATGTGTTGCTTTGAAAACTCTAACCTTCGGATTATTTAGACCTTATCAATACGTAGGTAAGTGATTTTTTAAACAACCAGTCAAAAAACTTTATAATTTCCTATATTATTATTTGTTAGCTGTTCTTGTCAAACCGGACATAATCGTGTGGTCAAGCATTATAGTACAATTTTTTAAGAAAATGGAGCATTGTCAAGTGCAAGCCTTGTTGAAGGCTATTCTCGGTCTTCTTCTCCTCAACTTGTCCATAGTCCACGTCAATTCATCGCCAATTCAAATTGAGCAGGCATCATTCCAGGGATTCCAGCCCATCGTATCCACCTCAAGCTTCCAGCAGCAGCAGCCAAACATCCCTCATCGGGGGCTGAATAGAGAGGCTACCTCCTCGAAGGCGAAACCCGACAACTTTGTCATGAATTTCCAACAATTGACCAGAAATGGGGCTGAGATTGTGAACGTCAGGCCATCAAGAAGGACGATTTTTTCCACCCTGATGTCTCCCTTGATTTCCATGCGTGAACAAGCGATGAGCATGTTGTCAACTTCCCTGCAAGGCTGTCAAAGTGGAAATTCGTCAATGTGGTGTCGCTTCTGGGGCATGTTTTTTAACTGAGAAAATCGAGACAGCATTTTGTTATTGTTCTTGTTAAACCGTTTCAGTTTTGTTTTCAGTAGCCAAATGAATTTAATAACTTATTTGTTTTTATTGTAATCTTGTTTTACGCCAGTGCGTTTCAGGCCAATTTTATCAATTGCCTATGAAACAATTATCTATGTATCTACCAGAGAGATAATACAATTTGTATCACACCAAGTGTGCCTTTGTAGCTTTGCATATCCAATGTAATGCATTATTTTATAAAGAAAATTACGAATAATAAAGTCAGTATAATTGCTTTATTAATGATACACCGTTTTAAGTAAATGAGTCTTATTGACAAGTTGTGACGTGGAATGGTTTCAATGATTGAGCCTATCTGTATGTACATCTGTATGTACATCTGTATGTACACTGGAATTTAGTAATGACTTCTTGAACGTCTTCAAAGCAGTCTAAAAGTTCCTTAGGGCTACCGTGAACTTGAACTTATTAAACGTCTTTATGAAGCGAGAAAAGCTTATCAAGGGAATGACGCAATTCAAGCTTGTCTGAACAATATCAACAAGGCTTTAAATTATCTATAGCCGGGAAAGGCTGAATAAATGCTTGCCACTTTGCCTTTATAGGTTTGTTTAAATTATTTAGTTAAACGATTGATGTGAATTATTTATTATTTTATGCTTTCCCTATACACACATGTACTGATAAGTACGTGTACTATAAGACCATAAATTGGATAATATTATGACAAAACTCTGCACGCATGTTTGACCCATATGCCATGAACACATATTACATCCCAATTTTAATTGGCTGTGGCTAAATATTGAGGGAATCTTTTATTGGAGACGTGAGAATAGATATGTTCAATTGATGATTGACGATTGCTGTTATGGGCTGTTTCATTTTAAGAAGTTAATAAATACGTGTGTTTTTTTACTAATATTTTATATTTAGTACTTTAAATTATTTTGAGTACAAAATGGCATTTACATTAGTGAGTCCTGACAATTATGACACTTTGATTAAAACTTTGGAAGGGCGACTTCCACGATCTGCAATGGTGAGGAAATAAATATTTTAAAAATTTGTATTATGTACTCGTCTATGTTAATGTATACTATGAACATTTTCCAAATGTTTCAGTCGTACAATGTTCTGAAAATGCTCCGTGGACACTTGCACCCTCCAACAATTACTACCGAGGTGTACGCCTTCAATGGAACTATTGTGAAAGAACAGAACACGGACACTGTCTTTATTTCAATAATTCAATATCGAAAAGTATGCTTAGTTTTCTTACATTTGCAGACTATGTGTAATTAAGGACGAAAGTATGTACGTCTGTTTAATGTGTACAGGTTTACAACGATTACGCCGTAATCATCTCGTCACCTGAAATTGTCAATCTTGAAATGACGAGTGCATTAGACAAATTAGTAGACTGGAGTCTTCCAATATGTTTTTGTGCTGTGGATGAAGCATTTTCAGAAACCGTTGCAGAATTGTGCTTACGAAATGGTCAGCTTGAAGCTAAGGATCAATGCCAGTTCATGGCTATGAGCAGAGATAAAGCAGTTTCAATTGATGTGGATGTGCCGAGGTCCTTTAATAATCATTGATCTCATAAATAGTAAAAGTATTCAGAAATATTTTGAAATGTAATTTGTTTTACTAATTTGCATATCTCAGCCTACCAGGAGGGGAATCCATAGTCGTAAAAGAATTATCGCCAGGCGATGGCGGTCTTGTTGCGCGACGCTGGAAATTTTCTAGCGAAGGAAGCGAGACGATGATTTCCGATACCATTAAGCACACGGGGTCGGCCGGGGTCTACGTGAGTGGGGAATTGGTCAGCTGGGTGGTTATTTTTGTAATTGGGTCCATCAATGCGCTTTACACAGAAGACGCCCAAAGAGGAAAAGGTTACGCGGCTCTGACGATGCGAAAGGTGTGTAAAGTGGCTGGCGACAAGGGCTTGGTTCCAAACGTGCAGGTTCAGATTGGAAATACAGCTTCAAAAAAGCTTATGCACAAAGTTGGGTTAGAAGATTCGCATATCGTTGAGTGGATAAGTTACAACCCAAATACTAGTCTATAACCACGATGCTTATATATCGTACAAAGAATTAACGGGTTATGCTATTACTTATTTAGAATTATTCCTGGTAGTTTTTAATTAGTTGATGTATGTATATGAAAATATGTAAATCGATTATAGTTTCGTAATCTCCACTTGGATTGATTAATTTATAATTATGATAATTTTCAGACCATAAGTGTTGCAATTATTCTATTATCAGCATGTCTTACATATTGCGATTTCACCAATAAAAATTATGATGGAGGTGATTATTCAATCGAGACCTTCACAGAAACCAATTTACTAATTGTGTTTATTTTTTACCATGTGTCAATAATGACTTAATAAATATTTGTAAGAAAAAAAACCTGGAAAGCAAACAATATCCCAATAAATATTTATCTCATGCATGCAACTTATTCGCACATGCATTTCGATCATTATTTTGGTGGAATTTAGAGCTTATTAAGAGAAACTAAAATGCTAAAATCCGTAATATTTTATTTATATTTTCCTATGGTAAAGCTCTGCTCGTTGATGTTCATATTTCCATTTAGCATTCGACTTCGTAACAACGAGTGCGAGTTCGGGATTTCAAAAGCAAGAAAGGTGATTGTTACATATTCTAAATAGATTATCATAATGAAGAATTATGATTGCCAAACTCTAATTCCAATCCCAATTCATTCACTTTTCCTTGTTGCAGATTGTCGGTGCATGTTTTCATTTTGGATGGAGGCTGCATGCAATTCTTTCACTACGAAAAGATCTTCAAGGATCCGATCTAACCCAGGATCCTCATCAATTGTACAAAATAGCAAATAGTGCTACCTTTTATGCCTCCAATCTTATTTTTTCATACATTTGCCTCGGAAAAGTCGCTTTCATTCAAGATTTGATGATCACGATGTATAAATACAGCAAAGAAATGCAGTTTCTTAACACATCAAAAAGGAAAGTATGATCACCTTTGCAAAATTCACTACATATCCATACTGAACATAATGTTGGATTAATTGTATAGTTTACAGGGTTTGGAGTCCTGATATGTGTGTTGTACATAACTCAGGGTGTAGTGACGTTTATTCTGGAATCTGAGCTATTTCTTTCCGGATACGAAGACGGCTCATTTTTTGTTCAATTTATCAATCAGCTACATGGTCAAGTTTTGCATCTGTTGTTCGCCACTCAAGAAACTAACGCCACACTTTTGGGGTCTAACACTTTTTCAGTTTGGAAATTGTTTTCGGCGATGATTTATATAATTTTGGAAGGGTTTCATACCATCGCATTCACAATGTCGGAATGTCTGATTTGTGTCTCCTGCTTGGCAATTTACACACTATCCAAGGAGTTCAATGACGATATTCAGAATCGTGTGGTATCACCCAACAACCTGCAGCAAGTGAGACAGTAAATCGATCCGTATAATTAACATACAAAAGTAAAAAGTAGTATGCATAAAAGTAATCGGAGTTAAATTAAAGTTTGCAGATCAATTCCGAGAAACAAAGCGTTTGGTAAATAAAATTAATGCAGCAATTGAATTACAGACAGTCGCCTACTTTGTGTCTGCAATTCCTTACTTTTCCATAAATCTGATCATGATATTTGGCCCAAGCGACTGGTCATTGAAAGGTCCCGTCGTATGTAACTTACTGATCTATAAATTTAACTTGTGGCTCGCAGCAGAAGCAAACAGAAAAGTGATTTAGTATTATTTTTGAGTACTTCAGAATCACAAGTAAAATTTAATCGTATTTTTTTATCGCAGTTTTTTGAATTTCGAGAGTTTGTGTATGACAATTGGGGGTCCGACGCATCTACCGAATTAGTCGACAGACGCAGCGTGTTATTTTTGAACGAACTGGTGACAACAGATTGTGGACTCAAAGGGTCTGGATTTTTTACCATCTCCTACAGCTTTTTAGGAAATGTAAGCGATAACAAATGTCTAATAGTATTTGTTATTAATAACATTGTATTTTTATTGAATTTTAAGTCATTCAGCATTTTCTTGACGTATCTTATCATCGTCTTCCAATTTCAAGTATCCAGATCGAGATAAAATTAGAAACGGCAGCTTTCTTGAGCAATTTATCAACGCCCTTGTCCCTCACGAGGACTATTTGTCATATTATTAATGTAAACAAATTAGCAGAATAGTGTCAACGCCCAGCAAAAATACATACATTTTATCGTCAGTAATCGATTGGTCATGTTTAATTCAATTAATTAAAAAATTGTGGTCAAGTGAAATGCGCAGTATGAAATGTTATTCTAACAGTGAAATTTCAAAGTTAAGTAGACACGCACTTACGTAGGTGTAAAATTTTTGTATCTGTACAAAATGTCAAAGCTAAATTCAATTACTGTGCATAATTTTCATCCAATTCTGCCCGAAGTATTTGCTTCCGAAGCTGTCGAGTTTGATTTAAAGAAATTCAGGCGACGAAACCCACCCAAAATTTTCAAAACCAATGTTCTTGGTATTTACAAAATATTTTATAATTTTCTATATTATATTTACGTTGTACCATGTAAAGTACAGTACGACTCAACCGAGGATAGCATACAAATTCATGGATCGAAGTATAAAAAGGTCCATGATCTAATTTTAAATACGTTTCTTATTTTGAATAGTAAAAAAATGTTGATATTTTACAGAGATTAATATTTTACAGGGAGTCTGTATTGTTCTTCACATCGTTCACTTTATCCACTCCTTACCACCCATTTATGGGTCAATTAATGAAATAACGATGCACGTTGGGTCCGACCCGTCTGAATTCTATCGAATGCTGTTCATATTTGCTAGTTTCATAATGATTATGACATTTTCTATCGCTTGCATGACACAATTTCGCTTGCAAAGATTTCTGACACATTTATACCAATTCCGACAAAAAGAAACAAAGGTTACCAACCTATCTATACTTACATACATACATAAACCTGAGAAAAAATGCTATATATCAACCATTGAAATATTAATTTAATGTTACTTTGTATATTTCAGAGTAAGCACCGTCTTGTTGCATATTCTCTAATTTTCGTAGGTTTCTCCATCGTTGCAATCTACGTCGTCACATTGAAAATTGTCAAGTTGGATTTCAGATCACTGCAACAGTTTGTAGATTCTGGAATCCAAGATGTTGCGAGACATTTTCAACTCAATACCAACCAGAGTAACATTTTGGAATTTATGTCGAATAATAATATGACACAAATTAGTACCCAATTAGACATTGAAATAGTTGGGAAGCTAGTTTTCATTGCATTGCACCTTTTATTTGCCACGTTTAATTATATTTTGGCCGTCATGTTGGAGGTGTTGGTGTTCCTCACATGCTTTGCAGTGTGTCAACTAGGATACGACTTTTGGGATGCAGTAAAGTCGGGGTCCTGGAGTTTACAAGAGGTTCGACTATACTATATTTATGTATTTATTATGTATCTATCGCACTGTAACCTGCAACATGCACGACTGTTAAATTGTTACCCTGAGCCAGGGCTTCATTTTCGTATGTCTGTCCTTCGGACTGCCGACTTTGACCTACTTCGAAATTAAATTTCGAAAAATTCTGTACTAGCTGATCCATACTCGTTTTTATAATTGGTAAAAAAACTGAACTTTTACATAGATACACGGCATGTAAAAGAGCATGTATTACATGCTTAAAGATTACACTTTATACAAATACATAGGTTCTATATTATATGATCCTTTTGTACATAGCTCATGCAGTGCTACGAAGAAATGCAGTCGGTTATGGACGAATTGAATGCAACATTGGGCGTCCAAATACTGTCGTTTCTGGTCGCAGGAATTCCATATTACGGAGTGAACATAGTCAAAATGTTTGATGAGAATTGGTTTCAAAAGTTGGAAACTATTTACTTCCTCTTGCTATACAGTAGTGCACTACTTTTAGCTGCTGAGGGCCATCGCAAAGTAATTGACTAATTTTCGTGTTATCAAATTAGACAAATTAGATTTTATAACTCTTGTTGTGTACATAATTGATGCAAATGAATTCCGCAGTTTCAACAATTTCCTGAATTTATTTTCCACGCCCGTAAACAGTTTGGAGCAAATCATGAAGAACTTTCAATTTTTCTTACCCAGATGACCACGTCACAAATTGGATACAAAGGATTCGGATTTTTTACAGTGCGATATGGATTTCTCGGAAACGTGAGTCACAACCATTCGATTTGTGTAACATTATTTATTAAGAGTAACCTTTTGAAATGGAATTACAGGTACTGGGTTTGGTGTTGACACATGTAATAATTATGCTACAATTTAAGACTACTGGAAAATGTTAAGAATTTTGCAAAATACAAAACATTTGTATTCAAATGCAAATCGAGTATTTAAAACAGGTTTATAATGATAGGAAGATATGAGCCAGAAATTTGTTACAAGCATTTACAAATGAATGCGTTCAGTATAATTTATCGTACATAAATAAAATAGCAGTCACTGGAATGAGCAGTGCAAAACATTTTTGCATACCGCTTGGACCTATTTTTGGCAGGTATAATAATACGAGGTATAATAATGAGATGAGCCATGAGTTAAGGTACGCATTATGAAAGTCTTCGTAGCTTTGTAACAGCTATAACTCTACAAAAGAACATAAAAAAGCTTGAAATTATAAAGTGTAAAATAACCAATGTGCAATCATAGTCACATATGCAGCGTAATATTATTAGTTCGTACATGCTGTTACAAGGTTGAGTATGCATTATAGTTATCAAAAAGGTGTTTAGCTCCTTTACGTAAAAAGAATGGAGGCTGGCGTGGATATTCTGGTGGCGCATCTTCGTCATCTTCAGCAGCATTTGATGTCGGTTCAAGTGCAGGGGACCTAAAAAATAGGGCATCTGAGTAACAGGGAGGAGCTGTAATTGTTCAGAACAAATAAAACTTTGTGTTTGGCCACAGTCGAAAGAAACGCTTTAGCACAAATTTGCATGTGTATGTGTAACTCACGAGTTTCTCGTCCACCTAAATGTCGCCTTGGTGGTGCGGATGATGGTCCAGCTACGGGCTCTCCAATTTCAACCGTTTCCATCCACAATGGTGCACTTGCCCTTCTTGACGACGTTGGTGGAACTGCTAAGAAATCCAGTAAATTTGGAGGTGCAGTGCCATTAATATGTGGGGAATGATCAGGGACGACCATTTCATCCCGGTCTGCATACTCAATCGATGCACCAAACACTTCTTCTTGTAGAGCCAAAGGGGGTGGCCCGTTTTGTCTGCTCCGTCGAACTGGAATTGTACCAATCTGCAGCTTCGTGGTGAAATCGATCTTATCATTGTCAGAAATACTCAGATTTGCCTGCAAAAGACAATTTCACTCTAATATATTAGTGTTCGGTTTTGGTTAGTGCTGTTCACGAGCTGGCTCGAGTCATAAGATTAACATTGGCTCGGCTCGTTGTACTCGAGCCGAGCCAATGTTAATCTTATGACCCGAGCCAGCTCGTGAACAGCACTAGTTTTGGTCAAGTGTATGTATTTTGTATTAGTAGGAAGATTATACCCTTAAGTAATATTGGACATCAATTAGACGGCATGCTCCTCCTAACGCGGTTGGTGGTAGTGGCAGTACTACAATTGAGCTATTCCATACTTCTATCGCGTTTGCAAATACCATTGGTCCATGAATTTCATTTGTTTTGCTAAAGTAGCGCTTTACTTTGTCCTTGATTTTGTATGTTTGTTCCTGCATTACGATATGTTCAATAAGTGCATAACATATAAAGTGATCCAACATTCAAATAAGTATATATGCATGTGAATACCTGAATTAATGTCACACGGACGCCACGAATGGGTGGATGACCTCCTTTGCTCAGGGAAAATTAGATCATTTTAAATTTTGGTAATTATAATTACTCTTGGATTTATTTACCATCATTTCTAAAATCCACGGTAGCAGCAAACTTTACAGTTTCTCCTGGGACGTAGGCTCTTCTTTCCAGTTCAAAGGTGAGTTCCAAATGAGTATTCCCATACATGTTGTAAACTTGCAAAGATTTGTTCTCGACGTGCACCTCTTTATATAAGCGGTCCAAATTCCGCAAATCGTAGCATCCCAAGACCATGATTTCTGCTTCTGCTTCACAGCGATGGTCCCAGAAGGAGTAGCGCACGATAATTTCCATTCTATACCTTATCCAGCCATATGGGCCTTCAAACGACGCTGGAATGTTTTCAGGTAACTGCCATGTAAATGGATATTCATAAGTTCCAATGGAAAGTCGGTGGTCCTCTGATGAAGTTTCATCCTCGTCTAAATAGTATGAATCCCATAAAATGTAATGGTCTTATTGGCAACAGGTCGTAAGCGGTAATTGAAAGAATGATGTTAGATCATTAATTTTCCTACCACTTCTGTGCAACATTTTGACATCCTTTATGATGAAATATTTATCGCTGTATTTCCGTGAAGAAAGTCTTCGGTGTCCTCGTCGCGCGACTTGACTGTCTTCATGGATGCAAGTCACCTTTGCTTTCCCCAGCAGATTCATGTTCAACCCTGTTATGCACATGAAATTTCAACAATTTCCGTGTGTATGAACAAATATAATTATAAGACATTTACCCAAAATATGTTTTCCTCGATTCACAACAAGTACTACTTTTCCAGTGATGTAATCCCCTGGAGCAAATTGTGCGGATGGTTGATCAAAATAAATATTAATATTATTCTCACTGGCCGGACACATTGTTTTATTTGTACTTTTTAGCAGTTTGATTTGAGGTATATAAGTTTTGTTCAAATATGTGAAACCGTGTAACAATTTAGATGTTGTCGAATCGCCTTCCTAGCGAAAAATAACCCGAATTACTTTACCGTCAGCATGATTTTATCACCAGTTACAACGTAGTAACGCATCAGAGCCAGAGCTGAAAAGCAGGAGAATTCATGCATCTGACAGAAAAAAGCGTGCGAAGTTTACAAACAAAACCCAGAAATCGGGTTTCGGGTAGTCTCGCCGTACACTGAGTCATCCGAATCGGAGTTCAGGTCTATTCCTACGTCAATACCGACCTAAATACGCTGAGAGATGTAGTAGATGCTGGGAAAGTGTTAAGAAGGATCATGTTGACTTTCATGACGCGGATGGGTGCAGAAACGCACACCGAGCACGAGACCCGTACTACTACGATGCTTTTACTTCCTCAGAATTACTGGAAATAGTGTGACGTATAGAGCAGCCAGACACCATTACTGGTCCATGCTCCGGGATAAATTGTACGGATAAAATTAGAACACAACTTCTATTTTTGGACAGAAATACGTCAAATATTTATTTTCGTCGTAAAGTAGAGTACAATAGTGTAAAAATAGAATAAGTATTCTGAGAAAGACCCACTTTCAGGTGGACTTAGACTTAACACTTGATTCATCAGGATGTATTTGGCACCTGAACTTTTCCAGCGTTCCAATTTCTCCTTGGCTAAAATCCCTGGTGCATCGGGAGTTCTTTTCACAGGTGAAATAATACGAATCACACTCTGGACAAGAGATTTTCATCCAGTCTCCTGAAAATACTGGTGCAAAGATTTTTCCGCACGGTGACCCAACAGAACTTACACATGCCTCAGCAGAAATGTCGTACTTCAGAAATGAGTCATAACACTGGCAACTGCCATTGATGCAAGCAAGACCACGAAACACGTTGCAAAATTCGTTGGAACATATTTCCTGGTGACTCTTCATGCATTTTCTAAACGGAGTTGTGGAAAATCCAGTGTTGCATTGGCAAACGTGCTGATCCGGGCTTGATTTCTTCTTAACACATGCAGCATCCTTTACACACTTTCCTAAAGAAACCTCATCCGGGTCACAGTAGTCTCCAGCAAGTCCAATGCATTTGTCTAGCTGGAAGTCATAAACCTGATGTAAGGGATTTTTGCAGTTACAAATTTTGTCAATGCAGCTAAGCCCTGCATCAGTATTGCACAACTCCTTTTCGCCGAGGCAGGGCGAGAGGTATCCTGGTGGAATAGGTTCACACATTCTCTCCCCGTTGACCCGGTAATCTAACCGACATTGACAAGTTCCAGATCCATAAAAATCGCAAACTGAATTAGGAACACAATATCTCGTGCAGTTCCCACCAGCATAAGAGACACATTTTTGCAGTTGGGAGTCAAAAAATTGATCTTGCTTGAAAGGACATTCGCAAACATTTTTGACACAAATCAATTCCGAGTCTGGATTGCATTTCCTCTTGTCATCACATCCTTCTCCATGTTTCGCCATTGGTACACACTCGCCCTGATCGTTTTGGTAATTGGTGTAACTACAGGCACATCGGTGGACACTGTATTGATTGTTTTGACCGTCTCTGACCACTTCAAAATTTGTCAAAACACAAACAGCATTTTCCGGACATGCAACTGTTGATGAATTTACCAATCCTATAAAGAATCCACAAGGTTCTCCTACTTTGGCGAAGCATTTTTGCTGCTCTTCATTGTAAATTAGATTATCGTATGCACATTTGCAAAGGTTATCACGGCATTGGAGCCCTTCTGATAGATTGCACGATTTTGCTGTTTCATTGCAGGCAATTTTTGAGGCAGTTAAATCAATAATTATGTCTTCAGTCGTAGAATTATTGCTCACTTCCAGCGTCAAATTAGTTGTATTTCCTCCAGATGCATACACAGGAAGCAGTAGAAGCCAAAATACGGACAGTTCGATTCCCCAGTACTTCCAATTGTGAATAGATTTCTGTAGAAAGTACAGCAGATTGGGAATACTAATTATAAATTTAATATGATATAATAATAGTAATTACCTTCATCTTGGAGAAGATAAGGACAATTGAAATTTATTAATTTTGGCACAAACTTTCAATTACTTGACCGATTCGACTTGGTCAATAAAGTATGTATAAAGCTCTTGTAGAATAATAGCACGAAAGCCAGCTTTAGATCCACCAACATTGTTGGTTCGATAGTTCCATGACACATAAAGGTATTTGACCTGACCATGTACATACATTTTATATGACTAAATTGATGGTTGATGCAAAGCTTTAGTAGACCAGATAAAATTCAATGAGAAAAGTGGTGCTTCCGGTTTCCTTTTAGATAAAAAATTTTAGGATTCCTCTTTTCATATGAAGCATGCACAGTAATCATTCACAAAAATGCCCACAATAGATGGGTTGTGGCTGATCTGCATTTTATATTTATATATTTACATACAAATCTGCATAAGTAGAAAACCGCAAATACAAGATAGGCATATGTCATACTAATACTGCTGGATATTCAACAATATGTAAAAATTTATTAATGATTCTAAGAAAAACGATAATCATGTTAACCACAAATTTTAAACTTTTACAATTACGTGCATTACTTGATTACATCAATTAAAACATCCATTCGTTTTTGGTATAAATTAATATCGGAGGATGATGATATATTGGATCAAAGTAGTCCGGCTTCTTGGCATCAGTTTGTACTCGCTGCTTAAAGATAAGAGGTCCGTTGATGGTGGTGTAAATATCTGTCAACCCACGAGTGCATATTGACTTTTGCCATTCCCGAACAACTAAGGGTCTCATGAACACTGGGGTGTAAAAATTTCGGAAAGTATTCAGTTCTCTGACTGGATTCATCTGCCAGTTCCCTGGTTCGAAGTCCCCATCTTGATCGTCTTGTACTCTGTTCTCATTACTATCAGGAAATACAGCTCTCCCGTAAACATCGCCCCTGGACAAAGGGGTGTTATCTCGCGTGTGCTGAGCAAATAAAGTTTTTGCACATTGTTCTGTCAAGTCCCAGAGTCTCTTGCACATTTTATCGAAATCCTGTCCGCTTTCGAGTGAAACGTGCGGAGTGGATACCTCACAATCCTCATAGAGCAATCCTGTTTGATTTTCACAACTGCAGGATGTTACGCAGTGCAGAATAGTTTGGGCCCCCTAAAAAGTATTCTTAATATATTATTTGATTCGAAATTAAGTGGCTCCAGTACAGACTTACAGCATCAGCAGAAATTCCAGGAATTATCCCTTCAAATGTTTTCAATGGGAAATGACGCTTCAAATTCGTTTCACACTGAGGCGGCAGTACGGCATACGTTTTAATACCTGTTAGGCTACGAATTGCTAAGCGTTTCGTCAGCTCCTTGTGAAACATAAAGTTTAAAAATTTAGACCGAGCGTACGGACATGAAAGGACTCCGTTGGATGAGAACGCTTTCTCAATTTTATCCATCGTAATTATGCCCTCACAAAATGCTGGTCCACACAGAACATTGATGACTCTATATTTATATTCAAAAAGATAGATGTACAAATTAATTAATCAAATTAACTACATAAGAAATATTAAATTAATATGGTCTCACTTGCAAGACCGTTGCAGGGGGATCTCCATGTAACTGATTATGAGATTCGTGAGCATAAAATGCCCCAAATAGTTGACACTGAAATGAGCCTCATACCCATCGGGTGACAAGAGAGGGTTTGTCGAATTCTCTGGGAGGTAAATTGCAGCATTGTTGATTATGACGTCGATATGATCAAACTGTAGGGAATCGAGTTAACGATTAGTACATAACTTTATATCGTACTTTCTCACGAATAAGTGCAAACTATTTATTACTTTTTGTTAGACAAATGAAGATCTAAAAAACCTACCACTTCGAATATCTGGTACACTCCTCTCCAAATTGAGACACTGTTTCCTAGATCAATCTCCATAAATTGCTAAGCAAAACAACCCCCGCGTCATAAGTCTTTTCCAATTTTTCTCGTGAAAACTGCAAAATTATTCTCTTACTAATTTCTTTACGTAGTCGGGCTTAAAAGGTTGATTATGAGGCAAAGGACATAGAAAATCTTCTGGTGTCGCCCTGTATCCGTCTCTCTCCTCCACGTCCTCATGCTCGTACTCAGGGGTTCCCAACAAATTCGCCATGTAACGCCGAACGTTGTCTTGAACTTGCATGGTTCTACCGACGTCCGACCCTACCATTATTACGTATGCCCCTCGTTCGATAAATTCATACACTAGCCGTTCACCTATCCCTGAGTTAGCTCCGGTAAGTAGAATGACCTTGAGTGAATCAAAAGATATTGATTTTGATTTACTAATCATAAGAAAAATGTACAATTTGCACACAAATATTTTTTTATAAAAGAGAAAAAAACAACAGAAACCTTGTCTTTCAAATCAATTTCATTCCTTTTCCTGTGCCTCGCGTAAACTAGCGTCTTAAATAAAAGAAATAGAGTTGCACCAGAGAGGAACATTGCGTACACCTTGGTGGGTCGATCAAGGTCATGGTAAACTGTCCTTATGGCGTAGACGACAGGTCGTATGGCTTCCACTACATAGCGAACTTCTTTCAAATATGGGCTGACATTTCTCTTCAAAAACTCGTAAGGATTGCAGTTTCTGAGGCTCGCAATGATGTGAGGAAGAGTGAGACTGCCGTCTCGGATTTCAGCCAGGATTTCTTTTGTTGAGGTCCATACAATCCTTGCAAATGCGATACTGAGAGTACGAATGTGTCGGCACACCCATCTTGATCCAGATGCAAATTTAAATATACGAGATATTTGTGAAAATTAACGGTAATTAATAATTAATAAGTATATATAATATGTAGTGACTATTATGCGTATAAACTCACAGTGCGCTAAATCGGGGATATTCCCCCCTTTTAAAAACTTCCTCTAGAAAGAATGCCGTTTCTCTAGAGGATAGAGTAAGTTTTTCCCTTTCTTGATTTTGATGTCTGGGCACTTCTTCCGAGAGCTCAATCCCGTATGACTTTCTATTTCTGAACAAGTGCTCCATAATTTAGTTGGAGGAATCAGTAGAATCAAAGGTTATTGTCGTGGGGAAATATAGCAAATGAATGCACGATTGCTTGACATTAAGTATCTAGGTAACGCGTCTCCCTTAACGGTTGCGACAAATGGTCGAGTTACAAATAAAATAATTATTTTTAAAAATCTTTGGTTCTTCTCCCATGGGCGTGAGAACCAACTCTTTGACCTTTAATAACTTTTGAATGGGCAGACATGGAGACATAATTCTTGAGGACGAAATCGTCGTAATTTTTTGATTGATTTTTTAAGCTAAAAATCTTGAGGGTACTATGTCTAATAGTAAACTTGAAATTTGCAATGTGCAGCCTTTATTTAGCCCGAGTCAGGCGTTGCGGTTGTCGGTCAAAACGACCATTGACTGGTGGAGTGGCATATTTTTGAAAAATCTGTATGGATTAGTCCCTACGGTCTCACCCGTTATCAAAATTCCAACTTCCTACGACAAATTTGGGACTTTTTTATGACATTTAATATGTTTTCAGTCAACCCCTAACCACTTAAAAGACCCCCACCGACCTAACCGACCATGCCTATCTTCGAACTCATCCTTACTTTTGACCCGAAGATGAACTTCTAAAATTTCAGGTCGCTAGCTTGTGTTTAAAGAGAGTTATCGTGCGCACAGACATCTTGACAAATCTATAAGCCCATCTGAAAAGGCCTAAAAATTAGATTTCCCATTGTATATAACCCATGAGATATTTTTAACAACTTTTATTTTTTGAAATCTACAATGCAGAGTCCATTTAGCCCGAGTCAGGGATTCTGTCCCTGACTCGGTGAGTCCGAGCTCACTTCTATTTTTTTCGAATTCACCGACATGATAATATTACCAACCTCCTTGGTGTGGATGGCTAAATGTTTGTTAGATATTTTGTACTATTTGGCATTTTAACTTCATATTCTTTAATGAGAAATCATTAAGTATTACCGTGCCGGATTTAATGTTTTTCAAGCAATTTCTAATCGGTATGGGTCACCCCATAGGGTCCATCAAAATAAAATTCTACCAATGTCATTTCATATTCTTCCATTAGGCCCCATAAGCAACGTCTCTACCAGCTCGATATGACCATTTTGAAAAACCAGTATGGGTCACCCCATAGCTCCTCAAGAAAAATTTTCCAACTTAAATTCATTTTTTTCTAAAAAAAAGTCACTAGCTACCTCTGTACTAAATTTCAGCTTTCTACGACAATTTTGAATTTCGAAATTTTATTCCACTACTCACATGACCCCCACCGGTCAACCACTTGACCGATTTCGCCCATCTTCGAACTCGTTTCCTAACTTGTCCAAGATGTACATACATGGTAAAAATTTCAAGTCAATCGGTCAGCTCGTTAAAGAGTTATCGAAAAACAGACGGACGGACATGACGTTTCCATAAGCCCTGTCTCGGGCTAATAAAAATGAAAATTTCTTTTGTAACTCGGCCATTTGTCGTAACCTTATAGACTGATAAAGTGTCAAATTATCTTGAAATGAATGATTTCATTTTGCCATTTATGTATCATCCCTTGACTACGTTTAATAATATGATCATGCAATTTATGCAAATGAAAATGTAGTAGTTCAATCTGTGAGGGTGCGAACAAGGCATCAATTATTTTTCCGAAATGAAACATTTATTTGTCTTTTTAGTAAATACTCTCAATGTCAATTACACGTGTATACTTTTATGTAGGCAAAGGTATATTTACGTTAACCTAAGAACGTGGTCCGCACGATTTATTAATGTTAGCGTTCACATTATGTTATACGTTGGTGACCCGTTTCTCAAAAATCATCCTATGATTCGGCGGCATTAGGATAAACGATACGGTGGGGTCCAAATTTGGATTTGGATTGTCAGGGTCGGTAGAAATCCTAAAATTTTGTACAATGCTGGTGAGAAATAAGAAGAGTTCTTTTCGTCCCATTGCTTCTCCTACACACAGTCTTTTTCCTGCTCCAAACGCAAGAAATGCCTCATGTTTGACGGGCGTGGTTCCATCCGCGGCCAAAAACCGTTCCGGTCGAATTTTCTCAGGGTCACCCCAATAATTTTTGTCGTGATGTGCGCCGTGTAGGTTGAGAAGCACCATCGTGTCCTTCTGGATGTCGTATCCATGAAATCGTACATCTTGCATCGCATTATGGAAAATTGCCAAAGGAGCGATTGACGTGTAGCGAAGAATTTCATTTATCAAAGCTTGAGTGTAGGGCATGTTGGGCTCATCGTTCTGCTCAGGAGTCCGAGTGCCGATAACGTTTTCAATTTCATCTGCAAATTTCTGCTGTATTTCTGGATATTTGGCAAAGATGAGCATGCTCCAATGTAGTGTGCCTGCTAGCGTGTCAGTCCCAGCAAAGAAGAGGTCGATCAGCGATGACATCAAGCCTCTATCTGACCATAAAATAAAAATATAACATTATGCTTAAATTTAAATTGTTTATCTTGCGCTGTACATATGTATATACAATTTATTATCATTATGTATAATATTTGGATCGCTATATTGAACATATTGAATCGAAGTTTAAAAAAATCAAGAACGAATACCTCCAGCACGTTTGAAGAAGGAAGAAGTCGGATCCGTCGTCTTTTCCATTTCATGTATGTAGGCTGCATACAATTATAGACGTTTAAATTATTATAGCATTTTCATCGTTTAAGCATCTGTTTTGCAGTAAAACTTACCACCAATAAAATCATGGAATGTCAGGGGGCTGTTTACGTGGTCTCTTTTGTGATCATCAATATGAGTTTGTAAAAATGCCCAAATATCTTCCAGTTCGGAGTTGAGTTTATCGTATCCTGAAATGGCTGGAAAATATTTGCACAACCAAGGAATGAACATGAACAGGGCAGAAAGGCCATTATTTTCCTCCATTATTCTGCAATGTACGAACAATAGTAATGTGAATAAATAAATATGCGAATTACGTGATTAATAATGTGACGACGCTTATTTATCTATATCGAGGAATACGTACTTTGTGGACTTTGAGAAAATTTCGTACAGAGTGTGTTTATCTTCTTCACAGTCACGACCTGCCACGACATGCCATAAAATACTCAAGAGAGGTACATGAAACTTATTTTTCAGGTAAATTGGCACTGTAATAGAAAAATAAGCAAATTTTAGGAACTTCTCGTGTCTCTGTCTTATCCAAACACATTGCACAAGCTGCTCTCATTCAAATTCAACAACCTTCCAAGCTTCCTAACCTTACCTCCAACACTGTTCTCCATTCTGAGTAAAAATGACGAAATTTCCGCAGTTACAATGTTTTCAAACGATTTCATTCCGTAGCCAAAATCTTTCAATGACTTCAAAGCTATGCGTCGTTGTTCTGTGTGCTCTTCCCCTTGGGTGAACAAGATACCTGGGGGAAATGTTGCAGAAGCACGTTTAAGCCTTTGATGAAATATTATTACTGCAGTAGTTGGCTGACCTCTGCCCTGAGTATCTCTGGATCTTACGTGCCACATTAGCATATCCGGCCTTCCGGACAAAAGTGGATCTAAAAGTGCCTGTCGAATAAAAAAATATTTGTTATGTCCCTAGAACTATAGTAATCACACTTTTTATTTCGACATTGTATGTAAATTAAGCCTAACCTGTCGGATCATTCTGTAGTCACTGATGGCCACCGTTCTGCAGAAAGGAATAATTCATTAGGAAATCCCCCAAAAATGTTACTACTACTAATTAGCATTGTTATTTGTTAACCGAAAGCTGCCAAAGTACAGTCCAATAATTGGTCCATATTTCGCCTTCCATTCATTTTGGAATTTTAGAAATGGGGACTGCCCAATTTGTAGTAAATTTCCAAGTATGGGAATGCCCCGTGGTCCTAAAGTTGCATTCTTACATATTATACTAATTTTTGAGTATTTATTTAATCTAAAAAACTGCTATTATGGGGAGACTTACCAGGGGGAAAGTTCGGAGGTCTTTGAATTAGCTTCAAGTAAATTAAAGTAGCGATTGAAGAGATAATTATTAAAACGCCCAACATTGAAAAAATATAATTTGAGATAGAAATAGGACGTGTGGACTACTTGAAATCTTGTCAGGAACTACGTTGAAACATTCCTTCCGAGATTTTCGGGGGCTGGTTTAAGCGAAACGATGCATTATGCATATAACTTTTTTCTAACCTTAAAACTACATATCTAAGGAATTTAAAATTTAAATACATCCTCAGGTGAAGTGCAAATGGAAAATAAATGAATAAATAAAGTACCTCAAATACATATATAAGTACTCGGATTTCCAACTAAACAAATTACATTACGATGATCTCAAGCTATGTAAAAGCCAAGCTTAAAATATCTACATACATATGTACTAACATGCATTACATCAATGAGCTCAAACCTGCACCCTTAAGAGCCTGAGTGACTAACCGTACAGCAAAACTTTGCAACATTTTGTCGGCATTGTCACAAATAAAAAAACCCAGGAATATACATTGCATGCAATTCCCATGTCATAAAAAATATTACAGACTGACTCCAATTAACCTTTTCAGCATCAGCATCTTAAAAGGGCACTTAAAAGGAATATTTTGTAATAAAAATGAGGAGCTCTGCTCAGGTAATAATAATGGAGAAGGTTGGCGACGAGAAAATCATTTTGAGCTTTATTATATTTGGTCAAGTGCTTGTAATGGGCAATGCCCACTGGGCATTTCCATTACGTGTTCCAAGTGGATACGAAAATAAATAACAATTGTCCTTTAGAATTCGCTAATTGGAAAAATTTACTTGCTTTTAATTGCAATCTGATATTTTGCATTATTCTCTTCAATACATCGCATGACCGGCGTAATAAGTAGTATATTGTTATTTATTGCAAATTATAATAAGCTTGATCTCGTGTAGGTCAACAAATTTCCGGATTATTGAAAACACCATAAGGAGATGGCTTCTTTAAAAGCAATGCTCATTTTAGTTTTATTTGTTATTGAGGGTACATCCTCAATTGAACTTTTGTACCAAAGTTCCTGCAATAATAAAATCGTGTACAATGAAAAATTTATTTTTGTTGTGGTCATTTGTATTCATGTTCATAAAAATCCAGGGGGAAAGTGCAAATGACCGTCTTCTAGATGGACGCATCATGGGGAAGAAAAATCAGACGAATAGTGCCACTCGTTTTGACGATTTTCATGTAAGGAACATTTTCAAAACATTATTTAGACACTTTTCAGTGAAATTTATTGTTTAGTTTATTTCTGTAGGAGTATAATCTTGAATCAGCTAAGCCATCGCCTCGTCGTCGTCATCAAGATTTGCAACCCTGGCCACTTGCTGAAACTCTTCAGAATTCCCAGATGAATTTTGAGACCGTTCGTTCCTCTGAAGAAGCTGTCACGAAGAAACCAAGAAAGAAGAAACTGCGACGGCGTACACGAAAGCCAAAGAAAGAACCATGTCCAGATTCTGACGAGGAGTACGATGAAACTGTGGAAGAAGACACCATAGTTTCTGACCAACCAGCTCCCGGATCAAAACGGAAACCTCCAAAGAAGCCCAAACCCGAAGACAATGGGAAAGTATTCTTCGAAGAGACATTCACGGACAGGTCGTGGGAATCTGCATGGGTTTACTCAAAGATGGAATATGGAACGAAAGAGAAGAAAAAGTACGAGAAATTTTACAGAGTTCGGTCACGTAGAGGTAACAAGGGATTTGATTATGGTTTGGTCACCTCGAACAAAGGATCAGAAGACTATGCCATTTCCGCAAATTTTCAACCTTTCAACTCCAACGATGGTCCACTCGTGGTTCAATTCGCAATGCAATATCAAAGCGCTCCTCACTGTGAATATGTCTATCTGAGACTTTTCGACTGCAAGTTTAAATCTGACGAATTGACAATGGACAGCCCATACCTTATTCAGGTTCACCACGTTTTATCCCTTTTATAAAAGTAAGACGTGTTGGATACTTGTAACAGTTTTGACATCAAAAAATTAGATGGGCCCAAACATTTGTAGCGATGAAAAATATCTGGACGTGGTGATAATGGACCCAGTCAAAGGCGAAAAGTACGTCATAAGCGACAAAGTTCCAGCCCTGGTGTCCACAGATATTCACATGTACGGATTTGTCATTCACCCCGATGGAAATTATCAGATTTTGGTGAATGATAAATTCGTACAAAATGGATCTTTGAGCAACGCCTTTCCAAATTATCAAGGTGTGTTTTAAAAACGAAACAAAGTGATACATACGCATTTCAAAATAAAATAAAAGTAAAACCATTATTAATTTTAATTAATTAAAATTAGGTTTTCCATCAATCTGTGCAGTGGGACTGAACGTCTGGCACAGCATCTTGGACAAATTCTTTCTTGGACAAATTATTATTGATGACGTATTGATTTCATCGGATGTAAATTATGCGCAGAGGAAGAGGTTCCAAATTTTGGACATTGTTACAGACACAAATAATTCGACTATGAACAAGAACAAGTAGTATACTTGTAAGTATGGATAAATTCAGATATGTGCAATTGCCAGCCAGGTGGTGTTGAAATAATACGTTTCAAAATGATTTTATGAATCTTTAATATCATTCTTCAATCTACTTTCCTTTACGTCTGTACATAAATTTATTTAAACTTACTATTTACAATTTCTGTTTTTGTCGCAAAGATTTGATCATGAATAAATGATACATCTATTGATTGAAAAATGTTCTTGACTTTGACGGTGTATTGATGACTAGTCGGTTCCAAAGGTCATAAATGCATGCGTATTCAATTGTACTTCTTTGAACCATACATACTTTTACGTGATTGATACACTGACGTTTTTATTCAAAACGTTAAAATATGATATAACTTGTACGTTCAGCTTTACTAACAACACTATAAATTTAAATTTAAATAAATATATCGAAATCACAGGAGTTGGTTAATGGAATATTTCTCTTGTATAGTTATATTTCATTGCAAGGATTTCATCCCTTTCCGTTTTAAATCAGCCCTGGCCATGTCGATCTCCTCCAAAAGCTCTTTCGCAGCCTCTGGACAATCGTTAAATGTAAAAGTTCTGTACAAAACTGTCGATCCTGAATACACCTTGAAAATACAAATAACTTGCATGACATAAAATACTTATAATTTAGTAAAAAAAAAAAGCAGTATACTTACTCCGAAAACAACTAACGCCCAAAATGGGAGAGGAAATAGGAAGCATTTGTAATACAATGTGTTGCAATTCGCGAATGACATCAGGGTCAGCCACACACCCACACCAAGAGCCAGCTGGAGCAAAAATTTGACTAATTTCGTCATTGTCAAAACAAAATTATAAATTGATGACGTTTGGAAATTGTGAATTGCTGTCAAAAAGAAAGTGAGCAATTTAATGACGCAGTTTGACGCATGATTTACCATTTGATTAAATAAAATAACGAAACTTTTTACCTACTGATTCCCACGTACAATGTAATGCAATTTTATTTTCCAACAAAATTAACAGGTAAAAATATAGATAATTTCTAAATTGACAAAATATTGTTGTTTTGTTTTGTAAGCCACGTATATTTATGTGCAAGTATGTGTCAGCCGGGATTGCTTATTGGATGTCTATGTTGGGGCAATTAGATTTGTCTCATTTTCCCAAAATCTCATCGTCTCAATTTGTCCATTCATTAACAAGGAATCCTTATTACGTCTTTTTATTCAAAATTTCATATAAAACATTTTGGGTAATGCAAAAATTTTGTCATCCAAATACACAAGATACAAGCTTCCTAAACTTTGAAGTCTGGACCACTCTTTCCATGTTATACTGTTTTTTAGCAAATGAGAGGAAGACTTCTTCTAATGTAGTTTGTTGGACGGAGTATTCTTCGATGAAACTCGAAAACTGTCCGAATTTAATGTCTTCCATGATGTGAAAAATCCTGTCCAGCGTCATATCAGTGGATTGAATGTGAAATTGTGTCACGTTCTTAGTAAAAAAAAATTACCAATTAGTTTTTTCAATGGTTTTGTAAAGAGTTTACAGCGTTTACTTGATGATTGTCCTTGAGAATGCAGGGGTGGAGTTGGGTGGTGACCTGGTAGACGAGGGCAGTAAGGTATCCCTCAGTTTGGGTGGATAGGGCATCAGCTTTTGCCCTGATGGTCAAAGTGTACCCTGCAAACGACAACGTTTAAGGATCTCCCTCCAATACGGTAATCAAGAGGTTTCATCACCTTGGGCAAATTTATTCTTCAGATGGGGCACTCTCCCAATGCATTGCAGCTCTCCATTTACCTAGTAGTAATTATAATCACTAAGTAATTCACAGTAATGCGTGTTTGATAAGCACCTTAATTTCTAGAGGACAAATTGTTTGGTTTCCACTTACCATTATCCCGAGACGGTCACACAGGTGCTCGCACTCCTCCATGCTAAATGATGTATATATGGTCTTTAAAGCTGCATATTACAACGGGTTTTACAATTTAGCGAACCTATGCGACGTTAAGATGATGGACCTTCCTTGGTCTTTGAGGGATGAAATAATTTTCCAAAATTTTCGTCTGCTAACAGGATCAACGCCCGTAGTTGGCTATCAATTAATATATCGATATACAATATATGCTATATACATATATTTACAATTTGATGGCTTGAGTTGTAGCTAAAATTATATATGAACCAACCTCATCCAGAAGGATAAGAGGAGGATCCCCGATTAAGGCCATCGCAGCAGAAAGACCTTCAATTTTTATAACATAAAAATTACTTTTAAATCCAACCTATTTACAATTACCAACTGTAAAATCATTTAAATAAATATAACCCACGACGCTTCATGCCCCCAGAGTAATTTTGACATTGAATGTTTCCACTTTGCAGGAGTCCTAAAGTAACATTAAGGAATCTATGCAAAACTATGTGTCATATATTTCTAAATGTCTGATATGAAGTGCAATATGTACCAAATCGATCCAACCATGTTTCCGCTGCTAATTTCACATCTTTATTTTTTATTCCTCGTAGGCGGGCGAAAATTTCCAGCATTTCTTTTCCCGATAAAACACCAATGATTCCATCGAACTGAGGACAGTACCCGATCCGACTTAGGAATGATTTTCGATTGCCTTGCAGCGCTTCAAAGTTAATCCAAGCGTCCCCGTTTGAAATAATTTCATCCCCAGTTAACATTTTAAAAGAAGTTGTTTTGCCTGATCAATGAAATTGGTGGATAAATTAATTGAACTTATTCCGTAGTATGTTGCATATCATAAAGTATTCATACCAGCTCCGTTTACACCCAAAAGTCCAAAACACTCTCCTCGATGAACACCAAACGTAAGTTTTGAGACTGCGCTGAATGACCCATAACTTTTCTACAAAGTCAAAATACCAACACAAGTAATATCACAAGAAATTTTATAACAAATAATATATGTACATAAATAAATAGCAACTAACCGAAAGGTTGTCAACTATGATTGCATCTTCGCTGGTTGCTCCTATAGGATTAGCAAAAATGAAACAGCGTTACATGATTAATCATGCGTATGTACCCATAAAAAATAAATAAAGCACACACAATATGCACATATGCAGAAAAGTATTTATGTATGGACCTCGTAGAATCATATCTTTTACACGATCCGTTTCGACTTGAACATCCTCGTCGTTTGAGTTCATTATAAAATTGATATCCGCTTGTTTCCAGATAATATTGAGAATCTGCTTCATCCACCCAAACTCAATGAGGACCAGCACCACGAAATATATGCATCCCATAATGAACATGTAAGTCAGCTCTTGGCCAATTTTTGGAAGATTGTCGGGACCATATTCCCAAATCAGATAATCGTCAGGTTCAAAGCAGACGGCTCCAAGTTCTTCGCAATTGTCACAACATGATTGAAATCTTGTAATGTCAATAAACTCTACTGGCTTGCACAAAATATTTTTCAGATCAGCCGACAAAACATTGCAGCGACTGTTTCTTGTGGATGACTTGGAAAAAAGCATTAACGACTTTGAAACTCCATACGTTGGGAAAAGGCGTCCGATCCAACTTAAAATTTTAACAGTTAAACTCCGTTATTTTCTGTTTTCTATTTTAGTTTAATCTAAAACATAAAATAAATAAATATATTTTTATCCACCCGATTGTCTTCGACTCAATTAGAAATTCCTCATCTTCAAGAATAAAACTCCCAAGTGCGCAACCAATTCCTGCATTAATCATTTATATTTCTGCATGCTTCCTCGATTCACAAGCTATTTGAGTATGTACTTATTTGTGTATACATGTTTATACGTACCCGTAATTATGTGAATAATTGTGACCATCGCAAATCCCCCAGCAGGAGTTTGCCCCACGAGACTCATTAACTGTGAGAATATAATCGCTCCAACACTGTACACGAACATTATGAGAAATACAACCCCTATTCAAAGAATTAAATATTTACTGATCCGAGTTTAGAGACTGAGAAGATGTATGCATTACTAGCTATAAGATTTCTAAAATTTGTGCATCTACCTGCTCCACCATTATTTGTGAATCCTTCGTATTTCTGGAAAATGAAGAGACATCCCACCATTGCGGAGATGCATATAACTGTTAGAAAGAAATCCCATAAGAATGCTGCCCCCCAGTAAATAATTGGGTTGACGCCAGTCATTAATTGCAACTGCTTTCCTTTGCATTTTCTCTCCTCAATTGGCATAACAATAAAGCTCGCCGCCAGCAAGGCCAGACCGATGGAGACCATAATTCCAACTACGAAAGGGGCAACCTCTGTAAATTCTGGATTCTCGCTAGCAGCGTCAAACATTCTGCGTGCTCTTGAGGACAGGGGGTGGTTTGTGACCTCCAAGGTATAGCTCTTTTCTGGAGCTAGCTGCCTAAGCACCGCATTTGACGCCAAATTAACGGCCAGCGGACACGAATGCCTGGCAATTGAGGAGTGCATCACATTTAAATCGGAGGCAGAGTTCAAGTCTGCGGCTACAATGTATCTTTGGAAATAGGTTTCTTCCTCTGCATGACCAACGCCGATCAGTTCCACCGATAAATTTCGGTCAGATGGAATTTGTCTGGCTGGCGACCCGACGAAACGGTTGTATTGCTCTCCAAGATCCTAATTATTGTTTTGTATAGCATTTAAAAAATCCACGTTACATATTTATTCGTAATAGTGCAAGCAACATGTCACAAGACATATTTACCTGAGACTCTGGATTACTCGAAGATCGATACAGTACGATCTGGTCCTTGTACGAAGAAAGGGATATTGTTAGTGGTGGAGTTCTATTGTACGTATTATACGCAATATTTGTGATTAGGACAGCCGAAATTAGCATTGCAACAGGAAGTATCATCTGTAAAATAATATAAGTACGTATGTTCATGTTTACATGTGTGTATTTTCATCAGATACAGGTGTAAGCTAGCGTATAATATATTTGCCGTTAAAACCGATTTATTATTTATTTTGTCAATTACCTGAATGGCCAGCAATTTCCATCGTCTCATTGAATACAACATTTTTTTCATAAGAAGGGTCCAAAACTGCTGAACCCAGAGAAGAAATCCGGTCGCATAATCATCTAAATTAGATTAGAAGGTAACAATAATGCTTGTCAAGAATTGATAATAAATTTCATAGCTAATTGAACATGCACACCTATTATAAGTGACTCAGTCGACATGTGAGATTGAGCCTCGTGATCCGATGATGTGTGTTCCAGCTCCTCAACCCTGAGAAAGTCAAATCATTCATTATACTGAATAGTCGGTACGAAGTGCTAATAATTCTGGTAATATGTACTTTAAAAATACGTCATCCATGGAGGTTAAAGACATTCCCACGTCCAGCAAACCCAATCCAGACTTTTGTGCGAGTAGTTGATTGAACATGGCAGGAAATTGAGATGAACTGTTCCCTTGTGAATTCAACGCAATTTCTAATTCAATGACATCACTTTTGGAAACTTCTGACTTTATAAAAGCTAATGGAATATGCTCATGGATTATTTGCAGAACTCTGTTGGAATCAGAGAAGGGGGCCAAACTTGCAGTTAAACTGTACCCTGTGCCTATGTACCCAACAACAATCCTTTGTTAAAGTCTCGAATTTTCATGTTCAAAATTGAATGAAATGATTAGTGTCAATACCAAAATGTTTTTTCAAAAACATTGAACTTCCACAACATTTGATCTTTCCCGAAGCCATAATTGCTAAAAATATATATAAATTGATAAATAAGCTATTTTTTAAATCCTCATGCATGTAGTAAACATCTCTTATCATTTATGTAGTTTATGTACCTATCCGATCTCCCAACACGTCCGCCTCTTCTAAGAAATGGGTCGTTAAGATGATTGTTCGTTTTGTACGAATTTCGAGCAGCAGGTCCCAAATGACCCTTCGAACTTCAGGATCTAAACCACTGGAGCATTCGTCCAGTATTAGCACCTAAATTAAAGATTTAAAAATCAGCAATCAAAAACATTTTAAATCTACTAATATTCTAACAAACCTTGGATCCGCCAACTATAGCACATCCCAAGGAAAGCCTAGAATTATTTTTAAGTTATTTAGTGAGTTGCATATTTTTTGAACTCTAATAAATCAGAAATGAAAAAAGAACCAGCCTCCTTTTTTGACCTCCAGATAATGACATTGCCAATGTATCTGACTTGTCTTCAAGTTGCAGTTTTCTAATTAGATCATCAATTTCACTATCCACTTCAGAACGGTTTAGACCTTTTACCTATTTTAAATCCTTTAAAATTAAGTTTTCATAGCTTTTTGTACTAAAAAATGTGTTGTGGCACACAAACCATTCCAAAAAATTTGAGATGCTCCTTTACACTTAATTTCCCAAATAATAAGTTGTGCTGAGGGCATAACCCGAGCTCCTGACGAATATCGTTCATCTCCGTGCGAATATCTTTGTTGTTAATCAAAGCAGTTCCTCCTGATGGACTCAACAGTCCTGGTAAGATATACAAACATACGTTTCAAATAAAGTATTGGCATATTATACTCTTACTAATAGTATATGCTATGTTTATTTTTATTATTTGTCAAATTATAGACTAATTACCCGTCAAGATTGACATCGTAGTCGTTTTTCCTAAAAGGAGACCATGGTGTAATAGGTTGGCTCTGTCAAGCATAAATTGTATGAATGCGAATAATATTTATTTTCATACCTGCCCCGTTATGACCCAAAAGACAGAATATTTGACCCTCGTATGCTTGGACTGAAACATTGTTGACAACAGTCTTTGACCCAAATTCTTTGCGTAGTTGTAAAATCTCCAATCCAACTTTCAGATCGGTGGGCACTTTTTCGAAGCTTGCATCTTCAGAACTACTCCCCAAATTTTCTCTCAACGCTGACAAGTCGCTGATGTCATTACTGTTTCTCTTGTTTAATCCCCATGTTGATGGCTTCATTAAGAAAAATACAATGCGGTGCACATAGTTAGCTAAACTTAATTATTGTTACCACTTCTCAATACTAACCAGGAAAATAAAGTACCACGGTTTCCGTACACCGTACTTCGTTGGAAGCACACTTTCTAAATACATGGCTAGCAATGTGTAGATCACTGATGTGACCAAAAACATGCCAATTATGTGCAGCAGTGTCAATGAATCCATAGTGCTTACAGGTTTTGCAATATATTTCCACTGTGCGCCAACATCTTGATAATAAAAGCATGTGTAATATGGTCTTGAAAAACACTGAAAATATTTCACGGTCATATTTGGAAACCTACCTTTTTTCGCTTCATATCCAGATAGGATTTTTAGCGCATAATGTAAAGCCATGTTGGGGGATAGGCACAGAAACAACTTTTCTACGAGCGATTGGTCACTGTAACCTGGTTCTAAAGGAACGGCAACGCCATACTGTAGGAACATGAACATAGGAACATTAAGAACATATATGCATATAGAACTTAAATGAACGTACATAGGAACCTAGCCAAATGACTACCCCAACCGTTGTCGCAAGAGTTGCTAAAATCAGGAATTCAAATACAAATTGTATGCAATGTCAAGATGCAACTTTATAAGATGTGTCGTTTACGAACGCCTGTGAAATACTGACGAGATGAGGAAACAGTATGTCGTCGCCCAGATGGTGTAAATGACCAAGACAAACCACCATAGCGAAGGATCACTTGAAATGTTCGACAATTAAAAAAATTAGTGTTCATCGGCAGTGACTCTTTTTATCAGTTTTAAGCTTGGACGAGAACAGTTTAATTTAACCAGTGAAATGTGTCCGGTGTGATCATTGTGTTCTTCAGAAATTATTAGTATTATTATCAGAAATTATTACCTGTTCTTCAATACAGCTCCTCTTTCAGAGTTGAATGGAATGAAGAAAATGATAATTACGATTGTAACACTGATGAGAAGAAGTATCATAGAATTAAGCATCCATCCAACTACGTGCATCCAACTCGGCAATCCAGTCATTTTCATTAGTTCCTGTAGTCATTTATTTAGTCAATTATGTAGTCAATTACGTCTTAATTATTATTTATACAATTGTTATGCAAAATCTATCAGATATTTTTACTACCTTAATTCCAGTTTCTTTCTCGGACACAATCGCACGTACGATTGATGGAATAATGAATATAAATCCAAGAGTTAAAAATTGTGGTAGGAAAATGAAATAAATTTGATTGAAATCGAAACTGTCGCTATGTCCAGGGCAAGGAAATGAACCAGTCGAAATCTGCGATAGATTGTATCCAGTGAAGATTTTGAATAATTTACATAGAGATTTACGTACGTACTGTATGTGTCGTTTCTTGACTAGTTAACTTTGTAGTTAACAGTTTATCAATCAAAATTTGGAGTCCAGAAAACCCAGAGTAGCGATAATTAAGATTTTCAAATGCTGCGATTTAAATATTATGGCTTATTTAGGGCTGCCCAAAGTTGTTGTTTCCACTGTAATTATGCGCTGATAGATAAATATGCATTACCACATGCCGATGGTCCAGCCGTCGTCCATGGGAAAAGTTCCGATGTGTCGTAAAACTCATCGACTAATCGAATTTTGTATGAAATTTTATGGTTATTTGGATATTCGTTTCCACTTTGAAGTAAGCCATTTACAACCAATGCCAATCTCATTCTAGGAATATCTGGATTAAAACTAAAACCTTGCTCCGCAACGAATGTTTCAATTTCACGATCACTTTCAAATCCCAGCCATTCGATATCTAAAACATTTACGTATTTATTTACTTAAACAGGGTCCATGTACATACTTTTGCTGCATTTAACTAAATTTTCTCACGTACTCACTGGGACCTCGCCGTCAGTCAAATTTACAAGTTTATTCATTAATTCCACTTCAAGAAATGCTTTCACGACGGGATCATTTGGCGAATATCCTACTTGAGTGGTTACGTTGACACTCGAGTATCGAAAAATTGAATTAAATGACGAGGTGAGAAGCTCCTAAATTTATCATGAGATACATAATATGACGTTACCACCATTTTTCACAACATTCATCAAAACTTTATAGTGCATCATTGTGTATGTAAATACCTCTTCTGTTGATGCTTCAAAGTACGTGTCCTTTTCAAACAAATCTGATTGTGGCAGTTCTCTCATTCGTGCACGCATGTAGGCCATAAGAATTGCAAATATAGTTGGAAGAATAATCTCTAACGTGGTGACAATGTATTGTCGTTTTCTCAAAATTAAATTTTTCTGCAGCAAAAGCCTCAACTTTCGGAAATTACTTTGAGCCATTCTGTCAAAGAAATTGAAGAATACACAACTACACCGAAAAAGCGCTATCAATTAAAGAGCCAGTTCCTAATCAAGCTTATGACCGATATATTTCACGAGTGACGAAGAATAAGTCAGTGCAAGTTTGCATCACTCACTGACACATAAAATCATTTGTGACAGGCAAAATTTAAGGTATACTCGTAATTGATGCTATCTGGCCGTTATCAATCCATTCTCAATTACTCTCATGCTGTATGCCTACCAGGTGTGGACGTCATAAATAAAAGCAAAGCCGAATTGTGCACTATTATGAATTTATGACTCTCGGTGATTATCACCTATGCATAAGTCGTTACCATATGGTTACCTCCTGCAGGAAGCTACTGATAAGCAACGAATTTTCCAACTTGATCAAATAAACAATTTGTGTGTGTGATGTCGCAATTTTTGTATTTCGTCGCACAGGGTCGTAGCAATTCAGTGCCAGGGTTATATGCATGCATGTAGCACTGCATTATCGCAGTTAATCCATGCTCTACACGGTAATGAAAACTGATAGATAAGATGCGTACAATATGCTAAACGTAATAACCTCAATCGTATACAGCTTTCAACGCATAAAATATTTGATGGTATATTTTGATGTGTAACATGAAACATCAGGACAGATTATAATACATATATTTTGTATATTAAAATACCCACGCCTACCACATTTCCAATCTCTGAAACTAGGAAATATAATACACATGTCTATTAAAAAATGTGTATAGTGCAAATTTAATCAAAATGGCTGGAGATTTTTTTGCAGAATCGTACAATGTTGTCTTATTTGTCAGTGTACTTGGAACATTAACAATTGTGAGTCCATTATATTTAAGTATTAGTGTACATTGTGGATATTAACTGAAAATATTATTTACTTGTTCCGTAGATGATGTCAGGATGCTACGTATATCACAAGTGGCAACACATAAAATCCAAAAATTTGTCTGATATTATCGTTAGTTCTAAACCCAAAAAACGGCTGAAACGCTTTCTTCGTCGGGCAAGCAGTTCGGTGAGCACAAAGGAAAGGACTTCCGACCTTCGCCAAATGAAATTGGAAGCCGAAGGAAATTTTACCACTCAGGTTACCATTCCCGATGAAGAGTTTATAAATCATATTCACATGACAAACTTGGACGACGATGTTTTTGACGATGTCTTTGACGGAGTTGAATGCCAGCCCTCCAACAAAGCCGACCAGGCACCACAATGCTTGGCAGCGAATGGTGAAAGCTTGGTGGAAAAAGAAAGTGTTCCTTCATCCAAATATTGTTCGACTAACTTATAGTAAAATAGTCTCTAACCATGTTTATTTAATAGTTTTGTATGACATATGAAATGTGTGTATAAATTCGTAAATAAATTATAAAATCCTACAATCATCAAGTAAAATATTCGTCTACTTTTATCCTCCAAGTATCCCGAGTCGTACGAGAGATGCCAAAATATCATGCGCAGCAGCTTTCTTTCGTTCATCAATTGGGGTTTGTTTGGGAGGATCCTTCTTTGGTTTACTTTTCTTCTTTCCTGTGGTTAATTTAAATTTAAGTCAGATGCAAATTTAAATGCACAATACTAATTTACACACCATTTTCCTCAGAAGCCGGAGTTTTCGTCTCGTCATCGTCATCGTCGTCGCCGTCATCATCATCGTCGTCGTCCTTTTTATGTTTCTTGTGTTTCCGTTTTTGTGGTTTTTCAATCGGAGCAGCAGTGGTGGTCGTTGTCTTGTGTTTTTTGTGCTTTCTCTTTTTAGGAGCTGGCGTTGTTGTACCCGGTATTTCTCCTCCTCCAACTTCCGTCGTATTTTGCTTCGTGGGGCTGGGAGGCGTTGTGGGGGGAGGGGGAGGACCACTTGGTTGAGCTGGTTTATCCACTGTTGCGACTGGAGCGGTTGGTAAAACTGTTGTAACGTTTGGAACAATTGTGTCCACTTCAACTGGTTTCGAAGTGATCCTTTCGTAGTGAAGAGCTTCAGAATCACTAATGTCGGCCCTATTTAAATTAGATTATTAGTATTCTAATTTTAATGCTGTCTTACATTAAAAACCTTACACGAAAATTATGTAGCCTTTCAAGCCGCGAGGTGGGTACCACAAGTAGCTAATCCCGTAAAACCCATCTCTTTCTGGGATACGGGTTGTAGCATTGCCGGAATATGGACACCTTCTCGCCACGTTCTGCATATATGCACAAGAGAAATAATGCAATTTACTACGACAAAGGTTAATTAATTAATTTAGAACCAATTACTGGCTTCGTCTTGATGGCAGGATCACAACACGCATACGAGTTACACATGGGGAAAACACTATCATCAAAATAACCAAGTTTTGTCGAGTTGTCCGTGATATTTCCGTCACCATCCGAAGAATGTACATAAACGTAAAACTCGGATATTAGTTGAATAATTAGGGCAACTAAATAGACAATTATTTTACACAATTAAATATGATTATTATGACATTGTGGGTTTTATAAGACAATAAGTCAATGTGACATTACATCGCACGGCTTTGGCTTTCGGATCATATTCCCCAACAATAAATTCGTAGGATGAGTCGTCTCCATTTATTGCGGCTGTGGTGCAGTTTTCTACTTCCGGTTTTAGACATTTTAAAAATGTGGGAGGTCCACATGGATCCACTTCTATCGTTTCATTATGGATAAAGTTGCGTCCTGTTGGATTTTCTCGATTTTCACAGTCACCACCTAATAATGTGTATATATAAAGTATTTATAGTGATACACAGGTTATGTTGTGTATAAATAAAATACCTAGAAGCTATAGATCTTATTGAACTTACTGCTGTCTGCGAGCGATCTTCCAATTATTTGCAATCCTGTCCAAATGAATATCAGAAATACTTGCATTTCTCTGGCGTTAAATGCAAAAAAGCTATACAACTGCTTCCCAGATTCCAATGAAATTATTAATTGTTGGATATACGGACAATGAAAAAGCACAATCCATTATTTAGTAAAGGTCATATTCGTAAACAATGGTAAGACGTATACATATTAGGAATTTGCCAGGCAATAAGTCACACATCACATTTTGTTGCAAACTGGATTATTTTTCATATAACTTGCAAGTTTATTAAAATGTCTTATTCAAAAAGTTACTAAATGTAGTACACAGTTAACAGGAATGGAATTATGATTGAATGAAAACCATGCACAAAACAGTAATAAAAAAGCTACTTACAAAACCTACGCAAGTTAGTGACACGTTCAGAATATCGAACAACGGCATAATTTTACTTATTTATGACGGCGGTTGTGTCATGTGTCGTAAATGGTAGAAAATAGTTCAGACTTTGTACATTGAAGCAGAGTACGGACTAGCTTGGAGAACGAATCCATGAGGGTCTCGCATTTGGGCACCCCCACTGTTTACAGAGAAAACAGGAGTGGCGTGAGTAGGAGGATTAATTACGTTACTGTAAGGAAGCTGTTGCTGTTGATTTCCTTGCATTGTTTGGCCGAGATGTTTATCTTTAATGTACAACAAACAGATATTTTTTTAAAAAGAATGCTATGATAATAATGCCCATTATTATGATGTGTTGCTTACCATTCGCATACGGATTCTTCTGACGTTGATGAGTAATTTTCTGTGGTTTTTGTACATTTGGTTTGTGCATGACTTTATTATCGACGTGCTCTGAAGACCTTGTTTCATCAGATTCTACTTCCCACGATAAGGCAGCTGCCTTGCTTTTTGTGGATGTTTTTGGTGCAAGTTTTTTATTCGACAATTTTGGTGGGGGGAGAAGCTCGGGCCCTGGTCGACGGGTTTTGGGCTTGGGTTTGTAAGGATGATATGGTGTCAAGATAAGACCTGGTCTATGGGCGATAACTTCTCCAGCAAGTGTTGTAGAGCTCGGTTCTGTTGGAGTTTGTGAGGTCGTCTCAAGTAGCTCGAGAGGCATTGGTGCAAGAGTCGTCAGTTTGTGAACAGGAATTTTCTGTGGTTTCTTTGTTTTAGGGACTGGTTTTGTGGTGGTGGTTGTCCTTTTTGTGACCAGTTTCTTTGTTGTGGTAGCAGTCAATCGTTTTGGGACAAGGGTCGTAGGTTTTTTTGTCTTTGGTTTTACTGTATCTCGAGTTGTTACCGGAGCTTTTTTTGTGGTGGAGTACAGCTTTGGTAGGCTGTTGGTTGTAATTATACTTTCTGTGGTGGAAGTAATAATGTTGGTAGTGGACACGGTAGATGTTCCTTCCGTTGACGTTGACGGTCCTATCGTAGTTTCTTGGCTTGTCGATGCTGATGTAGGTGAACTTGAGGGTACAGTAATCTGTGTTGAAGCAATTTCACTAGGAGTTGTGAGAGGCATTTGCGTTGTGGTCGTGAGTTTGGGTGGTGGGGTGTTTGGAGGTGGTGGTATCTAAATATATCCACTATGTCATTATGTAGACCTGCATAATCGGACCAATCATTACATACCGGTTAAATTTTTATACTTACAGCTATATAAATTGGTTTCGAAGCAATATTTTCCCAGTGATCACTGTTGGATTGACTGAATGCAGATCTGCATAACATGAAAAATCGTATCATCATTTCCCCAATAGCATTTAATAAATAAGTAAATCGTAGTTGTATCACATAAATAGAACGGGTCCTTTGTATCCTTCAGGTGGGTGCCAAGAGTATGTCATTGTGTAAAAATTCTTGTTAAAAATTGGTTTATTCGGAGCATTCGGAGCATCCTTGCACCTTCGGGCTACATTCTATATTTTAATCAATATTTTACGTACATGTTAGGAAGCCAACTAATTAAAAAAAATTACGGTTGCATTAGATTGGCCACAACAAGCGTAGGAGTTGCACTGTGGAAAAATTTGATCCGTAAAATGTCCCAACTTTTGAGGGCCATAAGTTCCATTTCCGGTGGATGGACGAACTTGAATAAAAATGAATGAATGAATGAATGAATGAATGAATATTCTTGAATATATGTACCTCATATACCTTGAATAAAAAATTCCACTTGGACGTGGAGCATCATTGCAACTAATAATTGTACCACAAAGATCAAGTTGTAATCAATCACATGTGTACACAGTAGTGACATAATCATTACTTTTCACCATCTTCGCTGTAAAATTATACTCCTGAACAATGAGTTGAAATGGGGTTGTGGAAGGGTCCTTTGTCGTTGTGACACAACCATCAGAATGTTGATTGGAGCTGCAGTGTTTGAAGATCTGGTCTCCACAGGGATCGACCTCTAACCTCTTATCGTGAATCAAGTTCCTATCTGGAATATTTTGTAAATTGTCGCAATCACCACCTGCGAAAATTAGCAAACGAATGTAGAGCCAATCGATATTTGGAGATGAAATGCAGAAAACTGACTCACTTGCTGCAAAGGACAGACTAATTTTTAACACACTAAAAAATAACAATAGCAAGACTTCTTTCATTGTTATTTCCTTACTGCTTGTATCTTAACTTGTAATGCATTCTAATGCGCTGTAAAATATATAAATGAGCTAAATAAAAGGCTAAGCAAGGATGTTGTATATAACCAGGGACATTATACCAGTTTGAAATAAAGTCCTTAGGTGATGAATAGTAACTGAAGTACCAAATTAGGAATATGTTGGTATTACTTAATCATGTACGTACACTGAACAAAATTTAATTTCATATTGTTGTTGATTTTATTTAGACGGTTTACAAGTATTGAAACAATACTATGCTTTAACAATTTGTTTTCCAGTGTTCTTTCCCTCGAGTAATTCAATAAATGCTTGTGGCATATTTTCAAACCCGTCAGTTACACTTTGTTGCACTTTGATTTTCCCCTGAGTGCCAAAAAATGCAAATTAGTTACATCAGGGTATAAATTACTTTATCATGTATTAATTATTAATGATAAAATAATAGTCGGCATTTGGGGATGCATACCTCTAAAACCCAGTCTCTTAGTTGGAGTAACCCATCGAACCATACGTCATTCCATCGTCCAACGTTGAACCCCTCCATTTTGATGTGCTGGAACAAATAATATAATGTTTTAACTATTATAGCATTAAATATTTCATATTTTAATTATCTCTTTTACTTTAATTCGGAATGTTGGATAATCAAATGGCACTGTAGATGAATGAAGATGTTAGAAATGCAAACATATATTTTGATGATTATAAATACATAAGAACAAGTTGTTACCCAATGGAATTTGACCCCCTTTAACATTATATGTTCCAATTGAACCACATTGAGAAATTCGTCCAAAGTCTTTCATATTTCGCACAACGTGATAATTAAATTCACCACCGACCTAAATAAAATAGCAAATATCATGCATTTTGGTAAAACTTGAAATGATTTTTTTCATACATTATCAAAGTAACAGTCAATTCCTTCCGGTGCATATTTTTTAAAGATAGCGTCTAAATCTGCGCCCTTATAGTTGAAGGCATGATCAACACCTACATCATCTTTCAGCCACTTGAGTTTATCATCAGACCCGGCGAATGCAATAACTTTGCACCCTAGAGATACATACATAATTACAAAATGAAGTTTAAAACCTCAGGGGACATTAATTTAACTTGAAATTTCGTAATACCTTTTATTTTTCCGACTTGGCACACGGTACTGCCGACGGCACCAGCAGCTGCAGTGACAACAAGCGTTTCACCCGATTTTGGTTTACAAATGTCCATTAATCCGAAATATCCAGTGTTTCTGAATAAACCAACCAAGCAATAATTTATTTGGGTTTGAGTATAAATTGAGGCAGATTATACCCTGGCATTCCAACCACACCCAACGCATATGCATCTGGAAGACCTTTCATGTCTGGCATTTGATGAATTGTGTTGTACGTTCGAACTCCTCCTTTGACTGGTTTGTAAATCGTCAAATCTCTCCAGCCGAACCCTCCAACAATTTGTGACCCTTCAGGAAATTCTGCATTTTTGCTTTGTAAAACCCTAAATCATTTGAAGAGTTTAGAACTACATATGGAAGAAGATCCACGTCTTATCTTATTTTTGTAAACAGTTTTACCTTGCAATTTGACCTCCAGGCATTTGTTCGCCGGCTTTACTACGCAATCTCATGTATGGATCCACTGTTAGCCATTCTGCTTTTGCAAGTATTTCTGCAAAAAAAATGTTGGTCAGTACATTTTCTGTTTTACATATTTTCAAATAGTATTTATGCATAAACTATACCTCCATCCTGCAGCTCTTTAGGCAATGTCTCCTCCACTAATTCGAAATCGGACAATTTTGGAAAACCGTCAAAGGCTTTCTTGAGGACAAATTTTCTAGCTAACATTATTGTACTTCGTGCAGAACTCATATAGAGCATGAAACTACGTTGGACCAACTGTTATGCACTCAATTTATACTCAAGATACTCAAGTGTATGCACTCAATTTAATTTATAGTGTAGGATGAGATAGCAAAATTATGTAATAAGTTAAAGTAAAAAACACACTGCACACTGTAGTGCAGCTGGTGCAAACGTTTATTCAAATCATAAGCTCGATTGAGCTGTGCATAACTCTGGACGACCTTGGCACTGATCGTGAGCTGAACTCATATTTATAAATATCAGATAGTTGTATAATGCAAATAGTCATATTGACACATGTGTATGATTTATTTCGGTTTTTTAACTACGGAAGAAAATAAATATTTTAATTTAAATTAAAAGGATTTGATGCCTAATGTTTCAATGGCGTAAGAAAATTGTTGTCCACACTTTGTCCTTGCCGATTTTCGCAAGGTAGCACTGTATTCACCCTGAATTTTTGGATTTTTAAGGAGTAAAAGACGGAAATTTGGCTTGTGTCCCCAATAACTGGATCCTAAAGCTGCCTTGGTTGTAAAATTCCTTTGGTCCACGATTCCACGAAATAGGCTTTTGGTGGACAATCCATATGATCTTTGAGTTACGGAATGATTTACAAATATCACAGCAATTCCGTCATTTAATTTGAATAACTTAAGAATGGACTCTATAATTCTTTCTTGGTAATGCCTCCAGGCTGAAACATTAAAAATTCGTCGTTAGTTTTACACTCTGGTGGATGGTATCAATGACTTGTAAAAACTAGACTTACAAGCGACACTCTCATCAATCACGGGGTAAATAATCATAGGCACCGAGTCAAATATTATCAACTTCAGCCTTGCCCAAAAGTCATCTTTCCTATGTGCAATTTTACATCGTATTTCTTCGACGTCTTCAACCACCTGGACCAGGTTGCATGGTCGAATAACTTTAATATTACGCAATCTCTATATAAATAAATCCAGAAAAAACTATGATAAATATTTTATTGCGCCATCCAGAGAAGAAATGTCTTTGTTTCAATCACCTCTCGTGCTTCAGGTCCACCTCCGCAACACTGAAGCAATCTGGTAGCCGAAAAGTTGCTTTTAAGGTCAAAATACGCTACAGTATCTTCAGACTTTAGAATTTGAGAGGATATGGTAAAGCACATTTGCGTCTTTCCGGTTCCAATGTCCCCGTAAAGCTCAAGAATCTCACTTCCACACAATCCACCGTCTAACAACTTATCCAGCCTGCAATTCAATCATTTAATGTATAGGAACACATCAATTTTTGACAAATTTTGACAATGCGCAATTCCACCTACCCCTTAATTCCAGTGGATCTAGGCGTACAATAGGCTGAGGACCCCATACAGAGATTCGTTGAAAATATCGGAGGTGGCAGAATAATCTGGATAACACCATGTTTCAGAGCTTCGTACTCCTAAGAATACACCCGTGTCAATTTATTTTGAACTTATGAAGAGGAATAATTGTATGTATGTTGGGTAATTACCGCAAGGTTCAACCTAGCAGCGGTCATGACCTTTGACTTGTTTTCCGCCATGGCCAAGTCCATCAGTTTCGTCATCTCAGCCATTTCCCGTAAATCATGAATTTGTTCTCGGGACAGAGATGGGCAAGTCATCCTGCTTATCCGGTACATTTTTTCTGTATTAAATAAGTATGTTATTTCTTCCTGATTGCTGGTAGATCAACCCAGTTAAAACTCTATTTCACATAATTAAGCACAGGAAGCCCTCAGTTTAATAAGATGTTTGCACAAATTTAAATTTCGAAATCAGAGGGAAAAAACAAAAACAAAAATAATTAAAATGATAATAAATAATAAATCCACGTGCAAAGTACAGCTGACAGTAATATGCAGTGACGGTTGACCAAGTGAACAAAGTGAGACGAGATCACCACTTACATGTTTTTGCAGATTATCACTTTTGCTAAAAATTGCATTTACACTTGTGAAACTGCGTAAATCTGTTGTTTTTAGTCAGCGTGTTCACCTAAATGCACGTCGAAGGTTATAATGGCTTAAGTGGTCTTAATTTCAAAGAAAAATATGTATTCATGCCCTACCCACACAATCAATCTCTGGATTGGATGGCTGAAAGGTCTGCTAAACATGTAGAATTGCCTTTTCACAAGTTGTTGGATTACTTACATTTGCAGGTGTACTCGAAATAAGTAAATCTCGTTTTTTAATTCCTTGAACTGGCAACAATATTACATAACTTGTTATTTAAGCATTGTTGCTTCAAGAAGCTATTTACACTTTGCTACTGGAATTCCCATTGTACAGAGTCGCTCAGAACTGCTTTTCCTGAAATCAATGGTGGTGTTTTTGCAGTTCGAGTGAATTAGCTAACGAGATTTGGTTATGCTCTTGCTTCATTCAGGTGTGAAGTGTATAAAGTTTATCAGAGTGGGTCAAATAATGGACAAGAATTTAGTCCTCACATCATCTTGCTCGTTGAAATTAGCAGAAACATATCCAACAATCAGTGATGATTTAGCAAGAATCTTGCGTGGTCTCATATCCAAACTCCCATTGTGAATATTTAGAAGGTGTTTAGTAATTAAAAAAATAAAAGCATGAAATTGTTTCAGCAATATCCAAGTATTATCTTCTTCTTTTGGTGCACATTATTATTTAATACCAACTTGTCGCAAACTATTCCACAACGATTAGCTGAATTAACGAATACATTCAGCTCAATTGCTTCCCGTTCGCGTCATGACGAGCTGGCAACTGTAAGTGAGATTTGAAGTACGTTGTGTAAAATTATTTCAAAATCTAGCAGGAAATCGTGATTATTTCTAGCCAAATCTTATCAAGAGGAATGGATATCCGGTCGAAGTTCATGAAGTTACTACTCAAGATGGGTATATATTAGAACTCCACAGAATTCCATACGGATTAAAATCTCCCGAAGGCCCAGGAAAACTTCCTGTTTTTGTTCAGCATGGAAATTTTCAATCTTCATCAGATTGGATGTTAAACGATCCTGACAATGCACTGCGTAAAAAATTAATAATTCCTTAAGTTTAAAAAATAAGTAGTCTTCTTTCACAACGCTTTAAATGAATCTTTTTTTTCGTATCCCGTCATATAATGATTCCATCTCTTCCAAGCGTAGCGTATAATTTTCATGTGCGTGTGGTTTGTTTTCAGCCTTGATTCTTGCAGACAATGGATACGATGTTTGGTGAGGAGGATTCGTTTCACCGTATTTATATATTAAATTGTGGCGTATTCTAATGATTTATTTTATGTACCAACAGGTTGGGCAATCAACGAGGAAACACCTATTCTACTAAACATATTAAATACACCTTTACAACACCTGCATTCTGGAATTTCAGGCAGGGTTCTTGAGAAATTGTATTTAAACATTACCCTTCGAACCGCAGTATAATTAGTTACAATAAGAAATTAATGAATGTTACAGTTATCATGAAGCTGCCTTGTTTGATTTCCCTGCTGTAGTCGATTATGTTTTGGAGATCTCAAATTCACCGAAATTGCACTATATTTCTCATTCGGTGGGTAGCAAGAATTTCATGGCAGGATTAACACTTCGACCAGAATATAATGACAAGATAAGCGTCGGAGTGATGATGGGACCTGCAGGTTTCATGACGTATATGTTCAACGGATATGCTCGTCTGCTTGGTCCAATATTACGACTTGGTCAGGTAACCAGACGTAGGATCACAGTACCAACAATTTTTTTAAATAATGGTGCGTCAAAATTTGTTGCTCATCTTTTTGTAACGATTTTCAGATAATGTTAAATATTTTTGGGCCTATGCCAGCTGCGCCGCACAGAGTTACAAGATTCGAACGATTTCTCCGCCCCATCATATGCAAATCTAATGTAGATATCATTGGTGTTTGTGCAGCCTTTTTCTATAGTACTTTTGGTCTTGACAGAGAGCAAATTACTCCAGTAATAAGCACCTTTTTTAATTAATTAAAAAAATTCCACCAGAAACTAACAAAATTAAATCGCTTTTAAGGAAAAATTGGATGAAGTCAAAGTAGTATTTCCTTCCACCAGCAGCTATAAACTATGGATGCATTTGGTTCAAGAAATCAACTCTGGTCATTATCGCCAATTTGATTATGGAACTGAGAAGAACATGCAAGTCTATGGCAAACCGAATCCTCCGGACTATGATTTATCAAAAATTACTATTCCAATTTCAATTATGCATGGAGAACTAGATCACATTGCCAGAATTGAGGTGATATATTTATTCAATTTACAATAGTTTTTTGAATAATATTGCCAATTTCAGACCTAATTTATAATTGCTCACACAGGACACACAAGCTTTGTTGAAATTACTACCAAACGTAGTAGACTTTTACGTAATCCCATGGAAGAATTGGACCCATTTGGACTTCAACTATGCGAAAGACGCCGGAGTTTTAAACCATGCACATATCCTAGACATTTTAGAACAGTACCGGTTTTCATAGGAAAAAGTAAAGTCAGTAAAATGGGCGTATGAATAAAATAGTTGTCGCCATTTGCAAAATATGAATTATATCTATCTCTCATCCTTATCAAGAACATATTGATTAATTAAAATGTTGATGAATCACCATTGAATTGAATCAACAAGCTATGACAAACGTTCAACAGGTTGACATAAGCCAAGCCTGCAATGCAATCATCAATTCAGATTTCATACAGTGAGACGCAAAGAGTATGATCATTACATGCAACCAGTTGGTTTGGTGGTGGTAATAGTTGTGTGAAGTAAAATTAAATCCAACATGTGAATGAATCTCAGAGTCTGTTCTCTTGTTATGAATAAATGTGCAAATATTAAATGGGAGACTTGCTTGCGGTTAAGAATCACGTAAAATTCTTCCACGTCGATCGCATTAATTAATTGGCATGTCATGGTTGACGGTGTTAAGTAATACCCAATTTCCGACCATTAACCGAACAGTGTTTAGAGTGCGGTGAAAATCTCTAACCAAGAAGTTTTGTTGTGGTATTCCTCAGAGAACAGAATGACATCAAGTTAACGTCTGCAAGGAAGTATTGAAAAAGACCGGTGTGCAGGCTAAGAAATATTAAAAAAATAAGATGAATACCTTTAGAAAAAACTACAGAGTGGGGTCAAGGGAAAGCCAGGTGAGTCAATAGTTATTAACAATAACTCGTGTAATTTATTAACACGAAATATATAACTGCCTAATAAATGAGCAATTACTCCATCATTTTATACATATTTAGCTGGCCATGGTCCAGACTAAATGGGTTGTCAGCACACTGGAAAAATTGCATCCCGATTTATCGTTTGAAATCAGTTGAGTAATTTTTGTGTCGTTCTTTAAAATTGCTTTTTAGAGTTTCGGATGTATAATTTTATGTGTTCATGTATTTACAGTCGGGATGAGTACAACTGGGGATAAGATTTTGGATGTAGCACTGTCAAAAATCGGCGATAAGGGTTTATTCACGAAAGAATTGGAGACTGCTCTAGAAAATGAAGATGTATAGATGAATACGAATATAATGTACTTTTTTTTATAACTTTCTATTAATAATATTTGTATCTTTCAGATTGACTTTGTCGTACATTCGTTGAAAGATTTGCCAACTCAACTTCCCGAACATCTTACGATTGCCACGATTTCAAAGTAATTGTGCACAATGATGTATACATTTTTACGTGACATTTTAAATCACATCTTACGACGCTATTTAATTTATAATTTAGACGTGAAGATCCAAGAGATGCGGTTTTGTTTAAATCTACAATGAGCTCAAATGTAAAGACATTAGGAGATTTGTCTCCCGGGAGCGTTGTCGGTACTGAACTAAATACATTTTTGTATTCTCATAATAATACTTATATATCAGTTGTTATCAAGATTCTTATCATATAGGGACAAGTTCGCCACGTCGAATTGCTCAACTAAAAAAGCACAATCCACACTTGTCATTTATGGATGTGAGAGGAAATTTAAACACACGGGTTAGAAAGCTGGACGACCCACAGGGACCATATTCTGCCCTAATCCTGGCAGCCGCTGGGGTCAACCGGATGGGGTGGCAGCGTCGGATAGGACAATTCCTCGAGTGGGAGGATTGCATGCATGCTGTTGGACAAGGGGCTTTGGCTATTGAATGTAGAAATGACAAGCTAGATGTTCTTCATATACTCGAATCCCTTAATGATCCAGCAACCTACTTCCGCTGCATTGCTGAACGAGCCTTCCTTAGAACTTTGGAGGGCGGTTGTTCCATTCCTGTGGCTGTTTATTCTGAATTACAAGTGGAGAATAATGGCGATGCATTCCTTACCCTCAGAGGTATGTACGGACAATTAAAATAAGTATATCACCATTTGTGTAACGTTTCGTTGTACGTAAATTTCCAGGCTCTGTATGGAGTTTGGATGGTTCCAAATGTATCGTAGACAAACTGGTGAAAAATCTTAACCTGAGTCCTGCTGTTGAAAACTCATCGAATGGCAGTAAAGATAAATCTGGCCTGACATCTGTTTACCCTTGGAAATTTCATCAATTTTCCAATGATAGCCACTGTGTTGCTGCCACAGTCGGCGTCTTGTTGGGAGAAAGTTTACTACAAAATGGTGCTAAAGAGATATTGGACGAAGTAAAATCTCAGTCCCTTAAATAGTGACAATTAGTAGAGTATAAATCATTATTAATTATGTAGTTTTTAAATACGTGTGCGACGTGTAATGTTTGTAATAAATACTTTTATTTTTTGTCTGGAACATAGCAATGTATATCCATTAATTGTCCAAACCCAAATTCTCGCATAAATATCAACCAGAAAAATACATAACCTTAAAACGTTTTCAATATCAACAGCAAATATCGTTTTTGCGGTTGTTTTTACAATTAGCAGTTAATTTGCATGTAATTCGTCACGGATATTTCTCACATCATTCCTCCATGTCTATGTGTACAGTATTTAGTTAGAAGTTCGTTTGTCCTTGGACTTTATCACATTTTTCATGTCACACATCTCGGGAGTGTCTCTCTATTGCTAAAAGTAAACAATTTATCCGACATTTCAACACGCCCAGTTCTATTTTAATTACTTACATATTCGATCAGCATTTAAGAATGCGACTGCCCATCAAGCTGGTTACGTAAAGAATAATTACGTGATGATGGTCAAGGCGTATCAAAATTTATGAAACTGTTCTAGGTTGCTCGTTGTGAGATTTTGAGTGACACACGTACACACATGGGTACATACACATATTAATAAGTCTCAATTACAACTATTGAGTTATTTAGTGGAGATTCTCCTCTAAAATGGCATAATTTTATTTCGCTCAAGATTGTTCTCTTCGTCAGGAGCATTACAGGAAAATTAATTAACGTCAACAACCGAGACCAAGGCAAAGAATTCCATAATAAATTAAGTGGCAGAGTTGTTTCGTGATGAAAATGATCTCACAAATTTCAGGATACTTGCAAACATTTTCTTTCTGGGTGGTGTGATGCAATTATCATAACAATAAAAATGGTGGTAATTAAAGTTTTAATAAATATTTCAATTAGGACCAAATTCTATATATTTAGTTCTTGTCTAATTTACGTTGCACATACAATTTTTGGAATCATCAGTGTGAAAATTTATTTTATAATGAAATCTTATACAACTCATGATTGAGAGGTCAGCAAGTAAAATGCAATGTCTTTTAGCGTGAAGGGCCTCAACATTGGTGACCTAGACAAGGACAAAATATTTTATGCCTTATATGCATAATAAAGACTATTTGGATGGAAGGATCAGGATTTGCGCATTATAATTTGTGGTCGAACTTCTAATGGAATGATCCTTGATTAAATTAAACGTTGGAATGAAACTCTGCTACAAAATGTAAGCCCAATATTCGTATTGTTCTACGAGATCAATTCACAATGTAAATTATGTCGACACAATGACTTTCAATGAGTATTAAAAAATATAATCTAGTCCCAATCTCGTCATGCATCTTTTCCAACTTCCTGCTTGATTTGTGCCATGGTGTTAACGACTACTACTACGCACGCATGAAAACCTAATGACCAAAAGCTAAACTTAGCAAATCCCTGTGGGATTGAAAGTGAAATCCTCTCAGAGAATATTATTATTAAACACGAGGCATAGGCGAAAATTGTCATTACCATTAAATCGTGTCGAGTATTAAATACGTGTTCTTTAAAGCGGGGTTTGTGGTCATTGCAATTTTGATACAACAACAACTTTCAATCTTGCTGCCTTAGGACTCTCTCGCGTTTCGCCAACAATTGGTGATTGTAATTTATTTAGCATATTACATGCAGATCGGGAGACGTTTTTATTGAATGCATTTTTTTTAGTGCTTCCTTCCTCCATGAATGCGGCTTCTGAATCATTCTCATCTGCATGAACATTAACTAAGGAATATGTAAAGCATGTACTTTATTGTGGTTTGTGGTTGCTAGTCTCAGCCTGTATTTTATGTACACGATTATTTATGTATAGGCTGAGATCACTAGCGCACTACCTGATTATATTGTTCAACTACGTATGTATGCACTTATTTTGTATGTTGTTACTTCATCTCATCAAATCAACGATCTTTTCATAGTCAACCTGGTTAATTATATTGTATTACCAGCTAAAAAGTGCATGCATAGATACCTCATACGATACAGAGGAAGACTGATTCTTTGACGTATGTACCAACTTTGGCTCACTGCAAAAATTTACAGGTAGATTGTGAAGCACACACGTATAATTTTTTTGCACGCTAATAAGACGTTCATGTGCGGTATGCGGTATGGTAGACGTAATATGCACACACGTAATAATAACGTGATGAATATTTACTTGGAGTTACATACTTGATGTACAGAAAATGGAGGATTGAGGCAGTGAGATATGCACAAGTACGTCGTATTGTACAATTTACTGGATATTTCGTTGCAATGTTACAAAACTAGTTGTTTTATCGAGTTACAGAGATTCGCAGTCAAAAGAATATAATTCGCAAAGTGCAGCCAGTCAGAAATGGCAGGTGTTGGTAGTGGATGCATTACTATGGGCCACATAAGTACATAGTGCACACATAATTACTCTGCAATTTTTTTATTTATGACTTACCGGATCAATATATTTTACCATTGCGGGATTTCAAGAAGAGCCATATTCCATACATATTCCATACATATTCTGTGTATCTATTCAGTACGTCTGACGGACCCAGGTAGTAGAATCCACCGAGGAGAAAGAAAATACCCGATTTCGGATTGGACTCGTGCATGTAGGGATTGTTTGACCCTGAATTCATGTGTTGGCTAAAAAGTGTATCAGTTAATCTGGAAAGTGAAGAGCCCTTGACTGAACTCGATTCAGAGAAATCTCAAGATTTTAGATTTTAGTAGTTGCATGGAACGAGTGTTACCCTAATTAATTTATAACCAGTGCATGCAGTAAGTTTATTTAACTTCTATTCAGGATCAGAGTTGTGATAATAAATAGTTCCTTAAAAACTAATTCTACAATAGATACATTGGGATAAAAAAACTGGAATAACACAATGGGATAAACTATGCCCACTGAGCATACATACATATAATTGTGATACTATAATCTCAAACATTGAAACTTAAATAATCGCATCTGAAATTTAATTTTATTTCAATCGATATGAGTACGAAAAGTGATTCTGAAATCGACATGGATGGGCCTGGCAGTTTTTGCCGGGCTCGAAACCCCACAGGAACTAACTCGCAGACTAACTCCATGACAAGTCTTCAAAAAATTAGTCTGGCAATTACCGGTTCGATGGAGAAGTTCTTTTACAGGTAACAACGATATGCACATAAACACATGTATACCTATTCATAGGACTTGATACATCATTACAAGTTACAATTAACATGCAATAACATTGCCATATATGTAGATACATAAATAGTTTGTAACAAATTCGTCATGCTTTACTGTGCATCTTGTTGTTTAGAAATAAATCTTGCAATCGAGTCAGGCACAGGCAGCATACAACAATAACAGTAAAACATTCAGTTGCTTCATGATGCCAGTTTTCCAAAAATGTAAAATTCATACATGTGAAAATTTTTGCAAGAATTTTTGTACAAAATATTTTTAAAAATGGTTTGCTTAATTGTTTTATTTGTTACAACAACAATGAAGTAGTACAACGAGATAAAAGTGCAAGTAATCACGTATTGACATGACTTTTGGGTTATTTCACAAATTCATGATGGTTGATATACAGGTTTTATTGAATTGGCGATTGTGTCATCTAACAAGAAGTGCAAAGCAAAACAATCTGTTTGTTGTTGTGCAATGCAAAATGCAACCCACATGAATGATGCATTTATCCATCGACAGACTGTTTGATTTCGATTGCGCTGCACAATAATATTGATGGCTAATTAATTTTTGATGTTACGTTGATTTTGGAGATGATTACATATTTACAAATAAGTTCATGTATTTTTGGCAATACTTAGGTGGGGATTTTTCGTGGCAACGCATCCTCTCAAAGCAATCTCGTGCTGTCTGCTGATAACATCTATTTGTGGCTTGGGAATTTTCAATTTTACGATGGAAAATCGCCCAGATAAATTATGGATACGTAAGAATGTTATATGATTTCGAGCCGGTTCTTAAACGAAGTGCTGCTATATGATATTCTATATATTTTTTCAAGTAGCTTGTCAACCCATCCAATTTTTGATGTGTATTATTTTAAAACTATAATTACAGCGAGGAACTCAGAGTTTGCTCAAAACACGGAATGGATTAGAGCCACATTTCCGTCACCCATCAGGACAAGTTTTGCCATTGTCACTGCCGATAACGTGCTGGTGCCTGAAGTGATGCGTGTGGTGAGTTGTGCTCACTTGACCCATATTTTAATCACGACATTTTTAACTCATTAAAAATTTTCCGAGACAAATTTTTGTCCCTTAATAAAGTAACATTGTTGCATTGTTTGGGTTTATGACAGAGCTAAAATATAGTAAAGATGAACAAAATGTTTTTTTTATACAATGAGACAACGATAAGCTAAACAAGCTATACTTTGTTCCACTTGCATGCCTCCTATTTTGTCACGAAAACTTTAACTTTATCAATTTCAGATTTTGAACATTCACGAAAGAGTGAAACAAATTGAAGTCACTGGAGGAAAAAATTGGGAGTCGTTGTGTTACAAGTGAGTGCATGTTGGTTTACACTAATGAATAGTAATACATACATAGTGCGGTGTTGAGTCAGTTACCATTGATGCTTCTGTACCCTTGATTGAGGCTCTGACCCCTACAAAGTCACTTTTGCGTGGCAACTGAACTTGATTTAATGCTAATTTTCTCGCAATTGTGCAAAGTGTAGCGAGAGATGTTTAGTTTATTACTACAAGGTAGAGCTATTTGCCCTCCAAAAAGGCATATCAGGGTCGCATGGATGTTACAAATCCTGTAAATAACGCAGTTTTTTAAGAATAATTGCTGGTCTTACTGCTCTTAATTGTACTAAAAGTTTATAGTATAGCAATATGATCTTAAGGACAAGATGGTTATTGCTTTTTACCCATTTCGACTGCGACCATCACCGAACCTGATGTGACTCATCTGGTGATGCAGTCGCTAGGAAATTTCTGAGACGCTTATTTGCCTAATGGAATAGAATATGTTAGGATAAATAATTATCATTGCGGCGCAAGATTACTTCGAAACACCACTCAACAAGGGCTTAAAGCAATAACAACTTTAAAATCCAGAATTAAATGAAACTTTATTCCAGACTTCCCATCACCAAATTTTTGTCCAAGCGAAAAAGACGATCAATTGGTCAAGCATATCTCCACTCCAACAGCACTACAAATTCTCACACTGGATTACAAATATTATCCAACGACTTTGACGACGCTTTCGATGACGAATTTTTCAGCGAAAATTCCACGCTTAAACCTCAAACTAGTGAATCTGGTTTTTCTCAGCTCTTCGTCGTTCCAGACGAATTTTACTGTTCCATTGTCAACGAATTGGACGCAGCATGCTGGGAGGTCAGCCCTGCCGAGTTGTGGTCCTTTGACAAATCCCTCATTGACAATCTGACACAAGAGGAAATCATCCGAGTTGTTAACCACGAGCTCATAAGGTGAAGCATTGCATTACATTAAATTGGGATACTTTTCTTTAAAACCTGTCATGACATTAACTAATTTGTAATATTCGTATCAATTTAGCCCAATATTTGGGAGGAGTGTAAATTACACGGCCGAGTTTGGAGGAAACATAGTTCGGAACGACTTGGGGGAAGTCATATCTGCTGGATCGGTCTTACTCAGGTGGTCCATTGGCATCAATCAGACTCTTTTACAAGAGGGTCGAGTGGTCACTGATAAAACCGGAGAAGTCGCAGATGATGACTGTCTCGAGTGGGAATTAAAATGGATCGACCTCATGAAAAATATTTCCAAAGACATGCCTCCAGGAATAAACACATATTTCGTAAACTCTCAAAGGTATTTAAACCTATATTTCTTAAAGTGGAGTAAATTGTACTTATTTAAACATTTTTAAAACTACATTTTGTTATCGCTAGCTGGATGGAAATCAGTGAAGCCACAATTTTAGATGATGGGATGCAACTTGCCATGGGCTTTATTATAATGTTCTTCTACGTAGGAATAATGCTGGGCAAATTTAATGTAGTAGAACAAAGGGTATGAGTACATACATACATGTTTTGCTAAATTAAAATTATGCATAGTACAATTATTTTATTAAAATGGGTATAATTTTTTTTTCGATAGCCGCTTCTAACAATTGCTGGCCTGAGTTGCGTTGGACTTGCTTGTGTCGTTTCCTATGGACTATGCTCCTTGTGTTTTATTGTGTACGGCCCGGTTAACAAAATACTTCCGTTCCTGCTACTTGGTATTCCTTCACCAAATGTTTCATATTTTGTCATATTAATATGTTAATTTATGTATTTTTCCGCAATTATAAAGGAATTGGAATTGACGACATGTTTGTGGTTAGTTAATTACTCTGTATTCCGTGATACCTTTACGAATGATTTCATGTGTATATAGATTATGCAATGTTGGAACAATCTGTTTTCATCTCCTTTGACTAACAAAAGCAAGCTGTCGATCCCGGAAAGAATGGGCATGGCTATGAAACATGCGGGGGTTTCGATCACGGTCACAAGTTTGACGGATGTCGCAGCGTTCGGCGTAAGTCATGGTCTTGCTAATCATCATGCATGATCATTAATTTTAAAATGAGAAAGTATATTTTTGTATTTGTAGGTGGGAGCATCCACGGTAAAATAACTATATGCCAAGAACATTCACACGCTCAATATTTTAACTAATTGATGATATATCGTGCCACAGATAATGCCTGGTCTGCAGTCATTCTGTATTTATGCTGCGGTTGGGATAATTGCAGTTTTCCTGCTGCAAGCCACGTTCTTTGTCGCATGTTTCGCTTTGGACCAAAAGCGAGTTGAAGATAGAAGAAATGCTTTCTTTTTATGGATCAAATATAAAGAAGACGAGTTCATTCCAAATTCTTGGAGCCAAGAGAGTTATTTGCAAACACTATTTAACAGAATTTTGGCTAAATATTTGTTCACTCCATGGGCAAAGGTGATAGAATTGAACCGTTTTTGTCTTTGAAACATAAAGTAATGTCATAATTTATTTAGATCACTGTAATTCTCATCACGCTAAGCATGCTGGGAGTAACGATGTATGGAAATACCCTCCTCCGTCAAGAATTTGACCCAATGTTAGTTTAATTTACTTATTAGTTTACAATGCTAAAAACTTCTAAAATACATATGCGTATTTAGTTATCAAAATCTATAATCCAATTTATTTCACTGCAACTGTACAGGTGGTTCCTACCTAGTGACTCGTACATGAGCAAATATGTTGAAAAGCGAGAAACTTATTATCCAGGAACAGGCTACCCGTCCTTTCTGGTTGCTAATCAAGTAAATTGGAGTGAAAGTTTTCAGAGCTTCGACCGAGTTTTAAATGACCTGAAATCGTCAGATGCCATCTACAATCTGGAAAATTGGTAGGTTACAATCGATGGTTCATTTAATAATCATTGTTTAGTTTAATAAGTTCGTAATTATGCTATACCTTATTGAACATATGTGATAGGTACGACGATTTCAAGGAATACTCCAATGCAAATTTCGATACGAGTAAGCAGTTCGTTAATACAGAATCGATTGTGTAAAACTTGTACATAGTTAGGACTTACTTTTACTTGCTTTTTTATCCGACATATAGACATTCCCAACAGACCTTTGACGCCATCAAAGTTTCAAAAGTACATGGGCAAGTTCCTGTACAGTCCTGCAGGATCAAAGCATCGCCCTTATTTCAAATCCGATGGTAATTTTTCGTGCGGAGAAAGTTTACCCCCACTAAAGGTACCACATAGTTTAGAAAATTCAGTATATGCATTTCATTGAATGTACGTAAATATTAATAACTGAATTGTAATACAATCCACTTGAATTATTTTAGACTGTAGTGATGCCATTTCGATTTAGAAAGTTTAATGGTCCACAAGAACACATCCCTGCTCTCCGCAAAGTAAAATCTTTGCTCAAGACTGCAAACATGACTTTCAACCATCACGAGAGCCCCAAATTTTTCGTTACCGGCACTGGTTTAGTGGCGTGGGAGACTGACAATGTATGTGCGACTTGAATAAGACTTTGTGAACAAGTTTAAAAATAAAAATAATTATTGATTGCAGATAATAAATGCCGAGCTGTATCGGAACGTGTCCTTGTCTCTGCTGTGCGTTCTAGTCACTACGTTTCTCCTATTGGCAAACTTTAGGATTTGCGGTATGAAATAAATCAGTATTAATAAGTACTTTGTATAGGACTATGTATAATATATATATTTTTTATAGCATTTTGTGGGATTTGCGTCGTACTCACACTCATAAATGTGGGTGGATTTATGCATTTCTGGGGCTTGAGCATAGATACAGTATCGACGATTGACATTGTTCTTGGTAAGCCAACAAAATAGAGAATTTTTCAAAATTAAACTCAATAAATTGTTTTCAAGATAAGTGCTTTTTTAAGCTAAATAATTTTGTATTTCAATTGTTTCCGATTCCGATTGGATTCCGATAGCAATTGGGTTGTGCGTAGGTGTGAAAAATTTTCATTAACCATACATTTTTATATTAAATTAAACGTGTGCTAATTTTTAATTGATTATCCTCTTTTCTAGACTATGCGACTCATATTGGTAAGTATGATTCCCACATCGTTAATAAAATTTTGAAGTCCTGATAGTGAAGAAATATTTTTATTATTTTCCAGCTCTTGCATTCATGACATGTACCGGAAGTCGAGAAAGTCGTGCAAAGCAGGCTTTGAAGAATATTGGTCCAGCCGTTTTGAACGGAGGGTTCAGCACATTTTTAGCAATTATCCTCCTCGCCGGATCAAAGTCCCATGCGTTCCAATCCTTTTTCAAGGTTTGTATTATTAATTCATCTCAATGGATTTATAGCGAAATGAATTTTAATACGTATTAGATTAAAATTCAGATATTCAGTGTCGTCATTGTTTGTGGATTATTCCATGGCCTGATTTTTCTCCCCGTACTTTTGAGCATTTTTGGGCCGGAACCGTATCCATTTGCATATTCCAGAGATCACGAACTATTTGACGCCTTTAAACCTCAAAAAGTAGTTGAAATGAAACCACTTCAAAATTCTCAAGTTCAAGTTGAAGTCAAAGACAGCAGTAATGCAAACAATCCTCTGTTTAGTACAAATAATAATTTAGCACCCTTGTTACTTTGTTCTCGTGAATTTGAGAGTCAAGTTCAACGCACACAACAGTGACATACTTATTGATATGCATTGGATTACGTAAAAGTATTAAATAAATTTATCATGTACCGATAAAAAATTTGTTAGAATATTTCTCAAATCAAGTAATAGATACAATGATGAACTAGTTTTACATATTTATTTAGTACTCAAATGCATGTATCAAAATGAATCTCGATTGTTGACTGAGCTCAAATATAAATGTGATAGAATAGATTGTTACGAATAAATACGATGATCTAGCAAAAAATGTTTTTTTATAGAAAAACTTAGATCTCGAATCTCAAGTCATACTGAAGCATGGTTCAAGGTAATCCTGAAGAAAATGGTAATTTTCATGTGCATCATATGCATCAATGTCCTCCATCACTCATCATCCTCAGTGCCAAAGAACCTGTCAGAGGGACGTTGACTTGGAATCAAACAGTCTACAATTAATATTACACAAAGGTTCACGTCCTGTATGAGAAAAGTTACTGGTACCTTGATTAATTTGTTCTAAGCTATCTACTATCCGGCATGCCTATCAGATCTGTGCCTATGACCATCACAGAACGTCGAGATACTTTGAATTTTAACTATGTACAAGCCCATTTCATTCACAGATAAGATTACACTATTGTAATTGTATCACTCTTTATAATATAAATTGCATAATTATTGTATGTTATATAATTGTGTATGTATGTCATAGATAATTTCTTTAAAACAGTTTTTCAGCTTGAGACGAAGCAAAATAAATTTCACATCGGAATTATTTGTCCCAGACAGTTTTAAGAGGAAACTCTAATATACTTTGTCCATGGTAAATATGTGGGAAATATTGCTAAATATATATAATGCTGAATCATTCCCTTTGGACAAGTTATTCGTCTCAATTCTACTCTACATCATTTGCATCTACGCATTATGAGAAGCTCGACTGGTTTTACAAGTATGCTGATAGAAGCATTTAATTAAATCATGCGAAACAGTTTTTTCATGCACATGTAGATATTCATATATGACATATGACACGTGTTAGTGATTAGATCACACAATAATTTCCTTCCAAAGCATATTATTTGCAATATTATATACAACTAATTACTTTCAATCATATGGTTCCATTGATATTCAGTCTTTACAGGAAGAACAACCGAAATGTTTTTTTGTATGTGAGTCATTCTCACGTTTACAATACATACAATTTTGCCGGTGTGGGAATAATGTAATCGTTTATGCCGAGCCAAAGAAAATAAATGCATGAAATATATTCCTGACCATTTTTTAAATTAACTAGCGAATATTATAAAACTAAACTTTGTGCAAATGATCAAGGAGGAAAGTGCATGCAGATGGACCTCGTCGGTTCGGTCTGGCTGTTGCATGCAAGTCATACCAAAGTCTGCCTTTTCGTGGTTTTGGAGGATTTTGGACCATGCAATTATTATAATCAATACAAATTTTGCACGTCAACTGTGAAATGGTTCCAAGGCAAAATTAATTCAATGCGTCCATAAAGTCGCGTACTTTACAAAAAAAACTGGATTTTCTTGACCATCGATTCAATTCATCCAAGTTTAAAGGTCATTTTATGCAATCTGCATCATCATTACCGAATGTGTACCTTGTTCATTTTTTAAGCATAAACGTAAAACATATTATCCTAAAAAAGATGAATGGATAAATCATTTACGCTGGGAAATTTAACGACTTGTTCTGGGTTTGTGAAACATGAACTGATTCAATTCATCGATGGCGATGAAAATCTGTATCCATATCACTCGATAATGGGAATAATACGTGTAATGAAAGACTTACTTAATCATATATATTAAACGCCCCATCCCAGACTGTGTCATGCCGTGATGATTCATGTGTGGAATGCGAAAACTGTACATACAACGTAAATGTATTTAAACAAAGCCAGCCTTCAAATCTGGAGAAGCTGGCGAGAGAGCATGCGAGTGTTTAGAGCTGCTTTTGCTTGCAATCAAACTGGTTATCCTTAAATAAATTCGCATTTTATTAGCACATTGCTTTATGTTTGATCACATTAGACTAGCTCTCAAGTGGCACGACAAAAAGGTTTGCATCAACACTGGCGTTTCGCACTCTTACAGTTACTATTTTCCAATCATTCGCTCGGTCAATGTCGTCGGTGGAGTAGGATTTCTGCGCATCTTGAACTCGAAAACTCGCTAACGAGGAGTACGTTTTGGGAGAAAGTCATATTATTTGCTCCTGCATGTGTGTGTTTCTGTGTGTGTTTTGCAGCCTGGAGCATAAAAAACAAACTGAACGACACATAAAAACAATCCAAACGCAAGTTACGCAAGTGACCTGAATTTTATTGGAGGGGATGCAATAAAATGGTGGAAAATTCTGGTAATATTTTAGAGAAGTTAAGTGTCCGGAGTAAAACCAGTTTGGAGAATTTCTTCTACAGGTAAGCTATGCAATTGCGAGTAAATCATGTGCATATATGTAAAAATAAACCACACAGCATTACGCACGCACTAATGTGTATACATACATACATCATGTAAATATGTAAGGTACATGACAATGACATTATAATGATGATATTAATAGATGGGGATTTACTGTGGCCACCCACCCTGGGAAATTTGTGTCAATTTGTGTGTTGGCAACTGTGCTCTTTGGCTCTGGAATTATTTTGATCAAAGAGGAGAGCCGCCCTGACAAACTTATCCTTCCTGCAACTGCCGAGTATGCAGTCAATACTGAATGGATTCGGTCCAAGGTTGCAATTCCACTACGAGAAAACTATGCAGGCATCGTTGCTGATAATGTCCTCACGCCAGAGGTTATGAAAGTAGTAAGTAACACTTTTCCATGACCTGTACATAATCTACACATGTAACTACAATTCGAGATATGCACTTAAACTCGTACATACTTGTTTGCAGTTAATAGATTTACATGAAAAAGTTAAAGCTGTGTCAACCCGTGATGGGAAAACTTGGAGTGACGTTTGCTTCAGAGTACCAGTGACAAAAATTGATCTCGGAGAAGAATCTCTACGCAGAAAACGGAGAGAGGCCAATAATTCAGACGCTTCTGCCACTATTTCTTCCAGTGGTTCTCATAATGATTGGGATAGTGCCTTTGATGACGACTTCTTTAAAGAATCGACCGAAGAAGATGTCAAACCAAAGCAGTGGACAGTGTATCACAGTATTCCGGAAAGTTTGTACTGTTCGATTATTGACACTTTGGAAGAAGCGTGCTTGGAATCCAACCCTGTAGAGTTGTGGTCGTACGACAAAGACGTAATTTACAATTTGACACAAGAAGAAATCATTCGAGTATTTAACCATGAAATCATTAGGTTTGTTTGGCAAATAAAAATAGTACGCCCGCACGATGAAAGTATACTAAAATACTAAAGAAATCCAAAAAATTTTGCTATATAGTCCAGTTTTTGGGAGGAAGACAAAGTACAAAATGGAGTTGGGTGGCAAAATTGAGAAGAATGAGAAGGGCGAAATTATCAAGGCGGAGTCCCTGTTGATGACGTGGGATGTGAAAGTTGACATTACTCAAGAGATGATAACTGATACGCAAGGACTCGTTGGAGACGCGGCTGGGCTGGAGTGGGAGAAAGAATGGATTAAATCTATGAAAAAATTCGCAAAGGAGATGCCCAGTGGAATTAAGTTGCACTTTTTAAACGCAGCATGGTAAGATTTCAGATATTGTGAAATTCTGGATAGTTTTTATGAAAAATTTAAGTATGGGAATTTCCTTCAGCTGGGGAGATATTTTGGATGAGACGCTGATTCAAGAAGGAATAGTTCTCGTTTGTGGATTCGGAATTATGTTTTTGTACGTAGCAATGATGCTTGGAAAACCCAATATGATAGAACAACGCGTAAGTATATATTATGCGCATACACATTCCAGCATGATAAATTAAACCCATTAACCCATCGTCTGAGGATGATGAAAAAAACATGAAACTAATATGATTCGTTATCCTTTAACTGTACACAGCCATTCTTAACATTGGCCGGGTTGGGATCCATTGCATTTTCTCTAATAATTGGCTGCGGGTTCTGTGCATTTCTTTCGTTCCCTTTCATGACATTAAATCGGGTCATGCCGTTTTTAATATTAGGTATCGGCATTGATGACATGTGAGTTTTTATGTAATTCGGGTAGTTGATTTAATATGTACGTAATAGAGATTAAAATGCTAATATGCATGCGTTTTTTGCGAATCAGGTTTGTGATAATGCAATGTTTTAACAACTTGGATCAACATGATTCACTGAAAAAAACGAAGATGGGCACAATCCCTGAGCGGATTGCATTGACGCTGAAGAATGCCGGAGTCAGCATAACATTGACGTCACTTACTGACATCGCAGCCTTCGGCGTTGGATGTTTGTCTGTAAGCATTTACTTAATATACTCATGCAAATCTAATAATATATTATGTGCTTACAAATAGCCACTATTTTTACTACATTTTTATGGGTTATGCCTTGCAGACAATTCCCAGCCTTCGAAGTTTCTGTTTGTATGCAGTTGTCGGGATATCGGTGCTCTTCATTTTTCAATGCACTTTGTTTGTCGCTTGTCTGGCAATCGATCAAAAGGTGATTATATTTAGACTTTTGTCGGTATTAGGTATTATTGAATGATAATATGGTTCTTTTAAAAAAGCGGTTGGAAGAGAGACGAAATGCTTTCCTATTTTGTATCCAATATGAAGAGGACAAAATTCCAAGGAGTTCCACAAAAAATTATGACAAAGGACTCATACAAATGTTTTTTGACAAAATTTTGTCAAAGTATTTGCTAACCAAGACTTCAAAGGTAAAGGCAAAGGCAAATGTTTTACAGTTCAGATACAGTTATGAGTGTGATAATATTTATGCACGACTGTGATTTTTGTAGGTGATAGTGATAATTTCGACGGTATTTCTGCTAGCATCAGGAATATATGGAAACGTACACCTAAGGCAGCACTCGGATGCTCTTTGGTTTATACCTGGTATTCCAATTAATTTTTAAACATTCCCATTTATTTTAAACTGTATTTTGAAAACAATTACAAAATTACACAATTTCTTAAAATAGAGGACTCGTACATGGTGCAATTCATTCGAATGTTCAACACCAACTATCCAAAAATCGGGTACCCAGGATTATTGGTAGCACATGAAATGAATTGGACTGAAAGTTTGCCTATTTTCGGAGAACTACTTGAAGATCTTCAAGAATCTCCCCACCTTCACGAAATTATGCAATTCTATACTTCACTCAAGGATTTTGTTATGGACGTTTACGAAATTGGTATATGAAATAGTTAAACTGATTAAACGTTAAACTAAACCTTATTGCATACAAACGACAGATTTGTCTGAGCAACAACTAAATGAACAACAGTTTAGTACATACATGGGGAAATTTCTGTGGAGTCCGTATGGAGCCCGGTATAAATATTTTTTCAAGCTGAACGATACTTTCTCCTGTGGTGAAAGTTTACCTGATATTAAGGTAACCTTTAATGCCATGCATATGTGTAATGTCCTTTAATGAATGATTCCAACTTGCTCAAAATTCTCCATGATTTACAGACTGCCATCGTGCCATTCCACTTTAAACGATTTATAGACGGATCTCAAGAACATTTGACTGCAATGAATGCGATAAAGAGCTTGGTTCGAAATACTTCTCGAGATGTAACATTTAACAAAAACTCTGGGGACGAAGGACGAGTATTCTTTTGGGCCCAAATCTCAATTGCGTGGGAGGTCGATGAGGTATTTGAACAAATATTCCTGAATCGTGATCAATTTAATAATGCTTATGCTGAAAACGAATAATAGTAATGGCGACCTCTTTTCAGATCATTAAGGCAGAAATGTACAAAAATTTGGCACTGTCCATGGGCTGCGTTATGTTGGCTATACTGATACTGTTAGCCAATTTAAAAATGTGTCTCCAATGTGGGATTTGTGTTATTATAACAGTAATTGACGTGTCGGGTTTTATGCATTTTTGGGGACTCAGCATAGATAGTGTGGCGTGCACAATTCTAGTACTATCGGTCGGCCTTTCTGTAGATTACGCAGCTCATATTTGTAAGATATTTTGACGAGTTTTTTTCAAGTTCAAAATTTCCAACTTTCTCTCTTGTTTCACAGGTCTAGCCTTTATGGAAAGCAGGAAAGGTTCCAAAACGGAAAGAGCACAGGACGCCTTGCGAACAATTGGTCCAGCCGTGTTCAACGGTGGCTTCAGTACATTTTTAGGCGTAATTCTTTTGATTAATGCACAAACCGTGGCTGCATTCTCATTTTTCAAGGTGAGTTGAGTAGAAATACATGCAATAAGTATATCTACACCAACGACAATTTTCATAATGCTGCGTATTTGGGAAAAACAGATTTTCAGTCTCGTGGTCGTCTTTGGATTATTTCATGGATTAATATTTCTGCCCGTTCTGTTGAGCTTGTTTGGATCTGAGCCATCTTTGTTAGAAAAGAAAGCCAGGCACGAAAGGATATCCGGAGGAGAAAGCAACTGTTCAAAGTTGCTTGAAATGCATTCTTTAGCTGAAGGAGGTCATCTAGAGGAAATGGCTTCAGACCAGTACTGCACTGATGTAAAGAGCGGTTTGAAAAATGGATATCCGCGCTCTTAATTGTAAATATATTTTCGTCGCTCGTTTAATTATGTAACTCAATTAAGGAAAAGTAAAAAAAAATTTTGTTGACCTAAAATTAAACGTATACTTAGTTCGTTTTTGCATACTCAATGCTTAACTGATAACTGGGGATACTTATCCTTAGTTTAGCGAATGTCAAATTTTTATGGCATTCACTTGGATTTATGCATGGCAGTGCTTTTTGCTTGAACAAAGGCAAGCATATAATAAACTCATAACAACCGATTCGCACTTACGTGCGTCACTTGTCATAAATTTGGGATGTATGTATGTATCACGTACCACCAATTTGACTATAATGTCAACCCAAAATTGCTATCTTGTATATAAATACATACGTATAATAGAGAACGTCCTACACGACCATTCAATATATACTTAATGTCCTAAATATGTTGGTAAAAGCAAATACAAAATGTTTAGCTTCTACGTATTTATGTATACATAAGCCATTTGCAAACATGTTACGAACATGCAATTTGTCACATAACGTTCTGATCGTCTTCTACATAAATGACAAGTCAACAAGCAAAGGACATTTGTACATAGCCAACTCTCTCTCCATAGTGTACGGAGAGAGACCACTTTCTTCTATGTATTGATGAAATGGTAATGAACATATTTTTAAGGCACAACGATAGTCGTTGGGTTATGCACTTCGATAATTTGATACTGCTCTCGTTTCTTGGACATACTACTTAATACATTTACAACAATCAGTATAATAATAATATACTAATAAGTGTCTGAGCAACTCTGTGCTCAGCAGAAAGGGTTCAAAGCAAAAAATGATCACGTTACAGAAAATTTGAAACTCTGCCATAATTAAAAAAAACACTAATAGAATTTTTTTCCTGTAAAATTTTTCCATACATATCCGACCTGTGTGACCTGTTATCAACGGGTGAAGCCGATTAATATGGGAATACCTTGTCTATTTGTCTGCACGATAAGTCGAGAACGGATTCGAATTTTCCGATGCGGTTTTCATCAAAGTGTTTCTAATTCGCCCGGACATTGCAATTTCGAATGTGGTGATCATGTAACACACCCCCTGTGCTGGGGTGTGGTAGTCGAAATTAGAAATATTCTTATTTTTGGCATGTCGTTCATGGGGGGCGTTCTACATTGGATAAAACTATGCTAACCCGGTAGGTGAAGTCCGTTCCAAGTGCATTTAAGGTTTTAGAGGAATGTGAGACAATGCTATAAATGACCAGGGAACATGACCAGAACTCTGTTCAAGGGGGTGACGAGACGACCCCCGTGGTTGGGGTGATGAGAGATAATGCAAAATTAAAAAAGGGGGCGCCCCCTTTTTTAAAATTGCAATGTCCGAAATTGCAATGTCCGGGCGAATTAGAAACACTTTGATGAAAACCGCATCGGAAAATTCGAATCCGTTCTCGACTTATCGTGCAGACAAATAGACAAGGTATTCCCATATTAATCGGCTTCACCCGTTGATAACAGGTCACACAGGTCGGATATGTATGGAAAAATTTTACAGGAAAAAAATTCTATTAGTGTTTTTTTAATTATGGCAGAGTTTCAAATTTTCTGTAACGTGATACCTCACAAATCCTTTTTTGCTTTGAACCCTGGGTACAAAGTTTTTCAAGTGCTCAGGTTAGTTGCTTTCCTCAGCCTATTGCCCCCCGGTCCTATTTACTTTCCAATAGCATTCATTAATTGTTAATTCTTCTACTCTCCATCCAACCCTCGATGTATTAATACATACATACAGTAAGGAAGGTGGAGTACAATTTTTGAACATGTACAATACCCTGGATTTTTTGTAACAATAGGTTTTTGTTTTAGATAGGTTTACAGGTCAGAGGGAGAAATTACTACTTCATAGTAAATTGTGGTGTAGACATCATTAATATACCTATGCAATACCATCTTTTTCATACTCAAAATCTCACGCCTTCTTGACATGAATGATTTCACGTTCTGATTAAATAAATATATGTAATATTAATTACGTCAATCCGCAACCTCACATCCGTTGGAATAACAATATATAGTTTCATAAAAGGGGTGCAAGGTCCAGTAGCACTAACGAAATGAATCACATTAATTAGCTAAAATCCCATATCTGACGCATCATATTTTCCTCATAGGCCAGCTTTTAATGCACTAATCTCCTACTCTCATAATATTTCTAGTAGATTCGTAAAAAATTGCACTCGCGACTCTGGGTTCACATGCACCGAGTTCTCTCATGACTCACTTCTTTGCTCAGGACACGTGCACCCAGCAGCGTCAGTGCAGCTGCACTCTCCCAATGTGCGAATCCTCTCACATTTTGATGTTTTTAACAGGAACAGAGTTTGCGTCTTTTTGGAACGTGTATGTAATGCTGTAACATCGGTTCCAACCTATAAATAGATGTTCACTCGTGGATGGGAAGAGAGAAACAATTGTTCCTCTGCTGGCAATCTGTGTAAGACATTCATCCGAAAACCACCGTGTTATTCTGAGCAGGATGCCGTGTTTTGCGGAAATGATTATTAATGATACGACATGTTTTGTTATCATCTCAACATTGCCAATATCATTACCCTGATTTGCATATCGATCACATGTACATATGCGATAATAATATACAGCACGACCCGCCCAGGTACAAGGAGTAACTCTTCTTTAATGAAATGCATGTATACTCCATTGAATCTGCATAAATATGAGGTGGCAATTTTTTGCCAGCTTTGGCGTGGTGCAAAGTTCGAGATCTTTTGTTCGTTGCTGCTGTAGGAGTTTTTGGCCAAGTTGCTGGCTGCATTCTTGCATGTTGCATCTGTGCAGCATTTTATTTTAGTTTGTGGGAGACAGAGTGGCTCTGACATTGTCAAGTTTCAAGTTCATTTAAAGCAAGAAGTTTTTATGCAGTACAGTAAATAATTTTGTACTCCATGCAGCCATGGTTGGAAGACATGGTTAATCTTAACAGATTGATCAACCATTACTAACTCCATCAGTTATGATTCATACTCAATAACGAATGAATTAATATAAAAAAAGCACCTTTGTACATTTGCACATAAATGAATGCAGTTAAAACTAAAAGCATGTCGTAATCCTCAATATTTACACACTTGTTCCGTCTACGATCTCGCTGCTGTCGTTTAACCAAAAACCTTCAATTCGTTAATGCACATGCTTAAGTAGTCGCATAATAAGTACAGTATGAGCCACCCTGTCTATTGAATTGAATTTTCTAGCAAGAGATACACCAATCCAATCCTCTAAAAAATATGTTGAGTTTTTTCCATCAATTTACTACACTCCCTGACAGAGAGTCATATGTTGCATATTTAAGCCATTTCTGCAATTCTGTTGGTAACATAATTATTGTACATACATACCAGAGAAACCTAGTTTATTCGCCAAGCCGTAGCAGCACACACAGTTTACAAAATTCATTCACCAGGTGCAATTTTAAGCAGCGTGCAACAAAATGTGATCTCTTTGTGCAAGCAAAACTCGCAAAAGGGTATTCACTTCTTCCTTTCGTGAACAAGCTCGTTCAAAGCATTCAGATTTGTGTACATATGATTTTTTTGAATCTGCTTCCTAGACGAGAGCTGTTCACCTTCTTCGTCATTTCTTAAATAAGCGTTGACGTGATATACTCGTAAATACGAGTCTTCCTTCCCATACAACGTACATACAATCTTTGCAAGTCAAAAAACTCTACAAAACTCGAGTGTCATGCAATGCTTGAAAATGAATTTTTCATGAGCACCTTGTGTTGAGTTTTAATTTAAGAGTTGGAGAGCTGAACGCGTTCAGTGAGTTTTAGTTTCACTCATTAGGTTAGAGATCGAGGATTACTATTCTTCTGGTGCGATCGGAAATCTCAACATTTTCCACTTGTTTAAAAACTCTGCATTTCCTCCTGTCCGCTGTGAAAGGGGAATAAAAACTAATCGGAAACTAATAGTGTTACGTTGTCTTGTCTCTACTACGTAATCCTGAGTGAAAGTGGGGGCGTCCGTGTCATAAATTCCGAGAGAAAGAGAGAGGATTGAAATAATCAATAGGATGACGACATTTCTCTTGGCCGAGAGAGAGAAAGTCTGCTGTCGTCGTGTTCCTTCATCCAAGTGCAAATGTACCGACTGACATTGTGTGCTTTGGCTGGTTAGCAATATCGATTGGCCTTTGGTGCAGAAGAAGGAACCAAATGTGGTGCTATTACATGTACGAGAGTGGCACATGGATTTTTGCTTTTTCGATAACATTCCATCCTACGTGCGACCAGTCCCCCACTGGCGTTCCTCCGTCTCTCTCCACTTGGACTTCCTCCTCCCAGACGCACCTCGAATCACTGCGCTTCCAAAAAGTAACTCAACTAATCCTCCGAAACATTTAATAAGAGGGAGCGTGTCTCTTTTTACCGAACCGTTATTACATGAGTCACACAAGTCGAGGCTCAACCGTGTAATATAATATTCCATGTTTGTTATACTGACCTCACCACTTTTCAGACGTCAGAAAGAAGAAGAAGAAGTCCAATCTTGGTTGGACATTGGTCTCTCGTTCTGTTCGTTAGCAAAACCATAACAAGTTATGCAACCCCTTCGTGCCAGTTTTGCACCAGGTAAATAAAAGTAAGCGGGGTACCCCCTTAACAACGTGAAGAAACGATTAATTGACGGTGATGTGATCAGTGGAGAAGCCAACCAAGCAACGAGAACTCATTGGTATCCAATTGCGGATAAAAACAATAATCCAGTTCGTCCGTGCCATATAATAAAGGAGTGGATTTCTTTTCCTTGCCGTGTATGCATCGTGTGATCACCATTCGTATCGTATCGTATCGTCTAAACAACTAGTAAATCGTAACGCAAGTTCTGTTGTTTTGCTTAAATGGATTATTGTTCTGCAGTAGTGCTTCGCTGACGCTGACGGATAGTTTGTCAGTCGAAAACAGCGAGAGATATGTTAAGTTGAGCACTTCTTCTTCTGGTCGGAGAGGGGAAATTAGGGAATTTTATTACAAATTCAATAAGCAAGGACGAGAGTAATTTCTACTCGTGATTGTTCCAAATCGTTCAACCTTTACGGAATTTGATTTTGCCATATATACATTTTTAGCCGTACGCAAGTTACAACAATACAATTTCGACTCGTTAGGTTTATTTTGTCTGATATAATATAATCATCATCATATTAGTTTTTGGCAAGTTGGGCAGCGTAAAAAGGAACCGAGTTATTGTATATAAATAGTTAATTCAATTCTTCGCAAAACTCATCCATACATTTCGCCCATGTCGTGCCATGAACAAAGTTCAGTTCATTACACTCCTAGCTCGCAATAAAACCTTTAAATGAGAGGATATTAAGCCAGTGGCAGCGTGCATTCCCAAATAATAATGTACTGACAATGTGTGTGTCGGAAACGGACCGTGTCGTTGGTGTGATATTAAAAACTGTTATTATTATTCTTTTCCATCAATTTCATAGGAAAGAGTAGCACCAGGTTCGTGGGGCACTTTAAATATTTCTGCGATTGAATACTACCAAGGCTGGCTTTTACGACTTTTGCTGTTGAAACTACCACTTATTGATAAACAAGATAATTAAATAGGATGGATAACTGAATGCCAATAATTTTTTTATTGTATGGACTATTGGATTTTTTTTACCAAAGAGTCAGAATTATTTTTGCCTTGCTCCAGTTTGCATAGGCACTTTTTGAGCAGGACTGGACCCGAGTGGTCTTGACAGGGACAAAATTATTCTCACATTTGCACATTTGCAGTTTCCTCTCTCGTTGATATTACTATAGTCAACTAATTTCAGTATGGAAAAGATTATTTAAGTAATCTTTATTAAATTGATCTAGCCAACCAGATCTACACGATTGCTGTATGAAAAAAATATTTAGTACAGGAAAACGGTCAGTGGGCAAGAAGCGAATTTATAAGTAAGAAAATGGTGGCATATCATCGATGACAGTATAAACTTGCAAAACTGTAACTTTCAGTATTATTGTGTACACTTTGAATGTCCATATCCCTATATCTGGATATTTATTGACAGGAACTATTCCACTTGAGGTCTTTAAACTTTTTGCATAACAGCGTCTCATCCAATTTAGACTATAAAGAGTAAATTGCATTCTAAAGAAAGTTGGATTCAATTAATTTTACACAAACTGTAACTTGCTCCAAATTGTGAACTCTGCGAAACATTTATAAAACCATCAAATTATCAAAATTGATTTAGTTGCTGTTGATTGCAAACTGTATGTAAACCATTTCTTAATGCAAATCAACTTACTGCATAGACACAAACATCAATATAATAAACATAGACTGCATAGTTGTGATTACAGCAAATGCCATTGTTAGCCTTAGTCAGACAGTCGTTTGCACGAGACTCAACAATTGTATGATTTCATTTAAACCATATTAAAGTCACATATTATATAAAACAAATTGCAGAATAGACTTTTAACTATAAAATTAGGTCATATAATAAATTACAATAATAATAATAATAAGCTAGATAAATACTGGACGTGTAAAATCAAGTGTCAAATCTTTTCTCATTGTATAAATAATATAATTTGTATTATTCGAATTAAACGCAAGTCTCTCTTCTAAATACTTACGTATTATCGTAAACAAGCTGTCATTCGGTGGTGACTAACGGATTTTAATTGCAAATTTCAACTGTGAACACAATAAATATGGGCTGCTGTAAAGTGTATTGCAAAAAGATGCAAGAAAGACAACCAATCCTGGAAAAAGTTAGCCTGGCCATTCAAGGCTCGTTGGAGAATTTTTTCTACAGGTAAGAATTCCACAAAGTTTTGCAGAATGTTAAAGTATTTTATTTCTTGGTATAGTGAGTCGTATTATTATATACTTTGTCAGTTTGCGTCGGCATACAGTACGCTTAGCTTATGTACGTACGTACATACATATGTACGTATGCGAATTTGGTTGTGAAATTATAGCTGGGCAGCATGAATTCCAAAATTTGTTACGTCCATCTTCTCGCCTACAAACAACAAATCAGTCTGACAAAATGGTTGTGAGTGTGTGAAATTGCAATTGCTGTACGGAGGAATATTATAAAGTTGCAAATTTCAAACACGTCAAGCAAGTCATAATCGTCATCATTAAATCAAACCCTTCTTTCTGGAGGAGAATCTAGTTTTTGTGGATTCTTGCGTTCCACCAGTTCTCACACAGCATCATAATTGAATGCATGTCCATCGGGTTTTCCTCTAACCATTATTGAAATTTGCAGCGATAATGAACTAATTTCATGCCTCAATTTTGCACTGCTATGCTAATAAATCAGTATTATGAAATAAATGTATTTTGTTAATAAGGTAAATATAATACGGAGCGTTGAAATGTATTTATACTGAATCAAACGCACTATAATTTAACAAGTGCAAGCAACATCACAAGACATATTTTATTATTTCACTCGTACGTAATAGTTCAGAAATCATAGATAAATTAAAAACATTTAGCGTTAAATTTTGCTGCATATGCCAACAAGAGCTGGTCACGTGAAATAAATCGAAATTCAATTTCATGAAATAATGAACGCTTTTAGTCCATTTCACCATTGCATTATTCATGTGAAGACGCATGCTTCGTTCTACAGTTTCTTCCACAGTTTCACAGAAATGCATATACCAATATTCCATAAATTTCAGATGGGGCGTCCTTGTCGCCACACATCCATTCAAATTCATTTTTGGAGGTAAGGATTCAATTTTCCCATGTCAAATGAAAAGAAATAAGTGTCAGTATGCATAAATATGTTAATAATGTCCTTCTTACAGCATTCATGTTCACAGCACTATTGGCATTGGGATTTATAAACTTTACCCAAGAAAATCGACCAGTAAGCATAAACATTTTCCAAAAGAGTTTCATAAACGTTCAAAAGACTCACGGATATGAAATGTTTAAATTGATTTGCAGGATAAATTATGGATTCCACGAGACTCCAAGTTTGCAAGCGACACAGAATGGCTAAGAAATAACTTTCCTTCTCCTTTAAGAGAGAGCTTTGCTATATTCACTGCGGAAAATGTTCTTGTTCCGGAGGTCATGCAAGCAGTAAGTACATACATAATTTAAATTGACCATTATAGGAGTAGATACGACTCACGTAAATATGCATTATTACGTGGTTAGTAGTGCCACACGGGTTCCGACCTTGCTGCATATTTGTTCAGTGTTAATATAAAACCAACATTAAATTATGTCGCCAAATTGAAATTGCCTAATTTTTCAGATATTTGAAATCCATGAACGCGTTGGGAGAATTTCCATTTTGGACGGTAAAAAATGGGAAGACTTGTGTTTCAAATTGCCTATTACAAAATTCAATGAAGCTTCCAAGTATCGACGTCGACGCCGGCGTTCTGTTGCTACTACTCTGCCGTCTCGGGAAGTACTGATGACTAGCGAAAATAGGACGGCAAGAGAAGAGGACACATTTTTCGGACATGCATTCGACGATTTTGATAATGCTTTTAATGAAGACTTTTTTAATGAAGTTTCATCTCCACATGTTGTCGACTGGGACCCATCAATAGAACTTCCAGTCGAGACGTATTGCTCAATGGTTAATAGGTATGATTATAATTATTATTTATGAGTAATTTATTCACGTTCTTACCCAGCATATCTCCTTAAAGCCTCGATGAAGCATGCTGGGAAGTTAATCCCACGGAACTTTGGTCTTTCAACCGATCTCTCATTCATAATTTAACTAAAGACGATATTGTTCAGGTAATAAAAATAAATATGTTATGTTAATTATGTATTCTTTAAAAGCATGGTAAATCGTTGTAAAAAATTAATCTGATTGATTATCTACTTCATTATTCCATAGTGTTTACCAATTTAATATGACATAATCTATCCCTTGCTAGGTCATGAATTATCAATTGACCAGGTAATTAAAACATCAGCCAATCAATAAGTATGTTGATATTCAGTATTGCTAAATAGATTTTTTTCCAGTCCCATATTTGGAAGAAAAGTCAACTACACGGCAGAACTGGTGGGTACAAATTACTCAAAAAATATTAAATGGTGTACTCGACGTCTATCAACTAATCTGCATTTTTTCTAAATAGGGGGGAAAAATAACTCATAACGAGAAGGGTGAAATAATAGGTGCTGAAGCCATCCGACTAAAATTCGTCGTGGCAATTAATCAGACGGCAGTTGACCTGGGCAAGTCAATGAGTGATTTCAGCACTGGTGAAACTGCGGACGAAGGTAAATAATTACATCAATTCTTAGGTTGGGTGCAAATAATTCTTGCGGCATCCCCATGTACTATTATCATGTATTTCAGGTACTTGGCTTTGGGAGAAAGCGTGGACGGAATTGATGCAGAATGCAAGCAAATCCCTACCACGAGGAATTCAAGTAAGATAATTTATTAATATATACGAGCAAATATGCAATATTGATCACTCCCTTTCTTTCGACAGGTCTATTATGCAAATGGCAGGAGGTCAGTGTCCAGTGCAAATATTTAATTTAAATGGTCAAAGAATAATAATGAAAATGCATATTTTAATTTCTGTATTCAGCTGGGGTGATATTACGGAATCTTTGATTTTTGAAGATGGTATGATGCTTGTGGTTGGTTTCCTTGTAATGTTCGTTTACATTTCCATTATGATTGGGCGCTTCAATATGGTCGAGCAAAGGGTAAGATTTCTATATTAATTATTTGATTATTAATTGCTTAAGTTTTTAGTTTACAGTTTTTTTTGTTTTTCATCTAGCCTTTCCTTTCTATTGCTGGAATTACTTGTGTCGGTTTTGCTGTGATTGTTGCGTACGGAATAGGTATACATACACGATGATACATATGTGACAATTGGTCGATATTGAATTCCTGTCCCTCCAAATGACAAGTTTATTACGTTATGATTTTGAATTGTTTGCTAGGTGCCATGTGTTTTCTTCTGTATGGACCAGTCAACAAGATTCTGCCCTTCATGCTTCTAGGTACTGATTACCTGACCAAATGTTTCATGCATATGTTGTCATTTTGGCATGCTGATTATAATTAATCTTCTTCTTTTTATTGAATTATACAGGAATTGGAATTGACGACATGTTTGTGGTAAGTTACATATTCCGTGATAACTTTACTAATGACGTGTTTATTATATTTCTGAAACTATGCATATATGCATGCATGCAGATTATGCAATGTTGGTCAAACCTATATCCATCCTGTTTGACAAAAAAATGCAAGCAAAGCATTCCCGAAAGAATGGGTATGACCATGAAACATGCGGGCGTGTCGATCACGGTCACAAGTTTGACGGATGTCGCAGCATTCGGCGTAAGTCATAGATCTTCTAATTATAATTCTTACTTTTTAATAACAAAAAATTTATATTTGCAGGTGGGAGCATCCACGGTAAAATAACTAAATGCATTAATTTGCATACATCAAACTACGCTTTAGACATCTGAAGATTTTATGACTAATTGATGATATATCGTGCCACAGATAATGCCTGGTCTGCAGTCATTCTGCATTTATGCGGCGATTGGGATAATTGCCGTTTTCCTGTTGCAAGCCACGTTCTTTGTCGCATGTTTCGCAGTTGATCAGAAACGGCTTGAAGACCGAAGAAATGGTCAGTAAAATTATTCCAAAATTATTATTAAGTATGCGTTCCCGGAGTGGAGGGTAGCGCTAAGTTAGATTAAGGATTATAACCGTTTGGATTGATTATAGGCTTCTTTCCTTGGATCAAATATTCTGAATCAGAGTTTACACCCAGTGAATGGAGTCAGAAAAGCTACTATCAGTCAGTTTTCGAATGGTTCTTTTTCAAAATTATACTTACTCCAATTGGAAAGGTGAAGAATTGCGTTTACGAAGAGAAATTTTTTTCCTTATTAGTACGAGAACATTAAATAATTTATATTTCTACATATTTCAGACGATTGTAATCCTCATGACTCTGGGATTCCTTGGGGTCAACATTTATGGAAATTTACTACTGAAACAAGAGTTCGACCCGGTTTGGTTTTTGCCGGACGATTCCCATTTGGCTTTGTTCATAAAAACCAGGGAAAATAATTATCCAGGGACCGGAAACCCAGCGTTCATAGTTGCAGAAAATGTTAACTGGACAGCAAGCTTTGAAAGCTACGATAAATTTTCAGGTGAGCGAATAGTGTTGGACTCAATAATTTAACCAAAAACTACTTCATTTATGTATAAATATGTCCTGATATACTTTCAGAAATGTTCAAGTCTTCCGATGAAATCTATAGTTTTGAAAACTGGTAGGTTACAATTTCCAACATTAAAGGTTTAATCGATGGTTCATTTACTTATCATTGTTTAGTTTAATAACTTCGTAATTATGCTATACCTTATTGAACATATGTGATAGGTACGACGATTTCAAAATCTATGCAAACCAGCATTTTGGAACTGGTGAGTACACACAGAGGCTTGCCAATATATTTATTTGCATGAAATATAAATATATGCATTATTGCACGAAGTGTTTTAACTAATGTTCCATTCTTTGCTTTAGACATTCCCAATAAACCACTAGATCCAAAATTGTTTCAAAAGTACATGGGGAAATTTTTGTACAGTCCTCGTGGATCGAAGCATCGAGGCTTTTTCAAGTTGGAAGGAAACTTTAGTTGTGGCAATAACCTACCAACAATTAAGGTAATCCAGGTCTAGAATTTTTAATGAGCATTACAATGCTATTTATGTAAACAATAATTGCGTATTTCTTATTTATGGAAGATGGTCATGATGCCGTTTCGCTTCAGGAAATTTGCTGGTGCTGGTGAGTATCTTTAACTATTCTTATACCAAAAATGAGAAGTTAAATGATTAGTTAAATCGTAAAATTTTGCTCAGCCGAACATATCCCAGGAATGCATCATATAAAAAATATTGTCGCAAGTGTCAACTTGACATACAACACTGGTAAGCATGGTCGTATGATTCCTTGGTCACCGGCGATGGTCACATGGGAGACAGACGAGCTGATAACTGAAGAGTTGTACAAGAATGTTTTATTTTCCTTCATCTCTGTCTTGGGAACAACCTTCCTCCTTCTCGCCAACATAAGAGTGTAAGAGCATTAGATTATTATTATTTTACTGATTTAATACAGAGGTAAATATGTACATTGTATGCAATACATTATGCAGGTGCTTCTTCTGCGGGCTATGTGTCATTTTTACCTTAATAAATGTGGGTGGAATGATGCACTTCTGGGGTCTTACCATAGATATGATATCTTTCATAGATATTGTTCTTGGTAAGCCAACAAAATGTTTTTCGAATTTAGACTATAAATTATTTTCAAGATAATCGCTTGTTTAAGCTAAATAATTGTATTTTAATTGTTTCCGATTCCGATAGCTGTGGGCCTTTGCGTTGGTGAGGTTCTAATTAACCATACATTTTTATATTAAATTAAACGTGTGTTAATTTTTAATTGATTATCCTCTTTTTAGACTACGCCGCACATATCGGTAATAAATAAAATTAACTTTTTTTAAACAATAAATTAACATAAAGTTTATAACATGCTGACGTAATTATGGGTCTCTGTTCTTTAGCCTTAGCATTCATGTCTTGCTCGGGGTCAAGGGCTGGCAGAGCGGAGTATGCTGTCAGATCCATTGGCCCAGCTGTTTTGAATGGAGGATTCAGTACATTTTTAGCAATTCTACTTCTCGCAAATTCTCAGTCACATGCGTTCAAGTCATTTTTTAAGGTATGCACACATGTAATTAGTAGAATTTCGCATGAGCAAACGGTTTCAATCTTTTGAGCTGTTTTTATGAAGAGAGTGATTTACCTAAAGCTGAACTACGTACATTTTTATGCACAGATATTTACCGTTGTGATATGTTTCGGATTATTCCATGGACTCGTTTTTCTCCCCGTATTACTGACTCTGATTGGACCTCAGCCATTTTCCAATACTCAGGATGGAAAGAACGAACCTGGAAGTGGCACCAGTCCTAAGCCCCCAGTAGAATTGCGACCATTGACCAATGGCAACGCAAACCACTCCCACAACAACCACCACTATCAGCAGCCTGAAAGTCTAGCTGCAGATTCATCATGTCCTCAGGAAGAACTCCTACCCATGGATCCACTCAATTCAATAACTGTACAAAGTTAGACGACCTTCTTATTTAGCTATGCGCAGATACATACATAGTTGTTAGCACTTTACATGACTGATTAAGGTATTTTTAGACTTAGTGACTTGAATATACTACGTGTAGTTCAACGTGACATACATAATTAGCAGAAAACTCATTTTTCTAAAGAATATGAATTCACACGCCAATAAGTTGGTTGTATTAAATTTATGTATTATTCGGTCAGATGTAACAAAGTAAAAAATAAAATAAAAATAAAAGGTGTACACAGTCATCAAATAATCTTTTTGAGCATGTACCTATCTGTTCTGTCATTATACTAACACACCTAATACAAAGAAAGACATTCGCGTATCTAATGCGCAGCCACAAAAAAACCTAATTCTACATGTCACCATCTAAACTGTGGATTATTGTCAAATCCTTAAAATTATAGTCTTTAAAATGACGTCTTAAAAATCACCCAAGTGTGCAAGTTCTTTCAGTCAAAAATTTGTTAGTTTGTTGGAACAGCTTCACATTCCTACAAACTTGGAGTTCGCATTTCACATCCGGACAAGACGAGCAATGGCTACACGTTATGGAGAAGATCCGGACACAAATTATACAGGTCCCTCGAGGTTTGGCACACTTCTGCAAGTTAGTTTCACAAATTAAATTACACCTTAAAGTAAAATAAAAATAAATTACATAAATACAAATATAGAATCATACTTCAAGGTGACAAAGAAGATTCTGGCCGAGGGTGCAACTTGGTCCCTTTATGACACATTGACATGTTATGGCATGACCCACAGCTTTCAAAATATGTGAAACTTCCGTAAAAGTTAAATCCTGTCCTGCCCAAGATTCAACTTCATAAGTCTCACTAGTACTACTCAACTCACTAGTACTACTACTCATGCTTTCTTCATTCATCGAATGGTTGTGTTTTCCACTCTTCTCAAGGCAAGATGAGCACAAATGGAAATTTGTGCAAGAGTCATAACTGAGTGATACATAGAAATCAAAGTTTCCATAATGCAAAATGACGATAATACTAGGAATGCATAATACAATCAAATATAAATTAGTTACCCGTATTTGATGACGGCGAGGCAGAGATTGCATAAAATCTCTTTTTTCCGGTCTACCATGTCGAACATATGGATGTTGTAAATTATGGTCATTGTAGAGTATTTACCTCTGCGCAAACTTGAAAATTCGTAGTGGTTTTGCCGTAGGTAAAGCATGAATACGTCTCGACTGTCCAGAATAGGACAGCGTAATTCTGGATCAGGATCAACGATGGTCCTTGTTGACCCCTGAAAACACGGATACTTTACTCATGGCATCTGTCCTCGTAATAGTTTATATATAATATGCATAATAATAATATAATAAAAGTGGTGTCCTTACAGGAATGTTGTCGTTGAGGTGTGCTACGAGGAACATGTCTCCTCGAAACTTCATCTCACGTAGAACACATTGCATGCGATAGTCCGAAACACTATAAATGAATTCGTTGAATTCATCAGCAAACTTCTTCGCTTTCAACTTTCCTGGGGTCATCTATTATATATGAAGTGAATATATTTTTATACACTCAATAATACAAATACATATTTATACGCATGAATACGAATCATACCTTACGGCACCTCACTTTAGGGCACCTCATACTTTCTCCCTCAGTAGGAGTGGTAGGAGGATGTGCTATTATGCCTTGAACAAAATCTATCCAATGGTCTTCATGGAAGTAAGCTAGGTCTGCAATCCTAGTAATATTGTTCTTCATTGTGTCAACCAGCAAGTTCTACGCACACACAAGTAGAAAATTATCACTTCAATGCTCACTCATCAATCATCTTTCTGACGAACGTAACTCACCGAATGACCGGTTATGATACCTTTCCCCTGTCCTATTCGTAGCAAATTGGTGTACCATGCTTTCAATCTTTTCAGGGTGGGCATCTTCATGGCTGGGGGGTGCGAGTAGAATATGTAATCATACCCCGAAGACGGTCCTGGAGGACAAGCCCAAATGTAGACACATTTAAACCCCAAGAGCTTGACATATTTAAAGTAGGCCAGAAGTATGGTGTGGTACACCTGAGTACGTAGTTCATGTGGTTGAAATGCTTGGACTGAATCTAAATACGCCAAATAAACACAATTCCTATTGGGTCCAGGGCAGTTTGAGTAGTACTCCTGAACTATGAAGGAAAAAAACGCAATGTCGACTCCACCAATCTTCTCAAAAGCAATCACCATCTTGTTTCTGCAAATATTTAATTTAATCGAGTCCATTAATAATTAATATACTATTATCATATGAAATGACTCAGTCACTCACATCTAAATCATAAAATAAATTTACTTGTAGGGAAGTGAGCGATGGGATTCACAGCCTATATTGGGCACAAGTTTGGCATTGTTTGAGATTACTACTCTGATCGTAACTTTATTATCTACTTTGTTTTGCGCTAAAAACGATTGAACCTCGACTTGAATGTGATCCCCCATCAAAGTCTTAGGGAGGGATTCAACATTGTAGACATTGACATTATGTATTGACAGATTTTTAACCCTCGAACAGTCAGCGCAGGTAAACCTTTAGACAACAAAACAATGAAATAAAAACCGTCATACACGTTACAATTTAAGAATAATTACTTACAATCCATAAATCGTCTCTAGATGCAATACACAAACTTTGTGAAATTTTTTCCGGCAACTACTACAAACTATGACGGGCTCCTCAATCATTCCGTTGTTCAATAATTTTATACAGTCACCTTTTCTTACAGTAACTCTGTCATAACATCAATGAAATAACGTTTAGTAAAAAAAAATAGACAAATTCCTATCATCAGTTTCGTAAATTAAATAACCTTACCGTTTAGTTACATACAGAATGGCAGACTTGCCTGATCTAACTTTCCTGTGGCATTTGTTACAGAAACATAGTCTGCAAAATATCAAAGGAATATGTTCTATGTATTCATACGCTTCACATGATTTAATATTATTCATGATTTTAAGATCTTACTTTTTATTATAACAAAAATATGATTTGAAGGGAAGGATTGTGCATCCATGCACACACTCCAAGGGGAGAGGTTTGAGAAATTTGCGTTTTCCGCAACAAAAATCCTCTACTTCGAATTGGTTTTTCACCCGGCTGATCTTCGACCGCTTAGGCACCGGAGGACCATTCTCATGGACATATATCCTTAAACTCCTTCTAAGTTGCACTGCGATAACAAATCATAGTTTAATCAAAGTAGTTACGTGTGTATAATACAAATTGTATAATTCATTAACTTAAAATAACTTACTGTTGCCGATTTTTTGTCCACTAATGACCTGAAACAATGGAAAATGTTAAATATTGGTTTCAAAAATTGCAATATTTGTTTAATATACTCTTAATGAACTTTCAAACTTTGGACAAATTCAATTTTCAAAAATGTGCATGCAATTAAGCTAACCTTATAATGTAATAAAGAAGGAACTTATCCAACATGTACGATTAATTACCAGTATTACGGGGAGTCAACAATTAATTAGATAATTAGTGAAATTGCAAATGCAATGCAAATAGTGAGAGTAAACGAAATTAATTATTCATGTCGTCGTCTGAGGGTATTTAGATATAGACTAAAGCCCAAGTTGGGCTGCCCAACGTATCAATATTACACAAGGAGAAATAAATAAAGAAAAGTTTAAGTTCTTTCTTGAGGCCGCTGCTGAAGGAAAGACGAGATTGAGTGACGCTCGTAGTTGTAATGTAACGAATTGCCGAGCTGGGTCATGGACAAATACATGAGGCAAGATTTACTAAATTAATTGTTAGAAAAAATTAACTGCTTACTATTTACCAACTAGCACATCACATATTTTAAGACCCATAAAGCACAAATCAATTGAGGTTATGGTATGCATAATTTGTACAAAATTCGTTCGTTTCCAAAATCGTATAAGAAGAAAGTGTCAGAGGTCTTTATTTCATATTTCATATTTAATCACATAATCGCAATCATATTTCATCTCTTAATTGAATTCAAATAATCAAAAAAAAAGTTAAAAGGAGGTATATTTTATTCCTTGGTGGGCGTAGTTGCTGGTTGTGCAAGTGTTGTAGGGTCGGAAATGAGCACGACGCTTGTATTGCGGCGTAGACTGTCTGCAGAAACTTTGGAAACGTTCTTAAAGAAATCCGTTAGCGTGGCTGGTACGTATCGAATAGCAGTTCCAACAGTTCGAATTCCATTGAGGAATGAGTCCCTGTCACAATTGTAGTTTATTTAGTAACCTTCTTTTAAAAAATCCTTTGCATTTCTAACCGGATCCGAGTTGGAATGGAGGGCAGAGGCGTGGGGCGTACCCCCTCCGTTGTTTCTACATCAGCTTCTCCGGCTGCATGGCCGAGCTGGGATATTGCAATTTAGTTTCTAAATTATTTATAACAAATGATAAATTGATCTTACTGCTAACGTGATAAGAAGGACGAGGAGGCATATGATTTTGGTAACGAGAAAGTTTTTCATCTTTGTGCTGGAGATTTGTAAAGATTTTGACGTGAAACAAGGCTGAACAAATAATGAGTCAATCTTTTATAGAAATGGATCATTTCATGAGTTGGAAAGTTGCAGACATGCAAACAGACATAAGGGAAAGTGAATAATGTGCATGCTTTTTTTTATTTATTCATGCAACACAAGTGCACTTCCACGAGCAATTTTCACTGCTCGTAATATATTCATGTATAATGAATAGATAATTAGATTAACAGCAGATTAGTGTATAATCATATTAATTAATCGTCAACAATGACGGAATCAGTATCAAGTGCCAAATTGGCAGGGTCTCACTCTGGTCTCATTCGAACAAAGTATCATTGCATCAAATTGTATGTATGTTTTTTTCTATAATTCATTCGGTTTGCTGATGGAAGGTGGATGGAATAGTGACAAATTTCAAGATTCTCTACTAATTTTCTATCATTAGGATTCATGGAAAATCTAAATATGAGATTACATAGTTAAATGCGTCCAGCGTGCAGTACTGTGTCATAGAACTTCAATTTAAGCACATCATCATACGTATGGAATTAATTCGCTATGTTATATTCAATTTCAATCTGGTTAGACATGCACATGTATTATTACCTAAAGAAAAGTATTTTCATAACTTCGGTAATAACCCAAGCTCTGGCAACTTTCAACTTTGTTGGCTTACATATTTTTTGCATCTGAAGTAAACTCACGTGCCCCCGTTACACGCCGCTAACTCGTCTCGAGTCCAAAATCCCATTCTTTGTCGAGTTTTGCTTTTGGATGTGAATTTCAGAAATTTGTAAATTTCAAATAATTAATCTGTTGGTTTTGGGTTTTAGTCTGTTGTAAGTACATACTCAATTTAAGGACATGGATTAAAGCTGATTTTAGAGGTAATCGTTAATTTTAGAAAAATATAAAAGTTTGGTCGAGGTCGATTCATTATTTACTTACTTTACTAAAAACTTTGTTATCTGTGATCCAATTTTTAGCTAGTCATCGGCAAAAGTTCTGTGGTGCTTTGGTTCTAGTCACATTACTCCTTGATTCGTGTTTCAACTCTTCAAAGTTTTTAACAAATTGGAATTTGTGATTTGAATTCAAAAATGGGAAAACGTCGTCGTCGATCTGGTGGGAAGTGTCGCAAATCCAAACGGCCAAAGTTACCTTCTTTGAACGAGGAGGTGGTAAGCCCATACCGTAACACGGGACCGTCCACTTCATCGGGAGGAGGATATTATCAACCACCTACTACACCATTCGAATTACCACATGTAAGCTGCTTGACACACCTGAAGGAATTCTTAAATTGATGATATACTTTATTATCCTAACAGAATTTGCATTTCGTTTTCTAGATTTTTAGGGAGATATTGAATTATTTGCCAGTAAAAGATTGGGCGACATGCAGACAAGTATGCAAAGACTGGTGTGGTGCATGCTCAAATGTGAGGTTGAACAAGAAAATCAAAATGGTCATTTCTAACGGTGAAAAACTAAGGTCACTCGTGGGTGAAGCGATGGATTGTGCTCCAAATGATATTCCAAATATATACGAGGACGTTGAATTGCCCATACACGTATCAATCGATGATATCCCCATGCGTAGTTTCCTCACAAAGTTTGGTCATCGCATCAAACGTCTCGTTGTTCCTGCTGGGTGGTCAATGGAAGGATTGCAAAACATATTGTTTCAACAATGTGTCAACCTAGAAGAACTTTTGCTGAAAGGAGTAATTCCTCGAGGAAGGCGGCTAGTTCCTCCTATTGAAGGATCAGAGCAAGAATCCAAAACCCTTCCCAACTTGAAAAAGATTGTCCTTGAAATTGTCAACGCTCATTCTGAACTTCCGTTAAACGTGATGCATGTAGTACCTCCCGGACTTATTTCCAATGCAGTGAATCCTAGTGCACACTTGTTTATGATCGATTTACTTGGCGTGGCTCCCAACTTGGAATGGGTCCAATGTCCCAACCGACGCGATATGAAAGATAATCCATCAATAGCTGCAACTTTGTCCGAACTTCATGGCTGCCGAGTATTGGATATTGAGACCAGCTTTAATCGCGTTAATCACTTTCTCGCTCAGAAACTGTTTAGTGGGTCCCATGATTCAAATCCCAAGTTATCTCGACTAGACCTCTACTTGCGACTCAATACTCGGGGCATGGATAAGCTGGCCGCTAAAGGATACCCAGTCGAATCAGTTGACTTACATGTCCGAAATGTCGACAAACGTGGTCTACAAGACTTGCTACCCAAACTAGGAAAAACACTGAAACGTTTGCGATTAACAGTTGACACTAAATTTCAGTTTGATTTTAACTGCAGATTTCTGAGCAAGCTTGAAACTTTGCATTTGGGTGATTACGGTCAAGACTTGTTGTTTATTGGTGATATCCCGCAATTAAAGTATCTGATACTCGACGGCTTCAACTCTAATTTGTTCCTCAAGACGAAAATACCGATTTTCACCTATTCAAAAATAGAGTCTCTAACCTTAATAAATTTGTCATGGGTTGATCAATACACCAACGTTTTGAAAAAGCTCTCCACAAGTCTCCCACGATTATCAAAACTGAGTGTAGACAATGTCACTGATACTGTTTTACAAAAGATATATGACTGCCTCCCACACCTAAAAGAGCTGTCCATCAACTGTACCAGAGTATCAAATACTGGAATTTCAGGATTCACACATGTCGACACTGAAAAAATTTTAGCAGCTGGGTATGAAATGAGAAAATATCACGAGTATGAAGAAATACGGAGGCTACCATTCATTGCAGATCTAAAGAGTATGTTATTAGTATTTTTGTTACACTTTTTCGTTCTCTGTCCATAGTGGATGAATTCTGTTATGTTCATCTGTCTGTTTTTATGTATTTAGATCTCAGATCTTTAACAATCAAAGGACAACTGTCATTACTACTGTTTCGGATTCCGGTCGGAATAACGGCAACAACACTCCAAAGTCTTTGGATTCTTCACGGGATATGTTTGATGCCAAATCTTAATTCGCTTTGTATTCATGATGCTACGGTATGATTAAAATACTGCAATAATTTTACGATTGGAATGGAGTTATTTTAAAAATGACAATGTCAATTGTTCTGCCCAACATGTGTATTTATTTGGTGAAACATTTCATTTCTTGCAGTTGTCCTCCATCGAAGTAAAACAATTGGTGAGAACCATGAACCTGTGTAGGCTGGAATGTGTTAATTGCAGGATCGATACTGCAACCTTGGTTTGGGTGAAGAAAAAACGACGGACAATGGCTTTTGATTTTATTAATCGAAGTAAGCCATGAATTGCTGCAACGAAGAGCAAGCTCACCCGAAAGAGAAAGACTGAGTATTTGTGTGAAATGGTGTAACAAAAACAAATTAAATTTAGACTTGCTGAATAAGCGTTGTTACCACTTATTAAATATATTACTTTAAATTTAGTAGCTGTACGTCGATTTAACTTTGTCAACTACAGATCAAAATTATACTTTCGTGGGAAGTTTCCGGTACTAAGAAAATCAATACCTTATGTTTAGTTATTTATAGTTTGAATAGTTTTGATAAAAGATGGCAACACCGCAAAAAAATGGTTCTGATCATCTATCTACCTTATGTTGTATAATTTGGGCAATACATGGCATTAATTTTGTAGATATCTTTATCACTAAGCCTTTCTCGCTGACCAATTTCTGCGTTGGGGTCGATTGGTATTATGGTAGGAATGGACGTGTTGGTTGCAAAAGAATACTTGGAATAGTGCATTAGACTCCCATAATCGTAGGTGACGTTAAAAGTTGCGGTGACAGTCGCTTTCAGAAAATTGAATTCTGTCCCTGTGGAAATAGTTATAGCCGTTGGCTGTCATTGTTGGTTATCATTATTGCATTGCTAATGTAAAAATATTCGTACATACCTGGCTGAATATTGCTCCAATTGATTGTTACATAATCATCCCTGTCCTCTCGCGATTGTTCATGGTAGAAACCGATGGCGTGGATGAACTCGTGCATCACAATTCCCTTTCGAATGCACCCAGGGTTCTCCAAATTTAGCTGTTGAACTGTCCCCAAGCGACCCAAGAATGAATAGCATCCAGTTCCCGGTCCGCCTCGGGCGACGAAAATGTAGCCAGTTTCGTTTTGGTTTCTTGGTGCAAATCTGATACAGGTTAATGCTTCAATTTCTTGCATTGCTTCGGAAATAATTGCCAGTTCAGGGGAAGCTATGCAATGCAATCAATATAAAATATATTTAAAGCTCCATGCGGTTGCACATATGAACAAATGAATTGGCTTATTATGGAATACAACTGACTGAAATTTCGATCCAAGGAATAGATTAGAGTTGCATTTGGCCATCGCAAATGATCACCAATGACACCGTTTCTAATATCCATCCCAGGGGGTAAAATCACATCACCGCCCATGTACGGACCACGTTCATCAAAGTTATCCCACCTTGAATCTGTGAAAATGTGAAGTTATCACTTATTATTAACAAACCCTGACAAGAACACTGTTAATTACGAAAAATCAATTTTAAATTATTGCCTTGTGTGTGTTCCGTTGGGCGTGACAAAACTACAATTGCACCAGCCAAGCAAAGGCAGGAAATCATAAATGGAGAAAGTGTACCCATTTCAAAATTATTTGAATTTTTCAGTTAGAACTAACAAGTATGTATATACATATATGCAAGTGACAATTGATTGTAATTAATTGCAGATTCCAGGAGTTTTTGTTCAATTGGTCAATATATATCACACCAGAGATCTAATCAGCTCTCAAAATTACAATTACTTAATTGATTTCTATAAATACTTCATGTTTTGTGTACTGCTCGAGTTATGCAACTGGACTTGATAAAACAATACATTATGTAGCATCGATTATTATTACAATTCGGCGAAATCCCCACCACAGTTCCAACAAGCAAATCATGATTTTCAGACCAAACAGTATATGATTCAGAAATGTGCAATTTTAGAGTCGCAGGACTATTAATCGGTGTCCAGTTGGCATTATGTTGAAACAGTTTTGCTGTCAAAAAGCGTTGCGTTCCTGTCGAATCGAAATGAACCGTCAGAGTCGTTCCCATCCACACATAATTGTTCCCTTATCGAAACCTCTTCAGCATGCATCGCCCCCTTTAAATAACAAAATGATAGCCAAAAATACAAAAATGAGCACCCTCAGAGCAAAGAATGGAATGGAGGCAGTTTGAGACGTTTTTGGTTATCCGTAAAAAATGGGGAAAATGAGACGCACGGTGAGCACCAAGCCGACGAAAAGGCGAGAATTGTCCCCTAGCGAGAGGAGATTGAGACGAGGGGCAGATGGGGCGAGTGTATAAGCCGGCAAAGAGATATTTGCGTGAACGGCGTGGTTCATCCTCTCCTCTCTCACTCAGTCTCTACTCTAGCCATACTCGCCTGTTAGTTAAAATAAAAATCCATCAACATGGTGAGTTTTCGTAATTTTAAAAAATTTCCAAACTGTTTTTAAATTATTCACCTTGTTGTTTTACAGGCTCCGAAGAAGGACGCAAAGTCTGCGTCTAAAGCCCCTGCAAAGGCACCCAAGAAGAAAGAGGGAGGAGGAGGTGGAAAGGCTAAAAAGAAGGTTTGTTAAATTGGAGATTTAGTTTGTAAAGTTTTAAATTGAAGAAATTGTAATTGCCATTTTAAATTGTTGTGGATGGTGGAAATCTTTGTCCAATATGCACATTTGTGGCTTTAGTAAACTCGAAACAATTTTTTTTGCGTACCATTTGAAAATTTTGAGGATTAAATTTAAAGTCAAGAAATTAAAAGTGCATTGATGCTTTAAAATTGTAGCGTTTTAATTACTTGAAGTATTGTTACATATTGTTAAGGAATAAGGATTTTGGTAAAGATTCTTAACTAATTGCTCTTTATTTTGTGTGCATTGCAGAAGTGGTCCAAGGGAAAAGTTCGTGACAAGCTTAACAACTTGGTTCTCTTCGACAAGGCCACTTATGACAAACTGTTGAAAGAAGTCCCCAGTTATAAATTAATCACTCCATCGGTAGTTTCAGAAAGATTAAAAGTTAGAGGTAGTTTGGCGAGGAAAGCATTAGATGAACTTCTTCAGAAAGGTGTGTTTTAATTAAAATTTCTGCTTGTTCTTATTAATAAATATAAATGTAATAACTTGACGTAACTTGTGACCTATTGTTGTGTATGCAGGAATGATTCGCCGCGTCACTAAACACCGTTCCCAACAAATCTACACGAGGACGACGAAGGCAGAAGAAGCTGCGGAGGCAGCGGAAGCCGCAGCTGCTGCCAGTGGCAAGGATAAGGAGAAGAAGTGATTTGGATTTCTTACAGTTTTGTTTTTAAGTAAGAAAGTTTAATAAAATGTGAACTTTTCCACCAAAAACAAGATTTGCCTTTATCCACCTTATTATTGAATTTTTGTTCCATGCATTACGGACTTATGCATCATTCATGCACTAGGACTATGAATACTGTTTATGAAAAATAGAATATGCATTTTTAGAAATTCATAGTGTTTTTGTATTTTACCTTCTTAAATTACATATCATCCATTATAACATTTTGATACACATCACATAAATAGGATTTGCTTAATGGCACTCTAGATTCGAATAAATTACCTTCGTAATTTAGCAAATATAAACTAACAATAGGAAACAATCTTTGACTATAGTTTATACTTTACATGCTGGATATTTCAGAAGGCATTCCAGTTTTTATCGCGGAGACATTAAATGCAATTTAATACATTACAAAAACTTGTGACCTGTTTACACTATCAACTTAAAATAATTACTCTTTTTCGCATTGCAAAATTAATGAAAAACAATGATGACTATCATTGCGTGGGTGGGGCAAAAGGTGCAATTTTTCCAAGTGCAATCTGATGGTTACTTTGTTCTCGCTCGCTTGCTGGCTGCCCGTGTTTCCCTCTCCACCAATCTTGCAGACAAACAGCCTGCCTGCCTGCCGCACACTTCTCACTTTGATTATGACTCTAGGTCAGCAGCGAATTGTAGTAATTCTTCCGTTCAAACTATCAAAATAATCACAAATTTCTGCGTCTCGTTTTCTAATCCAGCTGGGATAAGCAGGTAACAAAAAAGTACAAGGCTGGTTCACATCACAATCTTAAAATCTCAATCAATGAGTGCGTGTTTATTTATTTATTGTTTGCTTAATGCTTGGAATTATTTATTTGTCGAATTTAATGATGACCAGTCCCCAAAATGAACTGGGAAGAACGGTACAACATCCCACCATCTTTGAGAGGAGTTGAGGTGAGGGACCATACTGGAAAAATTTGTCCACCTGCACCGCCACCGACCTACGTCTACTATGAGCAGCCGGGCGTCTGGCCACCCTATTATCAACAGCAACCAGTGCCACAACAACCACACGGTCAGCATGTCAACTCGACAAATGGGAACTACTACGTTACTAATTCATCGATGCCCTCATCTGCGCCTCAGTACTTCAACTCGCCGTATTGTCCACCTCTTGCTACGATGCAGCCACAGCCAACAGGAATGGACTACGGACAACAGAATGGCATGTACGACTTTCAAAATGACAACTCCATTGCTCCCCAAGCACCTTCATCATATCGGCAGGAACAGGAAATAGGTGGAGGAGGCTATTTTGACTCGGTCCTTTATCAAGATCAACACCAATTTGTAGCAGAACTACAACAAGAAAATGAGCAACAGTGGCTCGCAGATGAAGCTACTTCCACTGTCATTCAGCCCCCTTTTCCTACTCCTTCACCTGAAATGTATCAAGCTCAAGCGTATGATAATTATGATATAAATCAATATCAACAATTCCAATCCTCATCACTAGTGCCCCAACAACAAACTGAAGAGCCCGGACATAACATGATGACATTCTATAGTTCTGCATCTTCAGAGCTGCCTGTCGAAAGGAATGACACGACTAGCGGAATACATGATGAGCTGGGATATTCCACGGTCATGACTCCAATCAGCCAGTCGTTGGAAGTATCAGAAACTAATAATGAAAACGAACCTATTTGCACTCCTCAACATCCGCAACAAGTTGCAAAAATGGATCATGAAGAAATGAACACATATGAAAATCTTGCGTCCACAGCGGGTGGGCCAAAAGTTCCTCCAAAGACTGACCGTTGTCTAAGAAAGTAATGGAATTCGTAATAATTCGTTTTATATGTATGTACAATTTTATAGGAATACAAATTAAATATATGTAGGTAAAAATTTGTTCTTTTGCAGTTTGGATGATACTCTGAAGAAAACCACTGATTTACATTTCCTGTCTCCGTTTCTTCTCCCAGAACTCCAATATATCGCAAAGATAGCCCCCATGCTTGATATTATTACACCACTTGAAGAACGCCATCCTGCAGTTTATGAGTTGATATTCTATTTGAAAGTTCAAAATTGTTTTACTACGTACTTTCGACTTTGGATTACAGGAGACTATCCTGCCGAAGCTCCAGGGGCGCTTTTTGACTTTTTTCCCGAAGGTGTTACTGTTCCGGCAAAAAGGGAACGTAAGAAACCAAATACTTTTTGTAATTCATAAGCGACTATTCAATTTTTGACTATGAATTATTTGTATAGACGTGAACAGTACTTTAAAATTGAGTATCCAGTCCGTTCCATTTCATGGTTTCCGGGTGAAGGGACTTCTTCATGCATGGCTTTCGTTATGCAAGCAGTACATTTCCCTTTGTCAGAAAATGAAGCTACAACAAATTTCCTCAGTCAAGATGAAAAATTAATTGAGGAATGAATTGTATTTTATCAAAGTTTATTTAATTGCAAGGCTCATGTTGTGCTGTATCATTTAGTTAACTTTTACCTATAGACGCTATTATCATCTTATTGTGTGTGAACTTATGATATTTTGCATGCAAAGCATGTAACGGTACTTGGTTTTTCAAATAAACTAGTTATATCCAAATTAATCAGATTCTCGTGTTTACTCATGATTTCAGAACCAAGGTATAATGAATTTCTCACTGTTTCACCTTTTATGGCATATTAGTCACATCATCGCATGCACACAAATTGACCCACATAGTGGATAGATCTTATTTGATATCCTTCTAGCAAATAGCATTTTGCGAAAATCCGACTTTTACCGAGCAATAGAAACAATGGTAATCCTATCAGTTTGTTACTTACACAAATGTTTCTCGGATCAGTTTCTGCTTTCATCTGAACTGTGTTGCATGCAAGAACAGTCTCATATTTTTCCATGTAAAGACTAATTGGAAACTATGAAAATCGAATTGACATTAGTAGAACTAGCAAATTTAACAACCTTGCGAATAAAATATGATTATTCGCAGCATTAAAAACTGCTTAACAGTGTATTCGACGTCGAAACAGGTTCAAATAAAAAGTACGTGCCTAGCTTTAACGTACAGTTTAATTGTGGTCACCGTGTGGGTAGCTTATCTTGGGAGGTAAGTTGAGACAGTGGGCACACTCCCTTCCAGTATTTGTACATTTTTATTTCTAACAACCATGCACACATGTATTTTTAGTTTAAAGCTTGACATAAGGAAAATCTACCAGAAATCATGTCCAGCTCAAGGGGCAATTGTGTCAAAGGTCAAAGGGGTCTTGAGCACGGAAAACATTCCTAATTCGGAATTTCAAATTAAGAACATGCGGATCTATAAAAGGGTTTGTACATCAATTGGATTATGGAAGGATAGCTTGGGATATTCAAACTAAAATTTACAGGTTTGGGACATATCCGACATTATCGTCCCTGCCTATGGGGGAGATGGGCAGGATGGGAGTTTTGTTGCCTTCACGAATCTTCTGATTACTCCGAATCAAAGCATGGGCGTGTGTGCAGAGGTTTGGCAACTCTCGATTAATTGCTTTAAAATGCTAACCAGTCAATCTAATCAAAATATAACTTAAACTCTACTTGTGGATGAATAGGTGGATTCAAAGGCTAGATTTTGTGAGAGTGATGCTGACTGTGTGCGAGGGAGAAAGTCAGTCTCAACAAACGGAGTTTTCACCGGAAATTGCCACAATTCCACCCAGAGTTGTGAAATATCGGCCTGGTGTCCAAGCGAAGAGACAAGACCTCCACTGTACGAATTTGTAACCTATGTAAATTCAATTTGTTTTACCTAGTTGGAGATGCTCTATATACAAAAATTTGTTTGCAGCAAGGGCAACAAGGCCCTTCTTGAAAATGTTCAAGACTTTACGATAATGCTGAAGAATTCTGTCGAATTTCCTGCATGTGGACCTGATCTACATCGCCGAAACATTCTAGAGAACATCACAAAATCATATTTGTCACAATGCATCCACGACATTGAGAAGGATAGATTTTGCCCAATATTCAGGTTGGGAGACATCATACAGTGGAGTGGCCACAACTTTTCTGAAGTTGCTGTAACGGTAATACATAGTCAAACCTGTGTGATTTATTTTTCGCAGTTCGAAACAAATCTAAATATACATTGAAATCGATATTATTATTTCGCCATTGTAAGGGTGGAGTTTTCCGAGTCGAAGTGCGTTGGAATTGTGATTTCGATTGGGGATTCGATAATTTTTGCTTCCCAACATATCAGTTTTCACGGACGGATGTATCCACGACTAAAGTTTCCCCAGGATGGAACTTTCGGTAATTAGTTATTTTTTCCTGTTTGTTATGAACATGATTTGGGTTGGGTCATGAGCTGTCATCATCATCATCATCTCATTTAATTGGCTTAATTTAATTGTTTGGCAGAATGGCCACATATCATGAAGACAATAGACGAACTCTACAAAAAGTATATGGTCTCAAAATTCTCGTAACGATAGCAGGTGAAGGAAGACGGTTTGATTTCTTGACTTTAATCCTCACTCTTGGAGCTACAGTTGGACTGTTTGCGTTGGTTAGTCTTTATAAATTATTTTTTAAAAAGTATGCTATGCAATATTATAGTCGCTTGCTATTTAAAATGCTGACTGGGTTGCTACTTCTTTATAACTTTTCAGGCACCCCTCGTGTGTGACCACTTGTTCCAGTTTTTATGCTTATTGAAAAATTTTAAATTATGTGCAAATTATTTTGGAGATTTTTCTATCAAGTCGAAATTTCAACCTTCAAGACCAGAATCAACTCAAGTAGAAATTGCAATGAAGTTTGAATACTCGTACAACAACGATTCATCTACTGATGCTAAAGATCATGATGTTATTTATTAACTGATAATATTATTCGTGCGCAATTAATAAATCTTTAATTAGGGTGTGGGCAAACACATTAATTTACCAGTTTCCTGCCTACTAATTTATTCTACAGACAATTATTTATTATGCAGTTCAATTAGTGAAACAGTCATTTTGTTTGATCTTCTGCTTTGTCCAGGAGCATAAATATTACGCGAACGGCATTTCTTTTCTATATGTAGATCTATATATAATATGTACACATGTAGCTCATGTCCTAGTTTGATGAAATTCTTGCTGCTAGCGTGTATTCATAGTTTGTTATATGTGTCTAGCACATGTATGCATTTGTGTATGGTTGCAAGTCGTAACACATGAACAATTTGTGACAAAATGTGAGACTCAATTAATTCAATAATTGAGTGAATTACAACGTGATGGCATAATTACGGCTGATGAATTCGCGTGTAAGTCAACTACCGTGCGGTTTCATAAAATGGGTTCTGCACTTTACGATCGAAATAAACCAGATTGGTCTCGTTAAAATAAATAATTTATATCGCTATCAATTTACATACATCGTCGTAATTATTGAAAAAACATAGTTCTGGAGATTTCTAGAGTTCAACTTGACCTCAAAGTATGGCAAATGTGTCAATAAATATGTATATTCAATAGTCTAAACACAATAAAACTGCATGATTCACCCAGGCATATGTAATCCTAGATGGGTTTCATGTGAATTAACGTTTGACTGCATAAATGCATCCGCCTGAATTTTAATATTTTTGAATGTACAAAATATCTCCATCTGTTGCGACAGTCGTATTATTCTGAAACGCTTTTTTGCAAGTTTTACTAAAAGTAAGCATTTTATTTCCCAGGTGTGCATGTTTAAAATAAATTCATTCGTGGGAACGATTGTACATAAACCAGCCGATGGTGGACAGTGATATGTATTTGTACTATTTTGCAAATAAATACTAATGTACATATTATGGAAAATTTTTGTTTCTCTGGCATGCACGATATGACGGATAAGTTAACAATTGCAGATGCAGTCAAAATATAATTCAGTAGTGACGACATGAGATTCATGAAATGAGCTTAAGTGAAGCAGAAAGTATTCATGCAGCATTTCAATCAGGGATAGTATCACCTTTTTGGCGTATTTATTCTAATTGATTGAATTGGAAATCAGCAAAATCCGACGTGTTAAATAATGTTGGATCATTAAAATAGGAAGTGGTGTTGTTGTGTTAGTTGGCTATTAACAAATGCAGCTTAATTGAACGGGGAATAAATTTAGTCCCTGGAAGTACTTTATAATACATCTTCATACATACATGCAGGATTAAAAATGGTACTTATTTCATAATAATATGCTTAATTTGTGCTTCTAACTCAATTAGTACTCGAGTCTAAAATTTGTTACTGAGGATATTTGATGTCCGTCTCGTTCGTACATATTATTATAAAAGTCACGACACGGTATTCTCACAACTGGACGAGCATGTAATGCCATGTCGAGAAACGACCTTCTAAGTAACACTATCTAATTCAATGAAGGCCATTCAGGTGAGTGGGCAACTAAATTTTTGAAATGTATGTACTGAAACTGAAGTTCATAAAATGAATTGAACCCAAATCAGAACAAATCTCAATATAAAGTGTCTAAAGTTGCTCAATTCTGGTAGATAAAAATTAATCGTGTCGTAGGTCTAATCATAAATCCGGGTAACTCTCTTCTCAACTTCCCGGAAATTTTATACATGAATTGGATGCATCCTGTTATCCTGATTTATCATTATGCCGACGATATATACAAACAAAATTAATGACAAAATACGATTAATCCCTGCCTCTGCATACCACAATTAGGCTTTTACCAACCCAATCACACATTGAACATTATAATCATTCGTATTTTAACAGTAGCATTCACGAAAATCAACAAATTTTGTGCAGATGTACAAGTGTTTTTAAACCTCTTTTAATATTCATGCAGCCAGAATTCTAATAATGCAAATAACATTTTTAGCCAGGATTGGGTAGTGTAGGATAATTTACTACCTCGTAAATAACTGCTAAATTCATAGTGTATTCATATTTATTTAGTAATTACGACTATCCTGAGGATCAATGGAGAGAAATTAACTCCAATCATGATCACGTACACCGTAAGACTGCAGATATTAATACGTGTGTGCATACATATGTAGGCAATATTAATATGACAAACGTAATTCCGCTCATTTCTCATGAAGCGTGAATATTTACAGTAGATCCATGTATCCAGGTATCTGCAGTGTCCTGAAAAGTGTCATCATTTTATTACTTTATAGCAAAAGCCCACTAATTTGATTTCCTCCTCTTGCGTTACGTGTTGCATGCTAAATGAAGCGAAGCCGACCCACTAATTGTTTACATTTACACGATTCATTTTTGCAAAAATGGTTCCGCATCGTCGTGTCGTATTACTGGCCAACTATTCAGTATACACTGCATCATGGATGGATGCTTAGTCCCGTCCAAAATTTCGACCTCGGTTCTCCCAGTCTTGAATTAGCACACTAATTATCTCTTAAGTTCACTGGAGGAATCATGCCTAAAACTTTACCTTTATACATAATTCACACAAGTTCAACTACTTGCAGAACATTTGTATGCAGTGGGTGCTAATTTATACCAAGATTTCGAGTGAGTTCTACACCATTTACAAAGAATAGACCATAGTGTTGCTAAACCACGTCCCATAAAATATCATAGTATAAAAATAATACGGTGCGATTGTTAGATTTATGTGATTCATGTTTATATTTCATACTCGTAGGAATTTAACACCCAACAACAACTCAATATTAATTTAAGTATATCCTGTCCCTGGAATTTCATTGCAAAATAAGTGCTGAATATGCTGCAATATTTTAAGAGCTGGGTGACCATTTACTCTACGTCAAGACAAGTTCAAATCAAGAGCACATTGCTTGCAGTATGCCAATTGTTAATTGTGATAACTGTTTGGGTAGCCTATTTGGGCAGGTGAGGAGTATACCTTATCTGTGAATTGTGACCCTTTTTATGATTACAAGATTTCTATTATTTTACTTCCAGCTTAAACTTGAATTTGAAAAATGTCTACCAAAAATCTTGTCCTGTTCAAGGAGCAATTGTGTCAAAAGTGAAAGGTCATTTAAGCAGTGAGTTAATTAAGTTATTTAAATAACTTACTTAAAGGTATTGGAGAAAAATGATTCACTTCCAATATTCACAGCGGAGGATATTCCTGATTCTGCATTTAAGATTAGCAATCCCGAGTTGTACAGGCGGGTGAGACATTTTATTTGCATAGTGTCGATGCGTGTCTAGAGTATGTACAATTAAGGGATTATTGAAACTCAATGTCGTTTTCATAGATTTGGGACACTTCAGACTTGGTCTTTCCGCCGTATGGTGGCGATGGTCAGGACGGAAGTTTTATTGCCGTGACCAATTTGCTTATTACACCGAATCAAACGAGAGGAGTTTGTGCCGAAGTATGATCCAAACTATTACATTTTTATAGAATTTCGTAGATTCGTTTTATCATTTCTCGTTAATTTAGTCCAGCAAGTCAAATATAGCCTTTTGCTCAAAGGATAAAGATTGCGTCCGTGGGAAATCGGTCCCCACAAGTAGCGGTGTTATGGTATGGCAAAACATTAAATATTTTGCATACAACCTCATTATTGCTTATTCTATATTTTATATGAACATGGTCAGACTGGAAAGTGCATGAACGACACGGGGACTTGTGAAATCTCAGCGTGGTGTCCAGTAGAACAAAATATACTACCATTGTAAGTCCATATCGTGTAGAAGGATGAGAGATTAGGGTGCATACCTATTTCCATGTTGTGCTTATATTTCATTTATAATTTAGGAAAGAAAAAAACCGTGCACTTTTAGAAGGAGTAAAGGATTTCACCATTATGCTAAAAAATTCAGTGGTATCTATTTATAAATACTAGATTGATTTTAAGATCTACATAAAACTTGTACATAGTTGACTTTCCATGAATAATGTAATTAGGAATTTCCGGAGTGTGGGAAAGGGCAAGATTATCATCGAAGAAATATTTTAGACAATGCTACCAAGCAATATTTATCTTCATGCAGTTATCACACTCATAACGATACCATGTGCCCAATATGTAATGCAACGCAACACAATAATTTATAAATATGCACAAAAATAGTTTAGAAATTGTGTGACATTTTGATTCATTGCTTAGTTCGACTCGGAGATATTATCGAGTGGAGTGGGAGCAACTTTTCTCATGTTGCTTTAACAGTGAGTTGACTAATGTGGTTAATTATTTATTACCTTAATCAGTGTAAAATTTCAATTAACTTTAATCCAGGGAGGAGTCTTTCGAATTGAGGCAAATTGGGACTGCGATTTCGACTGGGGAGCAAAAAATAGTTGGTGTTTTCCAAAATACAGGTAATCTAGTCACTTCATCTGGTCAAAATTACGTGCAATTTGAACGTAAAACATCATCGCATAAAAAATGAAGATCTTCTTATACATTTTTGCAAATACTTATTTATTAATTCAAGGCAACGAGATTTTCAAAGTATCTTTTGAATTACTCATGTTGATTAAATACGTCTTTCATGATTTATACACGTATATGCATACATGTACGTACATATGTTTTTTTTAGATTTGAGAGAATTGACGAACCTAATGCTACAATTAGCCCTGGTTGGAATTTTCGGTGAGTCTAAAAATTGTTGAAACTGGTTCATGTTTCTACAATTCTAATTCTTGAATATATACATACATACTTGACAATAATATGTATGTATATGTAGAACCTCCTTTTACCACGAAGAAAACCGAAGAACGCTTATCAAAATGTACGGATTGAAAATACTTGTGGTAGTTTCTGGTAGCGGAAAACAATTTGATTTCCTTCAACTGATTTTGGCACTTGGTGCTACGATTGGGCTCTTCTCTGTGGTAAGCTACATAATCATGTATTTACTAAACCAAGCCTCATCCTTGAAAACTATATGTAATTGATTAATGAATTACAGGCGCCCCTATTTTGTGACACGTTATTCGAATTTCTGTGTTACCTGAAGAGATTCAAACCTTGTCAAAAAATGTTTGGAGATTTTTCTGTAAAATCGAGATATCAAGGATCTGAAGTATATTCTCCAAAATCAAGTCCCAACAAATTTGAATTGGCAGCCAGCAATAACACAATTGAGGAAAGCATTGGTTCATATAAACCTTCTTGATTAAGGTGCAATAGGAAGTCAAGCCTTGTAATCACTGTTCTTGCATGCGACTCAAGATTTCCTTCCGACAATCTCTTATAAACGCCAGTACGGTTAAACTTCCTTCGTCAATCCTTATTACATATTCCTACAAATTGTGATACAAATTTTACATGGGAAACCACCAGAACTGATTACTGATGTATGTACTTTATTACTTATCACAAAAATATACTAAATGAGTGCTATTTTCAATCACATGTCTTTTATCAAGCCAATAAATTATTTATGACTTCATGCAAGTTTCAGCGAATTTTGACGAGTTTTTAAGGTTAGATGAAAACACATTTGCAGTCATCATTATGCGAGTATCACATGCATACTTATGCACATGTACATGTGTACATACATCTGTTTATGCATTCATATAAAGTGTCTCGATTTAATTGAATTTCAGTTAATTTGCACAAAGTGTTTATTCGTTGAAAAAATCATGTGGTAAGTATTTTGGCAAAAGACCGCAGGAGAATACTCATAAATCAATTCATGTAAAGTAAATGTGACTTCTCCTGAACTAAACTTAATTATTCCACCCCAAGTAGGAATAAGTATGTAAATATGGACGGATTTATTTTCTTAAGACGAGTAAATATAAACCCAAATTTTATATTCGTTTTGCTCAGTTAACTTTTATACGTATACACAAAATGTGTTCAATCAAAGCTGTCATTATCGTAATTTTCTGCGTACTAGTGGTGAAAGGTACACTTGAAATTAATTCCCCGACCTAGCCTGGCTACGTGGGTCTAAAAACTAATTGAATTAAAAAAATATATTTGCAGCAGCCAAATACACTGGTCCAACGAATCAGGCTGGCTTGAACCTAATCAAGGAATTTGAAGGGTTTAGAGCAAATTTTTATCAGGACTCTGTCGTAAGTACTTACTTGTCTCTACTAAAAATCTAATTATACAATTTATACAATACAACTTACAATAAAATTTATTAAGGGCATTCGAACCATCGGATATGGCCATGCTTGTCACGTATCGAACTGTAATGTCCCATTAAGTGGCCGGTACGCTGTTCCACTGACGACGACGAACGGGGAACGACTTTTGCAAGAAGATCTTCAAGAGTTCGAGACTTGTGTTCGAAATGCGATCACGTTCAGCAGTCTGAACGCCAACCAGTTCTCAGCCCTTGTCTCCTTTTCCTTCAACTTGGGATGTGGGAGTCTGAGGAGGTCCTCCCTTCGCACCCTCCTCAACCAGGGGGACGTGGGTGGGGCGAGTCGAGAATTTGGGAAATGGGTCCGTGCTGGGGGTAAGCGACTCCCAGGCCTCGTGCGGAGACGAGGAGCAGAACGAACATTATTTTGCTCGGGAGGGCTTTGCTAATTTTAGCAAACATCCAATTCATCAGCAAAATTTGCATTTATCCTGAAGCAATAAAAGATGTTTCAGGATGCTGCTTTCACAACCAATGCGTCTTTTATACCGGAAATGAGATGAGATCGCAGAGAAGACCAACAAGTTGTTTCTGTATCTAAACATACTACAATATTACCTATTCTGCAATTGCTCACTCTAGTCAGTGACAGAGGGCAATGAGTGTATGTAATACTTATTATAGGCAAATAAATATGAAAATGCTGCCCATTTTGACATTACATATAAGTAATATTGGCCAGTGGTTATATAGCCTTCCACTTATTGATTTTCCATTGGTTTTCGACCCTCTGCATGCATGCAAACATACATATATCGTTTGCCGAGACAAGAGACGAGACAATAACTAATTCCATTTAATCTCATGCTTTGTCAGCAGATATGACAATGATCAGCTCGGCGGACGCAATAAGAGTCTGTTAACGTGTGCATTAGTTTCAATAGGATTTTTTGCTAACTATGTAGTGCTAAATGTATCTACATGCACATGTCATTTCATGGTTCAGTCAGTTTTGTCCAGCTAAATGGAGAGGAGACAGTACTTTGTCAAAACACGTACATATTTATCTGGACACTAATTGTAAGCTTTGGGCAGAAATTTCCGACATTAAAGTATAACTTGAAGTATTTGTGAGGATATACATTATGTGATTTATTTCTGATCAAGCTCAAAAAGTTGTTGAAATGAGTGAATTGTGTCTTTTGTTGAAATCGCCGAGGCTTCATCGCAAAACCTCGTCTCTTGATAACCCCACGGACCGAATCCAGGCAAAAACTTTCCAAACTTGCAGGTACACTAATTTATTTTAATGGGTTTAATCTTACAGCCGCATATTTATCATCATCCATGTAATTAGCTGTTTTTCTTCTATAATAAGTGTGTACTGTTTTTTAACCTGCCGTGAAATTTTGTGGGGCGAACTGTACGAAAAAAATAATGACAAACTCCTGCTGGGTTTAATTTCCTTTGTGCCACCCCCACATTTTGTGTGGAGTCACCCTGCCTCACTTTTATTTAGACGATGAATTATATTCCTTTATTAAATGGACCCCTCGCTATACATAGATACGTACATATGCAAAATTTCGTATAATTGGAGGAGTCGCTGAAATATATTATTCAACGAGTATTGATGAATGTTTTGATACATTTTGTTGTTTGGACGGTTATTTACTGTACTGGCTGACTTGTAAACCAATTTCCGTCATTTCCTTGCGCAATGCAGATTTCCACAGCTATTGGCTGTCAGTGAAATGACCCAAAGTTAGCTTATTCGGGAGGAGGATTTTGAAGGATAGTTTATTCATGTCAACCATAACTGTTGACTGTGTAATAAAACTCGATAAATCCGGGTTTTACTGCTAAATTTACTGTCGGCAAAATAATAAAGTTTCAGATGAGTGAAGGTTAAAAAACGTATATTTATGAATTATCGGTAAATATTACTGACATATATTCTTTTAAATAATTGCACTGTAAAATACCAATTTGGGTCTGGGCCACCATTTCTGCAAACTACCACCAACCAACCAAGGTTGACTAGTCTTTGAAACATTGAAAGAAATGGAATAATATGAAAAAAAACTCTCACTCAGTTGGCAGATTGACAGTTTTAGTCTCCGAGAAAGTCTCGTTTCGTGAATTCGACATCTCATAATGACTGATCGTCAGTGATATGCATACAATTTTGGAGCATAGCGAAATTCCATTAGCAAGGTTGGATCAGGGTATTCGTTATTTATTAGTGTGGTGTATTTAGCTTGTCTAACTGACACAAAGCAATATTAAACTTGTGCACAAGCCAAGATTTCTTACCGTTTATTTTGCATTCACACAAGTTGAAACCATAAAATTGAAAATGCGGAAATTTAGGATGAGAATGCGCGTCCTCAGTCTGCCACCGTGTCCGGATTGGAGAAAGGTAAGGGTTGGGAATTCTGAAAAATTGGATGAAATCCCCAGCGAATGGGAGATGGAACAACTTGCTTTGGATAAGCTTAAATTGCGGAGACAACAAAGTCTTGCTCAACGACACCTCGAGCTAATACGTCTCAGACAACAAGTCATGGGTAAGGAAAATTGATAAGCAAAATCTTTTGTGCGCGTCATACTTCCAGAATTTACACCTGTGTGGTATCAATCCCTGTCAAAATAAATATATAATCGGGTATTTCTTTTGGATTTCTCAAAAATCTGTGACGCACAAACATGAGTTTACATATGTACGTAGGTAAATTAAAGTATTGTCATTTGTCATGTTATGTTGCAGATGAGAGCATGGGCGAATTGAGTGATGCAACCAATTTTGATTTCATGAGCCCACCCGAAAATGGAGATGCCCACCCTTCAATAATGTTTCAGAGAAGTGCCAAAAGTACGACGTATTTGTGTTGCAAATTCGATTGTCATGTCCCAAGTAATTTATTACTTCATGTTTTTATTGGTGGGATATTTTTCAGTTGAGCATTCTCTCTCCATGCAAACTCTGGTTGAATTTGGACGCATGGAGGCCGTGGTACCTCGCCCTCCAAGGGGGAAGACGCTGCATTTATCAAATGAGACACTGATGGAGATGGAGAGGGCAAAGAAACTTGAAATTGCTAGAAAGCAATTGGAAGAATTCAAAGCGATCCGAGACGAGGCAATCGCACGGCAGGATTACAGAAGTGGAGATGGTGGACTGGTTGGCATGACGCAAACCCCTACTGACGACTTACTCGGAGGAAGTGAAAGTTTATTCCGAGGAGTTTCTAATCTCACCCTCGTCTCCCTCGATGGATCAGGTATGAAAGGACTTGTGGAAATCAGCGCAGATTATTTTCTGATGAAATTTACTAGGATAACGAACTATCAGTGACGATGTGGTTCAACGTATGTATTTTATTTAATCCGACAGACAATGGACAATCAGTTCCTGACATCGCTCATCGTCTTCAAAAATCAAGGGAGAAAGAGTTAATCAACATCAGAAGGCAAAACATCATTCTCGAGTACCGATTGAAGCAAGTAGTTGCGGTGCAATGATAGAAACTCAATTTTGCTGTTGACGAATACTCCATTTATTTAGTAGATTTCATTTTGCCGATTACGTAAATTTGCATTTTTCTTGTATCTCAGTTTAATTTATTGTGCTTGAAATGAAACAATGTGATTTACACACCTGATCCACACCTACATGTAGGTATGTATAGTTATAAAACAGAACCCAGCACGATTGACGCAACCAGAACAGATTTAAGATATTTTTGGAAATCCATATTTCTCATCATCCGAGAAAGAAGTAATCTCAACAGTGATCGATTCAACGACAAGATGAGACAAACACAACTCCGACATGAGCGTTCATATTATTGGATTATCATCCCTACACTCGTCCTCCTCCTGTGCATGTAAAACGAATGTATGTACATATCTCAGGAGGGGAGCTTCACCACCTGCCCCTCTCAGATCTTGATGTGCTTTGCATATGTGGTAGGGTCCCATGAGTGTACTATAAGTCTGACGTGGTTTGACTCCATGGCCACATTTGCGCCCGCCACACCCACTCAAAGGGACGAAAACCACAAAAGTTACCAACTTCAAAAATCCACCAAAAATCCAATTTTGATCGTATTTTGATAAAATTTACATTTTTGTAATCCCAGATACTTGTTTGATCATATCCAGTAGCAATCTCAACTTTTTTGAAATTTTCGAAATTTTCGGGCATTTTCGAATTATTCGAAAAAATTCAAAATTTCAAAAAAGTTGAGATTGCTACTGGATATGATCAAGCAAGTATCTGGGATTACAAAAATGTACATCTAACCAAAATCCGAGCAAAATTGGATTTTTGGCGAGGGTTTGAACAAGTGAAAACAGGGCTTTTTTCGTGTTTTTGGCGCCTTTGAGTGGGTGTGGCGGGCGCAAATTTGGCCATGGAGTCAAACCACTTCAGGGTTTTAGTACACTCATAGGACCCTACCACATATCCAAAGGACATCAAGATCTGAGAGGGGCATGTGGTGAAGCTCTCCTCCTCAGTTTTTTGCTGCAGGTGGGAGGGATATGTGTCAACATTTGTTTGTGTCCCGTTATCTTCGTTTCCGATATTAAGACATATTTTATTCATGACAATAGACAAGACATGATATATATTTTGCAAAAGTACCATTTCCACCCGTAGTATCAATTTGTATTTTGACCCGACACTTTCTCCACCACCTGACCTATTAGCCTCGTATGCTATTCTTATTTATTTGGTGTTAGCATAAAAGAAAATCCAAAGAATTTCAATAAAATTCTGTTCCAGTAACTAACAAGCGTTGGAATGAAGATAATTTTGTGCGTCCTCATAGTTTGGTACTTTCATTCAAATCATGCACTAGACGCCAAAGGAGATCTGTTGCAAAATGTATGGACAAAAGCCTTTGTGTTAATTATTCCGACTGTTAATTCATTTCATTTACACTTGAAGGGAGATCCCGAGGCACCCTTTTTTGCTGGGCGTGGGCGGCGTGGAGGAGAACTCAACTCGTTCGAAGGACAATTTGGGGAGAACAAAGACGGTGCACCCTCAGCATCCGATGCTCGACGCTACTTTGATCCGGACTTGTTGGAATCAAGAATGAGATTACGTATGTCTAATCGTAGGCTAATATTCACACTGTTACGTACTCTTATATTTTGTGTAATGAATTGCAGCCTGGCCATTACGGCTGCCGATGGATCAAAGTATGTATCCTGCAAGAATGCAGAAAACGCCTCCAGTCCTGGACGTCCCCACCGCCTTCTACATTTGGTACAACATCCGCAAAAAGCAGGCAAAGTCCGACCTCGACTCCGCACCCTTCATGGCAGCCCGGGGATAAGAGAGCATCTTAATTTTCGATATTAGCATTACAAATCAGTGACGCAGATTCACACAACTCATCAAAAATACTCTGGATTATGCATTTAGAAAGCAATATTATATTCCTGTGTAGTCCCCAACGCTGCTTTAAGCCATGTTAACAATGTGGTTTATGAAATATATTTTTCCTTGAGAATAGATTACAAGAAAAAATCAGAATTGACCTAAAATAACGTTCTTAACGAAATCACGCTGGAGAGATCGGCCAAGTGGAAGGTCATTGATTGTATGTATGTACATGTATAGAAATTTGGAGAGAAATGTAAGCTAAATCTACAATAAAAACCATTCAGAAAAATATACCATATGCATCATATCCTCGAAACCAAACATATCATCATCATTTTATGCAATTATTCAGCATCTACGTGTTTCCGACGAATAATTATCCGGACAGAATGAAAATAAATTACTGGCTGGTTGCTGAAAAAAGGACTAAAAGGAAAAAGGAGAGTCAATATGAGCCATCGCGTCGTATAAGTGCATATCCAGGTGTCGAACACAGTCCATCTACGATTTTGAAGCTCTTAGAATCGAGACAAAAAAGTTGGGAGAATTTTAAAATCGTTGAATTTCATTTTCAGTCATCTGCAACTGTGATTGCTGTGCAAAATGGAGACTTACCTGGTTTGATATTTAGCCATGAAATGTGTCAGTGGGAGCAAATGCGTAAGCTTAGTGCAGAGTGAAAGCGGAGGCTGTTGTTTTTGAAGCCCTGAAATTGTATCAAGTGAAAGTACGTATGTGTTTCTCATCCTCAGTCCATCCCAGTGAGAGGATGATGCTCATTATCACAAATCTCACAATTCTTTGAAGTTTTGAGGTCTCTTCTGTCCCAAAACTAATTATAATGAGCAAAACAACATTCTGACCCATGCTCTGCACTCTCTAAATGTTAATTCGTTAAATCAATCATCCCTAAAAGCATCTTTCATGTACAACAGCCCACTCATTAAGGCCCCAAATCCCATTAGACAACAATGTCCCGATGTAGCATTTCTACCAAACTTGGCGTCATGTTCATTAATACAGCCTTATTACAGATGAATTAAAGGGAATGCGGGCCTTTGTACATCATCCACATTAAATTGACCACGGGTATATAAGGAGAGAAGTCCATCAGAATTGGTCACAGTAGTCGTACCGTTCTCGTTGCCAGTTAATCGGGATAATCAGCAATATTAGTGACTCGTACATACCTACATAGTCTCCCTTATTTTTAAAGGGTGCAGCACATTTACGTTTAATTTCTTTTAATTTTCTTGACCACTGGGACTAAAAGTATGACCATGGTAAGTCCATAAGCAGAAAAAGTTACATAGTTCATGATTAGGATTCAAGTGTATTGTCATAAAAGGCCAATACATATCTAACTCTTGTCTCAATTCGCAGAAGAATCTCACTTTCCCCAGAACCCCACCCTTCGTCATCATCACTCTGCTTATCGCATCATCCCTTCTTCAGAAATCCATTGCCACGAAGGAGGTGGACCAAGGGACACTTTCTCCAAAGTCTGACGACTTTGTTGGAAGTGAGGAAAGCAACTTTCTGCAGGAAGGAGTGTTGCCACTTGAAGAGGACACTGTTAATAGTTACGAAGGGATATATAGCAATAGGATGAGAGGAGGAGGAGGTTATTCGCCTTGCCACCCCGTCGTCCTCCCACCCCCACCGACCTCTTCGTACCACTACTACTACTCCAATTCCAACCCAGGGAACGAGGGGGAATATCCCAACCTTGTGTCAAAGAGGACCTTTCAGCCCTGGGGAGGAAAGAGGGCACGACTAACTGACTACTTTCACCGCCTCTCGTCCTACAAGAGGGACACTTCCCTCGGCAACACGAGGTCACTAAAAAGCGACGTCCCAACCGCGAGAAGGTCTACTTTTAATCCATGGGGGGGATAAGTACAAGGGAAAATGAGATTTAAGTATGTGTCCAAATAGCTATAATATTTATTTCCATTTCTTTCAACTCTTTCAAGGAGTTTTGAACAAGCTCGTTTATTTTTCAGTGGAATCTATTTATTTGTGACAAAATTTTTGAGAAATTCGGAGACTCAATCGTTTTGATTGACAATTGTTCAATGTTGAGAGTAATCTACTGATATGTGTCCATCTTGTGAAAAGTTGGAGCATTTTACTCGTCTTCTAAGTATTTTCCAATGTAAAACTTTCACTTTCCTCCTCTCTATCAATCTTTCTCTCTCTCCCTCCCTAGCCTCTAATAATTTCATGTAACGATGTAAAAATATGTGTAATGTACTATGTACATGGCTGTCGATTGTATTTGAAGCAATCTCATCTTGTGAAAATAAAATATGGTGCAAGGAATATGCAGTATGCGTGATATGCCGTTAAATGAGTAAAATTTATTTATTACTTCAACATCCGTAATGAATGCATATTTGGTGTCTAGTTTTCAATGAGAAATAATTCACCCACAATTTGTTTAATAATTTGGTTTTAATTGCCAATTTGTAGAGAAAAGAGAAAAGGAAAAAAACAAAGTCATACATATAAGTGTACAAGTACAATCGTAAAATAAAATCAACTAGCAACTCATCAGAGAGAAATTGGAATTTGAAACTAAACCAATCGAAATTGTGCCGATATAGAAAATAGATCAAACCATCAATCCATATACATATGTGTAAATCAAAATTCTTAGCCTATCCAATCATGAGGCATTACAACTATTACTTTACAATTACAATAACTATGATACAATTGGAATTTTATGTTTAAGACCGGAATTAATGGTACGATTAGTGTAGTAGCTGGCAATACATATAATAAGTCAATACAATGGAACGAGTCTAATTTAGAGGAGGTAAAATGGTACAACTTACAATAAACACATAGATTTACGGAACTATCAGAATAAACTACCAATTCGATGTTAAGGTGGTAATTAGCTCAGCATACACAAGTCATATAACTAGAGCTGATTTGATAATTAATGTACAAGGATATTTATTACAAGGGGTGAAAGTAGGGTCCCGATTATTTTGTCTCTAAGAATATTTAGTAACAGTCAGTGCATAAAACTATCAGTATTAATTATTCACAGCAACTATCAAATCAACTTTGTGCGCTTTACTCTAGTGTAGTCAGGATAATAGTTATATGATTTGGAGCTGTTAGTAAAATACTTGAGAAACAAAAGCCACCAAAAGTTTACAACACCGAATCAGTTGAATATTGCAGGAAAAGATTTGACATCATTACTATTATTGGAGTGATTTTAAATTTACTTGTTAGTATGGTACTCGTATAACGTAAAACTTATCATGGAACGGAGAAACTGCTTGATACAATTTTATATAACACGGAGGATTTATGAGAATGGTAAAATTTTACAGAGAACGAAATGCCATAATAATTCTTATTATTTAGTAACAATAGTCAGATTATTAGCTATGCATATGCATCTAAAATTTGCAGACTTTGTGCACATCTTACTAACTCAAGTTGTTTTAAAACTTGGATTTACTTGCCTGATCTCTGCCGATGGAGTCGGTTGTCTTATACCATTCAATAATTCGATAGTATACACGTCTTATCAAGTATGTAAGTATAGGTATGTAGGTACACTAGTAAAATTAAACATCAATTTTATTTGACACCTTAAGAAACTGGCTATTTATATGATTCACCAAAACTACAACAGCAATAAAGAGGACACAAGAATAGAGTTAAGATGGATTACTCTGAATTCTGAATTTTTAAAAAGTATTTACAAATTGAGTATAGTGATTGATTCGATTTAGTGATAAGTAAGTGTTGAAATACAATAAGATTCTCTTGTGTGTATATATATTACATATTTATATATTTTAATGCAGTCACATGTAAATAACAATAAGTCAAAAGGTAAGGTACAATAGGGTCCAAAGATTTAATTATAAATTGTCAAGTAGCATGTGGAGGGAAAGCACATCCAAAGTACGATTATTAGTGATTAATATTATATAACAATTAATTAGGTAAAGTTTACAAAATTCTTATTCCATCATTTTGATACTCCCAAATACGACAGTCACAGTCTGGACACTTTTTGCAAATTGCAAGTTTTTCACTTTTCTGACATTTATGTACGTTTTCGGTTAAGGATTGGGTTGAGTCTTTCTGTGTATTTTTCTGTCAAATGCTCAAACACCAAGAACTTTCTCCTTCACTTCATTAGATAGTGGATGACAATAGATTGATTATTTTTTAGCTCAACGAATATTCGAACAAGATCGTCAAATCGAACCAACCCCGTTTTTGAGCCCAACGAGACGTCATACGATGAGCCCAAAAACGAGAGGAGGTTGATGGGAATATCTACTCACAAATTACTTTTGTAAATGCTTTATCTGTCCCTTTTAATTGCTCTACTGATTGTAGATAGCAAACTTTTGTAATGCAATAATTCGAAATTTCTTACAATTAGATAAGGTAAGTTAAAATCTGTAGCTTTTCTTGTAGCTTTTCCAATCTGTACACTACGTGTTGCGATGGTGGTATAGATTTGTGTCGGGCTTGTCTTACGTCACCTAACTAGCGAGTATGTACACATTACTGATTATTATTGACCTATAGTTATCACTGTCTTATCCTAAAAGTTCAGTAAGCCTAAAGTGATATGAGATAGCAAGGTATATTTTTTTGTGTATTTATCTTTCGTAAGGATTTTCCATTAATAATTCTGTAGCCTTATGTGCCCAACCTTAACCCGAAATAACTAATGAGACCTTAAACCTGACATATATAATTTCTATACCAATCCCTGCCCTTACCCGAATTTAATATTTTGCCCTTCTGACTTGATATAAACTCTAAAATTGAAGCTTGCTAAAGCTTTAGCCTTCGTCACTTTATTCCATTACCACTTATTTTCTTGAACTTAACATGTTAGCTCGAGTGCTTTTGTACAATAAATTAACAGTACCACAACTAATTTGACTTTGAATTGCTCCTAATTTAATCCTTCGCCTGCTTTGATGTGTTATTTTTTCGTATAAGTTATAAAGCACTGACAATCCTACAACAACTTTCCAACAATTTCAGTTCGCATAGATTTTCTTCTTCATCTCAGTCCTAACTAACGCAGCAACAATCTAAGCTAACCCCCTGTAAACGATTGTGCTGCATAAACACCTATTTAATTACTGCAGCGACAATTCTTATCCTGAATATTTACCCTTTACAACATTAACACGTCTTACTGCTTATGCAATTTACATGATAAAATTAATTTAGTCGGTCCTGTCCTACTGTTTCTTTTACCACTTTGACGGATATTGCTTTCTTTCTTTCATACTTTCTTCATTCTCAGCCTTCACTTTTCTTGCTCTATAGTCTTATATAGGCTTACAAGTACTCAGTCTTAAAACCGACCAATAATATGGCTCTTGTAGTTGTAATAAAACTTTGAAATAAGAAGCAATTAACTTATGGTGCTTCAACAAATGGTGATAAGCAAACCTAGTGGTCGGTGATCTTGTGTGTGTGTCAACTAAGGAAAATGTCTTTCTTGCCTGATGATTTGGCTAAACTAAAATATAGCACCTCTGAATAACTTTCCGCTATCTGCTTTTACTCAAAATCGGTTGGAACAACCTTTGGGCTTTGCAATTTGGAAATAACAAAAGCAACAAAAGTTGGTATACAATGTATGTATATTTCAAAATATCTCTGCTTGTAGACGCCCTTGTGTGCGTAAAATCTTGTGCCTGTTTGTAAGTTAAGGTTTGTTGTCTTACGAGAGATACATATTAATCTTCGTTGTTCTTTGTGATGCACCCTTGCGATGGGATTGTGCAATCCTTGAACTCACCCCTTAAAAATTAGAACATGATGTCCTGAAACTTCAAATCCTCCAAACTTTCTACAACAATGCTTACTTGCTATGTACACCTATCTACAGGACGTCTTAGCACACCAAATCTAATTACCTTACAATGCTTCCGGCTAACCCTTACTGTACTTATGATGTAATGTTTTTGTTATTTTTACAATTTAAGACTGCTCAACTAGTAGATAACCTACAAACCCTTCCCCAAACACCCTAACCTATTTACCCTAACTTAACTAAACCTTAAACTAAGGGGAATTTAAGAAAAAAACTAAAGAATTTACACGTCTTTTTGATACACACCGAGCTTTCTCCAATAGTTTTGTACAAGTCAATTAAATTCTACTTAATGAACAATATAATTCTGACAAAAATTGACCAATTTGCAAATTGTTGGAAAAAGCTGGGGATTTTATTATCACGACTTAATTACTAAACTGATGACTTTGGCTTTTCTTAACCTACGTGTGTGTAAGCTTACAGGATTTCAGGATCTCTCTCCTCAGTTCAATATTGAATTTATTTTAAGGTGTAAATATTTTCTGATGTCACTTTTTTAGCATTCCTTGCCTTTGTTTGATACCTTTTCTAGTCAAGCCATGCTTTCTCTACGCCATTCCCCGATCTAACATGCCACCTTTGCCTTACTAATCGTACGTGTGCGTTCTCTGTATGTATGCTGACCTATCCTTCTGATTCTAACTGTGCGTATATTGTCAATTACTCTAACCTAATAACTCACTCCAATATTTCAGTCCAATATGCGACAAATCTTAACTTACCAGGTGTACCCAGAGTTATTACAGTTTTAAAATTATTGCATAGTTTGATTAATACCTTAAAATTGACAACTATGTCAACGTCTTATTATCGAATAATCAATCGGTGGGCTAATGATCAAACGCTTACCCCAAAAATTTCTGTCCTTCTATCCCTCTTTGTACCATGAGATAATGCTGGGAAGCAGCATGTGTGTAAGCCAGCCTCACCTGCTCTCATCAATCAACCAATTAAACCAAGGATGTTACATATAAACCCGGAGAGCGGCTGTGAAAACTCTAAAACTGTTCTTTGGATCGGATATACGAATTATGAATCGAGTACCGTTTTCTGTCCGATGTTACTGATCAAATATTATATTATATGAATGGTCAACTTAATTAGATCTTAAAGCTAATTCGACTTCCGTTGTTTGATCGACGTCCAAAACGAGATGAGATCTTCCCCGATTTCGGTGACCCGAATATCTCTGTTGGTCTTTAGATTGGTGATGTCAGTCTGGGTGTCGCAGTCCCTTGGCGAAGGTCAGAGTGGTTGCCCAACTCTGCCTGCCTCCTCCTCCTCGATCCCAAGATGATGACTTTGTGCGCTTTGTTGGTTGGCTGTGAGGGGTGTGTGCGGCTGACTGTAGAAAATGTAATCAGTACAGAGTGAAGGATTCCTTCTTCTTCAATGTCCCAGGCAACAAGTGATTTTCGCGAGCGATGGTGATGGCGAAGGTCGCGCGGACGCAAGCGCCCCGCATAAGCGCCCCCGAAGGGGTTAGCTTATCGAATTCCTTTCCACGAATCCAGTAGGTTCAGTTCAGGCAGGTCACGCAGGAGATGGTTCAATCAAAGGTGGTGGTCAGTACTGCCGGACAATCGCTTTCCCCTCGAAAAGTCGGCCAGATCTGCATTATTTAAGTTGTAATTAGAAAAACATTCTAAGCAACAGTTGACCAAAGTCGTATTTTAAAATACTAAATCGACCGAGAATAGCGTGCAGTTGTAAAAGAGAGGATGGAACGAAATGGGGAAATTGAGAAAATATCAAGATGCCCACAGCAATGAGTGAGTGAGAGAAGTGAGACTTACCACGTTCAATGTGTGTTACGCTGAAACCCAGAAATGTTGATGGTGTTGGCGTTTGAGACTAGAATGTCTCACAAATGTAGATTGTTGTAGCAGTAGTAAGTCGTTGACGTCTGCTGCACAGCCAGTTGATGAGGGGCTAAAATATTTGTCTTTCTTCGCACTCAATAGTCTACTAATTCAGAGTACTTTCTCCTTAACTTCTAAGCTCACTCTGTTCTTCGAGTCTCAATAACGCACTTTAAGGTACATTAACTTTACGGTTACTTAATACTTGGCCTTAATTCGTATATAAGATTGTTATTTTAAAAGTAAACTGTCTCGAAATAGACTGGATGACGATGATATTTTAAGAAGAGCAAATTTCAGCTTATCTGCCTTGATTTGTTGTTGACGTTGTCGTACTGTTGGATATGATGGTCGAGTGAGAACTGCGTCGGCGGAAGGTCTGGTTTGGTAAGTAGGTACTACATCTCAGCTTTTTCAGTCGGGAGGCGCGCCCTTGATTGTCTCAAGGGCCGCCTGGGATGATGCCAAAGGTGTCGACGGAGGTGGAGAAAGCGGTGGGGTTGGGGCCCGAGGGCTTTCACCGGTATCACCTGTTGGGCAGCTTGTTCAGTATTCTGCTGCTGAGGTAGTGGGGACACATGCGAAATGTGGTGTGGGCGTCCACGTCGGGTGGGTGTGGTTGTTGGTGTGTAGTTCCTTCCTCGTCCGCAGCGTCAGGTTCAGCAGGTCGTCCAGTCGAGAGTCTTGACTGCACAGAGTTTCCGAAGAAACTGAGACCCAAGCTCTTTGACATTCCTTTTATATGAAGGGTAAAACGCAGTAGAGTCGAGCACAATAATACCATAGCGAATGAATCCAGAGCTTTCCACCAGAAGATCGATATGGGGGCCAGAGTTGTTTATAAGTACGTGCAGGCAGGAGCAGAAGCAGTAAAAAGGCTGTATACATGCAATGTACTTACTTGAATGCATACCTAGTACATCGTACATACATACCACGCAGTACAATACAATGAGAATTCTCGCTGCCTGCATAACGCAAATGTTGGATAGAGACCTGTCCTCTTCTGCTGAAGATTGGATTAGTAAAGCTTTTAAGCCAAATAAATTTAATGCAATTTAATGATGAAAATGCTCTTCATCGTAATATTCACATTCGTGAAAATTCACAAAGTGAGGACTGGCAATATTTTAGTGGAACTTCTTTGTTGCAGAATCTCAAAGACTAGAATTCTCTCGGGTATGAAATGAAATGCACTAGAATTTTCTGGATCTCTCTTTCTCTCGAATCTAGGCGCTTGTCACTTCACTCCGTGCAAGGCATCACGTAGTTTCTGCATTTGTGGGTGAAATCCTCAAACTTGTTCATCTTCTTTCAATCTCAATTTGTAAATATAAATTTACGAGTTGTATGTATGTTGCATCAGTGTAAACCCGTGTTACAGGTAAAAAATAATATGTAAAAAAATGCACGAAGATCAGACTTGCGTCATCATATCATTTGTCTTTCTTAAAAAATTGCTATTTATTAATGAAGTTTCTTGCACTACATCACTGGTAAATTAATTATCTCATGGGAGCTTAATGGCACAATTGCAGTAGGTTGATAATTTAACTCCTCTCGAGTACTACATGTGCGGATTTAGATAAGATGCAGTTAGTCTGGTATCGTAGTGTATCGGACTGAACTGGAATTTAACTGCAAAACCAAATCAAGTATGTAATAACGTTGTTGGTATACAAATACGTACATAAATACTTGACTTATTTAGGGTTTACCATAACCAAGAATTTATGCATCTCCATCGTGTGACTCGTGCCTATGTATGTTATTCGCGAAATATTAGTATGATGATGGATCTTCCTTATAATATAAAGTTGTTTATTTGTGTATGTTGCAACTATTGGTCAAATACGAGTAGTTTACATACAATGCAGTATCTGTGTCTCAGAATGGACTTTTTGCATTTTATACCCATCAATGGACTGTCAGTTATTTAGATAAGTTGTATTGAGAACAAATTTATTTATTTATTTATGTACATATCTAATAAGGAATTGAATAGACTTTTAAAGATTCCAAAGTTATACAATTTGTTTTGGCTACAAAATGGTGAAGGATGTGGTTGGGTTTCATTTACATTTTTGTGCACAATTTATTAATTGACAACATGATAATTTAGTTCCTAATGCCTAAATAAAAATAAAAATAATGATCTTGTGGTTGTGGTATTTTGAAAAGGTTTTCCAGAGGACGAGAGGTCGTTTACATAATAATGGCAATATGCATCCATAAAATTGTACTTTTGCTGACGTGTACAAAGACTGATGAGCACCACTTTCCGCCAGCGTGAAGATTGCACAAGCAGGATGAAGTTCTAAACGTAAACATACAGTGTTTTTTATAAAGATGCACCTGAAATATGTAGGCTTTTCAACATAGCGAAGAAAAACTAGTTGACTGGAGCTTTGTCTTGGTTGAGAGGACTGGGTAAGTAAAACCAGTTGGAGTTGACTAGCAACAAAGCGGGGGAGCAGTGGTGGTAGGGCGAGTAGAGGAGCTTCTCAATGTGACTTTGCCAAAATTTGCGACGCAGTTTCTGCCCAGCTTCAACAAACCATGTGAAAACCAGCACCAAAAGATGTGCTGAAACTCGACCCAATTGGATGGATGGATTTGTGTATGTTGTTGTTGAGACAAAGGGAGATGATTCCCTTCCTCCTCAAGTTATATCCTTAATGCTGTATATACATAGAGGAATGAGCATTACGTATATGCCTACACAGCACATATAACAAATTGGCAATATACATATCTTATACTACGCTCTACTGATACTTAATTACATATTTATGCTAATCTTGTATCAGTCTTCACCACTGCAGGATGAATATAGCAAATAATTGGAATATTTTTAAGTATGGCGAATATCGGAAGATTGCAGTTTACTTGGTAGAACTTTCACTTGCTTAAGTTTGGAATAAGTAAGTACGTGGGCGAAATGATGCTACTTGAGATTTATGGATGATGCTATTGGGGGGCGGAGGTCCCCACCACCAGTTGCCAGTCGGCCTGAAATAGAGGAAACCGGGCAACCGGCCGGGATCCGCCATCGTGGTGGTGAAAGCTCGTTGATTGGACCGTCGCGCTGGGTGAAAGTAGATCGAGCTGGCCAATAAGTAGAACTAAAAGCGTGGGTAGAAAGTGACAGTGCACATGTTCCAGTTTCGAATTATTTTTACCGTCCTCAGAGAAAGTGCTTTATGTATGACAACGTCCAATAAGCCTCTAAAAGGCAGCCACCCATGATGAGATCACACGAAGCTGTTGCGGAGCCAACGTGACTTGGAACTCTTTGATGAAAGAAAATCGAAGGACATCAGCTATTTCTGAATTTCACATCCTTTGTTAGTGATTCCTAGAAATGTTTACTTGTTCCCCTTCCAATTTCCGATGATCTGGATGGGGCGGATTTTAATGTGGGTATGATAGATGCTATTATTATCATCCGAAAGACCGCTCCATCGATCCACTTCCCTGAGAAAGACCTGGAAGGTGCTTATGTACAAGGATTTGCTAATTCTGTAAATAAATATACTTTGCCTGCCTTCGCTCCAAACGTAAATATGATGGAGCTTTAGCAGCATTGAAAATATTTAGATATTGGCCAAAGTTTACGAAGTTGGCTTGAAGTCCAGTAAGTACATGGTATACGAGTAATTAATACGTAATATGTACGACTTACCTACACCTTTATGAATATTACTATACTTCTTAATTGCAATTTGCAATAAATTATGCCCCACATAAATAACATTTTTTGCTCAACTTGTTATTCTACATTCAGAACTTGTCTGTCAGCCAGGCAGTTGGAGATAAAGGATGAAACTTTTGGAACTGCGTAGTTCTGCGATGTTGTTCGTGTATTGGACCTACATATCTCGAGTCTGCTGCTTGAGGTTGAGTGTGGTGGAAATACAATGCTCAAAATGCAAAAAGTGTGCAAATTGATAAAAGGTTCACAGATGAGAAAATACATTTTTTATCAAAATGTGCTCACTCGTAATGATGAGTGCTATCCTACATGCACAACATTATTAATAAGCCAAGTGTCATGTTTATGTTGTTGAGGTTGTGCGTTTTATTAGCAACCATATACTAATACTCGTGCGTGGTATTAATAGTCCGTTTATCAACTTCCAACTTGTTTTGTACGGATTTGCTCAATTTATTAGTATGCTAATAATCTGACCGCATTGAGGCTGGAGAAACTGCGTTGCGACTCAAGCTCTCCAGCAGATACATAACATAACATTACTCCACAATTTACGTTTCGCTTTCGTTTCGCATTACTAGTAAAGTGGTTCTGCCTTTTTTAATATTTCATCTCAATTCCGTCTCACAGTAATACTCTGAAACTGAGCTGCATCATGTCCAGAAGGGCAGACCTACTTATTACTTCACTAGGTGGATGGCACGATTAGATTTAGCACAATAATGGCACCTTTCGGCTTGTTTGTGGTCCAAGATCTTGGTTTGTAGGACAGCATAGCAAAAAATGTGGCATTATACAGCTGCTACCAGAGTCCTCCAAGTCTTCTTTGTTTGCTTTTACATAATTTTGCTTCTGTTCAACTGCGCATTTACTGACAAAGCAACATGGAAAATCCATTTACCTCAAAGTCAACTTTATCCCACATTTTCTCAACGTGTACACGCATACTTGTGTACAAAGTGACCATGGCGTTCCAAATTCTCAAATTCATCAAAAATCTCACATTTCCTCATTCAGTGGGTTCTTGCTGTAGAAAAGTATACCTACTTTGCGCTTCGTGCTCTTTGTACTGATAAATTCCATTGTGAAGTCTCTCAGCCTATCAGAAATCCAGTCATACGAATTATGAACGCTGGATGAACGCATATTATCAACACCATGAGAAACTAAATAGTTGAATTCATTTTGTTGCATAAATCATATCATTATGCATTATCACCGTCCTGTTACTAATGCTTAATGGTGCATGGTTTCTCATAATAATATGCATCTGGCATTGTCTGACAATGGTAATTTTCCAACAGTTCCAACTGCACGTCCCTCGATGCATATTATGGAATTGCTTTTGTACAAAAAACTGAATGCTTTCCGCCTGCAGCAAGAATTACCTGACTCATGCTGAATTTTAATTTGCATCATTTATCAGGTTTTTCTTCAAATGTCTGACCTTGGAACTGGAGGAAAGAATGTTAAACGTGTTAAAAATAAAAATGTATGTTTTTACGACATGATGTTCACGCTTGCGAGAATGTTCAATTTTTTATCAGCAGCAGAGACTATCCATTACGAAAACGTTTTATGATGCCACTTCACTAAAAATGATTTAATCTTACATATTACGAAGTATGTCATTAAGTATTAACGCTTCTCTGCAGTTAATTATCAAAAGTTTGCAAAACGTTTAACTAACAAGTTGAGATTATTTCTCCATGTAACACATCCTTAACAATGATTCGGAAAATATATATCTTTAAATTGTTTCGTACGCGGATGGGGAAATAATATTAAGCTTGCAGCAAAATAATACGTACAAATAGATTAAAATAGTTTTCCGTGTGGAAAGTATTTGACTATTTGACTATTCCATCTGCTATCGCTATACATCAGTAATTGGCTTTGCTTTCTTTACCAACTGGTTCGACAACCATATCTGAATACTTATGCACCTAGTCTTCGGATGTCAATGTCAATATTGTTATACGCGCAGTACTATTATTAACGCTTATACCTAAATTGATAGAGAATTTTATAAGGGACAGATGTTAATCCAGACCAAGTATGAAGTATACCTTTTGGTGTCAATCATGTTTAAGGGAAATGTCCAAACATTGTATGTGCATACCAATTAGTGAACAAAGGGAAAGAAAATATTTGGAAAATGGCAGAGTAATAATTTTTTCGCCCAAAATTCCATTTTTAGTCGCATGGGCACAACCAGTGCAAAGCTCGTTCCGTAACGTAACCTATTTCTGAAAATGTTAATTTTGACTTGTTTCACAATAATTGCATTTATATTATCAAATAATATTCAGTCTGCAAGAATTCGTGCTTCGAACCACCACGACATGTCAGTAACAGTGATTTTGGACAGGCCTGTCGAATATGGATTAGTAGATTTGCAAGACAACTACACTTTGCACGAAAATTCAATCACAGTTTTCCATCAAAAGAGCGATTCTTTAAATTCGAACTTTGAAACGTTTACTGCATTTTATTTGACTAGAAGATTTGTGTACCTTCACGAGATATATATTTGTATTACAGATTTTAATAGCTTATTCAGCCTCCAGTACAAGGTTAACAATTTTCTTGCCAGAATAAATAATATTTTTACAAAACCCAAGATTTATATCGTCTTTTCTACGAGTGATGTGCAACAACAAATAAATCTGCTGAATAATTTTAGAACATTTGCATTTCCCATTGACACTGAGGTGTTTCTTACACTCATGAATTCACAAACTCGGACAATTTCTGTTTGGGAAAGTGTCGCTTACAAGCAAGTAATTATAACAAGACAGATTTTTTCATGGGTTGAAGCTTCTAATTTTGAGGGGATGAAATGGATGGAGAAAATCGCCCTGATTCAAAAATACTTTCTCCCATCCCCAATTTCTTACAGACGTCAAAATATCATGGAAGGCGTAAACGTGGCGGCTGTTGCTCAAGTTCGCTATTCAACATAATGCTTTTTTACGATAAATACAACTACATGTGAAGATTTAACTCTTTTCCAGAATGATCCTGATTACCAACCACGCATTAGAACTATAATTCACTCCAACGGCTCAGCAGAATTTGTAGCTGGAATGTGTCTCGAAGTATTGGACTTGTTGCAGTTTCTCTTAAAATTTAGGTACACCATTATTTAAACTGATTGGCTCTAATTGATTAGTTGGCTAATTTTAATTTTTCCAGTTACACTGCGATTGACGGGAAAGGTTGGATGGGCATATTTCCGAACGGCACTTGGACAGGACAGAGTGGTCAAGTGGTGAACGAGGAAGCAGATTTTAGCATTTCGCAAGCATCCACAATTATGATGTTGGACCAAATTCATGGGATAACATTTCTACATTCGACCTCCACCGGAACACTGGTCGCCATCTTTCGCCAACCTCATCTCAGCTCAATAAGAGATATCATCCTTACAGTCTTCCATCCATACCTCTGGTTGTGCTACCTGCTCGTCTGGACCATTCTTCTCATCTGCTTAAAAATTATGTTTAACGTATTAAAACACCATGAGATGATTCTGCCAGGGGACGCAAAATTCATTAAGGATTCCCCTTTGATGCTGTGGGCAATCTCGGCGACGGCCAACCTAGGTTAGCCTTTCCGTGGAGCTGCATAATTCAAATTAAATGCATGCGTACTTTATGACCTCTTTATTTAGACTTTAGTGCAATCTAAAATTTTAGGATGGAACATGACTCCCATCTCGTCATCTATCCGACTGATATTTATGATTGGATTCTTCTTGGCTGCGTGCATGTATATTGCTTACTCAGCATCAATGGTGACCAATTTGTCGACAGAAACAATACCGGTTAAAAACTCGAAAGATCTCGCAGATAGCTCGATTGAGATTTTTGCAGATAAGTGGTTGCCGATGACTCACAAAGTGATGGAGGTATATGTAATTACAGTATTTGCATATAATAATAACCAGGTAGAAAATTATGTCAACCAACATTTCTGAAATTCGTAGAATATGTACCGTGAGAGACATGTGGATATTCAAAATCTCGACGCCTTTACCAACCAGCTGGAGTTCATAATACCTGATCTAATGAATCGATCTTGGGCATTTATCACATTTTCGGATGCAATCTCCGTCGTATTTCACAGGCTGAATTTCACCGATGTAGTCTTTTGTCAGACGATTTACTCCGTCGTGGCGTCCAAAGTACTCTACCCAAATGCTATGTATGTCAAGAGGGGATCGCCTATTCGGGAAATCCTGAACACAAGGTGTGCAGAATGTTACTCGTATATTTATGCCTATATTACGTACGAAATACTGTTCAATTTTCATTCCTATTTGTCAGAATACTGCTCTTGATTGAAAGAGGATTTCTCTCTCGGCTGAACCGATTTTACGACAGGGAGACGCAAATATTGTGCTTGCATCAAAACAGAGCGTACAGAGGAGGATTGACGATGCGAGATACTATAACTCCTTTCTTTTTTATATTTTTTGGATCGATAGCATCACTACTAATTCTAATTTTGGAAAGAAATTTTAAAAGAAAGACAACCTTTGATTTGAATAAGTAGGGATAAAATAAGAGAATTTAGTATTCTATGAAATGCTCTAAAAAGTGTAAATGAATATATATTTTTCATATTTTTGTTGCACCTGAATCTGCTTGAGAAAACATCATTTTATTGCGTAAATTACATATTAATCATCCTTCTGATTTAGAATATATTCCCCAATTCCCAAGTAATATACTGCTTGCAATATTCCTGTAAAATTGTCAATATCATGATTATTGTGATTGTGGTACATGCATGCATATGCAGTAAACTTATTGTACGATACCAAATAAAGGGGCGATTACAACAGTCCTGCATAAATTGGAATAATCAATTTACATAAACCTCGATTTAAAAAGCATTGTGTAAATCACCTAATTCCAGCTCCTTTCATAAGTGCGAACGGACCTTCTGTTTTAAAAATCTTTCTACACGAGATTAAACATGCACACGGGTAAATTACGACTTTGATAGGAATTCCAGGTATGTACATAATCTTACACAAATGCATCTAATATTCCATTATATGGGACATCGCATTTGGCCAGTTTGAGACGCTGCATTCTAGTTTTAACGACATCCCACGGCGTAGCGGCAGCTGCGCCAACTCCTCCCGCGACACACCCACTCAAAAATGCCCACGTTGAGCTACTCAGACTACCAGATTCCTTGATGTTCTGCTAAATCATACCATGAAAATATGTTTCTGCATATTTTTTAATTCAGAAAAGATTTCGGGAAAAAACTCACCTTTGGACTCCAATCATTTATTTTATAAAAGACAGGAAAGTAAACGACAGAGAAGAAAATGTTCCTCCCTCCAGTCGCTCCAAATCCCCGAAATAAACCAGCGAATCCATGCTTCTTGAGTAAGTCAATCAAAACTCGTCTGGATGACATGTTTCCCTCCAGTGTCGACTTACTCATTGCTGCCAAACGACCTGCGTCTTGCATATTAATTTTTAAGAGGTCCATCGGTGTTGAGAGAAAGCTCTGAGCTAATCCTGCCGTAGCCCCGGCAAATATTTCCTTGCTCATGGAAAGTGAACTACTTCCATCGTTCTTCTTGAGATATTGACGTATCAAATCATTTGAGGCTAGTTTGATAGTTTTCTCAGGAGCAATTAGACATGCGTTCATGGCACATCCACGATACAATCCTCGAATGCCTTCTGCCTTTCTTATTTTTCTGAAACAATCTATCCTGGGACACAAAATATTAGATCTGAAATTGGGTACAAAACTTTTGTCATCTTATTTCAGCACGTTTCTCACAAAGAAGTGTAAAGTTGAGTGCTGTCCCGAGAGTTTCTTTGGTTCTGAAGTCGAGTTTTCGACAAATCTAACGGATACATTAGCACAGTGCTGACAATGGCAGCTATTCCGGAATTTATAGCCTTCGCAGCCACTTGATGTTTGAAATGAGGTTGTTCTTTTTTGGGGCGATGGAGATCATGAGGTGGAAAATGGCTGGACATGATGAAAGATTTAACGGGGGATTACGATTCGCCATTCCCGAACGGGATTTTTCTGCATTTGCATAATTTATCAGATTGCATGCTGCACGGGTGTATTTTGAATTATGAATTTTGCATGAATTTTGCACAACTTGTTGCTGGACAACCCAGTTAACCTTAGGATCCCGGTTTAAATTTTAATTCTAACTAAATTATAAACGAAGATTATCTATGATTTTATAAATGTAAGTAATGTGAACGCATTTTTAATGATATCCTTACATTGAACTTAGGACTTGTAAATATGCATGTACACAACATGGTATGCAATTTGTACATATTTGCTCATAGTTAAAAGTTAAGGAAAAATATGTCTTCGCATCCAACTCATGGCTTTACTTTCAGTACATCCGAAGGCCAGTTTTTCTATCAAGAGTACACCAACGCAGAGTACAATTCCAACCGAGGAAATGATATAAGCGATGGAAAGGTCCGTTAGTCCAAGACCTCCGCGATAATTCTCCTCCGTTGTTTGACATGTCACGAGAGTTTTCTTATTGTAAATTACATTCAGTCGGAATATTATTCCACGCTCGATAAGTAACATAATTCTGTAAAAATATTTAAACGTTTCAACTATTATGTGTGTAAATCTGTGATAACAAAAAAATGCAGATGACTACAGAGCAACTTACTTTTGGTTAAAAACTTCTCGTAAATGCGACCCTTTTCTAACAAACATGGCTGTGGGGAAAACTGTTCTGGAAATTGTTATTGCAGAGATGGTTTCGCAGAAGTAAGCGTTACTGTATCCAGCTTTTAAAGATACGCTTTCACTTTTTGCAGCATCCTCGAAAGTAACAAATCCAGATTTTGAGGTCAATATCGTTTGGAAAGAATCGTTAATTCGCATGAAATATGAATCAATGGTTTTTCCTTTTTTGAATTGTTTAATTCGTCTTGTTTTGTAGTACACGTCCTGTAATCGAGTTAAGCTTTATATCATTCCCAAATAATTATTAGACAAGCATTAAAAGGTGTATATGTATGTAACCGCTACAGTGGGTAAATGCACTTACACTGACAATATCTCGAACAAGAGGAAGTCGCCTGTGTATGAAACAACATAATATTTAACTCTTTAATTAACACTTGAAATTAAATTGAAGTTAATCAAGAATCAAATCTTTAACCTATCTCCATAAAGGTCCAAATTGCTAAGCGCAAAATCTGAGAAAGTTTTAATGGGAATTGTCTCAGTGGCTAAATTAGAAGTTAGTGAAGCGGAAAAAAATATGCTAATTATGTACGCAAATGTCAGTCCAATTAGGACGACAGTTTTACTGGAAATTTCTTTTGGTTGATTGTGCCACCCTGTGGAAAATAATTTTTTCAAAAAATTAATGTTATTTTAGGTGATGTAAAACGTAAAGGTTAATTGCAATCAATAAGATCAAATTCGAACCTTTACAACAAATTGCGGAGAAACACCACAAACACACTTCCGTAAAACTATGCATTGTTGAATCTGGTATTTCGTTTCGGATTTTCTTTTCAACAGAATCGTCTTCACTTAAGGTGGTCGACGATAACTTTGTTGACCAGACATGGTTGATTATGAGCCACGTGATGGCAATAGAGATCCAAACTAGTATCCACACGACCCAAATCTGATAGCTAAAGACGGATTGGAAGACGTCGTGAGATAACCTCGGCTGTCTGAAGATAACTGTTAGCCGACCAAAGCTTGTAGGTATCAAGTAAGAAATGTACTTTAAAGCTGGCATCATCATAACCATCGACGCTTGACCAATCGAAATATCTGTTTACCCATTAAACATTTGTGCATGTAGATTTCTTAGGTGTTCATTTCTTATGATTATTCATATCTTAATTTATAAAACGTGGGTAACCTGCTTGGCCATTATATACTTGGCCAGTCATTCCGAAAACTGTTTTATTTGGGTAAATTCCCCACCATGTTTCCCCTTGCAGTGCATGATACCTAATTAACAGTAGGATAATTATTAATAGCATATTTACATAAGCTAATTATTGCTTATGTAACACCACAAGTTGTGTTTGATATTTTCGAAGTTACTTGAAATTTAGACTAAGTTGAAGAGCCAGCAGTAAATCATAGCACATTCCGTTCACAAATTGGACGGTTCCATTTGCATGAGAAATAATGTGCAGTCGATGTTGATAATTGGGATCATCCTGCTTAAAATAATCAAATAACTTAATCGGGTAGACTAATCATGAGCAGAGTAAAAGAACGGATAAAACTCTTACGTATCCGACAACACCAAGTTCAACGCCATCCAAACTGACGACAGCTTGATTGACGACGACAGTGGGGGCCAGTTGATCAAGATGAGCTAAATCCATTATTCGAGCATCACCGCCCACCACCCAGTCCAATTCAGCTAAGCAAATAATTAAGTGATTGATTGGTCACTATCAGAGAAATCGAGTGAGACAAAGACTCTGAAGGAATTAATGCCTACCAAAAATGCGTCCTTATGGTACATTCGAAGAGGTTTGAAGAATATTCACTTATTGCCATCAGTTTTGTATCGTCTTATTTAATCTGATAACAACTATACGCGACAATGGCACAGACGTTATGCAAGGTGTTTTTTGTGATATCATCAGTTTGCACAACAGAGAGGAGAATATTTTTCCAAGATAAACATATGAAATTGGCCAATTTGGCACTTTTTTGTACAGCATATTTAACGCCATCATAATAATATACACCAAAATGCTATCCGCTCACTTCCACTTCTTATTCTTCACACGTCCTTTTCTTTATTGTCATCGTTGTCATCCTCCCACAACGATTTCTGCCTGGATAATTTTTATGGTGAAAAATGCCAATAAATTTTCCATCAAAATCGGAAAAGACTTTTTGTGGGTTCTTTCGTATTTACTTTGTAATGCAAAAAAGGAAAAGTGAAACAATGGCCTTTGTAAGTATATGATTAAGATTTGAACAACAAAGCGTTTTGATTCCCAATGAGTGTATAAATACAGAAAACGTGCAAACTTTCCAACTAGTCAGTTCTTAACAGGCTTAAAAAGCTCAAAAATGAATTTTCCTCAAATTTTCAATTTACTCTCCATTATTATTTTTCCATCCAGAGCACTAATAATTACAAAATCCAGTCCGTATTTATTTCACACCGCACGACAAGTAGCAGGCAGAGAAAAGTTGATGGCGTTAGTGACTTCTGAATTGATAAACTATCAATTTAAAGAGTATACATTGGTCATTTGGAGACCAATTAGTTCTCCTCCAGATTCTTTCCACGAGTACGACAACCTTGTTACACAAGTTTCACAGCATTTCAACTCTGTCCTCTTGTTTCGCAATAATTCTTTAACCGAGACCAGCGTGCCATTGCCACATTCTAAGCTGCACCAGCTATCTTCCCTCGTGCTGTATTTAAACCTTGACTATTTCCTCGAGCCACTCCAAATATTTCATACTAATTGGATTGCCTATTTACCTGGAGGTTTTTTCAATTCGTATCATTTAATTTTTCACAACGAGCAGGCTCCTACGTCAATTAGTCAACCTCGAGAGTTTTCGTTGACCAAGTTGCCCCACCCCTTAAAAACCATGGTTCATCGGATTTTCATCTCTATTTCGAAGCAGGAACATGGTTATAGATGTGGTTTGTGGGAGTGCAACATATTCGGAGAAAGTTGTGCTCGCGTAGAAATGGGCCAGGCGAGATCTGCATTATCCAATAAGAAATTGGACATGAACGGGGTCCCCTTAATTTGGGCGACAGTGACGATGTCACAAATTAGTAAAAAGGCAATGGAGGACTTCATAAAGTATCGGAAAAATCTCAACCTATTTATTACGCCTTATGTGGAAATTGCCGAAATTGTAAACGCTACCCCAATTTTGAACCAAGTTTCTTCTCAAAATTTTGGAACTTTGAATGGGAAAAGTGGGAAATGGGAGGGGGCGGCTGGGGAAATTGTGTACGGTAGGGCACACATAACTCAAGGTCTCGTGACTTTAGACCGATACAACGCACTGCTTCTCTCGAAAACCATCGACACTGACGGACTAATTTTCACCACTGGACTTCCCACTGCATCCTCGACAGGATCCCCATTTTTTCTTTTGGAAAGCTATGACTGGAAAATTTGGATGGCTTTGCTAATTACAATAATTCTTTTGGTACTTGTTTCTACTCAAGTAAAGCAAAAGTTACATTTCCAATGGAACAACGGTGACGCATCACGCCTAAATGTTTCCGGGATGGTAATGTTTGTAATTAGCCCACTTCTGGAACAACCCGAGGACACAAAAAATTTTCGGCGATTCATCACGGTTTCCACATCTAAATTGCTTTTCGGTCCCTGGTTGTTATCACTCGTTGTGTTGGGGACGATGTACAAGACGAGTCTCATCTCGACGATGACTTCCCCCACCATGAGTATCCCTCCAACAGACTTTAAAAATCTGCTGGAATCAGACTATCGTCTTAATTTTCTTGGAATTTCGGTGACCGCAGGAGTTGTTTATAAGGAACTCAAAGCAAAAGGAAGCTTATTTGTGAAGGAGCTGGATAAAAGGATGGTAATAAATTTAATTCAAAGCGTACCAGCCAAACCTTACAAAACATTATCATGTTACATTTCACTGTTATACATGCAGATATCATATTACGATCCAGAAAATGGAGTAAGTATAAATAAAACATTAAAAGTAGACGAAAGACGATACACAAAAATTCCAAAAACTACCTTATTCCCATTACCACTACTTATATCTGAATGGCTTGACTGGCATGAATTTATAGGAGCCTTGCATAACGCAAACAAAGGGAAAGCATTTCGCATGTTTGGGATTAAGGTACTCGTTTATTTATAAAATTATATTTTTTAAATGACATTTTATTTTGCATTGTTTTTAATTATTTAATACATTGAATACTTGAATTATTTTTGGATTAAGGACGATGCTTACGGAATTTGCTATCTTGCACCTGACCAAAGAAACGGGAGAACCTTTGTACCGATTTGGACGAGAATACTTGTACACGTCCTTCTATGCATTCTGCATTTCGAAAAATCTGCCGCATTTATTGCGTATATATTTATACATATATTTCAAACATTCACTAATGAAGCTATATAAATGTACATATAATTTTAATTGCAGCTGATGTGGATAGAATGATGTTGCACTACGCTGAGTCCGGTAATAATTAATTTTCAATAAGTATAAAGTTTCTAGCTTTTTAATTTCAAATAATGGGTTGAATATCCCATGTATTTGTACGTACAGGAAGTTATGCGATGTTCCGAAGAAACGTTGCACGATATGCGCAAAAGTTTGGTAAAATGGCTGCAAAACGGAGAAGGAAAACAATAAATGGCATGAATCATAATAACAATTCGGAAGAATCGCGCACCAATTCCTGGAATCAGAACGAGTTGGATAACACTTTGAGGTCCATGATTGTGTTGGGCATGGGATTTGGTCTGGCCACTGTTCTTCTTGGGGTGGAAATTTTGACTTGTACATTATCCGGCTTCGCCATTCAATTCAAAGTCATAAGAAAATAGTTAGGATATGCATTTGAATAGAAATCGTAATTATAATATTAATAAAAGGATACGTGTTTGTTGTGTTTAAGTACTACCAGCTAAAAATGAGAAGCAGTATCAAGTTACTTGTTGCAAATGGCAAGACCAAGATTTCTTTTACTGTCCTCCTATGAAATGGATGCATATATATTTCGCTTCTAAATATCTAAATCAATGACAGACAAGTTAAAAAACATTAACGGATTTGAAACTGGAGAAGTACAAATACTAATGCAATAGTTGTACTTGAAAATTTATAATTATCGGCCAACTCATTCTTAAACTATCTTAACTTGATCCACGATGCAAAATAATAGATAGTTTGCTGGCATAGTGTGAAACTCCAAAACTATCATCATGTCCTTATCGGATCACCAAATGACCCTAAAAATGAGCACAATTGTTAGGGATTTGTGTACGCAGAGGCAATTCCTCGTAATGTGAGATGTTATGTACACCAACCGTATTCGTGGTTTTGCGACTAGTCCGCGTCCAAACTCATGCATGTAGTACTGCATAAATTCATTGAATCGTGTGTAACAAATAGTGAGTTGAAAATTTGCACAGGGGCAAAGCCAATTACTAAATAAAAAGATAGTATACTTATCTGTATAATGAGTTCTAGTACAATCCAAGAAATTGCTGGCCAAAGTTGTGATAATTCATCAGATCCCCATGTTCTTGGCCCTTCCATTGAGTGCGAGATGCAAAGTGAGGAAGAGGATGACGAGGATTTTAGTGACTTATTAGACATTCTTTTAGGAAATACCCCCATCACAACTTTCTCTCCGAATCAACAAGACATCTCTGAATTGACGCTTGATGAGTACTTTAAACACAAGCATCAACTTGCAGTTGTTCGTTACAAACAAAAATTAGACGCGTACCGTGACGCCGTGCTCCTCGCTCAAACACCGCAAGACTTTGAGACGCTGGTAAAAATAGTGGACAAGAAGGAGGAACAGGAAGGAGAGGAAAGATTTTTGGCCATCCGACGAAGGGCGAAATTCCTCCAGGACAAATGGAGCGAAGAGGACAGCAGACGTGAACCACTATTACCAACTTCTGTCGCTTCCGGTAGGTCGACACTCGATAGGTCGATACACATACGTAATAAACCAAATAAATCCAAGTAGATAAAACTTCTATTGTTGTTTTTACCCGAAATAAGAAAGTACCGGATCGACGTACGTTAAAGTCCGGATTCCTTTCGATGAGGAAGACACTGCCCTTTACTTCCCCCGATTAGTCCGGAGTCGCACTATTACAACTCCCACACTGAATGGTCAAATCTCAGGTACATATAAATATACACAAAATATCAAATTGATATTTTCAATCAATCTAAACACGTCGAGCGTGTAACGTAGTGAGAATTAATTAATTGCAGAGAATGGGGACGGGAAATTGAGACAGAATGGAGAGAAAGTTGACCTCGGCATTGTCGAAGACAAATCTCCCTCTTGCTGGCGAAATTTTTTTAAGCAAATCAATTGTTTCCATCCCTGACGCCTTTCACTATTCAAATCTAATATTATTTAAATAACTTATTATTTTGTGGATATTCATATATTATTATTGTACGTATTCATAATATAAAACATTTACAATTTATGATTATGCGTTGTGAACATGCTTCATATTCGATTGAACGTATTTTGATATCGACACAGAAAACTGACCAGTAATTAACTTTTCTGAATAAAACAAAAATGTTTCGCTTATCGTTTTACATTGTCCCTTGCATGTAGCAAGCTTGCCGTGGGGCAGCAAGCCTCAGTTGACGAGCGGCTTGTACGAGTTTTCCAACGCAGTCGGTGTTTCGCCTGTAGTGGGAAGTGTCCATTTCCATTCAGATTTTATCAAATTTCCTTCCTATTTTTCTGAATTTTAAAAGAACAAAATCCAAAGTACGCACTTGGTCTACTGTTATCTGGGGATTTCTCTCTTATCCAGCCAAAATGCCGAGAGTAATGATCAAGGGAGGTGTTTGGAGAAACACCGAGGTAATTCATAAATTCGTAATATCTCTTAATAATAATCTTGCTAAAGTTATTGTTAAACGGTCTAGCGAAGACTAGTAACTTTACAGCTTTATTATTAACAAAGCTTTCAACAATCAAATGTCTTCTTCAAGAGGTCGTTTAAAATCACACACATTTTATTTTTGTACGTTTATGGCTCTCATAATTTCTATAACTCGAAATTTAACATGAAATTTAACTTCTCTTGTTATGATAAGTATGCTGTAGATTTCTTGAATTTAAGTACAAACTATTTAAATGTGTTATGCACTATTATAGGATGAGATTTTGAAGGCAGCTGTAATGAAATATGGCAAAAACCAATGGTCCCGAATTGCATCTCTCCTGCATCGAAAGTCAGCGAAACAATGTAAAGCCCGTTGGTATGAATGGTTGGATCCAAGCATCAAGAAAACGGAATGGAGTCGCGAAGAAGACGAAAAATTACTACACATGGCAAAACTTATGCCTACTCAGTGGCGGACGATCGCTCCAATTATTGGGCGCACAGCGGCACAATGTCTGGAACGATATGAATATTTACTGTGAGCTGATTTTAACTTTTGGCTTTATTGATGAATTTATGGATTACACAATGCGTTATACTGCCATATACTAAATGAGTGTGAACTATTTCAGGGATCAAGCTCAAAAGAAGGAAGAAGGCGAGGAAGCGACAGATGATCCGAGGAAGTTGAGACCGGGTGAAATCGATCCAAATCCTGAAACAAAACCGGCTCGTCCTGACCCAAAGGACATGGATGAAGATGGTAAGTTAATTATTATGTACCATTCTTGCATTACTAAAAAAACATTAGTATCTAGTATGTTGTGTCGGTTATTTTTATTTGATATGCAATGCAAACATTTCTACTGTAGAATTGGAAATGTTGTCGGAAGCAAGAGCAAGATTGGCAAATACGCAAGGAAAGAAGGCAAAGCGAAAGGCTCGAGAAAAGCAACTGGAGGAGGCGAGAAGATTGGCTGCTTTGCAAAAGCGGAGAGAGCTGCGAATGGCTGGAATAGGAAGTCGTCAAAAGCGACCTAAAAAACGTCAAATTGACTACAATAAGGAAATACCATTTGAAAAGGAACCTGCATCTGGGTTTTACGACACAGCAAACGAAGTGTATGATCCACAGAATCCGAACTTTGGTCGGCTCCGTCAGCAACAATTAGAAGGAGAAATGCGAAAAGATAAAGAAGAGGTAAGATTTTTTATGCCATTTACGTTACGAGAAAACACTTTTCAGTTACATAATTACTATTATTGTGGATTAAATACACATGTGTTATATTTTGTAGCGTGAGAGAAAGAAAGACAAGGATAAGTTGAAACAGCGAAAAGAAAATGACTTGCCGTCCTTTATGTCGCAAACTGACGAACCCCAGCGAAAACGAAGTAAATTGGTTCTACCAGAACCTCAAATTTCTGATGGGGAACTTGAACAGGTTGTAAAACTTGGAAAAGCATCACTAGCTGCGAAGGAAGCCGCAAGCGAAACTGGAACTTTGGCGTCTCAAACACTACTGAACGATTACTCTTTAACTAACACTTCAACAGCGTTGAGGACTCCACGTACTCCTGCTCCTATCACGGATAAAATTTTACAGGTAATTTCATAAATACCTACTGTATAACTTAATTTTGATATTTCTGTTTAATTTATCACTATTTCTTTTGATTCTGGGCATAAATAGGAAGCTCAAAATATTATGGCTCTGTCTAATGTCGAAACGCCTTTGAAAGGAGGGTTAAATACTCCACTAATGGAAAGCGACTTTAGTGGAATGATGCCAACACCACAAGTTTCAGCAACTGCCAATACCGTTTTGGCCACACCGTTTCGTACTCCAGCTGGACAACAAGGAATGACTCCAGCATCAAGCAGATTGAGCGTCGCTGCCACTCCACGTGGAGGAGCTATTCCAACTGCGACGCCACTTCGCGACAAATTGAATATTAATCCGGAAGATGAACTGGAGGTCGATGGAATCGCTAATAAGCATTTACAAAAGGCTGTAAGTTTCACTCTGATATTACTCACTTTTAAGTCATGCTGAATAATTGTGACATGACAAATAATAGGTCCGGGAGAACTTGAAAGATCAACTTGGAGCATTGCCCACGCCCAAAAATGACTACGAGATTGTTGTACCAGATGATGACGCAGAAGTAGATGGTGAAGATGGTCTTAGAAAGGGATCGAAACTTGAAGACAAGGAGGAACTTGATCGCAGAGTAGCTGAAGAAGCTCAGGCCAAGCGGATGGAGGAATTTAAGAAACTTTGCAAGGCCGTTCAGAGGAATCTACCGCGACCGATGGATGTTAACGAGACGATTTTACGACCTCCTGGAATGGACCTCACTGCATTGCAAAGGGTACCTTACATTCTATTACAATCTTATTCAGAAACAATATTTGATTGCCGTTTATATATAGGCTGAGGAAATGGTAAAACAAGAAATGGTTTTGATGCTACATCATGACGCATTGGTGGCACCGTCTGATAACCAGGTTGTCTCCAGGAAAGGTCAGCCTACGGTACACAATGAACAGAAACATTTTTTATTTTTGGAAAAACATAAATATCACGACATTAGTCGAGAACGAATGGACGAGGTACGGATTATTGATTATTTTGCAATTATTATTGTTTGTAGAATTTAAGTAATTAATTTGCATGCATTGTGTTTAGGCATATAAGCTCTTGGAAGCTGAGACACAAGTAGTTAAAAAGGGAATGGGCCACGGCGAGCTGTCAATTGAGGCATATACACAAGTGTGGGAAGAGTGCTTGTCACAAGTATGATTGATATATGATAAACTAAGACAATGAGGATTCCTCATTGTGAGGAATGATTTTTCATTTATTGTCAAATTTAAATTTTTAGGTGCTTTTCCTCCCCGGACAAAATCGTTACACGAGGGCATCACTTGCAACCAAAAAGGACAGACTTGAGTCTAGTGAGAAGAAACTGGAACAAAATAGAAGTCAAATGCAGAAAGAAGCCAAACGTGCTGCTAAAATGGAAAAGAAACTTAAAATCTTGACTGGAGGATATCAAATGAGAGCACAAGCTTTAATTAAGCAGTTTCAAGACCTCACTGATCAGATCGAGAGGGGGAACATGGAGTTGTCCACATTTGAATTTCTGAAAGATATGGAAAGCATTGCAATTCCTCGAAGAGTGGAGGGTTTGCAGGCAGATTTAGATGTACAGAAAGCTCGAGAGAAGGAACTCCAAGAGCGATTCAGGAATGCGCAATTCACATTGGATAATTTAAAACAACAGTTTGACAACTGCAAATTTTAGATAGTTGCATTACATAAGCATTTGATTGCGGTTTGAAAATTGAACAGATGTGTTAGTTATGGCTCTGAATTAAATATGTGACCATTGAAATTGTATCATGTAACATGCGTTGAAGGCATGAGCTAATTTATAATAAAACCTATAGTGCAGACTTGATTTAGCCCGAGCCAGGGTCAGATTCCTCGTTTAAAATTTTGTAACGCGACCTAGCTTCTATTTTCCAATTGTGCGATATTCAACGATGCAGGTCACACCGCAGATACTTGTCATTAATGTTCCATAAATCTAGCGTGTAAAATCCCACCTTTTTTCCTACCGATTTCAAAATCAAGGTCACCCCATTGGCAAATTATTTGATATATTATCACTAAATGACGATTACATAAGCCCTGACTCGGACTAAAATGTATCAGTCGAAAACTTGTGTGCATGATACATGTACCATTTAAGTTTTAAACTCACGGATTTCTTATGTTGGTTTGGTTTATTTGGGTAATAAATTGTTCCTATATTCCAAGGTTAATACCTTTTGCGATGTAGTTTTTATTGCTTCAATTATTAATTACTATTATTTACTGATGGACAACCACTTAACCGGATATGAATTAAAACAGTAATAAATTTAGGCCACAGTAAATCAATTATCTCACTGCTGCTCGTCATTCAGTAATTTTAATTTACTTTTTTCAAGAAAATTGTCATGCAATAATTTATGGTGACTATTTTGGCAGCTGGCAGATTTTCACGCCATACACGCTTTACATTAAATTTACTTACATAACAAGCAAAATGGAGTATTTAAAGGCAACGTCTTCTAGAGACCCAGCATATTCCATCGAATCATATTATTAGCAGTACAACAATATCGTTGAAGGCTATACAACATGAAATTGCAATTAGTTGCCACTCTGGCAATTTTTGCTTGTGTGGTCGTATTGGTAATCCAACTTGTGAAAATTATTGAAACAAAGACTAACAGAAATTTAACTAACTATTTTAATTTTTAGACTGCATCGGCACCCAACATTGAAGGTTTGAGGAAAAAGAAGTCCACCACAACCAAGGCCCCTAAAACCTCAACAACAACTGCAGCTTCTTCAACCACTGATGGCACCACTGATGAACCAGCTCTCCCACAATTCGAAGGATTTAGGAGAAGGAAGAAGACTAGCACAACCTCCGCCCCCACAACCGACGCCAGCTCGACCTCTGACCCCATCGACGAGAGCGCTCTTCCACAATTTGAGGGCTTGAAGAGGAAGAAGAAGAAGAGCACGACCACAGCTGCTCCCACAACCGACGCCAGCTCGACCTCTGACCCCATCGACGAGGGAGCTCTTCCACAGTTCGAGGGCTTGAAGAGAAAGAAGAAGAAGAGCACGACCACAGCTGCTCCCACAACCGACGCCAGCTCGACCTCTGACCCCATCGACGAGGGAGCTCTTCCACAGTTCGAGGGCTTGAAGAGAAAGAAGAAGAAGAGCACGACCACAGCTGCTCCCACAACCGACGCCAGCTCGACCTCTGACCCCATCGACGAGGGAGCTCTTCCACAGTTCGAGGGCTTGAAGAGGAAGAAGAAGAAGAGCACGACCACAGCTGCTCCCACAACCGACGCCAGCTCGACCTCTGACCCCATCGACGAGGGAGCTCTTCCACAGTTCGAGGGCTTGAAGAGGAAGAAGAAGAAGAGCACGACCACAGCTGCTCCCACAACCGACGCCAGCTCGACCTCTGACCCCATCGACGAGGGAGCTCTTCCACAGTTCGAGGGTTTGAAGAGGAAGAAGAAGAAGAGCACGACCACCGCTGCTCCCACAACCTCAGATGAGCCCAGCACTACAGAAGTACCCATTGCATAAGTTTCTCGTAGTATTTGGAAAATTAAGCAATAAACATTCCATGCAAATAAATTTGCCGACATAATTCTTCTTTAATTGGCCTTGGCGTCGTATGCTTTGCATGATCATTATTTAATATCGGATGGCGACAGTAGGATTAATTAAAACATGCACCTTCATTTGGCAGAGTTCAAGGAAATTAATTTTACTGCAAATACCGAAATTTATACATAATAAATACATACGTCATGTCGATACGATATTACGAATATTACATTACTTAAATGTCATACTCTTTTCTCCTCCTCCACGCTTCTGAAAATTGAAAAATTTGCCGGCTTTTTTGCCCCGGTTATTATTATTATTTTTGCGATTTCTTCCATTATCTCTTTGATTGGTAGAAGAATTATTATTATTCGTTGACTGGTTTCGTGGGCTGGATCTCGAGCCACTTGAACGTTGTTGAGAACGTTGTTGAACACGATCGCTAGCTCGTCTGGAATTAGATGCGTGTTGTTCAGGTTTAGGTGTTTGGGTTACATCATTTTTCCTTCCTTTTCCACCCTTTTTACCAAAAGCATTTTTCAGTTTATTCAAAAAGTTCCCCTTCTTCTTTTTTTGGTTCCCTTGATTGCTTGATGATGAAGCAGGTACATTCATGAAATCGTCCATGGTTGACCTAGACTGACTGTCGCGGTTGTCCGAACCTTTCTCAACAACATCACCAAGTCTTGCCTCCTTCTTCTTCGGTTCTTCACTTTGAGAAGTATTAGCAGAATGTTCCTTCCTTTTCCTCTTCTTACTATTGACTTCACTCTCATTTATCTAGAATTTTTCAAATGCCTCGATTATTTATTATTTATCTTATACTCTTTATACTTTTTCGAATGGAATTTTACCAATGGATTGAAGGGAATGAACTCTCCATCCGTAAACACCTTCTCCAGCTCTTGTGGTTCGTTCTGTGTTTTATCTTGGTCGAATTCATCAGGATCACAAAATACGGTCTCGTAAACAGCTCTGACCATAGAATTTTCCATGTCCAGGATTTCCTTTTTTATCGGATCTTTCAACATCTCCATTATTTCCTTGCTAAGTTGGTATCTATCAAATGGGGTCTCAGCGGTTTCAAAATTAGACTCATTATTTGCCTTCTTATTAACTTTGTTGCGACTGGAATTAGTTCGGATTCGTTTGATTTTAGTGTTGAAAACAATCGAAGGGTTAAATGCAAAGGAGGATGGAGCAACGAGAGGTTCTTTTAGAGGTTGGGGCCATTCTTGTGTTGTGCATTGGGCATGATGATTTTTTTCTTGACCCTCCTCCGTATGGGATTTTTCATCGTCTTGTTCCCGTTTAGTATTATTTATTTGAGAGATTTCTTCAGGATTTACATCGTGAACAGAGTTCATTAAGATCACCCAGTCCTTCAACTTTTCACGTTTATCTGTCTTTTCCTCATTTGAATGTTCCTGGAATAAAAATAAATATTATATAGCTTATCATTAAAGAATTTTAATAATAGTATTTAATTACATTAATTAGTCTTAAGACGCTTATACATAAGTTGATACAAGCTAAATGTATATTAAAGGTGGATAACTAACCTGCAAAGTTAATGCTCGGGCGGCCGTAACAATTTTATGAATTACTCCCAGACTACTTTGAACTAACGGAGGCACTGGATCGCAGCAAGCAAGTATTCCAGTCATTTCCTTTGGCAGTTGCTCAGATATCATCAACAGCATGTGGTTTGGCAAAACGTAGGCAATACTCTCATCTTTTTCACGTGCGACACCATCACGCCACTTGTACAGCTCCATAAACGCATAGATCTGTCGATTGTTGAGGTTTCGCCTCATTTTTCTTAAAGAAAGTTTGGAGTTATTTGCAGGTTTCTCGTACCGCTGCACAAAATGGAATCAGTTGTATTAATAAATTCTCGCAACTCAATTTCTGATTGCACTTCTGTATAGTGAGCGTTTTACCTTTAAGCATACCAGTTTTGACTGCTCGTACAATGCTACTAACAAATTGTTCCGCTCGTTGCTGGTATCTATCAACTCATTCCTCATCATGTCATAAATGTACAACAGAGAATGAGTGTCCTGGCGAGCATAGTGGATCATTTCCTTGAGAAGTGGTCTGATTCTCCAATCGGCCAGTTGAAACGTTTTGTTTTGAGTCACTCCACAATACTTGTTGAGCAAGCCTTGTAGACCAAATTGTTGGAAACTTAAGAGCTTCGCAGCTACTTGAGTGTCAAACATGTTCACTACGTATAACCCAAAGTCTTTCTGTAGCCATTCAATATCACTCGATGATCCATGAAAAACCTATAAAAATTAAACCTCGTATTCGGCCACAACCGTTGAATACCGAACCGACCATATAGTACATGTAGGTAGATTAACAAACCTTAACAATTTTTGGATTGGTGAAAATTTCGTTAAGATGATAAAGATGGTCTCGTAAAGCTAATGTGTCAATTATATAGTCCTTGTCCCGGGTGGAAATTTGCATTAAACACGTGAAACCAAGAAAGCTACGATATCCATGATGCTCGAGATCCACCGCCAACTCCGTTACAGGATACAAATCTCGTAATAGTTGCTCAATATCTCGAGCAGTGTTAACTTCAACTAGTGGAGTATCCTGAAGAGCCTTGGGGAGTTGAGGGGAAACTGTCGTCAGCATTGAATCGGATGGTTCCCACAGGTTCAATTCCACGGAATATGGGTGTCCATAACTATTAAGAATAATTACTAGTTAATGCCATTGTACGTACCAATAAGTGTATTATACAACTATTAACTTACAACTCTTCATTTTTACTATTATACTCGGGAAGAATCGACAATGGTTTGATAGAATTTGGCTTTTCTTTCAATTTGGGGACAAACGGAGAGGGACTATTGTCCACAGGTGTTTTGAATCGCACTTGAGGTTTCTCCTTTACAGTTCGCTTGTACACAGCTTTTTTGATTTCTCGGTTACTCATTTTTTGTTGAACTTCTACCGGCATTGCTTTGTCGTCGTCGTCGGCATTGACCGTGGATGATGTAGGATCCGACTGTTCAACTTCCGCTTTCCTTTTACCCCACAAACCTGCATATGACATTTTATTTTTATAAAGTTGAACAGGTTTGGTCGACATGAAGTGAATGTTTGCAAACTGTACCTGGAGGTCTGAGGGAGTACGATGCAATACCTTGATTAACAACAATAGTATGTGCCTTCTGGAACAGTCCTGACGCTTCATCCAACGCGCATCCCTGGATTGCATTAGTAAATTGAAATAACAAACTTAGAATCAACTTAAAATGAAATACTATTTAATCGTACAATTCTTTCCAGCATGTCATCGTTGGCTTCTACAAGAAACTCAAACTTTTCATCGATATCACCAAATCTGAATTCTTCTGTAGAAATGTTGGCGTGGTTCAGCAACAAAGTTATCCTGTTAAATGACGTATACAGAATCGTTAATAAAATAATTAATCACTGAATAATTAAATACGTACATTGGGATAAGTCTTTTTCTAGCATTTTTCATCGCTCTATTAAACTCTGGATAGCTCTTCTGCAAGTCCCACGCAGGTCCTGATGAAGGCAACGATTGGAACGCTCTCGTGGCAGCCAAAATCTTTTTAATCCCCTCCTAACACATAAAATTAAATATTATACATAGTTAACGATGAATAATCAAGTTTAAAATCAAAGTTTCAAAAATCAAGAAAATCTTACATTAGAAAACTGAGTAATTGACGAAAACCCAGGCAGTGGACATTCTTCCAAGTCAACAATTTCTGGCTGCGACTCGCCTTGTGCCATTTTATTTATTTATTTATATCACAAGTAACAAAAATAATTAAATCAGTGATTAACAAAATTTAGCTGTCGGCAACCACCAAAAATTGTCAATTTGGCAATGCAGTAGAAAAAGTGTGTGCGTGAAATTATAGATATGCACCCAACAAGCACGTATTACGTTATGACATGCGATTTTAAACAGAATAAATTGATTTAGTGTAGTTTTTTATTAAAAATAACGTTGCCAGCCATACGAAGTGCACATTCAAGATGTGCATGTGGTTCACACGCTTCGGTTTCGCACTCTTCTCAAATCTACACCAGCCCCACGAGCAAACTCATCTCTTGTAACCAAAATCTCATTTTGCCTCATTATCATCTATTTTACATGCGTATGTAGGTAAAATAATTGTCAAAACAGACTTAATTGGAACGCGTGTTTATGAAATATTTATTGAATAAGCAGAGTACTGTAATATTTATACTGTACACTCCTCAAAAATTTTTGGGTATGACCCTGTCTCCCAATTCCTGTAGGTATTTACTTTCCTGGAGGAAATAGGCTTTCTCATCAGGAGTAAGAATTTGCGAAATTTTTACTGTTGGACCAAAATCGGATTCCAAATCCAACCCATCTCCGGAAGACCTTCCCCCATGCAGATATTTTGATGGAAGGTGTAGAACCTCTCCTTTCAAGGTTTTAAGACATCCGGCACAAAGAGACTGTTGCCTCAACCTCTCGACGAATTCCTTCTCTCGGATTACCTCACTTTTCTCCTGAAACAATTTCTGTTCTTTGAGCATGAGAGCTTGTTCCAAGGCGAAGAGACGTTCCTTCAGTTTCGTCTTCTCTCTGGACAAGGTGTGCAGTTTTGATTCAGCCTCGATGGTAATTCCCGATTGTTGATGGCGAATTTGCTCCGCTTGCTATTTACATTTTAAGAAATAAAAATGTACAGTTTTGCATAGTTGAGGATATCAGTTATTGTCATTTTTATGAGTACCCGTTTTATATTTTCAGCCTCTGTGAGCTGTGATTTAGCGTTGGCTTCGACATCTCGAATGCGATTTTTCTCCCGTTCGAGATCCATCTTATCCCTTTCCAGGTTTATCTTCTCCTCGGCCAACTTTCTCCTTTCTACGTTCATCTGAGCGATGGACTCTGACATTGACTTCCGCTCTTCACGAAGCAACTTGATTTCCATTTCATTTTGTACATTTGCCTGAACTGCCTGCATCGTTGAGGCGAGTTGTTGTTGGGACGAGGAGAAGTCGACGGGAGGATTGTTCTTACTAAAGGAATGATTAGATTCGTTGAGGACTTTGAGGAACGTGTTGATATCTCGGACTGACTGAGTGATAGTGCGTTGTTCCAGTTCAACATTAAGTTGCGATCTCTAATAATAAAAAAAATAATGAAACGCGTTCTATTTATAATTCTTGCTAATTCTGATTATCGGTTGTAAATATGTAATTAAGTAAGTGCAAATTTTACATGAATGAGATCATTTTTTCCGTCCAGTTCAGAATATAAATGTCGCAAATCTCTGCGAAGTTCTTTCATATGGAGGGCAGACTTGTCCTTTTTTCGCAAATCTTCATGTCGTGAGTGTTCCATAACTTTGGTAATGGTTGACAGAACTGACTCCTCCATAGAGGTTTTCATTTGGACCTGACTCTTCAATATTTTATCTTCAGATATTCTACTGTAGTCCGAAATACCTGCGTTAGATAATACATAACCCGTTTTGTTGAGTGCATTCATGCTAACAATATTGAAATATTATGTTTATTATGCATTCGAAATTTACCATTTAACTTTTCTAAAATTTCGCCAAACGACTCATGTCGAGCATCGGCACTTTTAAAGTATCTATCAAATTTATCTTCATTGGAGGTTAAATTAGTTTCAAGTGATGAGAAACCCTTTCGAATCATGGTTTCCACATCTTTCCCCATTTCTTGTTGCAGTGATCTCAAAACTTCTGGCACAATAATGGTAGAATTGGGCTGGGAAAAAGTTTTAATGGACTCGAGTTGTGATGTGACCTTCTCCAAGTTTGTTGAAATGTGGGACAACTCTTGATTCACCTGAGAAAAGTTGCCAGTTTCCAGCTCAGCCTGATAAAACACAACGTAATATCAGCTTAATACACACATTAACCTTATCAAAATCAGCAGCATGGACTTGTTATTACTTTCAACTTTTGTATTCTTTGTTCATAATCTTCTTGCATTCTCGCCAGCTCGTCTTTCAACATGTCTTCTTTTCGTTTACTCTGACTTGCAAAAAAGTCCAGTTGTTCCCGATAACTTAATTCCTGAAGCTCTAACTGGTTGGCGTACAATGTTTTAAGACTGGAGCTCATGGCTTTCAGTTCATCCTCGTTGATAAGGTGTGATGGGAGTTGCAGCGTCACACCAACTCGATCCGCAGGATTATTGTCTCCAGACTTTTGCATAGCTGCAGATTTTGTTTTCTTTTTGACGGTCTTTGATGCTAAACCAGGAGCAGGTTGTTCAACAAGTACACTATTCGGGGCGCTATGCATTTCTTCATTTAAAGGTTGTTGCTGCTGCTGCTGATTTCCTAAGAGAAAAGGCAATGCATCCACTAGGGAGACAGCCTTTGGCTTTTGTTGTGCCCCTTGAAACTCCAATGACGACAGAGGCGAATCAGTGGAAGCCAAAGGTCTTGCAGCAGTTGGGGGAGTGAAATTGATTGCTTTCTGATTAGTGGCGTTGCTGAGAGGTTCGAGGAATGTGTCCAACGACGACGATAATGAAACGGTCGGCTTGTTTCTTTGAGTAAGCTGTGGTTCTGATTGCTTATTTGCAGTACTAATTCCTGGTGGAAGTGGAGGTTTGCTAGCATTAATAGAATCTGATTTTCCAAGTTTATTGCTACTCCCTTTATCGGCGTCGGTGTCAAAATTTAAACCAAAATTGTGGTCCATCATAAATACGTCCATGGGGTTAGATTTGGACTGTTGTGGCCTGTTTGATTGCTGAGATAATGCCGATGCTTCCGGTTTTGAAGAGCTAATACCAAGCCAATCATCCTTTAGGTTGGTGTTGCTATTTGTGTTGCGTGACGTTTTAGAAATATTGTCAGGGTCGGTTTGAGGTTCATTGTTTCCTGTAGAATCTCCTGAGAAAAACATGTTATTTAGTAAGTTTGAGGGAGCAAGTTTCTTGAACATTGAGCCCGTTTGAGATTGATCGTCATCACCAGCACCAGCACCATCTTGAAATCGTACAAATTTCGCCTGACTTGTCTGGAAGATTTTGCATGATGGATATTATTGCTAATTTTTCGTACTATACATATTTCACAAAATCATTCATGTTTAAACCTAACCTTTACTTCCGAATTTTTTATTTCTGAGCCTTTGTAGATTGAGACTGCCGGAGTTTTGGCTTTGGCAGGTTTATCATCTAAATCCTATGAGATGTAAATATATCTGTCAGTTTCAAACCAAATACATAAGAATGCATAATCCAAAGCAATGCAAAATCGAATATTACCTGAATAATGCCCTCAATCACGTTATCCAAATCTGAGTCGTTATCGGAGCTCATTTTCAGTATATTCTAATAACACGTTGTTTTGACTCTGGTAACTTTGCAATAAGTAAAACTGTCAAAAACTTGTCACTTTGCTATGCAATAATATATGTTGAATAGAACCCATCAACGTATTTATGATGGATATGCATATGTATGTATCTTCACAATAATAATACAGTTAGAATACATCAAAGGTTTTCATAAAGTTTCACAAATATCAATTTGTAAGCACTCTACTTGTTCCGCTAGCAAAAAGTGTATTGAGTGGTGTGCGTTACACATATCGGTCTGTCTGTTGGCCATTACTAGTGTTTGACATTTTCAACTCCATGGTTGCAATGCAATAAGTACATTAGTTCAGAACCCGGTTCGGTTATTCAGCACAGCCCTTTGTGTGTGTCATATAAGTCTGCTTAGTAAGGATTTCATGCACCACATCGTTAATGTGAATAATCTTGCAAGATGTCTATTATGATGCTAATCGATTGAGGGAGTGTCATGTAAAATTACAAATGAGAACATTTCACATTTTGGTATTTATTAGCAAGTTTACTTGAATTGCGTTTTCAAAAGTGCATATGTAAGGATAATGCTGATGATCTGTTGAAAAGAATCAATGATCATAAATGCAATTTCATAATATGTAAATGTGTACCTACCGAACCAACAGAATTCCAATTTATAGTAACGATTCCCTTTGCAGTCAGTCCCACAGAGTGAAGGCTGAGTTCGTGCAAAAATACATTCAATTTTGTTTCTGGAATCTTTTTGTAATTTTCTTGTTTGCAAATCCAATCTTTAACTTTGTCCATCTACAAGTGAAAATCTTATGTGACATCCAATTGCATAAAAATATTGATATGTTTATTGTGCCTTTTTGTTTGCCCTGGCCCCGATGCAAATTGACGGGAAAAAGTAGAGACACGCAACAATGTATCGAATCCTCACAAATACGTTTTTTGTTTCCGTTCCAAAAACTTCCAAGACTGTTGTAGCAAAGAAGGGCAGGTTTCCAGCGATAAATGCAAATGTCATTGTCCCAATTGCTCTGTTAATGGCTGAGGTGACCTTTTTCAGCCATTTGTACTGTTCCACGACCTGCGAGATTATTATGCATATTATCTGCATCAAAATCTTAGTATTTGCATATGTACATGTGTACCATGTTAGGTTCACTCCCATTTCTCAACGTGATGACGAAGCTGTCCACCAGATTCGTAAGAAATAAAACGCTCATCGTAAACAAAATGTCGCCAAGATCATTGAGAACTTTTTCATACAAGGTGGACCCTATGTTTAAGAATACGAATAGCCAAGGGGCAGCTTCTACAAGGTCTTCACTTTCCAAGAAAATTATTTTGGACTCCTCGGTTCGTCGACGGAAAAACTGAGCAAGATCCCAACCATCATTCTGCAAAACTTCGAGAAACTTGATTACCACTGTGCTCATACATCCCATGAGAATTAGAGTACTCCACAGCCGAGTCTAAATAGGATTTTGCGAAAATTTCATTCAAAGTATTCTATCCTTTAATTAGTTATGCAGATATGTGATACCCGTCGGTATTTTGAAGCGTGGTATCCAAGCAAGGAATTGAATCGTCTGTATCTTGGGAAAATGCTTGCCTCATTGTCCGATTGAAACTGAAATTCTTTGAAAACTTGGAAAACTTTGTGCTTTTGTCGCCCAAAGTGGAGAAATAATATGAGCATGAAAAAGCTGTCGAAAAAGTACACCGCCATGTCGAAATATGCCGTGGGGTTTTCCTTGTTCGTGGTGGTGGCCTTGAGACCTGCGAGAATGCTCGTTGTATTCCACATTGCCCTCAAACGCAGCAAGTAATAGGATCCAAAAATGCCAAAAACTCCGTAATGTAATGCCTATAAATTAAGGTAGATATTCAATGTAATAGCATGTTTACCCTTTGTGAATAATTTGGCGAAATGAAATCTCACAGTTTGGACTTTATTGGTGTGACAGTGGTACGTCCTGCGTTTGCAGTCCCATTCAAATCGAAAGGGGCAGACCAACAAGTAATAGGAAAACTCAAAGTAGCTTTTCCAGAACTGAATTCCTTCATGCTCATCCCCATGGAGGACTTCTTGTCCTAGTTGTCCTGCAGCCATTCCGACACGATTATTTTTAAGGTGGTGGGATTTACTCCAGGTCGACGGGAAGGGGCTCACGACGGCCAAGTAGCTGGGCCTACCTTGGTCATCCATGGTGTCAGAGTTACTTTTAACGCCAAAGCAAGTGCACAATTTGTCCCCATTTAGACTATTTGATTGAGTCGTTGTTACAACAAAACATAATGCACCCCGTCAGTCAAATTTTGTTTTGCATGGCCATTAGGACCCATCTTTATGTAAAAGAGAACTAATAAGTACGGAATACGCAAGAACCTACGTATGCATCAAGCTTGTTGTGTTAGCAAAGTAAGGCAAACAATATTGTCGCCCTCACAATTATGTATAAACGACTGTCAGCTAAAATAATAGCAAATTTTAGCATGCTTTCATCTTTCCACCAACGAAACGAGATGTATAATAGCTTTCTACATATTCATTTACATACATGTGATAGAAATGTAAATGACAGATGACGTACTTATCTACTACATGTCATATTTGTTATGAAACTGCTGACTGAACCAAGAATTAGGAGGGACCCTTGATTTGAATTTGATGGTCACATTGAATTGATGAAAGTAAAATTTCATTAATTAAAATAGAACACGTAGCCACACAACACAAACGCTCTTCGGAGAATGTGGAAGCCCTTAAAAGGGCCGTTAGGTCATAATCGTGAGTTCAAAAGTTGGTCGTCTCGTCAAGGATTAGTTCATAATTGGAGGAGGTGACAGACCATCGATAATTCATTTCTTCTTCTTGGACGGCCCTGCAATTTTGATTTTCTCTCCACTTCCACCCGTAGTTGCAGAGGATGATGACGCTTTCTTAGATTTAGGAGGAAATTTGAACGATCCGCTGGCACCGTTACCCTTTGTCTGGACCAGGTTCCCATCCTCCACGTGCTTCTTCAGGGCCTTCCGGATGTGGGGCGCCATGATCTTCATATCCACATCGAAATTCAAGAGAATGAATTTTTTGATCGCCTGGAGGGAGGATCCTTGTCGCCCGTCGTTCAAACTCTCCACAGCCTCCAACACCATCTTGCTCGAAGTGGGGTGCGATGCCATGTCGAATCAGTTCCGTGCGTAGGGAATCTGGCTGCCTGGTGGATGCGTTCTGTTTGTAGTGGTGTAAGGATTTGGAGGAAGTGGACGAGAACTCTGGTCAGCAGCAGGATTCCAAATGATATGTTTTCTCGGTTTGTCTTCCGTAATGATGACAGTGGTCGAACCTTGTGGGGATCTGTATTTTTCTTCCAGCCAACTAGCTAAACTAAAAAGAACTGGGAAGTAACCATAATCAACGAAGTAATTTACATACAATAGCATAGTATGCTAAAATGTTGTGTATTATAATGCATTGTACGTATTTAGCCTGGATAACAAATGCAATTCCTTTGCAATGCAGATATAATGACATCGCATACTAGCGTATGGACGAAGACATCAGTAAAGAAATGTATTCAAATGAAGTTGGATGATGGATATGGATGCACAATAACAGATTAGTTGCATAATGTAATCAAAGTAAATTTTCATTCGGTTTGCATATCAAGTCACACTATTTATTACGTTTACTTGCACTTAAGCTTTAAAATAAATATAAAAACGCAGCAGAAAATAGGCAGTTTATTCCGGATTCTCAAGCTCCTTCCGCTTTGATTTCTTAGATTTCTTGGGGGCTATCGTTTCTATTTCCTCAGTATCTGCCTGCTTTGATTTCTTAGATTTTTTGGGGACTATCGTTTCAGCTTCCTCTATATCTGTCAGCTTTGATTTCTTAGACTTCTTGGGGGCTATCGTTTCTATTTCCTCAGCATCTGCCTGCTTTGATTTCTTAGATTTCTTGGGGGCTATTGTTTCAGTTTCCTCTGCATCTGCACGCTTTGATTTCTTAGATTTCTTGGGGGCTATCGTTTCTATTTCCTCAGTATCTGCCTGCTTTGATTTCTTGGGGGCTATCGTTTCAGTTTCCTCTGCATCTGCACGCTTTGATTTCTTAGATTTCTTGGGGGCTATCGTTTCTGCTTCGTCAGTAGCCACTCCATTCGCCACCTTGACGTCGACCTTTGTTTTTTCTTCATCTCCTCCACCTCCAGCAGCAGCAGTCCCTGCTGATAATGACGTTGCCTGAGATTTCCATTGTTCCTCTAGCAAATTCCATACATTCTCCAGCGTGTTTGAATCAAATCTGTTCCTGGCAATGTTGTTGATAAAATTCTGCAAGTAATACATCAAGTTTCAGGATTAGCAGCTCGTCATTCATCTTTAATTATCCATTGACAATAATAAATAACAAGTATTACCAAAAACTTTGGTTTTTTTCGAGGCACATTATCATGTTTAGACAGCGTTTGGAGCAGATTCCTCGAGGGGGGATTTAGTTTTCCTCCAGCTTGTTGTAAGGTGGCGTTGACCGTGTCGACCCAAGCTTGCTGCTTCTTTTCCCCCTTCTTGAAATTAGACGGGGCCTTCCAGTCTCCTCCTCCGTACTTTTCAGCCTCAGTGATACATTTTATGTGCCCGTTGTACTCTTTCATACTGAGTTAAATTAAAAGTCCACAAATTAGTCATTTTACTTAAAAAACATTTAAATCAATAATCCATAATTTTACCCGAAATCTTTCTGACAATCCATACAAGACACTGACTGGGTTCGACATTGATAAACGTGTTTATCAACAGAATTTTTCTTTAGAGTTGCTCCACACAAATTACAAGCGAATACTACCATTGTAGATCTTAATTATTGCGATTTCACACTACACACTAAAATAGAAAATATCTGTAAAAACAACACCAACAAAATATGGAGCAAATGCAAAAGCAAAACAGAATTAGGAAATTTCACCCTTTATTAATTTTAATTGAACTTCATGTACGAAAATAAAGTAAAAGTAGCAAACCGTGGAATGTGACAAAATAACTCGTGCTGAGAAGCGTGGATTTTGTTGTTTGTGCCATCAACTTGTCGTCTCACCTCTACCAATTCTGCTGCACAATGTTGTTGAGTTTATTCATCATCTGAAAAATGAGACCATTTGTCTCAATCTGCCTCAATATATACCCTTACGTTTATTAATCTGTCTCAAAGGAGATACAACTTTGATTACATTCCTCAACGTCTTTAGGTAATAATTTAAAATATTATACACTATATTTTGGTTGGTTGCACTATTTTCCTGGCCTTAAAAAATTTTCGAATTTCAAAATACTCTAATACCTGATTCAGGTAACCTGAATACTTCAATACCCAAATATCTCGGAATGGGGCACACAAAATGAAAATGACCTAGTTCTAACAGCAAAAATAAAGTAGATTTTTTCTGCCCTAATTTTGGTAATATTTAAAACAGTAGAGGAATGGGTGAAAGACTCGTTTCCCATTGCACGTAACGCTGAGATTTGTGAAAGTGGCGCTAGTAAAAATGAATTAGAGAACTAATAATGCCCTGTACAAATTTCTAATTTACTAAACATTTATAAATCACAATTCTCTTTTATAGTCAGGGTTGTTATCTTGATCCCACAGGAAATGTTGATATTTGTTTTGATGAAGAAGGAATAGAAATTAACTAGAACAGAGTTTAAATGCGTTTGATAATCTCATATTGTATACATGTAAATCCTTGCCATAAAATTATAGCTGCATGGTATAGAAATACCAATATTAAATAATCCTAATAAACAACAATTTTAATAATATTTTATCTTAAACAAAAAGTAAACTTTACAGTATATACAGTTTAAAATAACAATTCCTGCAACCTATTTGCCAGGAGAACTGTACCCACGATTCCAGGGTTGTTCTGTTGCTGATGCAAATACGCAATAAAATATTACATCGAAGACATAAACTGCTGCGGCGATAAGGAAAACCCAGTGCCAATTTTCCAAAGATGACTAGAAAATGTAATAAAGACCCAAATCAATATATGTAATTATTGATCATTTATGAACTAAACAATTACATCTTTGTCGAGAAGTAGGCCGGCGACAATTGGAACACAGAATCCAGCAAAATTGGCAAACGTGTGTGTAATTCCGCTCAGTACGTGGGCGTGGTTTCGGGCAATGTCAACATGCTGGAAAAGAATTAGAGAACATACTTACATATTAATCAATACTTGCAAAAATTTAAAAATGAAATTCATACGTTGACGACGTAACCCCCGTAAATTGCTCCATTAATTGCGACCGATAGTGTCAGTAGTGAAACAGTTGCCCCCCTGCTGCACCCCGTGTAGACCGCACCAATCAATAAGATTGCCGACCCCAAGTGAGCTACATAAATATATTAGTAAACATTATTTCTCATTCGTATGAAATAAAAAATGCATCATTTTTTTCCATACCAATGCTCTGACAAGACTTTCTAACGATGACCGTTCTAAGGACTTTCTTTGAGATCAATACATCAGCAATCTGGGTCTAAAAGGAATTGCGTTTCGTAAAAAAAATTATGTTCAATAATTGTACATAATTTTTTGCTTGCATTAAATGAGTCTTTTACGTACCAGGAAGATGGATGCAATCCACATGAGAATGTAAGGAAGTGCAGATAACCAACTGTTCTGTGGTTGAGGATGACAAAATATGTCAGGTATAGGAAATGCATATTTTGAAAACTTTTGCCATAATTAAATAGTTGCATGCTTACCTGCTTAATATCGAAATTAAGTACAGATTTCAGGTAACTTGGTAGTAGATGGAGTAGAGTGTATAATCCCCAACCTTGGAAAAAAATTATGCATGAAGGCGCATACATTATAGTGAAAGCATTTTTCTAAGGGAAATTGAATTGTTTTAATTACCGTGGCCAAAGTGGCTAATTAGGCACAATCGAACGTTGTTAATACAGTTTCATGTAGCGAATTCCCACAGGTGAATTTATTTATTTTCAAAGGAAGAAGTAAAAATTTAGATTATGACCAGACTTATTTAACGGGGTTGTTATCATATGCATGCTTCTTACCCAATCATGATAGCCTGAAATCGAAATGAAAAATTATTGAAAAACAACTACAGAAATCTTACTAATTCCAAAATTAAAGAACCCTCAACCAGCTTACCCAAAACGGCATTGATTTGAAAATAGCTTTCCATGGGGTAGGAACTTTAACCTTCATGTCAAGATGGCACAATTTACATAAACTTATTTTTGACACATATGCAAGTCTGCAATTTAGATTGAAGGCTACCTTGCCAGAAGATTGACTGCCAATAGATTTCTCAATAAAGTTGAGCTCATCGACGGAAATTCTTGGATGACCAGCAGGCGTGTCAAATACAAAGAGAGACCAGAGAACGAACCTACAACAAATGAAACGAACATTAGAATATAAGAACGTAAGACGAACCCTTTGTGAAGAACGAACCATAAAATTGTCAGTCCACCAGTTATATAAAATACGGCTGGCCAACCACCCAAAATATTCCCATGAATCAAATAACCACTCATAATCATGGTAGCAGCAGTTCCAAACTGAGCACCTTGATTTTTTAAACAACACAAATTATAGGTCAAATATGACGAATTCTATTTTTCGAAATGTCATCTCTCACCCGCATAAACGACACTTGCCAGTCTGCTTTTTTCGTCAGGTGGGGCCTGTAGAATATCAAAATACTTAAGTACCCCGTACTAGTCAGGATTTAATCCACTATTAAATTTTATATCAATTAAAAGTCTTACCCATGCTGCCAATATGCCATGCATACAAGGAAATGCAAAACCCTGTACATTGTAAATATGGAGATACTCGGATTATTTTTCTATCTGTAATTAGAGAATCCTAAATAATATCAACAATATTTCTACCTCTCCAAGTCCACATACAACGCGAGCGATGCACAATAAGTATTTGTGAGTGCGTGCTGCCATAGGGGTCAAAAAGGTCGCAACCCCTGCCACCAAGAGCCCCACTCCCATCGGCCATTTTCCACCTATGCGATGGGCAAGCAGGCCTCCTGGCATTTGCGTTACCACATATCCTAAAAAGATACAGTACTAAAATATGAACATGCTGAACATGGGTAACGCGTATACATAAATAGTCGGTAAAAAGTACCCCAGAAAAATGAGCTCAAGATGACTCCTACAATCAACAAATTCAAAATATTTAAGTAAGATGCATATTCTATAATACGGTAGAATCCGAATCTATTTGCCTTGTTCGACCGTCCCCCAATTGAATTCTCCGTCTTCTGCTTCAATTATTGTCCCGTTTTCATTGTATACTTGATCAGCCTTTAGATGAGAGCAGGTGAGAGATTCGCCACTCATGTTAAGTGGTGACTCTGAATTTGTGAGGGCTTTCTGTTCATTGATATATGTCTGATTAACCATTGAAACAATGGCAATCGAAATGTTAAATCTCATAGCGTAAGACATTGCAAACGCCCAAAATCCCAGAATTGCCATATTGTGTCTTGTTCCCCATCCTAAAAATTTCGAATTTCGAATCGTTATGCAAAATTTTCGCATCCAACCTATATTAGTTTATATACGTGTGTACCTCCAGGTTTCTTGATAATATTAGTTCTTTCATCCTCTTCATCCATCTCTCCTTAATGAAGTGATTGAGATTCACTGTTGAAAAATATCCTCCATTTTAGCCTCGTTCATAATAATATGCCCTATAATCGCTACAATGTACTTTCAAAAACTAATTCTTTATCTTGTATGAACGCGTGAACAGAATAAAAGCCGGCACATACAAAGTGCCACAGCGTGGACGATTGATAACATTAGCGGAATCCCATATCATGGAAAATATATGTAAGCTTGAGACTCTACACTCGACCTGATCCGAGTTGAATTCGCAATTTCTCAATGAACTCTCACTCGCATGCAATCCTAATGCCCGGCTCTCATCTCATCTCGACTGAAAAAGGACTCAAGCAAATAATGTAGAAAAACGAACCGAGCGCAGGTTGGACGAAAACCGGGATGAATCCTCAGACAGACAGGCTCTTTTATTTTAGGGAAGTCCCCGAACCCCTCTTTCAGCAAGTTTGGATATATGAGCTCCACAACCGCAGGCTGACCTTGCCCTTGTACTTGAACACCACTTGGAGGAGATCAGGATGAATTTGTGTGGGTACTCGTCCTATGGTTTCAGGTCTCAGCCACCTCGTGTCGTCCTCGAGCTGTGACGACCAACGTAACGACCAATTCACCGGAGAAGCCGAATACGGGTGAGTGAAATCGACAAATTTTTGTACTCAATGACGATACTGCTTCTTCGTTCTCTAAGCGAATGCAACAATACGAACCCAGAGATTCACTCCTCAGTCAGGGAGTTCAGAATAAATTCTGCTTCTCTCGTTTTTCAAATACTTTGCAACGTTGGGGTAGGAATGCAACAGGGTGTGCGAATAATAATACGACTTGGTAATACTGACGGATTATATTATGCGAATCGTATACGTTCCTGTACATGTGCATATATATAGTGCTGTACAGATCCTTCTCTCGCAGCCTTTCTCACCCGACTGACTTCCTTTTCATGGAACGGAGGCTTCAAATACTTATAAGCAAGGCGACGACCACGCTTTTCCTCCGCAAAAGTGATGCTAAAACCCATTTCATTGAAAACGTCAAATTCATCATTAGAGAGCCTATAGTTGAGTTCTGCCTTCTTTTTCGAATCCAGGATTGACGACATTTCCAGGCGACTGATTGGGTCGTCGAGCAAGCAATTTTTGCTTGCAATTATTTATATTTCCAAACACAAATTGCAATTGTTAGCGTGTATATGTCTCTTATTTTCTTGCTTTTAAGAATAATTAATTAACCAGCGCAATGTCTCTGACGGAGTACTGGGAATCGTAGGCATAATGAGCAAGGAAAGCAAGTTAGGTAAGACGAACCTCCTCAGTCTCTGTAAGCGTATAGTTTTATTTATCCATATAAACAGCCTGCTTCGTTAGTAATTAATTTTGGTGTCTTTGAGAATATTGGAATCAAACCGAATCTGCCGAATGACGTACGTTGTTATCCAACATCATCCCTCCGTGTTTTACAAACGCCTTCGAGATTTCGTCTAAATTATATGTATGGCAAATAAGCGTTAATGATAAATATGCCAATGTGTATGCTTTTGAAAATGCGTCAAACAATGTTCAACTTCAGACTTGGTGTTTGGTACGCCATTTATAGCTGCAACTATTTTTAGTCTTATTTAGCAGCTATGCCTGTGAGAGTATTTAAAAAAAATAATAGTCAAGCAATTTTGAATAATCATGTTTTTTTATAAAGTGTTCGTATGTGTACCCTTATTTTTAATTTGGGTCATTTGCTGGTATTTCCAGCGGAGTTTTTTTTCTTTTTTTATTCATATAGTATTTACATACATAGATAAAAATGGGTCGTACTATCGAGAACACGCGATAAATTATTCTATGCAATGCTAAAATTTCCAGTGACATGCAAACCTGTCCATCTTAGCATGTCTTTCACTGGGCCAAATTTCCTTACTCATCATAATACAGTCATACCTACATACACAGTAGATATTCCATTATGCAGGTAAAACTCTACGTACAACCAAGTTGATAAATGCTTAATAAGTAAGAGTTTTAGATTTGTTTCAGAAATTCCATACTTGAAATGAGAAATGTGTATCACGCATAAAGTCATTTGTCGTGAGTCATTTTTAATGACCGTATTTAATTGCACCCCAGTCTCCATTTTTCAGCATCTTTCATGCTAAAGGTTTCGATAATAATCTTTAATCTCTTCCCCAAATGCACAACGGACAATTATGATAAAGACAGACTGCACGCGTTTGTTGAGCATAAGGAAGATCCGAAATGGTAGACATGAATTATATGAACTATTTCCTGCCAGTAAAAACGTGTAATGGCGAACTCACATTTATACGAAAATATTTACATATTTCCACTCCACTCATAACTATTGTCCTCATGTTACATATTGAGCCTCTAGTCCATACATGCTATCCTGTGCTACCTCTTGTCCTTCTCTAAATACATACGAATATGACTCAACGTAATTCAAAGAAACTTCAAAGAAAGGCAGTGGGTATATATTGCTTTTATTAAACGTTCTAAGGTTACAACACCTATTTATCGCATTGCATAAATTTTAATTTTAATTTTAATTGATGTCTTTCAGACAAGTAAAATATTGAATTATGGAAGTTTGCTACAATGCAGTTACATCAGTAATAGTTCATAAGCCACACATGTGTCATGATTTCTCCGATTCTCGCTTTTAATGTCTTTACAAATATCAAATTGCGAAGTAAGTATTCATCATCGTTATCGTTCGTGGTAACAATAACTGTCGTCCCATATGTCAACATTACCACGTTTTAGTCCAACTTGTACATTATTATCATTTATCGATAGCTCAACCGATAAACATCCATTTTTACTGTGTTCATAACAAAGCGTAGTAAACTTAAATCCCCATGCTGTATGTGCTGGACAAATTTATTACATACGTATGCTCTTCCCTGCATTGCATGAATATTACATAATAATAATTCTCTTCATTTATAAAATGTTCTTTGTGCCATAAGACATTTGAACGCTATTTTGTGTTATTTTTACAGTTCAGATTGATTTACATTAATTCCAAGAAAACTGTAATGTCAAAACCGATGGTACTTTCTATTGTAAATATAAAAGTGCAGAATCTGCCAAAATACGCAAAAAAAGATGGACCATACTTATGTTGCGAATTTTCAAGAAAATAGAAGTGAGTCCGAAGCACCAGTCTGAATGTATGGCAAATGTCAGCGAAAATGAGACCAAGTCAAGAATTTATTACCATTGTCTAACAACAAGAAATAAAGTACGGACAAATCAAATAAAAATCAGGTATGAAGGTCATTTGCTAATGTTCAACCTTAGCCTGGAGTCACACCCTAAGTTATACACAATAGAGATGAACTTTATGATGACGTATTACTAAATACACAATTACTTGGTTAGTCGTACATACATATGGCACATTTTTTTGCATTTCACTGTTAACTTCGAGTGTCTCAAGCTAATACACCGTGACAAATTAGTACGACTCTTCTCATAATATGATACAGTTGAGATCAGAATCAACCGGAACATGTCGCAATAATATACTTAACAACGTCGTAGTATAACATATAGAAATAACCCTCTGCATATATTTAGACTGCTACTATTCTTCCAGTCTTTGATGTGCACATTATATAATTTCAAACAAGGACGACTTATGTTTCAGCACGATTTCAAAGAGTTTTGCCGAGTTGTCTGAAATATGTAAAGTGCATCAAATGAGATAAATCGGTCAAGAGTCGGCCTATGTTCATACATGAAATGCATGCATGTGATTTCATTAATGCTATCGATCCTGTTCAAGATATGCCAAAATAGGATGGTTGTCATAATTTAAAAACACATGTATTTGACACTGTACCAGATCCGTTTCCATCAATGTTAAATAGTTGCTAGATATGGTACCAAATACACTTTGAATACCTAAAAACACAATTGCAACCCAAAATATGTAACGGCATCGAAAAAGTTCTATTGAAATATTAGATTTAGTATAAATTACTTCCAGGATTTATGTCTTAGCTTTCAATAAAATAAATTACTTCATAAGGAATCGAATTTCCGAGTCTCGTTGATGACATTGTTGTGGTTTTATTTAAATAAGCATTAATATACTTCAGTTGTTGGAATTATGCCAATTAATTCTTGATGTGCAATGTTCCCATAAGTAAATATTAACGATTGCCCGATGATTTGCTCTGTACGTATTGATGATTTGCAAATAGTTTTTCATGCAACATAATTATGCGTACACATTAATTAAGGATAACTTTCCCTCCATCCCTTCGTTTCTTGCCCAGAATTTTCAATATTTATTTAGGAATTATACACAACTAACTTGAATATATAACCTATGTATGCATATAATACATATAAGTATAACAAGTCAAGTTATACATACATATAACTATGCATAACCAAGTAGCACTGTACTTATGTATGAACCTTTATGCTTAATTTTGATGATTTTTTTTTCATTTCCCGTGTGCTTTATGTGGAGCGGATCCAGAGTTTATAGGTTTATTAGAGAGGAAAGGGCTTCAGTGAACCATGTTGAGTGATCAAAATTGACTGTGCAATTATTCTTGAACATTTCATGAATAATTTTCCATAATTTAATTTTCATGTACATATATGTATCGAATGCAATTTAGGCAGAAAGTGAATATATACATACACTTAGGATTAATAGCAAATTCTATACAGATATTTCAGATAAATCGTGGCAGAAAGAACACCAGCAAAATGCAATGTCCATTGTCCAGTCTACGAACGACTGTATGGATATTAAATTAAAAAATATAACTATTATGTATAAACTATTGTACTAATCCTAAGCTTGGTATTCTATGTATGCTAAGTCCGAATATATTACATGTAAAAACGTTCTGCATAACCCCCTGTCCGATGAAACGTTGCATAAAAATTCTCACGTAATCTTTCTATGAATTTTGAACCAAACTTTAGTAATTGGCTATGTATATACAATTCATAGTAGAAATTTCCCTAAAAAAGTCGGATTTTATAAAAGGTCGAGAATTTCCACCGTGAAAATTTTGGTTCGATGTGGCGCATGATGTGATTGATTCGCAAACAAAGTTTATGTGAGAGAGATCACGTAGAGCTTATCGCATGTTAAGCACTATCATTTATTTATAGCACCATCTCGTGTAACGGCCCTTCAACAATACGCATTACTTTCCATCATCATCATCACAAATACGTAAATACAACCAAGTGAAAGTGCATCCAGGTGTATCACCCTAAAATGGACGACCTACATCTGTGATGAAGGAGTAGGTGGGGGGACATTCTGTTGCCGTCTAGTAACAATTTTCTTGATCACTTCTTCCGACGAAGAGCTTGAAGTTCCGGAGTTTGGTTTGGCATTATTTGTACGTGGATGTTGCTTCCTTATGACCCTTCTGACCACCTCTGTCGAATTCGAAGAGGAGGAGCTCTCGGAAATAGAGTGCGTGGGATAAAACTGTGCTGGATCTTTATGGCGCTTCACAACTTTCTTAACCACCTCTTCGTCTGAAGTGGTTGATTTTGATTGTTGAGTTTCTCCCGTCACATTGCTACTGGGTTGCACCCGACGCACTTTTTTGATCACCACTTCTTCTGAACTTGAACTTGGCGTTAAAATTGTTGGTCCAGACGGCGTTTGATTATGCAAGTGCTTAAGTCCTACAGGAGTTGAACTTGAGCTACTGGGCGGTGCTACCCTTCTTTTCGGGGGTTCAACGATTTGAACTTTTTTGACTACATCTGAATGATTATTATTAAATAAAAATCTGATATGAAGAAATTATCTAGAGTAATTTGTCGTCTTTGTCGTTTCAATATTGCTCACCTTCAGAAGAACTACTTGAAGAGGACACATGCTTAGGCGGCTCTTGTGGAGGATCTATTTGCATCCATGAAAATATTGCAAACATACAGACATCACAGAGCACAGAATTTAATCTAAGTATGTATGAGAAGTATATATGTTGGAAAATTTACCATCCTTAATAATTGGTGCAACTTTTTTAGGACTGCTGCTGCTGCTACTACTAATTATCGGCGTTGGTGCTGCACATAAAATCATAACCCATGCATGAAAACTAGATGCAGACAATGGAAGAAAGCACACGAGAAATTTACTTACGAGGTTGTGGAGGTTTATCATCAGTGACAATGGGAGGCGGTGGTGGCGGTGGTGGTGGAGGTGGCGGAGACGAACTGGAACTACTGCTAACGCTACGTGGTTTTGGGGGCGACGGAATTTCTTCTGGTTCAGGAAGAGGTTTAGGAGGTGGTGATTTCGAACTACTTCTGCTACTACTCAGACTGCTGATACTGCTACTACTGCTGCTTTCTTTTGGAGGTGATTGTTTTTTCGGGGGTGGGCTACTACTGCTGTAACTACTACTGCTACTGCTACTAATAATTTTCTTGGTGGGTGGCGGGCGTCGAATTGGTGTGGATGAAGAAGAAGATGAGCTAGAAACGGATTGTTGAATGTACCTTTTCATCATCAACTTTTTCGTACGCTCTGTGTCCTCAGATTCTCGACTTGGTCTATAATTCGGACGAACAATATAATAATAAATTTTACTTCCATAAACGCATAAGAGCTTTATCTACCAAACTGACGTTCGTTTTACTCGCTTTGCTGGACGACGCTCCTCCAAGAAGGAGCGAATCTTATACTTTTCTGCTAAGTACTCTCGATTTATGGGGTCCGTTCCACAATTAATTCTCGGATTCGTGCGATTCTCTCGGAATGGGTCTCCGTACGAGTCCTTGCCTCGAGCAGCCCTGTAATACGAGCGTGGATTTGGACATATCATGATTGGCGGTGGAGGTCCTTCCCCAGCAGGGCAGCAGAAAGAGGGATTGCAGTATGGATAACATGGCTGTGGTGGCCAACAAGGGTCAAACTGAGGAGGTGGTGATTGGTGTTGTGGTTGTTGCGATTCCACGATTGGTCTCACATACCGAATACAAGCAATTCTTCGATAATTTCCGGTCCCTGCCTTGGACTCCCCAGTGCTTGTGGTCGTATCTTTCGAGTAGGAATAGTTGTAATAATCTGCCGATGTGCCTGCTTTTGAACCAGATGCGTACTTGTCCCCCGAGGACCCATCTTTTCCTCTGCTTCTCTTGCTCTTGGATTTAGATTTCGACGCGTAACCCGAGCCGTAAGAAGACATTTAAATAGTTGTATATATGTAGATGTATTACTGTGCCATCTTGTTTGTCATAATTATTAGTAAGAATTTAGTCACTGAGAATTTTTTCATAACGTATGAATTTTTATGTACTGTAGCATCAAAATTTATTCAACATGAAAGAAAGCATGAAATACTTTTGCTGAGCAACAGGTTCAATATTTCTCGGAGATTTTGTGAAAATGTTCTCGCTGCAAATTTTTAACTGGCGACAAAATAGACTTTCTCTTCCCTGTGAGAAGTGAGTGGGTGTGAGTGAGTGAACAGTTTAGTCACTTGCAGGGAAACAAAGTGAGAGGAGCCAGACTCTGCTTTTACTCGAATAATAATCAAGTTTAATCGTGATATTCGAGATCATCCATCATCATTATGGTTAGTCGACGAATTCAACTGGTAAGTACTAATTACAAATTAATTATAAATTAGTTCGTGGTAGAAATAAAATCAATCGAGTAGATTATTATATTAATCAGTACATCCGTCGGTCGATTAATTAAACGTTCAACGAAATAATACACTGTAACTTAATTGTCCTCAGGAACTTAAGGAAATGCAGACGGCTAAGGTCGATGGATTCGACAACTTGAAAGTGGACGACGCCAAAATGAATGTGTGGGAAGGAATTATTGTTCCGGTAAGGATTCAAGAATATTTAATGTTTTACGTTCAATCAGGCATAAAATAAAAGGTAAAGTTCTATTTACTTTACAGTCCAATGCACCCTACAATAAGGGAGCTTTCCGAGTGGAAATAACGTTTCCAGATGGTTACCCCTTTAAACCCCCTTCAGTTGTTTTCAAGACCAAAATCTACCACCCCAACGTGGACGAGAAAGGTGTCGTTTGTTTGAACGTCATTAACAATGAAAATTGTAAGATTTGTGTTTGTTATTTTCAATTCCTCCCAAATTGACTTGACCGATAAACATGTACATAAACATTAAATGCATTTACTTGAAAATTTATAGGGAAACCCGCAACCAAGATTTCTCAAGGTGTATTTATTGATTTATAAGTCAATCATTCCGAGCCTTTATTAAATTAATGATTTATTTATCTAATCAACTGTAATTTTCTTTCAGTCATTCAAGCTCTCGTAGCCCTCGTGAATAATCCAGAACCGGAACATGCTCTTCGTGCCGACTTGGCAGAATTGTTCCAAAACGACATTTCAAAATTCAAGAAATCTGCTGAAGACTTCACCAAAAAACATGCAGAGAAGCGTCCCACAAAGTAAACATGTCAACTATCCTGCCAATATCTCAAATTTCCTATTTAATGTTTAAATTACTTCACGTGTACGTAACTATTGTTCGTACAGAGAAAATTGTCGAGTTGATATGAACTTTTAGAAACTTAATACACTTCATTCCAAAATTCAAACACTTCCAAAGAATTACATGCCATTCCTTCTACAATAATGGGGTCATTATTATTATTATTGTTATTAACGGTAATTATTATTTCATGGAAAAGTTTAGAACAAATTCATAGTCAACATAGATAAATAAGGATGATGACTAATCCTCCTAAACGAATAATTTGTAAACTCCACCCACCGTTTTCCGTTTTATTGAACTCTTCAAGCCGATGGCGTTGACTGGCAGGCGTGTTGGGGATTCTTCTTGGAGGAAAAGTGGTCGTGGGGTCGGGGGCGAGAACAGTGGATGAGCGTGAGGTGCACACAAATTCTCGTTTTGGGCATGGTCACCAGAAATTGGAGCAACCTTGCAGGAAATCTGGGCCCTATTTCCCTATCCTTCTCTCTCCTAATAATAATCCATATATATATAATTTTGGAAGGGCCTGTTGCAGGATCATACAAATATAGGATCTGGATGGTGCCACATACACTATTATTATATGGGTGGTGGATGACAATACCTACCTATATCAACTTATTGCCACTAACTGTTACCACTACCAAACTTATCATAAGGCGAGAGAGTTAATACTGTGTTTTGTTTGTCGCTATATTACAATAATTTAACTAACTACTAACCTATCCACTTCCTTGGGTATTAAATGTAGGCCTCCATAATACATAGAAAAAAATTTGTTTGTGAGCAGGTACGTGAATTGAATTAAATCAAGCAACAGCTACCCAACGAGGAAGGGAGAGACAAGAATGACATCATCATTAACTTAATCATTCTAACTAACATTACTACTGCCAATATTACGATATATATATCATATATTCTTCATCAATCATCAAGTAAATATAATATCCCCACCAAGGGCTTTCGCTGGCCACAAAGGAGAACTTTGCTTTTAACCGGAAACGAGTTAGCAGTTCAAAGTGAATTAGTATAAACCCAGTGTAAAGACTAGACTATTATATCAAGTGTGTAAAAGAAGAATAATCATTATTAGTTATCACAATTATCGGTCAAGTGTCATCTAATCATCATCTCATCTACATATTGCACTACCGACCGACTCGACTCCAGATTTTATCTTTTATAAAAACGGTTCCAACTCAGCTTTACTAAACAAGCCACCAACCAATTCCACAATTGGATTTAAATATCAGTCAGTATCAAAGTGAAGTAGTTGTTCGTATAATCTCAGCAACCTTAGCCCACACAAAGCATACGTAATACAGCATGCACATTTGACAACATAAAACTATCTTGCCCAGTTTAAGTACGAGACATTCTTGGAAAATTAGCAGTCTCAACGGTCTTCATTCTTCAACCAATCTCTCACGAAACCCGAAAGCATATTATTTATTACGTACGACTGGATAGAAGAGTGGGCCGCGTTTTTATTTATTCCATATGAACACAGGCAGCAGCTGAAAAAACCGAACAATCTCCAATTTCTCTCGAATGAAAATAGTTTGGATAAGATTAAGTAATTTTAATTGATTGAGGGTGGTCGTAAGTTATCGACGTTCGTACATTTTGTGGTGCCATGCGCTTGCACCTCTTCACATGCTGATCAACCTCAAGGAAGAAGGAGGAAACCAGAAGTGTTGGCGACGAGGGAGGTGTAGAGAAGTAAAGGTGACGAAATGGTTAACGACTCTCCAACCGTTCTCGAACGAGAACGGTATCACGACGACCGCCATCACCATCATCGCCAATTCCCAAGGAAATTGTGCGACATGGATAGGGACAAGCAGCAGCGAAACGGTGTAATTTTCTCCAACGGACATGGCGACAGAAATCTTCGCCTGGTCGACGACAAAGTAATTACCAGTAAGGATAAGGATAAGGATAAAGAAGAGAAAGTGACGACAACAGAGACGACGACAAATGGGCACGAGACATGCTCAAACGGCAGCAAGGACGACGAGCTGACAAAATTGAGCTCAGAGGACTCTAGTAATGGTTCATCGTTGGTTGCTCATCGCCAGAAATCTGCAACCTTGACGCCCAGCAGTACTGGTGGGAGTGGTGAGAGCAATGGTGATAGTAGCTTTAAACGCTTCTCTCCTGCTTCCTCTGGGAGTCAAAATGCTTTCATGTACAATGCGAGGAACAATTTACGCCGGTCCTTTACTCTGCCAAGAGGCCTTCTGCTCAGGAAGAGTGGACAAACGGGTCCAGCCTCGGAAAACCAGAATGGAAACTTTGTTCGAAACATATTCTTGACACTTGTACGAAGTAAAAGTGTACGGAAGAAATCTCAAGTGGTGCAGCAACAACAAGTCGAAGCGATCGACCTGGTTTCTGAAACTCAAGATCCGCCCAGCAAACTCCATGGTATGTATGCGATGGTGGTGCATATACATACATTACTTTATCCAGTAATTTAATGGACGCAGGCAATTTAATTATTATTTCGGTATATCTAGGACTTCCTCCAGGCTTTATCCCTGCTGCTGTCGGACTAAAGAACCAAGGGAATACATGCTTCATGAACAGCATAGTTCAATGTCTCTCTCATACCGACTCGTTAGCAAGGTACCTCGTTGCAGACAATTACAAAATTGACCTCAGGAAGAAACATTGGATTAAAAATGGAAAGGTAACAAAGAGTGCACATATTATTATCATTTTATTGACTCCTGAAAGATAAATTGACCTTTTAAGCATTTTGACCATGTATGTCATGGCGAACTATTTTACATGAAGTGCTGGGTGAAAAGACAACAATTAAACGAACCGTCCTTAGTTACATATATCAATTTTTGCAAAATTTATTAAGTAATTATTAGCGACTTTTAATCGGATCCCAAAGTTAAAATATTCGGATTACATCGCAAGACCAACTTTTTTTCGAGTTTTGATCGTGATTTTTAGCCCGAGTCAGGGCTTATGGAACCATCATGTCCGTCCGTCCGTCCTACGATAACTCTCGGTAAACTCATCTTATCGACTTGAAATTTGGTACACATGTAGTATGGGTCAAATGAGGAGTTAAGTTCGAAGATGGGCGAAATCGGTCAAGTGGTTGACCAGTGGGGGTCATATAGGTGGATGGGGTATTATGCATCAAAATTTCAAAATCGTCATAGAAGGCAGAAATTTGGCACTGAGGTTGCTAATGGTGTTTAATGAAAGAGTATGAATTCAAGTTGGAAAAAATTTAATTTTGAAAGACCCGAGGGTGTGACCCATACTGATTTGTCAAAATCGTCATATCGAGTTGAAATTTGGTAGACAGGTTGCGTATGGGGTTTAAGCAAGAACATGAAATGAAATTGGTCAAATTTTTTATCTGGAGGGACTCGAGAGGGTGACCCATACCGATTTTTGAAAATCATTTAATTGAACTGAAATTAAGCTGAAAAGGAACGCAAAAAGGCAAAAAGGCTGACTTTTTGCACACACTGGTCACCCCCACTGGTTTAGAAAACGGGCGTAGACGACTAAAAGTTGGCCTGATCCTGCAGGGTTAGATCAGCTTAATAAATGTGAAGCAAATTTCAGATTTTTTTGCCAGGAGGACCCAGTGGGGTTTTTGGAATTGGTTAAAGAAGCTGCAATTTTGCAGCGACGATTAAGAATAATTCGCAATCGTCAAAAATTTTCCCATAATGACCGGTACCAACTATTAGTAGTTGGTACCGGTCACTTGACAAACATTTAGAAGTGGACTCTGTCCCTGACTCGGGCTATATAAACACTGCACACTGTAGGTTTTTTAAATGAGTTCTAGTCTAGTACGGTTATTTCGCATTTTAAAGGCAAGTTTTACCAAATAGCATTATATAGGGGCTGACTTATGCACTATAAGGCATATGCTATGTATTTAAAATAAGCAGTAAGATTACAGCCCAGTTGATTCAGATAAGACGATTTATTATTTGTAGAGCGAGGTTACAGAAGAGTTGGCATCAATCTTGAAGAATATGTGGCTTCGACAAAATGTGACCGTTCTTGAAGATGGGGTTACGAGATTTAAATCAGCTGTGGAAAAGGGGGCAACTCAATGGCGAGGTTCAGAGCAGCATGACGCCCAAGAATTTTTCCTATGGTAAAGGATAATATAACATTCCATTATTTATTACAGATAATAACATGTCCATTGTTTATTATTATTATAGGTTATTAGATAAACTTCATGAAGGTGGGCTATTATTAGTTTACATTTATTTATAAGAGACATGAACATACTTCATAATTCTAAATAATTGCTCATATTTATTATTTATTTAGATTTGAATCAAGCTTCTTCCAATAAATATAAACAGTTAAAGGTACATTGGTTTCTTATTAGTCATGTTAGTATTAAATATTGTTAAAGGCGTAAAATTGTAAAATTCCTTGTACGCTGTTGCAGAATAATTTTGGACGACCAGAAGAGCAGGTTGCGGCTGAAGCCCTCGCAAATCATCTTCGATGCAATAATTCCATTATTCAGGACATTTTTGGGGCTCATTTCCGTTCAAGTCTAACTTGTCCTGGATGTGGAAAGCAATCAGCAACATTTGACCCGTTCCTTTCCGTTTCGCTGCCCATCCCTCAAGCAAAACACGAAGTTCCCGTGTAAGAGGCTACTATTTCTTTTAATAATTTGTATGTTTTTTTCTGCTTTCTTTACCCACTCGATTCTTGATTTGCCTCGCATGAGCCACGAACCGGGAAGGGGCAGTCGCACATGTTGGTTGTCCCCTAACTATATATGATACAGTTTGGTTGTTTAGTAGTGATCGTGGTGGGAGAAAGGTAGAGAGGCAGCAACCTTTTTCTATTAATAAAAAATAAGTAATGGATAAGTCAGGTAGTAAACGAAGTCATTTAGGAAAAATAACGAATACAAAGGCAGGTCCTCCATGATGGAGGCTCCATCAAAAACTGATAGTGAAATAGTAAGTGAAATTTTTGACAAAGACAAATCCAAATTTAGCTGGAAAGGACAATACAGAGTTCAGCTGTGGTTAAATAAAACGGATGAAAATAAACTTTCTCTACGTGTTACGACACTATCAGGAAGCAGCAGATCAAAAGTGTGTGACACATATATATTAATTAGTAAAAATCCAGAAGTGTACTCTTACAAACACGACTTTAATTATAAATTCGTTTTGTTGTACGAGGTCACTTTCTCAGAAACCACTGAAAGTGAGCCAGGTGCTGCCACAATTGCTGCTGAAGCAATTAGTTACCTCATTTCAAGACTGATAAAGTGCCAATATTCACGTGATCCAAAGCGTTATCTTAATTTATATGAAGATAGCTTAAACACTGAAGTTTCTGTTCATGCACAGCACTGGGGATCGTTAGAAAACGCGAAAAGCGTCGCTGTTAAGTTGTTAGATAGTGACTGTTTCGACATCAAAATTGACGGGGAGTTGGACCCATTATTTGATAACCTCACCATTAAGTACCATAAATTTTATAATGTAGAGTGCACACGTGAATCATTAAAAAAATTTAGTCAAAACCATGCAACCGTTCCGCAATCTCCCAAAACCCAGACTCATGTCGACCGTCTAAGTGACGAAGAATACAATTGTCGAATTTGCAAAATACTTTTTATCAATCATTCGTCTGTGAATATACACATGCAGAGAAAGCATCCAGAACTTGGACAACTTAAGTGCAAAATATGTTCTTTCCAAACACATCTATCAGCACTCATGGAAAAACACAAAAAATCACATGAAGACGGATTTGATTGTCCAACCTGTCATTTTCCTTTCTCCATAAAGGCATCCTTGCAGACGCACATCCGATCGGGCAGATGTACAGCTCGCTAGATATTTGGTTAAATTTTTAATTGTTTAGAAATGAAATTTTGTTGGGTGATAAAAGTTATTAGATGATTGACTGATTGATTCTCTTTTTCAATTTGCAGGTACGTCAATATCATTTATCTTTCTCAACAACCTCGACAGGTAAAGTACATATAATGAATGATTTTGGCAAGAATCAAAGTAATTAAAATCGGTGACTTTTAAACATGTACATGCATTTTGTAATTTCTAGGTAAAGTTGGGATTGAGCTTGAGCTCTTGTGCGGACATTAAAGAGTTAAAACTACTTTTGGCAACCGATACCAATATAGAGGAAAATGACATTCTACTGATTGAGGTCGGTACATTTTATTATATATCTTAATATGATTAACATGTTTACTAAAAATATATGCCAAAATTCTTTCTAGGTCGATGGGGAAGGATTCCACAGAACTTTCACTGGTAATATATTAACATTAGGCTACAGAGTACTGTATAATAACAATGTAGTCCGTGTGCCAGGCTTTTAATCTCGTTATCTTTCTCTTTTTGAAATAGAAACTCAATTAGTATCGTCCCTCGCTAGTAACGAGGCCCTGTACTGCATTGAAACCCCTCAAATTCGAGAAACAACTGAAAGTGACGGAGCGTTCCTTATGATTACTTGGACAAATTTACTTGTTACGGATGACGAAAAAACAAAAGTTAGATTTGGAAGTACATATGTTACTCAGATTGCAAGAGAAACAGCTTTTGTGGACCTCCAAAAAGTTTTACTGAAAGAGATGGCAGCCATGCTGCAACCTGGCGTATTGGTAGCAGAACAGAAGGTATTCTAATTTAAATACTATGGTGTGCTTGAAACGAACATTTTCAGTAATGACACGATTCAATCCTAGGACCCTGTGTTCAGTATTCGTATTCTTGACGGAAGTGCGGAAGGGTCATTGGTGGATCCTCTGGTAGAGCACCCGTTGTATATGGAAGCTGTCGACCATGCCCTCTCTTTATGCGACGAAGGAGTCCCTTCACATATTAAAATTCATCTTGAATGGCAATCTGCAGACAAAGAAAAGTATATTATTAACACATTTCTATCCATGAAGACACTATGTGCTGGAACAAATCTTAACCAGTGAAAAATTGTTTTAGAATTATCGGCGACGATTCAGAAAGTGTAGAGGAACATGCAAGCATTGCCATAACCCGACAGCGGCATGCGGAAGAAGCTGTTGGATCTGTGACCCTTGGCGAATGTTTTGATTTGTACACCTCTGCCGAACAATTATCTGGTGGGCTTTATTAATTAACACTGATGTAGTGGTTTGATGGTGTTTTGGTGTCATATACATAATGTGATTATAATTGATGTAATTTAATTAACATTGTAGCCGAAGATTCTTGGCACTGCCCCCATTGCAATAGAAAAGAGCAAGGCACATTAAAAATGATTGGGCTATGGACGTAAGAAAATTTATTGACAATATAAATTTTGAATTATTGCTGTTTAAAATAACAACACACGTTTTGTGCGTATTATTTGTCAACAGGGCACCTCAAGTTCTCGTAGTTCATTTGAAAAGATTTCGACAAGTAAATTAATATAATACACACCTGCCTATTTAGATTTTCTTACTGGACAATTTTTTCAAGAGAATTTGTATTGTATTTCAGACTGCTAAAGTACGAGTTGCAGCTACCAAGATCTCTTCAGTGGTAATTTTATTTACAAATTAATAACTAAGATTGATTATGAACTACTATTGATGATGCTATTGATGTTTTTCAGGTTGATTTTCCTGTTGATGGGCTCGACCTTGGACCACACGTTACTGCACCTAGAGCAAAATTTACTGAGAACGGAATAGTTAATGGATCACTTAATCCCGTCTCGTCACCTATTAACGGCTGCTTTGGTCTTGGAATTGGAAATTGGAAACATCGGTAAAGTCGTTTATTTAAACAAATTCATTTATTAATATAATAGTTTAACATCACATAGTTTAACAAGTGCTCTTAAATCCAATTAACAACAAGTTTCTCGTAAACCTTCTTCTGAACACTCTCCTTTTTCATCTTATCGGTATCTAAAACCTGTCGCTTCTTCTCCCCAGCCCCTACAGTCTTAAATATCGGAACCATAAAATCCACTTCTTTCGGAACAGTTTTTAGCTTATCTTTCTTTACAGCAATTTCTTTATCCGTCATCATAACAATAAAATCTTTAAAAATATCCTCATCCCAGCCATGATCGAAATGGGTGAACTTGTCAGCTAAATTGTAAACATCGTGACCACCGACTGTCTTCATTCCCAACATATTAGCGACGAGAACTCCCTTGTGGCCTAACGTCTCCACCTCCAGCGTCTTTTTCAAACTCTCTTCTGCTGTGAACGTGGTGGGGTCGGCTTGAAACACATTGTGCCTGTTCTCGGGGTCAACCCCCGCCATGGTGGATTTTTCGCGTTGGTGATAATTGGCTCCTTTAATAACAAACCGACAGTTCTCTGAATGATTTTCCCCGTATCGATAACCACCCTCTTTATTATCCCCCACATACACGTAAGGGAGCTTGCGGTTGAAATTTGTGGGAAGATGATGTGATTTGCAAAATTAAGGGAGTTGTTGGCATCCGTAATTTCGAAACCCATGTTGTTTAACGCCAAAGTTTTGTTCACGTCATCCAAGTTTGCAGACTTTGTGTAGATGTCACAATTTATGAACTTGATCTGCTCTGCTGGTTTTGTAGCGACAGAGTTGTGAAATGACACCATGAGAGACATTAGAATCTGGGGGGGGGGAACAAAATGTTATATTTATTTAATAATTGAATTGAGAAATTTTTCAGAAATATCACATACCCCTAAACTTTGAAACTTCCTCGTGCTTTCCTCGGAGAGATATTCCCAACGTTTCTCTATTACAAACCACGCAGTAGGAAATTTTGCGAGGTATTGGCCGATTGCCCGATCGTCGTAATGCGCTCCTCGTAGACATAAATTAAATCCGAGATCAGTGAACTTTCCCTTCCTCAATTCCGGCTGAACGAGGGCCATGTTCACCTTGTCCAAATTGGCCACGTCCCTCATCATCCAAATCTCCCTTTTCACTGTGCTGTGCCTGTAGCAATATCCGTCCAACTATAAATATTATAATTTTATAATTAGAGATGATTCCAACAAAATAATGACATACATAAGTCTTCTCAGGACAATTTTCCACCCCGCATTTGGATCCGACAGAGGACTTCCACCCAAATTTCTCTCCCTCCTTCTTGACTTTATAATACAATCTCCCCCAAGATACTTCACTCCCACTGGTTGATTGTCGTGAAGAAACGTTACACCGGGTGGAGACGCCGCTTTCCATGGGTCACTCTTCTCAAAGTTTTTGAAATGTTTATTCCACGATTCCATTAGATTCTTGTACTCGGCAGTTGACTCGACAGTATCGAAGGTGAACTCAATCAAGGGATATTTTTCCTGGAGGTGGTTAAAAATTGTCATTCGTACTGTGAAGAGGGTAGATTGGGTGTATCGGTTCGGTGTGGGAAAATTTGCGGATGAGGAGGGGGTGGGTGGACCTACAAGTTAAATTATTTGTATATATTAATTGAGGAATTGCATACTCAGAAGAGGATGAGGAAAACAACCATTACCCTCGCTGAACAAATTCTCAAACTCTTCCTGCGAGTTAAGAAATCCAACCTCATCGTCATCATTCAAAATGACCCTTCTTCTCCAATCAACCGAAGTTTCCCGTTGTGGTGGGGTGACCTTGACGGAAGGTTTTGATTTCTTCACGGGGGGTTGTTCTGCTGGCGAGGGAGGAGGAGAGTCGACGGTGCTGCCGGTAAAGGCAGTAGTAGTTGAGTTCGAGGGGGTGGCGCTTAGCCGAATCACGAATTTATCCATAATTAAAACTAACTAAGTTTATATTTTTATGTGGAGAGATAAAATAAGAAACTCCAACAATGTGGTTGAGAGAAGATGAAAATGTGGAGTTTTTATGAAGTGGGAAAACAGTGAAAGCGGGGTAGCTTGACATTAATAATGATTTATTTTTATATCGGCTCCAGAAGCATTTGATATCAAAGGTAATTAAAAAATTAAATTCAAGTCTTTAAACTTAGGTCTTTCAAAAAGCAAATTGTTTCTTCCACAATGACCAATAATAAGACTGCAACTGGGACTGTTCAAAATGGTAGTAGTGGTGAGGATGGCATGATCTATGATTTATACGCAGGTGAGTCACACCACCAAGGTCCCTCAACATCTTAACAACGCGTGTAACAAAGCATATTAAGTGTATAAACTTAAATTTTAATGCAATCCTTATTATTCACATATGCAGTGTGTAATCATCATGGTAAAGACATGCTGGGAGGTCACTATACTGGTAATCAATGTTTATTTATTTGTAGAATTTCCTTGATAGTGCTATTATTTATAAATATTACTAAATTTAACAAAAATATTATATAGTAAATATATGTATTTTTATGAATTTTTACAGCCTACTGTAAAAATCCAGTAGACGACAGTTGGTGGTTGATGGACGACACAAGAGTATCAAAACTTGCCTCACCTTCAGAAATTAAAACGGCTTCGGCCTATATTTTATTTTATACAAAACGTGCTAGTGGTGGTTCAACTCCAAATAGTGAATCCACCTTTCCTCCTCCATTCAGCCATACACAACATTGGTGCAAACCTCTCATCAAAAAATACCACAAAGTTCCACCTCTGCCCAGGGACGTTGTCCATGTAGGAAAGGAAAATGGCGGAGTTGCGACAAACGTTGAACTATCTTCACATCCTTCTCCAATCAAAGAAGATTCCGCTGATACCACTACAAGTACCACTACTTCTACTGCCACCACCATTACAACCACTCCTGAAAGTCAACCACCGTTAGTTAATGGTTACCACAACAATTCATCAACCACGCCTAGTACTAATGCAATTAATGGAGGATCAACCGCCCCTCTAGCGAGAATGGATGACGTAGGTGTAAATGTCTACGTTGAAGATCTACAGATTGAAAGCACAGTGTAGTAGTCAGTTTGGGTTGAAGAATGTTAATAAGAAATTATATTTTTTTATGATGATTAATATGTAGCGATAAATAGCAAATGCAACTCCTTTTTGAAATGATATTTAACTTGAATTTGTAATCTGTGCACTTTGCTCAATACGCCTCCTATATCTGTGCTGCTAACTGAAATTGTTGTGAAGCCTCCTAGGTCAAACAAGATGATGAATCTGTGTTATTACAAATGATCTTATAGAGTGACGAAAAGGTCAATAATATATAACGTAGCTACTTAATGTGCTACTACATACACGTTGTTGTTACCTTTTACGCTGATAAGTATATGATGACGACAAGCTATTTGCTAGTTATACCTACATATGAGACCATAATATGCGATGGAACAATTTAATTATTTATAAGTAGTTGATGGGGTCTCTTTTGTTTAGAATTTCATTGTTTATAGCTTTTGCTGTAATACATATATACATGTGTACCAATATAATTGTTTGTTTTCGTGATATTCCAAAAGTTAATTTGTTTAAAGTCAACAACAACAACTATATGCAACAATACCAAATTTTTAACGTGAGATTGACATGACACGATATGATTACAATGTCAGAAAGTATGATAATCTCTAAAAAAAATACTACAATTGACCTGAAAGTAAATTCGACTGCTACAGAAGCCTAGTATTAGTATTCATGTTATTGCCTTTATCGTCATGTGTGGTACCACTACAAATTACGGAAGGAAAATAGTTGTAATTCATAATTATGTGTTCTGTCAAGTTTACGCTACAAAACTATTTAATTGTATGTACAACTAGAAATTTGCTATAATTCGAATGGTGTTTTTGCATGCTGTTTCCAAAGTTTTCAGCCGTGCAGTAGCAGCAACGATATATGGTTCAAAATTGTGTATCTTGGACTAGTTTTAGAACAAAAATCAGTCATGTAGTCGATTATTGTGTGGAGAAAATTATAATTATACTACAGTGACCAGCTCGATTACAAAAAATAATCACTGGCTAAAATTTATTACTGTTTGTCCGAAAATAATAATAAAAAAATTCTTTTATACGCCATCTGACACGTGACACATAGTAATGACTTATTGATACATATTCAAGTCATATTACACAAATTTGATTATTTCAATTCGCCGGTCAGACATGGGCTGAACTGGTCGTCGATTGTTCTCTAATGGTGCATCCCGTCCATCCATCACTCCTCTGAAAGCTGACACGTCACTTGACCAGATTGGTACTGGTTCTCCAAAAACGTACCAGTTGACCTGCGAATTGCACGGCGGCGTGGTGAGAGAGCCTTGGTAGGAGTAAACAGTGGCATCGTGTCTCATCGGAATCAGGGGGGAGAGGTCAATGGGAGTCTCAACCTTCATCCAGTGAGTATGTGGTTCTCTAATTTGGTCTATGGCATTAACCAAGGGTGCAAGAGCAGGGCTTGGACCGACCGAGTCATCAACTTGCAAAAAAATGGCAACCACAGCTAACGCGTTTGGATCTCCCGAGTTTATGGCGTCTCGAAGAGTCTAAACGATATATTTTTTGCAATATTTATATAGTGAAAAGATTTGCATATGTAAAAATTTTGCAAAAAATAAGAAAATACAAATGTATATATAAACATGTGGAGGTTCAGCTTGCCTTATAATTTGCATTAAAATGCACAAGATGCATCTCCGCGGAAAAGTTTCGTGAATTTAGTTGATGTTCTGACCCCTCCGAGTTAGAAGCCCCCCAGTGGAAATGGACATTGGAAAATTTGTACTTTGTAAATGAGAGGCCGTGGCCTGGAAAAAATTGCGAGTTTTCTCCAACGGGGGTCATATCTACGTTGATGGTGTGTCCATTGTTTTGAATGAAGAAATGGTCCGCTTGAAATCTATCCAGAGGTAACAAGTGCGTGTATCGGCTTGGCGAATGGTATGGAACTTTCAAATTTATTGGCGACTGTCGATAAATAAACAATTGGTTTTATATACTTATCAAGGAATTGAGATAAGTTATATATTATGTAGACACCTGCCGCTTCCCACTGTGACAAAAGCCGTCCCATTTGTCGCTATCAGGTCCACATTCCATATCTGTGTAGCAGAACTCCTGGGGACCTGAAAATATGCCTACCGTTTCGGCCTCCTTTGCTATAACAATGCAACATAATATTGTCGTCAGCACGGATAGTTTTAGACGCATTTTTATTCTTTTTCTATTGAATGTTTCGGTTTCTGCTTATGTGGAAGGTGGAATTCAAATGCTTACTTTAATACATGATGGTCTATGGGTGTATGCATGCACAAATTATTCTCGTGGTGATAATTAATTACAAACTATTAAACTAATTAGATTTTCAACAGACTTAACAATGCTAAAACCGCACATTACTCGAGGAGGATGCAATTAATAATGAAATCTGGAAAGTATGGTATTTATGCATTATGTCATTGAAACTTTTTATGAAACGCCCAGCTTCGTAACCAAATCTTAAAGTCATACTCATAAATACATACATAATCATTTAATGGGATTCATTTCATAAGTGCGAAATGATTTGTTAAATTGACAAACCAGATTTATGGTTATGAATATGTACACTTACACATCATTATTAATAACAACGCAAAGTTTATATATCTAATTAATTATTAAATTTATATTCACTAAGAATTGTTCATCAATTTCTGGGCGTTTTATTGCATCCTTCAACGTTGTGCTCAAATACGAAATAGTACATATTAAAAGTGAGGTGTATAATTTTTCTGGTTTATAGATTCTCAGTGCTACGCTATTGAAGTTGAGTTGAATGTTTTTTAACTAATTTCGATGATCAATTTAAGAAAAAATGCTCGCAAAAATGACCGAACATATTGAATACTCTGATTGCTAAATTTTATTCATGCATTTGTTTTGCTTAATATCAATCATCATGCATCATATCAATATAATGCCATCATTAAATTCATCGCCATAACCAAAAGCCTGTTTACATGAACTTTACATCCACGTCGGGCACACAGAGACGCCGCCAGCCAAACGATTCACTATTTCTGTTTGCGAAATAAAAAATATTGACATTTTGAGGGGTAAATATTTCTAATTTGTAAGGTGTGTTTTTACGCCATGGCCGTTTGTGTTGCAGTCATTGGCAAGGACGTGAGTAAACGAATACGTTAAATAAACAATTCAATTAAATACTATTATGGGTTTTTCATTATTTAATATTTTTTGCCAGAACGGCCCCCTATTTTTCCGGTGCAAGAGGAGGGAGGATCCCGCCACGACCCACCACGCCGCCTCGCCGCTGTCGCCCGTGGGGGAACCAACCCCCAAATGACCGATCTCCAGTACAGCTTTATCGTCTCCTCGGCCCTGGACATCGTGGAGGAGAGGGTGCAAATGGGCCACCAAGCCTTCAAAGGGGGAAACCCAGCCCTTGCTGCTGCCGGGGGTGTGGCCCTCTCTTCTGGGGATGGACCACAAGTCGCAACCAGAGAACTATATCTCGGCGCACTAACGGCACAGGAAGAGTATAAAGTGTGAGTTTTTGTGCTAAAATTGGAACTAATAAACTTGATCATCATAATAATATCTTTTCTTTTATAGGTATGGGTACATGACCAACACAAAGATAAAGTTTGTTATCATCGTGGAAGAAACGAGTATCCCTCTGAGAGAAAATGATATTCGAATGGTAATTTGAATTGCTTGTAAAATAATTGAGTTTAATGTCAGATTCATTCACATTCAAACGTATTTATTTGTTATCTTGCTTAGATGTTCAGGAGATTGCACGGTGCCTTCTGCGACCTAATGTCGAATCCGTTCTATTTGCCTGGGACAGAAATACATTCCAAGTACGTTTTCTCATATTAAAAATAAAATCAATATTTTATTGAAAATTACGCATATGCAATAACTTTGACTCTGTTTGTGCAGGAGGTTTGAAGGTACAATCAATGCCATTCTGGCAGGACAATAAATGAGTTCATGTTAATAGTAAAGTATACAGCTTTTTATTTAGCTTTGTTAAACTATAGAATTTCTACGGTATAAATATAATAATGATTTAAATTTAAAACGCTACGCTAAATAAACGCCTCCTCCTAATGTTTTTCCAACGCTTTAGTAAGAAGTTGTGTCAAGTTATTAACGATAAGTCGTGGGTCGTCTTCTAACCCTGCAGTCACCATTGCGTTTGAAAATAACTAAAAGTCATACAAAACCATTAAAATCAAGTTAAGAATTATTACTAAGTTAAAAACTATTACAACTTTCGTCTATATATTTATTTTACCTGGTCCGCTACCATGCGTGCTAACTCAGGATCCGAGTCTTTAATCTTGCCTAATTTTTGTATCAGGGGATGTCTGCAAAGCAAATATATTAAGATTTGTACTTTCACCTTTCACCCATTATACCTACATACGTGTACACACATATCTAAAAAAAATGCTCACTTGACGTTGATTTCGAAACGAGGTTGCAGGATAGAGTATCGAGCTTCAGGTGTCATTGTTGCAAACTGTGTCTTCACAAAGTGTCGTGCCGCAGCCATTTCCTCAACTGAAACTAAGCAAGCGTGATTTTCCAGTTTTTGAGTAAATTTCACAGAATGTGCCCGGCCCTTGAGAGTGCTTGTCAGCCAGGATAACAAGCTCTCTGCTCCACTTTTATCCAGTGTACCAAGAGCTAAGTATTACCAACACGTACAAAATTTTAGAAATAAATTCTAACAAAAGTAAAGTATTATATTATAAGCACTCACGTAAGGAATCCAAGTTCACATCATCTTTCATTTGTCTCATCTCCTTTTCCACTGAAGTCAAAGGTTTTCGATCGAATTGACGGAGTTGTAAGATAACCATCTCGTCGTAGGGCTGGAAGCAGAATAGTACTTCTACGTTTTTCTCTTTCAAGGCTTCAAAGTAAGGAGAACGTTCAGCTAGTTCTCGGCTAGTACAAAAATATAGCACTTGCTAATAATAACAAGCAACTTGCAAATAAATAGCTTATCAAGATGAGTTACTATGCATACCTTGGAGCTGCAAGATAATATATATCTTTCTGAGCTGGTTGCATTCGATTAATATATTCTGGAAGGCTGACAAGTTCTTGGGCAGGCTTGGCAGATGACTCAAACTTTATCAACTTGGCAATTTCTTCTTTTAAAACTTGTTCTGGTTCTACAATAATTCCTTCCTTTAGAAATATGGAGTATTCGCTGTGGAATTTTGCATATGATTCCGGCTCCTTTTGAGACTTTTCATATAAGAACCGAACAATTTTATTTATAACGACCGTCCTCAATTTTCTAATCAAAGAACCGTCTTGCAAAATCTCTCTTGACAAATTTAACGGAATATCTTCAGAATCCACTACTCCTAATATTTGAGAAAATATTACGTGAAGTTTTAATAACCCCCAAAAATAAAATGAAAATGCTCACCTTTCATAAACCGCAACCAGTTTGGAAATATGTTATCAGCTTTGTTCTTAATCATAATCTTCCGACAGTATAAACTGACTCCAACTTTTGCATCTTTACTCATTTCGAACAATCCTTAATCAACAATAGCTTAATATCATTATCCATTTGTACTACAAAAGTTACAATGTAAGTGCGGATAGAAATTAATATTAACCTGGTTTGCCTTCAGGAACATACAAGACGCATCGCAAACTTAAAGGGACGTCGGTATTAAAATGCAGCACGAATCGTGGTCGGTCATAAGCACCACCAATGAAATGGTAGAATTCATCATGCATTTCAGGTGTCACTTTTTTGGGATCCATCAACCATAATGCCTATAAACGGGAATTAAAATCAAGGATCAAGGATGGCTTTTGCTTATTGAGGATTTACTGTTTTATAAAACGAATTTAAAGTAATCTACCTGTACGGTATTAATTTGTCGTCCATTTAAAAATATAGGATTGCCTACAAAGTTGCTGTATTTTTTTACAACAGCTGTACATAAGAATTACAACGATTCAGTTACAGAACAAATTATGGAAATACATACATTAGTTTCTAATTACATAAAACTGTCTCTTCGTCGCTGAAATGCCTATCGTCCGTCTTCAAGTGAAGGACAATTTTAGTGCCAGGTTGAACAAGGTCAGCTTCTTGAAGAAGATACTCTCCAGTTCTGCAAACATGATAATATGTTAGTAACAAGTTAAAATCCGAATCACGGTAGAATTACCCATCCGATGCCCATTTATAACCAATAGATCCAGGTTTTGAAGATTTTGTAAATACTTCAACATTATTCGCAACCATGAAGGCAGAGTAAAATCCTACGCCGAATTGCCCAATGATGGAACCTGAGTCCATTGTATTTGCACCTTTAGATTGTTGCAGCTGCTCGAGGAAGGCCTGTAAAAAACGATTTACTTTACAAAGTCAGTTACCCAACTAACTATTGAAACTAAACTAACTTTTGATCCTGATTTCGCAATAGTTCCCAAATTATCTATTAGTTCCTCCTTTGTCATTCCCACTCCTGTATCCTGCAAGATATTTATCATAGCTGTGTGTAAATATACAACCTTACTTTAATAATTACGAGCATAACCCCTTTATTAATGCTACCTGAAAAGTCAACGTTCTATTATGTTTATCAGTCGCCAAATGTATTTCTAACGCCCTGTCTGAATTCTCCATACTACCATCCGACATGCTTAAGTATCGGAATTTTTCTAACGCGTCGCTAGCATTTGAGATTAATTCACGGATGAAAATCTGAAAAAATATGAAGAAATTAAAATGCTGGTAGTGCTTTTGGAGATTAGGTTTAATTAAATTTTATGCATATTGACACCTCTGATTCGGAATACAGAGATTTCGCCACGATATCCAAGAGCATCTTCGTTTCTGCCTGGAACTCACGTTTTTCAGCATTTCCTGATAACAAGGAATTAGAATTATGTATTAGTGTCAAACTGATGAATTTTACATGAACTCAATAATTAAGACTTCTTTTCATCATTTACCGGTTGCCTTTTCCTCATTTTTAATAATATTGTGATAGTCAGAACTCTCCGGGGTAGGCTTATCCTGCTGCTCCGACTCCTCTGGCGCATTAGCATGTGCCGACGAGGAGCTAAAAGACTTTTGCCACGACGACAAGGCAGGATAACAGCTACCATGTGAAAGGCGTTTAGCTGATGAGAGCAACCTCACTGATGCAGGTCCCCTTGAACCAAGAGCTAGGATAGCACATTTCAAGCGATGTAAAATTAGACCGTGAGACGAAATGAGATAGTTGATGAGATGATGAAATATTTTATACACTCATCATTTATGTAACAAAAAACTCACCCACAGAATTCCTCAAATTCCTCAATGAATTTGTTGAGTAGAAGGTTCGTCGACCACTTTGGGACAATGCTCGCCTGCCGGTTACAGCGACCGTGGACAACATTGTTTTGTCTTTTCACTTTTTAGAACGTGTGCAATTTTTTTTACTTCTCACACTAGTCACACTCCGGCGAAAACATTATTGACATGCTCACCAATCCTCCCGCGTGCAAATCTTTCTCGCCACTCTCTGTCATTCATTTGTCTTCAATACTGTCAATTTCCTGTTTGTGATTTGTGAATGCACTAATGTTCTAAAAAATTAAGTTGCGCAAGAAATAAGTGATTGCATTATCTCACTCAGTTTGCAGTTATTTAGTCACTAGAAAAGTTGTCCCATATGTCAAGCATCATATGTGTTAGAGAAACACAACTTGTGACCTCAACTAAAAGGTTGACAGGTTGACTATAGATAATTTCAATCTGTTCCGAATTGATTAAACATTTTCGTATATTTTACTTTCTCGTATACGTGGTGAAAGTTTAACCGAGAGGAACTGTACTGTACTGATCATTCATTAGCTAAAAATACTGAGTTATCATTATGTATAATTACCACGGGCACAATATGTCAACTTGTACTTGTATTTCTCCTTCTACGCCCAATTGCGACTCTGGCTCGACCAAGACATCGTCACCTTCATCAGAATGGATTATGACCCATCGCTTTGAATCATCTACTATTATGGAACAGTAAAGAATAAAATGGAATCTGCTTAGATATACTTTCCTCCGGGTACGAAATCTCATTTATACTTGTTTTGCAAATTCATAAATCTATTTATTAACGAACGAATCGTGCACTTTAGGACCATCATGGGTTTGTAAACAGCGAAGGACCAAAGAGCCCCATAATTTGAGACGTCCATCTCACTCAATATTCGAAATGTCAGATTCGGATACTTCGGATGGCAGAATGGTAGAGGGAGAGGAGGACGAAGACTCTAGTTCTTGGGAATCCCTTGATGAGGAGGATGTTGATATTTGCCACAAAATATCCCTCAATAGTTTGGTTAGTTGTAGTTGAATTATGAATTTCAATTCTTACAATTTCTTACTTTTGATAATTCCTTGACCAGGTGTTGGAGAAAGTGTTTGCGCATTTAACAGTAGAGGAGCTCCTAAAATGCAGATTGGTGAACAAGCTATGGAATAGTATTGCGCTGCTTCGGAATCATCTTGGTGCGAAAACGGTCATAACCCTTAATCAAAGCAATATAGATCGACTTAACCAGACCTCCGAGAAAATGCTTCTTCCGTTCTGCCAGCAATTTGTATTGACGTTTATGAACCTGGATGAGGCAAACAGTAGCATTCTTCCTTTTAAGAAGGTGTTCAAAAATTGCATTTCCTTTCTGTCATTGGATTGTTGCACTGCATCAAGGTCCAAAGTTGTAACAAGACTACTGAAAGCTCCTAATTTAAAAGAGCTGAAAATTACTGGAGCCCTACTGAAATTCTCACCAGAAACGACCATGCCATTCCGCAGACTTCATCTCACACGGCTACTCAAACTTGAACTAAGTGCTTCGGATGATCACAGTCAAGTGAGTTCAAGTGAGTTGAAGACCCTTCTGCAAAATGCGAAAATTCTCCAGTCAGTCACCATTGGGAATGGGTCATCATTATGGAAAGACTTTGTTGAATTTGCTTCTTCCGACGTCAATTTGAACAAGAATATTAGTCAGCTCAAACTGTACAACATAGCTGCGCCACTGGACATTATGGATTTTGAATTTCTTAAACGACTTCGACTTCGATCTTTATCATTCCAAAATTGCATTGTTTTCCAACATGTTTTACAAGGCATACTTGAAATAAGTGGAAACCACTTGCAAAGTATTTCTGTTCTTGGGTCTCAGCATGAAATTCTAAGTCAAAGCTTCATCAACGTAATGTCTTTGCCACATTTGTCAAAACTCACTCTGCCAATCGATGGAGTTAGCACGGAACATGGGAGCAATATAGTAATATCAATGCCAAGTTTGACAGAATTCAATGTAGTTGGACTTTTTCAAACAAAATTTGTTTTGAACAAATCTCAACTGCTAGCAATTAATATTTACTCGTCGTACCCTTCGTATACTGGGAAGACTCGTTCGTTTCGTGAAAGACGGGAAATTATAGAGCTGCCATCGGAGAAACAAAGAGAATTTTGTAAAATACTTGCCATTCTTTTACCTCAACAGCCAATAAAACTTCAAGTCGATTTAAATGAACTGAATAGTGTATGTTTGAGGCGAATTTATAAATGCTATCCTGACCTACAAGAGTTGGTTGTGAATAACAATTCACGGAATTGCTTGGATGGGTGGACCGGGATCCCAATAAAAACTTGTCGAAAAATTTCTTCGTGTCGCAGTTTTGCAGTTGCCAATGCAAGTGAAGTGCAAGTGCTAACCTCTGTTTCGAGTCTAAAAAGTAATTGGCTAATCATTTCTTGAAATTGACCTAATCAAAAGTAATAAGAATCAACAGCAATCAATAGCACTAATAAATAATCTCACCATATTTATTGCAGAGCTTAAACGACTTGAAATATCGATTGCTGGAGATCCTCCGAAAGCAGAATTCACTCTGCTCTACATCTTATATGGTATCTGCCAACTTTCATGTCTTGAAGAACTGAGACTTACTAACTTTACGGTATATTATTCATACTGAATGCTAGTTAATTATTAGGCTAATGACCGAGCATAATTAATTGAAAATATTTCTAATAGATCTCCGATATAGCATTTGTCGCCTTGAATAAGTCCTTACGCCTGAAATCTTGTTACATTAATGGGTCCTCCGAATTTTGGGATCAATTCAAGATGAGCTGCCAAAAAACCAAAGTCAAAAGTTTTCTTTTGCCTCCCAGGCAGGAACCCAGCTTTATATCGCAACCATTAAATACATCTAAGGTACTTTTACTATGATAATACAATTAATCTGTGCATAATTTCATGTTTTTCTTGTATTTATTTAAAAATAATAATATTTGCATTTCAGATTTTACGAAATGTTTTTGAATACCTTTCTCATCGAGATATTTTCAATGTTCGATTAGTATCAAAGCTTTGGCACATATCTGGTATCGGTGCTCTTCATTCAAACTGTGATCAAAGATCGAAAAGGACTTATAATTTGGACAAGTACTTGGAGGTGTCACATGTTCATCACTCTTCTCATTCTAAAAGTCAGGGTAGTCCAAACAAAACTCCGCGTGAAATTCTCCTAGAACAACAGTCTCGTAATTATGCACAAGCTCTGGAAATTTTGAGAAGTACGTCTACAGTTACCAGCTTAGTCATTCGTGGAATGAACAAGTCTCAGTTGGAGCATTACCAGAGAGAAAATTATTCCAACAGATTGGCATTTAATTGTAAATCCTGTGAAGATCGCAGGCATATTATTTACTGGTTTTATCCTGATGGAAATGACGAACTTCTAGTACCAAAAATAGTTCAAAGTCCAGAACCTACATCCCTAGTTTTGATTGGAAGTTGGGGACGAAAAGACACTGGCTTGCTAAACTTTTTAGAAGATACGGGAGGAAACATTAACTCTATAACTCTGCATGGGTTGCTCTCAGAAGTTTTTGACTTGATTCTTCCACGACTTTCAGCGATAAGAAATCTAGAATCGCTGGTTATCATGCCATTTAGTTCCGCGAGTGTGACAGAAATTGGTCGGAATCACCTGCAGATTTTGTCAAACTCTTCGTTTGCATTAAAAAATTTGGCTTTAGTCAAGCTGCAAGTCCCCTCAGAAACAATAGCTGACTTGGTAAAGTCTCACCGCTTTTCACTCCAAACTTTGAATATTCAAAATCACGTAAACGTTTCCGACCGACTTTCCTTTACCATTCCGAATTTACAAGTTTTACAGCTGGATGAACCCCCAGGGGTGCTACTGTTCACGACGTTAAATATTAATCAGTCAATCAACACGGTCTCCTTTGAGCGGTCCGGTTATACTTATAACCAAATCAAAAGTAAGGCAATGCCAAAATTGGAACTTGCAGATCAAGATTTTGAACACTCTGCAGCAAATATTCTTTGTGACATCAATTTGTTCTTGGAATGCGTCTCCAGTAAGCGTCAAAGTGGCCAAAAGTCTATACTGCAAGATAGTGCAGATTCCTCATTGAAGTTTCTGAGCCACTTTAGATTTTTGACATGCCTCACTTTGCGCAGTGTAATTTAAAAACCTTAACTTTGATTTATTTATTTATTTGGTATTCTGTTTCGATCTTGAGGTTTATATATTTCTTTAAATATCCAAATACAGGTTCATGCTCATTATGGAGTACTGCAAGGAATCTTTAGAAATTTTTCGCAGCTAGAAAAGTTGGTATTTACTAATACCACGGGCATAACGGACGAGATTTTATGTGGGATTCCGAAATACCTGTTGGATAGAATGGACTTGATGAATCCGTTAAACTTTAAAAATGCTCAAAATGGACTTCAGGAACTTTCTAGTCCCTCTATCCGCAATTTAAAGAGTGAGCCGAATAACTTGGAAGAATTAAATCTAAACCAATTAATTGATTAATTACATGTTGGATTTTTCAGACTTGACATATCTTAGCCTAGATGATCAGACAACGTGCACTGACCTGTCTGTCATTTTTGGAATCATACGACTTAAACGACTGGAATATTTTTCTTGCAAGAAATGGAAGGTATTATCTCGTATTAACCAAATGCATTTCTCCAAAATATAATAAGTGTTAAATATGAATGTTCACTTTAAATTAGATCACTGACGTTACAATGCGTGCAGTTACTGATATGACGTCCATCAAACACTTGATCATTCAGGGTTCAACGAGTGTATCTAGTTATGGAGTGCAGTATTTTAACAACAAAACAAGAAATCGCATGAGTAGCTGATTGGAGCTTTTTAATAGTGGTTAAAGTTTTGTCAAGATATAATGAAATTTTGTCAGCATATTTTATTAAAACACATGGAAAATTTTTATAAACGAGTAACAATAAAATTATTTTACTAAGCATAACATTAATGATAAATGATTCGTAAAAAATTTGTCTTCGACTCTTTCGTTATATGTGCATAGGTATGTATACATAGATGCATTATTATATGTGTATCATCTAAAATTACAAAATGTGTAAAATTTCTATCAAAATGTCAACTCCAGTACTTGTACTTATACAGCTATAGATTATTGAGATTAGAGATGCATAAATTATGGAACACCACCGGGCCAATATGTATTAAGTAACTGAACAGTAAGTCGTCATGTTGCTGCATTTGTTTGGTATTTTAATTCATGGAACTCCTCCCAAGTCTCTGATATTTTTCACATGTTTGTACACCATCCAAAACGCTACACCTCTATAAATCAGGAAAGCTATTGAGAGCATAAGTCCAACAAATTGTGACCCCGTGGACAAGAGTGCGATGATTAGGATGAACATGACAAAAGTGATTGCTGCCTGAAAATAAAATCACTTCATGTTAAATGTCTTTGATAAAATTAAAAGTCTAATGAAATTTAAATTGCCTTTAATCCCATGTATCCAACAAAGGGTTGTTCCGTTTTCTAGTAGAATAAAACGAAATTCATATGTATATGCGCTCATCCAGTTAATTCGATAACAAAAGTACGAAAAACCATACTTACACTTCGTCGCATGGCATGAAGCAGAAAAAACGCCAGCGTAAGTTCGATGAGGTTAAACAAAATCGCAATCCCCCAAACGGAACATCGGAACATTCTTAAATCAGCAGCTAAAATTGCATAAATCTTTGTATTATGAATCGAATCGAACAGAGAAAGAAGTATTTAAACGGTTCCAATTGTACAATAATTAAATTAACCTTGTCCTGGATTGTCAAAGTCGACCGCAACTTCTTGAATGGTCATAGTATTCGCCAGGATCCAGTCCAGAAACACATATCCACTGTTGAAGTACCCAACAAGGACAACAAACCCAAATATGAAGGTGAAGAGGGTGTAAAATAAGAGAGGGAATGTAGAGAACACCTTAATCAGATGAACATTAATAGTTAACGATGAGCCAGATAATGATATTATGCAGTACAAATAATGACACTTACAATATCCAGGATTGCGATTATTCTCACTTTCCTCAAAGACTCCTCATAGCCCATGATTTGTCAAGGTTTTTATATTTTTGACCTACCCTAACCTATACGTTTTAGAAATTCTCAAAACCTTCTCAACCGAACAATCTTTCCGAGTTCCGATACTTTTTTAGACGACCAAAGAAAGATTTGTATTCGTCTTTAGCTGACAACTTGTGACTAATATGGATAGATGGACGGATTACTAAATAGAGCAGCGGAACGAAATCGCGTGATGTATAAATTCAATCGAAATTATCGATCATTTTATTTATGCCTTTATGACGGGCTGGAAATATTCGGATTCACAAGGGTTGCATTGCTATGTGTCACACCTGTTGTGTAGCATATTAAGCATTAGACGTATGCATTGTTGCACAGGTTAAAAAACACAATACAACTCGTACTAGATATTGCCTATTATGGATGTAGTGGAGGCGTCTTCTAAAATAACGACCACCACCACCATCAACATCAGAGAATGAATACGGCATTTTTATGCAAGCGTCAGATTGAAATTCAACGTGTGACAAATTATGTATGGAGAATAATTAATATTACGCGAAATCAGTAATCATAATAAATATGAAATATGGGTATATAATATTTTTAAATGGACGATTCATTCATTATATTCTTGTAAAAATTTCATGATAGCTGTATGATGACCAGAATAGTTCTTACAACCTTTAATACTAAATTAGATTACGTAACGCACGACTCACGAAACCTTAAAGTGAATTGGAGTGATGGCACCATTTTTGTGCATTGTGATAACTGTCCCTGTGGACCAAAACGGAGGAACACTAACAATTTTGACACCATTCCATTTTTTAACCTTAAAACAAGATAAGCCTCCAACTACAAATAAGTGAGGCAATTGTGACAAAGAAAATAGTTCCTCTGCAATCTCTCCATCATCAGTGGACGCAGGATAAAGATGAGACCATTTTAATAAATGTACACACATCTCCAAAGGACAACTGATTTCACAATTGTTCATCGTTTCCTTCACATTGAGTCCACTACTCAGCACTAAATTCATTATATTTTCATCAAAATGATGTTCACTTTTTCCGCTGGTGTCAGATATTCCTAAATAAACTTTAGCCGGGTTTGTTAAGCATCGGAACGTTGCGCGTTGCATGGCGTTAGGAAACAATTGCTTGTGTAGAGGAGGCTGAGGTAATGTCATTTTGTGTGTTGGATCATTTTCCCCTGGAACAATGAATACTTCCGTTGTATTCTTTAAAAAATACATTATTGTCAACTATGAAATGTCATTAATTCAAGAATAAGTTATTGTATGCCTGTATATATGTATACTTACTGTTAAACCTGTCAAATAGTAATCTAATTTATCAGCAATGCTACAATTTGCTGCAGTCATTTCCTCTCGACGATCAGGATCCCATCTCTTCCTTTTTGGAAAAGAATTTCCAATAAAGAACACTCTAGTGCTTCTCCTCAAGATGGATTCATGTTCTAGTTCCGAACCAGATAATCCTTGCAGATAGTCAAAAAGTGAGTCAAGTGCTGCCCAATTAGTATAACGCATCCCAATGTTTATACCAGACACGAATACCTACATGTATAACCAAGTAAATGTATCAGCGACTTTTAATTTTACATAAACAAGCTTGCAAATAAATGCGTATGTACGTAAATATATTTCGACCACACCATATCTACTTCGTTCGTAATACAAGACAATGGGATGGGTGGTGATGGATGTGTCACAAACAGGACATCTTCGACCCATAACATTCCCTCAGCACAAATCCCCTTGATGGCAACTGGAATGCCGGAAACAATCTGAGACAATGTGAATCTTTTCCTGTCGGTTTGCCGAGTCAGACGTAGACGAATTTTAGCTGTCGCATCTTCCAGAAACAGACACGGCTCAATTACTGGCTTCAAGGGAATGTTGTAAACTCCAATCTCTGCACAAAGTTTCTCCTTTGTGGTGAGAGACGCTGGTGTCACTTTGAAGATGTAGCCAATAATAACTGTGTTAATTTAATAAGGCATTATGGTATTAATTCCGTATTATAATTTTCTGACAATTATTGAAAACAATGTCTTTATCAATACCTATGGATTCTTCAAATCTCCTGAAACCGACGCCCTGGATTTGGTCATATTCAATCTCAACAGCGTCACCTGCGGTGTCGTCTGACTGGCTCGTATTTAATCCCATGGACGAAATGCTATAAATATCTTCAACCAGTTTGACTTGGTTCCATTCCTGCAAAGATGCAATTTGGCCCTTGAGACAGGGTCGAAACCTTTCGAGTCGAGCTTGAAATGTTCTCAAACGCCGTGACGACACATTTTGAGCCAACAGTTGCTTGCTACGACTTCTATTTTTTCTTGGTGGCCTAGCCGTGGGTCCACAAGCTACAAAGTCGGCAATACTGTGGGTGTGAACCGTTTCTGAAATTACGACGGGTTTCACAACTTGTGGAGGAACATTATTGTTGGTGTTGAGATAGGCTGAGAAATCTGGAGGGGAGAGAAGACCGTTGTATGTTTTTTTGACACTTGGCCGTGGCGAATAAGACGACACGGAAAAAGGCGTGGTGGGTGTCGACATAAACAAGGTAAAGTCTAGATCACCTTGTTCCGACACGGACATTGTCTCCCAGTCGAAAGTGTCAAACAATTTGGACTTGTTGTCCTTCTCCCCCTTCTCTTGTGCATCTTGCTGAATATCTTCAACATGATTAATACTTTTATTACTCTTATTGCACTTTTTGTTGAGAATTTCTCCACCTTCACCACCCAACTCCATGTCCTTTGTCACGATATTTTTCTACGATATTTCACCATTTTCATCATTTTTCAAAATGTTCTCTGGCTATACGTATGAACTTCACAAGACCGCCAGTAAAAAATCCCCTCGCTTATTTCCCGTTTGTTATAGTGAACATCCAGCAGATTCATGATTATTTTTCTGAGGATGAGACTCATTTCTGATCATTGCAAATTACACTACAACGCGTTATTGATATTTTAATGTTTATTATCTGCTTAAAGGATTGAAGGCACTAGACATGACATGACACGCAAAATTCTGTTTAACTTATAAATAATTATGCCGGCTTTGTTGAGTCTTGATTTCTTTTTGCCATAAACTGCATGATGACCTTTTTTGCCAATTCTGGATCAAAGAAACTCTGTTCCGTTTCGGAAACTTCGGAAATTAGTTCTCGTTGTCGCCCCCTCACCAACTCTTTCGAATACATGAGTGACTTGACTGGAAGTTGTCCATATTCTTGAAGCAGTGCTTTCGTTTTTTGGTTGAATTGTTGATGTGGAATAACGCGACTCACAAGGCCTGATTGATATGCTTCATTCGCAGTCATTTTCTGGTTAAACATTAGCAGTTTGCTGGCTTTAGAATATCCCATAATTCTTGGGAAAGTGTAGGTAGAGGCCATTTCTGGAGGCAGGCCGAATTTTGTAAAAGAAGTATGGAAAGTCGCGGCATCCGATGCATACACTGCGTCAAAGAGACCAAGCATTGTAACCCCCACGCCCACAGTAGGTCCATTTACAAGTCCAATTAACGGCTTCTTGCAGTCTAAGAAACATAAGAGGAATTTTGAGAAACGTCGACCACGTCGATCTTCTTTATTTTCCTGTTTAGAATTTAATTCTGATTGATTGACGACCGGTTTGGGTCTTGGCATCATGTCCATTCCACTTGTGAAGTAGTCGCCCATTCCAGTTAGTGATACTACCACGGTGGCGTCGTCATTATTTGCTGCGGACACACCGACAAAGATCCCTTTGAACATTTCTGGCGTCAGGGCATTTTTCTTGTCTGGTCGATTGAGAATGATTTGGCGGACGCCGTCCTTAACTATTATTTGGACCTCGTTCGCTGTGACATTTTTATCAGTTTGAGATGATTTGGCAGAGGAAGTGCTTAACAGACACGACGGGATTTGCATTTGTTCTATGTTAGACAATTCACTAATTAGTGAGAGAAGTCGCAAAAAATATTGAATAATTGCATATTATCAGTATTCTTACTGCAGGTCCTTGTATCAGCAGCAGTCTGTTTCAACAACATTGTGGCACGGCCGAAAATAGCCATTCTCCTGTCCAATATATTTCTACACAGACTCATCCTTGTCAGAATTCAATGAATTTATCAATTGACGGTTTAACTTTATCCAAATGTCCGAAAAAGTGCAGTAAAATAATGTTTATTCCATTATTCCGAGATTGAGGTAAAAATGAGACAGATGTTGATGTTGATGTCGGACTGTATAAAAGACATGCATTGCATAGTAAACATTGCATTTTGCACGTTGACATTGGACTTTCGACTTTCTTTATTTCTTTGCATTCTTAATACCTACATCGTTAGAAATTTGTCAGGTCGATATTTAACAATTTTTTTGATGAATTATTTTCGAAATTTAAGTACAATCCAGTTCTTTGAACTATACATTCTATTTTATTCAATGCCTTGAAAATATTTACCCGTCTGGTGGATTTTTTACTGGCCAAATACTGATAAAAAGTTTTGTCATTGTACAATACAATTTGTATTGTATTATGTACTATCTTCATTCATGGTCAATATCGTTATTGTCATGCTCATGCTTCCCTGCGCAATAGTTCGTGTTTTTCTACCATCAATTAAGCACACAGTTTAAATTAGTCAGCAGGTAATAATCCCATTTAACCAAGATTGAAAAGTCATTCTTTTTCGTTGAGGTGATTCATACATATTCGTACATACGTAGTTGGTTGGATAATAATAAGTAGCTAGTCACTAGCTACTTGTGTATAATAAAAGTGAGTATACAGACTTGACTTGCAAAATTGTGGCAGTGACGACAATCATATCAGTTTAGCTACAGATACACAACATTCTTGGAGCAATTTTAAAATTTAAAATATTAACAGTAACTATCACACTCGCACGACGAGGTATTTAGCTGTTTGGTCGTTCAAAAACAATTTTGTCTGCTTTTACAGGGAATTGGAATTGCAAATTGTAAACGCATTGGAACTTTAACAGGAATAAAATGTTGTCTGGAATATTTGACATGTTTAGTTCTTCGGACAAAAGCAAGAACTTTGAGGAACATATACTACCCATACCTCAACGTAAGTAAATTGCTCAATGAAATTAAATTCAGTAAAATGTAGTGCAATTGGTCATAATTCCACAATCTTGTTTGGTAGATTCTGGGCGACCGTTAACATACACTGACTGCTTCACATGGCTTAATCAGAAGGTGGTGGTCCTTTTAGTGAGATTTGACAACCCCCAGATTGGCACTGTTAAGTATGTCGGGTCCGACGATAGAGGAAATTTATGTGCTGGAATTGAATTCGTAAGAAATATCACGAAATAAATCTTTTTTGGGTTATTACATAGAATGTGTTATTTTATTGAGACGTTTTCTTATGCAGCAATACAACGTGGGAGGAATGTCAGGAAAAATTCACGGACAAAAATTGTTTAAAGCAAAGTCAGGACATGGGTTACTAATCCCTGTTGAATACGTTCGACTTCTTGTAGACTATGAAGACGGGAGAAATATATTTCCTGTTACGCCTTCGACATCATCATCTCAAGTTCACAGAGCTCAATCGGTCCCATCAAATATGGGAATCCAAATCAAGAATAATCCGATAAATAATATTCCTTTTGAAGACTACATCCCCCTTACTTTACCTTCGCTTAGTATTGGAAGCAACGTAGTCTGGTTGGGTGGATCATCTCCTCAAACCGGAATTGTTAGGTGGATTGGAAAAGCAGGACGAAGTGACAACACTCCCATTAAAGTCTGGGTGGAAATGGTACAACAGAAAATTATTAATCAAATGCAGTGAAAACACATAATTAGCACACAATTAATATTATTATTACTACAGGACGACTTTATGGGATATGGGCACAACGAAATGGACCTGGGCGTAAAATTCGGGTGTGCCTCAGGACGGGGAAAATTGTTTCCAGCGGATGAGTTAATTCTTTTAGAAAATTTCCTACCAGAAGAAACCGTTCCTGATACAATGAGCCCCCAAAAAAATGCAGTAGCAATACCTTTACCGGCTGGTCAATCCTTTGATCATATGCCTGTGTATGACATTGCAGTCATCAATGGCGTCAATGGTTTAGTTGAAAATAAACCTTCTGTGGTTGTGCCTGAGAGTATCTCATCGCCAATTAACAAGCCTTCACCAGATTGTGATCTAATCGACTTTTCAGAAAGCGAAAATTTAAAAATTACTCCTGAAGGGAATAGTATGGCAGATCTAGAATTTCGACGAAGTAAGTTTATTATCAATAGCATGCAAGTGCAATTATTATCTGACTAGATATAAAAGGTGTGTGCTTGAATTGATATTAATAGTCATGAAACCTGATGAACCGATGGAAACCAATGAGACTTTCGTTCAAAGTGTTGGATCAATTTCACCATCTTCAAATGAATTTGCTGCAAGTGCACCGGTATGTGCATAAATGTATTTGCGTTTAAACTGAAAGGATCTTTAACGTTATTTAAATAATTAATAGCCATTGTCACTGCCGAATGACTCGGTCAGCGATGAGCAGTTGCCCATAATAACTGGGAATGAATTAATATCCGATGCCGCAACACATACGCACGGAAATGCACCAGTAGTGACAAAGACGGTTGTTCTTAACGGATGTGTAATACCAGATAAAGTATTGATGAAGCTTGTGGATGACAAAACAGAAGATTACTTGCCACCATTCATTGTACCTCCGATTGACATCTTGGAATTTTTTAGGGCTGAAGGTGATTAATATAGTTAGATTTTAAGATTACCTATAAATGAGTTCTTGTGAGTTGTACAATTAAATTATAAATTTGATCTTACAGGTCAGAAAGGAATTCAAGGAATGAGGAACTCGTGTTACATTGATGTCGTTTTATTCTCCATGTTTGCCTTCACGGACACGTTTGACCCTTATTTCCTTGATAAAAATAATTTATTCAACAAAGTTCCTGACTCCGTATTCACTAAAACTGCAAAGAAAGTCCTCGCAGAGCATATAGTCAATCCTTTGCGACAAAATTACTACTGCCCTGGCACCGGGGTGAATTCATTGCGAGAGCTAATGATTCCATTCAGTGATAAGCTGGACGGTGCGTTTATGGGTATGCTCTAACTTTCTTATATTTATAATAATAATAGTGATAATGCTACGTTTATTGCTAACGTTTAATGTGTTTCATAGACGTTGAGGAATTGATGCTCATCATGTTCGACAAGTTGTTCCAGTTGAAGGAATTTATTACCTACGACAATGGAGTAAGAGACTACCTACACCAAATTAATTTGGGGGACCAAGCTCTAGCGCCTGTGATAACCCTTAAACAGTGCCTTGAAATGAGTTTTCAAGATTATAATCTTAAACTACAATGTATTCCATCTCCGGCCTTCATCATCGAAGTTCCTCGCCACCATCATTCAGTCATTCAATCAACGGTCATTGTTCCAAATCTGACATTAAACATGGACTCGTTATTGTCGAGCAAGGGCTCCGAGAATTCAAATACAGTGAAATTGATGAACTTGGTAGCAGTCATCTGTATTATCGATGTTCACTTTGTCACCTTTGTAAAATGTGGAAAGGGTGTGTTATCCCATTGGGTACTCTTCGACTCTAATCCGAGTGAAGAAAGACCAAAGGTGATGATGCGAATATACGTAGATACAATTAAATAGATGTTAAATAATATTAATACTTTATTTTATATTTCAGGTCGAAATCGTTACCAATATGGGAGAATGTTTGGAAAGTTTGGAGCACCAAGTTTTAACTAATCCTGCAAAGGTTTCTGAAAGCAAGCATAAATTACCACCACTTGTTCAAAAGCTGTTATCGGATATTTACGTTTGTATTTATTGTCCTGCAAGTATGGTTTAATAACCTAACTGATATAATTATTTCCTACACTAAGCCTTTGCAACTTGCCTTCGTACGCAAAAAATATCGATTCGCATTGGAGAACAAATGAACTAAATATTATTTATAAAAAAAAATAAGGATACATAGTTTATCGCATTGTATACTTACTTATTGTATATTGAATAAGTGAGTAGACGAACATAGGAATTGTAGAGTGATTCGCAATAAATTTTTATTCACTATAAAAAACCAGTATGTAATAGAAGGAGTTGTACAATGTATAAAATGGCAAAAACATTAATTCAAATCAAGAAACTTTCTCCATTACGTTTGTCTCCTTCTGGAGAATAGTAGACGCAAATATGGCTTTCGGTAATGATTCGTTTGAGATACAAATGCGTCTTGGCTAATTCGCGATATCTTCCTGGTTCTCTTTCCAACTACAATGAAAGCAGAACATGTTAGAAAAGTAAATCATATAAATACTATTATTGGAATTCGATAAATTTCAAGTTTTGCTATTTAACAAATAATACAACATTATTGTTTCGTCGTTTGCTCAAGTGACAATGGAATGTTAGTGGAAAAGCAAATTGTTCTCTTTTTCATCAAAGTCATTTTACCACGATTCATATATCGACTATTACCTTGTCCAGCCATCGACCAAAGTCATCTAGCAATTGAACCTGTACAATTAGTCCAGAATATTATCTCACTGAAGATGAGTATTTCCTGCATCATGTCTTCCGAAATGTTTAATTTCGCATGAATTATGATATTTTACAAACCTGGGGCAGTTCGTTTGATGTAGCCTCATAATACAACCACGGAGCATACGTATCCACTCCTGTTTTTACAAAAGTACTGTAATGGCAATTTTTGATGCAAATAACGGCCAACAAACTCAGTGTCACGTTTTTCTGAAGCTTTGGCACCAACACAGGATTGTGCCCCATGTGAAAATGGATTTGCTCCGACATCCTTTGACACGTTTGACAATATGCTAAAGCCACCTCCCCGTACGTCTTGTAGCAAACCTGTGTGATGTAATAATATGTCAAGTTAGCAGTTATTTTTACTTTTTAAAGTCGAGTATTAACGCATCAATGTGTGCTGTGATTTCTTACAGCACATTCAAATGTAGCAGCCATTTCGCATAAACATCTCTTTGGACCTGAATTGTAGAAACATGAAATTTCTAATTTTCACCATATCCCCATTGACAAAATAAATATGAGTCTACACACTTAAGATAGTATCCGAGATTTAACCTACCTTTATCCAACAACGGAGTAATGTTGAGTCGCATACTGGGCACGATGGCTTCGTAATAAACCAAACGCCCGTTGCACCGAGGCATACAGAGCATCAAGGCTGGAGATGGAAGTTCTTTAAACAATGAATTGTTGATTTCCATGCTAGTTTCTAGGAGAAATTGGACATCTTGGCATCGGGATCGGTCCTTCGGCTTCACAATGATTTGATGCATAAATTCCTTTGTCCCATTTGAATATTTGATAAACTCTGGGGTGTTGAGGGCATTTTCGAAGAGCAAATACAAGAACTCTTCAGAATCTATTACAATAATTTTTGTATAAAGAAAGCAAGATTCTTCTTATTTAAGTTCATCGTAATTATTCAAGGGATAATTACCCATGAAGGAAGAATTTAATTTTGATGATAGTGGAAGTAGAGCTTCTCGAAGATGACATACATTTTCCCAGCTACAGAATGCAGTGCTGAAAAATTATTAATTTGTCAGAATTTACAAAATCATATGCATACGATCATCAAAACTCAAAACTATCAATTGGATATATTTACGCCAAATATCCAAAAACTCATAATGATTTCAAAATCAATTTTCCAGATTTCATTCCTAACCCAGTTTCATAAAGTTCAATGTGAGATAGGTATTAAGTAAGATTACCGTCGAAGAGGTGTAACAATTTTGTTTCGTATAATTTTTTTGACTTCTTTCTTCATGGCTCGATCCGTATGTTCGTCCTCCTTGGTCAAAAGGCCATCAAAAATGCTGGAGCAGTAAAACAGTGCGAACAAGCTGACATCTGCGTAATTTGAGTGATAACCAGTCTGGATACCTTTGCCTTTACCTAAATTTTTCAACCATAAATAAGTACAGTAATTTTATGATGGTCCTTCAAATAAACAAATTCTCACAAACCGACGGCAGATTGAATATTTGCAATAGTAAATGGTTTTGGGAGTGGTGGCTCTGAGGTTGGACGATCATCCGAAATATTTGGAACAGATTTCACCTTGTTTCTCAGGCTTGACGGATTCTTCTTGTATCTTTGTCTTTCAGTTGTAGACACCTGTTTTTTATGGTCGGGCTTCTTGACATAATTTTTGGACTCTGTTGGAAGCGTCATGGAGGAGGAAGATTGTGATGGGATGTCAAATGCTGGCACGGAGATAGCATGGTGGTGAAAGTACCGAGATGGAAACTCACTTTCGTCATGATTGTGACTCTCGTGATAACTGGATAAGCTACCACCACCGATGCGATCTCTGCTGGTCTTCATCTCATATCCAGAGCTCGATACTTCTGGAACCATTGAACAAGAGCCACTTCGAAAATTTACATTGGGCTGCATGTTTTCATAATTCCTGGGAATTACTTCAGGACATGTTTTGTCGAAAGCAGAGGGTCGTTTAACGAGAAATGTGGAATAATTGTCACTCCCCATCATCATCATCACCTGTTGCTCTTGCTGATGATCTACGGGCGGGGGTGAGGACGGAAGTGGGGGTGGTGGAGGTGAGTCAGTCCCAGAAGTGTCGTTGGCAGAAGTGGAGATGCTGGTTGTTGAGGCTGGCTCAATCTGTTGATCATCTCTGGGTCGATTTCTAATTTGATAATCATTGTCCGAAACTGAGACGTGCTAAAATTTTTAGTTTACATGCATAAATAAAACCATGTACGCATGTTAGTAGATTGACGATTAGAATATAAATGTCTTACTGAAACTTGTGGAGTGGTTGTCGCCGGGTGATCACCGAAAGCATGCAAATTGTCTGTAGACAAAGATATCGTCTTTTTCATCTGATTCCGACGAGCAACTTCAGCGACTTGTTTCGCTAGCACATTTCGGGCGCTTTTTCTTAATGAGGAACTATAGTTTTCAAGCGTAAACTCCTCTTCCTCTGATACTTGGCTGTTCAAGTTATTGAAACTTTTAGCCTTTAAATCCGGACCAGATGAACTCACTGGTTGATAATCATCGTGTATTTCGACAGACTGAGAGTGAAAGTACTCTGTGAGTGGTCGCATAGTTCGCGATGGATTTCTTCGTACAGTAATACTTGTAGAATTTGGATTACTTTCTAAACATGTCATAATTAATTTTTTATGTAGAACAGTTTCCTACGTATGTATAAATAGAGCGTATTAAAAATGCTACCTTCATCAGGAGTCCTTGAAGTTTCAGATCGAACTAATTTTGGGGAATTGTGCAAATCAATCAAAACATTTGTATCATTGAAGCTGGACGTTGAAGTGGTGTCGCCTCTCGTTGGGATTGCTTCATTCTCTTTATCGGTACCAGTAACAATTGTGGTTATTGAAGAGCTTTCGTCGGAAGATGACTTCCTGAAACTGATATCTTTGCTACTCTCGGACTCTTTGGAAGTTTGCTTAGTCAGTTTGTTCCTGTTAATGGAATCATTATCGCTACGGTCTGCCATCACGGAGGGCAATATTTCCAATTTTTGGTGTTCTTTATTGTTGTTCACATTTTGGTGAGAAGTTTCGTCTTGTGTCCTTGTAGTAATTATTGGTGGTGGTGGATCTTTAACTTTGACTGCATTGTTTCTGGGGATTATTGGCGTTCGATAAGGAACTGCATCGGCCATAAGTTCCCAAAGGGGCATTCTCAATATTTTTTCTTTCTTCACTTTTGTTTTTTCCTATCAAATGGTTTAAATTATGTTTTGTATATCACCCATGAAACTCTTCAAACTATGGTTTGTGCTCACCAATTTTATTTCGCAAAATACTTTTCCCCTTACAACATCCCTATCCTCAATTATTCCCCACCGTTTGGACGGCTTATAGTAAATTGCGTCTCCTACCTCCCATTTTGGCTCCACTAGAAGAAAATTTGCTTGGTCAGACATTTAGCAAAAAATTGCATGTAGGTATTTAGTACACATGCTTATATGACCTTACAATATTGAATGTTTGTTCCAATTATTTTATGAGGTCCATCAATCAACATCGCTCCGATATTTTTTCTCAAGAACGCTGAAAAATAAAAATTTATATTTATATTTATTTGATGTACATATGTATTCAAATATCACCTTTGTAAGGTATTACGGTGTCTACAGGATATGTGTTTCGATGGCCATCCTATATGTAATTGATAGTCAACATATTTTGATCTCATTACAAGTTGCAGTTTAAGAAGGACATTATGCATGCATACCAAAATTGCTTCCATCTGTCCACCCTGTGCACATTTTTGGCCTTTATAAATTGCACTTTGAATTTTTCCATCAGTAGAGCTCAGAAAAACTCGGTTCCCTTTTCGCAAGGTCTTGTCCATTCCTTAGAATTAAAAATTCGCAATGATTCAAATTTGAGGTCCATTTAGAAATTGAGACACTTATACATATTCCATTAAATTTATGCACGTACGTTGAAATAGCTTGTCACATACATACTCTTCACACATTTCTGTCGGGACGCAACGTATGAAGTGAAGAGGTGAATCAAATCCTAGTTCTCCATAAGGAACACCCAGTGACCTGAGGTCTGCAGAGATTTGAAAATAATAAATTAATCGACAATCAAACTACAGCAGTTGAGAATGACATGAATGAAATTGATCCTACCATCACTGCCTTCGGAACTATGAATAAATCGGACAATTTTCCTCTGATAAAACTCCAAACTCTTGACGGGACGATATTTTGTTAAGAGGTCCATATTTTAACTTGGTGTTTTTACTTTGGATATTTGACGCGTATTCTTATTTTTCCTTTGTTAATGTGTGCGTGAGGAAGTAGGAATAGTTCTCAAATATTTATTCTTGGACGCAAACTGTCTGATATTTTAATGTGTCACAGGAAACTGGCTTTGTTAGCTACATACATAAGTATGTGTACATACGTACAACTGTACATTTGTGTAGTAATTTTTCCCGTGGTATTTGCGTTGTTTTCGCCTATTTCCCAAACAATCTATTTTTGTTTATATTTTAGTGCAATATTATGTACTCGAAACAAAAAACAACATAATATTAAGCACAATGGAGAAATTGAAAATTTATTACGTGAGGATTGCTTAATAATTTCTTTTGCCTTTGTACAACCCGAAATTTCTTTTTCCACTTGTAAACGTATATTTGTATGTGGGCGATAATGGCTAAATACCACAATTCCACTCCAGCAAAGGTGTAATGAACCGTTTGGTCTGACTATGATTACCAACCTGTGCCAATTTAATGACGTTGCGTGTATGTATTTAACTTGGAAATGTATGTGTCATCATCTACATCAATGAATAAATAAGTTTGGCTTATCAGCGGTATGTATCCTGTGATAAAGGTATATAAGCAAAATAACAATCATTCATCAACATCGACGCGAATTTAAAGAATACTTTTCTTGCACTTCAAGACTGCATTTTATGTTTGGAGTTAATAATCAGAGACTTTTATGTCTGAAAACATACAAATAACTTCAATGGTATCCAAGTTTTTAAATCACTGAGAATGCATTATTTAACGTGTGTGCTGCTTCCGGGCTATTTACAAAGAAAGCTATCAGTGAAGCTATTTACAACGTGATATGATTCATCCACCTATCAAAAGATTTATTTTTTTTCCCGTGTTGGTTATGGTTTGCAAATGTTATCTTCTTGAGCCTGGATCGGCAAAGAGAAAGATTCATATATTAAATTGCGTATGCAAAATTCAGCCAATAAGAACATGTGTGTTTTATTCGTATTATATTTATGTGCATATATCGTTATCAAATTATAAAGCATGTAGAAATACAAAGAAGTGAATCGACAAAAAACATAACTTGTACTCATAATAAAAATAGTACAGCTTGTGTAGTGTAATAATAAATAACAACTGTGTACAAATGACCCGATTATTTTTCATCAGACGAATGAGAAATAACTAGACCAATGAACTCTTTTCTCTGGGCTTGTAAATGCAAATATGAATATTCGACAAAAAATGGTTCAGTAGGGGATGTACAAACGCCTCATTGTATTTTCCTGGGTATTTCTCCAGCCTATCGATCCACATCCCCAAATTTTGCTCCAGTGAAACCTAAATTGAGATAAGAGCATAGCAAATAAAGGAAATCACCCACAAATGTAATCGTATTTGATGGTGATAATCAAAGATGTGTTACTTTTGGGTTGTCAATTTCAGCAGCGTCATAAAACAACCAGGGAGATGCTCTCTCTAGACCACACTTGACGAATGAAGTGTAATGACCAGCTTTCACGCAAATAACGGCCACCAAGTCCATTGAATAGGCAGTTTGAATGATTTCGACCAAAGAAGAATCGTGGGCAAGTTGGAAATGAATTTGGTCAGAAAGAGATGCACAGTTGTCGCAGTAGACTAAGGCTTTGTCACTGGATTTATGTGTACATTGCAAACACTCGTACGTTGCAACCATCCCACAAATGCATAGTCGTGGCCCTATACATATATAACAAATTCGGTTAGATAAAGCTACGGCTCAGTGGGGGCATAAACTCACCATTTTCCAAAAACTGGGACACATTAATAGTCAAATTCGGAATGACGGCTTCATAATGTACCAGTTTATCTGAATTGCGTGGAATTTCTATAATAAGGGCTGGACTTGGAGGCGTTTTAAATTTGGAGCTTTCCATAATTGTCAAGCTGTTTTCCAAAAGCTGTTGCACGGTGCCACTTTTGCAGAGGTCTCTAGGATCCAGTACCAGTTGATGCATATAGTCTGTCATACCGTTCGAATAGCTGATGAATTTTCCCACCTTCAAGGCACGGTCGAACAAAACGAGTGTCATAACCTCTGCGTCTACAATTCATCATGAATAATAAATATTAACATTTCAGTATATAAATCACACAAGATAATAATAATAAATCAAGCACAAAACTTACCACTGTTTATCGAGTTAAAGTCAGGGCTGGCGTTTTGAAGCAACTCCTTCAGTTGTCGAACTGCAACCCATTCACAATAACCTGATTGCCTTAACGGATGGACAATGCCATCCCTCAACAGGATTCTAATATCCCGAGCCATTTTGTCCTGTTCGAAACTACTGCCGTATAACAAACTCGTGTCGAAAGTGTTGGTGGCATAAAACATGGCAAATAGGATTGTCTCAACACAACAGGTTCTATCTCTGGATGGGATTCCACGACGTACACCTGAATAATTTATACTCATGTATTTACAAATTGCGAAATTTCTTGACACCTCTGTATGCACAAACTTACCACATGCAACTTCAACCTCTTCTTCTTGGAAGGGAGGAGGAATTCTGTCAGCATCTTCGTCTCCGGACGGTGATACTGGACTTGCCAGCTCAATGTTGATCTCGGGGACTGGTGTCACGGGAGGGTCTGGGCTTGGAACAAACCTTACTGTGGGAGACTTACATTCTTCATCGATAGCTGATGGCTCCTGGTTAATTTCTATTGGATCTACGGATTGGGGATGGGCAACAACGGGCTCTTGGAAATTCTGCTGTTGTTTTGGAGAGTCGGCTGAGGGGGATAAAGGCAGCCCTAGTATTTCGGGTGTAATCAATTCTTCCACTGTGATCACATAGTCATCGCCTTCTCTCGCCAGTGTCAAAGGTTCAGATGTCAAGACTCGGTCCTACATGATTAGTTATGCGAAGTGTTCAAATCCCCAAATTATTACAATTTGTGTGCTAATATATGTATGCGTTAACGAGAAACTTACAAATTTTACCACTGCGGTATACTTATCGGTCCCATCTTTATACAACTTCTTTACAAATCCTGGAATTGGCGTTCGCGTGGCTCCGTTGTACCAAATAACACGATCCCCGATTTTCACTCCTTTAGGAATGGCGTCTAAAAGAGGAAATACACAAGTCAACAATAAATCATAAATTAATGTCAAGATGTGCTACCAATTTCTTTTCTTTGTTTCATGGCAGATTTCAAGTTATGAGAAGATGGAGTGAGGGGTTCATCGGAAGTTGGAATTGGTGGGGGAGGTTGAGATGGAGGAGTTGGTCGTGAAACTGGTTTTGGCAAGGTGGTTGGTTTCACTGTTATTACTGGCGATGGAACGTCCCGACTCTCATTGGAAGTCGACAACCTTATTGGTTTTGGTAGTTTGCTCTCTTTGAACGATGTTTTCTAATTGCACAGAAAAAAATACGGATAAAAATTGTGGCCCAAATAATTATACCTAGTTTAAACATAGTCTACCTTTTTCGGCTTCTGAGTTGTCTCATCATTTGACTTGTGTCCAAATCCAAACAATCCAATTGGTGTCGTAAATATTCTATGTTTTGGAATTGTTGGATCTGGTTGTTTTGGCTGTAAGGCTGGCACAGACCTTGGTGAGCCTGGGCTATGTGGGGATTCGTCCTGTGAATCATATATGTCATGAATTTCTGATTTATAACCTCTTCGATCATTCCATGGCTGGATATCCACCAAAACGGAGGCTGATTTTGACTTTGGCCGAGATATATTTGTGGCACCAAGGGCTTCATTGTTATCAATGTACAAGGAGTCAGGACGTCTCTCTAGTCTGTCCCCCAAACTATCTCGTCTCTCCATTGATGATCCCTTGGATTTTGTGAAAGAGAAAGTTCTTGTGAAACTATCTCTCAGGGAGCTCTTGGGTTTAGATTTTGGTTCTGTAGGGTAACGCGGAGTGTCCTCGATCACTGCTACCATTTCTGCACCCTGTATATTGTAAAGTAAAGATCAAGTAACACTACGATTTTCATGGAATAAAATGTAAAAATTCGTCAATAGAACCTCGAAAGATGAGTCTTTTGTGATATCATCGTGTGTAGTCGTTGGCTTTTGTTTTTTGGAAGAAGAAAACCCAAAGCTAAAGGTTTTTCCTTTGCTGCCTTTTCTTTTCGGGGTGTTGGCATCGGGTGTGGATTGAGGTGGTGGACTATTCCAAGGAGGTTGTTGGTCATCATGCTATGAAATATGAAATTGGTCAGGCCAATTATGATAAGTTTAGTTTATGTCTAAAGTGATTGTAGATAAGTACCTTCACCTCCAGTGAATCTAGAACTAGGAACTCTTGATCCCCCATTTGCTCAGTTGAAGATAATTCATCACTTGGATTATTAGTTACATCATTTGTGGTCGCAGTTGGCATCGGCGTTGGCTCAATGTTAGATTGTCTTTTAGGTTTTCTACGAAAGAAACTGCTCTGTCCATTTTCGTTACTCAATTTCCTTCCAACCTGTTTTTCATGCGATAGTTTATAACAATTCGACAAGATATATTTACATGCATAGGTATGTAGAAATACATAATATCATTGTCAACCTAAAATCTATGAATGCATGTGTGTACGTACCTGGTCTTGTCTCGAATCTTCGCTTGCATGACTTATAGAATCCGTGTCAGCAGGATTGTCCTGTTGTTCTAAAGACTCATTTCTCACTGGAGGCTTAGGATGAGTGGTGTAATCTTTTGGAGGAAGTGGCTTCGCTTGTTTGGAAAAAATGCCTCCAAACGATCGAAATGGACTCTTATTTTCCTTCGTTGCTGGTTTACTAAACTTGAATCCAACATCCTATTTTCATGCAAAATTCATGTTTAAAACATTTGCTCAAGTTGTAATTCTAGTTGTAATAATTTGGATACCTTAATTGCAGGTGAATATGGAGGCGTTGTGTCTGAATCTTGGTCTGACCCTTGTCGTTGTTCAGAAAACTTATTCTTGACTAAGGGCAAGGAAACAGGGACGTCTTCTTTGTTGTTCCCGTTGGTTTGAACGGACTCCTCCTCGCTGCTTTCTTCAAATGAATCAGAGCTGTGTTTCCGGGTGGGTTGAACATTGCTTGACGTTGGTGCAACATCATTTTTTCTTTGTGGTGATGCTAGATTCAATTGTGTCTGATTGGCACTGGGTCTGACCAACGTTTCATTCATGGTCTCTGTCACAGACCTTTTAGGCGACTTAATAACCGTCGATGGAACATCAACAGGAAGTTCGCGGTGGTGATCGTCACTAGACAGCCGGACTTTATCAGGTCTCCGATGAACAGGGCTTGGACTTCTGTCCTTTCTCATGAACGATGGCTCATCAGCTGGACTATTTTTGCTTTGACTTTCTGAACTGCCCAACCTTTTTATTACACTTTCTGGTTCAACGATTTGTTTGCTTTTGGACTTGTTCTTGGAGAAAAATCCAAATTCTCGTTTGGGTGATGTATGAATTTGCAAAACTGGTGCGACGACTTGAACCTTTGGTTCTGTCTTTTCTTTTGTTTTTTTCTTGCGACCAAGTGAAGCCAAATTGAACATTGGTTTGTGGGTTGGTTTTGATTTCAATGGAGCCTGTTCTAATTGTTCTAATCCTTTTTGTACCTCTGCTTTTTGCTTAGATTCCAATTTGTAGAGATCTTGCCCTGGTTCACTGTGAGCCCTATGCAAATGAGTCTCATCTTCCTCGTCAGTCTCAGAACGAGAATCCTCATCTCTCCTCGCTAGTTCAATTGCATGTTCGGAATGTGCGTGATCCGATTCACTGTGGTCACTTTCTTCGGTGGCAGAATCCTCCTCATCATCATCACCCTCGGAAAGTTGGCTCTCTGATCCCGAATTATCATGATCATCGTCAGATTGTTGTTGTGGTGGAGGTCTTTTTGGGGTCCCTGTTTTACCCGGTGATACGACTACTTTTTCTTTTAATGCAATAAAAACTTCATCCTCTAAATCTGGTGATTTGGGGGGTGGTGTTGTCGGAGGTGGTGGGGGCACATGTCGTGGAGGGGTTGGACTACTTTGGCTACGCGACTGACTTCCTGATTTCTCATCTTTAGGACCGAGCTCATCAATAAATTCAGCCATTGACAGTGACCTACTCATATAAGGTTCATCTGGGGAAACAATTTTACCACTTGTAGGTTTTTCTGGGTCCTGAAACATAGATTTTTGCCGTCTTAATCATTTTGCTCTTCCCCACATTTCAAATGCAGAAATTCTGAGATAACGTGGGTATGTATGCACAGTCAACAGTAAATTTATCCTTGGGTTACATTATATGTGAGACAAACAACTGATATAATAATGCATGATTATAATTCTCGCGACCCAGCTTATCATGCGTATGCAAATATTCATTCTGCATATTTGCAAAAAACAACTCGTCACTTACATATACGAGATCCACCACCCACTCATCATCAATGCGACCTGTCCAAAGTATGGTAGCCCATTTGCCTTCAGTTGGCAAATGAACCCGATCTCCTGGCTTGTACCGTTTTGCTACGGCCACTTTGATTTTAACAAAATAACAAAAACCCTTGTAAAGCAACTTATTAGACAGAAAATGATGAATGCTTAGCATGTTTATTATGAAAATTCGGCTGCGTAGTGCGTACCTCTAACTGCAGACCGTCCTGGAAGAAGATTGAGTGGCATGGAATCCTTCCTTGGAGGCAGACCTATGAATTGCCTGAGAAATGCTTTGTAAGCAAAAACCTCATCGACTGGAATGCAAATTGAGAAAAATTAAATATTTAAGTATATATGTCTACTGTAATTTTACCACAATAAAATTTCATTTTACGCAATACCTGACACCAAAGCACGATGACCAGGTTTACAATAAAACAAGCCCTTGCCGTCGACAATTCCAAAGGGGACAGCTTTTTTCCGGTCCTAATTTAAGTTGAATCAAAATTATTAAGTCTTGTACATATTTTCTGGAATTACATAATACGCACGTGGTACTTACAAGTTGCAACCCCATACATCGCTGACCCTCAATGGAGCCTTCCCATTTTATTATACCTGCCAGATAAAAAGAGTTGCATAAATCCAGTTAAATTTTATTTACTTCTCCTGGCTGACCTGGCTCTGCAATACCGTCTCGCTCCCAAATCACTTTATAATCTTTCCGCAAAGTAGTGTCAGGATTTACTACGAGAATAATTAATTTCAATGTTCATTGTATATTTTAAATACAATGCCAATACATAAAACACACATACACTGAGCTTTGTAGGGTTCGTAAACTTCGGCTGGAATGTCTCTAATAAAATCTCCAATTGTAGTGTAACCCATCTGTTTTAGTGGCATGTGAAGGCTTCCCACATCTACAATTTTATTTTTTAACATAAAATAAATAAAGCATCAAATCATCGTGGACCAAATACAACCCAAACACTTAGCTTTTACCTTCTCGGCCCTCTCCCTTGTACAGGAAGCACAAGAGCCGATGTCTCCAAAAATTGGTGTCCTTTCCTTTGAGACTGGCGTTGGATGCAAAAATTCCCATCGACCTTTGGACATTTTATTTAAAGAATTACAAATCAAAATAGACATAGCAATTTTGAAATTGAGTAAATTTCCTTGAGGAGACTGACCTTCGGCCTGACATGCCCCTTTCTAGCGGAGCTTGATGCCTGTGCTGGGCTTTGACAGGGTACTTGCCACTGTTATCACTCACGCAGTCAAACAGTCCCATTTTGCCGTCGTACGTGAGCTATATTACTTTAAAGCCAGCACTAAATAATGAGTTTGTTTGACTTTCACTTGGTAATTAAACCCAATTTGCATTCAAAGCAAGACTCGTGGTCTTTGCAAGTCTTTAAAGAAACAAAATAAAATTTTTACAAACGACAAAAGTGCTCTGACTCATTCATCCTTTGTAAATGCAGATAACTGGCGTTGGTGTGAATGATGCACGACCAAATATAATTACCAAACAAAAAGATCACCACCATCACCTTTACATATGTACATACATATCAGGGTTAAAATGGGTGACGGGTTGTGAGCTACCTCTGATGCTCATTATCGACGACGACGAAGGTAATTGAGTTGATGTTGATGATAATATTGCTGATGGTTGCATTGGTGTGGCCGTATCAACAACGGAGATAAGATTGGCACAAGTGGGAGCGGATTTTATTTAGCAAAATCGGGGGTATCTGCACAGGAAAGTAATCCAGGTTGGCGGATTGGGGAATATGTAGATAGCACATTTCAGGTCATCTTCTTAGCCTGATCAGAATGAACATTATTGCGCAGAATAATACCGTCCATGTATCCACACTTTGCTGCATTTAATTTTAGTGTATGTATGTATGAATTTGTTACGGAACCAAGTAAATCGAACAATGGTTAATTCCTTGCGTCAACACCACATCACAAAGCACAGTAAATTCGACTCAACACTCCCGTTAACACTTGATTAAATCTGAGCATGGTTTTACCTAATGTTCCAAAGAATAAGTGAAAATCATTCCGAGTTAATATGCCTCATTTCCTCCCCCGAGTCATTATTATCCCACCTCATTATCATGCTTTGCTTGGTGATGATGAGTTTATTTACAAACCTGAGAGTGAGTAATTAACATAACAGCAAAGCGAGACAAATCGACAGTCAACTTATTATTGATGGATTCACACTCTGATCCTGTTTATGCTTTAGCATTTAATATTTAGCATCCTCCATGACCTTGGCGCAAGCTTATAGCTTAGTAAAATTGTAGCTTCATCTTGTGTAGTTTGTGACTAATGCTAGTCGTCTCACTTTCTCATCGCTGCACAGCCAGCTATTAAAAATCGATCGGAATTTATTACTAGAGGTGGAAATCACTAATCGATGCTTATATTAGGAATCTACTCGGGAGTTGGGAATATGAGACTGCTACGTAGCACGTATTGTTTAGAACGATGTAAACATTTTAGTGCTTTGTGAGAAATGATGTGAGCATGATTATGTGCATAAACCAAAATCATGCACTTATGTACGTACTGTACGTGCGAGCATGTGTTAGTATATTTTCAATATATTTTAATTCAAATATAAAACCAAACTAACGAACTCAATATTTTACGCAATTGTACAGCGATGTGCACTACCTAGAACTTTTTATAGTACGCCGCGACAAAGTGAGAGTCTTCGTTCAATTTTTCTGCTTTGATAAATTTGTGGACAAACAGCATTTGAGGTGGAACCTTGATAAACAATAAAACATTATTACCATCAAGTACCCTGACGAATCATAAATATGTGCACATATCATAATTTCACATAATACATACCCTGATGATGTCGGCGATGAAGGACATTGACAAAAAAAGGCCATCCCTTTGATAATAAGCGCCAGTGACTACGGCAAGGATACATGACCCCAGAAAATGAAGCATCATGGCAAACATATATTGCTGAAGTCCCACTAGCTTTCTCTAAACCGTTGTTATTTATTACAGATAAATTCCATGTTACATAAACTGTTAAACTGATGACTTCTCACTTACGGTACGAACGAAATATAACAGGGGGACTTCCCAAGCCACAACTATGGCGGACAGAAATATGCCAATTCCACACATGTAGTAGGTCGCACTATCTGGTCACGTGGTTGAGCAAAATTGTTTGTATTTAAGCAAAAGGAAAATATTTTCATCTGTCGAGCATTACCTTCGTAGTGATCGTAAAGTTTTGAAATATGGAGCGCAATCACAACAATTTTTGCAATTCCCATTACCTAAAATATCCAAAAATACATTTTGCATAATTGGATAGGATTTTTGAGTAATAATATTTTACAAATATTTTGGACCAAGCTTACAATCCCAAATACTCCCACGATGTAAATGAATGTTTCAAATTTTGCAAAGTGAAAGCAGCATCTCGAGTCCTTCGCACTTTGTTCTCTTCGTGGTCGTGGAACTGGGGATGGGTGCGGAGTTGAGGGTGGTGCTACTGTAATTTCTAAAGCATTGGAACTGGCACTTGTTCCCGGGGCGTTACCCGGGACCGCGTCTACTTTCTCCATTTGTACTTTAGTACTTTCACTTTGTTTAAATCTCCATTGTTCCAAACCTCGCTATTTTTTAATCTGACAAGTTTCCATTAGAAAACATCCATGCTACCATAATCAACTTTAACATACTAATATCTTGAATAAACTAGGAAAAGAGAACTAACCACAAATATCACGAAAGGAAGTGGTGGTAAATTTTTAGTATCAATCATGCATGCACTTATTTACTGTAAGACGTACAATTTAAGTGCAAAATAGTATTATTGTGGCTCAGAAATGCGATTAATCGTGTCATATATACACAAATTCTTATGATGCTACTTCTGTCAATGCGTGGAACATTTAAGGATAAGTATGTATGTACGTATAAATTTCATGCATGCAGAGGGAATCAATTTAGCATTGGTATTTTTATTTAATATGATAATCTGATATTTATCGGTATTAACAAAACCATCAATTATCAACATTCAACATTATCTACATATTGGTAATAAGATGATACGATTGACAATAATATTGTGTAAGCAGAAAGCTGATCAATGTATCAATAACGACTTTAAACATATATGTATACGTGCATATTACAAGTAATGCAGAACAGAGTAGTATAATAAATCACGATTCAAATTCTCCGGCATATCTAGGAAATTGGCTTCCAATTTTCTTTTCAAGCTGGCCATGCAGTTTTTTCCAGTGGCTCCTAAAAAATAAATATTTTGTACCAATCATGTATGTATACATGATGTAATGAATGACTTCAAACCGTACTTACCAAGAACGTTACACCAATACTTTGTTTTATTTGTTACAATGCTGAGCTTGCTTTGTTCAGGTATGGGCTCCACAATAATTTCTGGAGTGATCACTTTATTTAGTTCCATCAGTTCCATATCCAACATCTTGGATTCCTCAATAAATTGCAGATTCCAGGATTCACTCTCACAGAAATATTGCCTCATTTCATGCTTAATTTCTGCGTTTGATTTCAAGACGTTTCGAATCCTCTGTTGTAATTCGACTCCTCTTTCTTCAAGGGATTGGAGATCACTTGAAATTATTCCATTATCGAAAGTATTTTCGTTTCCAGATTGGACGCTGACATCGACGATAGTTTCTGGATTGTTGGTGATGTGGTAATTGGTGTTATTACGCTGGTTATCCAAGTTTTCTCTAATTACAAGAGTGGATTGCTCCAGACGTCGAAGTTCTTGGGCAAGATGATGAATGGTTGATTGCTCCCGATTCGTGGAAACACCTCTCCAAGTGGGTGGGTTGATGGAAGGCATTTCAAATTTTGAAATTCTGAATCGAGATTAAAATTTGCAAGTCAACGATGCCGTATGCAAATCGGGTATGTAGATTTGTAGTTGAGGCAGTTAAGTATGTATCTAAGTACGCGCATACGACAAAATAAAATATGGAGTACGATTGCTCATAAAGTAATGTCTACAAGTCATTTGATAAGTTGGTCATCAGAGCAACAAATATTATTTTGTATGTGACAAACACAAATATTTCCCGAATGGCACATATAAGTCGTCTTCCGGGTTTACTTTCACCAGTACCAGGTTTGTACATAGATTCAGATCAGATTCAGATCCAAGAACTGTTTTCGTCGCATTCTACGTATCTTATTACTCAAATACAAAAATTAAACCGTGTCAATAGGTAACCATTTCAAATAAAATTCTTATCCAGCTTAAAATTCAAACATTTCCTGGTATAAATGCCCACGCTATAAATAAAACCACCTCTGACTTCATTTTGTTCTTACTCATTTCATTCTTTCTTACGCTCGCCCTTTCCACAATGACAGGATCTATGATGACACATAACTTTTCGCGTCTCACAGATTCCCAAAAATTAGATAAGCTTCTTCAAGGGTTTGACAATTTGCAATCGCAATACGATCACATCAAGCAGGTAAAAATTATTCCGGTTGCACATACTCGTACATATATTTCCCATATTTTGTTCCTTATATAGCTTTTACAGCTTATTTATTTTCACAAATATTTTTTGCACAGGATTATATTGTTCTTCTCGATGAGTGTAAACAGTTGCGGGAGGAGAACAAACGGTTGCGTCAAGCTCTGAATTTGATGAGCACCAACTGCAGAAAGGATTTTCAACAGTGCGAACTTCTGCTGCAGGAGATCGAAGAGCTGAAGGACACCGTCGCCCAGGGGAAAACTGTCCTCGAAACGTTCAAGACGAATCTGGAGGAGAAAAACGCACAACTTTCCGCAACCATCGACGCCCTCAAGAGAGAAAAGTCCAAGAAGTGTCCTTGTCTGACGTGCAGATTTCTCTCCTGGATTTCGACTAAAAAATAGCTTAATTAATTTTCAGCACTTTACTACTTGAAAATGATAGATTTAGCTTTATGTAATGCATAATAATATTTAAAATTTTAAACAATGAAGACTTTTTTACGTTTTACTAAAATAAACTTTGTAAGGTGATATTTGGTTTGTTATTTCGTCAATACGAGTTTTGCATGAAATAACATATGTAGGTAGGTAGGAAGCATTACTTCCGGATGAGAATGGAGCATAAATAAATATTATCCAACTGCCACAAACAATCGAGTGGATGACCGATTACGTTAGTCGTCTGATAAAAACGAAATAATACGTTATAGTTTAGTCACAAGTCAAATCAATGTTTTATTAGTATTATGAATACATGAAAGATTTATTTCCTGGCAGTCACGACAAATTGTCAACCGTTCGTATCATTCACCATCCTTGCCAAGACAGAACATATAATTTTTTGTTTATTCCGTCTTGAGAACAATGTCGCGGTCATCAGTTTCCGAGAAGTTTGAAAAATGCTGTGGTGATTCTGGAGAACTTAAAGAGATTCATAAACTGTTAACCGTCATTACGAACATTACCAATCATATTGAAGTTCAAAACGAGACTATCATCAAAGTAAAGATTTGCAAAAAATTTTCCTAAGCAAACTATAATATGCAGCAACATTACATATTGCAAATTGTATTAATTGAATATTTTCATAGGAAAATCAGAAACTTCAAGATGAAAATGCAAGTTTGGAGCTGCAGCTAAAATTATTGATTCAGAAGAACAAAGAGATGAATAGCGACGTCGAGCAACTCATTTTTCAAAATAAGGAATTCCGTGAATCGCTGGACCAATTCAAAAATGAGGTAATTAATAAATCCACAATTCATCATTTGGCCCTCAGCACATTTTATATTAAAATACTCAATTCTGCAGAACAATCGACTAAGAGCACAACTGAAACAACAGAACACGAAATTACGTTTGGTCATTGAGACACTGAAATCGGAAAATGCTAAACTGAGGTCGGATACACGTACTTATTTACTTATGTACATATTATTGTATTGTACATTCTTAAGGATTGATAATTTATACTTGAAATTTATGAAAAAGGTCGGATATTGACGAAGGCGTGAAAATGCTCAAGTGGACACAGGAGGATAAGAAGAAAAAGAATACATTCTGGAAAAATTGTATGGCATAACATGAAATGCGTTGTGATGCGAATCATTTTCATGCATCTAACACGATTCTTTTTCAGGGTGTCCGTCGGTGCAATCTTAAGAAACATTAGATTTTATCGGTTTTTAATAAACAATAATTATTCAAGTATTTATTTAAGTTATATTGGAAATAAATAACGTTTTATAATCAAGTGCATTTTCTATCAAACCTCATTTATTTTTCATACTTATATGTATTTGAGATAATTACAGAATTAGCAAGTATACATCCCAAAATTAAATATTTACTATATTATCGTTCGCGATTGTCCTGAATTACAAAACTCTGTGACTTCCTGTTCCTTTTTCTTTGGGCCAGGTTGCCTGCCGTCATCTCTTCGTTCCCACTCCTTCGCCTTGGTGGGGACCGGGGAAAGCCCTTGCTGGCAATCGCACTGGTCAAGGCGTTGACAATTTCCGAGGGTTGGTCATTGTCTTCCAACATGCAACGATTTAAATTAGAGTTAGCTGTAAATTTTCCACGGTTGCACTGGTCCTTGTCCTTGTCCTTGGGCGTTTTCTTTGTCGTGGTTTCGGAAATCTGTAATTAAAAGTTACAATGCGAACAGAAATAAGGAGAACAAATAAGTAAATTTATTTTCAATTACCTTTGGTTCTTGGGGGAATAGCTTTGTATTTGTGGACAATGCATGTTTAAAATCTTTGACAAAGTGAGCAATGGTGTGGAAAAATTCAATGAGTTCCTCCCCCTTCACCTCAAACATGCCAAAAAATTCTACCAATGCTTTCAAATTTTGGACTGCCCTTCCCCATTCTTCGCGAACTTGCTCATGTTTCAGAACAATGCTGTCGACATGTGACAATGATTCGGTTAAGCTGGTGAGCTGGAATATGTACATAATTTTATTATCGAAATTTAGAATACGTTAAATAAGTAAGGACCATTTACTTACGACAGTCATCTCGTCTTTTAAATCGTGTTGAGTAGCTAACATTTCTTTGCGAACAGTCTGAATTCCTTCGTCCAACTCTTGCAGCACTGTTCCCACCTCCTTCAAGGATATTTTGGACGCTTCGCCAATAAGAAAATAATTTGTTATGTATAAACAGACTTTTTGATGTCGTTTCCGGTTCCTATTATATTAGATAATAAGCGAACGACTTTTGATATATGAAACTTTACCATCGTCAATATATTCGAAATCGTCGTGAAAATTCACAGCCATCGGCATGCTGTCGCATATTTGCTTTACGATGTAGTTTAATAAATTCATTCCAGATTTGGATGACCGTTTCCTTGCTAAACGACTCAGGCTCTAAATATTTTAAATTCAAAAAAAGTATTATTGTAGATTTTAATAGTTCTCGAATTATGGATTTACAGAAACGAGTTAATTCACCTGAATTTGAAACCCTTTAACTTCCTTCCCATTTTTAACAAACTGATTGACCACTGTTAAAACAAATTGCAAGATTATACGAAATTTTTCAGAGTTTTTAATCGAATTAATCGCTCCTTCCAAGATCGTTATTTTTAGCTGTATAGGACTAATGGCGTCATTAAAGTTGTGGAGAAAGTTGAGAGCGTTCAATTTATCGCTCAGTCGAGGAATTTCTACCAAAGACTTCATGATTTTGTAACATTCTGGCAAATTGCTGCATTGCTGATCATTCAAACTAGAAAATTTGAGTTCCTGCAAATTTTAGAATACATATGACTTAAGTCTCAAAGCCGTTAATTACTTCCAGTTTCTATAAATCAAAATAAAATACCTCATTATTATCCTTTGGAATCATTTGTAACAGCACCTGAACGTGTTCAGTGTCTATTTTCTCTTTATTTAAGGTCTTTATTGCTTCAGGTATCATGGGATTTTCTTGTAATTTTCGCCCTCCGATTTCTAACATAAGTAGCAAGAATCAAGTATTAATCTGTTGCTAAAAATAAAATCGCCTATTTAAAAGCACGAAACTCTTTATTTTTCTTGCCTATGGCTTTCTTCAGCTTGGGACTCAAAGACATGATCGGATCCCGAATATTTTGTGAGATACTGCTGCTACCAATAATGCTCATGCGTCTATTTTCTGAAATAGGCCATAAAATTATTTTTAAAATTAATCAATTAAAAATTACTTAATTAATACCATTTTCAGGTTGTTCCATGCTAGAAAAATTCTGCTCCAAGAATGCCACGTCCAAATGAAGTTTTAATTTCAAGTCGGTCCCTCCCAAGGTGTGAAATATGGTTTCGCTGTATCGTCGCTCGTCCAAGGGCACGACGGGAAGAGAGGAGTATGCACCAGCGCTTGTGTCGACCTCTGCGGACGGCATGGGTGGAGGAGGAGGTGGTACAAATGGAGGTGGGGACTCGTCATCCTCCTCATCATCCGGAGACTGGCTCAGAGTAGCGGGGGCTGCTGATGGTACTTCCGGAAGTTGGGTTGGGGTCGAGGAGGACGACTCCTCCAGCAACAGCAAACATTCCTCCACGTTCTCAAAAGTGGGATATATTATTGAAGTGCTTACAAAGTTGACATGATTTGTCTCAGAAATGGTTTCTGTCACAATGTCCACCATTTGCTGATAGAGACACTCTGGAATTCTGTGGATTTCGCCGTTTGTTGATTGTTGAGATTTGTCCTCTTTCATGCATTTATTCTCGGATAAATTTGTGTCATCTTCAGCTTTTTCTACGTCGTACAGAAAGGCGAATTCATCTTGTATCTTCTGGTCCATGTCAGCAGAGACTGGAATGTTTTTTGGGGAGGTTTGCTGAGGTGACTCTTCAATGTTGTGAAAGGGGGACGTCTGAATTTTGAATTTGGTTGAAGGTTCCTCTTCGATCCATGGTCGAATTGGTACATCAATTTTTGGGACAGGAACGCCGAACTGGAGTGCCGAGGTTTTAGAGTCGTTCGTCTCAACATTAGGCTGTTGAGCAATGTTATGAACTAGGAGCAATTCGGTTGCTTCATCCTCTGTCGAACTTATCGACGAATCTTCTTCTGACCAGTGGCATTGAGCCAGAGGTGTTCCGGATGCCAATTTGATCACGGAAAGTGAAGTTGGTGGCGGTGGACTTGAAGGTCTCACTTTGTTCTTGGGTTTCTGAGCAGATTGCTGTGAAACTGGAAAGTTGGCATGTTGTACTATGCATTCGTCCACAATATCAGGTTTGATGGGTAGTTGTTTGTACTGCTTTGGAATTTGCTTGGTGGACTGGTGATTTTTTTGAAATTTTTTGACAGACTTTTGAGCATTAATTGTCTCAACTGTTTTAATTTCATTCGTTTCAAGAGGTATAATTAATGACTCATCAGAATCCAAAATTTGCATTGTTTCAAAAATTAGTGGTGTGTCAAAATATTCAAATTCTGAAGAAGATTCTGATATGGAACTTCCCTGTCGGATTAGTGTGGATCGAGGTTTGGGAATTGGTGTGGCGATTGTGACCTCCTCGTCCGATGTCACACTTTTGTCACACATGTTTCTTAAATCTTGAAGCTCAAATGTCGGTCTTGGAGCCTGAGGCTGTGGAGGTGGAGGAATTTTTGAACGAGAAACGCGTGGACGAGGTGTCGGATGATTAAGCGTTGGTAGTTCCTTTGTTGAACGTTTAATTCGTGGTTTCATAGTGGGCGAAGGAGGAGGAGGAGGCATCGTAGAGGCGTTGTGGTCAGTTTCTTCAAAAGATGCAGGAATTAATTGAGCTGGACTTGGGGGAGAATTTAGCAATGTATTCAACTCGTAATTATAAACATTCTCCTTGTCTCCTCCAACTTTTCCCCCAGGCGTCAGTTTGGACAGCACGTTCTTAATGCTACCTAATATACCACCATTACCCATGTTACCGTTCCGGGTCAATGCTGCAAAAGATAATAGGATATTTTTAAATTATGTATGAAATTACATATACTACCAACACATTATGCATGATTATCCAATAAATTGGTACCTTTGTGTGAGGAACTTGGCCTTAATGAACTTCCGACTGGTAGACTGAAAGACAGTTGAAGACTTTCTTGTCTTAATTCCTCTAAATATTTCTGGTTTTCTGCCCTATTCTCAGCACTCAATCGAAGCGTTTCGTTGATTTTCTCCTTAAGCTTGGAACTCTCGTGTAGAATTTTTTCCACATCAACGTTCAACAATGCTCTTGATTGGATAAGAGGGGGGACATCAATCGGCGACCCTTTCCATCCACGGGAAGCCGTGGCACTTGTGGAACCACAAGGACGAATGTTTTTAATAATTTTTGCATTCCTTTTTTTAATTTCGAGCGTATTTGTCTCAAGGGTCCTTAGCGTTTGTTCAATATACTCCAAAGGGCTGCTCTCCGAGTCTTCACTTTGAGATCCGAGTTCTGGAGGTGCCATTTTGCTCTAATTTTTTGATATGGGATCCTTAGACTGAATCAAATGTGTTAATTTGACCAACGTTAGCAAGCAAATGAAGTCTTGAAAACGGTCAACGAGTTTCTGTGTCAGTCAGGTAATCGGTAAGTTGTATGCATGTTGTTTGTTGACCATTATGGTGACACAATTTGTCACACTATAAATAGAATGTCTGAATTTCATTGTGATTTTTCCAAATCGCCCTCCTTCAGTCGATCGAAAGATATGCAAATGTGTATATTTCGGAAAGATAATACACGGAGTGCAAATACTCAAGTACGGAGAAAATCCTTCCGTATTTGTTTAATCTGTTGTTCTTCCGTCAGCCCAATAGCTGTTGTAATGTTGCATGAAAACCGAGTGAATTACCTACTTATTTTTGCTTTACTTGCCCCACTTAACGAATTCTGTGATTTTTAGATGAATCATACAACTCTGCGTGTTAATGTACCCGATGTACACACCTCATCATTATCCGTATAACACCTACATAATAAAGTTTCATAACCTGAAATGCAATATTTCAAAACATAAGACTACGTATTTATTACGCACTCCACTAATGAACGGATTTTTTTGCAATATTCTATTAACTTGCTGATCTTTAATTTGCATTTTAATCACTTGACTCCACATCCACTCCCGAAAAGTACTGCTATAATGGTTGACTGTATGTATTTAGCAGTCTAAATGTCAGTAAATGTAGATGAAGCGTAAAAAGTAGAACATTTTCATTAATACTTGCACAAATCTTTCATATTCTGTCCATGTCATGGCTGTAAAAGGTTGTCAATTGTTCTCTTTAAATTAAACTGTTTTCTGCTTTGACAATATTTAACAACGCACAAGAAATATGTGTGCAACTCGAAATGAAGGTAGTTTTCCGGGGTACTGTCTCATAACTTGTGTATTTTTGGTGCACAGATTTGTTCACCAAGTGACAGGATTACGACAAGAAGACGAGAAGAACCCTGAACATGAATTCGTGGACGCTTCTCTGTTCTCAAGAGCGCTGTTCTGGGTCAGCCCAGTCCTCAATTTCCACACCCTCCTTTTTGGCATCGCTTTTGGACTCATCCCGCTAGCCGCGCTGTGGGTGTTGTGGCTTTATCCTCCTGGAAAGTACTACTTCAAGGCACCCCCTCCTCCCGACTACGTGGGTCACACCGTCATGAACATCACCGCCAGGGAGAGAGGCGAGGCTGATGCATTTTTGTGGTGAAGCCAAGCATACGTTAAAAGTGACGAAGAATACACGAAATAATAATGTGCGACGCAATTTGTAATGTTTAACAGAAGCAAATGTGAATTATTTACAGACAACAAATTCCAGCCAAGATTATGATGTGTATGTATGTCAAATAAATCACTCTATAAAGTCAGAACGAATATGTAAGTGTGTCGTAAATAATATTGAACTCTAGCTTCTTATTACAGACTGTAATTTACAGTACATTGTACAAGATATATTAAATATGTGAGTAATTGAATTTCCATTGCATGCATGCATACATTTTATTTACTCGTAAAAGATTGTTTACATATTTGAAACGCTATTATTCTGACCCAGCAGCAGCTTTGTGAGTAATAAAAAGTCGGTCCTGCGTCGTGTCAAGGAATGAACTAGAACTTCCACACGGCCCTTTAAGACAGACACCCAGTCGACGTCGCTGATTGGTCACTCGGAGGCAAAAACCGTGTGCAAATTTCGATTCCAGGCGGTTTTTGCAGACGAAACCTTACTTCCAAGTGCGGATTGTAACATGGGTGCACACGGCACCTTCGTCACATCCACTTTTAAAGGAGCATTGTACAGCATTGAGCTCAATTGCGAATTCACATTCAATTCAACATCAACTCCACATAGATATTTACATACGTCGTTGATCCTATCGCATTGTCTCAATTTGCATAGCTTGGGTATCCGTATTCTACAAGAGGTCAAAAATCTTGCATTGTTGTAACTTTAGCTGGGCGTGTTTTACTTCGTGTAATATTCAAAAACGTACTCGTCACTACTGTAAGTTGGATTTATTTTTTGTAATCTTTTTCATGTTTGTAATTTTGAAAGTGTGAATAATTATTTCTATTTAATTTCAGCTGCCTACAAAAAGTACCTCAGCTCTTGATTTTAATCAAACCGATCTAAAGAAAATTGACAGAAACATGCCGTTAGCTGGTAAGATCCATATTTATTTATGACTCACTTTATGCACAATTCATAATATTCATATAGGTTTCTTATTAAATGTTTGCATTATTTTTCAGCCAAGGATTGCGGTTGCAAAAGCGGAGGGGTGTGTTCTTGCGGGGATAACTGTGCGTGTTCCACCCCCTGCAAATGCAAGTCGGGAGGAGATTGTACCTGCGGCCCGGATTGTAAGTGCTCTGAAGTTGGATCTGTTGTTGCTGGTGGGTGTGGTTGCAAAACGGGTGGGACGTGCTCTTGCGGCGATAATTGTAAATGCGCCCCTGCTAAAGTCGAAGGATGTGCTTGTCAATCAGGAGGAACGTGCACCTGCACCGACTGCAAGTGTACAGCGTCGAAATCTGCATGTTGTCAAGGGGGAAAGTGCTGCTAAATACAGAAATCACTCACTCACGGTACGATGATGATGGAACATTTTATTATTTTTGCAAACTTTGTATTCAGTACTGCACCCAGTGCAGTTTAGTAATAATTTTGATTAGTAATGCTTATTCATGATTGAAGATCTATGGGAAATAAAAATGGTACATAAAAAGATGAACTTTTATAGTTTATCATTGTTTATTTGAACTCATCGGAGCACTTTTCTCAAGTTGTAGATTCCAGCAAACATGATATTTTTAAAACATTTTCAAATGGCATAGCAAATTGTTGGTATATAATTATTACTCGCAGCACTTCTTTACCACCTTTCATTCATACTATTTGATTTCGTCATAATTTTCATGAACCTTTACTGGCCCAATCGTCATATCAATCAAAATGTCACTTTATATAGCGAGGTAATGTATGATAACAATAATAATAAGTAGGTCATAACAAATGGAGGATAATCGTCAAATCGTGAACGTTTCACAACCCATATCAATTAACAGGATACCCTACTAAATTGTAATTATTGAATTTAAACGCTGATGGATACTGCGTAAATACGTGGTTCATGTCAATATTATTGAATATGAGGAATACATCGAAAATCGTCTTCTTATTTAAGTAGTTTCAATCTTATAATACATATTATTATTCCTAATAAAGGGTAAAATTGTCTTAACTTTTATTTCGTCCTGCGACGATGCAGAAAGCACTAAATCGTTGGCAGTTTCAATTCTGGTAAAATGAGTTTTGAATTAAAACTGGAAATGAAGGGTTCGTTAAATATTCAATAACCACAATACACCGCATCTGATACACTTATCGGCTACCAGCGCAGCGGCTCGTTACAGTAAAATCAGCAGTTTTAAAAATAACTGAAATGATTACGATATGCAAAACTGTGGTAAGGTAGTCTTATAGCATTTTTATAGATATTTCTCAAAGTGCAGGATCCTATATAGTTACGAGTTGTGACTAATACATTTGTTTTGTTTTTAAATGGTTGTACATTTGACACTGAACTATTCAAGATATAATATATGTATTAACCATACGCGATGGATTCATCTATTATTTGATAATATGCGGTTCTAATAATAATTCGTGATTTAGCTATTGACCGACGGAAGTTTAAAAACTATATGTTCGACAATGATAAAAATTGACACTTTCGATTTGGACGCTTAATTCAATTCGTTAATGTTATGTCCGTCAGTTCTATCTTAAACAATTAATACTTTAGATTACAAAGAATAACACAGTGCGGAAATCATGAAAAAGGAAGTATATAAATTCTGTAATCCTTATTTGAGCGATCGTACTTGCCCACATACTTTTGACATCATTAGTATTACCATCATAAATTAAAAACAATTGCGAGTGACATTAAAAACAAAATAATAAGTTTAACAAAATACAATTCTGGTGCAGATAAAACATTAATAACCACGTCCTGAAGTGGTCATCTCAACGATTTTTTTTGTATTACTATGTAATTATTACTATTATTACGCGTCATATCAGTCAAGTGACTCCACCATCGTTTCTTTTTGCGAAGTGAGACATTGTCTTTTGTAGATTAGACTTTTGTTTGATTTTTCTTAATTAATGCTGCTTTTTTTCACGACGTATTTCCAGAAAATCATTGGGAGAATGTACAGATAAATAAAATTCAATTCCCGTGTCCATATTATATTCAACAACTGCTGTTGTAGCAAAGTAAAACGGCACGCAGTCTGCAAAATTAACAACATAAAAAAATTAAACAAAAAAAACAAGCCAATTCTAAACCAATAAGCAAAATTCAGACGAGGAATGAGATTTATGTACTGTATCAATAGTTTTCAGTGAATGTCATCTTCATCAATAACCAACCTGCATTATTGGCATTTTTAAGTCATTCCAAGAAGTATCCATGCAAGGAAAATAAAAGTCAAGATTGTTGCAATTGTTCTCTGAAATATGAAATATGGCAGATTAGCCATGGAATACAGATTGTTTTTGTTATAAATTCACAAGATTTAGCGACAGATTAGGAGAGTTTTAATTATTAGTTTAAGCAAAATCAACAGCAATAATAAAATCACAAACAAAATCTCATGCTTTCTCAAACAAAAGCCGAACCGCAGCAGCAAACGTTGAAAATTTTGAGCAGCAAGATTCAATTTGTTGCAAGTTAGTATTCTATAGCATAAATAAATACCGGAAATATGGCTGATGGTACATAATTATGGTTTCACTATTGAATTAATTGTGAAATATTAGCACTACTCCTATTTTATTACCCCATCACAACAAATAGATCAATGAGAATTCAATGCGGATTATTTGACGAAAATTCAAAAAACCGTTTTCTAGTTGGTTCTGGGGTGAAAAATAGTCGCGAACAAAAATACCTCCGTATTGGTGGGGGACCATCAGGAGATGGACTGGACATGGACACTGACGTTGGGCTGGGACTGGTCAAGTTGTTTCCACTACTCGAGCTGCTGCTGTTGGTTGGCGTCCTCAGTCCATCAGATCCGGATGACATACGACTAAGTCTATGAAAAAAAATAGTTTACTTAAATACAAAACAATAATTAACTAAAAATTGGTTTGCAGGTGTATTAACCTTGGAGGAGGCTCTGGTGGGATTGAATTATTTGGGCTTGGCGTCCCAGGGGTCGACGGCGTCGGAGTTCTCAAGTTTGGTGACGGTAAACTGAACTCTTCATACCTACTGGGCCGAGTTCCTGGCGTCGTGACGAAAGTATTCGATCCAGATGGAGATGGTGACCCAGCGGTAGAGGATCTCAACATACGGCCGGAATGACGTCCAATATTTGATTGAAATGACAAAGAGTTGGAAACGGGATGCTTTTGTGGGACAACAAGATTGTACCAAGTGCGAACGTCTACCGCACTCCTCTCACTTCGTTTGATGAAGGGATGGTTCAGCAATATTTTGTACTTGGGTCTCTGCTTGAAATCTTTCTGTAGGATACAAAAAAGCACAACATTATTAAAAACACTATTTTCGTAAGGAAATAAATATAAGAACCTTTACCTGAAGGCATAAGTTAACAAAACTGCAGAATTCTTCAGAAAAATTCATATCAGAAGGTAGACTAGATAAAAAAATGGAAAATTAATTGAATTTGATATTTCTGTATGTGAAAACCACCTTGTTTGTTGAATAGCTAACCTAGGAGGATCAACTCTGAGAATTTTTGTCATCACTTCAAAATCTGTGTGGCAATCACCGTATGGAAATTTACTTGTAGCAAGTTCAACAAGAGTGATACCAAGGCTCCAGACGTCAGCACGAATGTCATAATTGGGGTTTGATGGATCTGGGGGATCGATTCTTTCCGGCTAAAGAAAAGAGTGTTTTAATTAAATCAAACACAAAGTCTAATCATATTGATACATAATTTTAATAATTCTTACAGCCATATATCCAGTGCAACCAGCAGAACGGGTTTTAGCTTTCGAATCAACAAGCCGACCGGAAATTCCAAAATCGCATAGTTTTACGTTTCCCTTTTCATCAAGCAAGATATTCGACGGTTTGACATCCCTACACACACGGCAACGTAAGATTCATATATTAATCATTTGTCATATGAATATTCGTACATATGGAAATGAATCTATTACCTGTGGATAACACCATGGTTCTCTTTAAGGTAGTTAAGCGCCTTCACCGTAGCCATTGCTACTTTCCCTAAAATTGATTCTGGAATGGGTTTCTTTAGTCGCTTTAGTAGTTTATCCATGCAGGTTTGCATCATTTCCATACTGAAATATACATAGTAAACAAACATTAAATATTCATTTTTCAGCATGTTGGGATTTGGGTGGAATTGGAACTATTGTGCTAACATACCAAATCCACACATCCGAAGCAGTGATAAAATATCCACAACATTGCACGATGAAAGGACATTTGGACTGTAATACAACTTCAAGGTCCATAATGATCCGTTTGTTCTCATCAGGGTTGCCAGAACGTCTCATTTGCTTTACATAAAGTTGTTACATAATAACAAGGTTACACATGCAAAGCTAATCTGATTATGTATGAAATAACTTTTTGCAAGTTATTTCAACATACCTTAACGGCAACAGTATAATTTGATGGTCGGTGCGTCATTCTAACGACATGACCTGAAGTGCCTTGACCCAACTCACTGACATTCTCCATTTCATCAATCTCAGTCTTATAAACCTGGAAATTATGTAATTTATATAGTCGGTTGTCAGTATTTCTCTATTTTCCATCATTATTAAAATCTAAATTGTGTAGCATTTTGACTAACCTTGCCATTAATTGTAATCATGCCACTGCGGTTAATAATTTCTTCAAATTTTCGATCCGTTTCCGACTTTTTCTTTTCATTATCTTTCAGAATGGAACCAAAGTCGAGACCCAAATGTTTCTTTCTTGTGTTGATATCTGATCCTGTCCCTCCACCCCTCAAACTGCCCAAGTTTACTGCAAATCAATATCATTTAATCATTCACCTCATCTATTTATTAGCCTTTGCTGCACAGAATAAATTTTTAAGTAGGGAAGACTTACACATTGGCGGCAATGGGGGGCCTTGACGATGGGCCATTTTCTCCCCGATTAAAAATTAATTCGCGACAACAAACTGAATGTATAGATACGTGCAGAAAAAAGAGAATGCGATTATTCAAATTCCTCTCCTTGACTTGGCAGATTATTTGTGGTTGTGGCAGGAGTTCAGCGAGGGGGAGAGAATGGGGCGGCCAAAGGGGATGCTGTTCTCAGCCACATCCTCTCGACACACCTCTGATAAGGTACGCTCTCTCCGACGATGCGTGCTTATCCACCAGCCAGCCAGAGCGATTCACCTTGTGAGGAGGAATTTGGCACTGCAGCAACAACTGGGATTTGGCCACTTTCAACTCTCCCTCACCTCTCCTCACACCGAGTCATGTGCAGCCGCCACTTGATGGTCGTTCTCGTCTCAACACCCGCTTTGAGAATTTACTTACCTGCCCGTTCGAAAAATGTTCAAAAATCTCACCATTTATTTTACAGACTATATATATAAATTGCTCTTTGGAAGAATTGGTGGCCCTTAAAAGGGCCGTTGTTTCGTTTGGTCGTCAATAAGCAGTTCGGGCCAGGCTATTATTAGTTAATTCATTCTGCCCATGCATGAAAATCATTGATTTATGAAGATTCATCCCCCGAAGTGTCAACGGTTTTCTTCAGCTTTTTTTTCTTTTCCTTTGGCAGCAAGACGGCGTGGATGTTAGGAAGGACACCTCCCTGTGAGATCGTCACACCGTGCAGCAGCTTGTTCAACTCCTCGTCGTTCCCAATGGCCAGTTGGATATGTCGGGGCGTGATCCTTGACCGTTTGTTGCTTTGGGCCGCGTTTCCTGACAACTCCAAGACCTCTGCTGTCAAATACTCGATGACTGCGGCGATGTAGACCGAGGCACCCGCCCCGATGTGCTTGGCGTAGTGACCCATCCTCAAAAGACGATGCATTCGACCAACCGGGAACTGGAGACCTGCCCGATACGATCTGGACACTCGAGTTTTTTTCGTTTTTCCACTACGACCTGACATGGTGACGTTGACGACACGAAACAAGATCCACAATAGGCGACCTGGTCAAAGGAGTCGGCGTTGGCTCCTCTTCTTCTTGGTGATGTTCTGGAGAGAGGAAGCTGTTTTTCGTCCGGGCTGCTGCTGCGTAATGCAGGGTCGCCCCAACTGACCCCCCTTTTTATACTTGCTGGCTGAGTTGTGAGAGAGGGTTCCTGAGTTCCGGAGAATTTGCATGCATTGAAGACTTGGAGGGGTCTTAACTGAGAGACAATGAAACGAACAAAGTTCAAACATAATCTAGCAAAAGGTTCCATTTCATTTGCATCTTATGCAAATGCAATGGAACCTTTTGCAAATTACATATCTCCGTCTAATTAATTAAGTAAACTGAAAATTGCATATCGGAAGAGAACGCATTGCAAAAATTACGAATTTATTCTGCATGAAAAATAATGAAAGCGATTAACATAATCTGCAATATAAAATTGTTAGGTACATTTTGCCCTAATTTGGGTACATCTTCTGAGCAGTCCATCCAATTTGTGGATGCATAATTTCACCCTCATCAGCTCACATGAATGAAATGAAACATAATTCCCTCGTCGCTGTTGTTACTTTTGTATTGTTATGCACAAAATTAGGATTGGATTTAAAACTTTATACGTCTCATGATGTACATAGGCTAAGGTATGAATATGTACTGTTATTGGCTTTGCTTTGCCACTGCTGTTTTGTCGTGTCATCTATTTACTGCACACTTTGTACATGACTTTCTAGGTCAAGATGCAGAAATTAATGGAACAATGCGAATTGTGAGCACTTTTTGAGGCAATTGCGACATAATCAAAAACGCACGGATGTGGTGGTTCGCCGTACAACAAGTACTTACAAATGATAATTTAATAAGGGAAAAGGAGGTGGCCGACAGGTTTACTTTTGTCATGAGAAATGTCTCACTTTAAAGTGTTACTTCCATCTCGTGTACCTCATTACCTATCACATCGCTGTATCATGCAACGTGAATGAAGGCACCAAGAATTTTTAGATATTGAACTGAAAATGTGATAAAATTTACTGCACTTGCTATTATCCTATCCGTCACCGTCCTCCGTGGTGTAGGTTACTTTTATTTAACAGCGTTGCCACCAACAAGCATTGAACAAGGTCTGCAATAAATAAGCCTTAATCAACTTAATCTCAAGCAGTTGGTCTCACTCTCAACTCAAGAATAATTACATTACAATATATTTCTCTTAGCAATAAATTGTTATCAGTTGTGCACATGGGTTGAGACGATGCTGTGCCATGTCTCATTTACTGGAATTTTACAATTTTCTCGACATTTGTGCATGTTGTGAGACTATACCAAACTGTCTGGATTCACGTTCGTTAAAAATGTACAAAATAAACAATGGTCAAATGTGTGAAGTGTGATTAAAGTTACAGTGTGTAAATAAATACAAAACAGACACCCGAGTTTTCTATTAAAGTTAAAGGTCACAAACAATCAGAGATTTTTATATTGCATGAATTTAAACTGGGTTCTTTTTTTATTATTGTTTGTGTGCATAAGTGAGGAAACAAATGAAATAGTGAGACGATGAGCTGCGTGCGAGCTGTGAAACTAGGTCTAATGATTTTATGTTTTGTAACATACTTTAATTGTGCATCTGACGGCCATGTGCTTCAAGTGGCTTAACTGCAAACAACTAACTGGACTTCATTTAAGCTCATAATCTATTGTCGCATGACTCTCGCGGAAATCAATTAATTATTTTAAATTCATTCAAAAATTATTATTAGAGTGTTTTTTTGCTGGCGAGTGCACTGTGTACTGTATGCACCCTGAATGTTTTTTATGATTGGAAGTTCTAATTTGGAACTGGAGCAATTTGTTGTAACGTAGAATGCAGTTTGAAATGGTGGTTAGTGAGATATGTTGTGGAGGAAATATTAACATATACGATTAGATGACCACAATCTTCTAAAGTGTCAACATCATGAACACCAATAATAATATTCTCATCTTCTTCTCCTTGGGCAATAATTCCCCAACCAAAAGACGAACTTGCAGAAAAATAAGTAGTTTCCAGTTGTATCTGCTATTTCTCCTCCTTTTACTCTTCAACAATTCAATTATTGGGAGCTTAGCCCTTATCGAGGGGGGTGATAAGGAGGGAGGATTCAGTTCAACAAAGGGTGAGGGGTCAGTTGAGACTCCCTCGGTTGAAAACTTGTTGCAGACTTATCGGAATTCCTCCTTACACGCACGCCAGTTGGCATCCCCAAATGGCGATGACATTCAGTAGTAAGTTTGAATCAGGAATGCAAATAAAAGTGAATATGCAATGTAATATTGATATTTTTAAGCACCTCTCCCTGGACGTGGGTTTGTTTGGAATCAATTTGCAAGAGACAATTGGCTAGAAATACTGTGGCCAAAGTCCCTCAAAATGTTTGCTGGTTAAATTGTGGTAGGTTTGGTGCACTTTGGCCATTTCCGACGATTAAGGTAAATAAACAATGAGAATTACTTGTCTATTTATGAGCCATGCATGTACATACCTTAAACACGTCTCATTTTAGGCATTGCTTGGCCATGAGACAATCCCACTTTATCCACAAAATGTAGAAGTTACAGCTATTCACTCGCCTCACAAAGCAGTAACGGCAATGTTGGGCTATGCTGGAAATGTTTTGCTCGACTCTTTGTTCAGGGTAAGCAATATTTGCATGGAATATTATAATAAGGAAAATGATGCGTATTTATATTATTAAAAGATCACTCGATAATAGATGCATCCAAAATCTGAGGGCCAATCTGCATTCCCTTTAACATCGAATGGACGAGGCATTGAGAGAAATAGAATGTCCATTACGCTTACAACTGAAAGTGACGAAACAAAAATGTCATTAAATTCCGACGAAAGCTACTCCCTCAGCGTCACATCTGCCATCATCGTATGTGCAAATCCTTTGAATTTAAAAGTTGTACAATTTCATGTTTACACATACATAAGAATTTTGTTTAAATGTATAAAGGGTTCCTCAGTCAAGGTTCAAGTACAAATTTATGGGGCAACATTTTTTGGAGTTCGTCACGGATTGGAGAGTCTTGGACAACTGTTGGCTTTCGACGAAGAAAATGAATGCCTTCAAGTTTTTGCCCATAACTTTTGCTAACTTATTACTTTTGTGAGCACTCTTATTAAGAATTTTTTTATTTACTTAGATTGTTGCTGAGGCCGAAATTGAGGACCGACCAGCTTTCAAGTATCGTGGTGTAATGGTTGATACATCCAGAAACTTTATTCCGATACTAAACCTGAAGAAGGTCGTTGATGCAATGTCATATAACAAACTAAATGTATTGCATCTTCATTTAACGGATTCAAAGTAAGTTGGCACGGTAGGTTGTGATTCAATTCAAAGTGTCTCAATTTAATTTAAATCATTCACATATTTTGAAGCTCGTTCCCGTTTTATTCAAAGAGAATCCCATATGTAAGGTATTTTCAATTAATCATTAAGAGGTGAAACCCCTTTTTATGAACGCTTACGTGTACTCATATCTCTACATTTCATTTCTATTTTTCGAACATTTTGTTTTGACTAGTGATTAAATTTGGGTATCAAGTATAGGGGGAAAATTCTACTTTGGCACTGTTTCGCAAGAAAGAATTCGTTCCACAAAAAGGTTTCGCCTCTTCATGGTCATATAGTTTTTGAAGCATATGGACGACAAAACAAAGATATTGATTTTAACACTTCAATTGGTAGATGACTACATACGGTGCATATTCAGCATCGCAAATTTACACCCCCAAGGACCTCAAAGATCTTATTTTGTACGCAAGATTAAGAGGAGTAAAAATAATCCCTGAGCTCGACCTTCCAGCTCATGTTGGTAATAAGAAAATTCAAAATACGTAAAAGCTCCTATATATTCCTAGTAATTACTAACTTTTTTTAAATTTTGTATGGCAAATGGCAAAACCAGGCAATGGATGGTAAGGATATATACAAAGAAAATAAAAATAAAAAATGAATGCCTTCAAGTTTTTTCCCATAAATCAGGAACTGGGGTCCACTTATGGGACTTGGTGAGCTGGCAGTATGTGTAAATGCTGAACCGTGGAGGCAGTATTGTGGACAGCCGCCCTGTGGGACCCTCAACGTCATCAATAACTACACTTATTTGGTTATGGGTACTTAGAAATATTGTAACTAATTGTAACTTGCAATTAAAAGTCACTGTCTGAATGTTCCTACCGTATTTACTAGGCGAGCTTTATAAAGACATGCTGGAAGTATTTGACAATGACTTATTTCACATGGTGAGAAGCGAATTGCGGTTATACATAGATTCGGATGTAAAGTATTATGAAATGATGTATCCACTTAATACTGGTTTTCATGTTTGTAGGGTGGTGACGAAGTGTTCTTTCCTTGTTGGTCATCTCGCCAAGATATGCGAGACTGGTTAAAGAATAGGGGAACAAATGATTACATGGATTTATGGGGATATTTTCAAGGCAGAGCTTTCGATAAGCTCATAGAGGCCAATGGGGGGAAATATATAACGCCGATAGTTTGGACAAGTGACATGACAAATAGAGCCAGGCACTTTCTTCATCCGAGTGACTATATAATCCAAATCTGGACAGGAGGTATGCAGTCGGAGTATTTTGATGCTGCGCAATTTAAATAATTTTTCAGATGAGTGCTTTCGATTTTTTCAGCCACGCAGTACGAAGTTCGAGAATTATTAGAAAATAAATATAAAGTGATTTTTTCAAACCTTGATTCACTTTATCTTGATCACGGGTTAGTTTATGTAACTGGACAAATTATGAATGCGGAAATTGTTGCTATTTAAATATGTAAAAATCTCTAGATTTGGAACCTGGCTTGGCCTTGATCACTTCTGGACAATAAAAACATGGCAGGTACGTTATCCTGCCATACACGGGTACCAATTTTCACCTGTTGTAAATTGCATACATATACCCCTTTTCAGAACCTGTACGATAACGACTTAATTAAGATTGCCGAGCATCATCTTGGAGCAAATTCTACATATTATGCAATAACCACAGGACAAATTCTAGGGGCGGAAGTCACTCTGTGGTCAGAAAAGGTATTTACCCCAACCATTTATGTTATAGACTTACTTGTAGTCCTGTTCAGTCGTTAATCTTCGATTAACGATTAATAATCGATAATTTGATATCGCTAACCAGGTAGATCAACATAACATGGAAATGAAGGTTAGTCTTCTATATTTCAAAAGATCGTAATTAATTTGCGATATCGAACAGAGTTTGTCGCAGAAATAAATATATAAACATTTTTTAGCTTTGGCCCCGAAGTGCTGCCTTTGCAGAAAGAATGTGGTCAAGTCCGCAGAATAGAACTATCACGGTTGACGCCAGGTTGGCACATCATACAAATCGAATGAAAAATCGTGGGATTCACACAGATCGCCTCCAACCTGAGAGCTGTTATCAAATTTCTGGATACTGTCACGATTCCAACAGTCGTTTATGAAAAAACTATTTGCACGCTCGATGAAAAAAATAAACTTTTATTTATGCCCAGCCCAGGGTCAAGGTTATACAAAAGTGTGCCCATCATTATTCTGGAATGAATTAATTTCCTACTTTAACTGTCCATTCTAATAATAATCCACAAGCGTGTCAATTATCAGTATCTGCTAAATTGCTCAACTCATCCTGTTAAAAGTCAATGTAATGATTTACCTTGACCATAACTGCAGAAAAAACATTTATTATTATGGTTCAACCGACGATAGCTTTGTTTCATACTGTCATTACAAATAATTGTGCAATTTCAACAATCCAGACGTTTTGCCATATGTATGTATGCATGTACATATAAATAAATACTTGAGTAAGTCTTTACCTAGGGGAATATATCGCTGCAAGTTTAGTCGCTACGAGAGGAATCGCCGGAAGTTGAATATAAGTAAGTACACATGTGCAGAGTCAACAATGAGAATTACATGTATAATCTGGCAAATTAAAAGCCAAAATTCTAGGTTATTTTTCTGCGAGTATAATTTTTCATGCATAACCCACCACTAATCGAAGCAGTCAAAGTAATTGTGTACATGTACATATGCACCCATATTATTTCAATGGCATACATATTACTTATGAACCGCATGTTATAACAATTCTTTGTTATTATTATTTTTATTATTAGTTTGTGCTTCTCCGGAAGAGAAGAGGTTGGCATGAGCAAGACGAACAAATTATTATTGACATAGCGTCGCTGCATTTTGCTCAGCTCATTAAGGTCGACACATTAGCAAGTTTACAATTAAATTAGCATTGTAATAAAATCACCGGGATAATCACACACAAATCTGGGTTAACGTCAAATAAATATAAATCCGTTGTTTTAGTGAATCGACGCAGATGCAAACCTCGTCTCATCATGATCAGGTACACAGTATCAAAAATAATATTTGAATTGACATGAAAATATTTAGAAGACATGGTTTGATATGCTTATTATTCTTATTCGATTTGCATACGTATGTCTAGAATCACCAGGTTATCGGATTCAGCATTCATTCATATAAATATGTCTCACTCATTTCTGATATTCTTGGCTTAATGACGTTTATCTTTATCTCTGCAAATACAATTATCAGTGTTATCACCAACCAACAATTGCACACTAAAGTGCTTTCAGTACTCAATTCGCTTGCAGAATGCGAATATATCCTGCATTTTGCAGCCCTACTTCTTTCCAGCTTATTGTAAGTCTCTATCATTTGCTTGTGTTAAAACTTAAAAGGTTGACTACCATTTTCTGAATGTCATTTCTGATATTCGAATCACGCCAAGTTGGCTGAGGTGCATAGTACAAGCGTGTGTATTAAAAGCACACAATTCCAATACAACTGAGTATTGTTAGAAGCATTGTTTTTTGTGCGTGTAATTATTACCTACATAGTTTTGACAACAGGCTCACAAAATACATTGTCATCCATGTAACTCTGAATTTTTAAAACAATATTATTATTATTGAATATTAGACAATCGATGCCCTGTAACGGGAGTCGTTCGCATCGATAATTTCCGATCAGCATCAAACAAAACATCATTGCATTATTATGCTAATTCATACACATTGAAATTTGATAACTAGTGCTGCACAATCAACACCATATGCATATGAATATGTAATAAGGTACGTACATAGTACAGAGTGAAGTGAGGTGAATTGGTCACAGTTCATGCAAATGACAAGGAAAAAGTTTGCAACGCGAGGATCAGCAATAGCTTCAAACTTGGGGTTTAGCTTTAGAATAATAGTGTGCCTGCAACACCACTTAACAAAAAAATCTTATTTGGATTGGATTGAAAGCGTGGAGGACTGGACTGAACAAAATCCTTGTTTAGAAAATTTTTGTGTCAGTGAGCCAGCCATAATGCAATTTGTGATTTGTTCCTCTCAGAGAGCGGTGTCATTGATGAAGAATTCAGATTAAAGTTATGTCCTATTGTTGGCTGTTGTGAAGTTGCAGAATTACCGATTCGCTACATTAGCAAACCATTGACGGCGTATCAAGTCTTTGTGTTATTATTTACTTGTAAAATATATAATTGTAGCACTGCAGTGTTAGCATTTTTCCATAGCACCATCACTTCATTTTTGTAGAATGTGTCATTTATTATGGTTCGGTTGGGAGAAACGTGTCACCACCACCAGTAACAAGAACCCATAAAACTTATTCCTGGTTGTTGTTGCCTCATTTATGCAGAGATGCAACTCTTTCCAACTTTTTTTTTATTGCGAGACGTATAATAATAACACACCGCACCATCAAGCCAACGGTGGCGTTTAATTTTAATCACATATCTGCAAAGTGAGAGTAAACCAAATTTAATATCCTTTGAAATCTGCAGTACCAAGTGCATTATTTATTTGGATGGCTTTGGTTGTTGAGCTACGTGGTATTGTATGGGGACATTATGTGGGGCAAGTTCTACTCCTCCATTGAAACGCAAATCCGACAGGAGTTTTTCTACCTTGACAGACATCAAGCTATTGTTGCACGCAATAAATAATTATCGTCGTTATAGGCAAACTGATCACTACTCCAGCCAAAATGCCCCACAGGATAATTATTATTAGTGGGGTTGTCACACCTTGTACTACTGACTGATTAGACTCCATTAACTGATTTGACTCATTGCTGTCCAGACTACAAAGTGAACTAGTCGACTGATGCTCAGAAAGGAGGGCAGCACAACTTGGTCACCACCCACGGAATCCTTACTGGTTGACGGAGGGGGTGTTGACATGCAGGGTGTGCCGCAGTTGCGAAAGGGGTTGCTCTTCCTCCTCGTCGCAGTCGTCTTTCTCGTCGCTCTGGTCACTCACTGGCGACCAGCCGAACGACCGCCTCCTTTCACGGCGACGTACGACCCTAAATTCAATGAAGTCACGGGTCCTGAGTCAAATGCCGGAGACAGCGACGTATTCACTTCGGTTGACCGGGATTTTACGTCACAACAAGACAACTCTGATCTCACAGACTTCAAAGTTCCTCAAATTGCTCAACCTAAGCCGGAAGTTACAAGTGTTGAGGGAAAAACTGAGCCAATAAGTACAACGCCTGACCCTGATGACGTGTACAAAAATGTCGACTCGATATGGACTTATCGGTGCGATGCTTCACGAGGTTGCATCAGAGATCTCTTGGGGGAAAATGAGAAACCAGTAGAACCTGAGGTATAAAGTAGAGAATCATTATTTTTTAATAGGATTATGTGTAATTGCTATCAATTATGTAGGTGTGTTGGTTAAATTGCGGAAAATATGGGGTAAATCTTCTAAAATGATCTAAAATATAAGTAAAATTTACGAATATAAATATAAAAGTATGTCCATATTTATAGGCACTTTGGCCATACCCCGTCGGAATGGTAAGTATGTAGATATGTAAATACATCAAACATGACAATTCTTATGCAGTATATAGCGTTAATCATTAAAGATTTCCCTAGGTTAAACTAGGCCAGTGTCTCACCAAGTTCTCAGCAAATGCAATTCACTTGACTCAGGCATCCATTCCTGGCGAAGAAAATAAAGCAAGTCTAATTCTAAATGAAATGTGGGAAATTTTCAGAAAAATGCTTGAAAAGGTTCGAAATTTTTATAATTAAGTATATGTAAGTGCTACATATATCATTATTATGGGCAAAATATTTTTGAAACTGGTTTTATTAGCTTCAAACAATATCTTTCCCACAATCGGATTTGACGGGACTTGAGAATACTGTAAATGTCAACATATTTATCTCAGAAGACAGCTACAAAATCAATTTGGATACTGACGAGAGTTTCAACATTCACATTACATCGTCCCCGGCAGACGTATGTGCATAAATAGTAGCTCAAAATTACTTTTACAAGTTGTTTCTGCATCCACGCCAAATGACTGCATTAACGTTATCTATAGTGTGACTTTGAGGAACGAGTCCAGGTTTCAGTACAAATCAACGCTACGAATATTTTTGGGGCTCGTCATGCTTTAGAGACCTTGGGCCAATTAATTGCGTTCGACAAATATCAGAAATCCTTTCAGGTATTTTTTCGTATATAAAATGTCACACGCTAATTTAACCGCACATACATTTTATGTCACGCAAGTAACCATTACATAAAATCTGCAACACATTCTTATCCCTAGATTGTGAACGAAGTTGAAATTGAAGATAGACCAGCATTTCCTTATCGTGGTAATTTTTTTAACATATTACCTAGGATGAACATAAAATTAAGACTAATTAATATTTCTGAAGGCATTTTAATCGACACGGCCCGAAATTTCCTTCCTGTTCCGGATCTGAAACGTCTGATTGATGGAATGGCACATAACAAGTTAAATGTGCTCCATATACACTTCACCGACTCAAACTCATTTCCATTTTACAGTCAAAGAGTGCCAAAGGTGATTGAGCATTACGAGCGATTGAAGATTCACATTATGTTATTTCTTAGATCTAATACAATTTCAGATGAGTCTCTACGGTGCGTATAGTGAAGAAAAAATTTATTATCCCAACGCTATGAAAGACTTGAAAGACTATGCCTGTTCACGAGGGGTCAAAATCTTGCCTGAGCTCGACGCTCCGGCTCATGCCGGAAACGGATGGCAGTGGTTTGTGCTTCACATATTCATAGAAAGAAATCCATTTTGAAAATGGTGTATATTTTGGTCATGTAATCTCGAGCATTTTACCATTGCGAGATTTCGATGTTGGAGTAACTTGCTAACGTTAATATCGAAATTTCGAGATTACATGAACTAATACAAATGTTATCTTATCACTGGTAGGGGGCCTTCTGAAGGCTTGGGTGATCTCGCTCTTTGTATAAACAAATTGCCTTGGAGGCAATATTGTGGACAGGTCAGTATTGCACCATGGTTTGAAAATATTTCAATATGTTTTGTTTAACTTATGCATTCATTTTTATTTCTATACAAATAAAAGCCAAACTGTGGTCAACTGAACCCAACAAATCCGAATACATTTACAATACTGGGTAAGATTTTATTGTCACATTTTTGTCACATTCGACACATTTACATATTAGTCCTACATCATTTACATTTAAGCTCTCCTCTGTCTGTTGTAGAGAAATTATATCAAGATTTCTTTGAAGTATTTGACAACGACTTATTTCACATGGGTGGCGATGAAGTGAATGCAAACTGTTGGGAGTCTGAGTTGAAGTGGAATAAAAACGACGGCAATTTCGATTTTATTTCGACTTGGGGAAAGTTTCAACAAGAAGGTATGCAATAATTCCTACATGACTTTTGTACAAATTCGTTTGATGATGGTTGATACATACATACATATTCCAATAATCATGTAGCTTTGGAACGGTTAACAAGAGCAAATAATGACAAACATTTAAAAGCAATTGTTTGGACGAGTGGGCTCACTGCTAGATCAAATGGGAGAAAATTTTTAAACTCGTCATCCTACATCATTCAAGTTTGGGATGGAAACAGGCAACTGGTTCGCGATTTGTTGCAAGAAAATTACCAACTCATTATGTCCAATATTGAAAGTTCTTATTTGGACCAAGGAGCTGGTACATTTGAATACATTTGCATGCCTTGAAAATAGTTAAAAATGCTAACGCTCATGTTTCAGGAACCTGGTTGGGACAAGAGCACGTGTACACGTACAGATTGTGGCAGGTTTTGCACTACATACTTATAAAGCTGTAAAATACGCATTTTTCAGCTAAATTTATTCAATTACTTTTCTTCAAAATTAATAGAAATTTTATGACAACCGACTCCCTTCATTTATGATGAACTTCTCCCAAGACGTGGCAAAAAAGCCATCACAACGACAAATGTTGGGGGCAGAAGGAACTCTTTGGTCAGAGAAAGTTAGTGATTGATTGATTCCTTACATTTACATACATGGGTTTAGCTGTGAGTTATAATATTTAATTTTATGGATATGAACTCATTTCAGGTGAATTCTCAAAATATGGATTCAAAAACATGGCCTCGTGGAGCAGCGATGGCAGAAAATTTGTGGTCTAATCCGGATTCAAGATCTCCATTAGTATATTCCAGACTCAATCATCACAATCGTCGACTCATCAAATTCGGCATCCATTCTGATCAGCTTCAGCCAGAAAGTTGTTACTTGCTTCAAGGTCATTGTGATGACCCTCACAACCCAATTTGATATCGATTGAATTTAGTGTGTGACCATTACGCGTACGTTTTGGGGGCCATTGAGTGAATCGGATTTATTCCTTGTCTGCATAATCTGTGATACTGATCTACATATGTTCTAATTTTGTGATGTTAGTTAGTATGTATAAACTACAATATAATTTTGTTGAACAATGTTGTCCTTGTTGATTGTAATACAAATATAAATGTTAAAATGCTCATGGTTTCGTAACGACCCTTCTTTCAACTTTCTTAATGACGGTATCCTCTGGAGAGGAGCTTGACGATGATGAACTTGGTTGTTTAACAGTTGGTCTTTTCACTTGGACTTGTCGCACCTTTCTCACGATTGTTTCAGACGAACTCGAAGATGAAGACGGCGATGATATAATTTTTGGTGCAGGGGGCATGGATTTCTTGTTGACAATTTTCTTTACAATTTCTTCCGATGAGCTTGAAGACGAGGTCGACGGAGGTTTCGGTGCAGGGGGCTTCTTATTCACAATTTTCTTTACAATTTCCTCCGACGAGCTTGACGAGCTTGACGGAGACTTTGGCGTGGGGGCAATGGGCTTAGTGTTCACAACTTTCTTTATAATTTCGTCCGACGAACTTGAAGAAGAGCTTGACGGAGATTTCAAAGTCTGGGTTGGCGGAATTGTGGTTATAACTTTCTTAACAATCTCCTCCGATGAAGATGAGCTTGAAGATGAGGTCGACGTAGGTTTCGGTGGAGGTGCATTGGATTTCGTGTTCACAACTTTCTTAATAATTTCCTCCGACGTACTTGACGAGCTTGAAGGAGACTTTGGTGTGGGGGCAATGGGCTTTGTATTTACAACTTTCTTTATAATTTCCTCTGACGAACTGGACGAGCTTGACGGAGACTTTGGTGTGGGGGCAATGGGCTTCGTGTTCACAACTTTCTTTATAATTTCGTCCGACGAACTTGAAGAAGAGCTTGACGGAGATTTCAAAGTCTGGGTTGGCGGAATTGTGGTTATAACTTTCTTAACAATCTCCTCCGATGAAGATGAACTTGAAGACGAGGTCGATGGAGGTTTCGGTGTTGGCGCAATGGGCTTCGTGTTCACAACTTTCTTTACAATTTCCTCTGAGGAACTTGAAGAGGAGCTCGAGGTTGACTGTGGAGTGGGTGGTCTGTTCACAGTCTTTTTTAAAACTTTCTCCGATGACGAGCCTGAAGAAGAGCTCAAAGGGGTTGCAGGAATTGGTCGCTTTTTCACTACTTGTTTAGTAACTTCAAGTGAAGACGAGCTTGATGAAGAACTTGAAGAAGGGTGTTTAGGGATAGCCGTAGTCACAACTTTCTTGACAACCTCATCTGAATCACTGCTACTGCTGGAAGAGTGACTATCTGGGGGAGTTGTATGCAAAGTTCGAGTTGTTGGGGGTGGAATGTTGTTAGTTTCTTCGGGTATAGAATGATTTGACAGATGAATAGGAGCACTTACTGAGTAAAGTGGTACTACAAATGGGGGTTCTTCATTTCGAGAAATTGGTGCGCTTGCAGCCTTGGGTGGAGCCATAGTCTTGTGTTCTGTAACCTTTTTAATAACGGTATCCGAGGGGGATGAAGGTGAACTAATTGATGTTGGTTTCTCTGCCATCTTTTGGTGTCTGGCATTATAATCATCCGATGAGCTTGAGGATAAACTAAGAGAGTTTTTGCGCCTATGCTTAGTCGTTCGTAGAAGTTTTCCTGCATCTGAGCTATCGGAAGAAGAGGACGGAGATCCGTCTCTCAACTTTTTTAACGCAGCAGATTCTTGTTTTGCAACAATAGCCTCTATTGATGAATTTGAAGATGAAGATGAAGATCTCAGAAGAAGTCACTAGATGAAGATGATGCATTTGGTTTTGGTTTTCTCTTTGAGGGCAAATTTGACGCTTTACACGGAACTTTTTTGGGGGTCCATGAGGTATGTCTCACAACTGAAAGACTTGACGATAAGGATGAGGATGACGACGATGACGACAATTTTCCATGTTTCTTTGCTCCCTTACGATTTACTTTTGCTTTGGATTTTGTCTTCTTTTCAAAATCTGAACTTGAGGACGACGATGATGAGGATGACGAGGAGGAGGATGACTTAATCTTCTGCTCATTACTGGACTTGTGCTGCGGTGGTTCAATGACGTTTTTCTTTGTATATTTCAGTATGTCCTCCAATGGGTCTGGGTGGGTGCCTGGTGGGAGTGGTTTGGGGGTTCTCCATTTTGTTAGTAACTTTGCAAGGAATGGACCACTGGATAAAGTTAAATCTGATGATTTTTTGGATGTCACATTATTCTTTCGCTTTCTTCTCTTGTTTTCATCATCTTCATCTGATGAAGAATCTGTCCATTTGGGTTCTTCAATGCAACATTTCCAATCATTCAAAGACCGTCGTAGAAATCGCTTATCTTCTTTTTCCCATATTTTCCGATAATCCAACGGTGGCAGTCCCATTCGTTTTCTCCTTTGCTGCATCAAGAACTGGGGAGATTTTGCAACCATTTGGAGCACCCTGAACAAAGAGGATAATAAACTTGTAAATATATGATGAATGAAAATGTTGGTTGAGATGCAGAAACCTCCTACGATGAAAAAGTTCCGCTAATTGTCCGTCATGGATGACGAGAGTATGTGCCCCATGTGTTGCACGCTGTTGATGATAACCTCCACGAGAGAGCCCTCCCCATGATCGTGGATATTCCCTGATCCGGGGGTCAGATGTCTTCAAAGGAGACGGTTCGTCTCCCCGAGAACAAATTTTTTTCAAGCTCATTTCACATTTATCACAGTAAATTTATCGGCATATTATGCATATTCTAATATATATATAAATATATGGAATTATCACAACATGAACAATAAAGAACTTGTGCGCTGCGCATTAATTATTTCAGTTGTTTCAAGGATTTGGTGACCATGAGAAATTTTTAAAAACTGTAAGCTTGGAGCTGTTCCCACATTCAGAAGGGTTGGAAGAAGCAGTGTATGTCATATGTATTTTAAAACTATGTAACAGCGTTTTATGTTTCATTTCTAACAATAAATAGAAACACAACTTTTTTCTGCCCACGCCAAGTCTGTGGCCTTGATGCAAGTTAAAAAATTCTGATTTTGCAAAATTCACTTTCAAGCTTAAAAATTATTTTAATTTTAAAATTCATACTGCGATTTTTGAAATTCAGAAAGTGACGTAGACTGTATCAATATCTGTAAATCTGCACTGGATATTATCTATATATAATGAAATGACTAACGACTCATTAGTAACGTAATGAGCTCATTACTCCATGCATACACAGAACAAAGTAAACTAATGAAATCTGTCATAATCCAAACACCACGGGTCGTTATCTTATCGTTATTTAAACTAACTTAAATATATCTACATATATACATATGTTCATATCTGTAACATCGCAACATCGGTAAAGGAGGTCGACTCAATACTGTCAAATAAAATACTCCCTTCAACTCGGATAGTGCAAATTATGGCGCAAATTTCGACCGGTGGAGCAACCTTATCGTTGCAACTCGAGGAAGTTGGTCGTCAGAAGGAGGGCGTGGCGGCGGAGGAGTCGGACGACTCTATGCAGGATGAATATTCGGAGGCGTGGTACGACTTGGGCGCACCCATCCAACTCCCACTGCTGAAATATCTCATCAGCACCATTCAGTACGTTGTGGACAACTTTTTTCTCATTAAAAACACGTACAATGCACTAACTTACACGGGATCAGAAGACATGACTCATCCGTGAGTTACTTATCAGAGTAAATGTCTATGCATAAATTGAGGTACATTTAAAAACTACGTAAATATTGTGGTGGGCGATCTCAGGAAAATTATAGCTGCTGCAATTTTGGGACTTCATCTGATCTCTGCTTTCTTAATATCAATTATTGATTCCTTAAAGTAAGCTTGTATGATGCGTTGTGTTTTGTATGCATATGAAATAATTTTTGCTGTATTTTTTGACCAGTTTGTTTTGTACAGTAAAGATGCAATTTCCGGAAGTCGAGGCAAGTATCTGAATAAAAAGCACAAATCTCTAATATTATTCAGGCTGCTGGCACATCTCACGCTAACCATGAAATTATTTAGGTAGACAAACCCTACAAGAACAAAGGGTACATAATGTGATATATTTTAATTTTCAAATTGTGCAGATATACAACTGCGTTTTTAGAGAATAGGCGAAGGAATCAACAACTTCACATCCTTCGAATGAGGAGGGTCAATATTTCCAGGTATGTATGTTGAGTTTATGAATTTCGACATTGTCAAAAAATGTGCTCATGTCATGGAATAATGTATGTATGCATTTCTTGAACAGAAAAGAAATACAGTTTGTAGTTGATCAAAAGAAAAATCAGCTAGTTGAAAGCCACTACGATTTGGTTGAGTCATTTTTTAAAACGGTCCCGGCTGCATTGCTCCAAGTATTTTTTATGTTCGAAACAAATCGGAATGCTAAACTGAGGCTGTACTCGACTGTCGACCGTTAGTAACAAATATTTTACTTGTACTTTGCTGGAAAAATTAAAACTTAACTGAATTCCCATTTTGATCAAGAGGATAGATTCGCCACCGTTTTTTTCACAATAATCACGGCGTCTATATCCGCTGCTAATTATCAAGTGGACTATTTGACTTACAAGAAGGTGCTACACTTTCAAGATTGCTTCCGATCTGGATTTCGTCATCAGATTAATCTCAAAATACCAGGCGACATTTTCCTAATTGCAAACATTCCCGTTCAAATTTTAACAATTGGTAAAATATATCTAAATAAATAACACCATTTATATACTAATTCGCATTATTGATCTTGAGGAATGTATTGATTATATTTTAACACGCAGGAATCCGGATGTGTTTTTATTCTATATTAATATTCTGGAGCCCTGTGCAGTTTTTTATTACAATGTCCGTAATATTACTAGTGAATTGGCTGGTGACATTTTATATTAATCAAACGGCGTGGAGATTTCGACCTGTTTTAGAAAATCCATTATACGGAATACCCTGGCTCTGTTTTGACATAATTGACCTTTGGATTAATTTATTCATTCCTGGAGTTCACTACCCAAAACCAGTGGATCATTTTTTAAACTTTTACACGACTCTGATCACCGGTATTGTAATTTTCAGGGGATTTGATTTTCTAACGCCAGCAACAACATCAACTGCACCTCAGTTTTTTCCAATCTCCGACAGCACTAACAGTTCTTCCAATATTTCCACAATAATTCCGCAATCATTTATTTATGCGTCCAAAACTGGTGAAAATAATTCAACAGAAGAAGCAGAACATGACTCTGTATATTTTATTGGAACATTAATCCAGAGGTTGGTCACGATTCACGAGTATCTTACGTTCAACCAAATTTCTTACGCTGGCTTTTTCTACAACGTTGTAAAATACATGAACATTATCAATTTAATATCCTTCGGTTACACGTGTCTCATGAATTATCTGCACCTTTACGATCTGGATTTCCCGATCCAAATAGTGAACAACTTTTACTTGTCAATGTTTAATTCTCTCAATAAATCCAGGCTCTCTAATCCAGACTGTTCTTCCCACCTCCTTTATTCTGTCAAGGATGAAACATTTATAATATTCTCGATGCTTCCAAATTCAAGATTTTTTCGAAACTTACAATCCATCAAGAAACGTCGTTGGGACTCTTTCGACCAAAACGAATTAGACAAGTTGGTCGACCAACTGGAAGAGGAAGGAAACACGACAAGACAATCCTCTTGCTTGGTTTGGCTCGACAAGTTTTTAAAGTCAATTTCTCCAGTGTTGTATCCAGCAAGATTTAGAGAAGCGAAATTTAATTGGGATATTCCAACAGACAAATTCTCAATCATACGGTCGTTACAAAGTCATCCATTGCGTGAGCAGATAATAATGTTCATTAATGATTTTTACGAACATGCGAAAGAAGATCGTAAACTATTGTTGGCAGTGTTTTGTGCTAATTATAATGAAATAGTGAGACATTATACGTCACTGCGACTTAAAAAGACGTTTCAATTTTTTGACATTCCGATTGAAAAGGGTAAAGTGTACTGCAGACCTCGTACCCCTGACGGACAAAAAATTAAGTATGACTATGAGCTTGGCCATTTAGACCGCATTATTAGAGAAATACGAGGTAAAGTGAAAGATTTCCCTAGTATGTACATACGTAAATAAATACATATGTATATAGTGTACAATTGTGCATTCGTTTATATTTTATACACATTTACAAGTAAAACTTATAAACGCGAAAATTAATTATTTATTGTTTCATTTGAAGGTATTCGCAAGCTTTCTTTGTTGACCTTGCAACTGTCATTTATTACAAAGGAATACTTGATTTCTTATTTTTGCAGTGCGTCCTCTTGATGCATTGAACCGATACAATATTTGCCATGCTGCTATTGTCCAGGAATGATTTCCAGTTTTTGCACTGCAAAAATAAGACATGCCCACTTTTGGTCCATGAACTTATTTGGATCATACATACATTCCAGTTTTGGCTAACTTCAATAGTCTGAATGCTCATATATGTCCATATATACATGATGTCATGCTGAAATTATAAAACTGGTCAAGAAAAACATCCAATCAGTATAAATACTTGAAATGTTACGCCTCAGATATGAGGTGTAACATTTCAAGTTTTCATTGTACTGTCCAGTCTTTATTGACAACATGTACGTAAAACTTCAAAATTCCAAGTCGGGATGACAGGTATTCATTCAATTCGTGGAAACAAATAGATCGATTATCCATGCAAGTTGCATGTGCTCGCATTACCAACATTTATCCTGCATCTGGCATCAATAAAATTTATCGATTTCCCACTAATTGCCTACATTTGAATAATATTTCAATTAAAATTGATATCATAGCGTTATCATCGCATTTATTGGATTGTGTCATATTTACTGATATTAAGCTTGTCAACTATTGTTTTCGCCTCACTTCGTCTTGTGCATACTAGCACTCAACATGGTGGATGCAAATAATTCCATAAAAACCTCCATTTTAGGATGGATGGTACTTTGCAGTTTAGTGATTGGTAGTCATTGCCTTTCGTAAGTTGAAGAACATTTACAGATTTTTATAAATTTTCATATTTGTAATTTTTAAGTTTATGACAATGGCGTTTTTATGTTATAATAGGGACTCTGACTACCCCTGGACTTACAGATGTATCCAAGATACTAAGGACGGTCCAGCTTGTCAACGTGAAGAGACCGAGTCAAACAGCACAGAAAAAGTTTGTATTGAAATGAATATACTTACAAAATATGTATTAATGAGTGTGCCTTAAGGAGCATGTTTTACATAATTAATGGCGCTAACCTATTTTGGCAATTTCATGTAATTAATTTGCTTTACTCGTACGTTTTAATTTCATCCCAATGTCGAATCAAAATTATTCTTGAATCCCTGGCTGTAGAAAACTTGGTTTGGTGGCCATTAAAAGATAATTTGACAATTCTCCCAACAGGGAAGATGTTATCCATCGTTGCACCACCTGAATGCGTACTTTTAAATCTATCGCTATAAGTTATAGCCCTGAAAAAGGGGTTGAGTTATAGCCTATAACTCAACCCCTTTTTCAGGGCCATCATTTTTTTTAAAGAGCAGAAAAGAAAGCGTCTTGCTATCGACATTATTCTGAAACTTTCTTCGATAATATAAATGATACACTCAGAAATATTAACTGATCATTTGAACATATTGACTAGGTTCCTTTCAATATCTGTATCCTGACCTGCGGTCCCTACGCGTCACTATGGCCCTATCCGTCTGGTCGAGTACGCATCATATTTATATGTGTTACAAGTATTAGAACCAAAATCCTGTTCACTAAATAACGAAGGGTTTTTAAAAAATAGGTCGAGCTTGGACAGACCTTGACTGGTTTCGTTTTGGACCGTATGGTATTTTCTCCAGCGTCCCTTCCAGGAGAGAGTAATGAAACTCTCTTCAGGATGGTTGGAGAAGCAGAATCAATTTTTAATGGACATATTCGAGCAGTACGATTTATTAAAGTTTCAAGAGCATAAACAGATATCTAATTTACTTGTCACCCACATACAAAAACAAATTATTTGGAAATTATGTACAGCTACTTCCAGAGAATCACGTTGATCCTCCCATTCCAGTACGAAATGTCGTTATTCAACTGAATATTGAACTGTCGGACACAAAATTGACACTAAATACAGATGAGTCGTACAATTTTACTATCATTTCTGCGCTCCAACAAGTGTCTGTCACGATCAGTGGAAAGACGTTTTTCGGCGTTCGACATGGGTTGGAGACTTTAGCACAATTGATTGACTTTGATTCTGAACGACAACATTTGCAGGTTTATATATATCTTGCATTTATTATGTAGTACTCACATACGTAATGTGATTGAAATGCATAACGGCAAATCCTTTCTATTGTTTGCAATAGATTGTAAATTCAGTAGTAATTGAGGATAAGCCCATGTTTCGTTATCGAGGCCTTCTCGTCGACACAGGACGCAATTTCATACCTGTCTCAGATTTAAAAAGACTTATCGACGGGATGTCGTACAACAAGCTTAACATGTTCCATTGGCATATAACGGATTCAAAGTAATTTGGCATCATCTTATGTGATTATTTAAAGCTCAATGCAATCACGTAATAGAAAATTTTATTTTATCAAAGTTCGTTCCCGTTTGACGCACGACGGGTTCCACAGATGATAAAATATGGGACTTATGGGTCAGAAAAAATTTACACACCCGAAGCCATTTCTGAATTTCTTGTATATTCAAACCAACGAGGAGTTAAGGTTATCTCGTTAAATAGTTTATCATATGTTTTACTCTATCACTTTAAAAAATATACTGATTTTATCATGTGTAGGTTATTCCTGAGTTCGACATGCCTTCTCATGCAGGTTTTATGTCGCATTAACACATATAATAATTTATGAATGGCACTATTTGTTAAAAACCCATTTAATTTCTTCACAGGGAACGGTTGGCAATGGGGAGAAAAAGAAGGCTTAGGTAACAAATTTGTATGACAATTATTTTGAATGTAAACTATACATCAGTGATTTAATTTCAGGCGAATTGTCCCTTTGCGTAAATGCTGAGCCTTATCAAGATTACTGCATACAGCCGCCGTGCGGTCAACTCAGTTAGTAAACAAATACAAATGCAACATCTGCCATATTATGCATGCAATTCGATAATTATTAAAATTTCTACTCTTTTAAATTAATACATAGATCCACTCAACAATAACATGTACAACATCCTGGGTATATTATTCTTACTTAATCAATCAGCCATCAGGATACTGTGATAACTTTAACTCACAACTAATTTATCAAACGCAGGGGAACTCTTCAGAGATTTTCTCGACGTGTTTGACAAGGATGTATTTCATATGGGTAATTATGCATAGCATTTAATCAAGGCAAAATATTTATAACACAAGTGGTGTTTTAAATCTTTAACCAGGTGGTGATGAGATTTCTTTTAAATGTTGGCTAAAATATCCACACATCATCGAATGGATGGAGACAAATAATAAGACGATAATGGATCTTTGGGGATTGTTTCAAGAAAATGGTAATCTACTCATGCATCGAATTTCATTATTGTTAAGTTTCTCTTTAATGATTTACTGGTTGTATATCAAAATAGCCTTAACAAAGCTGAAAGAAGCCAATGATGGACGACCAATTGATGCTATCGTGTGGACGTCAGAAATGACTAGTCATGCTAGAGAATTTTTGAGCCCGGACGATTATATCATTCAAATTTGGAGCAAAGGTAAATTTTTCCCTCGTTTCAGGATATTCAAATTATCGGATTGATAATTTCTTTCGAAACACGACTTTTATGAATCTACCCGATAATCCAAAACGATATTTAGAAATAACGACATTACACATTTCAATTTCAAATTAATTTGAGTATTTTAACTGAATTCAAGCTACTGACGATCTTTCAACCGGAATCTATCAGGATGGCTATCGAGTAATTTTTTCCAATAACGATACCGTATACCTCGACCACGGGTAAATTTTAGCTTCCGGACAAATGTATGGACGAAAGAAAGAAACTGATTGAAACAAACGTTTGTTACATTGTATGGAATGTGTAGGTACGGGCCGTGGAGGGGTAATTATGTGAATCCAGCCGTTCTTATCAAGACCTGGCAGGTCATATACGCTAACGATATTTTGGGACAAGTTGAAAATCTGGTTGGGCGAGAAAAAATGATGGAGCTTTATGAATCAGGAAAGCTACTTGGAGGAGTCGCTACTTTGTGGTCAGAAAAGGTCGCCTTCTAATTACCTAATAAAATGTGTATAGAATGTGTATACATAGATTCGCGAACATGAATTACTCATGTAACTTAACATTTTAGGGTGACAAGTACAATATGGACATGAAAGTAAGTGTAGGCAAGAACGTGTACATCCATTCTACATGATATAGCGTTAATAATTTTGCTGGTAAGTAGATGTGGCCGAGGGGAGCGGCATACGCTGAACGGCTCTGGTCAAACCCTCCATCGCGACTGAATGTCACTCAGCTGGCTTATCCTCGCTTGATCCATCAGAGGGAACGACTCGTCCAGAGAGGAATTCATGCCGACACTTTGCTTCCTGAGGCTTGTCGGTATATCTGGGGTTTCTGCGACAATAATTATTCTTAATTAGCCAAAAGAAACTAATAAATAATACCAAGAAAAATATTGCAATGTATAGAACATCGAATGTCCACCCTGACTACCTGTATTTGTCATAATTCAATATTATTTGACACTTTATCATTCTATACATGTTGCGACAAGTGAATTGTTTCCAACACAAATTTAAATTTTAATTATTATGCACTGAAAGAATGGTGTGAGTGGACCGTTGCTAAGTTGGAAGATTGAGATGACCCTCTAGGTCAAATCCGGGTCAAGTGATCCCACAACCTCCAGTGGGGTGTCAATCGATCGGTCTGGATCATACGATCACTTTGGTATATTATAGAATTTTGTGAGATAAGAATTGGCTGAAAAACTTATATTTTTGAGATATTCTTCAAAATAAACGTTTTAGTTTTCGAAATAGTACACTCGAGATTTTTAGCTTAAAAAATAAGGCTAAAAATTAGGATGATTTCGTTCTCAGGAATTAATTCCCTATGTCTGCCTGTTCAAGAGTTATTCAGGGTTAAACTAGTTGGTCCGGATAAGAGGGCTTTCGGACCCAGGATTCTTCAATCACTAACGGCTACGCCGGTGTTTCTGGGTTCGGCCGTAACTCGGAAAAAATGGAAAATTTCATTTTTTGAAAAGCTGGATATTATAATATCCAGCCTTGTGTATCCATGTGTCTGTCTGTCTGTCTGTACATAAATTCCACAAATTCATGCTTTTACGTAAACTGCTTGTTCGTTACAATTTAACTAACATAAAAATTAAATAAGAAATTAAAATACTCAATAAAAACCAATAGTGCAGGCAGACTCCATATAGCCGAGTCAGGGATAGAGTCCTTACTCGGTGAGTTCTAAATTTTTCTCCGAATTGACCGACATAATATTACCAAACTCGTTGTGGATAGTTAAATGTTTGTTAGATTCTCTATTATTTGGCAATTTGGCATAAAAACCTTTAACACATTGAATTTCCAAAGCTGGGTGTGCTATCGAGAAGTGGTTTTTATCCCTCAAATACCAAATTTCAGACGGAAATAACAACTTCTAAAAACGGTGGTCAGCCTCCAGGGTCACTCTGGTTGTACTTTGCTCACTTTTAACTTCATATTCTTTCATAAGAAGCCATTAAGTATCACCGTGCCGGATTTAATGTTTTTAAAGCAATTTCTAAAAATCTGGATGGTTCACCCCATAGGGTCGCTCCAGATAAAAATTTTACCAATTTCATTCCATATTTTTCCTTTAAGATACATAAGCAACATTTCAGCTCGATATGACGATTTTGAAAAATCAGTATTCCAATGCTAAATATCCAATCTACATTGGGCATGATGGGTCAAGTGGTTGGTCGGTGGGGGTCATTTACATAACTATTAACAATGCGATGACGCCAGCAGTCTAGCTCCGATTTTGACGAAACCACGAAAATTATGTAGCATTAGATAAATCATTAAGCACGTGTTTCAGGATTTTTCATAATGCTCAGTTTAAACGAAATTATGACGGGATCCGTGAGCGAGATTTTTCAATTTTACCGTGAAAATTTTCTCGCGAGGGAGGAAAGTACTAATTCTCAGATTCCATCATACATATCTTCTTTAAACTTAAAATTCGTGGGCGTGACGTGGTTTTTTCCGAGAATTTCGGAATTTAAATTTCTCGCACAAATTTTTAATTATGATAAATTTTGAAGATTTTGAAAAATGTAACAAACGAGAACTTTTTGAAAAGCAGATTTTCAATGGAATTGTGTGGGAAAGGTTCTTGCATTTTTTAAGTCAAAATTGGAAAAATTTACGGCATTTTCAAAAATCTTGACTTTGACTGATCTTGGTACAACTGAAGCCTTCCGCTTTTTTCCTGAAAATTTTAAAACTGATCCTGTCAAAATCGGAAAAACCACTTCATGCCCATTGCCCACGCATTTTAAGTTTAAGTTTAAACGAAATTCTGATGGAATCCATAAGCGAGAATCTGTATTTATGTCCCTCGCGAGATAAATGTCACAAAAATGGAAATTCTCGATCACGGATCCCATCATAATTTCGTTTAAGCTAAGCATTATGAAAAATACTGAAACACGTGTTTAATAATTTATCTAATGCTACATAATTTTCGTGGTTTCGTCAAAATCAGAGCGAGACTGCTGGCGTCATCGCATTTTGTTAGTTAAATGACCCCCACCGACCAACCACTTGACCCATCATGCCCATCTTCTAAGTCATCCTTACTTTTGACCGAAGATCAACTATACAAAATTTCAAGTTGTATTTAAATAGAGTTATCGTGCGTACGGAAGGACGGCTTGACAAATCTATAAGGCCGCCTTAAAACGCCTAAAACTGAAGCACATACATATGTTGGTAAATATGTTAAGACGTTGTATGGCATGCCTCGAATCTCCAAAGAATAATAAATAAAAATGTGTACGTAGAAATATTGTCATGCAAAATAGAGTAATTAGTCAGCAATTAAAAAATAGGAAAATAATTTTCGTCGACCCAGTTATGGCCACACCCCGAACGTAAATGGTCCAATTCATCCTCAGAATAATCAGAATACAACAAAATATGTAATGCACTTGATATCGAATTTATCGCTAAGTACTACTCCCCCGACTCGGGCTTCATTGTCAGTGATTGGCAAAATCCACCAAATTAGCAAATAATTAAAAAATAATTCGTTGACTGAGTTACGGCCGCACCCTAAGAGGAAACGAATTGATTCATCCTGTTTCGGACCAACGATTTAAAAAATGAAATTTTTTTTCAAAATAATTCATTTGTCGCAACCGTATGGGGCACCGCCCATAGAAACGATGTCGTGGTCATAATTTACTCGCAATTTATGTAAAAGGGATTCTTGACAACGGTTAACCTTTAGGATCCCATTTCAAAATTGTTGTCACGAAAAATCGTATCACTAAGTCCCTAATTAATCTTCAATTAAATGCCCTTTAAGGCCCAAATAATTGTCAGCTATCTGTCCTCACGCACCCAAGCTGCTGAATCTTTTTCGACCACACTGACCCGAATTTTATTTTCAAGAAAAAACCAACGGAATATATTTGTATTATCACATGCAATGATAATCCACAAAAACTACTTCCCATATACATATACTATTACCGTGGTGAAAAACCTATTAGTACAGCTTCGCATAGCCCGAACCAGAAATTTTTATCCCAGTGAGGCCTTATGTATTTGCCATGTCTGTCTTTCGGTCCACCGATACCATACACCCAAAACGGTTTGCCTTCAAATTTTGCAGGTGCCAAAAATAATCGAGTTCGCAAGTGAGCCAAATCTGTCGAGTGAGGTCATATAGATAGGTGGGTGGAATCGACACCAAACTTGAAAATATCGCTAGAAAGCTGAAATTCAGCACATTGAGTGCTAATGGCGTGTAATGAAAGACTCGGAGGGGAAATCTAAAAATATTTAACCAGAGGGACAATATGGGGTGGAGGAGGGAGATGACCCATACCGATTTTCAAAAATAGCCACAAACCTACATTGTCTGCAATTATACAATGTCCTTAGTCAAGGACGGACCGCTCCTAAATTTTTGTCTGAATTGACCGGACTGCGATTACCACACCCCGTGTTGGGAATGGTCGAATGTGTGCAGAATATTTGTTATTTTGTGGAGTATTTACAAATCCTTCCTTGACTACCAGGACCACTGTGACTTGCTTCTTTCAAATCTTCCAAAGTTTTATTTGCTATTCAGAAGTCATTTTTAGCCCCTATCCCAAATTCCAGCTGAAAATAGCAACTTTTAAAACCAGTATGGGTCACCCTCTAGAGTCACTAAGGTTACATATTGACCACTTTGAACTTCATATACTTTCATGAGAACCCATTCAGTATCCCTATGCCGATTTTTATATTTTTACGACAATGTCTTAAAACCGGCATGGGTCACCCATAGGGTCCCCTCGGTAAGATTTTGCAATTTTACTTCATATTCTTTCAATAGAAGCCATTAGCAAGCTCTATACCAAATTTCAGCTTTCTATGACAATTTTGAAATTTTAGTGTATAGTACCCCATCCACTCAGACGACCCCCACCGGTCAACCACTTGACCAATTTCCCCATCTGCGAACTCGTTTCTAACTTTGTCCAATTTGCATATACTAAAAATTTCATGTGAATCGGGTCAGTCGTTTTGGCTCTAGCCTGTTCACGGACAGACAGACAGACGGACAACCATCACGATTCCATAAGCCCTAACTCGGGCGCCATATCAAAACCCTTCAATTTCATGCAATGTTTCCACGGTCGCCAAATTTGTAATTTTTTGAAAATACACGTATTTGTGTATACGGGATTCAACGCATTTTGTCGCGTATCCATGATATTCATGTATCTGGGACACAGGGTCAAATTTCAAAATTCCATGACATTCGTGGACTTGGGATTTGTGGGATGTTTTACAAATTCCATGACACTCGTGTACATGGGATTTAAGTGAAAATTTAATAAATTCCATGACATTCGTGGACTGGGATCCTAAAGGTTAATGATCTTTGCATTGCATGCAGTAATTAATTTTCAGAAGTTTAGTTTTAATTTTGGCAATGAATTTAATAATAATTAGAGAAAATGAAACAATATTTCTTTCATAAATGCAATGTCTCAAGCTCGCACGACCCCACCACGAACTGGACGAGATCAACCCCAATTGCAAGAAATAGCTTCAACTGAGTCCGTAGAAAAAAGTTTCCCTGCAGGAAAAATTCGACATAGTATTCAGCACCACATATCTGAACGGTAATGGCACAATTTTCATTATTAGCATATATTACGTAGTGCGTTCCCTACATGATGTACATATAACTTTTTGCACTTTTAAAATAATTTCTAGACGGACTAGCAGTTTTACATACAAAAGCGTAGCAGATACGCATGTTGATCAGGCACAAAACATTCCTCCATCCCAAAAAAGAAAAGAACGAGAACACCCTTTTAACGATGGAAAACGCGTATTTCGAAATAATGGAGGTTCTTCGAAGAATGTTATACCCACGGCTGGCCAAACTCCGAACCAACTCATGGCCAACAATAATCATACCCCAACTCCGATTACTCCTAATGATCACAGGTGTCATTGTTCTGCAGGCGTCCAAAAGTACTGCCTGCAAGAAAAGAGTCCCTACTGCGTCTGCACATATAATAAAAATGGAGATTCCAACGATAAACCTTGCTGTCCCCAAAACCCAAAAGTGGTCGAGAAACATGGCGGAGATGGTGGTGGGGTTCCTATTGGGAGTAAATTGTATACCAATGGTGAAAGAAGTCAAAATCGTAACAGGGACAAGCACAGAGATTGTGTGGATGGAACTCTTGGTCAGACAAATCCTTCAAACTACAAGCCGACAGGTGCCGGTCGACGATCAATTGATCGAGATACCCAGAGACCTCCTGCTGCCACAAATGTCCAACCGCCTGAATCTCCCTCTTCCGAAATGACAGTTTTGCAACCCCATAATAATAGTAATGCTGTTAATTCCTTGAAAGGTAGGGGCATGTCACGCAAGGAACAGTCCATTGAACCGTTATCACGAATTGGGACGTCAGCATCTCTTGACACGGTGGCACAAGATCCATTTTTGACGAACAAAAGTTCTGCTCGCAAAGCTGAACGACAAGCGACGCGCGAATCACTAAGAACGATGAATATATGGTCGTCTGACGAAGTCTCATCGTCGCGGTCACAGTATATTACTGAAAATAGCTACGGTTATGGGAAACTACTTTGGTGGCTACTTATTCTACTCATCCTATGGTTGACTCTACTAACTATATTTATCTTTAACCCAGGCTCGATAGGTTTACTAAGTATGGCTAAGCTAAAACTTGAAGAATGTGCCGATATAATGTATACAGAAGTACGACCGTAATAAACAAGAGACACAAATCAAGTTATACAGCCTAATAGCTTATTTATGAAATTTGTATTGTGCATGTAACATTTATTACTAAAGACTGATAAAACAAATACTTAATGAAGTTCTTAACTACCAACGGGAATACCAATTTAAACGTAACCTCTTTTTCAACGTGCTACCATCCACGGACTTTTTCATCAGTTCATCATTTGCATTCTTTGCATCTTGTAACTGTAATTGATTTCCTTGTAGCATTTGACAAGCAATAAGTTCTCCATTTTCTTTCAAAACTGCATGCTCGGGACTATCTGGCATTCCGAAGGGTGTCGTAATAGGTGTAATTTCGACAAGATGCTTAATCTTGTACAATCTGGCGTTGTTTGTCGGACTATTTTTGATTATAGCTGTGTCCGCTTTCTGTGAACATTTTATCACACAATTATTTATAATAACTTTCTGTAAGTTGTACTAGAATATTACACATATACTTACAGATTCAAGTTTAAAATGTTTTATGAGGTCTTTCTCCCATCTTGGGACTCCGAAGCACGACCGAATTCGTTTAACCATAAACAACTTGGTGGCTTCGTAGGGTGGATCTTTGTGGTCAGGAAATCTACATTCAAAACAAAATTATAACCCAGCCCAATCTCTAACCTCTGGTTGGAAGATTTGATTTAGTATTTATTAATGAGTGTATACACACCTGGGAAAATATTTAAATCCGAAGTACTGAATTCCCTTTCCTTCTGTGGACTTTCGTTGCACTTTAGGATTAATGTTCTTGCTGTGGCGAAATCGGAGTCCTCCGAGTAAGATTGAATTATAGTTTTGTAACTCAAAGAGCCCTGAATTAAGGGTGAGCAGGATCTTGGGATGTAAGCTGCACAGGCGTATAGACTGCATTTTTGCAGATTTAAAATACAAATAGAAATTAAACAATATTAACTTGAAGTTTTAATTATTTGCAGTTCGCCGATTGTGTTCTGCGAGTGAGTAAAAGTCGCTCGCGCAGAAGTGCACGGGGAGATTGAGATGCGATTTCTCGTCTGTCTCACATTTTTCAAAACTTTCACCTCATACATACTTTTATTTAAACACTTTACGACATAACTCCAATATTTTTTGCATTAATATAATAATTTTATTAATCTATGCAATATTCAATGCAACCACATCTCGCATCACCTCCACAAAGACCTCCATGTCATCCTCTGGAACAAATGTGGTTGGTGTAACTGTGGCCGAAATGAGGAGGGCAGCATAGAGGAGACCTCTCTCAAAGTCTTCAGCTAGGTCACCCCATTTCCAAGAGATATTTTGCGACTGACCCAACAGGGTGCAAGTTCCCTAATAAGTCATCATGCTCAATTATTCTTTCATGCCTAATTTAGATAAGGTGTCCAATCTCACCTGAAACTCTTCCGAGTACAATTTCAGCAACAATGCCGTCTCCTCGCGTCTCATTTTCGGAGGCAACGAGGTGAGCAGGAATGACGCCACGTCAACCATTGGGGAGCCATATGTGGCAAATTTCCAATTGTCGATACGCAGTTCCCGATAGATCAAGAGGTTCGAACCCATGTAACCCTCAACCTTTGGGTTGGATTCAATGGAATTCAATTCAATTTCTTTCGCCTCTACTTGATTAGCTTTGTATGTGGTGTGGCGAAAGAGAGTGGTCATGTAGTTGAGATTTTGATGGACTAAGGTCACAGGGTTCCGTTCCCAAGAAGTCAGCACGGCGTTGGGAGGAAACAGTTTGGGCATCACAGTTGAAATATTCTTACTTATAAACTGAAGGCGTTGCAGAATGCGATCCTTGTCCTCAGCTTTGTACTTGATGAGATATTCTTCGGCTAAGGTGGCAAGGACCGGAAATCCTATTGCTACACGTTCCTATATCAAACATAATGCTAATAATTTAGTCAATCTACAATTTATATGTGAGTATGAGAATGTAAAATTACTTAAATATTACATTGATGAATGGGAGAAAGTTTTTCATTTCGAGAAAAGGCCAATGTTCGAACAATTGCTTGTCCGTCGATTTTGAAAACGACCAGGACACTGCGTGCAGTTTGGCGATTTCTTTCAACCCAGCCATGACGTTCATCAGGGGGAGGAATGACGTTCCAGTGGAATTTTTCCGACCAAATCCCTCCTTGACCAAATCCTCGACAATTATGAGGCGGTGACTTTCTATAGTGTCGTCATTATCTCGATTCTTTTTCAAAACAGCAGCAATCTTGCTCAATATGTTATTTTCCACGACTTCTTCTTCCTCCATTAAACGAGCGAGGTCCATTTTCTTATCTTCTTCGCATCTAGAATAGTATGCTGTCGGGATTGGAAGTTTAATCTCGCCTTTTCTCACGTAAAGCCATCCCTATAAAATTACAAATGATGGACGATGCATGATGTCCTGATTATCTTTACAGAGCTTTTACTTTGACCATACCTCAAATGCAGGAAAGACGTGTCGAAATACATTAATTGCATGTTTTTCAGAATATGCTATGAATGGCTGGGTTAATTTTTCAAAAAGTCCAACATCAAGTACTTCTCCAATTTCCATCAAAATATGCAACGTCTCAACTGGAGAAGTGACACCATTTCGCTGTAATTTTAGAAAAATATGTAGTAATATGCCCATAATAACTCTATTACTGTATTTTATCTACCTGGAAAGTGACTGTAATTCTCCGAGTTGCAGTTTCATAAAGATCCTTCTGATCACAATTTAGCTGGATGTCTTTCACAATGCAATCGACATTAGCTGGATGCAGTTCAATGTTGGTATCTTCGTGTATGTCGATTAATTTCAGTTCATGAAAACAAATCTCAGACTCGTCAATTTGGAGGATGGGTTCATAATTCCCATGTTCTCTCGCTTGACGTTGATGTTCATCTAATTTGAGGTAGTGTTCTCGCAGTCGGTTCTGTAACCAGGAGAAGAAGAGGCTTTGCTCATTACCCACAGTTTGAGGAGGTCCAAGAAATTTCCCCACTGAGAACGATCCCTCAGAAATATCTTGGTATGTCAGATCGTCATTAAGATCCTCAGTTTCTGATTCAGTAGACATTGTTTAATTTGAACTAGAATCCCCCCGTGAAACAAATTGTTCAAACAGACATTACAATTAAAAGAATTTCAAGAATTTTATTGAAGTTTTAAAATTTTACAACTTATTTTAATTTTAAATTAATTGCATGTCACAGTGATGACGATACACCATGACAATTTAATCGCATTACTTATTGCATTACACTACTTTGGCTTGCATCTTGGTTCAATAATCACACCTCCCAATTTCTTTGATTCTTCACACAACTTGAATTCGAGGAAAAATATTTTGGTTTCAGATTGCAACTGTATAATTAGCGAAAAAAATGCAACCGCTGCACCCAACCCCTACAAAATTGAGTGTTATAATTAAATTCATTTTTTGGGGAAAAGAGTAATTATACAAGCAATTAGCGTTATTTAACGTACAGCAACAATTGTAGACCTGCAAATTGGAAAGTAATTTGCAGCAGAGAGAAGGGTTGGATCTGTGTCTGACATACTCCACAAGAGACTTTGAACCAGGCGTCTCTGATGAGACGTCTTGCATAACACTAAATTAGTTCTCCTCACAAACTCGAATCCGTCGCAAAACTACAATTACGTCAAAATTATCATAAAATGGACTTACAAAGTCATTAATTTTTATGCTTTGAGTTTCTAATATGCTGTACCGCTTGGGATGCAGATGCAATAACTTCAGTAGTGAACATGTAGTCAAAACAAATCATTATGAGGATGAATAGACTGGTCGAGATCTCTTCAACCGGTGAGTGATAAAACTGTAACAGAAAAACGATGTCCAATTTATTGACACATTAGATGCGTCTTATTTGCAAATCAGTTTTTGGCACTCACTTTGATATGTATTATTGTGCTATTCTGTTTCGCCTTTTGAAAATATTCATAAATCACTTCAGGTTTGCCGTTGTAGTCTTGAACATTTCCAGCTTTGAAATTGAAAAGCCGCACCATCACGTAGGTCATCATCCCCACCTTTTGTTTATTATTAACATTGCTATTTCTATTTCTACATTTCATACGAGTCTGTTAAACATACCTCAACAATCAAGTATATCATGATGGGAACTCCAAATATCTCTCCGTAAATTCTCACCAATGCAGTCATGATACGATGGTGAGTGAAAAACTTGATGAGAGGAAGCTGCAAAGAGATTCTTTTCATGTGGCCTCTGTTGGTCATAACCACTGTAATATGAGGCGAAATGAGACGGTTCTTCGAATACGGAACTAAATTATTGAGCAACACTCATGTATTCTGCTGTATACTTACACTGATTAAAAGTTAGAGCAAACTTGAAGTTCCACATTTCTGCAGAATTTCTAGCAATCAGTGCAACTATTTGCATTAACGTGAATAACATCCGAGCGCAGAAAAGGATGTAAAGAATAAAGACCAAGCCAAATATTTGGAACCAAAATAACTTGTTGTCGTCCTGAAGTCGAATATCAGGGAACACATTGCGAAACATGAGAATTGCCAAAAGTCCTGTGGTCCCTCGAACATTTGCTAATTTATAAAGAAAACTTTAAGTGTTAAGTCATGCAGAATAGAAGACAGAAATAAATAGCTCTTGCATCACCTGGAAAGTCAATTGAAAATCCTATTACCTACATGCATTCAGGGAACAAACGTAAAAATAAGAAAAGTATGAAAAATTTACAGTGATAAATTATTTTACAATGATTCCTCCTGATATCAACCATGCAAGCAAATTGTATTGTGTCATTGTTTCAATCTTCACTGCGGCACTCGTCTCCATTTCCGCTACATTATTGCACAAAATGTAATGGCCATTTGATTAGGATTAAATACACAATTTTAGCGAATGAATTCAATGAATTCAATACCCAAAGCAGGACACCAGCAATTAAAGTAATGCGTAATAAGCTGACCATCTCTCAAAATTACGAATACACTCCAAACTGCAACGAATGCTAAGTTGGCAATGACGTACAGACTAGTTTCGCCATACTTGTTGGCTTCCAGTTGCTCAATTTGCCTGATAATTTATAAAGAAAAGGGTCAATATATTTTTATCAGCACCATGAATTACACGGCATAATACAGAATTATCCAAACATACACTTGGGCTGTTCCAGAATTTGTGTCATTGCTGTTTTGCTCTTCGAAAGTGATGCTGACGTATGACTGAGCCATGATAACCAGGGAAGCCCAAAGAATGAAGGTAGAGATAAAAAACGGAATCATTCTAACCCGTTTTGTAGCAAATTCCATGTGACCCTTGAGGAAATTTGGAATATTGTAATAAAATTGGCGTCCCGTTAAGAGACAAGTCCAATACATTAGTTTCAATTCTGTTATCAATTGTTGACTTTCAAAACTAATTCCATCAATCATCCTGCAATTAAAAGTGCCAAAATATAAAATACAGACTGTAGTGTAATTATACAGGTCAAAAGAATTGCGCATGTCTGTTATGTCCCCTGACCATTTGGGATTCTCTTTTTCGAAGGATTGAATTTCTTCGTCCAACTCGTCCTCGTCAGTGACTGACAGCTCGAGCCACTCGCTATCGCGTTCTGGCAATTCAGCAATCGGAACTCCATAAACATATCTAAATTTCAGAAAGCCGTGAGGTTTTAATGTATTCGTGAATCCAAGCCACGCATTTTTATGTATACGCATTTATTTGTTCGAAATTCTCGACCTACTTAAAGTACGAGTCAAAATTTGTAATGTCGAATACAGGTGGTGCCATGGGCAGAGGTTGTGTTTCGGGTGCTTTGTTGGGGTCGGGTTTATGTGCGTCCTTGACTTTCCCCTTCGTGGCGATTGGCGTTTTCGAAGCATGTGTTTTATTGCCTTTCATTGATTTCCTACTATCTTGATGACTGTGGGGATTATGTCCTTTGTGATCTGTGGATACGCCAGCGGTGAATACTGCCACCGTTGTGTCTCTGAATTGTTGTGCAATTCTGGAGGGCGTTTGTTCATCCTGCATTGTTACGGATACATGTTTTGGTTGAATTTTGGGTTTGTGGCGTTCTTTTTCCATAGGTTCAACGATATTGTGTTGCATTACTTGCATTACAACAGTTTCGAGATTGTCATCATTAATCAAATAGTTGGCATTTTCATCTGGTTCGGAGGGGCGAACTCTGTGGCGATTTCCGTGATTTACCCAATCTTGTAGTTTAACCTGTGTGGCTTCAGCTAGTTTTTTAAGATTTGATTTAACTGGGGTTGCTTCTTGAAACGGAATTGAGTTACTTTCACCACTTCCGAGAATCGTGTGCTCTTTTACGATTTTCACACTCTTGCGTTTGCTATTTTCCTCTAGTGACGTTGCTGGCAAACCTTTCTTTCCGTGGTCGAAAGCATTATTATTTTCATCTCTAGACGAATTTTTAGGAATTTTCGTTATAATCTTTTTCGATGCTGATTGTAAATGTTGTTTCTTTTCTAATGAGGTGTCGACTGGCTTTTGATCATTTTTGCTCTTATTTGTGCGTTTCAAGTTTTGTGACGCCTTCTCTTTACCCAGATGCGTGCCAAGTTGTTGTTTGGTCTCATTTTTAGGGGGTATTACATTGACAATTTTAGACCTTTGTTTTGACGATGTGTGGTCGGTTTTGTCGACTTTTTTCTTATGCAATAATTCGTTTTTTATATTTTTGTCGTACCCTTGACTTGGATTTATCACAGGTTTTTTTCTTTCCTTGGTTAAAGATTTGCCCATTTTTTTGGAAGTTGCGTCTTTTCGTGATCTAGAGACATTCTTATTCCCATTTTCCTTGGAATAACTTTTGTGCCGTTTCTTGGATTTGCTTTCATTTCTCTGATGTCGATGATGATGATGGTGCGACTTACTTCTTAGGACAGCCTTTTCTTCGCTATCATTCCTGCGAGTTTTGCGAATATGAGATCCAGATTGTGTTCTACGACGACGATACTCGCCGTTCTCCTTTCTTCTTTTGTGATGGTGTCCTAAACCCTCATGGCGAACATCAAGTTCCACTTTACGTGACCTACGTCGACTATGACTTCGGCGGTATTCTAGGCTTCGGTTACGCTTTCTTTCATACGTTTTTACACGGTCATGGTGGTCATGTCTTGATTCATGACTTGATTTAGCACGTTTTTTAGCCAGCTTCATTGTCGGACTAGGAGAATAGCTCTGTGAAAGTTTTCTACGTTTCAATTTTTTGACACTCGAATGTTTGTGTTTATGCTTTTTCTTTTTCTTATTCGATCCTCCCCCAGGTGCCAAATAGCGAAAACGTCTATGAAGTACTTCAACGGGGCCATCAGTTTCAATAAACATGGAGTCTACTTCCTGGGCTACTTTCTCCGGATAGAGAATATGACACACGTCTTCTTTCTCCTTGTCCTTTAAATACTCGATGTGCATTCTTTTCATGAAAATTTCTCTGTAACCGCAAACCCTTCGGACACGTTCGACATTGCCGTGCATATTTGTCATTGTGGCGAAGAGTGGGTCAGTATTCAGAGGAGGAAGGAAACCTGAAGGAATTGGTTCCAGCTCGACTTTGTCCCTGTCAAATATGAACCATTACATGCTATTTGCATTACATTAGTTCGTATGATATGCAATTCACGAGACAATCTTACATATGCGTAACACGTGGCAGTGAACTTACGTAGATCGCTTTGGGTAAGTCCATGGAGTGACTTCACATTGTAGATAATCTTGGAATATTTTGGTCTGAATAAATAGATCAATTCCTTCACCCCGTACAGAAGATCGATAGAAATCGTGAAGTCGGAGCTTGGGTCGTTGATTATTTGGGGAAACATGTTTTTTGCTTCGTCTTTTCTTCTTGTGAGAAGCTAGGTCATCATTATTATCATCGTCACCCAAGTTGGATAATATTTGGTCCAGGTTTTTGGTTTGTGATGGCATAATGATCGAGAACAAGTTGTTGATGCAAATAGAGGTCATCAAGCTCATTCTAGTCAGCGTGCTGAATGACAAAGTTAAGCATTACTAAACTTGTTGTCATGAAAAACGAACCAAAGTCACATTCTTTCCTTTTTCGAATAAAAGAAAGATTATACACGTTCGCCTTGCTAATAATGGAGATGGAAAATCATAATTGCATAGTACTTTAGTCTAATCCCAAGATGCATCGTGTGAAACAATCACACAAGAATAATTGACATGATTTAATTTATCTCGCATTGATTAAAAAAACTATAAAGTTATTTTCCATTCCAGAAAAACAAGTCCTGCATAATATGAACCATTAAAAAATTATACATATATGAGTAGCATTACTACTTATAAAATTCAACGGTCGTACTGATTGACATTATGTTTGGCTCAACTCATTCAAAAGACCAATCATCTACCCCCTCGTGCAAGCTATAGCTGGTGACAAACAAAAAACTATTTCCCAATAGTTTTATTTTTGATAAAGTGTTATGATGACCAAGTCACAAGTTGACTCTGTGACACGACGATAGTGATGTGACATGAAACACGATGATTGATTTAGTTATAGACTCAAGGAGTATAAAGATTGAGTAAATTTCCTCAGATGACCATTTGGACTTATCACCCACATTAAATCATCTCAAAACTCAATCCATGTACATATTCGTGCATAAATATAGACCACATTTAGTCATTATTCGTGTGTATGTAATGTCCAACTTTTTTTAGACTGTCTACTGTATAAAGCGAGACATTAGGTGCAAAATTGTGCTAACTATCTGGAACAATCTCACAAGATTAATTTAATCTCGTATTGCCTCAACAAAAAAGTTATTCCCGTTCAGTATCCTCTTGGAGTAGAACGCCAATAGTCTCTGTAACGTCCACCAACCGTTTAGAAATTCGCCATGGCGTATCACCACGGAAAATTGGATCGGCCTGATGAGCCCTTGCCAGACTCCTCTTTCGAATTTGTGGACGCTGGGTACGGGAAGAACTTTGTGAAAATGCTCCACATTCGTCGTGACGGACCCACCCATTACATTAAAGAGTTCACAGTGAACACCCAACTCACCTTGGATTCAAAAAAAGACTACCTGTTTGGTGATAATAGCGACATTGTTGGTAAGAAAACACCGTTTTGGCTATTAATGTCGTCTTTATCGTCTAATCTAACTTAATCCCAACACAATTTTTTTAGCAACCGACTCCCAAAAAAATACTGTTTATGTCATGGCGAAATTGCACGGGGTCAAATCCCCAGAAGAATTTGGCCTCCTTCTCTGCAGCCACTTTTTGTCCAAGTATCCGCACGTGGTCAAGGTTCGCGTCTGCCTGGAGGAGCACCCCTGGGAAAGGATGATTGCGGATGGAACTCCCCACAACCACGCCTTCATTTCCACCCCCAGTACCGTACGATTTTCAACCATTATCTTCAAGCGGGGAGGTAAGCAGTACTTATAAAAAATTCTAAAATTCAGCAAACTGATTTATTAATCGCGTGACAAATGTGTACGTCAGTACATATAGTGTCAAATTAGCGGTTACTACTGGGTGGAATAACTGATAAATGACAGAAAGTCTCAAATATGCAAATTAAGAAATATGCTCAATATTAATAGTTAAACTTACTATGTGCATATAGCCATGCCCGAGATAACGTCAGGGTTGAAAGGTCTCCGAGTCATCAAGACGACCCAATCTGGCTTTGAACACTTTATCCACGATGAGTTCGCCACCTTGCCAGATACTCACGAGAGGGTCTTCAGCACCGTTGTTTACGCGAAATGGCATTATGCATCAACCAATGGCGTGGACTATGATAAAGCTTGGTAGGAAAAATATACGATTAAAAAAATATGTAACAAGGCACTTTTTTGATAAATGAAATTGTGAAATTTTAGGCACACCGTGAAAAATTGCATACTTGATGCATTCGCTGGTATGTGAATATGTATCTACATATTTATATTTGTTTAATTGAAAGGAAACAAAGTATAGCATTTGTGACCAACTTATAAAAAATGCAGGTCCTCCTGACACCGGAATTTTCTCTCCCTCTGTACAAAATACCCTTTACATTGCACAAAAAGAAGTTCTCGAACGTGTGCCACAAATGGGTCTCATCGAGGTCGAGCTTCCTAACAAACATTATGTGCCTGTGGATTTTAGCAAATTTTCAAAAATTACTGGAGCTCAAAATGACGAAGGTTTGGTTTATTATTAAATACTAAACTAGTTCCAACAACTAATGGCTAATTTTTTCATAACACGCAGTTTTTCTACCATTTGATGCCCCTGCTGGGAATATTAAGGCAGTTTTGGGAAGAAAAAGTCTTTTGCCACACGTTTTTGAAAATAGGTCAAAACTTTGATTGTATATTTGATTGATTACCTATATAATTTTCCGGTGTTTGACTAACTAAGCATCATATTGTATGGCTTTTAAATAATTTAAAGTAATAAAATTGTGTCCAAATTTATATACAACTTCTCTATCAAAATAAAATTTCCAATATGTGTTCCTGACGCCGCATGCATTACTATGCAAATTCAACAAATTCTTATGCACCATTATCGCGTAATTATAAGACTCCTTAATTAACACCAAGAAACGGAAACTTGTAACCACAAGTATTTAATTGGGTGGTTAGTTTGTCACTCATACAAGTATAATACATTTGGAGTAATTATCCATGCAGATAAGGCTGGACATACACAACTCAAAAGGACATACACAAAAGTGTAGTACGTACGTAGACAGCTAAGGAGCGAACGAAAAACTAGAATCTAAGACAGGTGGACCTTTACACTTTAAAACTTTTACTACAAACTGAAATTTATAATATAGACGCCAAGGCACATAACTAATCCCAAATAAATCTGTTACAGGTTCGTAATTATACCAAGATGAACAGCAAAATTGGAATGTTCTTCCTACTTTTCATAACGATGACAGCGTGTCAAACAAGCGATGGGGAATTTGCAAATCCTCTACAAACACGATCCCCGTACACGATTCAGGTCCCAGTATCCACGGGGGATGGTCAAAAGTCATTTCTTCCCATAATCTTGATAATTCAGTCTGTAAAACAAAACGACGATGCCACAATTTCTTCCAGAATATCAACCACACCTGGACGAGATCGAAATCCATCTCAAGAAGGACCAAGAAAACCATTTTTTCCTTTTTCACCTCCAAAAATGTCTACAGGTGTGCATAGGCAAAATTCTGGCGTCATATTTCCAGAGAGCAGTGAAGGTATATATCCGACTTCACGACAACCAACAAGTCGTCCCTGCATTCAAATTGTAACAAAAAACGGCAGTATCGTATGCAGGCAATTGTCGGGCTAAAAGTTTATATCTAGTTTGACTATGGAAAAGTAATATTTGACAGTCTATATACCAAATCGTGGTTCTTGTAATAATTTGAATGAAAAATAAAAAGCCTTGGAAATTGTTCAAATCTGTCAGAAATGAAATTCATCCAATTCGATCTAGCTCCTCAGTCTCACACGTCTTTGCTATAATTAAATTATGTCCATTTATGTAGATAGTTATCTTTAGTTATAATTTCTCAAAAATCAATGCAACTTGACACCTGTAGCCTAAATTAATAAGTATGTCATTAAACGCTCGCGAGAAAGTTCTTGAACTTAGACAAGCACAGTATGCACTTAAAAAATTACGTGAAGAACTGGAGCTGAAATTTCCTACATTCGAAGAAGAGTTTCGCACTGAGGCGATTCAGCATAATTTCGACTACAATGGAAATGTTGCATCAATTATTGGAAACGATCTCATTCACAATGATGGATATTCAAAGGGGGCGAAATCCAGGTGCATATTAAACTCTTCCTGTATTTATGCTACTATGTTGTTTTATGAAACATGCATGCCTAGAAAAAATTGAACTCCTTGTCAATTGTTGGTATAAAAGTGTAAACTTGATATTTATCTTGAAGGAAAAAGTTGGCACCTAAAACTTCAAAGCGTGGCAGGGAACAACTACAGCAAACCGGTGAATTGGTTGGCCTACCACCACGTTATCCCAAACTCAAACCTGATGATGTCAATATATTGCCAAAAATTTCACCCAGAAACAAATTTGAAACCGGACAAAGACGACTTTTTCGGCATCAGTTCAAGTTTCAGGAGTCTATGCAATCGTCTCCATCTCCGTCTCTGATGACTTCCAGAATCCTATCATCCCTATCAACGCTCAATAATGGACCCTCCAAGAGGCAAGGACTCAAACAAAAGTTAGTGGCATGGACGGATAAAGGAAAGAATTCTATGATGAGTAGTTCTTCCAGTGTGGAAACGAAAAAGGCTGCAAAACCAATTACGATCCCTTCAACGAAAATGCTCGTACGCTTTGACAATTCTTCCATCTATAAAAATTATAATCCAGGAGGAGGATAAATTTTTATTCGATATTTGTCTCTTTCTTTTACCAGAAAGGTCCAACCGCTTGGGTAAACTCTTCAGCTTCAGGAAAAGTGACCACGCTCTCTGAAGATTTACATATGAAAGACAACCCACCCCAGAGCCACCAACGTAACGAAACTAAGAAGAGGAGGTTCTCATCCAAGTCCAAATCCCCAGTTCGTAAATTGCCCAAGGATCAGTTACCACCTCATCGGAGAGGTTTGGTGGGTGTGGAAATTTCCAGCTTTGATCCTCGGTATGGATTCTTCTTCCGGGGTCAGAACGGCGTTCTCAATCCGCACTTATCGTGATATGCACATCTCTTAGTATAGTACTGCTAAATTACAAAATTTCAGTAGGCTTAGACGGTTCAGACAAACGAGGCTGAAGTACTTACATATATTCATACAAACTCAAATTTCAAGCATCGTTATTACGCAAATACATTGAAATTTCTAAATCTCCAGTAAAAATGCATGTAGAGTTATCATTCCATTACATTCAAGATTCATTCATTCTACACTCCAAACGTTCATGTTCGCAAGAACGTAAGAATGTCGTGCATAAAATTGCAATTGCTTGTAGAGAGAAACCATTATTGCAAAAGCGAGTTTGCTGATTCAGCTTTGGGCTTTTTGCTGAAAAGCCCATGAGAGGCAGACAGCAGCGCCATTCTATTTCTTGGAACCCAACCACTACCAGTGCAAAACATCACTCCGTAATTTGGAATGAAATAACTCCCTTCAATTCAATTTTACGTTTTTATAGCTTTCAAAAATTATAACCATCACCATCATCAGCAAAATTACGTATAGTCAAATTAAAGCAGGAGCAGCAGGTATTATTATTTTAGCAGAAGAAGTGTTATTATTTATATATTTATTATTTTATCTATATTAGACGGCAGCAAATAAGCAGTTTGTAAGTTTGTGTTTTATAGTTACTGGCAGTAAATTACTGTTAGTTATTATTGAGGTAAGACCAATCTTCAATCATTTATTTTTATTTGTAAAAGAAAGATTAAAATTCAAGAATTGAGTTTGAGTGGATACAAAATTAATTAATTTGAATTGCACAGTGCAATTTGCACTGCACACTTCCGCAGCTTCTGCTGTAGGTTGAACCAATATTGAACAAGTGTTGTTGTTCAAGTTTCTTTTTGGCGTTTTTCATTATTGTCTCCTTGTTTTTGGGGTTTTCAGCACCAGACACTTGGTTGACAAGTGGATCATCGAAACAAGCTGTGATTGGATGGCGTCGTCGAGTAGCAGAGCAGATCCCAGTGGGATATTTTGCAAGGAACATCCTGACGCTCCATTAATTGAAGACTATCGTGCTGGTGATCAGATATGTTCAGTTTGTGGCCTTGTGGTTGGTGACAGGTAAGTCAATTGACAATAGTCCCATCAAGTCATCATCGTCACATTCTTAGTATTCATAGGAGAGGACTAAATTAAGTTGTGCTGCTTTATTTTTGTTTGTAGAGTTATCGACGTGGGGTCAGAATGGAGAACGTTCAGCAATGAGAAGGCTAATGCGGACCCTTCTCGAGTCGGAGGGCCTGAAAACCCACTTCTAAATGGATCGGATCTTACCACAATTATTGGAGGTGGTCGCGGGGAGGCTGCGTTTGATGAGTTTGGAGGAGCTAAATATGCAAATCGTCGAAACATTAGTAGTTCAGATCGAGCACTGATGAACGCTTTCCGGGAAATCAGTCAAATGGCGGAGCGAATCAATTTACCACGAACCATCATTGACCGAGCTAACAACTTGTTCCGGGTATATACACAAATTTAATAATATACAAAATTTGTGACTAATCATTTGGTTTGAAATAATCATTAATCAGTATTCTAATGTAAAAATAAATATATTTTTTTAGATGGTTCATGATGGAAAAAATCTCAAGGGGCGTTCGAACGATGCAATTGCGTCTGCATGTCTGTATATTGCTTGCCGGCAAGAAGGTGTTCCTAGGACTTTCAAAGAGATCTGTGCCGTGTCAAAGATTTCAAAAAAAGAAATTGGACGATGTTTCAAATTGATTCTAAAGGCTCTTGACACTTCCGTTGAGTTGATCACTACTGGGGATTTCATGTCCAGATTCTGTTCAAATCTCGGTCTTCCAAATGCAGTTCAAAAGGCCGCCACTTCCATAGCTCGCGCTGCCGTCGATATGGATATTGTCCCAGGTCGTTCGCCAATTTCTGTTGCTGCGGCCGCAATCTACATGGCCTCTCAGGTACCATGATTATGTTAATACTCTATTGATGAGGATTTTATCCAAGTTTGACAAGTATGAATTTCTTAAGGCGTCTGAGGTAAAACGCTCACAAAAAGAGATTGGGGACGTCGCTGGCGTGGCAGATGTTACCATCCGACAATCGTACAAGCTAATGTACCCCCGTGCAGAAGAACTATTTCCAAAGGATTTCAAATTCTTCACACCTATCGATCAACTACCTTTGGCGTAATTTAAGAAAATATTACCCTCATATCTGCCCACCACTTTTCTACTTGACAAAAACGACAGCCGAGCAATCAAAATCGAGAATGGAACTAGTTTTATTTTACATTTTCTACCGTTTCGCCTACAATTCTATCATTAGTTAAAAAATTACAAAGGTTTAGCACTTTGATTTTGCGTAAACACAAGAATGAAAACTATGCAAGTATACTAAATATTAACCAATAATGTTCCTTTTACATGATATTTCCCTTAGCAGTAGATTCTTGTAAAAGCTACTCGTTTTTCTCAGCTATTTTTTCATATCGCGTACGTACACATAATTTTCGAGAGTCGTATTTCAAATCATTTCAACCTTTCAATATGCGTACATATTTACACATGTCCTCATGTCAGTCACGTAGTTTTATTATTCACTATTTGTTTTAGTTTTTTCATATTCTGAAATTGTACGTTTTATTTTATGACGTTTTCAGGTTGAAATATGTGTACATATTTTTTTCACTTACATATTATGAAACTTGTGTGGTTTTCATTGAATACGGGAATAGCGATAAATGTTATCTCCACCCACTCAACCAACCCAGTGCACTTTATTGTGTAATAACAAGTCCAAGTCACAGATTCTGATTATTATTTTATTTGCAATGTATGTACGTATAAATATGGCATTATGGCAAAAATGTAAGGATTTCAAATAAAATATTTACTATGAAATATTCTGCTGCTACACGAGTATGGTATTTGGTTTTTACTAACTTTATTGATATCCCATTCATTATTGTACAATACACGACCTACATATTGTTATTATTGTAATAAGCAAATTGGCTGATAGCATTTTCATTTGTTGGCACATTACGACGGTGATGGCGACGGAATCGAGTCTTAAATCTACACTTTTTTGGGTAATTATTACTTGAGCACTAAAAAATAGCACACTTAGCTTGGACAAGTAAGTACACATCGCAGCAGCCATGTTAGCAATTATCATCAGTGATTATGAGTTACAATACAGCACAGTTTTTCTTCGTCATCGACCTGTGATTTACTTAAAATAATCTTCAATAATCGATTCGAGTGTATTCTCTAAATAAGGGTTTGTTTGAGTTTCTACATTTTTCAGGTGCGTTTTATCATGATATTATTTAAATTAACATGCGTACTTTTACTAAATTTATATTATCCTATATCAAGAAGGTTGTTGCGAAAGCTTAATATTTGTTTGTTCATTTATAGCAAATTGCTGAATTAAATACATCACAGTACAGTGGTTATCATTGCGACTCACAGATATGTCGATAATATACATGGATTGATTATTATTACTCTTATAAATTAATTATTAACTACGTGGTTTAAATACTCTTATTGCTTTTACGAGCAGTTAAAATTATTAAAAACTAAATTTACTTCTAATAAAATACATTTGGAAGTACACGCAAATATGACCACTCTTCTCTCTCAGTTTATTTATGGTAATGACTTGCAAATGAGAATCAATGTTGAAAAATGAGTTCCTGTGTGTTGTATGTGAAACAAACTAATAAATGCATTACTTGTCCTACTATGCAAATAGCTGGCATGAACAAGTACAATAATATATAGGTACCAACAATTACTTCTTTTTGCTTCCTTTCAGAAAATAAAACGCTAAAAATTTTGAAATACTTGAATCAATTTGAAGACCATTATTAATTTTAAATTTGACAAAGAAACTTGATGAAGTTATAATTGGTTTTTACAATACGACGACGAAACATCTCGTTGTGTACTTTTGTTTGTAGATCAAATATTCAGGCTTGTGAAGACTAGTAATACGGTATTACGTGTACAATCTATATTTCGAGAATATGTAGAATACTCGAATGACATGGCAAAAAGTTACACCATTAAAATCTAATTGATTCGCAAGAAGATGGGATACAGCCTATAAGAAAAATCACTCAATCGAGAGCGAAAGTTGTCAATTTTTAAGGCAACATATTTTGAAGCTCACAACAAAATAGTTGTGCGTCTATATCGTCCCATTTTTCATGGTTTATTATTTTGAAGTTTGCAGGAAAGTTTACTTATTTAGAAAATCGACTTGTTTGGTTTCAAAATAAATTTACTTTTAGAGAGAGCTGTGAAAGATTCAATATGTTTTGTAAGGCATCAAAAGTCAAAGAGTTCAATAATATTGAACAACCAACAAGTCTGTGTCAATCAATGGCATATTATCAGTCTCAAACATTTAAAACGAAACTCGAATTACAATGGGTTATTTTTTGATTGGATACTTTTATGACCAGAAACTGCTGATTCAAAATGCAGCATCTTTGTTGTTAAAATTTAAAGTAAGAATAAAATCAGTAGATACTGGATGTTGAGTGGTGACAGTTAAGTATATGGTTTGTGGTTGTTCCAATCAGTTTGATGAATGAATGAAAAGTTTTATGCTTTAAATTTGTCTATATAGAACAGCTTTGTTGCTGTAGTCTGGTTGTGATAATGTTGTCAGAAAAATAATACGCATTATCGTTGGCCTTTTTTTATCCTCAGGCACTATCCTCGTCAAGTAGTTCGTCCTTGTCCTCGGGTTCCACGGTGCAAGTAAAGCCCTCCATTACAACACCACCACCAGAAACTAAATCCATGAACAAAAGAGCGTAGTCCAAATCCTCGAAAATAATGCGGGATGTCGTACCTCCCACAAACCCGATGCTTACAACACCCGGATATTCGCTGAAATAAAAAAAAAACAATATAAACAAATGTTTTTACCTTTTGTATATGCATATTCATATGAACCAAGGAGTTTGTTGTTTGTTGTCGTAATACAGAATCAATAAAAATTCATTACCTGATATTCATGATTATCTGAGCTTTTGCCATGGTAGACGGGAGATTCTTTAAAAGCACCACGTTGTTGACGATTCCTTTATAAATTGAAAGCGGATTGGCAGTTCCTGGATGAACCGCAAATATGCATTTGTTAATGTAAAGCTATATATTAAGCTAAAGTACATAAATATGCACTAAAAATATGCAAAGTGTTACAACATACCGGGAATTCTGCGATTCAAATGAGCGAAACATGCCTTTTGAGCAGCGTCATATCCACAAAATGTCACCAATGCCCATCCATTGCACTTTGGTTTCCTTGTCTTCATGTCCATCTTTACCGACAGTTCAATGCTAAAAATCTTTCCAAAGTCAGAAAAGATATCAGCAACGTTTCCCATTGAGCACCAATCTAATTCAGAAATCGAATATTTTTATTATTATAAACTCGTCCTCGCCTCGTTCCAGCATTAATTGTATTCTGTATAGAATTATTAGAATTTTATATAAAATGAAAAAAACAATGTATGTACCAGGAATTCCTGAAACGTGGACCGTGCAGTTCTTTGATGGAAGTGAGTGGTAGAGATGAAGTGGGGGTCCAAGCACAACGAGCGACGCCTCACCTTGGTCCAAAGTCCTCTCTGGGTAACCCCAGAGTTTGGATGTGTAGTTTGGAAAATTGGGCACTTTGCGAAGGAGTTCCATGTGAGCCAACATCTTTCTTATCCTAGTTAAGCAGTATTGATTATTAATTAATTAATTAATTAATTAATCCAATATATATATCCTCTATCCTTTACAAAACGACTTACTTGTTGTGTTCTAAACGTGCTTGGGTGTATTATTAATCGTTGAAACAAAAAGTAAGAGTTAGAGGGTAACTAGTCGTTTTTGCACTATGTCAAATAGTTTTAGTCAGTCAAATTATAAAATCCTCAAAAGTCTCCATACAGCACAACAAGTAGAGCCTACAACCTCTTGGACGCAAGCCACTTTGTAATCTGGCCGGTCCGAGCCAGAAAGATTTGAGTTATTCCAAACCTGCGAATAAGCCACAAGAATACGATAAACGCGCATTCCAACCAAAATCATGATAATATTATCTCTAGCCATTTTCTCTGAGGCTACAAGACACAAAATGCAAAACCAGATAATGAAAGGAATGTTGTTGAGCTATCTCGCTGAACGACGATATGCAAACTACAAATTACCATAAATTGACTGACAAAATAGATAAATAAAACCATAAATAGATCCATATTCAAAACAACTAACAATGTTGAACCTCTAATCTTACTAATGCAAAATATTTTAATTGCTGGCTGATAAATCGTTGTTGTATGCTCAAATCTCGACACAAATGGGACTCGTTCATTATTAAGAAACCAAACATCATATTTTATAACCGTTATACTTATAAAGTATAAGTACGAACATCCGTCTCGCACATTCTCAAAAAGACTCACCGACAAATGGTAACCCACCAACTTAATTGTTCCCACACCCTCCAGAAAATGAAAATATGTCCGATTTGGAGGAAAGCAAATGAATGAGAAAAGTCAAATTAATTAAGAAATTAGTTGTAGAATAATAATAATATTTTTGGAGAAGTTTTTTGGAGTAGGAGGAAGAATGTGTGCCTTCGCGGCCGTCGTGTGATCACAATTTCCAACCAACCCGACTTTCCTTCCCAAGGTTTCTAAAGCTGGCTTTAGATGAAGATTTGGGAAGGCTGACACACCGCCAATTTGTGAAAAATCACACCACTTTATCATCATCAGCACTAAAAGTCCAGCAGTCACTAAATTCATAAATTCAGAGTGTAAATTTTCCTAAGAAATTGCTTGCCTGTTTTTGCTCAAACTTTGATCTCCTTGCCTCTTCACCACGGTAACGTTGACAAGAGGAAGCATCCAGGGGCGGAGGGGACGACTGGAGGGTCGATAGGACGAAAAACTTCTCGTCGTCTCGTCGAGGTGAGACCATATTTTTCAAAAAATCCTAGGTAGCTGTAAATGGACAAGTGGCTGAACAGATTTGCATTGTTGTCGTGAATAGTGAGCATTAAATAACTTGTGTTCTTTTGATTCGGTCTGCAGGTTTGATACAACAAGACCAGGATAATCGATGGATGAGAGGTATCAAATTCTACTCCAGGCTAGTCAGTAAAGCGTGAGAAACATGTACGAAATGAGATAGTATGTCTGATTATGTCTATTATGAGAAAATTTATATTCCTTTTTTCGTAAATTACAGCCGGTTGGTTGGTGGACATCTGGAACCTGCGATTCTTTAAATAAGCTATTGATTCTTTTGACAAGGACTAATTCAACCATGGCAAATACACCAACGGAGGAACTGGTGGATAGTATAACCTTGTACTGTAAGAAGCCAATCCTTCTTCATGGCTACGTCTGGGTAAGTTACATTTCGTTTATAATTAATTATAAACTGTTACTTAATTAAAACTCGAAAATCACTCCCTTAACAAAGTGCATTTACATATTGTATACATTCGTGTCTATTTTCAGCCATTCGTTGGATTGTATGGAACTTGGGCTGCAGTATGGGGAACTTATTTGGACCCAGAAACATCGTTTGAAGCTGGAATGATTGGATTGGCTATCATAATGGTCGTGCAAACCTTGGTTTATTTATGCTGCCACTGGTCAGTCCATGTCTGCGCTTATCTGACTTGCAGCCCGGTAAGTATAACTCCTTAATACAAGTCACTTATTCAAAATTGGAAAAGCAATGTAATTCATGAATTTGTAGGAGGTGGACCCACTGAAATCTCATATTGCAAAAGTTATTCCTACTCCTACAAACGGTTCGGCGGAATTCGTTAAAATTCACCGGGCAAAGGTTCACACTTAAATATACTGATAGATCCCAATTATATTCTGATATTAATATTGTTGGATTAAATAGTGAATACTTTTTTAATGACAACAAACAATAGGAAGACGAGAATTGGCTAGTTTGGCTTATATTCCAAGAGACGAAATATGAATGGAACTTTGAGTCAAGCTGTTTCGAAGCTATAGAGTACCCAACGCGCCATTTGCTTGCAACCTATTTACACCACAAGGGATATTCGGAGGACATTCATATTTCCAATGCAGCTAGAAAATATGGCGGAAATAGGTACATATGCCTAGTATTAACAACTATTATATAGAGTGACTTGAACTAAAAACCGCACAGAATAGGCAAAACTTAATTCGTATTTTACTTACGTATTTTTCAGAACCATAATGCGGATTCCAACCTTTCAAGAATTTTTCATTGAACGAGCAACTGCCCCCTTCTTTGTTTTCCAGGTTCGTAATTTTTAGTTTCTTCAGTAATGTACAATTAAAATATGTACCAAAAAATAACAATGCATTTCAATTCGATGAAAAGGTTTTTTGCGTTCTTCTCTGGTGTCTGGATGAATATTGGATGTACTCCGTCTTTACCCTGTTCATGTTGATTGTTTTTGAATGCACTGTGGTTCAACAACAATTGAGAAATATGTCAGAGATTCGAAACATGGGAAATAAACCATACAAAATTCAAGTCTACAGGGGACGAAAATGGAGACCAATATTGTCAGATGAAATTCTTCCCGGTGACATTGTTTCTATTACCCGATCTCCAACTGAAGAATTAATTCCTTGTGACATGCTACTTTTGCGAGGTAATTTATCCTGTTTGTGTCAAGCTCCATTATTTTGTTATTGATTCACTTGATGTTTACATAATTTCGGTCATTAGGTCCATGTATTGTGGATGAAAGTATGCTCACGGGCGAGTCTGTTCCTCAAATGAAAGAACCAATCGAGTCAGAATTTCCTGATGGAAATACATCTGAAGATCGCTACCTGGATTTAGATACGGATGGAAAGCTGAGAATACTGTTTGGCGGAACAAGAATTGTCCAACATACTCCACCGTCCAAATCATCCACTGCTTTGAGAGCTCCGGACAACGGTTGCATATGCTACGTGCTCAGAACTGGATTCTCTACCTCTCAAGGAAAATTGTTGCGGACAATTATGTATGGCGTCAAGCGCGTGACTGCAAATAATTTGGAAACGTTTGCCTTCATCGTGTTTTTGCTCATCTTTGCAATTGCTGCAGCATCGTACGTTTGGATTAAAGGTATGCTTGCTCTCCTAAACAAAAATAAATAAAACAATACATGAGTATGCTTATTTTTAATTAATTTTGGCGTAAATTTATAGGAACTGAAGACCCAGATAGAAACAGATACAAGTTGTTCTTGGAATGCACATTAATTTTGACATCTGTCGTACCTCCTGAACTGCCAATTGAACTGAGTCTCGCTGTTAATTCTTCTGTTCTGTCACTAACAAGATTGGGCGTATTTTGCACAGAACCGTTTCGAATCCCATTTGCTGGAAAAGTTGAAATCTGCTGTTTTGACAAGACAGGCACCTTGACATCTGGTAAGCTGAATGATGATTAGTATTTTAAATTCATCCTAAAATCATATGCATGCTAATTTCCGCATGTCACTTATGATAGTAAAAGTTGGTGAATTGGTGTAATTTGTTGACACGTGTGTCAAATTGCGAGAAGACGTTTGATTTTTTCTCGATTTAATGTCGTTTTGTTTATTTTAATTTATTTTCATGCATTTCGTCCTGGACTAAATTCATTCAACCAGATAATCTGGTTATTGAAGGGGTTGCTATAAAGGGGGGTTCAAGTAAACCAGAACCTTCCAGTAACTTGGGACCGGAAGCACTCCAAACTCTTGCAGCCTGTCATTCACTCGTTACACTAGAAGACGGGACGATTGTAGGAGACCCATTAGAGAAAGTTACACTAAAATGGATCGAGTGGGACATTAACAAAGATGTCGTCGTTCCAAAGAAAGCTGCAACAATTAAAGGGTTTAAGATATTTCATAGATTCCATTTCAGCTCAGCGTTAAAAAGAATGTCGGTTGTGGCTGGATACTCTGAAGGTCTTGAAACAGAATATTTTGCTGGTAAGACAATTTGAAGTACAATATGTTTACTAAAAAACAATTCGCTCCATCCATATGGTCTCCAAATTGCCCAATTTAATTTACCATTTGTATTTAATCTTTTCCCTATAAGCTGTTAAAGGAGCGCCTGAGGTTATGAAGACGATGGTAAGTGTAAATTACGAATAAATTGTATATAAATTGAAATATGCTCACATTAATAGGGATTGCATTATATTGTGTGAATTAACTTGCAGTTTGCTGATCTGCCTAAAGACTATGACGATATTTACCTTTCTTTTTCCCGACGTGGAGCTCGGGGTGAGTTGTGGTTGGCATCTGATGGTTTTGAATGTTCATCTTGCCATTCACCCTTTCAAGCAAAAAAAAACTCTAGTAAAGCATTCCAAAGAATATCACAACAGCCACTTTGTTTTTAATTTACAGTACTTGCATTGGGCCTTAAACGCCTTGGACGTCTCAGTACCCAGGATATTCGCCAACTTGGCAGAGACGAAATAGAGTCAGAATTAAAGTTTCAAGGATTTCTAGTTGTATCTTGCCCTCTGAAAGGAGATTCTAAAGAAGTGATCCACGAAATTATGCATTCTTCGCACAAAGTGGTGATGATTACTGGTGATAATCCCTTGACGGCATGTCATGTAGCGAAACAATTGAAAATGGTCAGGAAAGAACACATTCTCGTTTTGAATTCGGAAACATTACATTGGGAATCAATAAATTCTGCCATCCAACTGCCCTTCCTGTCAACTGATGACAAAGGTTTGGTTGAAAAATATGACCTATGCGTCACAGGTGGGTATTTTATTAAAATATAGAAAAAGTAGAAAAAATGTAATCTCCGTATACATAATTGTTCATTTTTATTTTAGGTGACGGATTAAACCGAGTAAGTTAACTACTAATCCTAGTAATCCTAAATTCTCAAGTTCAAGAACATTTAATTTGAATGCTTATTATTTTAGTTACTCACTTAACAAAGTAATTGAACTTACCAATTGAGAACTCTTTCTTTATTTACAGCTAATAACTAATCCTGAAAATGACTTTTTGGATCGTTTGACGCGTTTTCTTCCGCACGTAATTGTTTATGCCAGAATGGCACCAAAGCAAAAGGAATGGGTTATCAATGCCATCAAATCTCACGGCTATTGTACTTTAATGTGTGGAGATGGTACAAATGATGTTGGTGCTTTAAAACACGCTCATGTAGGGGTCGCCATTTTGTCTCATTGCCCAGAATGGGTTGAAAAACGCCAAAAGTTGCTTCAAGAGATCACAGAAAGACAACAAAATCAAAATGGTGCTACTGAACCTGCAAGTATTGCACCCACCACTGGCAACAGACCTCCTTCTGCACGTCCTTCAAGTCGTACAGTAAACCGAAGATCTCCAGGCGTGGTTAACAACGCACAAGGACGAACAAGTGCCGTTGCAGGGCGTCCAGAAGTCGGGTTTGATCGACAATTGGCTAAGATGTTGAAAGAGCTGGAAGAAGAAGAGAAAGGACAAGTCATAAAATTGGGCGATGCTTCTATTGCTGCTCCATTTTCATCGAAAATGTCGTCCATTGAGTGTAGTAAGTTGAAATTTTATATTTAGAATACAGAAGTACGCATTTATTGATTGATCCACATTGGTTATTGTTTCAGTATTACATGTAATTAAGCAAGGACGGTGTACTTTAGTAAGACATTTATTACTTAATAGCTATTCAATTATACTTCAGTTACTCAATTTACTTTTTTATCAGGTAACAACGCTTCAAATGTTCAAAATATTGGCCTTGAACGCTCTCATTCTTGCCTACAGTCAATCCGTTTTATATTTGGATGGAATTAAGTTAAGCGATTCGCAGGCTACATTTCATGGACTGTTGTTGGCAGCGTGTTTCTTTTTCATTTCACACTCTAAGGTGATGAGCCAATTCTATTGCATTGTAAAAATATGAGGAACGAGCATCATTGAGTGAAATTTTGTTTTACAATTTTGTTTTCAGCCGATGAAGAATTTATCGAAACGACGGCCTTTACCAAATATTTTCAACGCATACACATTGCTGACTGTTTTGCTGCAATTCTGCATTCATTTCATTGTGATAGTATTCCTTGTGCGACAATCTCTCCAGTATGCACCGGAAGACAGGTAGATACATCATTTGTTATTATGTATACATATAAAAAAGTGTTATTTCTTAATTTTTGTGAGGATTAATTCTCATTTTCTTTTGTCTTAACTTTCAGACCAGAAAAAGTAGATCTAGAAAAGAAATTTGAACCTACTTTACTAAATTCAACCGTGTATGTTATTTCTCTGGCCTTGCAAATAACAACATTTTTTGTAAATTATCGAGTAAGTCCTAAATTGTATTATTGCATTTTATTTTATAATAATACTTGGATTTTATTTATTTGTTTAGGGACACCCATTTATGCAAAGTATTACGGAGAATAAGCCATTTTTCTATAGCATTCTTGTGGCAGCTGGGGCTGTTTTTGCAATGGTCACACGCTGCTTGCCAGACTTGTGTGATCAATTTGAAGTGGTTCCTTTTCCAAGCGAGGTACTAAATAAACTGAGATTTGGCACTGTGTGCTGAATTTACTAACAACTGATGCTTTTAGTTGGTTGAAGATAAATACATATGTCGTTATATCTAACTCTTTTTCTTTGTATTACAGTTTCAGAGAACAATGCTTATGGCATTTGCTGGAGACGTTGTAGGAGCTTTTGCTATAGATAGGATATGTATGTGGTTATTTGGTGAAGGTAAACTACGAATTTAAAGTAATTGTTCTAAAAAATAATCATCTCAATAGTTGTGTAATACCGTAGTATGTGCATGTCTAAATAAAAGTCTTACTGTTTGATCGGCAAGTATAGGAAATTCAATTAGGGTTAAAGAAAAAGTATTAAATTAGGTGCTAGCTACGGTATATACTAAAGTTCAAGATTATTTTAGAAATGTACGAATTATTAGAGTTCACTCTCGTTGTTTTGTTAATGTAATTTTTTACAGTTTATTTTAAGATTCGGATGTATTAAAAAATTGAATACCGTTGAAGTCGTTGACATGAATGTCCTTCAATCAATTACGATTATGTATTATTGCTAGATGAATAAAATGAAATCCCCCAATTAAAAAAAGTTAAGTTCATTTATTATACGAAATGCACCCAATTGAAAACAGCATCATTCATACACACATCATATGACATACATGTATTCACAGTAGACGCATACATACACAACATTCATATGCATGGACTCATTACATTCCTTATCACTGATTACAAACTAAATTAAATAGTCTTAAATGAAACAAGTCAAAATTGTGTATCGTTAGTTGTCAAGTTGTCAAACTTTTAATACTTTAAAACTGCTTGCTATAGTGTCAATGTCGTCAAATGCACCGTCAAAATAATCCACGACTTTCTTCTGTTTACTTTCACGAAGGTTGTTCTTGTTGCTCTGAGATGGAATTGCATTATCAGTGTGACAGATCAACTTGATGGATGAGTATATGTGAGTAGAAATATTTTTTAAATTGACATCCGGATTTTTTGTAAAGCAAAACAACAATGTGTTGACTTCACTGGGAACGTCACATTGTAAAATTAATGGAAATTGCTGTTGCACTACATTGATATAGTGTTTCTTCAAGTCAACGTTTCGACATACGAGATTAATTACGAGTATGGATCGATCGGGGTTCATTGCCTTTTTAAAATTTTCTAAATTTGATGTCTCCAAGAAGTCTGGTGGGGGGCAGCTCAATCCTTCCTTGGGTAGGCAAAGTTAAGAAAAACACGAATTAAAAACATCCATTACTTTTCAAATATATGGTACAAAAAAACTTTGTTGTTAAAGTACCTTAGTCGATTTGTTATCGACATCAACGAGGATAAGTTCGAAGTTGTACTGGGATTCTATGATTCGTTAATAATAACGCTTGGTAAATGAACTTGTATATGGAACTTACAATTTTTATTTCAAAATTGAAATGCACTTACTGGTGCTCTGGATAAACTTTAACCCATCATCCACGATGATTGATAACCGTTCCTTTTGTTCAGGCATCCCAAAGAACCTTTTAGCTGCCTTCACTATATCCGGATCGATTTCAACCACTGGAATGTAGAATCATTAAATATGTATCATAATTAACGAAATTTTGGATTTGCAAAAGAAAGTCAAGCCACATAGTGGCTGCGTGGCGTGGCTTTTTGTCCAAAAATAGAACTTGATAAGAAATCGCGTTGTTTGTGTGCTCTATCGTTTTTGTAATAATTGCATTGAATATGAATTGACTAATAAACCATTATTAACTTAAAACATATCTTTGTAGACACGATTTCTTTTGGAATGTTATATTCTAAAAATTCATCACAGACTAAATTATCGAATGAAGTGGTTCATTATCATTTAAGATTAATCATGCACAAAGAGATCATTTGCATACCTTCCAGATCGAGCTATAAAAGCAAACAGTTTTTAATTATCAGAACAAAACCTTTGCCAATATCAAAATGTAGTTTTACACGTAAATCATATTGCTATGTAAGTACTTACATTGGGTATAACGTTTACAAGGAACAGACTGAACATTCCCCCGCCCAGCCCGATAAGCAAAGTACGTATTGGACCAGTTTTGACTTCTTTGCCATCATTATTAAAAAAGTAATTTAGAAACCCAAGGCTCATCATCATTAATCCCTGAAATAACAAAAGACGAATGTCACAGGGACCAAGCATGTGCACGTATTTCAATTGTTACATCAATAAACTGCTTACATGATGTTGGCAAGATAATTTAGACGTGATTGGGTTGCGAAATTCCTTGCCACGCTTCTTTACTGCAAACATTTCATATTTTTATTCTACTCGTAACTCTCAAGATAAAACAAACTCAATTAGGACTATTTGCATAGCAATAAAAATAATTTTACTTTAACTAACCAATCGCCATTTCCACTTCGGATTGAACAATGTTTGGACTATTCAAAAAGATTAACCGTCGGAAAATTTTTCCATTGCTGGAAACGTCCTCGACGACGTAGTCCCCTGAAAACTCCGAATGTCCCTGATGGATAATTTCTCGATTTCCCACATCATTGTCGACTGTCATAATTGGATGCTACGACACAAAATTTATTGAGTAATAATAATAAATATTTTGTATTAATCCTTGCAATAACAATATAACTTGACCGTGAGCATGAACAGCACTCAACAAAATATAGCAATAACAGAAGAATATGCGCATGGGGATCCTGACGCTGGAGCACAAGGTTTGCAAAAAAATATGCAGATTTCGGAAACAGTATTCTAGGAATTCTGTGATGATGATAACATAATAAATAGCGTAATATTCTTTATAGGAAATAAGCAAGGTGAATATGACGCATCAAAAGAACCACTCTCAGCTGAAGGATCACTTCAAGCTCCCTGTAACAGTGTACACAAATTAGGATTCAAAACAAAAGAAAGTCCAGAAGAGGATGTCAATGTCAATTCAGAAAGTTCATTTTCAATCCAGCAGCTCTACGACGACTCTGCAAAATTATTATCAGTCGTAGAGGAACCGGCCGGGACAATAAATAATCTGACGAACACAGCAACTATTTTTGATTTACGAATAGCTGATCGGAAACGGGTGGGAGAAATGGTCAGCCAACTTGCTTCAACGACCCAAAGATTAGAAACATTAGAGCATGATTTCGAAATCCTTAGTCGAAAGGAAGCAAAGTACAAGGATAAATCTAGCCAACTCATGAAAAAAGTTGATGTGTTGAATGAAAAATGTGAAAGGCTTGAAGATGAGAAAATTCAAATGAAGGACAAGCATTACGAATCTTTAACGACACTACATAAATCTGTGAGTACCGTTTCGGATCAATTTGAACTGTCGGTAAAAGAGACACAGCTTTTGAGGTGAGGTACTTCATAATGTGGATTTTTTCCAAAGGGTTCTACCTACTTAACTTGTTGATATACTGTCGAATTTATCTTTATTAGGGAAAGCAATGCCTTGTTGCAAAGTGAAAATAAGAGACTGCGAGGAAAACTGAGCACCTTAGAAAATAGAATTATCCTGCTGGAAAAAACAAATCAGAAAATTATTTTCTCTCAAGAAATTGAGAATCAATCGCCAACAAAATCGGTAAAATATAAATGTTTCCAAAATTCCTCCTGCTCAGATGTGACTAGTCCGCAGCAAGATACAAAATTCATACCGACGCCTCCACCCACAGCCGAAGAAGAAAAAATCCTGCATGAACTATTCTTCCGATTTTGAGCATGTTGTCAGTAATTTTCTATTATTGTGTTTATCTATTAAATCAATTGCTATCTGTTTTTGTACTAAAATTGTATTTGTAAATAGATGCATAGCTGTATAAAAAATAAATCAGAGGTTTTATACCTTGATGCCTTTTTCTGTTACACATGAGGGCGCCAGGCTGGCCAAAGGGCCCTTGAGTTCTTCCTGAATGGCGTTCATATTTTGATAAGTTTGTCCTCGGACCAAGTGGACCACAACTAAGCGCGTAAAATTTGCTTGGATAGCCAGCGACGTACGCCCTTCGTGCGAACCAAATAACCATTCTGTTTCTCTAAACCAGATTTATAAAAGTAGGTTAACACTGCATAAATAAACTGCAGAAATAATCTGTATTGTTATAAATTCTGTAGATGCAAAAAAAAGGTGAAAAATCATGTTGACGTACCTCCCTTGAGGCACCACAAAAACACCGAATCGTTGTTTCATCGGATTATTCAATAGTTTAGGAACATCCACAATATTTACAATGAATCTGTCTTCTCCCGTTGTAGAGTTCATGAGTTGCATCTGAATCCCTTTCTCAGCACAAAACCCAAGTTGAAGAAGTCCACGTTTAATCAGACTAAAGTTTTGCTGGTCTTTCACATAGTCAGTTAATTCAGATAGTTTTGAAAATCTCGTAATAGAACAGATATTGGAAGGTGAAGAGGCTTCTACAATCTGATGATAGAAATGCAAAAAATAATGTTGCATTAATACACAAACCAGTAATACTCAATGTTTTAGAAACATACAGGTGTGGCACCACTTGGAAGATTAAGCTTCGTAAAAATGGTCATAAAGACGGGGAAGACAACCGATTTCTCATCATTATTTTTCTCTGCCGTTTTTTCTTCTGCGCTCAAACATCGAACAACTCTAGTCATCCAACCCAAACTATGAAAGTAAGATAGCATTCTATCTGCTACGTGAGGTTGAAGAAGTGAAATGCAGATAAATCTTCCTCCGGGTTTCAATACTCTATTAATTTCTTCCATCATCAAGTCGACTTTTGCTTTCCCATCTTCATCATCCTTTGTTTCGTCCATTTCAGTTTTGTTTCTGTTCTTCCTTACAGAGGTGGGTGGAGGAGATAAGGCATCAAAAGTCCCCTTTTATGATCAAACATTATTAATAAACATTAGCTAGTGTTTTTTTCGAAAAACTAGTAAAATAAATAATAATAATAATAATAATAAATTACCTTGTCCAGAATACAACTAAAGTGAGTGTCCTGTGACCAATAATATGTACATCGTAAAGTAATTATCAAGTACAAATTAGTTAAAAAGAATTACCGTAAATTTCATCTGGGTAACGTCCCCTTCTACAAAATCAATGTGGGGATATTTTTTCTGCATCTGACTGACAACAACTGAACTAATATCCAGACTTGTTTGATTCCTAGTTTTGTAACATTCTTGTTAGCGTGGAATTTAAGTTTAACATGTAATGTCGATATTATTATTTAATTATGTTTCTTGTACTTGATTCCGGCTTGATGCAAATCATTGCTGAGGGTAGAATTTCCACACCCCACAATCAACAGATTGTCCTTCGGACTGATGTACTTGTGCAGAAGTCCAGCCAGCTCTGGATACTCTCCGTACCTTAAAAAATAATACGCAATGCATATGAAATATACAAAAAGTTTTCTAAATATAATTTACAAACAAAACTTGCTAAACCAACCATTCAAAGGGGTCTTGTTTCCTTTTGGAGAAAAATGCATCCCAATATCGCTGGCTAGAAAATTCCTCACTTGATTTTGGAAGTAAATCCATGATTAATAATATTGATTCAATATGTCTGAAAATTGATCACAGTTGTTTACTACGGCATACGGCTTGGTGTTTCAACAGATGTTGCAAACCTGCACAAGAACAATAAAATATACATAATTAAATACATATCCAAGTTTTGCAACCAAACTATAACATAATAGTAAGCAATTATCGTAATTATGGAAGTAAGTTAAACTATAAAAATACAGTAAAATACCTTTTCTAAAGTTAATGAGATTTGTGTAATTCGGTAATTCCAGCCACATGGACTGTTCATAAACCGCCCTGCCGCAGAAAATGCATGGGAAATGTGGAGCATAGTTTCGCAATGCCTAACATTTGCAATTGTGCGAATATGCAACAATGTTACAGCTCATTTCATTGCTGGATATCACGATAGGTGTGTCTGGTTAGTGGCTTGTATAGCTAGATGAATGTGGGTGTGGTGGCATGAAAATAAATTTGGCAGTGGATGTGATTGATTTCATCTTTCGTCTAAATATCTCTGTTTATGTCATATAGTCATATCCATTCCATGAAAATGCAGTCACTTTTGTTTTTCCGACAAACTAATTATGTAAATGAAGCACAAATCAATGGTCATGAATGCAATTATTACATACATACATCCATTTAAAAAAGTGCGTTTACTTTTCTAAAACATTTTGAGACAAAGTTTGGAGTTGGTGATGCGGAAGATGTGCGGAAGTTGGTGGTGTAGTACGAAAGGATATATACCAAACTATATATTCGCTCATGACTAGACTATTATACTTCGCAAGACTTTGGGGTTGTTGACTTGACATCCTTTCATCCGTGTATGTGTGTGTGTAGCTCTCAGCCAGCCCAAATATCGATTAAAACCTTCTACATATATCTACGGTCTAATAATAAGGATGGATGGATGGAAGGATATGTGTCATGTATGCCCCCAAAGACTTGAGCTCAACACAATCCAGATTGCTTCATGAATGAGACTGCGGGCAATTTTTTTTGCGATCACTACTTACACACAGACATAGCACACCTCCCTTTGCCATTTGCAGTAATGCAACACCACTGCAGTCGTAGAAAGTAAGTGTATAAGGAGAAAGACACAATTAGGCTGAATTTTATGTTGACAATTGCCACAAGCTTGATATGCTGAGAGAGAAGAAAGTTCACCTTACTGATGACTGGAGAAAGTGAGACACTACTGCATGCGGGTTTGTCTCCGTGTCTGTCTCGTCTGCTTTTTTTGCCATGCATTTAGCCTGCATACTTGTATGTATGAAGTTGTTGGGTAGGCTATTATACCCATCGACATAAAATACAATGACTTCATCTCTTCAATTACTCAATCAGCTATGACTATTATAAGGTTCATGTAACATGAGAGCTTAGGTATGTATATCAATCATTTTCATGAGGTCAATTCATATCACAATTTTAAAAGGTCAGTTAAAAACACTTACATTTTTAGCAGACTCAGGTGATGGATTTTGTTTCTATTTAGAAGCCACTCGTAGTTGAAGGTGGGCGTTTGGTGACAGGGGAAAAATTGAGTACTACATATGTAAATATCTATCTATGTGAAAGTCACGCCGCAGATAGGGCACAGTTTTTGATGAAAGTTTTTTGTTGAAAGGCGGTCAGATATCTCACTTACACTGTAATAATTGTAATCCTGCAGAACTATGCAATATTTGCAGCTGAATTGAACGGTCATTTACTCACACAATAAATGGTTTGTACAAGAATTTGTATTTTTCGAGTAGTTGTCAAAAGTCACAATTCGCATGATAAATAATTAAAAGTCCTATAAATATTTATATGAACTAATGTATAATTAACTTGTAATCTCTTTCGTTTCCTATGAATTATTCCTTATCGCTAATTTCTTACATGCTATGATTTTATGTACAAGTGTGGACAGTGCAGAGCTTTTCTTTGCGAAGTTTGATTCAACTTCGACCTCCCATCAACTCAACCCCCTCTTAAAGAATGCGAACTATTCCTATCTATCAACCGAACTATATTCCACTACTTATTTAATTATATGATAAATGTAAGATAACTTTTAAATATGTAGGATAAGTCTTGAAAGTATAACTACATTTAATAGTATTTATATCTACCTAATTCCCCTATAACTATTTAACTAACTGCTAAATAAGTAAAGTCTAAATTTCCAGTTCAAAAAGTCTCCTACCGATTCGGGACAACCCCCGGTGCATGACACCGGTCCGGTGTGTTCCCGAACCGGCGTGAAGAGAGCGACTGGGAAAACGGTGCATAAGTTGGTTGGCAGACATACATTTTCGACAGGCAGGCAGACGTCTGTGCAATTTCAGTGCGAAAATCCTGCTCGTAGTCTCTCTCATCCTCATCTTTGCTCGTTCGTCGTTAGATTCTATAGTTGGTGGATGGATATTGCTTAACCCGTTCCTTCCACTTTTACTGAATATATAGATAGTCACAGAGCGTATATTTGTATCCATGTACAAGTTTGCAAACAGAGATCCATCCTCTTTTAGCCGGCTTAAAGTTCTCGTCTGGCATAAAGCAATATGCAATAATGTTTAAGCATCAAGCCCCCATGTTATGTATATTATACTCTAGCTGCGTTATATATGTATCTCCATCCATTGAATTCGGAAGAGGAGTTGTTACGTGGACAAAGAATTATGTGTACTTGGTTGGTTGGTTGGTTGGTGTGTGCATCCAACTCGGTTGAATAAACTCCGTTGCTGCAGACTATGGGATTGCTGTGTGTATGAGTATTGTTGTTTTGTTACATATATTCGCAAGTTTGTAACGCATAACGGTTTGGTTGGATAGAATTGCGAGAAGGATGAATTTACGGAAGTATCAAACCATGAGGAGGGGGGAAATGTAGAGGTGCTATACCCTAAAGTGCAGAGTTTGGCATAACATTTAATACGCATCACTGACTTGACTTTATGTCCTGCTGGAATTTGGGAGATTGATTACGTCATCGCTAAAGATGGTTCAAGATGATGAGAACAGAGGCACGCTTATGCAGGAATTAGGCGTTATATAGACAACAAAAGTCCTGCAAAAATACCTTTGATTTCAGATTTACATATGTAACAGAATTATCAAATTATGTTTTCCTAGATCTTAGATTTTTCTACATCTGCACAAATTCCTCAGACTTGAACAGCAACGACCTCTCCTTGCAATTAATGATTTTCAAGCTTACGTATAGATGAACAAGTGTTAACGTGTCGCAGCTCAGAAGACGATTTAGCACACATTACATGATGTACTTGGGTCCAACGCTTACGTCACATGAAATTTCATGCAAATATAGTTGACGCATCACTGTGTCTGTTCTTCAAGTGGGGTACTGGCTAAATGTGAACCTCTCTGAAAACAGAATTACCTAGGATTTAAGAAATATCGTAGTTTGTTTTAGCAGTTATTAATAATGCGCTTTCTGATGGGGGCTGCAGATCATTGTGAGACAGAAATTTCTTCGAGGATATTTCATACCTATTATTGGACATAACGTTCTGCAGTTTAGGGTTTATAATATTTGGAGTTATCGTGTAATCTATTTACGCTTCGAACTAAGAAGTAATCCAGTCCATAATTTTTCACAGAAAAAAATACTTGGCAAATTTTCTTTGAACTTTGGAACAATTGAATTGTTACAATTCCTCTATATCTACTTTCTATGCAATTCATGCACTTACTTTCGAATTTCATCATGAAAATCTTATCGGGAGTAACAAATTTTGACCACTTTAAGAAGTGGTCACTCCCACGCACGATCGAAATTTTCACTAAATGTGACCGTGAGTGGTTACGACTCTGGGCCTTACGTATGAGGACGATGAGCCAATCAGCAGTCAAGTGAAGGGAGTCGAGCGATCGAGAAATCCATCGTAGCTTCTCTCTCCCATATATCGCTCGCTGGCTGATAGTATCCCCACCACCGTTTTTTTGTGAGTGATTCTTTCTACGCTCACCTTGGCCATTCAGTTCATCACACACGACGGTTGTGCTGCTGGCGGAGGAGAGGCTGCTCACTTTCCCCTCATCAATTCCACACCTCCTTCTTGTTCTCTTATCAGTTCTCCGATAACCACACCTACCCGGCCCCATCACTCCTTTGGTAAGCACCTTTTCACTCAGTTTTCGAAAAAGTAGCAATAGCGCTTGAATTTGCGTTGAAAACTCGTGGGAGAGAAGCGTGTGTGGTGGTTTTTGGTGTGCGTACGTGCGATATATAAACGACAACCACGACGGGGTTTCGTGCTTTCCTTGTATATTGAGCGTTTTAAATTCGTGTTTCGAATTTGAATCGTAAAATTGCCAATCGATGGAACGTTTTGTAAAAGTTTTGTAAGCAAGCGACAAATTGTAACTGGATTAGTCATCATTGCAGATTTCTTTATCTAGTAATGGCGCCGGGTTTTGGGGAAGAAGAATAGGTTTTATTTTATTGAAATACCATTTAAGTCAATCAGCAGTTATCGTTTGCAATATTCTAAACTATTTTCGCAAGTATTTTGGTGTCATTTCGGTGCGTTTGGTGTTTAAATTTTTGTTGCCTGATACGGAATAATCGTGTATTCTGCTGGAATAACTCGGATTTTGTTGGATTTTTTTTTAAACATTCGAGTCATTTCACTGAAATGCAATTTACGCCTGAATCAAATTGCGTGGGTCGTGGGTGAATTTATTAGAATTCGTATTATGTATTATAGATTAAGCATAGTGATGGGTTTATCATTTAAGTTTACGCTATAAGTTTTTAGCTGGCATGTTGAAATAACAATCCCAGGGTTTGACAAGTTAAAAAAAAAGACTTTTGGAAGTTTAAACAATGAGTAAGGTCCAACTTGAAGGCATTAAGTTGGGTTGAGAACATTCCAGTTAATTCCATGCTACAATTCTCAGAACTGGAGAAGTTTTGTAAATAATAAATAAATAAATTTATTTATATACATTAGCATTTCTGTCGATTGGGCTTACTAATCCCGGTTCTAAACTCATACTCTGTTTTATTAAAATTAAAGCATGTATTTAAAGATGCAATTTTTTTTACACTGGACAGTGTGAGTGAATTTAACCAAAATCTATAATGCGCAGAAATTGAGTAAACTAGTAAAGGCGAAGAATATTCAATTTATCCTCAACGAATTAATATATCGGGTAGTTGGATTTTAGTTGAATGAGTCTGCAGTCACATATCCATTTTCAATCACCAATACTATCATCATCACATAAGCTGCAATTACTTTGTTTCTTTCCTTTAAGTTTAGTTCCTTGTATAAAAAAACAAGCTATTATAGCTACTCGAAGGAAGTCAAAAAGTCCAAGTCAAGAGAGTGGCCATTGCTACTATTAATATGAGATCCAATATCCGTATATTTCTTGGGGTGGTGCGATTCTGTGTTTTTTTGAATATGCATTATAGTATTAACCACTTGTTTATTTACACGAGGGTGTAAATAGTGTAAGAGATAGAGAGGAAGGGACCGTTTGAGAATCCAACCGTATCGTAGTGGTATATAATAATACACAATAAGTAAGTGTGAGGCATACAGCAACAATGGAGGAGTTGGTGGTAGGGGTAGGCCAAATAATACAAATCATCATGTGAATTTTGTTAAGCCAAAAAACCAACCACCACCACCAACCAACGGTTTTCTGTAATGAACGTTTCCTTTGCTGCTCTTGTTAAGCATATGTGTTGGATTTTGCTTACCTTTAATAATTTAAACACGAATGAACCAGCATAGCCACCTCATCTCTTAAAATCCAACCATCATCATCACTATCACATTTATGAGATGGTGGTGCAAGATAGATTTGGATAGAATGTAATGCAATGTGTTGCAAAAGGTAGGGAGAGAGAGAGAGAGATGCAGAACAAGATCTCAATTTTAAATACATGTGTATCATACGTATTTCTCCTATGCCTGCCCAATTTTTGTCCCCTTGTGATCGCTGCTGTATTTCATTGTAATATTTGCCCTATTGCTTTTCTATACTTCTTGTCAGTGGTGGTGGTTGGTTTGGTTTGGATGGTTGTTTGATGATGGACGAATCTTTTAGACCTTTTCACTTTAGCTAACTGATATCCAACCATCCAATCCTGCACCGTATATACACTTATATATAATCTCAATCTCATTCACATAACCAGCCGAAAAAATGTAAAATTGTTCATGGATTTTTATGTAATTTAAAAAAAAACAGTTGGTTACGAATTTTTGTAATGCTAATTTTAAATTATTACATGTTTTTTGTTTGTTACAGATTGATATACAACTACTGGGAAAAAGAATGGCAGATGAAGCGGAGAAGTTGATAAATCTCTCTCTCTGCAAAATGGCTGAATCCAGAACAATTCGCCGTGGTGGGACCAGCCTTCACAAACACCTTTTAATCTCCACCGTCCTGACCAAAGCCCGCAGTGCTTACTTTGAAACATGGTACATGGGAGAGGGGGAAGCCATCGATTCAAGAACGGGCCGTCCTATTGACCTGAACACGAGTTACCAAGGGCTGGAATTTCCGTTAGACGAGGACGATGATGATGACGATGACGACGACAATGATAGCGACCAACTCGACTTGGCAGACTCATCCACTTCATATTTAGAACAAGTTTCAAACCCCGGTCCAACAACAGAAGTCAGCAGCAGCTCTTCGTCATCTGATCTTAACAGTGCTATTATTGACGTAAACAGCAAAAACCTAATTGATCCACGATATTTTGTGGAAGTGGGAACGGAGAATGAGAGTGAAATCGATTTGCCTTCCGATATTTTAAACTGTGTGGAAAAGATGGGAGATATAAGTGATATGAGTTTCGGAGTCGACGATAGTGCCTCATCAACCGCATCTTCTCAAACTGTAGTAGTGTCTGCAAACAACGTCGTGGTGGTGCATACCTCCAATAATAATAATAATAATAATGTGCTAATTGAATCTTGTGGTTCAAACCCTCTTCAATCCGACCACGACCAACACCACCGCCACCATAATCTACCTTCGCAGCAGTCTACCCAATTAGTTTACTTGGACCTTGATTCCACTGGATATGCAACTGAGAGAACGACGGAGCATCAAAGTGACGTAAATCACCATCTTCATCATCAACCGTCCCCACCCGATACATCAGCATTAGACAGTGACGAGGAGCCAGTCTTTGGATCACCATCTCATACCTCCACACCTCGTCCAAACGCATCGAAACGGCGTCGCAATTGGGGTTTGGAAGAAGAGCTGGATGATGATGACGAAACAACCGAAAATAATGAGGAGGACTCCACAAGACAATCTGCACTGTTTCCACCATACTCTGATGAAATTCGTTCTTCTGCTGCAGCAGCTAATAAACGTAATTTGGTTTCAAAACGGTTGAGGTTCTCTCCCACAAATGAAGACGATGAAGACGACTCGGGTGTCTCCAACATGTCTTTTCTGCCATCATCACTACTCCCCACAGTTGAGGAATTTGCCAGTTCAAGCAGTTCTTCTATTACTATTGCAATGAGCAACGAGTTTCGTACAAAAAAGTCACACTTTGAAGAAGATGAACAAGAAGAACCGGAAGATGATCCTTTTTTGGGAGATGCTCTCTTGGGTCAGAATTTATATGACCCTGATTCCGATCAGTTACTTCAACGGCGTAAAAATGATCAACGTGAAAAAATCAAAAATGATCAACGTGTTCCTTCAGCTTCCGGTGGTAGCTCCAGTGATGAAGATGGAGATCAAGGGGAAAGTGAGAGCTGTATGGAAGTTGACCAAATCACTAATCTTGTCCAGATAATTTCATTTAACAAACCACAACCCTCCCAACAACATGTTCATTCTCCAATGTTCCTACCCTCATCATCATCTTCTTCTTCTGCAGCAGCAGCAGTCACGACCTGTTCCATTTCAACATCTTCTTCCCATTCTTCCGAAACATTGACCTCGTCATCATCATCCTCTCCATCGTTGTTGCAGCAACAGTCTTCATCAAGTCATCTTGTGCGTTCAATGTCGAGTCCTGATTTATGTGGGTTGGCAAGTTCATCCAAGTTTGTGTCCTCTACTTCTACAAACAATGCCAAAGATATTGATATTTTTACCTTTAGTAGTAGAAGTGGTAATGGAAACCATAATAACTCCAACAACCCCACCATTAGTCATCGCGTACTTACAATGACCGTATGAGTCACGAGAATTCCGTTAATGTTAATTCCATCAGCAGCAGGACAACGATTCATGAATGACTACTACTACTTGATTGATAAAGATAACAACAACCAAGAGATACTGATCTGTAGTAGTCGTCTAGTCGGGTCAGTTAATATGTGGTTCATTTTTTTCATTTTTTCTCAAAATTTTAATAGTTCCAAATCCAATTGATGATACAAACAAATTGCATACATTTTTAACACAGTTTATATAAACACGTTAGATATGCAAAGCCTTCTTATTTTTTCAAAACTCTTAGTATGCTTATTAAAGAGTGTAACAAAACGCAAAGTTTTGGCCCCAGACCAACGAGCAAAGAAACAATTTTATGGACAATGAAAATTCATAACTTTATTGTTTGTTTGTGAGTTTCATTAGTTGTCAGTATCATAGATCTCATTTCAAAAATTACCTTTCCCCATCCAGTTCTTCTATCATATTATATAATATTGGTCGTTGTTGTTTATTTGTAGGAAAGAGTTGTGCTCTATTACTCATTGTAATGAACTTCTATTTATTCCTGTTGATTTTATTATTGTTGTATCTATTTCATATTTCTTGTGTTTCTGTCGATATATAGATTTATATACTTGGACTAATTAAACACTACATTTGTTTTTAACATCTTGTTAGTAAAATTCTCGTCAGAAAATATAATCAGTCTTTACTACTAATAAATCGCGTTTATTTATGTCCAGCCTATCGTTGCCTACAATTTATGTATGGTATATGGAGGACTGTATTTCTAACCTTCTTTTATAATTATTATATATAATATATTATTATGTAAAAACAAGCAGCGTATAATATATATAACGGGAGGTCGTGGGTTCGTATCGTACCCCACTGCGAAAATCCAACTTTTAAACCTATTAGCGATTCCGTATTTAATTCAATATATATACGATTATATATATTCCTACTATATTGTGCATTAATCTTGAACCATTCACAAAATGGCAACACTTATCGAGAACGCTGTAACGAATAATTCTGTCGAAAATAATATAGGAATTATAATTTTATATAAATAGTGTACGATATTTTTGCAATAAGTCGTCGATATCATACAAAATGTACACTTTAAGCTATGAATTACGAAGGAATAAATGATTTTTAAAATGTAAATGATGAACATGCATGTAATTTGGTCCATATTTGCGATACAGTTTTTCAAACTTTTATTCATATATTTCCATGATAAATAAATATGCGTAGGTCTCTCTCGTCTCGTATGTCTTGCATAGTTTAGCAACCGCTACTACGACCATTAACCCTCGTATGTTGTGGCGTGCGCAGTACAAGGGAAATTGGCAAAGATGCATAAATGCGGCCATGACCTAATAACAGCGGCCACAATCGTAAAGCCATTGTTGCTTGATACATACATAGAAGAGTTCTGGTATACCGATAGAAGCATAACAATAATAATATATGGTTTTGTTGGGGGCGAGTTGCCACCTTTTAGTTCTATATGCCCAACAACCAACACCGCACGATGATGGTAAGGGATTTGCAGAATTAAACTCGATTTAACATTGTGCGTAAAATTGGCACATCCATCCATATAGATAGTCGTCAACTAACGCAAGTTACTTACTTTGCCAACCACCACTTGCTGATGCTGCCATACGTTTGCAGCGAAGGCGACGGACGACGACCGAACTTGTAAATCTTTCGTTTTCGAATCTTATGAGAAAACTCGTTTGTTATGAAGCAGGAGCCAAAAAATTTAGATTAGAAAGTCTAAAGTTTTGTATCGTTTCTTGGTGCAGTTGGTTTTACAATTTCTTTATTGAATATGTAAGTGCATATAATAATGGATGCATTTTCCTCAACTGTTAAGTTAATAATATCCCCCAGTCGAAACCAATGCATACGTATTTCAGCTAGCTTTTATTACAATATGCACATACGTTACATGTATCTCTGTGTCTGCTGAGAGGGTGGTTGTGTATATTTTATCTTCTTCAGCCACTCTAATCGTGGTGATCATTGAAGTTTCAAGGACAAAATATTTATATATGCCATGAAATCAACCGTGAATATTATTCAATATTTGAGAAGAGGAGAATAATGTATAATATCTCGACTTCATTTTCATTCAACTCCCACCAGCCAGGCAACTGCAGAGGAAATTCACTGATTTGTCATGAGCACATTATTCATCTCGGACCGATGGTGATAAAGAGATGATCTCATCGTATCGTATCTTGCTGGCACTCTCATCCATTTTATTGTTATCTGACCGAGTAGAGTTATCACCCTATTTCACAATGCATTGCACTGCGCTGCAACTTACTCGTTTGTAGCAAAAGTGCATACAAATCAAGATATGGTATTAATAGGCAGTCCAAATAAATATGATTTAAATTATGGCTTTTAAATATTAAAATCAGTGAATAAAAAGATCAATTCCGGAACAAAATCTTATTTAGCTCATGTTACACTAAATAAATGGAATGATCATAATAGATCTTTTGGGGAAAATGGGTTTCATTTTCCTACGCACAGACGACAGTTATGAACAAACGGACGTCATCCCACAATATCCTCTCAGGATAATTCTTTTTGGTGTGATGATGACATTCACAAGACAAACCAGCTCATCTCATTCCAACCATATGCCTGACAATAGCACAATACGCGATGCAGTGACATTTCGCAGAGAGAAGCTTTCCTTGACATTCGGATCGGTCAAGTTCAGAGGAGAATCACTTTCATTTGGTATTTGTATTTGTAACGCAAATAAATTGTTTTTTTTTACTAATGTTTATAAGTCGACTGCATGACAGTAATTAACATATCATAAACCCATAGTTGATCATCATTATGTTACATTGCAGCGGAGTGATTGGAATATAGAGAAGGCAACATTAAATAAATCCAAGAAAAAAACACGAACCTCTTCGAACCAAGCAAGTAAACTGAAGCCATGTATGTACTAGCTATTTCTGGTTAGAATTTCAAATCAGCCTCAACAACTTGCGTCATCCACGTCCGACTTAAAAATAACTTGTTACAGTAGTACATAGTACATTCAACCAAAAAGCAAGGTGCATACGTTGTATGCATGTACATATCATCAGTGAAGGAAACAAGTTAACTTTCACTTGTAAGGAGTCCGAGAAAATCCAAAAAACCCGATTTGATAAAAAGTTATAGAATGAAACGCGAGTTCGACAACAACAACTTCTAATTAAGAAGTTATAAATATTTTTTCTTACCATATCCTTTCTCCATGTTGCATGTTATAATATTGTATCCAGGATCTTTAGCAATGTGAGTGAAAATGGCTGCGAAACCAATCATTCAAATTATTATAGTTTACATTTTGCATTGGAACCATGAACCATAGATCCATGTACGATTTGAACAGTTGACAGTGTGAACTAAATATCTATGGATCGATGCCTTTATAGATTCCTTAGCGTTAGGTTATATTATATTTGCCTTTGCCTTGTATGAAAATTTCTGATCATTGTGATGCTACAATAAAAAAGAGCATATTTACGAATTATCGACCAAACAGAAATGACTAACTCGAGCAAATATAAACAAAGGTATCATGTTTCATCAACCGCATAATATAACATCATGTAGATATGTATATAGTAAAATTCCAAAACGTTGTTCCACACAACGACAGAATAAATAATAAAAATGTTGTGATACGGTTTAGGACTGCTTATTTATTAAACTTTACAGTTTTATTTTTTACTTCACCAAGCTTTCTACAAATAAGGGATATTAGATTTAAGAGGTCATGTGCATGTACATATGTATAGCAGCTTTCATTTATAAATCGTCATTTCTAGTAGAATTATCCAGATTTTAGTCATATTATCCGTCGGAAACTCCTCTATTTTAACAGCCAAATACTATTTTTTACTTTGACATTTACTTTACTGAATTTTACTTTTCCATTTTCGCCTCAAACTTGCATTAATATCTCGGCGACGGCCTCATGAAGTTGTGGTTGAGACACACGCTAAAAATATACCAAAATGTCAAGATCAAGGCAGACTCGCATCTGCTCAGAATCATGTATCTGAAAGTTACAAGCATAAAATACATATGAATATGTAAACTGTCTGTAATGACATTATATCCTGACCTGCCATGATAACTGATTCACTATAAAATAATCCATACTACAAATGCATTTTATGATTTGCATAGAATGAGTATGCAGTGTATTTATATGAAAGCAAATACGCTAATGACTTTACGATGTTTGCTTGTCCCAACATACGAACAATATTGAACAAATCACATTTTTTTATTAAAGCAAATTTGAGAAAACATGAACAACGTGTTTGTGTAAGCACAATAGATACTGATGACTTGACAAAAACCGAACGGAAATTACAGATTTTATACGATTTATAAAAAAACTACAATCAAAATAAGGATATTACAAATTACGATTTGTAGAACTAATTAGAACGATTCTCTGTAGGCTTAGAATTTGCAGAAAATGCGGGTGGTGGCATATTTCTATTTGCTAATGCCCGACCTAAACTTGGCAATGGACGCCCCATTGTTGGAGGGTCCGGTTTCATCTTTGTCGGATTTTTGCTGCTATCAAACGCAGCAATTGACATTAGAGATCCAAACAACATGTGCTGAACAACTGGAAATTTAGATAAAACCTCTCCTTTGTACATTTTGATCAGCCCTTGATTAATTTTAGACCAGGTTGCTGTTCCTGAAATATTGTAAAGTTGATTCGAGTGTTCATGAAATGGTCCAGATTTAACTTTTAAAATATATTGAATGCATCCAAGAAACATAAATTCTGATGAGAGCCGTTCTACAACTGTTTCATCGGAAAACTGACTAGGTTCAATTCTGGGATTGCCTGCGTAAAACAAAAACAAATACAGCCTAAATGTCAACCCCAGCTTAATACATTGCATTGTCCAGAATTAGTTACCAACAAACTGACTACTGCCCCACAAGAATGGGATGAATTGAAAATCATCTAAACTCCAAACCCCATGACTTCCTGCAGGCTCCATATTATAAAAAGTTTGCAATTTTCGCACAATATCCAAGTATCTCTTGAATATTTTCGTAACTACTGCAATTCTATCAAAAAATGAAAAATATATTACATAATTAAACCATAAAAACTTGACAATGTCACATCAAACAACGAACCTGTCATCAGATAAATTACAGTCCAATGCACCAACGCGAAACAAGCAGTACATGAACATGATAAAAGACATTTCATGTCCAGATCCATAGTCAATCCTCGTAGAATTGCCAACCGACTCTGTTACATAAATTGATATTTCTGGAATTGATTTATGAAACTTTTCTGGGAGTGATTCCTTCAACAATTCTTCAATCTCTTGACACAAGCGGTGATAAAATGTGGCAAAAGCTTTGTTTCCGAATCGCTGAGGTTGGTCAATGAGGGGTGTCTCATCAATGATTGCATCCACCTTGTCCAGCAGTATGACAATTTTTTCAACCACTGGGGAACATTTATCCACTGGATGATTAAGAGACTTTCCCTTCACAGCATCATTAAGAGATTCTATAAACCCCATGTACTCCTACATAAAAGTGAAAAGAAACCAAAACCTTAATTGTGCAACAGTGATGATGAATGTAATACAACCTATAGCGTAGTACTTGAAACATAATGACCCAGTTATCTGGGGTGTTTCATTGTAATAAATAATTAAATAAATATAGTTTTAAATATGAAATGCAGTACCTGATATCCATCGGAATTTATCCATTTATTCATGTCCTCCACAGAGTAAATCTCTTTTTTTGGGACGACAAAGACATGATTTTCTCCTAAGAATTTCAGAAAACCAATGATATAGTTGTTTCAAATTATATACTAATTAAATTATACGTTACCCATTCTTTAGGCTCGACTTACCAACAGCACTCATCGTACAAAATCACAAAATATGTGGTCAGAAATGTATTAAAATCTGGACGAAAATTAGCAAAAACACACGGTGTTGACAAGAGAAGATTGAAAGCAAATGATCAGACAAAAGTTGTCGGTGCTGGTGTGAATTCCGCGCCGGCAAATCGAGTGAAATGTCCTTGACGGAGGTCGGCAATTTTTTTTAACTTTACAGACTCGGCCTAATCATAAGCATCACTAATCCCACTCCGACAAGCCCATGCAGCTGGTCGTTTAAGTTGATGAAATATAATAACACTGGTCGGAAAATAAGTGAAGTTGCTTCTCAATAAAGGTAAAAGGTCTTCTTCCCAAGTTTCATATCATTCCACATTCATCTATTTCCTTCTGCTTCGCTCGGTCGAATCATCATTTCCTAATTTTCGACACCCACCTGTCTGTAATTTTGTAAGTAAGTATTGACTATATTCTTGATGAGTATTTGAGGTGGGAGCCATTTGCATGTTGTCGCATTTTCACATTCTTAATTGTTATATTCTGTAAATAAACTACACCTACTTTTCTACCGGCAGCCGGGTCAGGTACACCATTGTGTAATGAAATAATGTACAACGTTGTTATTTAATTAACGATACTCTTGTACACTGTCCGAATTTTTATAGATTTGTTAATTCTCATGCAAATTACTACATACAACCCAGTCAATATTACTATTTAAAACTGTATTGGTATGTGACGCCTACTCGGTGTCCTCATTTGCATACGAAGCAATTGACACTATTTAATTAAATAATTGAGCTCGTCAGGCGGACAAGGCACCAGAGTTGCTGTACAATTTAGCGTCCTCCTCATTCTACGATTGGGGATTGAACGCCTAGTAGTGCTCACAAACGCCCTACTAATTTTTGTTCTCGTCTGTTTTTAAGAGACCGGAATAATTATGAGGCTCGGCGATACGTTTCCAAACTTCCAGGCACCTACAACCATCGGAGGCAAGTCATTTTTCCTAAGGCGTATTAATGGGCGATAATTTCCTGTGTTCCGTTTTTTCTAATCAAGCAAATTTTAAATTGCAGATATCGACTTTTATGAATGGCTCGGTGACTCGTAAGATCAGTTTTTCCTTTATTTCACTTTTTTCCTAGCGTTGAATAATGCGAGAGGTATCATCATTCATTTAATTATATATTCCACTGATTATTTGCAGGTGGGGAATTTTGTTTTCGCATCCAGCCGATTACACGCCGGTCTGCACTACTGAATTGGGTATGCATTATATGTGTATATGTATATTTATTGAAGGAAATATTTATTTGATTTTCTTGGGCTGGTTTTCTTCAGGTCGTGCGGCCAACTACTTTCCCAAGTTTGTTGAGCGTGGAGTGAAATTAATCGCACTTTCGGTTGATAGTTTGGAGTCGCACAAGGGATGGGTCGAAGTAAGTCCCCCCCCTGTTCTTTTTTATTAACTTTTATGAACGACCCGGAAATGAAGCTTGTATGCAAAAGCGACCTGTGTGTTGATGGTTAACAATACACTAAATTTTACTAGGACATCAAGTCGTATTGTCCCGAACTCCGAAACAAGGACTTTCCATTCCCTTTGATTGCTGATGAGAAGAGAGAATTGGCAATTAAGTTTGGCATGTTGGACCCTGATGAGAAGGACTCAAAGGGCATGCCTCTAACTTGTCGTTCTCTGTTTGTAATTGGACCGGATAAGAAATTGAAGCTCTCTATCCTGTATCCTGCTTCGACCGGAAGGAGTTTCGATGAAGTTATTCGTGTTGTTGACTCGCTTCAACTTACTCAAAAACGCAAAGTTGCAACTCCAGCGGATTGGAAAGTGTGTACCTATATAATTTTTCATGTATTCGTATACATACTTATATGACCTGGGATCTAAAAAAAATCTGATTTTCATTTTATGCAGCCTGGAAATCATTGTATGGTTCTGCCAACCTTAACCCCAGAGGAAGTTAAAGCCAACTTTACGGAGGAAATTACCGTTGTACCAATGCCATCAGGAAAAAATTACGTTCGCCACGTCACTTTAAACAATAATTGAATTATCCAACTCAACAAAATGTTGTTGTAATGACTTTTTTCTATATTCCTAATTGATGTTTCATTCCATTATAGACAATAAGAATGATATTGATCAAATAAATCATAATAATTGGTAATACTGTTGTATGAAAACATGATTCGTAAATTTTTTAACGCTTATGCATTGAGAACCCATAGCAGTATCTTTGAGTACACATTTTATTAGTCGCCATCTTACATTTCTTAAGGGCTTAGTGCTACTTAATTCCTAATATCTCATTTAATTTATAGTACAATTGGAGGAATTGATCCTGAACGCAGTGTGAAAGCGTCATTCATAAAGAATACGTGTGGGTGAGTAAGGAATCAGAGATGGCAGAAAGAGTGTGATTTGGTTTTGCGTAGTCGAACTATTGTTGACACACATATGATCGCAATTCTACTTTCCATCAAAACAGCAGCACACAACACAGCATAACTATTCAGTTTACAAACATAAATCGTCTTATAATTGTCATACTGGTCATTTTTTCGTGAGGGAGTGGTCATTTAGTAAGTTGGGGCGTCTTCACGAACACATGGTAAGCAACTCTAGTATTAACTTGGTACATTATCAGCGTATATACATAACACACAAGTCCTCTAGATTTGCGTTATCATTTCGTATTTTATTATCAAATAACCCACGGTGCAGCCTTATTTAACCTTAATTACATCAACCGAGAACAACGGGCGATGCAATTTTGCGACCACTCTGAATTTTGCATTTTTTAAGTCATCAATGTTTGATTTTTGGGTTTACGGGATGGATGACTCAACTCAGATAAGAATGCTTAGATTGTCAATTCATAAATTGTAGAGTAAAGCAAAATTAACTGATTGAGATTATGCTATACAGGTAGTGATTTTAACTGCTCATTAAACTATATAAAAATTATTAAATACGTCACTCGTTTTTATAACAGTCCCTGAGACACAGGCACATGAACTGAGTCAGCATACATAAATAAATGACAATTAATATCGATTTATTTTGCAGCTACCGTTATTGTCAACATACATGTTTAGCGTATTAACCCAGTTGTTTTATCTCGGGAGGGTTGCATTTTCACAGGAACAAGTGTAAATAACGTTTTGAGAGTAAAGGAATTGTAGCCAATTTTTCACCAATTATTTATAATTGTTACTTACCACATCATATGTATTTGGTCATTAACACCAAATACATCGATTAAAACGACTACGACTCTACTGTTGTGATGCGCAATTCACTTATGTTTGATGGTGTACTAGTTATAGTACCAACTTAAATAATTATTTAAAGCAATAATTTTGATGGCCGTTTTGATAATTTCAGATAGATAGACTTTGGAGACCATAAATAAGCAAGGTAAGCCTAGCTATAAGCTACCTACTAATGTGTTTTGCAATGCATAATGGAATTGTAATTGTTTAAGTTGTTAATTATAATACATATTTTTTAACATGTAGAGTTTGAGAAGATTTGCATACACTTCTGTACTACTCAATAGTGGTGGTGTCATTGAGCTGTGCGTGGTCTTCTATCTTTTGCAGTACCAACAGCAACATAATTTGTACGGACGGATGTAGCATCGTGTGTATTATCCAGTAAAATTGTCCAAGATCAAGTTTGTGTGCCGTATTCAAGTCCATCATCATCATCATCACTGCAAGCTACTCCTGGAACTGTATTAATTCTACTTGCCATTATCTCTGCTCCACATATTTACAACACTTACTCAGCTTTATTTCACCAACTAACTACCATTACGGACTGCATAAAAGTTCCACACGCTACATTAAAGGCAGAAGAATAAATTGTGCTTACGGGAGACTCCCCTTTCCATCGTCCTCACATCAAAGTCTGATTTCTACACACACATGCTGTAATAATCCAAGTGTTTCTTTTAATGACTCACACACATTGCAAAAGTGACAATTTAGCAATGCTTTTCAAGTTATCTTAAAGTGGGTGCAGCAATTAAGAAAATTATATTGTGCCTGAAAGTGTTTTAACCTGCGAAATAATTTACAAAACTACAATTCTTACTCGTGTGTCTGGGACACTAAATTTTACATTTTATTTATTCAAATATACAATCAAGAACTCAGTGCAAGATGTCGAGCGGACCATACAACTACTCGTATATTTTTAAGTATATTATAATCGGTGATATGGGTGTCGGCAAAAGTTGCCTTTTACATCAGTTTACTGAGAAAAAATGTAAATTTTAACTATTTATAAACTACACTGTATTACATGAAATTTTAAAATTTTGAATGATCTTTAGTCATGGCAGATTGCCCGCATACAATTGGCGTCGAGTTCGGAACACGCATCATTGAAGTATCGGGACAAAAGATTAAGCTACAGGTATCCTCTTCAAATTTTTTAAACTACGATAACGTATAGCATAATTTTTTTGTGATTGACTAGATTTGGGACACAGCGGGACAGGAGCGTTTTCGTGCAGTGACGAGGTCGTACTATCGTGGGGCGGCTGGAGCCTTGATCATTTACGATATCACCCGACGAAGCACATACAATCACCTTTCGTCATGGTTGACAGACGCAAGAAACCTCACTAATCCCAATACTGTGATCTTCCTCATCGGAAACAAATCCGACTTAGACGCTCAGGTGTGTGAAAATATTAGTGAATGAGAATAAATAGCAGTTATTACAGTTATTATCCTTTTCCATGCAGCGAGATGTAACATACGATGAAGCCAAGAAATTTGCTGATGAAAATGGATTAAAATTTGTTGAAGCCTCTGCTAAAACGTATAGTCCTCACATTACTTGATAATTAATTATAATTTTATATTAAATTTGTATATGTATGACCTTTCTTCCCTCCTGTTATGCTTATAAGTGTTATATCGCCCTCAGCAAAATATATAATGTTCGTTTTGCAGTGGCGAGAACGTCGAGGAGGCATTCTTAGAAACGGCAAAGAAAATTTATGAAAGTATCCAAGATGGCAGGTTTGTGGCTCATCTCTTGAATAATATAATATTTATGCAATGTATTCAATAAAATTGTACATTTTCGTTACTATTTTCAGTTTGGATTTGAACGCTGCTGAGTCTGGTGTACAGAAAAAGCCCACGGCGAACGGAGCCCGAACATTAAGCAGCGAAAATGCTGAGGGTAGAAACCCGTCATCGTGCTCTTGTTAATATAATAGACTTTCGTTCGGATATTCAATCGTACAAGTAGAGACCTGGACGTGAAATTGTTTTCTAACTTACTTTACGACCTTCAATTAAGTAATCAATTTTGTTATTCATTTAATTAATAGAACAGTTACATAGTGCCCGCCCGACATCACATGAAAACGCATTGGAATTATGCAATGCTCGATATCTCGTTTGACCTAGTTTTTAAAAAATAAGTGAAAGGGTTATTTAAATTATACGTAATTATGCCTCTTAAAGTTTTCTAAACTACGGTAACATATAACATAAACTTTCGAAGTATCTTGTCTCAATAACACATTGGTAAAAACTTATTGTTATACATTTACTGCTACATACTTCACGATGAAAATTATTTTTAAAAAGTTCTCTACCATTTTGATTGATCATATACATATATAAAAACATACAACTTGAAAGTAAACCTATATAAAATGCAAATAGCATACCTATATAATATTATGGTATTACGTTATTGACCGGTATATGTAGGTAGATAGTTATTGGTCATGGTTTCGTTAAAGGTGCATGTGTGCTTGTTTTCAGGTAAGATTTTGGGCGCTTGTTGGTGATGTTTTATCATGTTCTAATCAAAAATATCGTTTTCAGTTGTTGTTTTTTTTACCGAAATTGGATACATTGTTACATGTATTTTTCATGTGAAAAGTACGAAAATTTTGTATTCTACATGGCCTTATTGACCACTAAATTATTACGAGTGCAATCTATTATTTGTAAAATCATGGTATGAAGCGTTCCGATTTGAATGCATGATGACAATTCTATGCATGTATTCTATGGCCATAATTATTCAGTTCAAATCCCATGCATAATACTAATTAATACCAATTTAATGAGTTTTTCTTCATTGCACACATTTCAGTGTATGAATGCATGCACCACTACCAACTTTGTATACTTCTGGAAAGATAATATGATATATATGTAGCCTCATTTCTTGTGGGTGTGATATTTATTTTAACATTGTTCAATCGTAATATTGACAATTTATTGGTCAAGGATGAGTATTTGTATTATTGTGGTGATGATTAGAAATCTCGCAGTTATTAAGAAAATGCAAAAAGGTGCAGAGAATAATGGATGAATTCCTGGCAACAGAGCGATGTCATGTTGCTTTCCTGTAGTCTGATTTGATTATAAGTGGTTTGAAAATATTTATGTAACAAATAAATTATTCATTTAAAAGTGGAGATTCAGTTTGAAACTGTTTCCTATTCCATTTTGTAAAAAAATCAGAATAAATTAAGTTATCAGTAATAATAAAAACAACACTATTTCCATTACCAGTGCAGTTCTTCTGTAATACAAAGATTTCTACATGCACACGTAAATGTCTTCTGGGCTTTCTGTTTATTGGGTCATCATACACGTATGCAGCTTCATTCAAGTGACATTTTCTAGACCATAAGTTTTTCTCGGTTGCGCATTGTTAATGTTTAATAGTTCGACTTTTTACATGGTACCGGTGCTTGGTTTCCGGTGCCCACGGGAATGAGGTCGACCTTCACGTAGGAACTTTGTCTGAAATTGTGTACACTATTCATTTATAAGTAATTTCGTGAATGTAGGTTTTATGGCAACACAGTTGAGGGAGACTTAACTATGAGGACTATCAAAAGATAGTTGATTATCATTAGTTTTGCCGTCTGTATGAATCATTCTGTTGGTTGAGCCGTCTTCTTAAAGTCCTCAATTAATTACGGCACACCATACCAAGCGGATTAACTCATTCTTAAAGCATTACGTGCTGCATAGTTTCATACAAAGAGGGCAAAATAGCAAATTTCCAAGACTTATTTTGAGCAAAATTCCCAATAAAATTAATCATTAAAAGCAACCTTGACCTGAGATTGGCATTTGGAAATGAAGTTACGTGTCACCGTCAATAAATCGTATCGTCAAGGTCGCTGGGGTTTCATAACTTCAATATGTCCAGTGTTAATAAAGGCAAGAAAAGGCCTTCCCACACACCCATCTCACTTTTCCTTGCTGGGATTATTCCTATTGAATCTCCTAGTGTCGACATTAGCGTCAGGTAAGTATGTGCTTTTGACATATTTTGAGCCAATCTCGAAAAAAATCCAATCGAATAAAAAGTAACACGCGCTAGGACCAGATATGACCGGATTTCTGTGTATGAGCATAGGAAACGAAATAATTTCTCATTTATTCGCTGGAATTGGAATTTATTTGGGATATATTTAATATATAATAAATTCGCTTCTAAGAATTCCTTGGTTCGTTCATCCACAAATTCAATTTACAGCTCTGGAAATCTCACCCAATTCTAACATCTCCAATCCAGGACATGACGCGCTGGAGGCATCAGGCGGACTTTTGCAATCGAATTTGTCAAGTAATATAGCTGCTGCTGGTGGAGTAGTCTTGTTGGGAAATAAGTCTTCCAGTAATTACTACAATATTGAGAAAGAGTCTGACAGAACAGGAAATCGCGGAATGAGATCTGACAAAGAAAAGGAGAGATTGGCCTTGCTGAAAAAAATTCAGCTCTCAGACCAACATAATTGTTTCAGTAAAATACTTTGCGGTTTATCGGTGGACTCATCGCAAAATTCGAAAGACATTGATTCCCACTTTGTCCGAAGCTATATTGAACTCATGCGATCAGCAAATCCGTAAGTGAATTTCACTTTTTGCGAGATCCCCCATTCTTATTTTGCAGCATATAAATACACACATACATAGGCTCGGTCAGTAATTATTCATGCATATCAGAATTGTGCATCGAAATATGAAGCCTAGGGAGAATAAATGTGGAAATTGTTTTCAGGAATGATGACAGCAGTGAAGAAACTCGAACCTCACTTTCCAATTCGAATCATAATGATGCTATTTCCGAGTTTCTCATGAGATCCGGGCTTCTCGTGAAACCCAAAAAACGGCAGTCTCATTCTGCCTCATCTTCCGAAGAAGAAGGGTCTTCCAACGAGCCCTTGAAAACTCCAAAGAAAAATGAATCTCTAAAAAGTCTTTTGACCAAGAGAAGGCTGTCCACCAGTAGAAATGATGATGATGACTTGACGGATAAGGATGAGAAAAATCCCTTCCGGTTGCTCCCAGTGCTTCATTTAGCTGGAGATGGGGCTGATTTGAGGGACTCTGTGGAAAATAATGATAATCGTCCGTCGTCCGTGACGTCTAAAATTGGTTCACTAGTGTCCGCTTGGGTCCCTTGGGTCAGTTTATCGTTCGGGAGAGACTCCTCCTTTGAAAGCGATCCATTTTTTAAAGGAAATGCATCAAAGCTGACCAAGAAAAATGAAGAACGATGGCAGAAAGATTTGGATAAGTTGGCCATGCTCATGAGAGCTGAGACAAGGAAGACAAGAAATAAAAACAAGTCAAAATCGAAAAGGCAGCGTCAAAGGCAAGAACAGGGCAGAAATTTTGTAGGCATACCAGATATGGTAAGCGAATTTTTATTTATTACGTAAATATCAAACTTTCTTCATCATGCTCCCAACTTTATTATAATTTAAATATATACGAACCATTTGTAGGATGATGAAATTAAAGTGTACTCAACTGCTGTGGATATCGGAAAGAAGTTAAAGAGTACCAAACAGTGTGACTACTTATATAATGGTTGTGGGGTCAAATATGCTGACATAATTCAAATAATTTCCACAATCAGAAAAGACTTAAAACAAAGCGATGAAACGGTAGAGTCCTTGTCCAAAGAAATTTTAGAATATTCTAAGCGTAAGAAAGTCACAAAACATCAACCAACAAGTCGACCTAAGCGACCTACACAAGTTCAGAACCAAAAACAGATGCAAAAGCCCATGACGCAAATAAGCCATACACTTCCCAATGGAGAAAAGGTGGAAATCAACGTCCAACTTTCGTCCAAAAATGCGAGTCCATATAATTTTCTATATATTACTGGGGATGATGAGATTTTATATGTTTTTAATTGTGAAAGTATTTTATTTTAGGAAGATGGAATCGAGATCGAATCCCCTCATGGAGACTCGTTTGTTTCTGATGAGGAGTCAGAAAACATATCCGTTGACATCTCTCAGCAAAAGCCTACAATTCCTGAAGAAGAATTTGACGAGAATGACCCGGCCATTTCCGCATCCTATGAGCTAGCTGCAGAAAAGTTACAAGGGGATCGTCCCGATCACCGAAAACCAACCCCACTCCACATTTTCAATAAACTTAGCCTGCGTAAAAAATCTACCACAGTAAGACCCACAAAAATAACTTCCACTCCCAAGTATGCCGTGTCGGCCAAAAAAAGAAGACCAACTGCGACAACAGATGCAGTCAGCACGAAAAGACCGAGACCAACCACCACCAAGTTACCAATTAGAAGTCCTCCAACATGGCCCACGTCAAAGAAACCCTCCGCCGTTAACACTAAACGACCTACAAAGCGACCCTCGAAAGCAGCGAGTCGTCGTCCATCAGGACAACAGACATTAAAGAAATCCTCATCTTTTCCCACCACGACAATGAAACCCAAACCTTCGAAGCCTACAAGGAAGACACAAAGTAATGTGGATGATGATACCGAAGACACTAAACCTGCAATGATTACTAAAACATATTCGAAAATTACATTCGTGAAAGGATCTGCGGGCGAAGGTTTTAATAAGAATAAAAAAAGCCACAGGAGAAACACTACTACAACTACCCAACGTCCCGTCCTTAATTATGATGATGACGACATAGATTTTCCGAGTAGTCCTCAGTCGGGAAAAATCACGATTGAAATTGACAAGTCTTCCACTCAGGAGGAAGTTGACAGTGAAAGTGAACCGAAAGAAGCAGTTATTAATGGGCTTTCTACAACGACCAAAAGGCCCAAACTCACCACAACCACGACATCCACACCCCCTCCTCTGGCAATGTTCACAAATTCGTACATGGATGATGTAATTGCAGAAATGAGTAAAACGGTGCGACCAAAAATCAAAAAAACCACCACAACTCCAACACTACCACCTAAAAGACGTCGCAAACCCATCATTTACAACTCTCACAATCATCAACACAATTCGAATGGTCACTTTTTGTCGCCACCGAAAAATAACCCGTCCACCCCAGAAAACTCGTATTACGTATCAAGCGTGGAATCTGGGTCTGGAGAAGCACATGTATTTGGCATGCCACAACTGGGAGAAGGAGGAAGCCAATGGACGCCCTATGAACAAGAAAAAGAAAAAGCTCAACCAGATCTAGACGACCCTGCAACTAAACAAGATCAGCAGCCAAATACGGACGACGTTGAAATTGAACCACCGAAAAAACGTATCGTTTACAAAAACCCCAAAAGACCGTATTTGATTCTCATGAAGCCTGGAGATGACCCAAAGAAAAAACGTCCAACTCCAACATCCACTCCAGAACAGGATAATAATCCAAACTCGGACATAAGTGAAGCACTTCCTTTGGTTATTGAACCTGGTTCTTCTGATTATTCCCATTGGACACCAGAATACTAATCATTTTAATATGAAATTGTTCCTTTTACCGTTATCGTGCTTTCACCATGTGCTTGTAAGTAGGAAATATATGTTTATATAACAATATTTATGTATCAGTTACACATTTTTTACTAGATTTGTGTGTAGAAAACTAAAAGTAAAATGTACCACATATTTTTATTGATACAACAAATATTAAACTATGACAGAGAACACACATGGCTGGCGTTTTGTAATATTCATCCTCACTCTCACACGGTCTTATTCCTAAACATAATTGACTTTTATCCAGTTGTAAACGCAAATGGAGCGCCCGTCATCATGTTCCTTGCACACAGATTAGGAAACTGGACTCCCTTCAGGAGAATCTCTGAAATGTCCTGTAAAATCATTACATATTTTAGCATTGAATTTCCCACACGGAAAAATTGTAAGCAGACCTTCAATTGAGGGACGCACGCCTCGAGACAATAAGACAAGATATAAAGGGCAGCGCAGAATCCAGCGATCCAAAATGCGATGAAAATCAAAATCAGAAGCCAAACTATGGACATGACAGGGTTGTCACTTGCTCCACCTGCTCCCATTTTCACTTTTCACACTGACTTTCTCCACGTAACACGGTGGAACTTGTTTAATTAATTTAAACGGACTGATGATGATCTGTAAGATCTTGTCTTAATCCAATGAAGCAAGAACAAGAAATAAGCTGCAGATGGTTTCATTTTTACTTACCCATGCAGCTCATGGGGATAATACTCACTTAACAAGTCATGAAAGTTCTGTGTATATGGACGAAGGGTGATTGGTTTAACAAATCCTGGTTATTTTTAGCCTTGTTAAAGAGAGTTAGATTACAATGACAGCAGCGTTCAATCCCCTACTCTTAGCAAGACATACTACATACGCGCAGAGACGACATTTAATTATGTTACTGGATTGGTTGTAATTGGCAGCTTTTTATTCATATCCTACTCTAACCTTAGTATCTAATGATGACGACTTGATCATGGCCACACTACTGGATGAGTATTGAATTGTGCTTATTATGCTTGAAATTGGTTGAAAACTAAACTAATTCCACCAAATTAATTCGACTAAATTAATTTGACCTACAGCTTTAAACACACTAGTTCGGTGGACATAAATGTTACAAGTCGTATCTCTTGCATTTTTGTTGTCAGTTTTTGAAGTACTTATTTTATGAAGTCACGAATGGTTCAATCATTCGGGATTTTATAAAAGGGGCTTTTCCCCAGAGCGTAAAAATGTCATCATAATTTTTGCTACTGCTTGATTTAATTCCATCTGGATCATAAACCTACCTTCTGCTTACATTATGCCCGAAATGAGTACTTTGCCTGAGCAACTTTGTGCCCGGAAGAAACAGAGAGGGGTCAAAGCAAAAAATGGTTTTTTGTGGGTTACCACGTTAAAAATTTGAAACTTAATCATAATCATAATTAACCTAATCATAATTTAAACACGTTAGTAGGTGAAATAGAATTTTATTTTTTATAATTTTTCGATATCTGACCTCTGTGACCTGTTATTAACGGGTGAAACCCATCATGGAAGTACCTTGCCTATCTGTGTACACGATTAGTTGAGAACGGATTCGACTTTTCAGATGCCGTTTTCATCAATGTGTTCCTAATTCGCCCGGACGTTGCCATTTCGAACATGGTGGTCGTGAGGCACACCCCCTGTGCTGGGGTGTGGTAGTCGAAATATGAAAATTATTTATTTTTATTTTTGGGTATGTCGTTCATGGGGGCGTTCTACTACGCTAACCCGGTGGGTGTGCCTGAATGACGAGCCCGTTTCCAGCCACATTTAAGGTTTTAGAGGAATGTGAGACAGTGCTATAATGACTACTATATATAGGGAACTATAAAATTTTACGTTCATTATCTCACATATCCCAACCCTTGGGGTCGCCACCCATCTTCAAAAATGTCTCCCATCATTGTAGCATAGATGGACAAGGTACAATACCTTCTCATCTCACATGTTTGACGAGTTGCAGACAATGAAAATAAATAAAAAATGTCATCTAGTTGCCCGTACTATTTTATTGCTTGAAATAAAGATTTTATGACGAAATATTTTCCAGCCCAAAAATGCAATCTTTCAAGACCGGTTCTGTTTTTGCTGACAAACCAAAAAAAGACTTCAATCAAAGTTAGACATCAGCAAAACAAAGAAGGATGGAATCGCATTTTCTTTGCTGATGCGAAAAGTGTTTATGCAAATTTTGTAGACTAAACTTTGACGTCCATATACCTTCTGATTTGTGTGTCTTTGACCTTGCAGTTTTGGGGCTATTTATTTGTGTCCATTTCATTTGTGTCACTTCATGATATCAACCTTCATGATTTTTATTTGTATTTACTAGTTATACATACGATAACAACATTTTATGCAGATCTAACTTTACGTAAGACACAATTCCAGCAATGTATCTTTCAATTCTGTGAATGTTGGCCGTTCGTCTGGATTTTCATGCCATGTGTCAATCATGATTTTATATCTGTAATTGAAAAACTCATTTTCAAATCCATAATTTAATAGCGATATTTATGTTAAAATATAGTGTTTAAAAAAACATTGTACACACATTTCTGGAGGTGTAAAATCACTCGGAGAGTTCATTCTTAGTCCCTTCTCCAACATTTTGATAAAATCTTGTGAATACGCAAGACCGGGATAGGGCACTGGAATATAGATTAACTTTAGAATGCATAGATATTGTTATTTCCAATTAATGTAAAACCTTGAGCAAGAGAGAAAATTTCCCTACATCAAGAACAAGTAATTATTAAATTTATTCTCATCATTTTATTTGAATTTTGATTTGCATGAATATTTACATACCATAGCGTGACACCAAAGGCCCAACAATCAGATTTTGTAGAGAAAATACTCTTTTGCATCGTTTCTATCGCGAGCCACCTCCAGGGGAGGGCAAGCTTTTTCATATTAAAAACATTAGTCACAACACAAATGGGCTCTAGAACTACAGAAGTAAAAGCATGATAAAAAACAAGTGCATGACACCAGAGGAAAAATAGGACAACTGATTACAAGTAAAACTTTTTATAACGAGGGGCACGAAATCGAAAGAATCTTGAAAAATCTGTTGGTGAAAGCTACTGATCGATGCAATGAAAATGACATTTTTCTACCTGTTTTGTCGCTGTCTTGACGTAAGTGCTGTAGTTAAGCATTTGTCTGGACAGGCCGAAATCAGTTAACTTGACTTGTCGGTATTCGGATAGCAACACGTTGCGAGCGGCTAAATCACCGTGCACAATCTGTAGTAATTCCGAGAAATATGTACATGTGTATGTTGAATAATTATATGAGGACGATGGATCATGCTCATTTTATTCATTACCTTTTTTGTCCACAAGTATTCCATTGCATTGCAAATTTCAAAACCAAATCTATTCAAGTCCATGACTGTCAATTTATCAGATGGCACTCCGTTCCTTGAAAAGTTGACATATTTCGTATAAGTTGTCTTCTTGTCTTCTAATTGAATTGACACATTAGTGGAAGGATCAGGCATTTGCTGAAAGTTCTGATAGTCGGAACACATCGAAGTTGGTCTTCCAGTCAAATGTTTGAAATCGTTTCTGTGATCTCTGTGATTAGTATTTAATAATTATAATTTTCAGTTCAAAATTGTCCAACGCTAAACTGATAGACTTGCCTGAGATATGCTTCCATACTTCCAAGTGCACAAAACTCGACCATGATGTACAATTTTCCTACATTTTTAACCAAGATTAATGCATTCATAAGTACTTTATCCTTGTGAATAAGCGTTTTTGTTACTGGATGTTAACTCCGCCGTTGATGCCCCAATACATTTCACAATATTTTCGTTTTCATGCCCAATATATGTCATGACCTTGAGCTCGGAAAGGAGTGAACGAAAGTAGAGAATATCGGCATTCGGTTTAAGGGTTTTAATGGCAATTGGCATATTAGTTTCCAACATTTTTCCCTTGTATACTAATCCGTAAGCACCAGATCCAAGAAGTACGTTTCGATCTAATAATGGTAATATGTACATATGTAAATCATTCAGCCATATCAAAAATTCGCACAACTTTTGAACTCCTGCAAATTAAATTGACATTCACCTATTTCCACGCTATTCAGGTCAATTTCAAAGTTTCGGTCGTAAGGGATCGAAAATGGATGATTGGATTCCGGATCGATGGACGGATCAACATTATCACCTTCTAGAAACTTGGAAACTTCCTCCTTTGTCAACTTTTTTAACTTTTTCTGTGCAAATTTTTTGATGAATTAGTACAAATTGGTCTCTGGATGCATATGTACACGCTTTGATGCATGCATACATATAATATATATACCAGCAAGTGTATATGATATAACCACGTGTGTATACCTTATTTCTCTGGTATCTCCTCCAAAAGAATATTACCAGTACCACGATTATAATAAACACGATTGAGACGGCGTTGCTTATAGCGTAAACCTGGTCATGGTCTGCTTCACTGTTACTGGAAGTTGGATCTGCGTCTTGGATTCCAGTAAAATTGTTCGTCGAGTTTGAAACTTGAGTTTCTAATTCAAAGTTGTCCTCGTTATCCACGAGTTCAATAAAAATGCTACCATTTTCTGCCTGGGCTGCCATGATTCAAATATTACCATAATATTGCAGATATTTTGCAATGTGCTAAATGAATATATGATTCACACAAATAAGTAAACGAAGAAGACTCTGGAAAATATTGGATAGCCTCATTTTTTGTGAAATAAAAAATGCGTTTTCCTTTTCAATTCTTGGCGTATAAAACATTTCCGTGTTTGAGAGGGACAGTGTATTGGCTTTGCGGTGTAGTGTACATAGATTTGTACATACTCCTAACTAACCACTTGTGGTCACCTTTCCAAGACTTGGATTGACTAATTCCAAATATGACCAAACCCCCAACCATCCAGGGTAACGTATGTATACATATGCATACATAGTCCCACCATAAGTTATGGGACTGACGTTTGTTGAAATTTCTCATGCATAAATTTATACAAAATTTATAAATTCTTATTTTTTGTGCTTTCACCACGATTTTCACCACGAAGCTGACTGAATATTTTTGTCATCAAGGGAGAGGACGGACGACCTTAGGCTAACATTTAATGATACCGTACACCGTTGATCGTTTAATTCATCTGTTCTACAAAATATGTTAAACTAGGCACTTGCAGCGAAGATTTTGACGGGATCAATTTTTTTACGCCACGTCTGGTTATTATTTCTGATATTACAAAAACTTCACCTTTCCCATATTGCTTCTAGTATGTAAATACTGATTAAATTACATTTCTAATTTAAATCCAACTTAATTTTTTTCTTCAGCAGTTATCGAGATATGAACATAGTCGTATAACTTGCGGTTGGAGTATGTACATATATGTGTATAGACTAATGTGCAATGAATTAATATGTACATAGTGCAAATGCAAATTGGTGAGCTGCTTATGGATCCCAAAAATATATTTTTATTTCGGTCTTTAATTTCAAGCGAAAATGTGTATTAATAGCATGCAACCTATTTCTAATTACTTAAACTTGATTAAAGTTGCTGACCCGTTGATATTGATTATCAATCAACTGTGACTATGTCAAGTGCCATACAAGACGATCATTATGCATCAGTGAACAATTATGAAACCGGTTTCACATTGGCGTTACCTTCATTTTCTTGACGTCTTCTTACTTTATTGTTTGACATTATGTTTTCAATCATGTTACAAATTTTTATAACTGTCAACTTTTCTATTGAGAAACGTGTCTCATTTCTACAAATATAATGCTCACAAAAAATCTGGATTTCTCTCTCCTCTGCACAAATTCATACTGTAATATGCATGTGTGTGTGTCCATATTTGACTTAAGCTCTCTCAAGGATCAAGTTTGGAAAGGGAAAGTTTTACTTATTTACTAGAATATGCTGGTTCTCACTTGTGTACAGTTGGCAAACTTTTCATTAATGCTTTTGCAGTTAGTCTATTAATGTTCGCATGAGGTGTCAGTCAGTCCACGTTACATTAACGACGCTTTAGTGGTTACGCTGGTAGGCGAACCTGATAACATCGAGCTGAATCAAGTGCATAGAACGGGTGAAACTGCTGAAAGAGCAAACAAAGTGTCAAATTAGCCCTTGTTCGGGAAAGTCCAACTCGGTGTAATCATGGGAAAAACTCTCCTCCGAACTTTGACTTTCATTCTGCCCGTGGTTTTCTTTCTTGTCAAAGGTAAAAGCAGTTATGTGTTTTTTTTGTTTACTCAAATCGAATCTTTTTGTGACCACCTTTTAAATAGACGGACACGGGAGAGAAATTGCTAGATCCGACAATAACCAAAATGTGACGGATGTTGCGGCATTTCGTCCCGTTCTCACAAAAGATCGCCTATATCAAATCCGAGTTTATGACTCAAAGATGAAGTGTTTTCCCCTAATTCTGTGCACATTGACGAAAACGGGAGCTTTCGCTGCTCTGGGAATCGTGAGCTTGAATGATTTGGCAGATGGGTATATTCGTCTTCTGTCTGTCTTCCCTGGTGGGCCAGCGTCGTCATCGTCGTGAGTTGACGGATAATTATTACTCTGTTTGACAAAGCTGTTTGCTTTAATTTCCTTTTCGTGTTGGCTAAAGAGATTTGGTGATGGGGAATGCTGCTTCTAATTTCAAGAATGACTTTGGAGCCTTGAAATCCTCATCGCCAGATGACGATGATGAGAACGCAGAGACACAAAAGACCCGAGATGATGAAAATGAAAGTGAGGAACTACTCCTCAGTGATCCTCTTCTACATCACAAAGAAAAATTGGAAATGAAGAAATTGATGGACGAGCTGATGGCGGAGGATAGGGCGGAAGCAATGAGAAAGCCAACAAGTTGGACAAATACGGCAATGTCTCTCCCTTTCAAATTAGGAACTTCTCTCCTTCGAGAAGTTGTGGCACCTTTATTTGTTGGTGACACTAGCAGACGCGGACGAGATTTGGAAGAATATTTTAATATAAAAAATAATGATGGCAGAGATGGGAAAGCAATCAAACTTGACAAGAATCAGGTGAGCGAGAGGAATACAAATTTAAAGAATATGGCCGAATGTAGATATTTATAGTCTTGTTGTTTTTTCATAACTAAACAAATGACGCAGGACCTCATTACCAGTGCCATGAAACACTGGAACAAACTCAAAAGTCCTCAAGAATGTGGCAAAATCTATAAATCGTGTCCATTCGAGGCGTGGGAAGTCGTTAGTATGATCAAGTTAATTAAGGACAGTTCAGTTCGCCAATGATAATTAGAATTATTAACTCATTTATATGTACAGCACTGACTAAATATGTATTAAATAAATTATTGAAATTCTTAAGAATTTTGTGTAGTCTCAGATCTTTTTTGATTATATTTGCAAATCCAACCAAAGGTAACAACTTCCATGAATTGGCTTGTACTTTTATTTTCTGAGCATCCCATTGTCAAAGTTGGAATTTGATAAGTGAAATTTTTACGCGAAGAGTAGAAGAAATGCTTTATTTCTTTCCAAAACATAATGAAAAGTGTTTCGCGACAGGTGAGACATTATTATTAATCGACATTCCAATTATATTACTTCTTTTTATCGTCGTAGTGTTGGCAGTATTTCAGAGCTTTCGAGATTATGAACTTGTATCACAAAAAAATTCTTTCACAATGACAAATATGTATTATGGCTGCAGCCATATATTAAGCAATTTAGGAATTTTCAATCTTTGATCAACTTCCGATTTCACAATATTGACAATGCATAATGGAAAATCTATAGTGTAATTATCGTTACTTCGATGACTACGTTCATGTGGGCGACATACTTATCTACGTAATAGAAGCATATTCAAATCCCAACTAATTAATTAGACGTTGATTGCGAAAGAGGATTTGCAACATCTATTTATTACAAGTTAGTACTTGCGACGTGTTAATAAATTTTGTAAACACGCGACAGTTCGGTTGTTGAGATTTATTGAGATACCTGCAGATAAATCTGATTGAGTAAGCAGAATGACAAAGAGGGATCATTACGGATAATGAGGTGCATCGATGGCCTATATCTTCTGCGGCCGGGTCGTTTCACTGCCTCTGTCTCCGTCCTGATAGCGACGTGGTACTTGAGGGAATTGCCTAATAATCATAATAATAACCGAGAAGATATACCCGTGGCAGCGCCTGTTTGTGGAAAGCGACTCCTCTTCTTCCTGAGAAACCAAATGCGGAAACTGGCAACAATTTGGCCTTCACAACAATGGCATTTCAAGAAGATGCACGAGACATTACTGTCAAAAAGCACTTGGTTGAAGACGCTACGAAAGAAAATGTAATAAATCATGACGCAAGTGGTTCCGAAGCTTATTACCGCAGAAGCCTGGCTAGATTGTCCCTCGAATAAAACTGTGAGAGAGATTTGATGAAGAAGTGGGTTTCATACGTTTCTATATCTATAGCACATATGTATAAGTACTTAAATACGAGGGGACTGTGACTTTCTCCACATTTTTAGTTCACGTTAACTTATTCAACTATGCATTTCTTCTGAAGGAACTAATTTCCTCCAACTTTGTAAAAAAAAAGTTGTAAGTAAAAGAGCATGTGAAACAAGAGTGTTTCACTTTAACTACTGTAAGAAGAAACTTGAGTTCAATTAATCAAACTGGACAAGTTTCATGGTCACAATAATGTCTTTATTAGTTTACAAGTACTTATTTGTAACCTTATTTTCCAAACAAGAAATAAAGTCTCCTTTACTATCACCAAAGATGGAAACACTCAAAGAATTACTTCCCTTGAACTTGCTCGCAAAAATTGATCCCTTATTAAGAATTAATCCATGAACTTTTAAGAAATTCTGGGTATAAATTTTATTAATTCACAAACCATTTTGACTAACAATAACATGTTATCTATTCTGATGTGTAATGCGGTGGAGAAAGTAAAGTCGATAAAACTGTCAGCATTGGAAGAGATATTGAGAAAATAGTGCCTTTGGGATTCATGAAACTTTCTCCCTGATTGTTATCAACATCATCACCACCGCCACCATCACCGTACACATGCATGTAAACGTACGTACATACGTAGTTCTTTTTCAAAGTTTCCGTGCATATATAAGAAAAACAGGATGTGTATAGCAAGCGATGTGCTATTCTCGACGAAAGCATGACAATGGCGAGGAAAAATTTCGAAACTACATACAACTGATACTAAGAGGCTGTCTTGTTTCGTCCCCTTGGAATTTCTGGAGACTGCTGCTCTGTCACAATGGAGTGGAGCCAATGTAAGAAGGCTAACATATTGAAGTGAGCAAAATACTTGACACGAATCGTGTCACACGATGGAGTAGCCGAGTTGAGAAAGGTCACAACTGCTGGATGGATATTGAAACGAAATTAAATTTGCCTCGAGGGGTGAAGACGACCTGTACGATGCATCTGTGTATAAATACTTCTTGTCAGCGGTGAATTCCTTGACATGCAACGACTTTTCCATGTCTTGCTTGTTGTTGTTCATACTTTCACTCGATAACAAATCGTCGACCTTCCCCTTGAAAAGTTTACAGGCATATTATTACTACCGTTATTTACCAGGGACAAATACATACACGACAAATAAGATGCAAAAGTCGTGTCCTTATTGCATCGGTTGACTACTTTCAAGTGAAAGTTATAAAGAAAAATCTATGCATGCAATCTGAACTTATCGTTGTTTAGATTACATAATTTGTGTTATTCAACTTATTACAAAATTCATAACTTCATTTTAAGAAACGTGTACCAAAGTACCCATTTTGCCATTATACGCAGAAATGAAAGAGCAAAAGCAGTGTAATTCGTTTAGACGTAGAAAGTTTCGCCATAACGTTTATCAGTCTGGCTCTCCCGATATGCCGCCATATAAAATACTTGCCTTTCTCCCCCTGATGCTAAAATTATACCGTCGCACATATTGCTTTACGCTGCTTCAAGTTTTGGTAACAATAAGCCTGCCAACATTCCACAGTTATTCATGCAGCATCCAAAGTGGTACATAAGTATGTAAATCCGCATTTTTTTAAAAGGAATCCGCCTCTGAAGTAGGTATGCAAAAGCTACGGAAAAACATATGTAAATGATTTCCTGGAAAAAGTGTTCAATGAGAGAAAAGATCTTGCGAACTCTTTTTTTAAGAATAAATTTGAAAACTCTTTCCAATACTCGAGTCTGTCACTTGGAAAGTTAAAATGATTGAAAGGGGCGCATTAGTTTAGCTGCAGTTGGATTGGTTAAAAGCTTTCACTTGGAGATGGAAGTCGAGTCAAATAAACAAGAAGGAATGATTGTACTTGCTACTCAGAGGGTAGTCAAATGACTTCTTAATGGATAAGATCGGGTTCTGGATGTGGTAAAAGTCTTTCGAAAGTGGATAAGCACAAAAACTCAATATCATCATCATCCACACGAGAGGTTGATCTACTCAACCAGCACGAGTGTAGAGGGTGCATATGTAAGTGAATCCTGTTTTCTCGCAGACACGTAAACCGTTTCACAAGATGCATGAATAATCAGAAATGCGATTCTTCCAGCAAATAGGCAAGTGCAACTATGTGGAATATGTGTATTGCGGATTACGATTTTCGAGAGATTGCAATGGAGCACGGGTTGAAGATACGGAGACGAGAACAAAAAGGAAGATAAATGTCCTCTCCTCCTAATTTCTCTCTCCCATTCACTTCTTTTGGTCGACAACAATGCCCAAACCCTCCGAAGAAATACTGCTGTATTTCCTGTCCGTCTGTACAAGTCAGACTTCCAGGACTGAAAGACTTCTTTAGTAGTATACGGGTTTTCTATGGAGGAAAAACGCTCCTTCTTAAAGCACAGGTCTTACATACATGATGAAACCGTAGACTTTTTGGACCAAAACCAAAAATCGGAAGAAGAATAAGCGTTCATTTATCGGCTGGTAATCAATTCTAGTCAAATGCACTACCCCAAGAAATTATTCTAGATAAGGAGAAAGAATAAGACGACCAAAGTGGGTGGGTTTCAGTTCGAGTTCTATAATTTTAAGACAAGTCCAGCTAGCTGGCTCAAGTTGGCTTAAGTGATGAGTGCCTTTTCTTCCGAGAAGAAACCGGAAGACTGGTCCACAAGAAGCATACTGATTAAGGTTGGTTGGTCGGTCGGTCGGTCGGTTTTCTTGGGTGGCATTACACAGTTTCCAGTAAAAGGAAGGAAACTTTAGTCAGAATTAACCATTTATTTAGTTTGCGCACCTCTCTGGCTGGCCCCATTATTGGGACTGATCAAAGTAAAACTCAACAATCCTTCTTTGACGGTAACTTGATTCTCTTTGCAGGATGAACAAGATTAAGTTCTACAAGATTACATTACTTTAATGACTTTGCAATTCCACACCGATTACATTACATTCCTAAGGCTTTCTCGGTACTGTGTGCAGTAGTAACCTTTCCAATTATGCAAAAATAGTCAACAGAATTTGGAACATAATTTGAGATTAAGACGAAATCTCGTGAAACATGCCACACGGAGAAAGTAAATATCTGTGTGGTTCAGCGACGTGGAGTGTTACACAAACTGATTCCATCAGAGTTGGGTTAGTTCCTTTGTTTGTGCATTGTATTGTGTATCACACAATGACTGAATGGGATCACTTCATTGGCAAAACACCAGACTCTATAACCGCACAGCCAACTACGTATATAACATAAGTAGGTAGACCTCCAATCGAATTAGTATTCCTTATCGAATTACTTCCTTAGAGGTGGATGTCATTTCTAATTTCAGAGTCCAATATTATATTTGATTAATTTATACGAAAAACACAATGACAAATCGATTACTTGGATCAGGGAAATTTGAAATTCAGATTTATAAACACTGTTTTCTTCATTGTTTCTTGATTTCATTTGGATGAGTGAAGGGGGTTCAGTTTTGTTACAAAGAATAATGGTTATATTAATTGTAAAACTGTCCAGTACATGTGACATATTTTGATTTAGCAATAGCCCCAATATGTTTAATTCACTGACTCCATATGCTACACTTGGTTTTGAGATAAATTGGATGGAAGGAAATTTAATATTTAATTGAAATGCCGTACTACATGCACACGCACATGCATAGATCATAGAAAAATTTCGACACCTACTGCAGATTTCTGTATTTCGGTTTATGTAAGTTGAGATAAATTCTACTTTTGCGGAACAAGAGTGTGAAATGAGACGATGCTGTCAAAAATGGATGCGGGGAAATAAATTGCACTCGTCTGGTAGAAAATAACGTTCCTGTAGAATTCATGAGAACACAGGAAGTCTCTCATTTCCCGGTGGAGGATGACGGAGGAGCCGAAATTGTTATACGCCTTTCACTTGCACACGTTCTCTCTGCCTCGTTTAGTTTAGCAGATTTTCAGACATAGCCTACAAATACTTGACTCCCTCGATGTCAACGGTAGGGCGAGAAACAGAGGAAGGAAATTTGCAGAAACTTTTCCTCAAAGTTACAACTTTTTATGTAAAGTGAAAGCTAAATCACAATCAAAAGCCAAACATCCACCATCCCACTTTGAACTAGCTTAAAATACAGTGAAACAAGGCTTTGATGGAAAAACAATAGAGACAATTGGAGAGTTACGTCTCACAATTTCTGGGCTTCATCCCCTGATTATGAATGTCTAGTCTAGTCTCCACCGTAGGAATCCACTAACAAAGACATTCACAGAGCAGAATTAGAGATTATGATGATGATGGCACGAGAGAATATGTATGTAGCTACATGCGTATGAAGATTGAGAAATCTCATCGTCCATACAATTCATCCGTCCTGATTGCGATTTGCACATTTTAGAGACGTGAGAATGTTCATGTGTGAGAAATTGAGACTTTGGCCTTGCAAAGGGCTTGGCTCATCCGCAACAATGAGGCAGCAAGAAAGGAGTGCATGCAGAAAGTCGTAGTTGGTCAGGGTGTGAAGTGTGCACCACTTTCACTCCCCTCTCCCAAAACCAGCAGCAGAGAGCTCGTGTAGTTGGATACAAAACTCTGGGACCTCGTCTTCCCCAGTCTCACTTTCTCTCCAACACTCCAACCAGTCTTGCTCATACCCAATTACAACCCACAATCAAATTCAATCTCTACCTCCATCTCAATCGCTGATTAACTTTCTTTGTTTCAAACCGTACCTGGTGTTCTAGTGGCTGAGACGCTCACTTTTCGACCACCGGCTAGGATTTTACTAACAAAACCTCTCCAAAATCCAAGAATAAGGGTGTTTAAATTAAAACGGTATACACGTATTTACATATTCTCTAAGAACGCAATTCATGAACATGTGGCGCAGAAAGTGTGGTGGGTGTGACGTTATTGGGAGGCCGATGGAGCTTATTCTGTTGATTATCATCCTCCATCAAACGGCGGTGAGAGTTCGGGGTGAGGATGTGAGCAGCAAAACGACGACTCCGGTGTACGGGACCTTGAACGGGACGTTCAACGGGAAACCATGCAGCCCGAGCAGTTTGGACGAGTGCTGGTCAAAACTTCCATCCATGAAGGAACCCAACATTCCTACAACATCCAAAGAGGTCGAAATTGCTTGCACGTAAGTGAAAGTTTGGCCTTTACAGTTGTGTGACGGGATGGTTGTGAGGCATGAGAAGTTGACCATTGGGTCAGAGAAATGTTATTTAATTTGTTTGTGGTTTGTATGGGCATACAAACCTCGTTATGTGTGGGAGTGGCGTATGTAGGCTGTAACAAATTGCAATGTACAAAGGATTTTTCAAAGAAACATGTACGGGACGTTGACTTTGGACAAAACATTACTTCACTTGTGGGCATGCCGGGAAAAAGGCGTTTTATGTTTTTATGGTTTGGTGCCATTATGGTTCTGACTAATTGGGCGCATATTACCTTTGACGCTCGGGATAATGGGACTACTTAATTAGGCCACTTTTACTTTGTGCAAACTAGCCAACCAACCCTCCTCGTCTGTTGTTGTAGGAAGAAATAACATGCGAGATCAAACACAAAGTTCGCATGAGTGTGCCTCCCAACCAATTTAATTCGTGTGTGCAAATTTTCCTTGTAAATTTTCGCATTGCATGAATCCATCAAAGTTGAAAAGTTAATAGATTCATAAAACACAAACTTTTATTGGTACATGGACGCAGTATAAATTAATAGTGGATTTAATAATACTCCTCAATTTGCAAAGTAGCAATGTGTTTGTCTCCAGTTTCTATAAATACTTTACGCTTAAAGTTTTAGAGCCTACTTTTACGCTATTGAAATTTGTTGTCCATCAATTTCAGTACTACCAAACCACATATAAACTTGGCTTTTATTGTATTTTGAACTTCTTTATTATCTCTGCTAACCTTGATTCTGTGTTTTCACTTCCTCAGCCACTCAACAAGATTGAAAAATAGACAATTGAATTATTCAATCTCTGAATTGAACTAGTCAGAACGAGTAAAAAAAGAAGACTTTGAGATTTTATGATTCGCTCTGCGTCTGAAGCAACTGCATATCTTCCGCCACCTTTGATGTTTCCATTCCAAAATTCCAATACCAAATTCTGCCTAAAACTTCCTTTTATCTCCCATCCGACAAGCAATCCATTTCATGAGCTGAGCTATAACCAAATAAGTACGAGGAGTGGGTAAGAATATACATCGGCTGGAAGTGAAGGATTATGAATTTATTGTAGGCACTTAAAGAGTAAAAAGACTTGACTTTCTTTGTTTTTTCGACAAGCTTAAACTATTATACAATGGTTGCAAAATACTAAAATGCAACGACCTTAGCTTAGAAGTATGTATGTAAATATAGGTGTTATAAAAAGCTCGTAAACAAATTCACCCACTTTTTGTTCTCTCATCTGCGGAACAATGCTTCTGTCTTTAAATGTGCTTACCAAAAGCAAAAGGCATTCGTAAACCACATGAAAACAACCCCAACGCGAAAAGTTGTTTACTCATCGCCCAACTTTGGTAGACATCATTGAATGGAAATCGTGTATAACATCAAAGTGCAGAAGTAGTTTAATTACACTCAATCTCACACTTTGTGAATAAGCTGGCTCACTACTCGCATCTCGAGTTGGGCATCAAAGTTTATTGTCAGAATTTCATTTACACTGAATTATGCTAATTATCAAAGCTTTAAACTCTACCACGGAAAACCTCCTTTGTTCCCACCTCGAACATACATATACGTATTCCAAGCTTGTTTGTAGCTGAGAATACGTGTGTAGGTACGCACATCAGTACACCAACCACCGAGGGACCGGGTGAAAGTAATACAACGGAGAAAGTTGCTCATATTGCATACTTCTAATTTTAATGGGACTCACGAGACCACAAATTCCTATACAGGTCTTAATGCTATCAAAAACCATTAAACTCGATTCCAAAATTGATGGGCACAGGGGTTGACTTTCTTCTGAGAATTTTTGGGCATAAGGATAGAATATAGATGTGATGAAGACCAGGAAACCTGCATAATTCAGATATGTACGTATGCAACGATTCCTTATTCCCTGCCACGTTGCCTACATACGTACCGATTATTATTTTAATTTTGACTTCAAAGACGAAAACTCCTGATCTCCCTCCCCTGTTTTCTCTCTCTCTCTCTTAAACCAGCATAAAGTAGACCAGACTGTAAAGTTTTGTCTTCCAGCACGAGGCTTGAGTGTGAGATGGCTCGAAATGCACTATTCATCACTCATCTCATGTTAAAAAATTTACGGTCAACTTGGGCATACGAAGCAATTCTGAGATGAGATGAGAAGATTGCTTGAAATGCTCTTTATTTCTCAATGTTTCATAATGGAGAGTTGATTATGATTGCGAAACGATGTTGACTGAATGTGGTTTGTGTGTCTGGTGGGAAGAGACGGACACTTAGTTATTCCATGGCACAACTTACTCCCGAGGAAGAGAAGCGCAGATAAGACAGTGATGAAAGTTCTGGCTCCGCGAGTAAGAACCCCAAAGGGATGCTTTCCCCAAAATTACGCCCAGTCTGAATGCTTGAGATGAATGTACCAAGAGAGCAAAGGAGAGCTTAACACTCCATTGCACTCTATCAAACTTGCTTATTTCGACTTTTTGCTTCCCTCCCCGCTGTTCGCTTTTTAATTATCGGATGAAGTGGTCATTCTTTAACCATTTGTAAATACTAAAGCGTTAAGCGCAAGGTGGGTGATGATGAGCATTACTTAATTAAATACTTTTCGTTTGCATACAGATCTTTTCAAATCGGGATGGACTGTGTAGACAACTATTCAAAGCAGTGTTTAAACCTGAAGCAGCGTCAGCAGGTAAAGTACTTATTAAGACATGTGTAATACTATTTAGTATGTATTTCCCATCCTAATCATCTCCCTCCACTACATTACATACGCAGGTAAAGTCGACGGTTCGTGGGGCGCATGAGACTTTCTCCTTCCTCTGCAAGGACGAGGTATTTTTTAATTCTGCAATTTACGTAACTTTTTCAGGAATATGCATGTGTGAGTAAATTGGTAATAAAGATAATGGAGATTAAGTAATAAATGCATTATTTGTTACTTCCCTTTAAAGAAATTTAGGGCCGAATTCCTGTCTCACGCAGTGTGTTACAGAAAGATTAGCGGAAAGTGGGATAACTGTGCGGCCCACTTTATCGCGTCTCTGAAAAAGGTGGATCAAAAGGAGCCTCTCTCTATCTGCTGGTTAGTTGTTATTTAATTAAGATTCTATAAAGCACTCGAAAATATTATGCCAGCCAAATTTTGTACGAATTCGAGACGTGTAATTGAGGCGACACTCGTACCGTAGGTACATATGTACACATACGCTCCTTGTTTCAATTCTCTTTACGTTCATGAAAAATGCAATAATGTGATACAGCCAGTTCGTATCAATAAAGTCAAGATCTTCTTTTATTCTTTATCTCGTTGTTTCATACCCACACAACTTTTTCTTAGTAAAACGGAATCACTAAATCTGGTAGACCGTTTCGCGTCTCAACAGCTATGTTAATGGCATCCTCCTCCTTTCCTGATACCATTATTAGTGGGCAGAGAGATAGACAGTGCCATTTGGTTCGGAGGAAGAAATGCCGATAAATTATTGGTGGTGACAACAAATGAAACGATAGGAATTCGAATCCAATGATGAGGCGGAGCAGTGTGCTATAATAAAACCATGAAATGAATGGGGGGCGATGATACATACCGATGAAAGCATTTGAAGCCATTTGTACCAGTCAAGGCAGAAATTCCTGTCCCAATCTTGCACGGCACTGACACTACCGTATTTGGCACATGCGAAAATTATGACATTAATAACCAGAGAGATGGCATAACATAGTGACATACTTATTATTATTATTACTGTTATTATTATTGTTATTGCTTCAATTGAACCGAGTTGATATGCCTTCTTATCCATATGTAGCGTTCGTCTGAGATTCCTTCAGTGCGTGACTGAGCTGGCGAGATTGCATTGCAATCGGGACGCGGAACGATTCCTTCAGAAAATGGCTGAAACGTTGGTGACGTCGAATATGAAGAACAAGAACTCGTCCGAATGTTTTCATGTGAAAAGTGCCAATTGCAGCCTGGCAAGTGGAGCTTGTTCCTCAATAAAGTTGTCACTCCTACAACAACCGTCCAACCTCATCATCAATTTATTCGTCAACGTGTTCCCATCCTCAACAGCAGCCGGAGTCGGCGGCACTGTGCGCAGCCTTGTGTCACATTTGCTAAAATTATTCTCGCTCGAAAACATGGGTGACTGGATGAGCTTAGGAGTACTTTCACTGGGAGAGTGGATGAAGTGGTGTTGCGGCGGCGGGTGGGTATTTCTGGATTAGCACAGCAGTCGCAGTCTCACCAGGGTCACGATTGAGTATGCTCCTTCCTTCTCGGAAGATAAATCCAATTTCATCATCATTTAAGAGATTAGTAGCGGCAGAAAAAAAGGTGTAACTCTAAAGAGCAGGAACCAGGTTGTAATCTGAATCTAAATGTAATCTGAATCTGAGTGTAATCTTGATAAGAATTGGCAAGGACATAAAATCGAGGAAAGAAAAAAATCTTGTGAATGGCGAGCAGCTCACCAGCACACTTTTAAAGCAGAACTGTAGATATATCGTAAAAATGTTATAGTCTCACAATCGTCATCGTCACATAAAATTCTAATGTTGCGAAATGGTGCTACAAATTTTGTATGAAAGATATGAGAATATATTTACAACGTATTACATGGTGCTCTAGATATACAATTGTACAACGTAAATACATATATATCTAGCATGGAACAAGTGTCCAGTAATAAGTTACAAATTTGCTGTGCATAAGTTACAAATTTTAAATCATGTAAAATGTACATATTTGTACGACAAAAGTTTGCAAAATTAGGAGGTAATTATTAATATCAGATTTCAAGAGGTATATTTACTTGTTCCAGAATTTGAGTAAATAAATGGTTTTCTCTCTACGTGAAATGAAAGTCAAGGATATGCACTGAAATGAATACACGATAAAATTGTTTACACAGCAATCTCTCCAAGTTTAGCATATGAAGGTACTTAAGATATGCAATTTATATCCCGCCTGAGATAAAGAAAATTAAGCAAAGTGTACAACTCTGTATTTACACACTCGAAATGCATCGCGAAAAAAATTCAACTAAACAAATGACGTTTGTAGTTTTTTACAGACCTAAACGACTTTTAGACTTTGGAGAAATATTATAAACTAAAAATTGTATGCTGAAATGATTCTGTCCATGATTAGCTTTGCTCGCGTTCGTTCAAATAAGGACTGGATGATAAAATGTGAAATTTGGAAAACTAAGGGTGGGTATTTAACAATGGAAGTGTAGCGTTTAATTGGAGCTTTATAAGTAATGCCAACTTTATCATTTCATGTTTATCTTAATATTCGCTAAAAGTTGTAATTAGTCATAGTTAATGTTATAGAACGCTTCTTAATGTAAGTATTACATACGTATTTATTTAAAGTGAGGCAGATATATAATTTAACTACATATATTTACAGTTATTCTTGACGTTTAGGATAAAGATATATCAAAATGAAGGTTTTGCGACTAATGGAATCATTAATGTCCATCTTCGTTTACAAAATATTCTAGTTGAAATAAAATTAAAAATTATATAATTTCTCCATTACTTTCGTCCATCTGCTTGCGATTGATAAATATTCAATTGTACCTAGTGTTCGCTGCATGAAGTCATAAAACAATGATGCAATATTACGTGTTCATGCTGTTCTTTTTTATGGAAGCTGTTTCTGTTGTGTATTTTTCATCATTTTCCTGATAAAGTACGGCACGCGGAAGGAGGGCAAGGGGGAAGTCGTAAAGTCTTGCAAGATGGAGAGGAGGCCGAGCAAAGATCTGGAATTCTGGAGCACGAAACAAAAGAGTTCAGGATCAGGCGATTGTAAAATATTGCCACAATGCAACGTGAGCTTTTGTTGCGGTCGTGTCTCACTCACTACTTTCACTGTTTGCTTTCTTAAATTGAGGAGAGAATCGGTCTGAACAGGAGCTTTTTCCCGTTTTCTTCCCTTTGAGGAAGCCGTGATGAATGGAACGCATTAATTCGTCCGTTTCTGCTTAACTTTTTCAGCTCTCGAATAAATAAGAGGACTCTTAAAATTGTTTTGATACCCCTCCAGCCGTATTTTTTTGGCTTTTATCACTATTCTCGAGTCCTCATATTTTCAGCTTAGCGATGAATTGTTATCTTATTTACAATGGAAAATCCTGAGAGCTGTTTGGAAAGGCGATCGTGGAGATTAATAATACTTATTATATCAGGCAATCGACAAGAATGTAATAAGGAGGTCACTGATTGTGGGGTGTATTTTAGGTTCAATAGAGCCTGATTCGATTTTGGATTTGCTTATCAATGACTAGAATGCGAAATGGCTTGATCCATTGGCTTGTCCATGCACATTCAAATCAACATTGATCATCTCAATATTAATACCGCAACCACACGCGCTTTCCAATCCCACACGGACCAAGAATATAAACGAGGTGTACCTTTCTGTCCATCCTACCAGACTGCCAAGTGAGCAAGTTGACTTTCACTTTCAGTCGAGAACGACCAGGACCACCAGCCAAATCAGACGGAGCAGTCTGCTGGAGAAATAGGACTGAAGCAGAGGAGGAGAGGCTTACGAGTGGAATTACGAATAGGAAGTAAATTGCATGTTTGTCTAAAAGATCTTCATAATGTTCGTTAGAAATAAGCCGGCTGGAGGAGAATTTTAATTTCGTCTTAACAAAGTGGTTGGTTGGCTGGGCGTGTAGTGATGGTGTCGGTGTTCGCACAAATTCAATTTGTCCTCTGCACATACATTTCCCTTTTGCTTAAATTCCTGTTGCATTTGCCTCCCATTTAGGTCATGTCCGTGTATGAGACGGTATATTGGGAGCCCCAGGGCTTAACTACGTGCATGCTATCAGCGACTTCTGTACGCCTGTCAGTGACACCGACCTAGGTCTTGAATCATAAAGAACGCCCATAATGCAATTAAAGGGGTGTCGTATGCCATCACACTTTCACCTCCTCCTGTGACTCTGGGCTTCTGAGTAAGGCAAGAAAAAGTATGAAATCTCCTCCAGAGGTTGACACAACAAATTTACGATCACATTAAGTTCCTACCACACGCGGAGTGAGACATTTAACATTGCTGGCAAAAGTGAATAAAATGCTTGTGGAGAAAAGAGGCATATGGTGCGGTCCAGTTAAAATAGCATCCGGTCGGGTTATGAAAGAGTAATCAAATATTTTTGGCTCACTATCCCCTGAAATTTATTTAATCTTCCTTTTTAGCCCGAGTCAGGACTTATGTGCTCGTCATGGTTGTCTGTCTGTCTATCGGTTACGCTCCATAAAACTTATCCAATCGACTTGAAATTTTGCATATGCAAAGTGAAGAATTAAGCTCGATTTAGACCACCAAAATCTGACGAAAAAGAAAAAAAAGTTGTATTGGTGGTACCCACTCACCTCAATTATTAACGACAAGACCTGACTCGGGCTAAAAAGCTGCACTGTGGGGTTTCATACATGTAAGCATAGAAAATATGAATGGAGCTTTGGTGAATGCAATTTTATTCAATTTTAACTTGGCGAGATAATAATCTTACTTCGTCGTTATTGACAGAAAACTGGGGCAGGAAATTGTTATTTTGAAACGCAGAGCAAATTTAATCTATGTAATTCTTATAAACAGCAGATTTAGACCCGTCAAGCGAAAAATTAGTATGCAGTTTATCAATCATCTATTCCTCCTTCTGTGCGAACAACATTAAAGATGGAGAATTCAAAGAAAGTCATTCTTTGAGAAAAGTAATAATCTTAGCTTAGTTTCAACTTATTCCACCTTTTATCCATCCCATGCGCGCATAAATCCATAAATAATAAGCGAACAGGCTGATCCGATTCCGTCATGCAAAAATGATGTAATTCATCTACTCTGACTGACTCCATTCTTGGAAACTTTCCGAGCCAAATAATACAATACGTGTGTGTGTGTGCAAGTGTGAGCTCAAATTCAAATATGAACTGACGAGGACAATCACGTCTCTGCTCATAAAAGCTTTCCAATTCACCGAATGCAACGGTTCATTGAGGCAGAAGTATAAAAAATAAAAAAATAATCGAATACGAATTGAGCCGGTTGAATTGGGTTGGCGCATTAGAGGTCGAACTTAGGAAGAAGTTTTCCTTCGTCTTGGTGAGGTGAGAAACTTTTCTTTCGGGAAAGTAAGCAAATATACTTTGCACTCGAATGCCCAGTAGGCAAAGTTTTACTTGAGACTAACCGAAAGTGACCAAAACCGCATTTCTGGTGTTATTGTTATGTAGTAATCATCCTCAACGTTGCCCTATTTGACCACCGCATCACCTTACACAACATGTGCAGATACAATGCTTACTTGAACCAACTGTTGTCGTATTTACGCCATAAACGGGATTCAGCCTGGGCGAATTAATTTCAAAATCAAATTCAGAGCATGCAACCACTCAGGAGAAGAACTGTTTCGTAACTGTGACGAGCGAGAGAGTTCGCTTGGATTCATGTGAACTTAAAAAGAAAGTGTAAGTGAATCGACGGGGCAAAGGATATCATATCGTTCAAGAAAAATGATTCTGTTCAGGAAGGAAGCGAGCCACTGCATGCTGCAACAAGAACTAAGAGTTTCGACCCTTTTATGTGTAGACACATGTATCTCTGCACCAGGCGAGTTTTTCAGAGTCAAAAGTAGATTTTTACAGGGAAAATCCATTTAAACCCCACCGGGTTGGGTTGGCATCTGCCGTGAAGATTTTTCCAGTTTCCTATCCATTGTGGAAAAGATTGAAGCAGAGTTTCGTTTCGGACGTTAAGCAGGTAAAATGTAAAGATCTCAATGCATGAAAATGATATGGAGCGTGGCGTTGTAAAACTCTGGTGGAAGTGGAGTTTATCTCCTTGTAGACCGAATCGGGTGTCACCTCCGGCGGGGAAAGTACCAACAGTGTGCGTGAAGGAAATTCCTTGTGGTGCATCATAAATCCAACTTTCTCCTCCCGTTAGATGTGACTGGATATCGGGAAATTGTGGTTTTATGCCGATTTCATATCGCAAATACTACCAATAGTAAATAAATGCGTATTTTTTAGTAGCATGCAAACAATTGATTCCATTGTTGATACTGTGTTGCTCAAGATATTTAATTCGTATTACTAAGAGTCAGCCTATCTATTGTAACCTGATGTTTGTCCTCATTCGATGAACAATGAGATTTGCTAAATAAGTTCAACAAGAAGATGTGGTACGTAGTAATCAAAAAGAAGTTTTCGTTCAGTCGTATTTAAGAGAAGTCGTGTAAATATGTGCTAATTTTATTGATTATTATATTGTTATGTAACTCTCCCCAAGTGCAAAGCGGTTTCAACGTTATGTACACTGGTGCCTGCCTTGAATTATAATGCGACTTTGTCTAAACTCATGTTTGCATAATGATGAATTCTGATTACAATAAAGGTATCATTACGCCAACATGTTTGAACACTCTTCTGCCCGAGGATATAAACAAATTATAATTTGGAGTGGAAACATATTGGACGGAAGAAGTGATTTCCTTCCCGAAATGGAATAAATGTGTCCAGGAGAATGGTCAGATGGGAGAAAAAGTTTACGCTCCTTGGGAGAAAGTGGATCCAACTTGGCGAAAGTTGGAACTTGGAACTTGTGCAGGTTGGCAATAGGAAATCGTACTTCAATTCACGCCGTTTTGGTACTTTCTCCAACACTTTGCTGAGCACTATTAGAATTAAATGAAGATGTTCTTTCTCTCTCTGAAAGCGAACATTGTGTGAGTGCTCTTAATAACTAAATAAGCGGGTTAAAGCTGTATAAACTTGAAAAAGGTTGAAGAGGTGAATGAATGATGCATGGAAGCAGAAAATTATAAGCTCTTGGGCAAATTTGGAAACCATCAACTAAATATAAACTGGAAAATTGCCTACTCGATTAACTGCGGTAGCTACAATAAATGAAATTATTCAAATGTGGTCAAGCACCAGGTTTTCAAAGTACATATAGATATTTAAATATACTAATAAATTATTACTACTTTAAAAGTTGTGGTCAAACCTAAAAAGAGCTTGTTTTAATATGCAGCATATTTAATCACACTTGTCCATAATTTAGAGATGTACTTATTTGTTCCCCAAAATTATTTTGTACGACTTCAACCAAGCCAAGTGCACTCAAAGTGCTTTAAACAATAATCATTTCATATCAGCTAATAATTTGTATTTGTGAGATGCCAACATTATGTATTTTACAGTGAGCTCTTGTGGTTGGACCCGTAGTATCATGTAAGTATTAAATAGCGCTTATTATTTTCCAGCCAGCAAGATATGGCCCACTCCAAAAATTCCCCCTACTAGAACAGTTGTATACCTCACTAATTAACTAATAAAGCCAGTACTAAATTAATTAATTACATGCAATTTTCTCTCTCTAATGACAAAGACAATTCCAAATTGCAAAAAACAAATGGCTAAATTAATTTTATGGCTAGCACGGAACAGAGTTCATGGCTGCACAAATGACTCTAGTGCATATCTCAGTCTACCAATATACTTATTTACTATATACCAGACATATCAACAATTAAGATGGACATTCTTTCGTCGAAGTAGCGTTCTTGCGCAAAGCAAACAACGGTTTCTGTTCTAGGGCACAAACTACGTATGATTGGCAAGATGTGTGAGAGTTCACGAGTAATTTCATATTGGATGTCCATCAATCATCATCAAACCTTGGATTAGAGAAAACAATTTTGAGGATTAGTTTAAAAAATAGGACACTGCAAGTCCTGCGCGTTAACCCCAATATGTATCTCATGAGACGCTGATTCCATTCAAATGTGCGTACGTACAAATGATGGAATCCGCTCGTATTCCCTGCTTCAGAAAGTTTCTAATAAAAGAGTAATAACATAGAGGCATAAAATCTCATGCCAATAACCGTTTTTGCAGTAATATGTACCTAGCAAGTAAACTAAATCAAAGATTGACTTAAACTTTACAACTTGAGTAGTTTTATGAGTCACGAGCCCCAACCTTTTCATGTAAAACCCATAATTTCAGGTTTGTCGCCAACTTTTCTGCTATCAAATAGAAATTTAATTCAGCAGTGAAATTTCAGTCGATTAACGTATACACTTAATGTGTTTAGGGGTCTCACTCCTGCTATTAAACAATGAATGGAGATGAGCAAAACTGCAGTGAAAAACCGGTATTATTGGCTTTTGGGAAAGGACTAACTGCTACAACCCTTTGTTTACAAAACACGCTTCAGACGATGGTAAGGCTTATTCGTAAACTTTATTGGATTGACGGCAACATCATGAGTATAATGATCTTGAGGTCGTTATAATATGATTATTAAAGTCAGGTAAGCGTAAATTGACAGCCGAGTTTTTTGTAGCACTATGTATTCTGTCAATTCTGGTTTCATTTTCTGTAAACAAGAATGTAAAAAAAACTTTCTGAGAATTGCTTTCGATATTGATGTACGTAGGATTAGCAGTCTTTCAAAGTCTGCCGTTTGTTTGATCAAAGATTTGCATTTCTCTCCCTTGTGCATACGTAACATCAGATGATCAGATTAAAGTGGTGATTTTCCCGTTAATCGTGCATTGTCAGCCATTGAAGTAAATGAGTAGTGTCTGTGGGCACAATTAGTTTGGAAACATGAGACTCAAGTCTCTGATTTTCAGAAGTGCTATTATTTTAATTTCTGCAATTTTGTCGCAATATTCGGCAAGTTGCAGTCATACACATGGACTTGCATTGTTTGGTACGACGCTAGTTATTTGGAACTTTTTACCAATTGGTATGTGCGTACATATATAATTGTACAGATAAGTATAAATGTTTCGTTTATGAGATAGAATAATTTTTGCAATTAATTAACCTTTTTTTGCATGCATGATTAACTGTTGTAGCTCATTCAGTCCGTAATACAAAGAGTGGTGTAGATGGGAAAACGGCGAAAAATTTACTGATAGACGAACTTTTGAAGAAGACCGAGATAGGAAAACCCACACAGAAAGAGCTGTATACCACGACTTCTGGCGACGGAGATCTGGACCCGGTGAAATGTTTTCCAAAAGGTGAGGATGACTAACGCTCTGGAAGCGACAATTTTCAGAGAGAGGATTTTTCTATGCAAAAAAAAATCAATTCAATCATGAAATCAACCGTGCACTTCGTTAGCGAAATTCTTTAATTACTTGTAGTAAATATTTCATTATTAAATACTTCCCAAAATTTTCAAGATGATTTGACTTGATTTCAATAAAAGACAAAATCTTATACAATTTTTGAAATCAATGGTCTCACATGTATGTAATACTAACCCCTCTTCCAGCTCTCTGTGGTGTCTCATCTGAAGTTGAGCAGATTTCTCGACGAAAGAAAAATGGCCTTGTTTCGGAATATTTAATTCTTATGAAAGCAGTTGCAAAGTACAAACAAAATCATCACATGAATGTATAATTTATTGTAATGTTTCATTACTTTGATAATATCGAATAAATTTAATATTTCAGACACCCCGAATTTTTGGAGGATTTAGTCTCACCTTCGTCGTCGAAAACTAAAAATGTCAAAGGGACGAAGAAAAAAAAGGGTCAAGATAGTCCTCAATCCGATATTTCTCCCAGCGACGACGCGTCTGATTCGGAGGAGGACGATGAAAATGACTCGGACGAGGAAGATGAGGAAGCCGACGATCTTGAGAGCGAACCTGTAGTCAAGAAAAAGAAAAAAGAACCAGAAGAACCAAAAAATGACGATGACTTTCACAAGGCATATTTGAAGGAGAAAGTTGAGATGGACAAGCTACTCAAAGAGACAATGGAGAAGGACAAGAAGGAGCAGGAGCAATTTTGGTGGGGCGGCGGTGACCGCCCCCCTCCTCGCGAACCATGGAACAACAGACCAAAACCACAAGCACCTAATAACCGACCTTGGAGTTTTGGTTTTGGTGGGAGTGGGCAACGACCAAGACCCTCACGACCATATTTCAGAAAGGAAGAGGAGGCAACAATGCCTTCAGATGACGATGGCTCATCTGCCAGTGGGTTTGGTGGTGGCATTGCTGGAATCTCCACATTCTTCAGTAATTTATTTGGATTTGGTGCAACATCGCTGACCAACGACCCCTGGTTTCCAAGTGCTGCGAGGGATTTATCTGGGGAGGTTGGCGGAGTTTCGGTAAACATGTTACATAATGTATTATTAAGACACGTGTCAAACGTAACGATTTCTAAGACGTATTTCCTCTAGGTGGATGAAACAAGGGAGATTTTGGAGACTGCATTGGTAAAAAATTGGCATTTCCTGAAATTGCAGGAAAAATAAATTGGAATTTCCTGAAATTGCAGGAAATTGGCAAGTCCTTTGAAAAGCCGTCACAATGCAATGAAATATTCAACGCGTGTCAGTACGAATACACGGAACTACTCTATATGATCGATGATTTGCGGAAAAATGTGCGGGCTCTTGTGAAGGAGTCCCAAGATCAAGGAAAGCAAGTAAGACTACTGGTCACTGCTTGCCACATGCACATGATACATTTGTTCAAGTCGTATCACTAACCCATTATTATTCCATGTCAGAAAAAAACAACGAAAGGAAAGAAAAGGAAGAATGCAAAGTCCGGGCTGACCACGTCTCAACAAATGGTAAATCAACCATACTCTTAGATATCCTCCTGTCGTCCCTCGAACACGCGGATAATGTTTTGTCTGCATTTACTCAAATGGAAGGAAATTATCTGGAGATTGGAATGTTGTATTACAAATTATATTGAATCTGGGCCAATTGCCTATACCTCCGAGTTGTCATACAATGACAAATCTTTTTCCTAATACTGATATCCTAATGCTTTATATCATTGTGGAGGTTCGTATTATTTTTCATTTCTTTCTCTACCGTTCTACAGAAATATAAATCTGGGAGGAGAAGGAAACCTGGGAAAATGTCGTCAGTGTCTGGAGAGGTTCCAGATGAGCGTTACGTGATTCCTGTCACTCCACCGAAACCGGAAGGATTTGCTGACACCTTCCAATTTTCTAATGTTTTGTCATGGTTGGGAATTGGCGGAAGCAGTGGAAAATATTAATATATACCCTTAATTTTATCGGACTCAAAGTGCAATAGATTCTTAATAAATGTATTTTATTTAAGTAATTTGTTAAAAATCAGGAAAGATTCTAATTACTTGATACTCATTTTATTCACTTAAATATTTAGAAGGACCTTAATTTTCATGCATATGATAAAATCAAAATGATCTAAAATACGATATTTATCATGAAAGTTTAATATCACTGGCACAACCATGTCACCAAATAGGAGTTTATACAAAGTGTATATTAAACTGACTAACTCGATAAAAACAACAGAATCACGAGCACGATTCCGCTATGATAATGTGCATAATCAAGAATAAGTCCACCAGCTAAAATTTTTCAGCCTCTAGCTGAGAAAAAAACATGCAGTTCATATTTTAAAATCAGATATGAAAACACTTCATTTTCAGAAGAATTCATTTCATGCTTCACATAACCAGCAATATGTAGCATATGAACTTAAAGAGCTGTGTCTGTCTTTTTGGCTACTCTTTCGCATGAAATGGAGGACAATTTCCTTCCTTCTAGATATTAAATTCATTCTCTTATATTGCATACACCCATCTTCCACCATCCAACTCACTCTACAGATACTCCACTGTCACTTATGGTAGTAAGGTGAAGAGCCCAGAGTTATTGTAATGCAATAAGTACGAACAAGGATTGGGGAAGATTTGCAAAAAAAATTGCCCCACTTTTTCCACCGAAATGCAAAGGAGGTAGAAAAAAGCAATAATAATGCATATAAAATACGGTGCGTTAAAAATTAGGGATTTGAGACCATGTCACAGGTTCACTGTTGAGTGCATGCGACATTGAATCTGTATGATTCTTCCGTATCTTCCTGCATTTAACACAGGTTGATGAAAAACGGTGGTGAGGAAGAGTATGAATTTTTTGGGTTTTATTTTATAAACAATTAAGGAAAAAGGTGCGGTACATAAACACTCGCACTATTTTAAAATTCTAAAAAGAAAAGCACAACAATACGACCATTTGCTCCAAATCTTCCTTTGTCGTAAAGCAATCAATTGGTTTATCGTTAATCTTTTACAAGCAGAGAAATTATTTTGAGTCGACTGCACTTAAATTGTATTTAAGACCTTGTCATGAATAAGCATGGGTGTCAGTTGTGGGTTGACGAAGATTGGATAATACGAGAGCAAGATATTTCTGTGTATGAAATCAGTATGAAATTTTACGTTGTTAAACCAGTGGTTTATATATACTTGTGATTTGATTTAATAACTTTATTAAGTTGAAAATGAGGCTAAATAATTCGAATGTGCTGTTTTCATGTGTCAGTTTTTTATTAATAATAACACTATCGACAGTGAAGTCATTAAGTTTTTTGGAACATGAGACATGGTGGTCTTCAAAATTTGGAGTTTTCATCATTATCGTGTCAATGGGATCAGGAGACCCGGATGGGAGGAACATTAGTATGTCCAACGTTTTAGACTAATTAAATGATACTGACGTTACCCCAAAGGGATTAATTTATCATGAAATTTCCAAATTGGGATAATACTCTGATTTTATATGTGTGCACGATATGTCTCCTTAGAGGATTTCTCAGTCAGTTGTCTTTGACAGATTACAAATTCGGGGTACACATACTGTGCGTCAAGCATTTGTTGTACATCGAAATACTACGAATTAGATAATGCATATGAAACATACCCATTTCTTGTCCCGAATGAAATCTGCTCATTAGTTTAATTATCTATTCTCATTATTAACAAATGCTTGTGAGGAATTCGTTCTGAAACCTTCGCTGTAGCACTTGATTGCCAATTTTGTCACGCAAATCCTGTCTGATCCGTGACAGATTGTACATATGCACATACATATATATGTAGGTCTGGACATTTTTGGTAGTTATAACATTTCTCCATTTCACTCGTTATGGGTTTATTTCCAACTGTGACACATCATTATCCCCGAAGCGTAGGATATTTTGGTTGATATATGTTTAAATATTTGAGCATTGAATTAGCTATGACTTGGGTTATGCTGTCCAACACAGCGTGTAATTTAATTCCACAATGCTGTAATTTATTTCATATGTTTACATTTGTGTGACAGGTACAAATCCATTGTCAAGACTGATGAATTCTACTAACCCGACTTTGCATTCAGCGTCAAACGCAACCACTGTCTCCCTGAATATGAATTTAAATGGTACCACCGAGAAGGAAGTAAATAATATAGGTGGTGCGTATTTGAATAGCAGTGGGGTGGCCAAAAAAACGTCGTCAGGAACTAGCAATCAGACTCGACGAGTTGGAAAACGACGTCGATTTGGAATAAAACAATTTTCTCCAACTGTCAGAAAATCAAGACCATATTTTCATCCAACATCTTCGTCTTCTTCCTCCTCCAACAACATGAACAACGAAATGAAAAAGCAAAGGACCAGGAAAGGAGGGCAGTCTCTGAATTTTGATGAAGGATTGCAAGCTGAATCCTTAAGGATGGAAATTTTAAACCGTCTTGGAAAGGTAGATTCGCTCTCATGCCTCCCAAAAGCTTTGTGTGGGGTTGCATCAATGAATTCACAAAAGAATTTTCACAACACAATGGATGACAACTTGATCAATAACTACCTCAAAATTGTACAAACAGTCGTCCCGTAATACATACATTAGTGATTACAAAGCTACAATTACTTGTAAAATTCGTCATGTAAATTAATTCGAGTTTTCTCACAGGAAAAATGATGTGACGGGTAACCAAAAAAAGAAAACAAAGAAGAAGAAAAAGAAGACCAAGGTTCGAGATAATGATTTGGACTCTTCTGAAGAATCGGTAGAATCAAACGCATCGTCCGCAGAGGAACTTTCTCAAGATGATCTGGAACACATGAGGGAGAAAGCACGGGTGGAAAAATGGATGAGAGACGACGAAGATGACCCAGAACCAAACTGGTGGGACACAAATAAAAGTAAGAATAAGAGAGCATATTAAAGAGAGCAAATTATTATTTTTCAGGTGGGATATTTTACCTCCGAATCGTCCATACCACCCGATCGATGAAATTCCACCAAATCACTACAGTGATAGTGGTTCTTGGTCTAGTTTTTCTCCTTTCAGAGTGTCCAAGGGGCTGACTTCCTTCTTTGGCTCCATATTGCCCTCGATATCTTGGGGGCTTGGGAATAAACCCGACGTTTTCTCAGACGATCCATTCTTTCAAGAGTTTCGTGGCTTTAAAGGCAGAAGCATTGGCGATGATGATAAAAGAAGCTTCAGTTGGCTGTTTGGCAAGAGTGGAGCAGTCGGTCAAACCGGGGGCGATATCCCAACCAGTGGAGGAGGAGGAGCACTTGATACGATCCATCATCGCAGAGGACCTGATAAAATTAGTAAGAGAAGGAATTACAAAGGCAAGAGCAGTAAAAACAAGAACAACAGAGCTCGAAAGGGACACTCGAACGAGGAAGCGGACAATCCGGCGGAAAAATTTCAGTTAGCAATCGAAATAGGGAAACAGATGGAGGACCCGAATGAATGCAATTTTGTCTTTACTGGATGTCCATTCTCCTATTTAGAAATTATTGAAATTATCGAATCTTCAAAAAAATCTGCTGCACAGGAAATAGGGCAGGATGACAAGCAACTTAATTACTTGGTAGGATACATAAAAATACTCATTTTCAGTTCAGCAATCTAAGCATGAAGGTGTGGAACTTTAATTTTAAAATATTAACCTATTGCATAGGAAATTTTTGGATTGGGCAACAATTCGGATTTGTCAAATACTCATTATTTCCCAACCACAAGCGACAGACTGGAAATTAACTTGAAAATTGCCGATAAAAACGTAAAATATACATTGGAAACATTTTTATTGGAATAATCAGATCAATAATGTCGAACATGTCGAAAATTTGTATGCACAGGTTGCAACTCTGATCCCACATTCCAGTAATTTAAGAAATCCGGATGACGATTTTACCCTGGAGATCTCCACTGCACCCTCGAATACGAATAACCTTCAGGTGGAGTCTCAACCTCCCACGGACGCCATCAATCATCATCATGCCCCCCTTCCTACAATGTTCCGCACGGATGTGCTGCAGGGCGAAAGCGTTAATAGCAATGTTGGTGGTGGAGGCAGTGAAGATGACTCCGTTGAGCATAACCTTATCAGACCTCAAACCACAATCAATCCCAAAATAACAAAGAGACGCAAGTCCAAAGGTCCTGCAAGGATTAACACCAGGCAACAATGGGGTTCAAAGCATGGGTTAAAGTTAGCACCACTGGTCAAGCATTCTTCATCTCCTACAATCCTTCGACAATCACAACAACTGCATACGCACACCAAGTACAAACATATCCCATTACCCACAACGATTAACAAACCCTCTCATGTCATTAACTATCACTTTCATAATACCAACACACATCCACAAGTGAGTCATAATCCACAACAGTTGTCCGTCCATAGCTACCCACCACCAGCCACACCCCTTAATATTCAGCAACCGCATTACTATACTCAACAACCAGTTCATCAATCGACTTTATCATCCACCACAGTCGCAGCCCAAACGACGCCGTCAACCTCGTCATCCGGCTTCCGGAATGACCTTAAGTCGAAAAGACACAAGAAGAGGCGACGCAACAAACCAAAGCGCAAGAGGAAAAATCCCGTTAGTGAAGAACGGATTATAATTCGACTTCCAGAACCGACGCAACAACCGAACAACAACTATTACAATTTGTACCCTTTGCTCAACAACCCGACGTACAACTCGCCACCACCTCAACAACAGTCTCAAGCAGATCAGCAGTATCATCACCATCATCAAAACCAACATTACAGTCACCACATCCCCCACCGACACTCCTCCCCTCAACCCACGTACTTTGCCCCACAGCATCCAGGTTACCAGTCGCACCAGTCCTCGTACCCGTTTTACCCACATTCGCCTCTGATGCCACCAGGAATATTTTCATACGTTTTAGGGAAAAAATGAACACAGTTTATTTATTTATTAAATGATTGATTGATGAATCTGTGTTTGACTTATTTTGGCATTTTTGTTATCAAATTACTTATCCGCCCATGTCTGCTAATAGTCTGGATGTCGTATTTGTTGAACAATTTTCAAGCGTTAAGGAAATGACACTTGTATCTCCTACTTGCAATAATATTAGATTATGAAGGTGTGGAAATCTGATTATGGTTTAAACTTATACATAACTCCTGAAATTAGACACGTCTACTCCCACGTGTTTAAGTACTTTATTTGTATCATCATTAACAAAAGTTTACAACGTCAAGACTAATGACCTTTTATCTTATCACTACTAATGCCATCACCAAAGACATATAAAGACCATTTTTCTGAATCCAGTTTTATGCTACAGACCAACTTGCTGAGTTTCACATACTCGACGACACACATATTTATATACATACTAAAGGGAGGGCAGCCTGGTGGATACGAATTTGGCCTTGAATAACCCCGGAACGGTTTGTCGTAGCGGGTCAAAATTTTGAACAGAAGAGCATGTTATCCTCAGATAGTTGTGTGCAAAAATTCAACTCTCTACTTTCAAAAATGCCTCTCCCACAGCCCCCAGAAGTTGAGACACTCGTTTCAACTTTTTCCAAACTCCGTCTAAAAAATTCGGTCCCCACAGAAAGATTTTCTTTTCATCTATCCGAACTCAAACAAGTCGATTTGACTTATATCAGGGGATTGTATAGGTATTTCACTATTCCAAATGATTTTTATCCCCAATCTAGGTTCAAGGTTATTTGCATAATCTTGGGTCAACTTTGCCGTCTGGGAGGACGCTCCGTCATGATGAAAAATCACCTTAATTATTATTTTACCGTGCAAATTAGGAAAATTGTATTCTAAAAGTGGTTTCAGTACAAGGTCCACATAATACTTCGAAGATTCCTTCACTTTTTGGGGGACTTTGATAAGTGGGAGGACACCACGACAGGACATTGCACCCACGACCATCAACTGTTTAAAAAAGTTCTCCTCACTGAAAAGTACCAAATTTCTTGAATTTTTTTTCGGCATTTGTCGTGTAGTAAGCTCTTCGAACCCAATTAGTAACTTGTAGGGAAAATAGTTCTTCGTCAATTGTCACCAATAGCTCACTTCTATTCCTCAACAGAATATTCAAATAAAATTTTTTGCAAACACGGGCGAGATTTTTTCTGGAACTATTTGAAATGACTGTCTCAGCTTCTGGGGGCTGTGGGGCAGGCATTTTTCAAAGTAGAAGGCTGAAATTTTGCACACAACTATCTGAGGATAACATGCTCGTCTGTTCAAAATTTTGACCCGCTACGACAAACCGTTCCGGGGTTATTCAAGGTCAAATTCGTATCCACCAGGCCGCCCTCCCTTTGGTATGTACATTTCTATATACATACATATTGCGTATGTACAGCAGCAGTCTGAGAAAAACAGTAAGAGTAATAGCAGCGCACTGAAAATAGCATTTCTTGCTCGTTTCAAAGGATAATCATTTAAATTGGGATTTACATAAGTAAAACAAAATAGCAGTTCTCATATAACAACAAAGGACAAAATCATGGATGGAATCTGGAACTCTCGACGGTCTCCTGTCTATGCAAAAAATGGGATGGTTGCATGCAGTCAAGTCAGTCTGCATAACCATTCTTTTTCTAAATCCGTTTATACTCATCTTATTTATTCAAAGTGTTTCCACTATCACAGCCACTCGCTGCGGAGGCAGGGTTAGGTATTCTTAAAAGGTCAGGTAATGCGGCCGACGCTGCGATCGCTGTAGCTGCTGCTCTGAACGTTACCCAACCAACTTCAACAGGTACACCGAATAAAGTACACCGAATTTATTGCATTACCATACACGAATGAATTTAAGAGACCTTTGGCTGAATTTTACTCAAACAAAGGCCTTGGCGGAGATGCGTTCTTACTCTACTATGATGCACAAACTAAGCAAGTGAAAGGACTCAATGGCAGGTAAATGATCCACACATGTGCATGTGAAATTCTGAAAATTTAATAACTACAATATGTGGAATGTTTAACGTCTTTAACGTAGCGGTCGATGTCCAAGTGGGGTTTCTATTTCAACTTTCGAAGATCGAGGGTTCAGTGAGCAGAACCGCCCTCCTTCTGTAAACCCTTTATTTATTACCGTTCCAGGGTATGTCCCGTGAATAAGTGCACACTTATCACAAATTATCTACGATTAATAATTGCATTTTAAATTTAATACTTACAGAGCAGCGGCAACATGGGTTGATACGATTGAACTGTTCGGAAGTGGCAACTTGACCATGGCGCAAATCTTAGAGCCAGCCATCGCCCTGGCCGAGGACGGGTATCCTGTCGGCCAAGTGACTGCATACTACTGGCAAAGAAGCGAGCAGTTATTGCGAAATGCATCCCCGAACGGTGGGGAAATGCTTTTGAACGGAATCGCCCCAAAGGAAGGAGGTCTTATCGTCTAATTAAATAATGAAAACATTTTGACTTAAAATTCTATTTCAAGTTATTTTAATAAACAAAACAGAAATCATGAGAATGCCCTATTTGGCGGAGACCTTTCGAACACTGGCCGCGAATGGGAAAGCAGGTTATTACGAGGGAAGAATAGCACAGGCAATTGTGGACGTTGTAAATGAGTTGGGAGGAGTAATGACACTGGCAGATTTGTCCAGCCACTTCAACACTCAAGATGTTCCCATTTCCGTGAGTTATCGTGGAGTCGACGTCTATGAAATGCCTCCCAGCGGTAAAATTTCTTGTCATGTATATGAAAACTTGATGATGCATTAATTCATGAACTGGTCAACTAAACAGGCCAAGGAATTACAGCCCTGCTTGCCCTCAACATTCTCGAGGGTTTCTTCTTGAACGGGTTAACGCACAATAGTGCCCAACATTTGCATCTGGTCATTGAAAGTCTTCGAATAGCATTTGCAGACACGCGATTTTACGTCGCAGATCCCGAATTTGTATCGGTTCCTGTTGATGGAATGTTGTCTAAGACATATGCTGACCAAAGAAGAGGTTTAATCAGCCCAGAAAGTGCAGCTGTGAACATTGTACGAAGCAATATGCATTTGAAATCAAAGACATACTTAATAACATGTTACATGCATAAAACTCGAAGCCTAGGATTCCATCTGGTCTTTATGATATCGTTCTACTTGTTTCAGGACCACGGATTCCCTCCAAATGTCTCGAATACCGTCTACTTTTGTGTCGTTGACGGCCAGGGGAATGCAGCAAGTTTTATAAATTCCAATTACCAAGGATTCGGTACTGGAATTGTTCCTCAGGGGTGTGGCTTCACGTTACACAACCGAGGCGATAATTTCTCTCTGGATAGAACTCATGCTAACAGTCTGCAGCCAGGGAAAAGACCGTGAGAGAAAATTTGCATTTATATGCGATTGCATATTGCTTCCATTGTCTCATTGGTGTAATGAATCTCATGAGCAATTAAATTAAGGTACCACACAATAATACCTGGAATGGCACTGAAAGATGGAGAGCTTTTTTCTCCTTTCGGGGTAATGGGCGGGTGGGTACTTTGAGCAGTTTAATTTTATCGTGAATTTTCACTTTACACAAATTGATGCCATTATGCTTTTATGCTTGCTTGACATGTATTTAGATATATGCAACCACAAGGGCACCTTCAAGTTATAAGTAATATGATTGATTTTGGAATGAACCCACAACAAGGTGACTTGACATAACTGTCAACAAATAGTGCATGCAGTCCTTAATAATTGTCTGTAATACAATCTTACATCATTTTCCTAGCATTGGACGCTCCTCGAGTCTGCATCGATGGTGGCACAGCCGCTGGACAGATTCTTCTTGAGGATGGAATAACTGAAGAAGTTCGCCAAGAACTGGAAAGAATGGGTCACGCATCTCCCACGATAATAACGGGATGGAGCAGATCAGATTTTGGGACTGGTCAAATAATTAAGAGAGATCCATTATCAGGGGTCCTGGTAGCCGGAAGCGACGCAAGAAACGATGGACATGCCGTGGGCTATTGAAGATAGTTATGTAACTGCTTCGTGTTGCAGAATGACAGAAAAAGTTAAATATGCTTAATTGGTAAATTATCTTTAATGAAACTAGGACATTCATGTGCTCCGCTTACACAATAATATTTACGTACAACGCCATATTACAATTCAATCATAAATTATATCCAAGTCTAATAATCGCATACGTCAAAACGGTTCAATAAAGTCATTCGTAATTCAATAAATGCATTAAAGAAACTATTTAACGTCATAAATACTTTATGAATCACAAAAATTCCACAGCTTCTTACAGTATGTACATATTTATGTATGTACATGTCGCATGCTAAATATAACGTGGAATTTCTTCTACTTACATTAAGAGTAATTATATAACTAATTCAATTGGGAACTTACGTTAAATAAATGATACCTTAATTAAATGTACATCACGTATAATTAGTAATTGGGCAAAGAAAATGCAGCATGCTTTTCGATGGTTAATATTTATAACGTATGTATTTACATAAATGTAACATGTACTTAAGTTGAGTTGATTTAGCGTTATCCGACTTGCTGCCTCATGTATTCTGCATTTTTGTCACTTTCCTCCGTTTAATATAACTTGTCGAAAAACCAAAACTTTCCCTTAATCTTATATCATAGATTTGTATCTGGTCACACTTTCCGGGTTTGTTGGTAGAAACTCCTGTCACAAACATTTTTGAATATGTACGTTCATCTCGTGTTTGTAAAAATATATCATATAAAACTCATTTTTGTTAATCATTTTGGTGTCATCATGGCTGTCACTCTTGATCGCGTCTGCTCCAGTAGTGAATTTGAAACAGAATGGTTGAGATCATTGTTGAGATTGTGATTGGGAATGTGGGAGGAGCAGAGCTGAGGATGGAGCAGTTTCGCTGGTTGATCCCCAAGCAGTGGGGGGGTAAATGCGTGCGCATAGTAGCTCTATTTAGACAATTATTGCAATCAAATCCTGAAAATCTTATCAAAATTGATTAAAAATCAAAATGTGGATGCCAAGAATTTTACCTCACAAGAGTTTCAGCCATTTTTTGCAAAAATTTTGCTGCCTCTCTGTTGCAGTGGTAATGACTTATCTCAGAGACACACTGGTCGGTGAAAAAATGTATGTATATATAAACTTGATTATCTCAAACCTACGAAATTTAGTTTTAAACTTACTTGCAGAAACGACAAACGCACGCTAGAAATAAAACAAATGAGATTAATGCCTCCAAAGTACAGATAAAATTATGCATTCTGATCGACTATACATATTCACATACATGCATACATATATCTGCTAAGATATATGTATGCATTTATTTATGCTTAAAAAATTTCATAGTGAGGTAAATTGTAGATTTTAATGTGGGATTTCATTATCCCAGAATAGCCGTGTAGAGACTATGAAAGGCGTTCAGTTTATCTCTCTCGCTTCCGATTATTTGAAACTTTCATACCCAACTTGCGCACAATCTTCAGGAAACTACTTTCACCGCTTGGGCTCACAGCATAAGTGAACTATCGGGAGAAACCATCTTTCAAAACTTTTAGTGTCATCAATCATCTCCTCATGGGAAATATGACGGGAGTTAAGGTTTGTGGTCCATTATCACCCATTTATGTAAGATGACATATGAGCAACCTTGGAATCAAGAACAAGGAATCATAGTCGAACAATAAATCCAAGTCATATGAGATTATTTTCTTTAAATCTGCTTCCTAAGGCTAAATATGCTTTTAAAAGTGAGGAAAGCAGGTCATCATGGGGGATAAGATAATCAAACTCAATCTGCACTGTGACAAATTGTCTCAAAGGGTATTATCTTGTTTCATAATAATAATAATAATAATAATACACTAACTGATAGGTTTGGGGAATAAAAGGAAAAAAGTAGCATTATAAGTTTATGTGTATACTCACCTATATAAATACAAACATATATGTATTTATATAATGGATAATATGTATCTACCAACCTAGATACATAATACCGTACACAAAAGATACCGACCAAGTTAGATACCACCAACACATAATCGCATCATTGACATTTTCACAAATATTTTACAATTTAATACATCCACCAATAACTGACAGTTCAAAGCCAGTCGTAGGATGTGACTTACAAGGGAACCTTAAGTACTGTCACATTTCGATTTCCTTTCGGATGGTCTTAATTGGTAGATAATTTAGTGTAACCAAGACTTTGTCATAGAACATGGGGTGCAAAATCACGTTTTTGCGAAATATTTGGCGAAAGCTGCACCAAAACGTGTAATTTTTCCAATGCTTTTAACATAGGTAACAAGCCTTCGGAATAATGAAATGAAGTTTATAAATTGTATGCCTGTCCGTAATTTCATACAGATCACCAATATGCAAAAACCGATGCAAACATTTGCCATTTTTTTCAAATTTCAAAAATCTGCAAACTTTTCTAAATTTGAATTTTATCGCTTTTTAGAAATTTAAATAAAATTGAAATGTTAAACTTCTTTTAAGCATGGCAAAAAAGTTAAAAAAAATATTTTTTTTCTTATTTCAACTATTTAAATGGGCGAAAATTTCAAAAATTGAAATTCACAGTTTTGCATGAAAAAAGATATCATGGCCAATGCTGGTCTATTTTACGTATCTTTCAAAATTGTTTGCTAAGATTATTTTTGCAAGTTGCACAAAATTTTGAAAATTTTGTATAGTCAGTTTTTAACATATTCAACAAAATAACTTTTCCATACTTCGAGATTTTAAGCCTTTTGGAAAACTGGAAAAATTTTCTATTGCATGTATATACGACGTCGTATATACATGCAATAGAAAATTTTTCCATGCTTAAAAGAAGTTTAACATTTCAATTTTATTTAAATTTCTAAAAAGCGATAAAATTCAAATTTAGAAAAGTTTGCAGATTTTTGAAATTTGAAAAAAATGGCAAATGTTTGCATCGGTTTTTGCATATTGGTGATCTGTATGAAATTACGGACAGGCATACAATTTATAAACTTCATTTCATTATTCCGAAGGCTTGTTACCTATGTTAAAAGCATTGGAAAAATTACACGTTTTGGTGCAGCTTTCGCCAAATATTTCGCAAAAACGTGATTTTGCACCCCATGTTCTATGACAAAGTCTTGGTTACACTAAATTATCTACCAATTAAGACCATCCGAAAGGAAATCGAAATGTGACAGTACTTAAGGTTCCCTTGTTAGATGAAAGAATAATGACATTTTATCATAATGTATTGTTGTGTAATATGTTGAGATTTAAACTCCGCATGAATATTGTCATCCGTCAACTGCAGTCCCTTATTTCAGATACTATTTTCCATACGCTAAATGATTTCGTGAACATGTTCACTTATGTATGTTTACATCTATTTACAATGAATCTGGGATTAAAAGCTATAGACTTGGAAAGCCGAATTTTGAAACAACATGCGTTGCACAGTACTTCCAGATTTGAGATTGGGTGACATTTAATATCTAAAATAAGAACCTTGGAACTGTCTACATGTATATTCTTGAAGTTTCGTTTAGAATATTAATAATTATTTTGAACTTCAAGACATGAAGGCATGAAACAGAATGACTAAACATGCACTCATACTCATATTTATCTCCACTGTGTGCTTCTTTTGAGCATTTTATTTTTATACTTCTGATATGATTCATTTGCGAAAAGAAGTTTGATGCACATTCGAAAAATATTCTGCAACTGTCGAGTTTACAAGAAGAAATAACAAATGCATCCGGAACAACCTTACGTGGAGAGAGAGAGAAAAGTTCACTTTCCGACATTGAATGGAAGATGAAAAGGTTCTGCCTTGATTGAATGATTCCCAAGCTCCAAAATCTTTCGGTGCTATTTATTTTCGTGTTTCAAATTACCTCTCGAACGTATGTAACATGGGGATCCTCGCTGCTTTCTCCTGGTCAAATATTACTCGCCAGCATCGCATAGCATCATGCAGCTTATATAATCCTAAGCCAAAGTTTTTATACTATTTGTCTAGCTGAACAAAGTTAAAGTTGGGATCTCGCAATTTTTCTCATCTCAAAGCATATCCTACTTGATTGTGTGCTTCAATTTAAAATGCATGCACGAGTTAACAGTAATTTACTTCGTGTTTGCAGTGTCAACTAACAACAATCGATTGTTTGATCTTTGCCTTTGCAATGTTTGATCTCAGCCCAGTTCAAAGTAGAAACCCGAAATCTATTGGGTGGATGGAACCAGCTTACATTTGACTAAAGTAGTGGAGTGGATTTCGCTGAGAATGTGTACGTACTTACGTAGCTTGCTTATCCTCCACAGCATGTAGTTCTGGAACTGAATATTATAATGGGAACGGGGTTAGGATGACTTATGTCTTTCTGTCCAGGTTACTGTCATGTAAAGAAAACCTCGGTTTCTCGTTTGCAAACCTTTCCCCCAGAGAAAGTCTTGGTGACTTGAATATTTTTCAATGGGTTGGAATAAGGACTGGTCTTTTGTGTCAATATTTGCTTCAAACAGCAGGTTCTTATCGTCCGTTTGAAATGTAATGTTTGGCAGCATTTATGTATGGTAACCTTCACACAAATAAGTGCACATGTGTATTGTCGTACAAGTTAAACATTGAAAAATTGTAAGTAAAACACAAGGATCTATTTATCTCTTTCTTGCAAAAGCAAGTTTTCCTTGTCGATCTCTGTACCGTGATTTGTGAACCGCCGAACATATTTTGTACACATATATTTTTTTAAAGTCGGACTTTTACATGTTTCCTTTGCGGTTTACACAAGCATATGAAAGCAAATCCGTTGCAGCCAGTGTTGCTTCAAAAAACCATAAATTACGATTAGACTCTTGTGAAACAACGCTTTGTCTCGCACTAACTCAAGAGGACTGTCTGACCGACGAGCGCGGTGCGCAATTCCTTTCTCCACGGCAAAACGTCTCCAATTGTATTACGGAATTCAAACAGTGGATTTACTCATCCTGGTAAATTCAATATATTTTGCGGCTATTTGGCAGAAGGTAAATCGCGTATGCGGTTTATTGGTCTAGTAGTTTGTGTAAATACCTCAAGAGCGATTCAAGTACGCCAAATCTGCAGCTTTTAATTACATCTCAGGCCGATCGTGTCATTCAGTTTCAGGGCGTGTGTGCTTATCTGCCTCCACCGAGGAGGGAATTAGCAGAATCTTAGGGAAGCTCCAATACACGTATATCGCATCTATCTCTCTAGTCACCCCTTTCATCTTTTCTACACTTCGTCATAATCCCCAATTAGTTCACTTTCTCATTTCAGGAAATGAGCTAAAAGAGGCTAGATTAGGAGAATTTGTTTGTCACGGTCCACTACGCCGCTACATTGCTTGGAGGATTGTTTTGTACATAGATGTATAATTAGCGAATGTTTAGCAGAGATAAAAGCATGCGATGCTCCTCATGATGTGACAGTATATATACATAGATATATTTATGTACGAGGTACATACATGCACATAAGCACAAATCACATCTCGTTTCCCCAGATTCATACTGCACTGACTATGTACATACAATTGTTAGCTCCAATTCTTTCCTTACTGTTATTGCCGCATAATGCCATCACCAAATGCTAAAGCAGCAATTCAAAATCAGATATTTTATCAAAGAAACTTGTCCTCAACTTGTTCTCCGCAGTGGAAAACAAGAAGATGGAACAAATCGCATCCTGTAGAAACATCAATTTCTATGATAGGATTCGGAGAAACGACACAATTGTACATACATTTTTTTAAAACGTAATAAACTTTTGTATTGGATTTGTAAGGGGAAACGACGAATAAATTGTTAACATAACGTGTTCTTATTGAATTCAGCTTTCAACATGTTGTGTACAAGAAAAATAAACAAAGAAAACACGAATCAACATCACTCCCTTGAATATCTTGTTATTTTTTTGTTTCACTCGACTACTATCAACCGCAACGGATGCAAGTTATGAATTATTCATAAATATTATAGAGAAGAGCAAAATAAGGTGAAAGGTGTGACAAGCTTCCTACGCGATTTTCAACTTGGATAAGGGCAGAATTGACAGAGAAGAGAGAGATTTCAGAAGCATCTTCTTTTCTCTCAGACGACGGTTCAATGTCGAAAGCTTCACCACTTTCGCCAGAGGGACGTCAACCAACTTTCCACCGGCCAGCTTTCACTGAAGCCCAACTGACAGGGATGACGGATTGACAGCTATTTTCCTTTACAACATTTATGCCACTGATTCCTCTTAACCCACAGATCGCCATATATGCATGTACATATTATGGCAACGTTGTGGTTAGAAGCACACCCACTCCTTCTTACAGATCGTGCTCATAACAGAGCTACAAATGTGACAAGAATCGGGTATGAGAACGAGAATGAATGCTATCGCTATTATTAAACTATCAAGAAAGTACAAAAAATTTCATTTGAAAAATGAGACAAGTCAACAAAATGGTGCACACCAAGGATCAGTGTTCTTTTTCCACTTCTTTGTTTAACTCAAAAAAACATTCAGAGAAAACCGGAGGCAGGTAACGAATGGGAAGAAGTGATCCAGATGAGTGGGTGCCGATGGCATAGAACAGTGTATATTGAAGCACATAAGACGTGTTGATGTTGATTGACACAATTCCAAGGCGATAACAGCCAAACAGCGAGCCAAATGGTTTGGCACGAAAGAATGACACAAAAGTAGATGAGCATGTATAGATAACGTTCGTATGAGAGTGCTTAATGTCAGGTCGACGGTGACAAGGAGCTTTTTTCGCACAGGAAGGAAAACCTCTTTTTGTATCTGCTTTTTTTCATTTCCACTCTGAAAAAAAAATCTATCATCTTCATCAGATTTCTGCTCTTTGTCCATTTCCCCTCTGCACAACTAGTTTCCGCGAACAAATGTTCATGATACCCTCTAAAACTACATACATACATATTTATTTTTGAATTGCAGTTGTTGAAATTCTTGTTTGGTCAGAGTCTGACATTCTCCGGTATGCGATAGATAGGCTTGAATTCAAATTTAGTATGAATTGTACTCCTATACATATGAATCTGATCTAAATTGGAAAAGAAATCCTTGCACAGCATACAGTTTGGAATTGGGTTTCACAAATTCCCTGAATGAAGCGTAATATGTATGCACAAGTCTTGTTGTGAAGGTATTCAGGGATAAGTGCACAGCCAATTATCATATTCTGTATGCATATCTGTGATGTGTGCATAATTTTTTTTCATCCGCAAGCTATTTCACTCTGCTGGTTCTCATTGTGGGCAAACTTTCTCCCTCTCGGCTTATATCACGACGAATTTTGTTCTGCTCATTCATAGGATTGTGGTTTGGGTGTTTACTTTTCTACCACCACGTTCCCACTACAGGAGGAGGAAAGTGAAAACCCTCGGAATCATCAAGAATGGAGATCAAAGATTGGGGAATTGGGTAAGGGAATCACTTCAACCAGGAGTTGGAGTGCTTCGGAGCAAGTGTAAATCCCAAATCCAAATTTAAGAAAAGTTTTGGGAACTTAACGTTGAATAATTTATCCCAGAAATTCACATCGGACCAGCAGCAGGCACCCTAACACCATATACGCATACATACGTAGATATCCCGACATTGTACATACGACATACATGCAAGTCAGATTCAGGCCAACGAAATTACTCAACATGCATGCGTACACTAGTAGAAAGTAGTAAACATTATTAGTGAGAGCAACTTTAGTAGTTTCGAAATCTACTGCTATTTATATAGGTTTCATCCTCGCACTTGATCAGAATGCACACACAATTTAGGGTTACATAGTCAAACTTTGTTGTATTTACAGGAGTTACATGAATGGCCACTTCATTACCAGAGGGCGGATATGTATGTATTTCTAACTTTTTCATACCAAATCAGATCGTACTTAAACTTCGTCCACTAACATCCCATCTTAATAGGATCCCAAAAATTCAAACATAGTTTTACATATTTTACATATTTTGGGGTTTTCGTACATATACATATTTTCATACATATTTTAAAGTTTTTCCCTACATATATGCATATATGCAGATTTCCTTACATATTTCGAGTATTTTTCTAAATATAAATATTTCAATATATATTTCGAGTTTTTTTATGCAAAAATATTTTTCTTCCTTAAGAAATTAAGAATTTCTCAAAATTATCTACATTGTCATGATAATCGCTTGTCAATTCGTGTGAACGATGTGCCAATCCAATTTTCCGCATTTTTCAAGCCAAAAATTACACTAGAAAATCTTGACATGGAACTGGTCTTGCCTTATACGTCATTGAATGAAGATTTAAATGTAATTCTGACATAATTTACTTATAAGAGTGTTAAAAATTTGCATCTTCTCAAATCTAGAATATATATAAGGTTGGAAATTTCTTTTGGAAAATATTTTTTATGTGCATATTTTCGAGATTTTTAAGTACATATTACATACATATTTTGAGGAATTTAAGTACATACATATCCGCCCTATGTTCATTACACAGGTTTGGGGCAATGCGAGAATCCCTTAAAATTCGATAAAGTTGCATCGTTCTTGAATTATTTGTCGCAGATAATGTTTTTTTTGTCATATACCGTATATATAGAAATAGGCAAAATAGATGAATAAATACTTACCAACACTGAATGGTGGAATTTTCAGAATGAAATCTTTTCATACTGTTGATAAAGTGTTTGCTAAAAAGAACAGGGAAATTTATTACTGCATAATTTTTTATTGTATGCATTTTAGAAACCCCTACCTGCATTCATCCCATTGGTAACTTATTTTTTTGTAACAATTTCCGTGAGACAAAAATTCGTTTCGAAATTTGTGATCGCGACATAAAAATGTGAATGTCTCATGAGCTCCACTGATGGATGCCTTAAATTTTGCAATTTTATCCTTTGGGAGACATTTGCTTGTCCACTCGTCAACACACAGCATGCCTTGGTTGAAGGCCCTGTTGCAAAAATAAGAAAGCCGTCAAGTTTTTCGTTTAGTTCGCTTTCTTAATGAAACATTTGTGAGTCGGCGATTCATAAGTTTTTGGGTACGCGCATTGAAATACATTTGCTTAAATAGTTTGTGCCAGAAGCGGATGATTTATGGGATACCCAGGTGGAGAAGTACATCTTGAAAACGACTATATGTGCACTTTCTCGTGTAAACAATTTTAAAAAGCATACTGCAAAATAAGCGTCTGCTTCTTCTCTTCTTCTTGCCGAAAACTGTTGAAATTTTCTCATTGCGGTCGCTAAATCATACGTAAAATAACAAAACAGCTGCGGCGATGTGTATCGGTCTCGTCCTCAAGAGAGGATTCTCAAGTAAAAAGTTACCACCCACCCACCCTCAATTAAGTGAAAGATAACTGGAGCCAACCTAAATATATGTGTGTAAGGAAAACATGTTCAATTTAGCCATAACATGATTTATGAAATTGCGTACGAGAGGTACAACTACAAATAACGCGATTTTGGACATTTAATCTGCAAGCTTTTAAAATCTCTTTCAATTTCTCTCGTTGAAATGAAATTTCAGCTAAAATTAGATGTGATAAGCCATTTTATTAAAGTGGGAGTTGCAGAAATTCTCTTCACTTGAGTTTGTGTATCCTAGCTTTAAACGTATTGGCGAGAATCCGTATTTTTTACAGTATGTTCCGTACAACAGTAAATTTTCGCAAATTGAAACGAATAAGCGATAAATGTACCTAAGCCATAAGCATGTTGTAATAATGCTTAATATTCTAGGGTGCATCTCGTTAATCTGCCACAGGGCAGAGATCAGCCCACCCAATATCATGCTGCAGATTGACGGTTATTTCGAAACGCATGAAATATTTGCAATCGCGGCAGAAACGTCTTTTATCTTTTGTTCCAAGTAATAATAAGTGAAAGACTTGCTGCTCGTCAGGAGTTGGGCAATTGTATTTTATAATCCAGTTGAGTGCTACTTGGTGAGTTTGAGTATGGTACTTTGGTTGAGATTTATATATTCATAAGCACAGATTACACTAATTCCCGAGTTGGTGAGGTTATTACAGCAGTTGGTGGAGCGCAGTGATGGTAGTGGGTGGTCCGCTGTCCGTTCATTATATTATGCGCGGAGAGAGCGGAGAAAGAAATCCAAGTTTGAACCGGAGACACTTCTGTCTGGTTAAGTAAACCGGAGCTTAATTTATGCCTTGCTTGGGCTCGTTATGATTTCAACACAGGGGGATTAAATCTTGACTTAATATGCTTGATAACGGCTGCTTGGCTCACATCCCATTTACTCCGCGTCCTTCACACTCTGTTGAAAGCCGCTAATTTTTCATGACCAGGAAAATCACATTCTCGAACGCCTCCTTGGTTCGTAATGAGACGAAAGTGCGATGCATATGCATGCGAGCTTCTTAAGATTCCTCCTTTCTCCCCCGTCCATCGTGGTTCTCGTTCTAGTTCTGATTTGAACGAATTAAAGCTTCTTGAGCGAAAACAAAAGTAGGAGAACATTCACCTTTCCAATTGACGAACCCCTTACACAATTGAACCTGTGAAGGACATGCTTATTTTATTTCAAGTTTCTTAAGCGTTGTGCAAACTTATGTATTCTCGGTCCATGTACGTATTCAGAAACACAATGCAAGCAGGAGTCCATCAATTGTGTGTTCTTTTAGAAGTTTATAATTCCTGGCTGCTTGAGATTTACTTAGCAAAATTTCATCTTCTTACAAAGTACGAAGCCACAAAATTCTGTAAATTGCAAAATTACATTGCTTGCATGTACTCGCTCGTATAAAGAGCATCAAGTGGTTTCATGTGTGTAACAATATAACGGTGGCATAACTTACATATACGGTTTAAGTAAAGACTGGAAACTTTGATTCAATTAGATTTCTTCAAAAGGAAAAGTTTAAAGTCTAGAAATGTTATTTCCAGGTGCAACCACCGGATACTTATGTGGCATGAAAAAGTTTTAAAAAAAGCTCCTGTGTCTTTCTTTTTACATTTTTACTAAAATTTATGACATGATGGATTTTGTGACAAACTGCATTTATATATATTGCTATATATGTACGAATACCTTTGTGAACGTACGACTGTGTATATTCAAATAAGAACGTATAAGAGCACTTGCGCCCAATAAAGTACAACTTTATTTGTACATAACTCACTTTGGCGTAGTTTAAAAAGTTTGAGTACAAGCGACAAGTTGTAAATTTTCTGCATTTTGCTAAGGTTGCAAATGTCCAATTTCGAGCTTTCTCTGGGCAATGCACTGTTGGGCCGTAAATACATACGACTCATGTTCTTTCATGAGTGAAGTCCAATAACAATTTAATCAAACACTTAGTTGAACTTGTACTCTACTTTCTTTATTAGTGCACTTTCGTGTTATATTGCATACGACGAGGTTATACTGCGACGTCCTGCTCAAAGAATGCGTGGGACCGAAAGTCCGAACTGAGGAAAACTGCTTATGCTCAGTCACTCTTACATATGGCGAAAGAGATGAGGTTAAGAATCGTTTAAACCCTTTCCATTCCTTTCTTTTTCTAATAACTGGTAAAATACAATGAAAGTTTATTTCTCTTAAGTACCTCCTTAAGTTAGGTTTCATCAAGCTATTTGCGTTGCAGAGTGTGTGCACTCGTACGAATTTGTACCTATTTTAATATTGCTAATTGGAAAGGGCAACTTAAGAAAATGACGAGATGCACTTATTATTCAAGTTCAAAAGTAATATGTGAATGCACGAACGATGGAGCCATAAAAAGATGTGATTTGACCACGCTAATCGGTTTGTGACTTTACCTAGTAGGAAAATACTATCAAGGTCAAGCAATGACGGTAAGCCTGAGGAGAAGAATAAGCATCGTTACCTCAAATAAAGAAAGCTTTACTTTTATCTTCCAAAGCATTAAGATAACGAGAGTATCAGTTTTGTTGTGTTTATCAAGGTTGAACAACTCGTCGATTCTTCGCGTATGGCTTAATTCCAGCCGGCACAGAGAAGTATCTGACTTGAATCAACGTCCAAAGCAGACCATATATGTACAGTAAGTATAACTAATAATAATAACAGTCTTACATACGTGCATACATGTATACAGAGCTTTCTCTCACTTGCTCTCATTGCACAATGAGAGCCTGTAATGCTGGGAGGAAATGATTCGCAGAGATTGTCTACAAATAGACTATCAACTGCCAAGAAAAGTTAGCAAATTGAGTTACAGAAGGCAAAAAAGTATTCCATTCCATTAGAGGATTATTTATTGTAGGCAGAGAAACGCCGAAAGATCTCTTCCTAGTTGCCAAACGGACGTAGCTAGTAATTTCAATCAAAGGATTATGAGTGTACGTCTCCGCAGCGTGGTGGGTTCGTTCTGCAGGCAGACATGTATCCAGATCTTCAAGAGGTATTGTCACCAGTCGATTTATTTGTCTATACATTTTAGCAAATATTTTATTATTTGTGTGATGATGAGCAAGTAAACACTCAAAATATTCTGTGATCCTCCATTTCCTTGTACGTATCTATTTGATATAAGTAAGTATATAGCATCATTCCACCCGTCCTGGAAAGTCGTCGTCTTATTTTATTAAGCGAAGCAAATAAACCCGGCAAATAAATTATCAACTAGTGCAGAAATTGAAAACAAAGACAAGGAAATGGTTTTTGTCTCTGTATCAATGTAGACCTTGTAAAAGTTTTTGGTTCTTTGGGTTTCTAAATATTTGCTGATAAACCTTTCTCTTTCGTTTAGCAGTAAAAAATTGTGCTTTGTCAAATTTACAGTGTGCTGGACCAAAAAATAATGATGAAACATGGTTTGCCTGGGTCTTTACTCTAGATTCTATTTATTAACGTGAGAAACCGCATTTCCTTTACTCGTTGGGTTTATCAAACAAATTTTGGAAATACAAACACGACTATCATGAGAAACTACTCGTCATTTTGGACTGGGAGGCATTTTCATTTCATTCAGTTCAGTCTCAACCTTTCTTTTGAATGCCCATAACTTCGTATACATCAACATAACGAGGAAAATATATGAAAACGGTTGTATTTGCTAATGAGTTGCTTGGAATCTGTGTAAAAGGTATAATAACTGGGAGAAAGATGTTGACACTAGAATCCTACTACCACAATTATGTACATATCATTGGAAATGAATGCAGCCATGCTACCAATCTCTTCCCCATAAAAAAGACTAGTTAAATTAAACTCAATAAGAAAATTTGCCCATTAGCAAATAAAAAATGCATTCCATAAATAAAATTGGTAGACAAGCATAGTTTAAAATATTTAAAGTGCAGGAAGTAAAAGTTACAGCAATTTTTCTCTCGCGATTCACTATCTCATGATAAAATTTCATTTCAACATTCTGATATTTGTAAATTGTTTTTTTCTTATGAACTGTTTAAATTGTTTTGTGGTGTACAATAAATATGAAATACTCTTCACCTGCAAGCCGCTTCCACAGCCGATGCTGTCGAGGGAATCCCAGTGTCTGGTATCGGGGGTATGTGTGCCAGACATTTGTCAAGATACGCGTAGGTTCGAGAGCAGAATAATTTCCTGTTGGTCCGTTTTTTTGTGGGGGTTGCAGATGCATTGTTGGCAGAGGACGACGATGGTGGTGTTGGGTTGAACAAACTTGCTTGGTCCAGACCGGATGAAGTGCTACTACTTGGTGGTGGAGTGGACGAAGACGTAGGTTCTTCGTCGTCATCGTCGTCGTCGTTCCCATAGTCTGGTTGTTTTGTGTCAGGATGGGCAATTGGCCAGGCAACGGGAAGGACGACGGGGGGCAGTGCAGCAGGAGGCGATGACGAAGGGGATGACAATGTCAGTTGATGTATGAAGGACTGGGTCACATTGATGTGTCTTGGTCGACTTGCTAAATGAGATGACACCACGGTTTGTGAAGTCGGGGAAATTGAGACATGCTCCTCACCTCCGAGACTGACGGTCACATTCAACAGGAAGAGGACCAATAATTTGAAGCGCGACGATGTGTTCTGCTTGATAGCACAGAATGAATACATCGTCCTCAGAATTCGTTGCAGCAGGCTGCTCTGATACTTGTACAGGTCTCAAGTACTTTTACATTCGCAGGACTGTTGCACAATGAGTGAAAGTTTAATAATTGCTTTCTTTTTACTCAAGGCGGCAGGCGCCAATATTTTAGAGTGGTAATAGTTCTAGGAGGTATTTATAGACTTTGGTGGCTACTTTTCTCAGATTCTCACTACTTGACCGACAAGTAGTTGAAGTTTCGTTAATATGATGTGAAATGTGTAAGGTGACTCCGTTTATACACTTTGCCGCAGTGAGGTTTTGGAAGATATTGGCTGTCAAATTGTTAAATTGAGTGTGACCCCTGACTTTCACTTCTTTCACTAAGCACACATACTCTGAGGATGAATTGAAGGATGGGAGAAATCTCATGCGATGGACAAGTGGTGGGCATGGAGTGAAGTTGAACGTTTCTGGCTGAGTTCACAAAATGGAGTGACTCCAAAACTGCTTTCATCCAACGGCTAAAATCCCACAGCCTCCGACAACTCAACAACGCAGCCCAACCGTGAGCCGCATCCAGCCAGCTTTCTTTTCCTTTCTCCCTTTCGGCTCACCCACGTTGGTTGGTTGGACCCAGGACCATATTCGCAGACACACAACACCTCGGTCCAGTTATAGAATAGAAGATGGATAAATGTGATCAAGTGAGCACAGATTGAATCTTGCTGCACTAAAGCCAAATCCCTGGTAGGGATTCAATACAATAAAATCTGTCAAGAGAACGGGACACTTTAATGTTACGAAATTATTTCAGAACTTGTATGAGAAATAATTTCATGAAGAAAAAGAAAGATGCTGGATGGGAAGAAGAATGTTCAATTGGGAGATGAAATCGTCAAAACCTTTCAGACTGAAGGACCTATAACGTGTCCACTTTCGAGCCTCTTGTCTTATGTGTCGCGTCCCAGTTTGGCTTTTTTTTCTCTTTCAAGGGAAATGAGACGACATAATTGTGCACATTGTCTCGTTCCCTACATCAATATCTGGCCAAATCCAAAAGGAATTTATTTATGGAAGAGTGTGTCACAGAAAGGATTTGATTACGCGTTTGCCGAGCAGAAAAAAAATCACGCATCCATTTCAGTAAACCACGATTGCAAATGATGTGAAAATGATGCAGGAGAGGTTCATTAACTTCCATTGAAGAAGGGCGGAAAAGAATGAGGTCTAAAGAGTGGACGACTCATCAACCCAACAAATGTGCGAAATACTGGTTGATGAGAATGTGAAAGTCGGTGAGTGAGTGATATGTAGTGAGTGGTTCGTCGTTACATGCACATAGTTAGAGTAGTGGTTCTACAGGACGAGTGAAAGCCAGGAAGTCGCAAGGGGCAGTAAAAGAGCAAACTGCTCCTGGTGAATGTAAAAGGGATCGTCGTTATTCCAGAGGAAGTGGCGAGCTGCCTTATTCGAAGGAAATGGACGTCATGTTCGTATTTATGTATGTACCACACATACAAAGTCTCTCACTTTTTACTGCCACTCTCTCGAAATAAGCCACTTCCTTGTAGCCAAATTGATCCTTTTGTCTTTTAGCTGGTGGACACTTCAGGTTCACTAATTCTGGGACGAGGTCTGCAGTGGACCCAATTTTGCAGTGAGTTAGACCATCAACTCACCGAGAGTACTTATGTATTTATCTGGGAGTAAGCAGGCGTGTATAATAAAGTCCGGTGGATGGTTGACTTCATGACTACATACTTGAAAAGCTTTCAAAATTTCCAGCACGCATGCTTTTACGTAGAATGCTGGTTGGTTGGTAGTAGGGCAACGTAGTAAAAGTTGTCATCCAGTGACATCAAAAACGACTGAACGACTGTTCGAACGACTGTTCAGCGTACATTCCTTTATCATTTGTTGTATCTACTTCTTAGCTCCGAGGTGAATCTACATATGACGTTGTATCTATCTCCATTAATATTTCATCGCCCATTAGCGACTAATGACAATAAGAACTCAGAGTAAATTGCTGCTTCAGGGCAAGGAGGCTACAATATTGAAATGTGGAAACGGAAGCTCAGATCTTTCATACAGTAACCACAATAACTTGGCGTTGGACCAATTTCATAGTTGTCGGGTCTCATTCGTTTTCTTGTAGACTTATTTTATTCTGGGCGTCTATAAGTCCCGAGTGCAGTGCATGCAATTGAGCAAATATTTTGTACCTTGTTAAGGCACGTAATCTTTCATTTTCGCATGTATGCATGTGAATTATAAATATCTTGAGCATTGCAAATGCATTATTTTATTATGCAATTCATTATATAATACCCCTTAAATTCACTCTTTGATCCAAATGCTGGCAAACTAGAAAATTTCCAGCTCACGAGGCAACGAGGCGAAAGCTAATAAAAGGTAATCTAACGCCGTATAAGGATACTTATAAGAGTTATTAAACATTTGGTTACTAATAATTTTGGAGCCATGTCCCCAACTGCAGATACACAGTTAGCTAAACGTATATCACTATTTGACTATGCTATTTGCACATTTTGTCTGCGGGCAGTAATTACTTGTAAATTTCTTGGGAATTATGACTAGCTACGCACAAGCGACTGTATGTCTTAAGTACATGTATTTATGCACGTGTGTACTTACATATTATTGTGAGTTGTAATACTTATGTATCCTTATAAGAACTGAGTTTGCAATGTGTACATTATTTTATTAAGTGTTCAATTTTATTACGCGAGTTGACTCGATTCTTACATGTAACAAACAAATAAATACATATGAAGAGACGTAGATGAATTAGCTAGAATTTCACTCATGAATAAACAACACCAAACAATAAACTCTGGAAACAGATGTAGCGGTATATCCAATGAACGTCCGTCACCTTTCCAACGGTACTACCGTTGACCTTGAAGGTCATCATATAATCTAGAATACTTAAAGCTATTACGTTTGAAATCTGTTCTCGATATCCGACAACGGAACTTCCAAATATGATTTCGTTCGGGAGGCATCTTGCCCACCGACCGAACCGTTCGCTTGTAAAAGTTATGTACCGCTACCACCGATATTTAATAAACATTTCTTAGAGTCCAGTGTGTCCAAAAATATTTCATCGTCTACCTCGTCCTAAATGAAACAAGACACCGGCGTCGGAGAGTAGCCAAGCTAACTCAATATTCACAGTTGGCATTCTATTTCGGACAAATTAATTCATCTGCATGTGAAAATCATCCACATTATCGGAAGACTTAGTCATCACTGGTTAATCCAAATAAGTAAGTCTACGATTAGAGATTACATATTTGCTTTACACTTTTCCATTGACTGGCATTTATCAGACCCTTGACTAGCTGAAAAACTTGACTCCATCCAGATTAGCTGCAACACTAAGGATAAAAACCACCTGCACCTAGGCCTAAGCTTTTTATGTCTGTAAACCAATATTTGAGAGATAAACTTCTCATTTATCTCTGACGGTGAAAAAACATGAGAACAAATACTGACTGCTGTGCTGCGCTGGCTAAGAGAACATAAGTTGAGTGAGATCATTTATTGAAATCTCAGTTAAACCAAATAATTACATATTTTTATAACTTATTTCACATCCTGCAGGCGGTAGTTCAAGTGATTATTCATGTCAGTTATTTACTTGAGAAATTAAATTAGTTCGCCATAAAATACCTAATTTTCAACTACAAATAGATTTCTCATTACTGAAGTTTTCAAATAAAAAGTTGAGCGTTCAAGTAAAAAGTTCCATGTAAGTATCGAAGTATACCGTGTACATATGTAAATTTGTACATGCATACGTAATTACACTGAGGCATAAATTTAGGTCAGTCTGAATCTACACATCTTATTCCGTAGATAGTGCAAATAATAAGTTGATCCTGATTGCATATCCTTGTTCTCTGTCGCCTTCACCGTGCTGTAGCTATAAGGTCAATAATCCACATATGCATGCACTTAATGTACATAGTAAGTAAAGTAGCTTGGTTGATCTGGACGTCATCGCAATTCCTTAGAGGACAGTGGACAATTGAATTACATAGTTTTTTCCTTTCCTTATAGTCCGCTCTGAAGCAACAAACGAGAGATAAATATATAGCTTAACATTTAGATATATGGGAATCCAGGCAATCTGTTTATTTATTTCGCTATACACAACTATCACATTACTTGGTGTGCGTGCTTCGAAGATAATTAAACACGGCACAGAATTCAAAGCGATCCTTCACAGACCACCTCGATTTATATTCTTGCAGAGTTGGAATTCTAAATCCCCCAGTTTGAAAACAAGAAAAGGAAGAAAGATTTGGGTTCCTTAAGGCGAGAAGAGTTACTCGAAAAAACTTTTTATGATGAACTCAATCCGTGCTTCATTACGAACGATTCCAATTTTCCATGAGGTTCCACGAAGACGAGTCTCATATTCTATTACCAACAAAACCAAGAGTGGACCATTTTGCAGTAATAAATCACTTTGCACCTCGTGGAGTCGAGAACTCTCATCAACAAACATCCCATCTCCTGAAGAGGTACGCTGACCAAATTTAATTATGTCGTGATTATGTGCATTTTGTTGATTGATGCTCGAGGGGGTTGCTCTACATATGTACATATGCATACATGTATTTACCATTTAGGTACACTACTACAATTGATGTACTAATTGTGAATGATATGGGCCCGTCAAAATACTGCAAAACTATAGAATATCGTGAATAGAATTTATTTTAATAAAAAGTCCTCCTCCAGATTGTGCAATGCAATACCTAGCGCGTGTTATATAAAAATTCTCTTATTTTGCACGTGCGACACTGCACTGGTGAGCAAACTTACTCGAGAAATGTTCAAAAAAGGAATTTCGCAATTTTGAACCTTGAAAATTTACTTCATTACACACGTACCCACATTCTTGTATAAGTTGCATATAATTATGCCAGACAGTTGAGCATCCAAGCGCTGCGAAACTTATCGAGAAGTTTTATATTATTACTGTATTCAATTACGCTTATATAAGTGTACCACCCGTGCTAACTTGCAGGGTGATTTACTTACTTTCTCTCGTGTCTGAAAATAAATATATATTATGTAAGCGGAATACGAAGCAGAGTGAGATGAACCTACAAACATGATCACATTCTTAAATTTTTCAGCAATACGAGGAGCAAAGGAAACGAAATACGGAATACGGCGTACTCACGGAATTGGTTCGTGATTTCCTTACGCCCTCCGCATTTTATAATGCTATCCGAGAAATTGGCATTGACCATTTCACTGGTGTCCCCGACAGTCTTTTGAAAGGTATGTAAATATATATACGTGCATACTTTCTCTTTCACTCTTTTTTGAGGTTCACGTATTGAAATTACTTTATTATAATATGTGGCTCGTCCTGTTATTACCCTTCCTTTAGATGTGTATATACTTTTTCTGTATTTATGAAACATCGTTTCAATAATAATCTCACAGTGGCAGCAATGCAATAAGAATTACATTACTCAACACATCTTATAAACTCGCAAATAAATTTAGCTCAAATTCCGCAAAAGCCTTAACTTCAGACTCAAAATGGCTTAATAAACTGTCAACCTTCTCGGTCGACTCGACACATTGCACAAATTTGGATTTAATGATCATTACTATACTGCGAATATAATAATCCATAATAATGCACAACTTGCAGATTTTTGCGCTTATGTCAATGACCAAGTTCCAGCGACGCATCATGTTATTGCAGCAAATGAAGGCAAGTTTACATAGGTGCACATGTAACAAACATGGACAAACTAAGCTTATGCAAATTTTATTTTCATAATATTTCTTTTGTAGGAGCTGCTCTTTCCATTGCGACTGGCTATCATTTGGCGACAGGGAAAGCATCCTTGGTTTACATGCAGAATTCAGGACTTGGAAATGCAATAAACCCGTTGGTTAGAAGAAAATGACTATTTTTTAAAGCATGAAACTTGACAAATGGTCTTTGTAAAAACGCTACTTTTTAGCCCGAGTCAGGGCTTATGGAACCGTCATGTCCGTCCGTCCGTCTGTCTGTCCGGCACGATAGAGCCAAAACGGATGAACCGATTGACTTGAAATTTTTACCATATGCATATTGGACAAAGTTAGGAAACGAGTTCGAAGATGGGTGAAATCGGTCCAGTGGTTGACCCGTGGGGGTCATCGGAGTGGGTGGGGTATTATGCACCAAAATTTCAAAATTGTCGTAGAAGGCTGAAATTTGGTACAGAGGTTGCTAATGGTTCCTAATAGATAAAAATTACCTCAAGTTGGAAACATTTTCAATTTGAGGGACCCCATAGGGTGACCCATACGGATTTTTCAAAATCATCATATCGAGCTGAAATTTGGTAGAGAGGTTGCTAATGGGTCTTAATGTAGGAATATGATATGAAATTGGTAAAATTTTTATCTGGAGCGACCCTGTGGGGTGACCCATACCGATTTTAGAAATTGCTTTAAAAACATGAAATCCGGCATGGTGATACTTAATGGCTTCCTACGAAAGAATTTGAAGGAAAAAGTGAGCAAAGTGCAACCAGAGTGACCCTGGAGGCTGACCCATACCGTTTTTAAAAGTTGCTATTTCCATCTGAAATTTGGAATGGGGGATAAAAACCACTTCTGGATAGCACACACAGCTTTGGAAGTTCAAGTTGTTTAGGGATTTGATGCCAAATAATAAAAAATCTAACACACATTAAATTATCCAAAACACGGAGTTTGTGTATTATGTCGGTCAATCCGGTCCCTGACTCGGGCTGTATGGAGTCTGCACTGTAGGTTTTCACTATATGCAATGCCTTATTAAGGATTCGGGCAAGTCAAGGCATTTCTTAAAGGTCATAATTTTCTAGGGATTGGTGACATTTTGGCATTGCAGGGTTGGTGCATAATTATAAGTAACATTCATTTGAGTGTCAACCTCCTTTTCTTACCATCCAGAAAAATTTTAAGACCATTGATCCTTCTATAAAGTAATAATATTTCAGACGAATATCACAACCAAATATTTGTCGTCAAACATTGCATTTCACTTTTCCATCGTACAGTAAATTCGTAGTGGAAAGAATTTGGCTCTAGAGAAAGTTAATATTTTCTTTTCCTACATACAAACATGGAAGGAAAATCAAAACAAGAAATATTTTATACATTTCTAAACTACATTTCTGCACATGTGACGGGTTTAAGAAATGCGTTCTGAAACCCCGAGACCCATATTTCTAGTTTTCATCTCTGCGATGCACGAGGACGAGTGAGATTGAAATGCGAATGTCGCAGTTCTTCCTTCATCGTGAATCTTGATGATAAATGAGACGTCTTCAATTCGTAGTTCGTATACTCACTGAGGAGGCAGACGCGTCTTTGGTTTATATTTATGTGAACTTACTTCTTTGTTAGGTGAGCCTGTGTGCCAGGGATGTCTACTCGATCCCGATTTTGATGTTGATCGGATGGTAAGATGTAGGAAAACGTGAAAAAGATGATACGAAATACATATGTAAACATTACGTCGTCTTGTTCAGGCGTGGAGAACCTGGAAAACGGGACGAGCCTCAGCATCGAGGTATTGTTGAATTAATATTTTAAACTACATACGTGGAGCTGGAATTTTGTTATATTTTTTTTATAGTTCAGGGACAAGTGACGCCGGGAATTTTAGGTGAATATTTTGACCTTATTAATCCTAAATATATAAATCCTTGAATGTTGTTCATCATATGTCAAATTCTTACATATATTCTCATTTCCTGTTGATACACTTTTCATGTAAATATTACTAGTAGAGGTTTATATAAGGATCTTTCACTGCATGTGGTCTGGATGACACATTTTTACTAGTGGCATTATGCAATTCTTGGGATCGTATCACTGTACAAGTTGTGTGCAGTGCATATAAATTACACATTCTGAAGTTATGAAATTCTGAACGGTGAAGTATTTCATCGTTCAACCCTGCCACTTTCTCCTAAGGCTTCCTTTATTCTTTTATGCACATAGGGAGAAGACAGACGGAGTAGAGTGACATATTTTATTACTCAACAAACTGCACTGTGTACATGAGAAACTGGAACATGGGAAAATGAAAGATAGAAATTAAAGAAATCAGTTCAGCTTGAGGTGAATAAATATTCTCGAGGTAAGGTCTTGACTCTCAAGGACCTCCTAAAATTAAAATTAATTGGATCGTTTTCATAACCTATGGGTATGATGAACTTGTGATGTTTTCATGAATACCGGAATGTCGTTATTTTATATAAGTTGCGCCGTAGCTATAAGGTGCCTATAATTAACATTAAACAGCTCTTAGTCACCATTAGCTTACAAACACTTATCACGTGGTTTTGTGTACTTATGTACATGAGTCGGCACAGTACCAAAACTAACAAAGGAAGAGAAAGCTCATAATGCTATCAGAGGTGAAAGCGCATGAGATTTACAAATTTCTAAAAGAGCAGCGTGCTGATTCACACAGGAAATTATTTCAGAATTGGGCATTAGCCAAGTTTTATTAAATTTGTGAACTTCGGACAAAGGACGGATGTATTTATTTATATTTAAAATTAATTTGTGGAAGTAAATAAATCCAGGGTCATTTGGCCAGTCAAGACAGAATATGAATTTTAAATTCATAACCCTTGTGTGTAATAAATCATAGCTGGCTCGAGTTGTAAACCTCAGTTTGATGTCGAACGGAAATTGAGAAGAAATCTAATAAAAAGACAGTCGTAAATTTATTCCAGTCACAACTCCAGTTAAGAAAGTCTCGTCTTGTATTTTTTGACGTATATATTCGATATATTCCCAATGCCAAATTTATTAAGGTTCCTGGTTCTAAAACATTAGGAATTTATCATACTCAATTCATGCTAATCACCTTGCTCATTTTTATTGCAAACCCCGATGGAGTTTTTCTTTGCCAAGTTCCTACTCCTTTTCTCCATCACTTTCCCGAAGCGTGTTGGAAACTTCTTTTAGCTTTAAATCTCAATTATGGGAAACCTTTCCCTTGTAAGATAGCAATCTGTCGCTTCCCATGCCATGAGCTAAATTGGTATTTATTGTGCATTTAAAAAAAGTCTTGCCCATAAGAATAATAGATTGGAAACTTGAAACTAATTTTTGGTCCTTATTCGACACGGAGGTGAAAGTTTAGACTCAAAAGGAAGTACAAGTTCTGGAATTACGCTTTATTTAAATCAGCTGAAAAGGAAGAAAGTCGTTCAACCTGATTGCATTTTTCTCTCACTGCGAGTTTAATTAATTTATGAGAACCCCTACATACGTCAAACTTATCAGTTTACACAACGTCTAAGTTATGCACACTGCACAGTAACTCGATACACATATATACATACACATAACTTTACTGGACTTCAAAGTTTAAAAATAGTCACAGAAAAAAAGAATTGGCAAGCGATCCTGAAAACAATAAGGGAAAAGGGGCAGGACGCAATGTCGTGTTCTCCATGATTATAAAGCTAATGTGAGATCTCGACATCCGCAGGGGCATTAATGGAGAAAGTAAAAAAAAAAGTGTTTTATTGAATGTGGAATAATTTACAGCCGCTCTGAGCATTCCGTTCCAACCTCTTCCGGATTACATCGAGGGTGCCCAACAGGCACTTTATACTGCCAAGAAGGTCAGAATGCCAATTTCTAATCGATAGAATACGCGATACGGGACTTCATTTTAACATTTTCAATTTGTGTTTTTCTTTGCAAAAAGCACATGGAGAGAACCCAAACTCCGTACGCCCTGCTCGTGAAGAGGCAAACTTTCACTCCGTACAAAATGCAGAGAAAGACCATTCTCGATGAGACAGATCGGTGCAGGATGGGTCGAGAGGATGCCGTGCAGGGTAAAATAAATTCCATCGTTCTAATTGATACACGTGAATTATGTTTGCTAAGAGTTTGATTTGATTCCCAATGAAATATTTAATGATTTACTGATAGATGTATTTATTCGGTAATACGTGGGTTTTTACAAAGTTTAGTAAACACGCCAATTTTCCGTTAATGGAAGTTGGATTTGCTAGATTAAATTTGGTTCTCAAGACTAGTTGGACATTAAAATTGTCAAGAAGAGTCTAGAGCCTAGAGTCTAGAGCATTGGTCTAAATATTTCAATTTTTCAAGTCCAGACATACATATGTACAAATCCCTTCTCGTTCTTGCAAATCACATCGCAAAATTAGTATGATGCTTCCTGTATTATAAATGCCCTTGATTGACGTATTAATATTACAGCCTTTTTGGAAGCGATCCATGATCGAGACATTGTTATTTCTTCGACTGGAATGGCATCCAGGTACGTTATTGCAGTTTCGTAACATCTTATTTTGACGCCCATTCACCAGTTCCTACACATTTTGTAAAGTGAGCTGCGTAGAAGGAAAGTATCTATTTTTGGCACTACAGAAATTTCTATGTAGTCGAAATTGCATAAAAAAAGTCTGTAAATAAAATGCTTATGTGAAAAAGGGCAGAAAAAGGACGAACATAAGTACAATGGTGGACACGCTTGAGAAATGGCTAGATTTGTTGGAAGACAGTGACAAATAATGTGAATGCACTTGAACATAATTAAGATAGTTAGTAATACGAGGACTCTGGAAAGCGTGCAAAATAAATGTATCAAAGTGTAAAAGTAAGTATCTCCAGCAGCCGACTTCAACTAATTCAATTTGTTTCTGGATTGTAAATGGGACGCGTTAGTTGGGAAGGATTATATTATTACTACTTTCTTAACTTTCTTTCCAACTCATCCTCATTTCTGTTCAAACAGAACTTATATTTTCCTCAAGAAGAGAGTTACTTAATGAGTTAAATTGGAACTAAATTGATTAGGACAACGCGATTTTCATGATTAATGAGAGCTTAATTCCTCCCACTCTTTTGTCCGCTATCCTAATTTCTAATTTATGAAATTCAATTCGGCCACTCCAATCTCGCCTGCTAAGAAATACTTGCCGATCGTTAAAGAAATTTTCAATTGGTCATGCAAAACATATTACTGGGTTTGTCGTACATACTAACCAAATTACATTACATTAACTGCTAGATTGCATTTAGGTATGCATATTATCCGGAAGTGAGTTGCAGTAGAAAGTCACGATGACGCAAAGTAATTAAACTTTCTCAAAGTAGTCCTAGTTTCCCCAAAGTTAAGATCAGCGGATGTGTATCGCCTTGACTTATTCGCGACATTTCTTTAGCCACGACTTGACAACTCGATCTCAGGATCCGCATTTGAAGTGAAAGCGTTTGCTTAATCGCAGTGTAATTGCAAATGTCGACCTTATTATAAAATTGGGCAAGAAGAGACGCGTCTAACATATACGTCAGTATATTCGTATGTATGTCATACATTTATATGTATGTAGCTAGCCAGCGAATATGAACATACACGTGGTGAAACTAGGAGAAAGTATACATGTATGAATAAATATGTATGTGTATGTGACTGCATGTATTTATGTACATATATTATACCATGAACAATGCAAAAGAGATAACATTTCACTTTTCCATTCACTTTTGGTGCAAATGTCAGAAGCTTCTCAGTAAGTGCGTGCTTCCGATTTATTAAATATGTAGTCCAGCAGATTCGTGCTTCTTTACTTTTTTTGCCTTCCTTATATAGCTTTTATTTCTGAAATTAATTCCCGTTCTTGTCAATTTTGTGTTTGCAACAACAGGGAACTGTTCGAGCTTCGTAAACTTCGAGAAGAAGGACACGAGAAGGATTTTCTAAATGTGGGCTCAATGGTAATTTTAATTTCTTTAATTATCCCGAACCATTTATTGATATCTGCATGAACCACTTTTGACCAAATTGGCCTTAAAATGCGTAGCTCACGAGTTCATAAAAAATATAACTATTTACAATGACGAGTCGTATTATATAATAACAAAGGGTCATGCCTCATCAATTGCGCTCGGGATCGCGTTGCAGAAAATAAATCGTCGCGTTTTCATTCTGGATGGCGATGGCGCTCTAATAATGCATTGCGGAAGTTTAGCCACGATTGCACAGTAAGTACATACTTATGTATATACCTACATAAAATATTGCACATAAATATTTCCCAGAGGATCTAAATGTTTCCTGCTTTCGGGACACAAGAGATAGTTCAGATAGTTCTTTGTGTATATATAGATGTTGTAGAGCAAAGTCAGTGATATTGTGTTGCACTTTGTACTTTGTAGTCATCTTTCTTACATATTGATGGGAGGGAACGTATGTACGAACGGATAAGTATTTCCAAGCATTTTTTATATTGACAAGTATTTGAGATTATTGTGTCAATTTGTCAATCGTAGCATTGTGTGGATCAATCCATTCAAATGCTTTGTGATGCACTTATATTACGTCATAAATATTGCATGAAAAATATTTCTCCAATCGGTTCCCATCCCTTTTCACCTTATCAAATTAGCAGGCAGCACTATGTATATATGTACCCAGGAGCAATAAATCACAAATTCCTCGCTTGTGCTCAAGTCAAGATTTATTTCAATTTTGAGGAGAACACTTTTCCAATAAATCACACACTTTTATATTTTTATGAAATTCCTCGCCAGAGCCATAATCCTTTAAATAATAACGGTTAAACAATATCCTTCCTTTCTCGATGAAAATGTGAAATTCATCAACTTGTCATACGCGAAGGAAGGAATCATGTTCAGAAGAAGAATCTGATTGTGAGCAGCAAAACTTTCTTTACGGTACATGCTCTACAACATTTATAATCCTTTTGTGAGTGATAGTGATGTTCTTAATGCTCGACAAGTTGAAGGATAAGTAGGATAAGTACATATGTGGGTGAAGCAATGCAACGCAATATTTCATGCTCCAATTTCAGTAGAGTGTATCTAGTATACCTTATACCATGATTTCATGCTCCAACAACAGCGTAGATATTTTGTATGTCTGTCCATGATTTCAGAATGGCCCCACCAAATCTTCATCACATTGTGCTGAACAATGGGGCGCACGATTCCGTTGGTGGTCAGCCCACAGCAGCGAGTAATGAAAACTTCTCGATACCGGGCATCGCCAAAGCCGTCGGTTACAAGCAAGTCGCGTTTTTGTTATTTGCTCCATTTTATTCTATTCTTATGTACACTACGTTTGGCACATCGGAGTAACTTTGAGTGTATGCAATCTTACTACAGGCAAACCCAAGTTGCAACCACGAAGGAGGAAATTATTAGAGCAATCTCCAGTATTCCTCTGTCCAATGATCAAGGGCCGACTCTAATTGAAGTGAAAGTCGCTCGGGGGTCGAGAAAAGATTTGGGAAGGTATGTACATACAGGATGTAATACGTATTTGACGTCTTCGTCTTTTTCTCCGCTCCCTTCCATCACGGCTTTATTGAAAAACTGAATAACATCGAACTTTGATAGCATCTCATTTCACATGTTCTTTTGTGGATGGACTGATCACGTCTTTTTCTTTGCAGGCCGACACGGACTCCTGTACAAAATAAGATTGACTTCATGCATTTCCTAGCCATAAATTCTTGAAAGACAGGTAAAACGATCCCTGGTTAAATCAGTCAACTGCATAGATACCAAGGAAGACTATGAAGTTGTTTGAATAGAATAACGAAATTTGAATTTCACAAGAAACCCTATTGTTAAAAAATCATCTTTATTGGAGTGAAAACATTTCATCACATTATCTGCTGTGATCGGTATCACATCGTATTTCTTCATTTATAGGTACATATAAAATAACAATAGAGTCACTTATAAGTTATTGAAGTAATATTGTCAGTCATAGTCTAAATATACTTATTTGACGTGTTCATTAATTCCGGCCCCTGGTTCATAATCAGAGTCTTCAGAATCTTCGGTGCCGCTATCATCTTCAAAGTCGTCAGATAACAAACTGTCGTCGTCCAACATCTCTTTCTCGTCCTCCTTGTCCATTTTTGATCCATACTTATTTATTTCTTTTATTGACAAATCTTCCAAGATGCCCTGATAAACCCATGATCGTGAGGACTCCTTTGCCTTAGGCTTCCTTTTTGACGTAGACTTTTTAGTTAATTTGGAAGTAGTGGTATCGCTAAACTCAGCTCCAGTTGGTTTTGGTTTGTAAGATCGCACTTTTCTAAGTCTTTTGACGCTTCGGGGTCTGGACACAAGTTTTTCTATAGGTTCAAGTTCACCATCAGGTAAGAAAATTTTGGGGATGTGATACTCTGGTATTTTTCCTGGAAAAATATAAAATTGTTTATAGAAATATGAATCTATTAAACTTTTAAAAGCTTACAAAATTTGTTTGCAATGATAAGTAAGGTGTTTTGATGTACCTAATTCCTCGAGGTGGCTCTCAATATATTGAGTAATTATGTGTCTGATATATTCAAACGTCCCTTCTTTAAACCAGCCAAATCTGTTGTCATATTGCAATTCGTTGTCTGATGCTTTCTGAGAAGCTATTTCAATCAGTCGAGTAATTTCTTCACATTTGAGGTGCATCACCTACACAAACAAAACGCGTTCATTTTAAACATAAACGAAATTGGCATCCAACGAATTATGCAATTAGAGTTGCGAACCTGATAAAACATTTGCCCACGTGGAGGCATCAGATGTGGTCGGAAGATATAAAAGGTTTCATCTATCTTGTCCAGCTCATCCATGAAGGTTTTGTACGTAACTGTAAAAAACGAAATAAATATTACATGCTCAACTACATAATGTAAATTATTTCAAGCAGATTGACATCACGATCATACCCGGAACTCTAAAATCCACCGTTTGATAAATAAACGATGATTGTTCTAATCTTGGATCATAACCAAATCTAATCCACAAAGCCCTCCAAGGTCCATTTGTTGCAAAGTAAGATACGCAGGGTAATGTGTACTTTAGAGTGACAGAGGACTTTTTTAGTTCATACTCTAACGCAATTTTACTCCAAACTGGCCTTTCTTCAAAGCTTTTCTTGAGTAGATCCAGTGTTACTTCATATTGAAAACGTTTCTTGACATCTTCCAAGGCTCCAATCAGAGGTTCCGAGGGGACTGGAATATTTACCTTGTGCTTTTCGTTTTGAAAATTGTAAAATATCGTGTACACATTTCTTCTAGCACGGCTGGTCGAAATTACACCAGATTTTTCTGAAATTTCAAATATTATTTTAATTGAAATCATAATAACACAAAGACATTTGAGTCGTTTTCCTAAAACTTCAACGATCATATACCTAATAACATTAAGCTTATTTTAACTTCTTGTTACCTGTCAAGTCTGGCGCAAGTTTGATATTATCAGAATCCAGCATGTGTTCAACGATGGCTTCCTGAAAATTTTTATTTGGATTGTAGTACATCATTAAATCACAACGTGTGCAAATAAATATATAAATAAACGTACCACAGGCTTATCAATTCTAGACATCATTGGAGGTAAGAGATCCGTGTAGGCATCTCGATCTTCTCCTTGGAATAATTCGTCACAAACAAACAAATTATCGTTGTCTTCGCTAGGATTGCCAAGAAGAGGAAACAATTGGTCTCGTGTCGAAACAGGGGTACCATCTTTCGCGAGTTTTGAAGGAATGTACTGGAAATCACAAAGTCCTATAGGTTAAAAAAATCGCAGTAGTTAACCATATTCTTGATTAAATCGATACATAATATATATATCATGATTTAATAGGGCAAATACCTTCAAATTTATACGTTCTGTTGACAATGCCTAGTGTTTCAATTCGAATCTTTTGATCGACAACTGGCTTGTAATGTTTAGGGATTCTTAAATATGAATGTCCAGGATCACCAAACTTGCGATATTGATGTTGTTGCAGAATTTTATCCTTCTCTGACGTGACCTTCTTCAATAACTGCTTATCTTCAAAAAGTATTTGAGACTTTGAAAGGCGCACTCCATTGATAACAATTGATTCATCATCAATTTGTTCGACCCGAGTTCCTTGTTGTTTTGAACTGGATGCTTCGGCCTTTACTTTTTGTACTGGTTTACGATATCGAACCTTCAAGAGCAGGCCAACTGCTGGAGCCGCTTCACCTCTGGCCGAATTACAGCATGGGTCATCGGGTCGGAAGCGGACATGCAATTTATTGTTGACATTGTTGAACACCTAAAAAGAGAGAAAAAAATAGTAAGAATGAAAATTGAATAAAAATATCTTAGGATCAATACCTTTGTAATTTGGCCGATTCCTCCCATTGTTTCAATCGCTTTATCAACATGCACCACTCTGCCAGGATAATCAACATGAACCAACTGAGTATCATGCTCATAAACGTCGGACGTACAAACTTTTGCTGCCCCCATTTTGCTATCCGGCACCGCCGACGATTGTGATTTCACTGCACATTTTTTCTTCAACTGTTTTTTCTGGGTCTGTTTTTGATGTTTCTTCTTGTCCTGCAATTTTCTCACCCTGTTTACAAAGAGGCTGAGTGGGGGTGGATTTGTTACAGGTTTCCCGTCACAGAACGTAACTCGCATCATCTCCTTGATTTTTTGAGGTTGTTTCTCATACAGCTGTTTGAATGGGACCAACTTGTCTTTGGGAATGAAAACCAGGTCCTTGGTGGGCAGTGGGGGCCCAGTGTCCTTTTTCCGTCGACGAGGCACTTCAAAGTAATCCTGGTTGTGTTTCCCTACCTCAAGTACATCCTCAAATTCGTCTGAAGTGTCCGAGCTGGAAGGGCTGTCGTCCACGAATACTGGGTTGGTGGGGTCTTTCGCCGGACTCGAGGTAGCCGTCTTTTCGGGGGACGACGACGGGGAAGCCACATTGTCTCTGGAACCCGAGGTCACTTCCATTTGTACAATGTGTACGTACGCCTGACTTAGCACCTGACACTGGAAGCTGAAACATTACAACAAAAGTTATTAATTAAAGCGTTCGTACCTTGCTTCAGACGAATTTATATTTTTTATAGTGTTTATATACCTTTATCAAGATGAAAATCGACACGGTTTATTTATTTGTAAATTGAGAAAATTGTATGTTTACTTCAGTCATCAAATATTGGAAATGTTTGCTCCCTCGTCGGTGGAGTGGTGCAGTACGCCCCATCACACACGATTTCAGCCCTGTATCAACTTGCCTCAAGTAAAGTACTCTAGAGACTCGGAGGTGAGACGAGACAACCACAAGTTACATACTCTAGTGCAGCATCTCATTATTCAATAACTCTTTGTGTGTATTATCAATGTCAGGAATTTTCCTCATTACAAAACAACACGTATATTTTTGCAGCACGTGTTATACTTGTCAGAGATAACGACTGATGATGAGATACGGCAAAATTACCGGATAGTTATGCACGCACTTGCTGCAAATAAGTATCACGACAAAGTATTCGTGACACAAAATTGTATAGATTTTAAAAATGAACTTGTCATCTGGAATAAAATATAGTTTCCTGGTGGTGGTTGTGGTACTCATGCAAAACAAAGTCGTCGGTAAGATTCTATTTTGTATAATTACTAATTGGTTTATTACCACATTAAATACGTTGCTTACATATATTTTAGTGAGCGAGGAGGCAATTAAAGTTCATTTAGCTGAAGGAAGAACGGACCTGGAGGAATTCGCGTCGAAATTGGAAATGACGCTGAACCAGTGGTATCCTTACATCAAGGGGCTACTCTCCTCAGATTCGTCGACGCCCAACTACAGCCCACCTGTAACGATCAACGTCTTCTTTGAACGAATGGAGGACAAGTCGACGATAGCAATGGCTTCGAGTGAAGGGAGAATAATCCTGGGGAACATTGACTACTATCAGACTCACCAGCACGATGTGGGTTCAATGATTCATGAATTAGTTCATTTGATTCAGGAATATCCGAAAAATGTTTGCCCCACTTGGCTGATTGAAGGCATTGCAGACTATGTAAGATATTACCACTTTCACCGGCAAGACCAACACACTGATCGTGTCCGAGGAAAATTATTTCTAATGCCGAGAAAACCATCGAGAAGGCAAAGTTGGCGAGATGGATATGCAACAACGGCATTCTTTCTTGATTATGTTGTGGCCAATGTACGAGAGGATTTTCTCTACTGGATTAACAAATCTTGTAGAGACGGTCACTACAGGGAAAGCATATGGAAGAAATTAACGGGGCACAGTATCATTAAATTATGGAGAAAAATGATAAAGAATGGATGATAAAAGTATGATTTATTTAATTATTACATACACTTTGATATACTACTTAACAAATTATTTACTTTATTTATATTTTCATTTCTGGCATCTCTACAACGTTAGAATACCATTTCTTACGGTGAGGTTATAAAATAGTTTGAGAACCTCTTGAGCTTCGACGGACTCCTTTGTTGGGATAATCATCACTTTTGAAATGGCTAGAATATAATTGCATAAATGTTTCTCAATGTTCTCAGCTGCGTCTAATTTCTGCTTTAAGACACAATCTTTGGCACGGGCATATTTTTCTCCTGCAGATTTCAGAAGCTTTTGCAACTTTTTAAAGTCCACCAATTTATTGCAATGCTGACATTTTTGTTTATCTTTTATTGAAGTAGTTTCGAATTGTCCCGCGTCACAATGGGGGCAGCTGAAGCGGTACGTTGTTTGTCGATTAGGATTTCGCAACTCTTCAAAAGTAGGCCAGTTATTACAGCAAGCGACACATTGACACTTGAAACAATATTGGTTTTCTAGTTCATTTTGACGCTGGTGACGGGAGGTAATGGTAAACCCTGGTCCATAGGAATCAAGAATTTCTTCACCTTGTTTGATTTCAACGAGACTCTTGACCACACATCGTTTCCCAACGTTGAAACGATAAATATTCGGATTGCAGCTGTGATTCGTCGTAGAAATCATGGGGAACGTTCCTCCTCCAACTTCAATATTTTCCATTGCTCGGGAGCCTGGTTTTGCACCCACAGCAGCGATATGATTCACTCCATAAGCATTACAGGATGCAGATTGAAGATGACGAAGTAACACACTTGCAACAATTACTTCCGTTTCAGACATTTCATTTGACAATTCAGAACCATGATTATTGTTAAAGTATCCCACAAAGCGCAAACATAAGGTCAAGTATATGGCGGCGTAAGTTCGTTTTAAGAGGTCAGCGCCAGTCCGAAGGTCGGAGTTGGTTGTCTGAGCAAATACTGACGAATAATGTGACGAGTCCAACTTTTTCGTCGATGTAGTGAAACCCATTAGTAAAGGATTGCTGGAGGAGGGGGAAGATTTATCTGATGAATGAGCAAGTAAGGCATTATGCATCACAATTAGTTCCTCTAAAGGCACTTGGCAAACTGTTCTAAAGCAAAGGACTCCCATTTTTCCCAATTTCTCGGAAGAGTCCAACAGTTTGAAAATTGTGCATTCATATTTATGAAATAGTTTCATTGCCTTATCCCTGCACTCTTCGTTGCAAAATATTACCTGAAATACATATGAAAGTAGTCATATAAATAATATAACTTTTATACGTGGATATTTTGAGCACTTCTGCTGTATAATTGTAAGCATAATAAATATTTACTTACCGCAGAACAACACGCACAGGCAATTCCATCGCTACTTGCCGGTTCAGATGCTAAGCAATATTGACATACGTAGGAGTACTCCGTTGGCGTCACTGACCAGGAGAATGGGTTTTCGATTATGAGTGTCGAACCTAATAAGTAAAATAATACAGCTTTAATAAAATATCTTATCCTGGAGAAAGTAAGTATTTATCTACCTGGAGGAATGTTGCGATTAGCAATCACATGTCGTCCCTTGGTTTCCGAGTATATTAACTCGAGAGCACTTGACGCTGCTCCTAAAAATTTATGTCGTCCTTCGAAAAGCTCACATTTGAAAACGTGTGTGGAATCGTGACTTTTGCCTCCTGCAGCTGCTTTCTCTTTGTCCTTATTTCCAGCACTGGTCTTTCCCACAGAGTTACCTCCAGCTCCAAGTGATTGCTGAATATCTTTAATTATGGCAATCAATCTGACCGTTTCTTTCCCTTTGAACTCATTGTCCATGCTGCTCCCCCTCAGAACTTCAAGTGCATGCTGAGCAACACTTTTGGATTCGTTGTAATTTCCTAATTGCTTATAGCTAAGTGCTAATCGAAGCACAATTTCGTATGTTTTATTTCCCCCCAATAAGTTGACACATCTAAAAGTATCTCGTATACAGGACTCAAACTTTCCATATTGAAATAGGATTGCAGACCTTCTTGAAAATATTTCCGACACAAAAAAATTCTCATTATTTGTACATTGTCTGGTTTGAGAACTATCTAAAAATTGTTGTAAAACTTTAGCGTCTATTATTTGCATTGCAGACAGGCCATTCTCCGGAGCTATGTTGCTTTCTGCGGTAATGAAACTTAATTGCAAGGCTTGATTTATAAGAGCTAGCGAGTTTTGGCTACATGCCTCTGTCAATAACTGCTTTGCACGAGTCTCGTCCTTTGTCGAGTAGTGTGGGGCAATGTTTTTTGAAAATAAATTCAAAACTTCCGAGTCTGATTTTATGATGGATTGAACCCGAATAATGTCAGAATCTGAGTTGGAGATTTCGTCAATGATTCTGATACTTTCGCCACTTTCTCGCAACCTGTTGCAAATTATTGCGTAAAGTGCGTCAAAATTTTGTATATTTACAGAGTCCATTTTTAAGATATTTTATCGGTGTCGAATGGACGATGATTATGTAAATATTTAAGACAACCCGCATATTACAAAAACGGATTCTCCGAATCCACTTTCCGAACATTTTTTTGTCAATGAAAATTCCCAATCCCTAAAATTAGACACCGCTTATGAGTTACACATTCTGATTCAAACTGCACCAAGAGAACAACTACAATTTTGTTGTAAGCATTTATTTAGTTTTATTTATTAACTATTTTTTATATCACTATTATGAGCAGCATAAATCTGACTACTGTATTACAAAAATTAATAATTCGAATCAAAATTAATGTTTACATATAAAAACATTATTGCACACATTATTCATAAGCAAATTGAAGTATGTTGCTATCTATCCGGAAGTATTATGTATTAGGACAAGCTGAATTTTATGCTCATGAGCAAAATCGTTCCCAGTGCATATTTATAATGCATAAGGATTTGTACCCCTAGTTCATATTTGAGTTTATATTATTTCACGAGAAGCCATTAAAAGTATCACCGTGCCGAATTTCAGCTTTTACGACAATTTCTGAAAATCGGCAGGGGTCACCCAAAAATGTCCCGGCATATATAAATTTTACCAATTTTACTTCATATTCTTCCCTTAGGGGCGATTAGGAGTCTTTATACCAAATTTCAGCTCGATTGGATGATTTTTAAAAATCGGTATGGGTCACCCTCACCCCATATGGTACCTCCAGTCGAAAAATTTTCCAATTTCACTTCATACTCTTTCATTGGGAACCACTAGCTCGCTCCATGACAAATTTCAGCTTTCTATCACAATTTTGAAAATTTGGTGCATAATATCCCACCCACTTATTTATATGACCCCCATCGATCCAAACCTTTTCTGAGTCGTTGCAGGCATTGCCCAGATACATGTCTGTACCAAATTTGGTCAAAATCGGTCAACTCATTCGAGAGTTATCGAAAGACAGACGGACAGACATGACGATTTACATAAGCCGGCTAAAAATGGTTTAAATCAAAGTATTTTATTTCTAACTTAAATAAAAGTGCGAGTTTGTAACTTTTTAGCTAATTGTATATAATGCACACCTTTAATTTAGATTTTAGGCTAACACATAAGTACTACGAGAATGCATACTTTGTTGAGCAAAGCAGTTGGCAGTTGAGTTAGCAAATGCATGAAAGTGAATACCCCCAAAATGGGCACTCGGGACAAAGTGGTACATAAAATAAGTTTTCATTAGGCAAGAATTTGAGACGAGGAAAGGGCTTCTTTTTTATACTTCGGGTTTTATTCCGAAATTTAAACATGTTGTAACAATAAGAACAACAATGATAATAATTACATCCCCAACAGCATCGGTTTTATCAATAACTCACTTTTTGTTTTTATATTCACTTTTTTTACTGGTAATATGAAACCAAAAACTTGCATGTATGAAAAATTATACATTTCATAAAGCGTCCTTCCATTATAGTTAATAGGTTAATGAGGAGAGGTGCTGCACAACGACACTTTGTTGAATATATAACAATATTTTTTTTAAACAATGTACCAAATGTACAGCACCGTTTACGTTTTTTACCATTACCACGAACCGAAAAACCACAAGATTCCGGAAGGTGGACATCCATTGATGGGGGCGCATTTATGTATATTATTTCTGATTTACAAATTAAAAACAGGCTAACACTACATTATATGAATATATATATATATATATATAAATATATGTGTGAAACATATGCAATATGTTTTGTAAAAGTCTTAATATTTTATATGTATGTAGTAGCGGTATGGTTTACCTAAAATTAGCAACACGTTAGTATAAGTAACACTTATCAAAGATTGTATAAACATAATAATGGAATTGGAATTAGGTATCAATATAAACACTCATATTTAGTTGTACCAATGTTGCACCACTCTTTTCGTTCCGTTCGTTTATTATTACACACTGCTGCGATTTTATTATAGTTTTACATGAAATAGTCAAAATAATAATTGTCAGTAAAATTCGATGTTTACTAAAATATATATACCTAAATTATTTACCTAAACTACTTGTTATTCGCAATTCTACAACCAGTCACATTTTCTAAAACAAATTATATCGGTTGATTATCCGATTGATGTCGTCAAAATAAAATTGTCAATGTTATGTTACTTCATAATAATAATAATGATAGATTAGATACACCTATGCAGTAGTAAAATAGTAATGGAGTGTGGTTGGATGGGTTTTTATAACAACAACGGCAACAAGGTGAGAGAACGAGAGGACCACTTCCTTTTGTGGATGACGAAGAGACTCTAATTATCGTCAGATCAGATCAACTATTCCATGATTTCAGACTTGACGAGTGACAGGTCTACTGTGGAGAAATTAGAAATTCCTTGAAATTCAGGTGTATTGGGAATTTGAACTTGAATTGTTGATGATGAGGAGGAGGAGGAAGAGGGATTGCTGTTTGGATTCCCATTTACACTAGGGGAGCGCTGTGCATTAGGATTTGGAACTACGATGACTCTTTCTGGTGAGATGATTGATGAGGCAGCTTGTTGTTGCTGTTGTTGCTGTAACGAAGCAGTAAAGGCAGCATTTGGCTCAGTTGTTAAAGTTGGTTGAGGTTCGATAGACTCAGTACTACTGTTTAAATTAGGAACGGACGAATGATTTAATGAAGGCGTGAAACTTGGATTGTTGTTATTTGCAGCTTCGAGTGCATCCAAGTCCATTAGTTGAAATTGCTCGTATTTAAACCTGCAACGTGATTCATGGACTTTTAACCTATCGTTTGTTTTAAACACGGCTGTGCAATCTGGAACTGTGCAACGAAATGCATTCTCTGTTCCCTTGTGCCTTGACGTCATATGGGCATGGCGTTGCTTGCTATTTTTGAAACGGCGATCACAGCCTGGAAATAGACACGGGTATTTCTTCATACTGCAAGTACGCTCATGATTTTGCAAGTGTTGCTTGATAACAAAATTTTCACCACAACCGGGCATAGAACAGAGAAAGATTTCATTTTCTGCTTTCACGGCAACTGCTGCAGGGGAAGGCGGAGTTCGTTTATTATGAGGCAGGGACTTTTTAGCAGTTGGAGTTTGACACGTTACTGTCGTGTTTGGTGACGGAATTGTCAAGGCTTCACCATTTGCACTTGCCCCCTCTAAAAAAATATATATGTAAATTTTGAAGCATCCAATCGTATTAAAATAACAATAATAAGTAATAATCACTCTAGTTCTTCATAATACTTACCTGCTCCAGATGACACAATTTGCATGACCTTTATTTCCCCATTTTGGATCACAAATGTGTAAAAGGGCTGAGTACCTCCTTCAGGAACAGGAAGCTGACCCCCTAAACAGGATACAATAATTCCATTCTTGTTAGTAAACAAGACCTCCAATGATGATGTCACAAATTTTGTCAATCTATGTCTTCAACTCTGATTGATTAGTACTGCAAGTATGGTAATAATAAAGCAAGCAACCATGTATATATTATTCCAAGCAACAGACAGAATACTTGTACCAGTTGAGTTGAGCAGGGAGGCAAATGCTTGCAGGCTTTGACCTTGTGGTGAAGTTGTTTGTTCCTGAACTCTTAACTGATGATCTATAATAAAATAATAATACACCATTCCGATACAGATTAAAATTAAGCCGACTTTCCAGAAGCATTAAAACCCCTGTTTGTTGCACAAACTCGTAAGTCTGAAGCAAATAAATAATCTCACTTTCCCTTAAAAACACCATCAATGGAAAGTATCAAAGTAAAACAAGAATAGGAAGAAGGGATATAGAGAGGAAAATGAGAGGATTAGGATAACTTTGTAAGAAAACAAGAGAAATAAAATACAATAATACAAACCTAACATAAATCCATCATTGGTGTTGCTAGTACTACTGCCAGCAGCATCAATAGAGCCACCATTAACATAATTATTAGCCGGTTGGTGATGATTACCATGAGCCGCCTGTTGAACTATGGAATAAATACTCCCATCACTGGTCGTGTGATGTGTAGTCGTCGATGCCCCTCTGCTACTACTGCTCTCATCGTCATCCCCATTTGTCATCATTTGGTGTGGTTCAATTTTGACGATGATATCTTCTACCGATTGTGTGCCGTGTGGTTGGGATCCAGCAGAAACATTGTGATGTTGATTATGCTGCTGTTGGTTCCCACCACCATCAATTAACATCATTGATTGTTGTTGTGTCGAAGAACAGTTGAGTGGGCCCTGTGCCGTCTCTTTCGCAACTTGTTTCCACATATCCTGTGGACAACAACCGCATCGGAAATCTGCCGACTTGACCAACGTTAAATGGGAATGTTTAGCAAGCCTTAAAATATCAAAAAACACGGATGTTTTCAATATTATTTTTTTTTGTTCTCGCCTATGATAATACAACCCACAATGCATAAATACAAAAAATATCTTACGAAGCTATTAGTTTCATCTCCGTAAAGTTTCTCTTCCGTATTGCCTTAATGTAGACGGCTGTGCCCATGTAGAAGAGGGTGAAATCCTCTCGAAATTCCTTTAGATAGTGTTTAGATAAAGTCAGATTAATAGCCGGTCCCGGTTCAGTAGTAAATATTAAAAATACCTTCATTTGAAAGAGCGTGTCCCAATGTTTGTTATTTTTGTAACCGCGAGGCAGGATGAGTTCGGGAGCCACTTCTTCCATGAAGAACTGTTTATACTCCGCCTTGAGCTGATTCATTGGCAGTCCCTGTACAACAACCATCATTACAAAATTAGCAATTGTACACAAACAAATTACAAAATTTGATGCTTAGCTTGTGTTAGAAAGTAATTACCTCAGGGTAGCCGCATTGCAACAGGAGGAGCAGGTTGGAACGAAACTCTTCCATTTTAATAGTCTCCATTTCATTTACCCCCACCATTAGTGAGTGTGGCCTAGAGTAACGAGTCGACTTGGGGGTCAATTAAGGTAAAATTCCACGCCTTTAATAATTTGATGAGCCATTATAATAATTATTATGTCAAAATAATAAATATTTATGTGGCTGGCATCTTTGGGACATCTCGAAACTGAATTTGCCGCGACAGCCCGGCAGCTCATCGAAAAAAGCCCCTTTGTTGTGTCTCCCAGCCAGCACGTAGCCCGTAAATTCAAACGGAATCTGTATGAACTCAATCAGCTAGCAGGCAAGAAAAAAAAGGAAATTGTAAAGTATGATATCGACAACATATCTTCGTGATCTACTTATGGGAGTAAATTGTGATATTGTTTCTATCGTGTATAATGGGGGTGGATCTGAATTAAATGTATTAACTAATTTTGAGACTTCTTTGCCACATTAATCATACATAAAAGTAATCAATGTTATTACTGTGTGGCTTATCTAACTAAAATGAGAATATGTTAAGGGAAGGCAGTGTGATGATAAGCAAAAATATATAAGGCACTATTTCAAGTAATAGTGCGGATATTATGAGATTCATGAACCATGAACGAAGGGTCGTTGTTAGATATTTTAGTTGGAGGTGTGAATCTCACTTCGCCCCGGACGCGAAGAAAGCAGACTAAAAGCAGAGTAGTAGGAGAGGAGTTGTGTATCTGTATGTCCAATGCCCATTTCGCAGTGCGAATTTTGTATTATATCCCCCAAATACACAACATTTGGAAAAACATCAAAATTTCCAACATTTTCACCCTTCAAAATTAGCAATTCAACAAATGTGGACAATTGTGTGGTGCCCCACCCTTTCCTTTGTAGGGTTACCGAGTGCGAGTGAAATCGTGTCTGTGTAGCAGTGCGGGTCCTCCGCGCGCCGTCGACCTGCGTTTTGCCCCCTCCTCCGTCACTCCTTTGCCCCCCACTTCACGACAACATCAACAAACACGGCAGCCCCACTGAACGTCGTCCACAATATCGGAAAAGTGTCCTTCGTGCAACAGCTAGCGTATCATCATGGAGGAATTCCGTTCAAACTTCCTCCTTCTTCTTCACTGTCGTTATCCCCAGGTGAGTTAATGAGCCCTCCAAAGAAATGGTGGTCCTTTAATGTGATCGTGACGGCAACGGTGGATAATTCGCCCAATGATCTTTCATCATGTCGTGGTTCAGTTTTTTATGGAATTTGTGTAATTTGAGGTTTATTGTCGGTCAGAAATGCAATGGCGGGCTAATTTTCCTGGACCGGAAGTGAGCCTATGCCGTGTGAAACAGTTGATTAGTAATTGTTTTGTTACGATTTTGTCAACTAATCGTGATGATGGTGATTAGTGTGAAAATGTCGTGCCGAGGAGAATGTTGCGAATCACTAATTAATATTAACACATGGTTTTGTTTTGATGTCATTTTGTAGGGAATGTTGCTGGACAAAGTTGAAGAGGAATATGAACGCTACTTCCAGAAGAGGGTGGAGCCGTACATGTTTTTAAACGAGAATCCGGGTAGTTGGCGAAGTGTAATCGAAAAGACGTACCTGCATAATGATCTCAAAGTCTTCGGTAAGCTCTTATTATTATTGATTAATCCATGAATTTTTATGGCACTGAAGATTTTTGCAATTTGTTCAATTTCATCTTTTTTGTCTTATGTTATCATTACGAGGCATTCTTAATTATCCTATGCCAAAGCAATAATGTAAGTAATAATGAATTACAGAAATAAATTCTACCCTCTACGTTAAGCCTGTGGGGATACGATCAGGTTAGAACATAAAGAATCATCGCTTTATTGTAAAAATAACTTTACGTGGGCTCAATTCATGTAATAATTGATCATTATGTTTCAGAAACGGAAATGATGCTGATTGCAAAACTGGCCAAATATTCTCATTTTCACTTTGCCCAAGACACCTTCTTTCAATTGAGAGATTGTACTTGTTGCGCCCAGACTCAACAGCAACAAATTTATAGTGGATTCCCCTCTTCGGCCATTAATCATTACAGCAGTAGTAGCTCCAATGCCTTGTCCACCGCAGGTTCGTAAAGTTATAATTAAAATTAGTCAAAGTTAATTAATTATTATGACATTTATTTTTCTCTAACGACCCTTACTGTAATTACTATATAGCTGCTGTTGCCGCTGCGTCTAATCAGTATACAGCCAATGTCTTACAACAACAACAGCAAGCACAAGGGGCCGAACCGTTTAGAGTCCAGTATGTAACTCAAGGTGCTCTTCAAGGGGCTACTCCCATACAAGCCACCAATTTAACTGCGACAAATTTATCCATGAATGGGGCTGTAAAATATGAGAGATTTGATGATCAAACTATTCGGAGCGCAGGTCAGCAAAGTATACACATAAATTTTACCTGGTCAATTGTCTTTAAAAATGTACCGACTACCTGACCTTGTTCTATTCTTTCAAAATTCACTTTAGGCGGTGATTATTACATTATGTTACAAGGATCCCAAAATCAACCAATTAGATATGATGCAATTGGTAATCTTGCTTCCCCAACTGCTGTCCAGGCACATACAAGACAAGAAATTGGATCTACGGGAGTCGTATACACGACAACAACACGTAAGCCCTGTTTAATTAAGTTTTTTAAGCAATGGTTTAGAAACTCATTGTCTAAATAATATGAAAACTAGCACAACAGCAAAGCAGCACCCAACAATGGAGTTTCAATAGGGAAACTGGAGTTACTCAGCCACAGGTTGCATCCGCAAGTGCGACCCCTTCCCCCGCAGCTTCAACTCCAAAAGGTAGAGGGAAAGGAAAGGGGAAGGGTGGTGGAGGAGGGGGAAAAGGCAAAGGTTGGTCACTAGTAGATTTATATATTTTATCGGAACGCAAACAAAATTTAAGTAATTGAATTCATTGTTCATATAGGAGGGGCTACCGCTGTTACCGTTGCTGTAGCTGGAGCTGTGCCTGTTGTCAATGCGAAAGGAAAAAAGTCCGAGTCTTCATCAACCAATGATAAGGAAAAGCAGTTAAATTACTGTCGTTGGGAAGGTTGCAAGAAAGCATTTCGTAGGTTAGTGATACATTGAGGAAAATTACAATAGTTTGAAGTAATTTATAACTTGGGATTTAGGAAGAAAAAATCATTGATTTAATTATATTTTTATGCATTAGGTACAAACTTTTGGAGAATCATGAACGCCTTGCTCGTAAGTAATATTTATTTCACTTCACTTCTCCACCCTTGTCCCTCAACAAAAAAATTCATGACAAGCATAAGTCACGAATATTTACGAATGTGCTATTTAGTTTGTGTGTCGATTTGAAGAACACTTACTAATCATCTGTATATATTGTTAATAGATCTACAAGATGGGGACGATAACTTAACTTGCTCCACAGTTGGATGCAAGCTTCGTTTTCAAGTAAGTATTCAGGGCAAGCAGCAAAATCATATACTACCCCATGGAGCAGAAGCCAGCAAATTAAAATGATATAACAAACTTTATTTAGGATAAGAAACAACTACAACATCACGAAAGTAGATGTGAATTAAAACCACATCGTTGCACTTGGGAAGCATGTGACAAAACATTTCGTGAGTTATTATTATATATTTCAAATTGATAACTTTACTGGATTTAAATTCCACTTTGTCACGTGTTAATTATAATTCTAAAGGTACAAGCAAGTTACTTCATGGTCACATCTCTGCCGTACATCGGAGAATCGGGCGAAATACATACAAATGTACAATTCCTGGTAAGTAAAAACTCAGTAAAATATATAAATAGCACTGATTCTTTCGTTACGCGTTTTTTTTTTTGCTTTCTAGGGTGTTCTCAGGCTTACCCCGACTCTACAAAACTACGGACTCATGAAATAAGATGTCAATTCCGATTTGACACTTTAAGGTAATTTAGACGATATACCTTTAATAACTTTACTCATAAGAGAATTCCTTAACGCTTTTCAAGTCCAAATATTTCTTTATGTGGAATTTCGTATAAAATTTTACCAAGAGTACACATACCGTCAATGTTTTACTTATAAATTCGCAATTTTGATATAGGGATATCGATATGGAGAAGGAGGCTGCTGATCAACTGGCCCTTGCTGCATCTACGAATTCAGTGGATGCATCGGGAAACACAATATCCTCCGCAAGTAACCTCACAACCTCTTCAATTTCCAGTGGGGGTGGTGCCACAAATGACGATCCCATGAACATGACCATGAGTAGTAGCATTGAAGAAACTAAACCCTCCACAGTTGACCTTTCTAGCTTTCTCAAAACAGAAGTGGATGGTGACGGGCAGTGTTTTGTGCAAAATCAAATTTAGAGTGTAAATACATGCATAGACGAGAAGACAGTTCTATACTAACTACTAAATCTACCAATATATAAAAACAGTGTTTAAAACTTACTACAAATTTCAATCTTCTTCACGGACTACATTTAAATCACACCTGACGACTAAAACTAACAAAGGAATAAATCGTATAGTTGTTCATCAAACCAACACCACAACGTATGACCTGCACATCCAAAATGTATCTTTGCAATCACCGCCTCTTAAATATAATGTCTAAGGTATATATATATTATGGGCTCACATTTGTTATTTTTGACTTGTTTAAATATTATATATATATAAATATATATGTGTAGCTTAATTAAAACGTTGTTGTAATAATTGATTTGTTATGAAAAATGGTGGGTTTGTATAGAGTTTAACAACTTAGCATATGTACGTGTAAGTATAAGATACAAATTATTACAACAATGACATAGAAGAATATATAACAGAAAATACACAGACCTCGATATACAATGATTTGAAACATAAAGGCAGAGAGAACATATATATTTCAATTTTTTAAAGTTATATAAAAGATTATGCTACGCTAAATATATGTCGAGAGGAATATCAGTAAGAAATGTTTGTTTTATTAAGTGTGGTAAATATATTAGTTAATTAATGTTGTTATGTAATTATTTAGCTGTTGTTGAAACTAAATGACTTGGTTTGTTCTTGGTCGTCGTTAAATAAGCACTCAATATTTTCTTTGTAATTATTCTATCTATTTACTATACTACCAGCATGATCATCAATTTATTGTTTGTTGCATGAAAAGTACTGCAGGCTTTTAATTGGTTATATATGTTTGTTGTTATGATATATGTTATATATGAACCTGTAATTTCTGTATTATTTTTACACAAAATACTTATCAAATCACCCGAAACGTCAATGTCATAATACTAGCTCTATAATGAAAACTGCAGGATTCCCTATGGTAGATGATTAGTTGTTATGCCGTTATTGTTACTACAGATTAGACATTGTTAAATAACTTTCTCCCACCCACCACCACCACCCACTACCGCCACGATCACTCCATTGTTAGTAGTTGTAGATTTATGTAGAGGATAAACAGACGACGACAACGGAGACAAGATGCAGAGAGTGAGGAAACAGTTGTTTCAAAAGATTTTGATATTATAGGGGGCGGCGTTCTTTCTAATTTAAATGTTTCGCATGACTTATTTACGTTGTTGATCACGCACGACAAGAAAACTATTCACATTTTAGACGGGAAGCATTATAATAATTAGTAAATAATATTGTTCTGCTTCCGTTCACTCAACCTCAGCTTCCTCCAATATGCCTTAAATTTTACAAATCAAAATGGTTTCGTACGGTGTAAAAGAAGACAATTAATGTTTGTTGGCGTTATTGTTGTTGATTGATTGATGTTGATGACATGTAATGATGAACGGTATCGTATCTTCCAAGTCGTTGCAATGTTTTTGCATTTCTGAAAAGCAAACCAAAGCTAAAATTGTATTTGTATTATCGTGTAATTTGTACTACATACATACATTAACGAATAGCCTATACATACATGTACCCAAAAAATTCAACATTTGCCTTTAACTAGCATATATAAAAATGAAATGTATACAACGCTACTCTGCATCTATATTATGCACCTTCTCCGTAGTGAATAATGAACATTTACAAATTAAAGTACGACACATTCAATTCACAGACACACTAATTGTCAACAAAACATTGTTTAAAAAATCTCTGAAAGCAATCAAAACCTATAAATTCAAAAATATTATTGAAAAAAATGTGTGCAAACGCGACGACGAAAGTAAATTGTGTGGCCTGACCAAAAAGCTATGCATTTCTTCTCGTATTTATATGATGGTGATGAGCAACAGTTTTTAAATAAGAGTTTGAGTTCTTACTTATTACTGATAATTCTGTTGTTGTTTCCATTATATTATAATATAAAATGGTATCAAATCACTTACGAACAATTTTATGAATCACAATTAAGAGGTTGAAAATGTGGAGCAATAATAATATCTATTCCTCTATGCAACAATTAATTACAATTTTAGACTACCCCGTCCAATGGTTATCATTATCATTGCTACTACATAATTACTACTCGAATAATCATCATGATAAAAATCAATCAAGAAAACGGCCCTGTTGGAAATTAATTAATACACATAGTTATTTATTTAACCTGACTTACTTATTAAAAATCACTACTTCATTTGCAACATGACATTCAATTCTTTCAAAATTCCCATGGCTGAGTTCTTGACACCCTCAAAATCGGTTTCGGCCCTTTTTGCCTGAAGGAACTGAGCCAGGTTGTAATTGGCTTCTTCCAGCAGGGCCCACTTTTTCTCCAAACTTGTCAGTTGACGATGCACGTCGTTGGAATCCAATTCTTTCTATACAGAGAAATTCAACAATTACATAAATCTGCATGCATCATTAATTTAGAAATGTTGTTGAAGGGTGACAAACATAAAGTACTTTGAGTTTCTCATGCTCTATTTGCACCGCTTTGAAGGTCTCTCCAAATGCCTTTGTCTTCTTGTCCAAGGCTGCATTCTCTAACTGCAATTTTCGGAGCCGGTCATTTCCTTCTATTTTTACCGTGTCAATATCTTGGAATTTTCGAATGTCCGTTTGCATAACTTCCATTTTGTCCACCAAGGACTTTAACTCGGTTTTCATTTTTTCTTCCAAATTTTGAAACTATGCATTAGTTAACAAAGTGAGACGATATTGATTAAATCATAAAACTACACAAGTAACTGTAAAATTCCTACGTTGTCCAACTGTTTTCTCAAAGCATCATTTCGGTACTCTATCATTTCTGAAGTATATTTGGCCTTGTCGAACTATTTGTAAATAATCTGAATTATAGTAAACACGTACATTGCTTTAATCACACTTTATACGTAAATACTCACCTCATCCTCTTTAAAATCCAGTTCCTCTCTCATTTCTATAAAGTTTTGTCCCGCTCTAGAAAGGAAGATTATATTTTAAATAGCGATATTATACGTATACGTGTAATTGTATGTATTAATCAGGCAATTAGGCATACTCTGGTAAAGTGGCTGCTAGATGAACATTTCGTGAAATTCTTTCCATGCAATTGACAATTTCAGCCTCAATACGACTCAAGCCTTCGCATTCCTTTCCTTTGTTATCTTCAAAATTGTGCATAAATTCGTCCATGTCTTGTTCTCGTTTTTTAAGCTCTCTGAACTTCTGCTGTCGATCGGAATCAGTTTCCTCGATTTCCTTAATTGCAACAATTAGAAAAATCACTCATCAAAATTACTCTGAAGCGAGTTGATCTTAGGATTAATGTGAATAGGTAAGAGGCAAATTGAGACAAACCTGTTCCATAGTTTGTATTTCTTCTTGGGCTTTCCTTATCTGGTCTGCCACCTCGGTAATTTGTCGCTCCAACGTACTAATTTCGGCATTGTCAACCTTGACCTGAGATAAAAGTCTGGCCTGTTCCTCTTCCGGCGTCTCATTTGAATGTGCTTCCCTGGACAAGGCGATCCGCTTGTCCTCTGCCTCCATCAACTCTTCCTCCATTTCTGCAGCCTTCTTTTTCAATTCGGATCTGCAAATGCGGTCGTAAAGTTCTGACTTTTTCGAATTGAAGTCATCCAGAGTCAGTTGCAACCCTTCCATTTCGGTCTGAAGTCGGCTATTTTGACTTTGAAATGCCACATATCGCTCCCGTAGTTGTGGGTTGAGAGATTCAATGATGGTGTGCGCCTTGTTGCGTTCTTCTTCAATACGTTCCTCTAATTCGGCCACTTGACGTTCAGCATCTCGTCGTCGATTGTAGATCAATTCTATCCTTTCTGAATCGGAAGAATTGTCTTTCCTCAAAGTTTTCAACTCTTCCTCCAAGTACATTTTGTCCTTGTCACTGGACAACATTTCGGACAAAATGTTGTAATCCTGAAGTTCCCCATGCATTTCTAATGTGCATTACGATTTGCATACATAATTATGTGTATTTACAATTATCTTAGAATATATTAAAGTGACAATCTCACCCTGCAATTCAACGGCTTTTTCCTTCACCCTGCTCTCATATGCGATATAGGTGGACTGTTCCTTTGCCAAAGAATCCACTTGTGAGGCGAGTCGAGCGATTTCGACCCCCATTTCAGACATTTTTGTGTGCAATACTCCCAAAAAATATGTTTTGTCGTGGACCATTCGCCTGTGAGGGCCATAACTTGTCCGGGCCGTTCGTAGACCTGAAACGCCTTGCTGAGTGACGGGTCGCTCCATTACGTTGACCTAAAAAATAACTTAAATGACAACCTTCGACACAAAAGTAGTGCAAGTTTGTGCTAATAATACGGATGCGTGGAGCGGCAATGAACCTCCAGTGCCGGATGGGGGGCGTGCCGTTCGCATGGCAGAACCCAAGCGGAGGGAGGAGGAAGCGGGTCGAGCGGCCGACTGAAGCCTGGAAACTCGGCTCATGGGACGTTGTTGCGATTGTGGGGACTCCGTGTTTGCGGTGCTCATCCTGCTGTCTGGCCGTTGTCGAGCCGTCATGGGTTCACCGAAACGTCTGCGGGACACTGGTCTTGCTGTGGGTGGTGGTGGTGGGTCTTGAGAAGCGGTCTGGGGACGATTATTATCATCCATAATCCAGAGAACGCGAACCACACGAGATTTTGATCAATGAGATGGTCGAGTGCGATTCAATTATTGCTGGGAGAGATACTTAATGATTGAGATGAGAATTAATTAAAATTTTACGACCACTTTACTCCTTGAAAATTCAATTGGGCAGCGGTATGATCGGTATGGATTTTTTACAACATGCAACTATTGCATTATTCAAGGCACTAAAGTTACTAGTGTTTGCCCGTTTCCGTCGCATGGAAACCGAGAATCGTCTGACTGAACTACGATTGGTGGCTCTTACAGATTTTTAGTCCTTCTCTACCTGAATCTCAATTAATTATATGCTTGCCAGGTAGAGATTCAAAATGTGTTAAATAATATGCTTGGGTTGACTGATGCATACATGTATGTGGAGGATATGCATTTATTTCGTATTTATTCATGATCGTCATAAATACTTTAAACAACTAATTCCCATTGATACATAAATTCTACATATGTATGCTTCTACTGTCAGTAAAAAATAAACGTACATGTTTTTGCATTACCATCGCGGATAACATGAAGCATGATAACAAGAAGAAAAGTCATTGTGTCATATGGACAAAAAGCTAACAGATCCTTAATGTCATTGTCATTAAATTACTTCACTTTCTATAATACAACATACGTGAGATTACGTACGCAGTGTAGGATCATGATCATGAATGGACTGAACAAATCACTTATCGGTTAGAATTTATAGCACTAGTAACAAAGAGAAAGTACGCACATGGGTCGGCACTTTGAATCTCTTAAAACATAATAAAGTGATATGATAGCAAAAATATAAGATAGAGTTGATAACGAAATAATAAATGTCATTATAATAACTAATGATGAGGACATAATAATTAATAATAATATATATTGCTACTCCACATTACTACTCACACACTAGAGCATCCTCCACTACTACTCATATTTGTTACAAATAAACTTTCACTCAAAAAAGTCAATCAAACTCACTTGAATATTAATTACTTCATACATGTCATAGATTCCTAATGGAGCTACTAAGTTAGAGTTACTACTTCGAACGAACGGAGTATTATTGAATCAAATAATAACAACAGAAAATGTTATCCGCCCGCTAAGTACCGCGTATCCAATGATTAGTGTATTAGTTTTGATAACAATCGTAACAGCGAGTTACTGAAAAACATATTGAAAATGCAGACAAAGAAGTTCTTCGTCATCCGGAAAGAAGAGGGAGGAATGGATTAGTAGTCGTCGTGAGTGGTCCCACCGCCGCGATCCCTTCGCACCCCTGTGATGATGATGACGATGACAACGAGGACGACGATGGTGTTCCACGAAAGGAGGACGACATTAAAAAAAATTGAATGAAATGATTTTGTTACATTGAGAATCCCGAATATCTTGTAGAATCTAGAGTGGCTATCTTTAAATGATTGGAAGTGTCTTCATTTTTTGGTCACTGATTTTTCATTAGTTTTTGTCGGGGCCTGCATGGGAGGGAGGCAATAATAGTGAAAGTTAACAAAACATAACTCTGATATTAATTCGCATACTTAAATGAAATCATAAAGACAATAAATGAAAGGATATTATGAGTATGATGATGTTTGCATCGCAAGTTTACTACATATTTTTATATCATAAAGCAAGTTAGTGAACAAAGGGACACGTTCTCAAAAACATGCATATTTTTTTTTTAGAAAAGTGTCTAATGCTTGAAAGTTAGTATATTATAATTAACTGAAGATAAGAAGCATACATACAATACTAACTAAGCAAATTTCCCACAAATTACTTTCTTGCTCCAATGAAAACAACCTAACTTATCAAGTCATAGGTTTGTAAAATGCAAGCAAAATAAAACGTAAAAATAAAAGAAAAGATTTTGACAAATAGTTTATTTTAAAGAAATATGTAATAGTAAGGTTACACATACATATAATTCCAAAACATCGTCGTGTGCTACTCTCATTTTTTCGTCAAAGTACATGCTCAAAAAAGTTCTCTGTACGTCTTTCACGTAATATTTAGGTAATCATATAATAACATAAACTGCAACTTCCGGAGGTGTAACTGACTGTCGCTGAGCATTAGTAGTAGTACGTAGTAATAAATTGATAATTTGTATATTATACTTTGAAGACAAGAGATAGAGCAGTGATTGGATTCCTCTCATCCACTCATATATTCAAAATTAGGTGAAAAATCATAATCATAACTGTGTTCAATAAACGAACAATGTTGTTTGAAGTCAAATAAGCTGTAAGTGTTTTACCTACAGTAAAATACACACTCAATATGTATTTCTAAATGGAATATACAGATAACGACGAAAACTGGTGTGTACTGTTGCAACGGTCACACATTAAGCAACACGTTTAGAATGGGCAAAATATAGTGTTATTAAAAGCAATCTTCTTATAAAGGCGGACCTAGATTGATTCCATCAAGATTATTACAAGGATGAGGAGCTATGCCTAACTGAATTTACCTATTTTACACGCGTAAATTTTATATATTATATATTATGTAAATATAAGTGTATATATTTATTAAAACAACATACAAAGCCACCAAACATAAATTGCAGATTCAGACAAATAAAATATATAAACATGCAATCCGACGACGAAACAAGTAAATATCAATCAACGTGTACGAACGACAAAGATAAAATAATAACACTGCTGAAAATATAAGACAACCAAAACAATCTTTTACAAGGTCTTACAACGAGAGAAAACAGGATTGGTACAGCGAATTTCTTGACTGATGAACCGACACAAAAGCCAAAGGCGATTTAAAAACAACAACAAAATACTTGGTAAAAGTCAGAGTGCTGCTGTCGTTGCTGCTGTTAGCGTATATTATATTATTTACGAGTATACGCTGGCTGCATAGGGGTTGTTAATTCGATGAAGAACCGGACATGATAACCAACAATTTAAACTATTATTATTAACAACCTGGAGAGTAACCTATACTTTTTAATTGACATGCTGTTCTCCTTGGGTCTGCACTTGGCTATCGTTTTAGAATTCCCAAAATTTATCCCTAACTATTATTAATATAAAGGCTGGCCATTTAAATTTTCTTACGCCTGCAATTTTTCTTATGTTCACTTCCCCAGTGCTGCTGCTGGCATTCAATGCTGCAATACGCCGTATTCCTATATACAATGAATACAAATCAGAAACCCATTATTCGTTACGCAATTGAAGCCTCAAATGAGCAACTTGCAATTACATACCAGCAGCAATGATAAATGGCTTCTCGTCCACAGTTGAAACACTGCAATAAACAAAAAAAGTTGCAGACGTTACCTGGGTCAACAGTATGCATAGCATTACTCTTATCCTTAGTGCTTCCTGCACTTACCCATTGTTTCTTTTTGTTCAACTCGATCTCGTTTTTATTTTGTTCCTTCAACTGGTTTATGTACCCAACGAGTCGTTCAACGTTCACCTCAGTTGTGCCTGGACGAGAAACTTGGACGTAAGCGTTACGAGTGGCGCTTCCCTCATTGCATGACGAAGAAACGACATCCTCCGAGACAGTAGGCTCCTGAAAATTAATGCGATTTTCGTAATGTACTTGTACTAATATTTTGAAACTAAACTAGTGCAAAAAATTATAAATTTTTGTGGTAGTCTTACAGATGACTCTTCATCTGAAAATGAGACGTCTCCTCCAAGACTTTCTTCATCTTCTGGTTCAGTTAAAATGCTTCGAAGATCAGGGTCCAAACTCTCATCTGTGGAAATGTCATACGCAGCCGGCGTAAACTTCGTAGCGCTTCCTCCGCGTTTGCTAGCAGGAGTTGTCGCATTGGTGGTTGACTCTCGACGACTAGGAGCAGCCCCTGATTTTGCATTTGATGTCGTGTTGGTCGACTTACGTTTTGCGATCTGACTTGGAGCAGTGGCGGCAGCGGCCGAAGTACCATTAGTTTTAGCAGGACTCTCCTTGCCCTTGGTCTTCACAGCTGCTTTTGCACTGGCAGGAACCTTTTTTGACGTAGCCTTTGTTGAAGGGGTAGTAACCGTTGCAGGAATAGGTTCAGATTTGCGGGTCCTCTTAGTTATTGTTGGTTCTTCAGTGGGAGTACTAGCAGCTCTCTTACTTCCCCCTGGAAAAATTCAAGTCGAAATTTAGTATGACACTTAATTCCTATACATAAATATTTATACAATGTATGTAATAGAATGCAAACTAGTATAGCTGCTGACCTTTTTTATTAACTACAGCAGTAGTAGTAGCAGCGGCAGATCCAGCATTCTTTCCGCGCGGGGGTAAGCTATTTACTAAGGTTGGATTTTTCGCAATTTCTTGAAATTTTTGCATTTCTTCATAGGCATCGTTCCATCCAGCAGTGCGACGAACTTTCAGCTTTGCCAAAGATGTCTCAATCGGCAGAATATGTTTAGCATCAATATGCCCACGCTCATAATTCCCTCCAAAGTAGCGGACATCATATCTACATATAAAATAGAAGTATTGTGGGAAATTAATATTTAAATAAATAATTCCTTACCTATTCCCTTCACGTTTCATCACCTAATAATCAGAAAATTCGTCAATTTGGTTTAATTATTTATGTAGTATGCTCTAACATAACAAATAAAATGTTACCAGCAAATGGGACTTACTTTTGCTGGCCAAAATGGATAACCAGTTTGTTTCGCCCAAACAACATCATGTGGGGGAGTACATGGCAATGCAAACCACCAATCGTGATCTTTTTCATTAGAACGTCGGAAACATTGGTGACAAAGCTTAATTTCCTGGATACAAACAAACCAAGAGATACATACAAATGCTTACGTGGGTCAATTTGGTAATGCAAAAAAGTCAAGGCACAAACCTGAATGTCGTGCATAGCTTCCTTAAGGAAGGCAGCCCCAAACTGGTTTCCTTTGAGAGATTCGACACCAAAATACACACCTATAGCATGCACAAGTGTTTCACAATCTACTTGAAATTCTTCAAGTGATTGATACCTGCAAGAATTTTATATTGTTGGTTACTAATTAATACTAGTAATTGTAAAGAGATAATTATAGAGATTATATAACAAACATACTTTGCGGAGGTTGCTTTGTCCTGCATCGTGGCCAGGTCCATTGGCCTGTGCACCAACACGTTCAAACGCCAGGCATCCTTTTCACTTCGGTTGCAAGCAGCAGCCCATTTAGCGCCATCAAACTTTTCCATCCATTCCGCATTCCAGGTCTGGAATCGCTCGCAAATGTATTCAATTAGCTGGTTCAATGGTTTTGGCTTTAATGGGACCTTCTCTGCACTGTTTGGTAAAAGATAAAATCATTACAAATTACATAAGGTTAGATAGGTCGTTCCGATCGGTACACACTTGACATGCAACTCAGTCTCAGTCAGTGTAATTTCATACATTTATAATAATAATGAACAAAATTGCAGGTTTTAACAATTACAATAATAATCAACAGTTACTCGTGGAAATGCATTACCTTGGTTTGGTAGCAATGATCTGAAAATATAAAGATGTGCAATTAATAAGAAGTGAAAAAGAGAAAATTATAGCAAAGTCAAACAATTGTAACAAAAAGTATAGTTACGTGGCATTGCGGACACACAAACAAGTCCTTGTCTGGTTTTCTATCATCAGGAAGGCAATCCATATGAAATACTCGTGGACAATCCTCGCATTTTACAATAGGACCACCCATGTGACACTGGAAGCAATACCAGTCATGATCTCCACGATCCAACTTGGCATGATCAGGAAGCCGATATATTTCGGTTTCTTCCCGTTTCTGAGTCTCAACTACTTCTGAAGTCACAAGCCCGTCTTTGATGGCATGATCCAGTTCATGGTGCAATTCATCTAAAAATGATAACGAACCAAGACGCATGTGTAGTGAATGATCCAAGGGACACGAAAGGGAAAGTGCAGTAAACCTTTTAAGCTAACAATTACTACACTACAATACTCACCTCTTGGCACTTTGTGCATACTAGTTACAACTTCCACTAATTTTTCAAAGTCCATGACCTGAGTTCCGCCGAATCGTCCAATGGCATCCCAAATCTGATGGACACGAAGGGGAATTGCAACTCTTCGAGTCGACTGCATCTTGATAAGGCAACTGTGAAAAGGATAAGACTTTTGTCGCGGGGTAGCCAACTCTGCGCCTTCTCCGAACGACCAAATCCACCAACTCAAAGCTGAAGACTTTCTAAACAAATAAGGGATAACCTATTGTACAACAAAATAGTATAATTATAAATGTTATAAATATAGTTACATAAATTTAAATAGACAAGTCCTGACCTGTCACAACTGACTGCAGCTTCCTTGTCCTCCCTCGTCTTTAGATTTATTTTACAATGTGTCCCTCTTTCGTCACTTTGTTATTAAAAGTCCTGTCTTGACGGGGAGATCAAGACGCCAAATATAGCGGTCGATCTATTGATGGGGATAAGATAAGAGGATGATGATAAGCTTCAAGCTTAAAGTGCTGACGACGACGTCTCCTTCTTTTACTCGTCTTCCTTCCTCATGGAGGCAGAGGAACAGCAGAAGAACTGAAGAAGCCTCACTTGTTGAGGATGATAGCACCACCACCGGCTTCACATACAGTCCAATTACGCCGTTAACCTCTGCGACCTAAACTGTCACTGACAACATTGGTTCAAAATGAGTTATCCAACTTGCGGATATCAAAAGCGTCAGGACGATAAGTTTGGTGTTGATGTCGAAATTCCGACGTTGTGAATGGACGCGACGTCGCGTGTGCAGTTGGGATGTGGTGGAGCAGCGCGCGTTCTCGCCGCCAAATCTGAAAGTCAACTCAACTCCCAAATAAATTCAAAATTGAATGTTCAAAATTTATACCCAATCACGAATAATAATTTTTTCATAGTTTTCATATTTTTAGCGATAAATTTTAGACTGTTGTTTTTTTTTAACAGTCCTGACTGAGGTTTCGTGAGACCATCATAAGTTACAGTGGGAGGAGAATAATAATTTGGAACGGTGGGTGTACTGCCGATCGACGATCGAATCGGGTGAGAATTTTTCAAACGTAAACACATAAATTATGATTGCAGTAAATTATAAGTTTGAAATTAGTTTAATTTTTAGTCCTGGGTAATGTTGGCGTAGGCTGTCTGTCTAGGATTGATAAGATTTAATACACAATATATTTAGTGGCGTGTAACCCGACAATTTGCAATTTGATAGAAAATACAAAATAACTCTAGTCTTGTCCAAGTGCTGAACTGAAACACACTGTGTCTCAGTGTCTACTGTAAGTTGAGTTCAACACTTGGACAACTCTAGTCTGTTTACTGTGATTCGGGTTATGCAAGGTTATGTTTGCCTTTGCACCTTGATTTTCTTATTTTTTCCTGTTTACATTGGTAAATTACGTAAGGATGTACTTTGATTAAAATAATTGCACATTGTGAACTTTATTCTTCGTTTCCTTGATTTTTTTCTTTAGCCGCAAGTCCTGCAATTATACAAACAACAATCAACCGTCACAATGTCGTCAGGTTCGGGTACGGGGGGATCAAGCCGGGGAAAAGCCAGTGGTGAATATTCAGAGGCTTCATCAGCAGGGATGGTGGGCGTTGCGGCAGTTACGGCGGCGCCTGGACCTGCAAGTGAAGGAGATTGGATTTGTCCTGAACCAGAGTACGTATTATAAAGTATGACTAGTTTCGAGTTAAAAATTAACGCTAATTTTGTCACCTTTTAGATGTGCCAACATGAATTTTGCAAGACGATCAGCGTGCAATAGATGTGGAAAAGATAAGCCTGTTGATAGCAATAAGAAAAAGTGTGTTGGAATAGAAATTGGGAAAGTAGCTGCAGAAAAAAGTCGTGGACTATTCTCGGCGGATGATTGGCAATGTACAAAGTAATAAATATACAGTAAATTAACTATACGCATATTTATATATTTGTATTTGTATACATTAGTCTGAATTCAATTATCAAAGTGAGTATAAAAATAATCATATCGCAGGTGTGGAAATGTGAACTGGGCAAGACGGTCTTCATGTAATGTCTGCAATGCTCCAAAATTCAAAGAGGTTGAAAAACTTTCTCTCATCTCACAAAACTGTAATTCGACTTGATTATTATTATTATTATTAGGTTGAAGAGAGGACTGGCTACGGTGGCGGTTACAATGACCGAGGAACGGTAGAATATATTGAAAGAGAAGAGTCTGACGATGAGTATGATGAGGTATTCAATCAAATATATAGTTTAATGTCTGTAAAAGAGTGTATAATCTTTATTTTTATCTCTTTAGTTCGGGAGGAAAAAGAAACAGTTTCGCAAAATCAAAAGTGGCGAAAGCCAAAGTGACTATGACAGAGAGAAGGCCAACGCAGAAAAGGAGTATAGGAATAATGGCAATAAGAAACTGGAAAAATCAGACGACGAGGTAAATACATGACACTTTCCCATTCTTGTTTCTCCTGGATTTTCATTACACATCATTACAATTCATATTTGTGAAGGAAAATGGCCCTAATGATGAGGAGGAGGAGGAAGATGACGATGACGATGAGGATGGTGACCTTTCAAAATATGACCTAAGTGATTGGGGAACTGACAAAGATGATAAAACTGACAACGGAGAAACGAAGGCTGATAATTTGAAAGAAAGTCTATCCAAGGGGGATGGTGGAAATCAATCACTGCCGATTGAATCTCCCAATAGGTTAGTGATATTGTCTTGGTTGGTCTATATGACTGTCTTATTATTGTATGAAATCGCTATATATACCGATCTATTTTATCTGATAAATTATATCGTTTACAGATCGCCACAAACTACTACTAGTAGTAACAAAGCCGAGAAAAGGGCAAAATCTCGGAGTAGAAGTCGCTCAAACTCAAAATCACGACACAAGCGCAAAAGTCGTTCAAGGTCCCGTTCCCCTCATAGCAGGGATAAACGGGGTGGAAGTAGGCGACACCGGTCCAGATCACGGGACAGGAGGAGATCATCCAGAGAGAGAAAAACTCGCAGCAGGTCAAGGAGTCGTGGCAGGGATAAAAAATATCGTTCACGCTCAAGATCAAGAGATAGAAAAAGACGCTAGGCTAGCTAATTACCGCCTTATTATGTTATACTTATAATAATATTTAGTAGTTATTTATGTTTTATTTTATATAATAATGAGCTATCGTGCATTAGTTCAATTCAATTATTATTAAAAGTTGTAGTAATTAGTGCAACCCCAAGCCAAGATTTTAGTACACGTTCATCATCTCCTATAATGGGATTTATTGCTACATTTATTACTACATTTTTTCAGGAAACCTGATTTGTTTAGAAACTATAAACATGTAAGGAATTGTTTGGTTTTAACTTAATACGGAATAAAGTTAAACTTGAAAACTTTGCTTATCGTAATTTTAATAGCTTCATTTAACGGAAAGGAGGCTGAAGGTGAGAATCTCACCGTGAGATTCTGCCCGCGGAGCAGATTTGTTGCACTTTTCTTGCGCTTGATCCACACCGACCAACTTTTAGCAGATCCTTCGTATTTATTGATTTCTTGGATTGTACGAAATAAATTCAAAATATTATTGTTACTAATTTCATGTAACTGTCATTCGAATCGGTTACGTTAATAGTTTTTATATGCATTTTAACTTGCGATAATTACAAACCAAGTGATTAAGACTATTGTGCTGCAGGAAAATGACGACCCCACTTCAAATGACAGACTTGGAGCAGGTTTATCGTGCAATTCACACGTTATATTCTCAAGATCAGTCCATTCCTGTGACCGATAAACAAGCTGCGTCCACATGGCTTAATGAATTTCAAAGATCGGTAACTGCTTGGCCTGTGACTTCAATTATATGTATAATATTGACAGTTAATTAGCATTTCCTAAATATAGGTTCATTCGTGGGAAATTGCAGACCAACTTTTACACCGGAAAGCAGATTTGGAATCATGCTATTTTGGAGCACACACTCTTCGTACAAAAATTCAGGTTCGTCGTGTGGAGTAATTTCATTACACTGATTATAATTATTATAATAGTGTTAAGGATCAACTAATTATTTCTGAGAATTTAATCGGCGTATGTTTCAATAAATTCTAGAGCTCATTTCATGAACTTCCAGTAGAAGCACATATATCGTTACGAGATTCCCTTCTCCAACATATTGCTAATATTAATGGGGCTACGGATCACATTATCGTGACACAACTATGCCTCGCCGTCACGCATTTAATTCTCCAAGCCGCCTCCTGGGCAGATCCTATTGGTCATTTGTTGAATACCTTTGGTGCAGATCCTAGCCATTGGTGGCCTATTCTAGAAATACTCACCCTTTTGCCAGAAGAAGTCCATTCTAGGAAGTTACAACTAGGAGAAAACCGACGACACCAAGTTACAAATCAGTTGGAGTCTGTTGCTATCACTGTCTTGACGTTTTTAAAGCAGTCGCTCAATGTTTGTTTGACGACTCCGCCAAATTCTTCTCTACTTCCAGTCGAAACCTGTCTGATTGGAATAGTTAAGTGTTTCGGGTCTTGGGTCTTGATCAATCCCGAAGGTTTTTTTACAAGTAGTGAAGCTGGTGCGATGGATGTTCTTAACTTTTCCATGGGTAGTTTGAGAGATGGGAAGGTGAGGAGATGAACATTATTTAAGCTTATTAATTGCTATTCTTAACCTTATCTTGAAGTTTTTGCCTTTTTTGTGCGCAGTGTTCTCAAAAACTTCACACCGCTGCAGGTACTTGTTTGTTTGGCTCAAAAAACCGTGTAAGATAAATTAGTAATATTACATGCTTGTTCGTTACAGCCGACACGGTATGCGCCTTGGCGGAGATTGTCCCAGATATGGATGTAACGTGCAACAATAATGCGAATGACTTACAAAATTTCCAACTACTGCTTCACACTTCGTTCATGGGATTTGGAGAACCGTACGCTTATGCTGTGGCTGAAGAGGATCAAGACAAGTAATACCATACCTAGAAATATTATATTCTGGTATAATGTACCATTAAAACGATCGCTACGATGCCTTAATTTTCAGAGTACTGAATTACTGCCGAATGTTTACTGAATATGGAGAGAATATGGTTCCATACATGTTACGTAACTCAAGAGACCCACATTACTCCATCACCATCATAGACAGAATTTTAGATTGTGTAGGTCATCACGACTACGAGGTATGCTTATTGAGATGTTCTCATTCTCATCATACATAATGGTTTGGATTGGAATGACGGCATACATATTGTCTGGTGTTGTCTATTTCAGGTAGCAGAAAATACATTCGGGTTTTGGTATCGACTTACCGAAGACTTGTACCATGGTCAGTTAAAGGGCCCCATTTTATTTTTACAAATGTCTGATATGTTACGATACCAGTTTTTAATCTGATTTTTTTTCTTTATTATTTTAGCTCATGACGAGTCTCTAAATTCCTTGTTCTTAAGGCATGCGCAGCGTTTAATTATTGCGTTGCATAAGCATTGTCTCATTGAACCTGATCATGTAATAATACTCAATTATTTTTCTATTATTACGTATTTGAATTTTTAGCCCGAGTCAGGGTTCATGTCGATCTGTCCGTTCTCATTATATGGACTAGAAATTTGGTACACAATACACATATAGTATTGGGTAAATGAGGACTTAGGTCGAAGATGTGCAAAACCAGTTAAATGGTTAACCGGTCGGTGGGGGCCTTCAAGGTCAGGTGGGGTCGTCGATCAAGTTATTAAATACTCAGTAAGATGACCCCCACGGATTTTCGAAAATGGTCATAGATAGTAGTTGGTAATAGTAGTTAGATCATCTGACAAAAATTTGAACTGTGACCTGACTCGGGCTAAATCAACACTGGACATTGTAGGTTTTTATTAATTGTGATATGTTATCAACACTTCGACGCTGTTTTAAAAATTCTAGGAAGGTCCACTAACATCTTCTGACGAGTTTTATGAATTCAGAAGAAAGGCAGCCGAGATAGTAGAAGACATTATATTTGTTGTTGGCCCTCTGAATACTTTTCAAGAATTGGCTAATTTATTTATGATGGAAAATACCTGGGAATCCAAAGAAGCGTCTTTATTTTTGCTGTACCATGTGTCGAAGTCAGTCGACCCGTAAGTTGTTGATCTTCGTATATAAAATGTGTACCATTTTTTGAATTGAATAATTTTATATTTTTGTATTGTTTTGCAGAACTGAAACATCAGTTATAAAACCATTTGTGGAAACAGTGTTGCAGTTTTCCGACTGGAGACATGTCTGCTTAAAATTGTCAGCGATAAGATTCTTGGGAGGAATGGCTAATTGGCTAAACAAGCATCCTGACGAAAATTTAGAAAAGTCTCTAAATCTTTTAGTGACATATTTGCCCCTCCCGGAATGTAGTAATGCTGCGGCGGTTGCGCTTCAGGTAAAAGATATATACGTACTAATTATGTATTTCTATTTAATTATAGTTTTTATGAGACACTTAATTCAATGTAACTTGTCGAAATAGAATATTTGCCAGCAATGTGCTGACCACATAGCATCTAAATATATCGACAATTTATTGGGCATTGTTGGGCAAATGGATCGGTATAATGTCTGCAATGATGCTGTCGTTGGCTTGCTAAAAGGTTTGTTTTGGAACATTGAATTAATAAAATAAAAACAAAACGATGACATTTGGTATACGTAATGCGATTTGTTTCTTGATTAGGTGTAGGTCATGTGGTTGGAATTCTTCCCCCAGATCAATTGTCTACAGTGATTCGACAAATCTGTTGGGGTCAAATACAGCCACTCGTCGAGCTTTGTGATGTATGTACTATACTAATGCTTGCACATGTATCTAAAGTTTAATTTTTTTCCTGCAGTAAAATGCAATAATCGTTTGACTGAATTGTATACTCCATAGAATGAAACACCACCAGTGAAAGGAACCAAGACTGATCCCGTATTTTGGGTTGACCGTCTCTCAGCTTTGTTTAGAAATCCTACAGCACATGATAAAGATGGCCTAGTTGTGGAACACCCATGCTCTGTCGCAATTTGTCAAGATTTATGGCCTGCCATTTCCAAAGTTTGTGACAAGTTTCAGGCAGATCCCCGTGTAATGGAGAGAGTCTGCAGATGTCTACGTTACGCAGTTCGATGTGTTGGGAAACACTCTCATCCATTTCTTCAACCTTTAGTTTTTCAGGTATTTGAGCTGATTTAGATTCAGTAATAATGTGCAGATAAATTCCCTCATATCACATAATTAAGTCTAATAGAAAAATAAGTCTCTCATTTGTTTTTTTTCCTTTCAGTTGATAAATATATACAATGCACACCATCACAGTTGTCTCTTGTATTTGGGGTCTATACTAGTGGACGAGTATGCAGCAGAGACTCAATGTGTAGATGGTTTACTTCAAATGCTTTCTGCATTTGTCCCTCCGACCTTTGCCATTTTGAACGAAGCTGGAGGATTTAGAAATCATCCAGATACTGTTGACGATTTTTTTCGCTTATGCGCTCGGTAAGACTTCATATTTCTAATTTCCAGATTGTCGTACACTAAAGATTAGTAGTATATGTTAGATTATATAAACTATGTTAAATTGTTTCAGTTACCTTCAAAGGTGCCCCTTGGCTATTTTAAAGTCTGATATAATGGCCTCATTAGTTCTCTGTGCGACACAAGCAACTCAATTGGATCATCGGGAAGCAAATGTTTCAGTGATGAAATTTTTATATGACTTGGTTCATGCGGGGCGTCGACAGCGAGAAATGCCAGATTTTTCTGAACGACAGTCGTTGGTCAGAGTAATTCTTACTCAAACGGCTCCTCAGTTACTCTGCATGATAATTTTTGGAGTTATATTTACATTGCCCTCCTACACTATTAATGATATTGCTGAGTTAATCTATGAAATCAAGGAAGTCATGCCGCAGGTATTTTCTTAATATACTTAAATACTAAATATTCTATTGCTATGCTAAATGATTTGTTTTAAAGCGGTGTATAAGTTAAAATTGTTAATATAATTTGAATTTAGGAATCATCAAAATGGCTAGAAGACGCTTTGAAACAACTTCCGAATCAAACTGCAGTTGGGAGTCAAACCGCAACACTTGAACAGCTTCAGTTATTCCATAAACAAGCTATGAGGTAGGATTAGTTGACAAAAATTGTTGTTAATTTTACTAATCTGTCGCTATCCCAAATTTTAGCGCAAGAAGTCCAAAGGAATTATCTAGAACCACAAAGGAATTCTGTCGATATTACAGATAATGACGAGAAGAAAAGTCATCTGCCAATATTTATTATGACTTATATCACATCTATGCACTCATCCCATAATTAAGGACGTTAATGTACAGAGGAATCGACTATTTGTTTCTCTTCAACTTAATTTATCTATATTTTACGTGACGCATTTAATAGCAAATTACTTCAGAATGAATGACAATGTCACCATATCGTATCTCTGTCTCCAGCACCAGCCAAGGTATTTTTTTGTCTTGTCGTTTCATATGAAAACGCAGGATATATGGACACAACCAATTCCCGACGGTAAATTAATTATTTTTACGTAGGTTATATGTCATGAAATATATACGAGATTAGTTCGATGGACGACAAACCGTGATATAGTGACCCACGCAAGATAGGCTAGGTTAGATATTATAGACCAGGTTAATTAAGAATGTCATACTTTGTCAGCGTTAATTTATTTAAACGAGAACTTTTTAGTGAAAGATTTAAACTATGATTATCATGTTGTAACGTTTTATTGTTTTATGTCAATGATTCCCTGTACGTTGGTTGTGGGTTGATAGAACAGAAACAACAAAAATATAAGGGTGACATTTTCTTACAGTTAAAAGAAATTTTAAATAAACGGTTAGCTGAAAATTAAACAGTTCTTGTCCTTACTGGACAACATCACTATGCATTTAAACATTTAAAACGTCAGCTTGTTCGCATTGCTATCATTCGTGCAGAAGTAGTTTGGCTCAGACGTCAGTTCAACCAGGTTGCTATTTTTTGGTTCTGAATAAAACTGAGAGAACCATCTCCGGAATTGCTTAATGGTCTGATCTTCCTTCGTTAAATTTGGTTTATGCATGTATGACTTTCTGTTCCATATGCGAATGTCTCTAGCGATCTAAGCAACAATATAATATTTAGAAATCGCCTGACACGTCGTTCACCATGATGATTGCAATACGACGCCAATCAACATACACAATTTTTACCTGCTTCGCTTCCCCGTCAATAATTAGCTTGGCCAAGGGGTGAATAATCCAAGAGGACGAGTAGAAATGATGAACCACTCGTTGGAGAAGTGGTTCTATGGGGGTTACGGTCTGCATGATAATTTATGGAGTTACTCGTATATATATGTACCAGTTGGGAATATGTATGTGCCTACCTGGATGAAGACGGCTTTCCCAAGGAAAGTGTTAAAATGAAGTGCTACGATTCCCGGCCCTGTCTTCAAAATACGAAGCTTTACGTCAATACATAAAATTATCTTTTTTAGAAATTAGTGTTTCACTTACCTGATGAATGTCCACATTAATCTTCAAGCACGGAAGCCAACCGAAAAGCTACATTCATTATGTAATTAAAGCATTTTTAACAACAAATCACAATTTAAATAAATAAATAGTTGTGAGAACCTACATACCATGATGTGGTGATTAACTTTCACGATTGCCTCATGGCGTCTATTGGGATCATCCGTGTTTGGTGTCCAATTAGCCTTCCAAACATGCTTGATAAAATTCCAGGAGAAAAAAGATTCTTTGGGATTGTCACCGCACAAAACTAAGTCAGAGTGCAGAACATTGAGATGTGCTGGGTCCGCACCGTTCTCGGGTATTTCCTGGTAAAAACATTTCTTGCTTATATATAAAATAACGTTGATCCATGGATGTGCATGGCAGATATTTTTCATTCTCACTTGAATGTGACACGCCACTCTCATCTCTGATCTGCCTCGATAAGACCAGGTGTTTAAATTTATTTCAGGAATCTCGTCAGGATGCCAAGTAGGGTCCAAGGACTCGGCATGATTCCATATAAATATGAATCCATCAGTTTCAAAAGTCTTCCACATTTTAATCTTGACAAACTCAGGCACTGCGAGTACAAAAATGCTTAAATCTCACAACAAACTTAATTAACATAGGTCGATGAGGTGAGACTACGAAATAAGATATCCGTCTCAAATTCTAAGATTGCCCCGTCTTCATTCGCTTACATTTATCACTGTATGGGATGGAGACGAGTTTTCCGTCAGATTTTCCATCGAAAGCCCTACGTATTCACTTCATTAAGAAAAATCATTCTACACAAGTATTTAGAATTATCTATAGAATTCCATATGACGATTTACCAACTGTGGAATGGACACTGAATGCATTCGCCCCGGACCTCTCCTCCAACCCCGAGATGTGCTCCGATGTGAGGACAGTAGGCGTCTGCCACGTAGGCACACCCACTCGAACCCCTCCAGACGACGAAGTTATTTCCTGTTCATTCCAAGACATGACATTTCACAATTCCAATACCCAATATTTGTGTCGGTGTTAAAAAAAAACAGCTGCCATACGATATGTACATATCTCTACATGCATCGCTACCATACTCACCGAGTGCATACATCTCCCGAGCTTGTCCAACTTTTAGCACCTTGGACTCCAGAACTGCATACCAGCCGTTGGGATAGGCAGGGGGCAGCTTCCGGTTCTTCTTTCGTCGACGCATCTCATTAATAGCGTTTCTCCGACTTGTATTATTTCTGATATTCTCAGGATTATCAACATCCTCAAACCCCAACTCTGTGAAATCCTGCCGAAAGTGAGAAAACGTTAATGGCTTAAGCGAGATTAAGGGAAAATTGAGATTATTTATTTATGTACACCCACCATAAAAAGATCATAGGGTTGATGAAAGAGTTTCCAGTAGAGATACGCCAATGCTACTGCAAGGACCGTATACTGTAAAATATGCACGTTACACAAGATACATTGAACACTGCCATTATTTCCGATTGTCTCAATGAGTGCTTGAAGTTGGTCGATGAATTGTAGGGAAGTCTCAGGTTTACTATTATTCAGATCCTTGCCCATTTTTCGCCTAATTTGTGAGTCCCTGTTGTCGGTTATCTAATCAATGCAGTGTTTCTGACTTTTATAATCAATACATATATAAATACTATTTAGGAAGTGCGACAAAACTTGGTTTGATCGATAGGAAACTTAAGGCCATCAGTGTTCTCACCATGAGAAGCAGTTTGTAACTAAAGTGGAATTGAAAACTAGTGTCAAAAAAATATTTATTAGTCAATGCAGTAAAAAGAATATTTGAAACTGCACGTATACATATTTATTTAAAAAGAAGGAAGGAGATTCCAATATTTTCAAGTACAATAAAGCTGTAAGTTTTTCCATGCAGGTGTGAAGCCAAGTAAACCAAACCGGATAATGGCAACAAACGGAAAATGTTAATTTTCTACAGCGTCAGAAAAAACGCAAGTCAATAATTTTACATATCACTTTGAACGAGAGCTTTGAATATTATGATTTCTTGAACTTGCACCAAGCTTCACGGGAATTTCGATCTGGAGATTTTTGTTGAAATCATCCATAATTCAGACTACCTAAACATACGTACATACACATTTGTATATTACTACGTCAAAAGTAGCATGTATCAAATCTTGGACATGTTTTAATTAAAAGCTTCATACTTTATAAAAACACCACTTTCCATAAATGTAGTTCGTTCGTCATCCGTCAAAATATGATAAAATAATGTATAAAATTTCACTCTAGGTCAATCCATTGCTCAATAAGTTGAAACTGTGTAATTTTTTCAGAACGGAAATTTATTTTTGATAGGGCAGGTCTTCATATTTATTTGTAGTGCTCTCGATGATTATGATGGCTTTATTCTTTTACACCTTGTACTAAAATTTACTTTCAAATATAAATATGTAAATATGTATGCGGGTAGATACATATGCTTGCACAATATTTGCGATAAAATAAACTATACTATTCAAGGTGAAATTGTTTAAAAAGACAAATTGTCTGGATTTAGTTTTATGGAGCCATTAGAGGTTGGTGTTGTTGTTACTGAAGGGTTTGGTAAAATTGGATTATTAAAAGCAGTTGACATCCGTGGACTGTTGCTTGAGTAAAATTGACTAAACCAACGCCGAAATGCTTTGATGGCTTTATCTTCCTTGGTCAGTAAGGGTCGACTGATGTATGTTTTTCTGTTCCAAATAGCGATATCTCTTTCCAACTAAGGACCCAGACATTCACATGAACTTAGATATTTGATACAGATTTGATTTATGTGTAACTTATTGAACCCAAGAAGATCATATATAATTATCGCATACCTGGATTGCTTCACCCAGTAAAATAAGAAGGCCAAAAGGGTGCAACATAGAACGGGATGAGTAAAATGTGTGCGTTATTTTCATAAGAAGTGGTTCTAAAGGGGTGACGTTAAAGAATAAAACGCCTTCTCCACCAAATCCCTTAAAACGCAGGTACACAGTTCCTGGGCCCACCTGCACCAATCTCACATACCATTTATTATCAGGGATTATAAAAGAAATAATAATTCTGATAAAAAAGGTGCAGAAGGAAGAAACACCTGACCTGATGTGCCTGGACATTGACTTCCATAAAAGGAATTTTGTTAAAAAGGCACATTCGGTGGGTTAATGTCATAAGTGCTCTGTGGGATAGCTCAGGATTAGAGTTTGCTTCCCAACTTCCGGACCATTGATGAGTTAAGAATCCCCACGTCAACTTGGCTTCGGTTGGCTTCCCCCCAGATAGCATGGCAGGTTTATGAACTACGTTTAGATGACTCATGTCTGCTCCATTTTCAGGAACTTCCTGCATAATATACATATATTTTTATATTTAGAAGAAGCGAAAATAGATAATTCTCATAATGTGTAAGGTACGTTTTAATCAAACATTAACCTGAATGTGACACGTTGCTAAAAATTCTGACCTCCCACGATATTTCCATTCTCCGGTAGCAATCTCTCTCATTTCATCCGGCTGCCAATTTGGCTGGAATTTTTATTTCATTTATCAGTTCACTATAAAGATAACTTGTAAAATTGTACTTAGCTACTTTAATTAATATTTCACTTCACCTTCTCTCCCTCTGCATGATACCACAAATAAATAAAACCATTCATCTCGACCGTTTCCCACATCTTGATCCTTGCAAATTCGGGTACTGAATCTGCATAAGGAATATCGACGCATTTGCCATTGCTCCCTTCAAAGGCCCAACCGTGAAAGGGACATTTAATGCAGTCATCCCGAACCTCCCCGTTGACACCGAGATGTGCTCCCAAATGAGGACAGTATGCATCTGCCACGTACGACTTGCCACTTTTCCCACGCCATGCGACCAAAGCCAACCCTGTGAAAGTGAAATGAAAGTCAATGCTCATATCATACAAGTCTTAAAAAATAGTCTTATCTTAAATAACATACCCAAACAACTCACTTCTCGTGAACCCTCAATGAGAAGTTCTCGTGATTCCAGGATTATGAACCAGCCATTCGGATACACTGGAGGAAGTTCTCCAAGCTTTCTCCGGCTTCGCATATCGTTAATTATGTTTCTTTTTGAGACATTGCTCCCTTTTCCAGGTGGTTTCCGAGCTGCTTCTTGAAACCCAAAGTCAGTAAAGTCCTATGATTTTCAAACAAAGTAGATATTTATCGTACAATTCATGGTACTGAATAGCTATGTACAAAATAGGTAACAGAAACAGAGATGTTAAGTACTCGATAGTAGTTGAATGGTCTCCAGAAAAAATAGTACCACAATGTTACAATAGGAGCAAGAATCACTAAATATTTTGCAACATCATAGGATTGGGTCGCTACTAAATATTTTATATATTCAGCTCCTTCCTGTACAAAAATGGCCAATTCGTCGCTGATATTTCTCATTTTGCTCAGAAATTGTCCCCAGATTCAGCAAAGACTGAACAGATTTTCAACACAGGTACAAAACCTACACAACAAAGTCCAGATTAGAATAAAATTCATTTTGATTGAAAGTATGACCTTGAGTTTACATACAATTAATTCAATGTGAGCTTTTAGAAGGAAAACAACACGAGCTAATTGGACTCTAATTGATGACCAGGTTGTATGTATGTATAGTGAGAAAAAGAGTGATATCATAATCAAGCGCTTATACCGGCCGATTAATAACCTTATACATATGCCACACTGTATGAACCACCATAATTTGACATGCAATAACAAACAACCAATGTAAATTTCATTTGATTCGTGTTGTGTTTCCTCATATTTTAAAATGCACAGCATTTGCACTAATCTGCATTTAAGTGACAATGAGTAAGTTAATGGGTTTGATCTTATCATGCTTTTCACACACCAGGTGTTGTGATTATGAATTAGTTGTTTTCATTTTGGTCAATTATGTGGGTAAATGAATTCATATTTCAGAATTTAGAACATGAAAATAGAATGATATCATCGCCGCTGAAAATGACCAAAAGTGCTTGCTTGTTTTCCAGTTGGATGTTTTACTTTTATATTTTCTTTATTCCATTTCTTGAGAACATTAGATGTTACATAAACCTAAAAGCTGGCGTTTAATTATTTATTAACAAGAAAAAATTGGGAATAATAAGTAGTTGCATATCAATTTGACGCGAGGCGAGATATGAAACGCAATGTAGACATTATACGGATTCACACGGACAGACCTGAAAAGCCAAGAAAGAAATCTGACTGAAATTAAGTATGCTAATAAAGTACTCCTGTACTACAATAAAGCATAAAGGATGGACTCTTAATCTATTTTTTCCCCAACTGGAAGAAGTAACGTTCTTGATATACAGACTAAATTTAAGAAATTACACAAAATTATTAAAGGCAACTTATCTACACTCTCTTGATGTGGTTCTAGGGAGGATTCTTCGTACTAGGGTTTATTAAACATTGTATTGATCACTTTTCTCCATTTTCTTATCTTATGCGTTATCTTATCGTCAGTCACAACTTTACTTACAGTTATTCCATGCCTATGATTTTAAATGCAATTGATTATAGTAATTACACATGATAATACAATTACAGAACCGGGATGATGGTATCTGTAATTTCATTAATTCATTATTTGCATAGCCAGTAAATTTGGTAGTAACATAACTGTAAACCTGTAATTTGTATATATACACTCGGAATAGCATGGTTTAATATTTTTTGTCTAAGACTATTTTCTGTAATCTCATATTCAGTTGTTGTTACAGCTAAAGCTACAGCTACATATATAAATATTCAATCGTCTCTCAAAATGAGTCGTAAAATTTACAAAAACAAACAAATTACAACGTATTATATTACAAACTACTTCAAGTAATTCTATATTCTTAGCAGTATCATTATTACTATTTAATACGCCAAGTTATTCAATTGTAATTAGGGTAGTCCCTGACGTTTGAAGGTGGTTGTTGCTGTTGGTGGTATTGTTGCGCAACTTCATACCCGTATGCAACAGGATAGGTCGTGTAAGTTACTGGAACAAGCATTTGAGCCTGTTGTGGTTGAATTGCGTGAGTTGGAATATGTTCTATTTGGATCTTTTGAACGGTGGCTGCTACTGGTGCGGCTGGGGGAGGGACGACAGCGGGAGCAGTGGCCACGTTGGGGGGTTTGATCTTTCCAGGACCACTCTTCGTGGCTCGAGGTTTTTCCTCCTTCTCAGGATAGTTTTTGCGTTGACAATATCGCTTGTGAGCGCTAAGATGTTGGGGTTCCGCGAATGCTTTTCCACAATCATCGCAACTATACCTAAGAGGTCGTTGAGGTTCTTCCTCTTGGGATGATCTGTTTCCTAAACTTTTTTCGTGAATCTTTTCATGACGTTTGAGCTTGGACCGACTGGCGAATCCTTTTTTGCACACGTCGCAAACAAATGGTCTCTCCCCAGTGTGACCTCGTAAATGTATTCTTAGTCTATCTTTGTATCTGAACGATTCTCCACAAATTTCACACTTGTACGGACGTTCCCCAGTATGACCTCTCATATGGATTCGTTTATGGCTCATGTGAGTGAATCCCATGCCACAAACTTCACAGCTAAATCTGAATTCCTTCAAGTGTACTGTCTTGACGTGAAGTTTCAGATTAGTTGGATTGGCAAATTGTTTGCCGCATTCTTTACACTTGTAAGACTCCATGTTCAATTCTGCATGTTGTCCTTGATGGTATTTTAAATAGGTTGGGTGAGAAAAGGCTTGACTGCAGATTTCACAGAGGTAGGCTCTTTCTCCAGTATGAGTAATTCTGTGGATTCGAAGACGATGCTGACGGAAGAATGCACGATCGCAAAACTCACATTTTAGTGGAGGAACTTCCCAGTGACACTGTTCAATGTGAGTTTCCCGTTTCAATGCACTGACGAAACTCTGATCGCAGTGGTCACACTTGAACGGCGTCTCTCCCGTGTGGAGCCGAACATGAACTCGCAATTCACTTCCATTTCGATACTTTTGTCCACAGAACTCGCAAATATGTTTCTTTTTATCTGAAATTGAGAACAAAACCAGTTACTGACAAATCCACTTATGATCAAAAAAACAAGCATTATTAAACTCGTATTGTTCAATTATTGTGTATTATTCAAAAAATAAATTGATTAATTAAATTAAACTTTAAACAGTATAATATTTAAAGCTTAAAATATTTTATTGTTCGAAAATTATTATACCTGAGCTTTCACCATTTTCTGGCATAATACCGTGATCCTTTTCTAAATGCCTCTTCAGCAGATTAGGACGCTTGAACTCCTTATCGCAGTGTTCGCAGGAATGCACTTTAAGTGAGCCACCACCTACATATGTTGAATTATATGAAATGATTAAGGAAATGTGAATTTCATATTAAAGACTTACCCCTGCCTCTTCTTCGACGCCCATGTCTTTCACCTCCAGGTTCGTGGTAACGAGCAAAATGTTTGTCTTTCTTTTCGTCATCGGCAAATGTTCTGCTGCACTCTGGGCAAGGAATACGAGGTCCAGCGCTGCTTCGACGTCGTTTCCTAGCAGGTGCACGCTCGCGATAATCATCATCATCTTCGTCATCGTCATCATCAAACTCATTTTCTTCGTCAGAATTGACGTCAGAGTCGTCAGAAGATGTTTCTGAATCAGCTCCCTCATGAAATTCGTCATCCGAGTGACCTATCGTCGTATGAACACCAAAATATTAAATATATGTAATAACCCTTTATTAGGATTAGTTTGGATTTAGTAACTATTGGACAAAATACCTGGAGACCAATCAGGTTCACTTTTTGGAGAGGCACCCCCCTCATCCTCGACTTTCTCAGCTTTTATATGTTGCACTGTGGTAGTCCTCTCTTCTTCTTCATCATCATCGCCCATCAACCACTTTTTGTAATTCGGTTTCTTTACTCTCCGCCCAGAATGAGTTTGTATAACTTCATGTTCTTCTTCTTGCTCATCGTCCCCGAATTCGTCGTCAAAGTCGGGGTCAGAATTGTACTCTTGTTTAACACCGGATGCATCAACATATTGTTTTTTAGGCCGACCTCGTTTTTTAGACCCTGACTCCAACGTCACTTGTGGGTACAGAGCAGAACGATTAATAACTGTCTTCTTCTTTCTTCCGGGTTTCCTCCCTCTTCTCCCTTTCTTGCGGTAATTTAGTAGTTTGGCAATGGCAGGACAGTCCTCTGTAGTAAACAAGACAAACATATTAATTTAGTCTAGTGAATATTTAACCAATTTACATGGCACGGTTAAAAAAAATATAGCTACCTCCTAAAATAGCTCTCCTTGTAGCATCAATCTGTCCTATGAGCCCTTCAACTTCTTCAGCCTCCTTCTTCCTCTTGCAAAAGTTGGCATCAAAAGTCGTCGCCACTTGATCTTTTATCGTGTCCCTCAAATTTCCCAGGGTATTTTCAAGCCGCTGAATTTCCTTGTAGATAACTAATGCGTCCGCTACCACGGACTGACAAGGGTGACAAAGGGGAACAAAGTTTAGAAGCATATCGACATCTTGATCCAAATCATCGAAACTTGAGCCCAAAACTTGAAACAAGAGGTCTAAATTAAGTCGTGTATCCTCCTCGCTATTGTCATGGTCAGATTCATCGTCTGAATTAGACTGATGACGCATCTTTCCCGTTAAGACATCTTTTATCTGCTGAGCAGTTTCTTCCGTGAGGTTGCAAACCTTTTCAATTCCTTCTCCTACATTCAGGTTCAAATCACCACCCCCACAACCAGTCTCAGCGGTCAACTGCTGCTCCAGTTCAGATTCAGGGTCTCTTGCTTCTGACTTTATTCCGAAAACATTGTTGTCCTCACCGACCGAGACGATAGGTGGGAGAGTAGCCTCAGTTTTTGTCATTATTGTTGCTGCTATATGACTCATTTCTTCCTGACCCCCCTCTTCTTGATCTATGAGGTCTGGAAGTATTTTCTGAGTGTCTGCTTCCTCCATCAACGTCGTCGTCGTCGTCGTTGGCGGCACAGTAGTAGTATCAATAGTATTGGTGGCATCAACCTGCTCTCCTTCGGCTGGTAAGTTAGGTTCAACAACTTGGACAGGGCTCTCGGGCTTCTTTTTTCTGCAGAGATGTTCTGGCGCAGGGATTGTCACATAGCACATGAGACACTTTGCTTTGGTAAGGTCCCAGCCTTTAAACACGCCATTCTCATCAGATGACTCTTTACATGAGGGACACTGACAAGGAGGTTCTTCTTCTTCTTCCTCTTCCTCCTCCTCTTCTACCACTGGAGGGGGTGGTGGTAGGAGAGGTGCTTCCATGTTGGTAGACATATTCTGCTTTGGATCTTCCCCATCTTCAGCCCCGGAAGGTTCTTCCACAATAGTTTCAAGAATCTGGCCCTCGTCCGTCGTGTCCAAGAGGGACGAATCCACTGCCTGCTCCAAATGTTCGTCGTCCTGATTAATGGGCAATTCCTCCTCCCCCACGACCATACTGTCATCATCTTCAGGAGGCGGCCCAACTTCTTCTTCAAGTACTGCTTCATCCACTTCCATGACATGAGCGAGATCGTCCCCATCGATAAGGCCATCCCCTTCAGTCCCATCACTGGCCAGAGGGTCGGCATGATGATGGTGATGATGATGGTCACTTAAGGACTCGGCTAACTGGGCTTCAGAGAAAATGAGCTGGTCATCCAGGTGGTGGACGGAGGGATCGCCCACAACGACGACGACAGGGGGAATATCTCCCTCCTCGTGGTGGGAGGAGTCTGGGACCTCGGGTGGGAGGTCCATGTCACACACGCACTACTTATTCAGAGAACAGAGAAAAAACTGTCTAATTATTATTGTTTGTTATTTGTTATTATTATCTTTGAGAGGGGGACAAAATGTGAAATGTGTCGATGTTGGGCCTTATTTTGTATTTATGCTGTTTTGAGAGAGAGGAGAGAGGAGGGAAGCGACGAGGAGTGTGAATTGCGCTCTGGCTGGAGAATTGTGTTTAGATCGATCGAGGGAGCTGCATGATTGCGTAGGAGAGGGGCGAGTGGCGACTAAACCATAGCTGCCCAACCTCCGCTCACTTCCAGGTAAAATATTCCCCATCGGAATTTAGGCTTTGGCCATTGATGACTTCAAAATTGTTGACTTTTATATTTTCTGAGCTCCTCTAAAGTCTATCAAAATCGTGACTGCATTCGACTTGGATAATTACAGACTCTCAGGCAAATCGGGGTTTATAAACGTTTTTGACGTCCCGAAGGGAGAAGTCGTGCAGCCATGGACGGAACCGAGTACTCGCCTGGCAACAAAGAACTCCCTCGGTGGATGCCACTCGGCCCGGACCACGCAGATTTTCGTGGCGGTTGGACTGAACTGATGAATGCATGTCCCACTCGGTCCTCATTTAAGAATTCTTAGTCGTTCGTGGGGAGTATCACCTCCCCCCCAAAAAAGTTAGGTCATGACCTTGCTCCTGCTCAATGCTAATGAGTATTTCATATGTTTGAGTGCGTGTGAATTTGCGTGGGGAGTGAGCACAAATGGCAGCATCAATTACGTATTCAATTCTCTGCAAAATTTGCAATGCATTTACTATAAATTTTGAATTTGGAATAATATTTAATTTCTCAAGGCAGATTGCATACTTGAATGATGTTAGAAAGAGACTTAACTGTAGGAAATTTTGAATACATGTCGTCTATGAGTCGGCCGCGTTTCATCTACTTTCATGAACGGTGATGAATGACCATCCATCACAATGTCCACATAACAAGATATCATAGTGACTGAAATTTGAATTTTATAATGCTGTATAAATTCAAGAAATGCGTAAAGCTGAAATCTTAATCTTATATATATCTATTAGACACTTTGTCTTAATCACTTCAAAACAGAACATACCGTTTTTTGATGCTTTATTAGTTTCATTCATTCAAACTGTAGCTACAAATTGACGTTTTAAATGCAAAATTATATGTATACATTTTTTTATGTATTTATTTTACATAATATGCAGTTCATTATGAATTAGGATATGTTGTATGTTGTGTGTCGGCTTGAGAGCCTTCTATGCATCGTAATGCAGAGATTATTTTCATATTATTAGGAGTTGGCAATCAATGTAACATTTTCATAATTCTAAAAGTTATGACATTAATGAATAGCATGCACGACGGAAGGGGATTCTTCGTTCAATTGCGAATTATTAGACCAATCAATCTGAAATTGCATTCTAACAGGTTATCAAGAAGAATAAGAAACATCTTGCAATATGCCAAGTTGAACAAAAAATTTAGCTTATTTCAAATGATTTCAAATCTTAGTAAATACGTCTCACAATAATAGGTTTATGAAATACGTCTCAACTTGAGACTCTCAAGTTTGAGAAAGAAAGCACAGAGAAGTGAGACAAACATGAGACGGTGCGGTGGTGGAAGCTGCAGCAAGGATCAGGAGCGACCTCTCTCCATCGCAAAGGGAAAATGTTGACTTGCTGGCAGAGGGAAATTACGAGTGTGCCATTCACGCTGGTTCTAAATACCACGATCCAACAAGACCGGAGGACGACGATCGCCGGATTTCTTCTCATTTAAAAGTCTACTTGAAAACATCCCACAATGAGGTAATAAATATAACCACCCCCACACCATGTGCTATCCTGTATAGTATCTACAATGTCATTATTAATATCATTCTTGTTCTTACAGTGGAAAGATTTCAAAGGAATATCTCTTTGAGTGTGTCAATGCCGTTCTTCAGGCATCCACCGTGGAGAAGAAACGCAAGTTCTTGGAGACCGTGGAACTCCAAATTGGACTCAAGAATTATGATCCCCAGAAGGATAAGCGTTTCAGTGGCACTGTTAGGTAAGCTAAATGATCACATTTATACTTGATTAACATCAAAGTCGCCATGCTTATAAATATGTATTAAATCTCTGCTCTTTCGGACAGAATCTGAAATTGTCCTCGTTATAATAGTATGCATTAATTAATTTTAGGCTGAAGTCCATCCCTCGCCCAAAGATGAACGTATGTGTGCTAGGAGATCAGCAACATTGCGATGAGGCCCAGGCTAACAACATCCCTTGCATGGATGCTGAGGCCCTCAAGAAATTGAATAAGAATAAGAAGCTTGTTAAGAAACTTGGTAATTGAACTTTTCAGAAGATAAGATTTGTTGACAACGTTGATATTTTACTGAGATTAACAACGAATTACCTTTACAGCCAAGAAGTATGACGCATTTTTGGCTAGCGAGTCGCTCATCAAGCAGATTCCTCGTCTCTTGGGACCTGGGTTAAACAAGGCTGGAAAGTTTCCTGGTCTTCTAACTCATCAGGAGTCTATGACACAAAAGGTTGATGAAGTTAAGGCCACCATTAAATTCCAAATGAAGAAGGTTTGTACCTCATACAACTATAAGTTATAGAGTTGTAGGCAGTATTTTTGTAAAGCTTTATATTCATATAAACTTATCTTCTTTTTAGGTCTTGTGCCTTTCTGTGGCGGTGGGTCATGTTGGAATGAGTTTGGAGGAATTGGCTTCTAATGTCCATCTTTCAATCAACTTTTTGGTTTCCTTGTTGAAGAAGCATTGGCAAAACGTGCGATCCCTTCATATTAAGTCCACCATGGGAAAAGCACAACGGCTGTTTTAAACAACGGTTGTTTTTATTACTTCGAAAATTTACCATTTTCTTTGTAAAACTTTAATGGTAATTAAACATGGATGGGTTTCGTATGATAAAAGACGACTTATTGTAAAATCATTTGTATTCACTTTGCATTTAACTCGTCAAGATGCTATTTTAGAAAATCTCACATGCCCGTCAATCTGATCTCAAGTTGATGGTTTGCAGGGTTGGCCAAGATAATTTAACAAGATACAAGATATCAGATACAAGATATATCTTTTATTTTGTATCTTGTGTAACGGAGTTTATCTTATCTTTTATCTTGTATCTGAACGTTTCGCAAAAGTATTTTGTATCTTGTATCTTGTATCTGGAGAATTTATTTCAACCATATTTTATTTGAAATACTAGTCAAGATACAAGATACTTTTTTTAGTGAAAAACCGGGAAACTTGCATATTTGGTAGTATTAAAACTTGGAATTATGAAGATTTAAAAACCTTGGATGCAAGGTTCTGTTATATAACGTCGTAATACGTATGTATTTATTTATCCACAGTAAATAAACCCTCGCACGTGGTCAAATTTTGTAATTTGCATTATATTCCTAATTTGTACCACCATTAGAGCAATTATTCCTAATTTCAACTGAATATACTGGTAAGAATAATTTCAGCTCCATAGAATAATTTAAAAAAATCAGTATCATCACAGATGAAATCCTCATATTTGTTTATAAATTGTAAACAGAGGGTGAGGACTTGCATTATAAATTACAATGCAAGTTACGAGTCTATACTATCATTATTAACAAGTTACTCGGCTACAATACAAAAAATCAAGTGGTGCTTCGTTATTTCATGTTTTTTGCAAGCTCCGAATAATTTATCTTGTATCTTGAAAAAATTATTTCAAATAAATATCTTGTATCTTGTATCTGGGATCACAGCAGATAAAATCTATCTTGTATCTTGTATCTTGTGTAACTCTAATTATTTGTATTTAGTATCTTGTATCTTAAGGTTTCGTTCAAATATTTTGTATCTTGTATCTTTGAAACAAAGTATCTTGGCCAACCCTGATGGTTTGACATGAAAATTGCATCATTGTTGTAAAGTAAAAGTAGTCTTCTGAGCAAAGTCCAACGTGAGTGGGGAAATTGAGACGATCTGCTAATCGTAAGCATGCATGTTGTGTGAAATTGCCCAACTTGAGATTGAGTAATGAGTGGAGAACCAAAGCAGGAAGAAAAGTGGTGAAAGTTCCAGCCAAGGAGAGCAATTTTGCTCCAGCCAAAGATTTACAGAACGAGGGGTCCAATTCAATTAATTCCAAAAAATGGGAAAGTATTACGAAAACTGCTCTACATTCGCATATTCCTGGGAGCAAATAGTTACTGCTTTCTGGAAAAGATATCCCAATCCTTTCAGGTAAAATGATTACAATTTGTAATTTACAAATTGTAATTTACAATTTCAATACAATTAACATTTGTTTTGATTTATTACCAACATCTTTTTGAGGCCCGTGGCCGTACAGCAATGAATATTCTTTACATGACTAATGTTAATGTTATATACAGTTGCAAAATTTTATAATATGTTGGAGTATAACAACAATGAATAAGAACCCTTGAGTTTGGAGTTTACCAAGTCTTGATGTTCATCGATATAAATTCGGATATTTGATTGATTCATAATTATTGTGTATTTTAGCACACATGTCCTCTCAGAAGACACACTAAATCGTGAAATAATACAAGGTAACACCCTCTTCACGAGAAGAATTTTAACAAAGACGAACCGTGTGCCTAAATGGGGGGAAAGATTTGTCAAGTCCACCACCGTTGCTATCGTCGAAGAGTCGTACGTCGATCGCAAAACCAAAATCCTGACAACCTACACGAGAAATATTGGACTGAATAGGATCATGGTAAGAAATTCCATATATGATAATAATAATTGATCAGTGATCAGTCGACTAACTAAATTTGCTTCTCTTATGATCAGAGCGTCACAGAGAAAGTCATATACACTCCAGACCCTTCCAACCCAGGACACACGGTGGCAAATCGGATGGCGTGGATCGATTCACAAATGTATGGGTTCAGACGAGCCATTGAAGCGTTTGGCTTGGAAAGGTTCCGAACCAATTCGGCTCGAGCATCCGCTGGATTTGTTCACATACTTCAAATCCTGTATCCCAACTATCAGAACAAACTCGCGTTGATGTCACTCCACGCCTCCTCCGTTCCCAGTTTCGACGAGACAAAGGAAAAGTTCAAAGAAAAGGCAAAGAAAGCAGCAGGTGAAATTGCGAGACAGTCGGCCGAAAAAATTTCACTCGTGTCAAATGCCAACGTCGATTCATAAATACGAAGGACCATCTATATTATTTCTTACATGTATCAATCAATTGACCCAATTTCGCAGTCTATCCTAACCCGTACGTAATCACACATCGCAAAACTAAGCGTATTATTCATCATTCATCTAATGATTTGTTACAAACTGTACAAACGAAAAACTACACAATAATAATGTAGTCTACATTGTTCGTTTAGGAAATAAATACATATAATCTTTGCAACAGACATTCATTTTATTGTTGACAAACTTTTGGTTATTTATTTGACAAGTCTAGCATGTCCAACTGAAGACATAGAAAGTGAGAATTTGTTGCTGGATCAAGGCGCTTTTTTGTGCATTGTTGGATCGAATTGCATTGCATGAGGAAAGGAATAAGGATTCGGCTAAACCAGAACAATAAATAAACTGGACTTTGACTTCCTTCCTTCCTTCTTTCCTTTCTTGTCTTCTGTAAAGTCATGTAGTTATTTTGTCACCATCTTGATTAAAGCTCTACACGAGTGTTAAGTGTTGGTGATGTCATTGCAACTTTTTAACTGATGAATTAAGAAAATTATTATGACCCGATTAAGAACCATATTTTTAAAGTTTTGACTAATTTTTTAACCTAACTATCTTGACCGTCCTCCAGTAATTTATTTAAAGTTATAAATATATAATAGTATAAATAATTTTACAAACATAATTTAATTCACGGACAACGAATAGAACGAACTATAAAATACAATATAATTACAATTTTTGATAAACTACATAACATGTAAGTAAAGCTCCTGATACTAATACTATGCACTATTTAATTTGCTATACACATCGATCCATTCCATTCTTACATTATGTAACAGAGATGACTATTTAATTCCCTCAGATAACGCTTAGAAAATAACCAAGACTAGTTTTCAAAATGGATGACTCTGACGACTCCTCTTCAACTTCTTCGGGGCTGTCAAACGACGACCCCATTGGAGATATTGGGGACAACCAGATGCCAGATACCAAAAAAGATCATGAAGAGAAGGAGGAGCACGAAGTACAAGTTGTTTTAACGACGGACACCGAAAATTTGATCAAAAAGGAGGAACCACCAAATACAGATAGAAATAATACTGCTGGGAACATGTGAGACATTCTAAAGTTAATTCAATTTTCTTGCAAGTTTTCATGTATAAGTAAATGCAAGTAAGCCATGATTTGCTATCCTTTAGATTTTGTCCACAAGTTCCAGGCACGAGTGTTGATCAGACTTGGGACTACAGCTTAAGGCAACAACCTCCAAGTTCCGGTGAGCAGCCACAATCTAATAACAAGGGTGGGACCATTTGGCTTGTTGATGTCGAGTTCCAGAAAAAATTGGATGAATATAGTGTTTTTAGTGCGTGTGACCACGAAGTTATCAAATTACCTTGCCCATGTCCGAAAAAGGAGTCTTTCTCCATTTGTAAAAAGTGTCATAGGGTTTTTTGCAGCAACAAGTGTCTTAAGAAAACGTAATAACTTTGCTAAATCTCTAATTTTTTGGTAAAACAAAATGTTTTATATTTTGTCGGTAAAAAATTAATGTCTCGGCTGCATGTTTCAGAAAAGAAACTCAAAATAAAGAGGGCAAACCTGATGAAATAACTGAAACAGAGGAGGTGGTCCCATGTACTGACACCACCTCTGCAATTACTTCGACTTCTCCCAAGGCAGCCAGTGTTAAGCCCAAATCTAGTCCTAGGACTTTGCCTCAACCGTCCCAGATGTCTCCAAATATAGCAGGTTAAAAATGCTCAACCTTATTGAGAAGTGGGACTATTTGTCGAAGATGCAATAACGCATTTATAATAATGATAATTCATATATATCCTTTTCAGTAGCTTCAATGCCGTATCATGAGAATACATTACGCCCAAAAATGGGAATGCTTCCTCCAAACAAGCAATATGGAGCAAGCATGGGAAATGGAAACCACCCCAATCCTACACGGATGATAAAGTCACCACCACTCCCACTGTTCACTTCTCAAACTGGGGGAGGAAATACATTTATGCCTAGTAATGAGGATGGACTTTTAGGATCATTTCCAATGGGAATGCCTAATTTTCAGCCCATGGCATTCTTCCAACCACCACCACCCCCACAATCCATGCCAATTATGAACAACAATAATGCCCCGTACTATCCAATAAACACAAATCAATATCACATGGGAGGAGTTGGAATGTCAAATACATTGATGCCGCTACCAGCGGCACGAAGATATCAAGACAGACGTCAAAATTTACCAACTACAATTCCCCCATATGGACATGGCAATAATATGTCAAACCCACAACCAAGGCGTATCACCAACAAAAATTTGCCTCCCCCTCCCCCTCAACCTCATCATCAGCAACATCCTCAACATCCAACTCAATTATCTTCTTCGCGAAACTCTTTAGCGTATAATTCTCCACATCTAAAACATAATGTACCCAATCAAATAACGGAGCAGCCTAAGCCAACTCTTTTGCATAACTATTCTGCTCCTCCGCTTAGACAATCATTCGATGCTCAAAAATCAGCATTTGACCATCCTCCATTTGAAAATAGTGTCTCCCAATACAAAACTCAAAAGCCAACAAAGAAAGAAATGTCTCCGGACATGGATAGTTTGCAGAAATTCCGCGGACTTGGACGTGGGAATAAATCGCTACAACCAAGCTCTACGCAAAAATCAGAAACTGATAATACATACTCATCAATGGTAGAACCTTCTACAACTGCTGCAAGTCGACCACAACATCAAGTATTTAACTCAGCCGATACTGGCGTGCAAGTTGCTTCTTCTCAATTTAATAAAACACGTGCAGTCAGAAAAATACTGGTGGATTCAACTAGTCAGAATACTCAGTCCAAGTTAACCCATCCTACTACTGAAAGTTACAATAATGTCAAATCAGCTACTAATTTTGCGAATCCAAATACTCATCTTGCAAATCAGCAAGATCGAGCAGTACCTCGACAGGCCATTAGGAAATCGTCATCCCAAAAGACGCATTTGTCATCTTTATCCCGGAAAGACGTCATCCTTGTCTCTGACAGTCCTTCTGATGACCCAATATTTTCTGACCCGTACGTTTTTTATGGTGTTCCCATGCAGGTATGCAACCGTATAAACTAAATTTAATATAATTTAATATATACCTCGGAAGAAAATCACTCTACAAATCAATCTCAACATTTTGCAGGCTAATCACGCCTATGGAGACTCGTTGTCTGATTTTTACGTGTGGAGTGGATTTGGATGCAACAGCAACCAATCTATTATCGAAGAGCTGACATCATTAGGAGAAGGTTCTTTGCTACCAAAAACTCCAATTGTTGGTGATTGCTGCATTGCAAAATACACAAGTGATGGTGTTGATGGATGGTATGGTTAACAATGTATTTCGATTTATAGTCAATAATAATAATTTCAGATTTATAGCTGATTTGATATTTGGGTTCAAGGTTTCGGGCACGTATCATTGACATCAAGGATGATCAAGCGCAGGTCTATTTCATCGACTACGGTAACAAGGAAGTTGTATCAAATAGTCTCATCAGGAAACTACCACTCTCATTGCGAAAAATGCGACCATCCGCTATTCGAGTTGAAATCGGAGATTTTCGACCGAATGAAGGAATCAACGCAGAAAACTTGGTTGAGGCTTTTTATAAGTATATTCTCGAACATAAATTTCGCGTTACCATTTTCGAAAATGTAAGAATCATAAAATTTACAAAACGTAGCCAGTATTTTTTATATGACATACTTTTTTACAGTCCGTTCAGCGTCCTACTGGCAGGTTTGAGTATCCAATTTTGAAAGCTAAGTTTGAAATTAAAGACAGTGATGGTCAGTGGACAGAATTGAGTGATTGTTTAGAAAATGAAGGACTTGGACACAAAAGTAATTTAATATAATAAACTCCATTATTTCCTTTCAATCATGAGGTTATACATGTATTATAAATATTATCACAAGTATTATTATTATTTACAGTCAGTTTTGATACGCAAGTGTTCAAGAAAAATGAAAATGCCTGTGACGACTACCCATGTTTCACCGATGTACATCGTGAGATTCCTGTAAATTTTATTTTGGAGTAAAAAGTATCAAGTGTGTATCAATTACGCTGTCATTCAAATCTTTATTTTATAGGCTAAAATCAGTCATGTTAACCAACCCAACGACTTTTATGTTATCCCTGAAGACAATGTTACAAAGAGAGAAACCCTTTCTACCTCTTTGAATGATGCCAACATGAAATTCGAAGAATTTAAAATGGAAAAGTGGATTGAAACCAACTACATTTGCATTTCTAAGCGATTAGAAGGCATATGGTTAGTTAGTTCAACATTAACCATCTGTTGTTAAGCCGAGTGTATTTATAAGTAAGTAGCTTATGTTGAATCTGTTACAGGGCACGGGCCAAGATAGTTGAGATAACTGAGGACTGCACTGCAATAATTCGATTTATCGACTTTGGAGATACAGTCGAGAAACAATTGCAATACTTGAAGTGCGTCCCTGCAAACCTCCTGTCCATTCCCCAGTTAGCATTTCGGTGCAGTTTGCCAATTCTTCCTCAGGACAAATGGGATTTGACTGATTCGAACGTAACAGTTCTTAACGATATGAAAGACCTGGGCATTTCTGCTATAATTATAGTGTTCGCCATGGTACATTACAGAATTGACAATCCATTATGCACTAAGCTCAAATTATTCATAGAATAATTTTATTTGCTTTAGGAATTCGAGATCCCTGCTCATATTGTGGAAGTTTTTCAACTACAAAGTACTTTGGGACTTGCCAAGGCCTTGTTGAAGAAAACGGACTGTTTACAAGAGTACGAGGTGGACTTGGATATACGGAAAAAAATTCAAGACCAGATGCAAGATCGACAGACGACAGATTCAAGAACTGAAGTTGAAGTAGCCAATGTTCATGGTAAACTATACGCATAAAATATATTTACCATCATTTACCAATTACATTCTTGCTAATTGCCATTCTAGTACCAGCCATAACAGCTCCTATACTGCCCTCACAATCAAAACCGCAAGAGCAACAACGAATCTCTCCTTTGAAAAATGACTTATTAGTGGAACATGAACTTGTAGAGATTGCAAGTTTAGATTTAACCGACGCGTCATCAGAAATTCGACTACCGTTGCCAAATATAGAGCCTCAAAAATCTCTACACGAGTTTAAAAAATCAGAATTTAAAATTACTTGCATGGAAGGGTTTAATCAACTTTGGATCCAACCAACCAACTTGGCAGATTTAGCAATGCACTTGCAAGAGGTCATAATTGAATGCGTTGATTCAAGTAAATCAAAATAATACTTTTAATATAGTGCTGGCTTTCTTTGAGTGAACTACGTTCACACTAATGTAATATGTTATAGAAAATTGTTTCCAAGCACCTCCACCCCTCAACACGATCGTAATTGCTCCATACCCAGATGGAAATTTTCATAGAGGGATTACAAGGAAAATATCGGTTGGAAAAAAAGTTAAAGTCATGGTTGAATTTATCGACGTTGGAAATAGCTTCAAAATCTCTTTAAGAAAACTAGTACCTGCGTCAGAAAATGTGGCAAATGTAATGCTGATATAAATTTAAGATTATTTTAATGATGATTATATGAATTATTATTTTTAGTTCCCCAAGTTGACGTACCACGCCAAATTAGTAGATGTGGACGATGACCCGCAATTACTCATGTCCCAGGATTTAGATAAAGTCATGGACAAAGTAGCCAATATAACGTTTTTGATGGACATGGTATTGAAGGCTTGTTTAGTTCTTATGATTCTTGTGGACTACATCTACAAACTGACATTTTGTTCCAGTGCAATGGAAAACAAGAACCATACATTGTGAGCTTAAGGCCGAAAGATGCAGCTGAGGGCGACACTATCTCCAGACGAATTCTAGCTAAACAAGTTTGGGAATGGGAAACTGTATGGAATGCTGGCTATAAAGTTGATAAAATTTTGTTCAGCCGTAAGATATACAACGGATATGATATCCTGTCTCTGTTGTCCCAATTAATTTATTTTATACTTGTATAATTATCAGATAGCAAATATCGAGACTCTGTCCCTCTCAAAGTTGAACACATAGAACCCACGATGCTTCCACCAGGCCTAAAGTTAACGGGAGAAGTCAGCAGATTTACAGTCGAAGGAGATATCTACATTGTCAATATTACAGATAAAAATGACATGATTCAACGTAATCATCGAGTTCTTGAAGCTCAAATAGCCAGATTCGTTGAAAAAGTGGCCCCAACTACATTTTTTCCAATCATTGACGAAGTTATCTTAATTTACATCCGTATGCAATTTTTCGATATTATTCTTCTCTATTAATATATCGTATCTATTAATCAATCAATTTTTGGATTTGTTGCGCGTAGCGGATATTCCTGAGTTACGGTCTATGAATTTGCATGGCGTTGGAAAGTGGAATAGATGCATCAGAGAAAACTCAGAATACTTTCGCAACTTTGACTATGATGAAATTTATCCCATCAACGCCGAGCAATCTGGACATTTTTTGTATCGAAAATTGTCGTTAGAATTTTTTCACCGTGTCACAGGTGTGTATTTTATGTTATTTATAAAGAGTATTCTAAATAGGATCAAAATTGGAAGGTCATTTGTTCTTGTTTGATTCCAGTTGGTGTTGCTGAATGTAAATTGAAGGGTATAAATAATTACCGTGAAATATTATTAGAAATATCACCCATGAATTTTATATTTTATGGTACTTGGTTTGTCTCTTAGATTTCAAACCTTCATCCGCCCTAACTAAGCGAATGCAGTCAAAACTTGGAGAAAGGAAATCTGTGACATTCATGGTCGATCGTTACGACGAAGACAATTTGATTAACATAATAACAATTGATGATTTTTAAGTTTAATGAGCAAGAATTTGTTACTTCTCAGTTTGAAATTTTAGCTCAATCTACCCTTCGTTATTTATGACTTCTAGTATTTTTTAATATTTTTAACTTTATCTTGTTCAACCTGTTTTTACCAAGATTTTATTGTGGAAATGACACTCCAGCTAGTTTTATAATGAAAAAAACGCGTAATATATTTTTATCTTGTACCGTCAAATAAAATTTGATCGATGCTTAACATCAAACCGTGCCATGTGTAATTTATTGAATTGCAATTTATTAAATTGCTTCGCTCATATCATAATTACATATAATTCATCGAAATTACGCATATAGTAATTGTTTTTGAAGGTGAGAAGAAATCCCGTTTTATATTATATTACTACATACAACTTTACACACTAAATCAACAAGACCAGCATTTCTACAAGCGATTTTTTTTCTAGGAAAGATTTTCCATTAGATGAACTTGAATTCTCTGTCTCTGTAGGAAACAAGCCCTTGACGGTATGCAGCCTCCCGTTTGGCTCGTCGCAACTTCATCCAATGCCCATATCCGAAACAGGTCGAGACGACAAGAATCGGCCAAAAGATGGTTTTGGACGTAGGCTTAAAGTAGTAGTACTGTTGTGCCTTCAAGGACTGCCATCGCTGCAAGGCTGGGTCAAACTGGGCAGTAAATATACAAGATTAATGACGCTAAATATAAATAGTCGTTTAAAAATTTCAAATTGAATGGTATAAAAGCGGTATATGTTACATATTTAATTAGTTAAGCAACTTACTAGGTAGCCCCCTTCTCCCTGGACAATGAAATAATATAAATTAGTTTATTTTGCATGTACATTTATAAAACAGAAGATTGCTTAAAAATGTAGCAAAACTTGAAATTATTACATGGCGATGAGGGTTTGTAAACTGCTTGACAAATTCTTTGCGGAAATCTGCCCTGATCTTGGCTCTTTCTTGGATATTGCGCAACTCCTTAGGCGAGACATCGTACTGTTCCAATTTATTTGACATCTCGCCCAATTTATGGCTGTGGCTGTTGCTAAAAATTATATGGTTTTTAGTTTTCAAGAAAAATATTCCAAGTTTCTTTTTAGCACAAACAGAGGCGATAAATGAGATTCGAGAGTTCCTCGATTCGTTTCGTCGCATGAAGCCCCGATTAAGCTCAAGTTTGTTGAGATCGAGATGAGAATATATCAGGAGAAAGTGAGACTATGTAAATCGGTTTTACTAAAACCCATAAAATGAAGATAAGGCTTCACGATCGTTTTGATAACAGTTTCATTTAATTGATTGATAGGCTAGGTCGACAAAGTTTTTTTAGTCGTAAAGTCTACATATATTTCTATACATAGGCACAAGATAAATCACATTGAGACCTTTATTGACACACCCAATTTGCATTAATTAATACACGGTGAAAAACGTCGACAATGAAGGAAGACATCATCATGAAGCACTTTGTTCCAGGTATTCTTCTGTTAATTGATGCACGTGAAAGTGAAAGAAAGCGACAAACTATTATAAGTTGTATGAATAGTACGAATATTACAGGAAATATCGGTTCCTTATAGTTCTCTTCTACATATATGAATACACAAGGATAATTTTTATGATAATGTTTATAATTGATTTATATGTAGCTCGTGTCACTGGAATTTTCAATAAACTTAAATTGCATTTAACTATAAATAAACTACGAATGCAAGTAAGTGACTCCTCTGCAAAATAAAATAAACTTCTACAAAACATTGCTAAATAAAAGTCTTGCACTAATAAAAAGTTTTAGCCTAAAAGTCGGCCTTAAAAGTCGGCGTCCCAGCCAGACAAGTCATCTGGTGGAGGTCCATCAGGATCAGGTGGATATTCGTCAAAGTTTCCGCAGTCCTGTGGCCCTCTGATTTCAGGAATAATGGGAGGAGTGAGTGTTTTTAGTCGGAGGCCTTCCCAGTTGAAGCCATCGAACCACTTGTGCTTCTGAACATCTGGAATCCCTCCTCTTTGATAACCGAGCCGTTCCGCAGGGTTGTCACGACACAGTTTCTTGATCAGGTTTGCAGCATTTCGACTCACCGTGCGAGGGAATTCGACGGCTTCGATACCTTTCAGGATAATATTGTACGTCTTCATAGGATCGCCACCGGTGAAAGGCGGGGTTCCAGTTAGTAACTCGAACATTAATACACCAAGGGACCAGAAATCACAACCTGTGCAGATTAAACACCAAATTTTCTAAGTTGTATTTACGGTTGAATAAATTTTACGAAACTTTAGCGCATTTTTATAGCACACTAAATTGTCAGATTGATTCTGTATTTAAGGGATGCTTACCTATATCGTGACCCTTGTTCAATATAATTTCAGGGGCGACTGGAAATAAAATTATTACTATTTACTCCCTGTCCAAATTGTCTAATTAAATATACAGATGTAATATTAAATTATTAATACCATATTCAGGAGTACCACAAAACGTCCACGTTTTCCTTCCTTGTAATTTTTTTGCGAACCCAAAGTCAACTAATTTCACATAGCCATTGTTGTCTAATAGTAAATTTTCAGGTTTTAAATCACGATAAATAATATTTCGACTATGGAGGTAATGAAACGCTTCAAGTACACACGCCGTGTAAAATCTGTACGAAAAATAATTGGACTCGTTAGAAGCACCTTTGATTTGAGTGTTATTGGATGAAATTTGTATACCTTGTGGTGTGATCGTCAAATTGAGTCTTGTCTCTCAAAATCGTCCATAACTCTCCACCAAGACAAACTTCCATCAGCATGTACAAGTACTTCAAAGTGAATACAAAAAATTCTAGTTAAACGTCATTTTTAACTTGGGTTCTAATATTTAAAATCGTCCAACCTTTGCATCTTTGTAAGTTTTATACAGCTTGCAAATAAAGTCACAGTTTGATTCGTACATAATTTCTTTCTCTGACTTTATGTGCTCTTGCTGCCTGGTTGCTACAATCTGTTAAGTAAAACGACAAGTCGTCAATAATTAGCCCAATGAGAATTAAAGAGGATGCTGGAAAATACCTGACTCTTTTTCATCTGCTTCAATGCAAATGACCGGATTTGATCTCCGGCCATAGAGACAAGTTCGACGCGACCAAACCCTCCAACTCCCAGCGTGGTAATGACTCTTAAATCCTTAATTTGTACCGAACCAAATTCTGCATCCAATCTACAAAGCAAACATATTGCATCGTATTATAGACACTAATTTTCATACGTCTTGAAATTGAAAAATGCTCACTTTTTCCTATACTTTTCTGCATCGTCATATCGCGTTCGCACTTCGTCTAATGGGTTTACTTAATAACAAGTCAAAGTAAATTATTAAAATTTTAAATAAACTTACAAATTAAACAAATTAAATACATTATGTAAATTTTATCATTACTTAATAAGTTAAAGGACTCTTTATCTATCACAAGGCAGGTAGCTCCGTCCTCATCGTCCACAATAATGTTGGCAGTCCTCAAATCATCCCTGTAATAAAGATTGCAAAAAAACATGAAACCTGATTACATACGACAGCTTGACTTCAACAACTTCATTCTTTTCATTCTTTTTAAGCTAGTTACCCTTGCAAGGCCTTTTCTCCAAAGAAATCTCCGCGATGAAGGGTTCTCACAAATTTTTCCTCGGTCGGATTTCCAGCTTCGTCCACAGATTTCATGGTCACTTTCACCCTTCCTCGAGAAATAATGAAAAATGTCTCTCCGCGAGCCCCTTGAGTAATGATAAAGATTTAAAATAGTTTATACGCTTGTGTGGTTGTGAGAAATAAAACTTTGATAAATACCTTGTCGCACAATGTACTCGCCGTTCCCATACTCAACCTCTTCGATGCAGTCACTGAGCTTGTTGAGTCCCTCGTCCGTTAATTTCTTGAAAATTGGGACGGATTTGAGGAAGTCGATGTACTGAACAGAATTTATAAGTTATTGTCTCCAGTAATACGGAATAAATTAATTTATGGAGCAATTTTCTGCGAGCTAATTAAAATTTGACCAACCTCAGCCGTTTTCATCAAGCCACTCTTCATCATGATGGTCTGAAATATGGTTCTCTTTATTGCCCAAAGTTTGCATTGTGTAGCAGCTAAAAAATAAAAATGGGATGGGATACAATTTTGCTTTGAGTCATTGAAATTTTAATTTTAGAGATAATATTATTATGTAAAATGTATTTACATTACATAACCCGTAGTATAATTAATTAAACGTACCTTTAATGGTGGCAGTTCGTTGACAATTGTACAGGATTGCTAGTTCTCCAAAGACTTTCCCAGGGGAAATAGTTGACAGGTATTTTCCCTCTCTGGAAACTTCCACTCGACCATCTACAACGTCATTAGTAGAAATGGACATCATTATTGGAATTAATATGACAGAGCCAGTGGTGGGTTGAATTATTTGGGCCAATGTGTAAGATTTATCGCTGGATGGATATGTACATATTGATATGTGACACCACCCTTTTCTTGATAGTTTGTTCATACAATTCCAAGAAAGTGAGTTTATTTTTAAAGTTGTGTGTCATTGTTATTTTTCGAAAGCCTTGAGACAATCGAAACAATGCATTGAAAAATGAGACATACATATCATATTGCATATGCATATGAACCAGATAAGTCACAATCTCATTTGTTTTTGGTAGATAAATAAATATATAATTTCCAACTGATAAAGTATTATTGGATTTGTTGGAATGTACATGAATAACCTCACAAAGGATTTATCAGTGTCATAAATTTAGTAGTCACAGGGTCAACGGCAATATTATATAAATGCATGAAATACATATTGCACTGTACAGTTTCTTTAAAAAGTAGGCCCAACATGTAGATCGTACGAATAATCAAATTTGTGATAAGTTGTCGAAAGTGCCAAGAATTAATTAAAAATAAGATTCATGTAGGGCTTATCTCGTGAAATAAGTATAACCACTGGTGAGCGAAACACTGACCTTCCATAACATAGAGTGTACTGCCAGGATTTCCTTCTCTTATTACGACGGCATTTTCTTCATATTCCTCAGGGTACATGCAATCCACAATCTACATAAAGTAAAATTGAGACGCTATTGTTAATCAATTTCAATCAATCTGTATTGTATCCATATCATATTGTAACAACTTGAAGAGTTCATCGTAGCATATTATTTATAACATATTAAATTGTTCTTTGGGGCATGCTGGTCCTTAAACCAATTGAAATGAAGAAAATTACCCACGTCACCATACTCATTCTGACGCTAACTACAAAAGTGGCTTGTTAAGGGCCATCATATATAAAAGTCAAAGCAGGGCAGAATATTTACCTCCTTCACTCGCTGTGGATCGAGATGCCTCAAAAAGTCATTGTCTAAGATTCCGGATTTTATCAACTCTTTTGACCTATTAAATGCAATTAAACAGGTGTTATGCACATTCATAATGCTGTCTCCAAATACATAATTTCAACTGGGCGAATTTTTCTCACCTGTCAGATTTTGGGAAATTGGGTAGTTCCTGACTTTGGACACTTTGGTCTGGAATTGGCTCCGCAGAAATACCTTGACCTCGAATCCTTTGCTTGCTCACTACAACCACGGAGGGTTTTTTCGTTCCCCCAGATTTAATGATGGACTGGTACTGCATATAATCAAACCAAATATGAAAATGAAAATTCGCATGTTATACATGATTATTTTTGCAAGCATTTTTTCGTATATGTAGAGTTGCAGTTTGAGGTAGCAGAATGTCTGCATATGAATGAATGAGATTGATTGATCAAGGAAAAGCAGAGTCAAAGCATGATTTTCTCGACGGACTCAACCTTGTCAAGATCGGAGCGGAGTTGAAGAATTTCTTCTTCTTTCTCCAAAATGCGAAGCTCCAACTTTCTGATGATCTTGTCCCTAAATGTGACTTCTTGTTGGAGCTCTTCGAGCAACTGCTTCTGTCTGTCTGGGCCCGACATTTTTCTCCTCCTCTTAGTTTGCACCGCTTGAGCACCTTTTTCGGACCCTTCACAACCCTCCGGAACAAGGACTTTAGATTTACGTTGGGTAGAAATTTCGAATAATTTTAGGGCAAGGGAATCACTTTATATTTGCATATACATTCAAATGGCTCCACATAAAACTTATCCACGAACACGGTCAACACACATAATCCATACACATTCGTTTAAAAGTCGCCGTATAATAGCTTCTTGGCTACGATAGACTCTCTGTCGTCAGTCTCACTTCATTGAACGACCTGGTGTTTTAGACAGAACTTTCAAAACTAAAGAGATGACGCCAATGCTTCGTCCAACAGTGACTTATTTAGCTTATCTTCTTTTTAGAGGTGATGAGACAGACAGACGTATATTTTATCACGTCAAACATGCTCTCGTTCTCTCACTCACTCGCTCAACCTCATGCCCAACCAAAACCAGGTCCAGCAGAAGATAGAAGATCGCTTCGCAATGTTAAACAAACACAACTCATCAAAATCCGAGTTGAAAATAGATCACGACGATACGGTTTCGACGCGTTGTTCAACCAAGAGATACATCCAAATCTGATTCTCTTTCACTAAACACACTTTTAATACATGCAATATCTCCCCGTCATGCAAAATCTTCACCCAAACAAAGTTGGCAACAGGTACATAGGCGTTCGAAAGAACAAAACTCTTTAATTAATTGATGTTGAATTTAATGACGCTTATTTATTTCTTGTTACAAAATTGTATTGTACGTTTTTCACAACAAATCGGGTAATAAACAAATCGACGGTGAGCCTCGCCCTCGCAACAATTAAATAAATATCAGTCAGAATAATAGCCTCGGTTTAGTAGTGCACATTGCTTGCGTTGAGTGAGTAGCTCTCCCCACGAGAAATCAACGCATTTTGCGTCCAACTGTTTACTCGAAGAGTGGTGGATACTAGTGGTAGTGGCAATGAAACTAGATTTTATTAGCCGTTTTATGATGTATTATATTTATTATTTGCTCATAATATTGACTTTTATTGTAATAAAGTGGAGTAACTAAATCTTTATTGGATTGGGCACTTGGACACGACCAATATTAAACCCGAGCAAAATTTGTATAATCAGAATCACTGCGACGACGACGACGACGACGACGACTGGCGCTGTATAGCAGACTATTATTATTATAACTCATGGAATATAATACGTAAGATAGTCGAGGTGGAGATGAAATTATGTTCACCCTGTTGCTTAAATGTTAACTAAGTAAGTATTAACTGGCACATATCCACTGAACAGACTGGTTCTTCTTTCGCTATCTCTCCCCCACTTAACCAGTCAACAACATTAGCATGAGGATCAGAGCAGCAAGTAAGCGTCCTTTAGAGTTATATCATCATGTTGCAAATAATATAAAGCCCCATCGGTCGGGTATCATCACATCAGCAGCAGCCAATACCAACTTGTAGTACTACCACTACCAACAACTGCAGATTTAGTGAATCGACTCGGTTAAATAAAAAAAGCGAACTTAACTTTGAATACGACTGGTTTACAAGCCCAGCTTAACCACCATCACCACGCTCCTTCATAAACTGTGAGTTTGGTTTAATACGACAATTTGTTGCAGCAGAGGAACTCTCGACTTTTTTGTATCCATTGATGATGAGCACGTTGTGTTTAAATGGACACTGACTGAATTAATAACTGAAACACACTGAAGGACTTTGTGCTAATGATAATAATGACATACGTATTCATACAGTGGTTGTATGTACATGCATACTAAAAATATGTGTGTGCTCGTCGTGTAAAAAAGTAAAAACAGCTTCAAGAGTATTTCGACATTTAATAAATACACTTCATTCGCCGTTCTCCAAAAGCAGACATTATCTCTCACTTACTGATTGGAAATAAAACATTGTTATTATGCTTACATACGAGTGTGTGCGGACGACGACGACGACGACAGGGGGAAGAGGTTAACTAACTAATCTTAAATGCATACATACCTAAGTATTCTCGTACATATATGCATTCTCATACACGTCTCATGATACACCACGACGACGGTTTACTTTGAGCACATTTGCTCACTTAATCTAAAAGCCAAGCTATTATTTCGTGGTGACCTGCACACAATGCAACAAGTGGTCTCATCCTTCTGAACTTTGCCAACAACGGAGCATTAGCATACGAATCTCATCTTTGCAGAAATATGCAAGCTTGCTTGGTTTGAGTGATAGATTTCAGTCTTATTATACAGCAATATGTACATATGTACTCTGTCTGGTTGTGCATGCATGTATTGCAGTAGCAGTTATTTTATGCGGACAAAAACAGTTAAATGGAGAGAGAGAAAAAAAAAGAGTACGATTCAAGTGTATGGAATTCATTTTAGAACCATGGATTTGAAATGCTGATGGGGTCTGAGCATGGAAATTAATTTGTCAGGGGAATAAGTGGATTTATCTGGAATGAAGACTTGGCTTGGCGTAATTCAATTCTCATCACAGAGAGCGGAGCTCTTTGGTACGAAATAAAAATTCACAACGGATGGTCGTCGTACTTAAAAGCAAACAATATTGTGACATCTGGATAATGTCACCGTGTGGAGATTATGCTTATTATTTATGTTTATCATGATGCCCAGTTTCAACCGGAGCAAATGAGACAATAATCAACTCATAAGAAGGGAGTTAGTTAACTGTTTCAATCAGTTTTTAAATATTTATTAGTACGGAATATTTAATGCACACACTCAAATAAACATATGTATAATAAATTCAGCACATTTTTAAACCTCGATCATAAATTTATTAATCTACATACGTATTTCAAATTTATCACGTGATTGTTCAGGGATTACCTTGGAATGCATTTTTTGTCTGCATCAAAAGTACAGACTCATTGAATGATGACGGAATGCGATGCGATCAGTGTGCTGAAATAGTTTATAATTCGACAATCTCGATTAATTCTTGGGGATGATGAACGATGTAGAGGTTGCAAATTTCTCCTGCACGTCAAACCATTATTATTATGACCGGCCGCCGGTCACCGGCGGCTATACCGGATGCAAGGACAATGGAGATTAGCGTCATAATTCGGTTAACCGAACCACATAAGAAATGTGCATCAAATACCTTGCTTACGTTTGAGCAGTATTTAACGTACGTAGCGTAACACACAGCTGACTTTATTCTGGAGGATGAAAGACTTTACATCTACATGTGTAGAAAAATTTCATTAATAATGCATTGTCTTCGCGATTGTCGTGAGTTGCAAACGCAAAAACCGTGTTAAGCAATAGTGTTAACTAATAGGAATGCCGTCATAAAAATTTGATCCTGAACTTGTTGTGGCTCAGTCAGTTGTATGTATATAATTTGCTAATTTACTACTTACTTTTAGTACTTGGAGGTACATGCATTATTATGCATGTGTATCCCCAGGTATCAATCCGGTCTCATTTTAAGTGTCATGTCCATGCAATTTTACAAGTTGGGGTAGAAGCTTTTGAAACAGTAGAATTTGAAGATCTTACTCAAAGTTCATAAATTGCAAATTCTGACAAAAGACACGACGTGAGGGGTAAGAAACATTGGTATTCACTTGCTAATTGAATTCCTTTTGTTGAACTCTGCAGTCTGCCCATTGAATGCTAAATGTTTATGGGCCCATCTGCATGAAATGAGAATGCCTTGTAATTTTAAAGCTCGAAAGCAATTAAACTTTGCGATTTGCAACTGGACAAGAACAATTATGTGCAACAATGACTGCAATTCTGTCTTAATAAGACAAAACTAGCCTGCATAAAAAATTATTTAGGGGTTACTTTAGGCTTCATTACTGCAGTAAATAGGTTGCACAAACATGACAGTCGGAGATACAATCTCAACATGGGATCCACACGAGTGGATATCCATGATACTAGTTTTATTCTTTCTTTCTTATTACTACATTTTTATCTCCACCATTAATTTCTCTTATTGTTTTGAATTGCCGCATCGTTAAATATTGACTGTTTAAGCAAACATTGACTATTTCTATATTTGTCTCAATGTAATTTCGCACGCTATATGTATTTGCATGCATACATATACGCACTTCATTCAACTATATGTATCATAGTTTCATTTTGACCACTGTCTGAGCCGAGTGAATGACAAACTAACTCAAGTAATGCAAAATTTAGTTCATTGTACCATTCGATGTCCAACTCTCTGCTTAATTGGAGATTGACTGGGCGATGTAGATGAAAGTAACCCTGTCATATTTTGATGAATCACAATACCAACAAGAAATGAATTAGCAAAAATGCGTGTTCAAGGAGAAGCTTCAATTTTAATGGAATAATTTTGTTACTGTCTTATCAACAATGACGAAATTGCAGCCTGCATATGTTTAGTATGTAATAAACTGCACGCGATAATATAATATTATATTATTACGCTAATATCTAGTGAGTGAGGATAAGGAGTAGGTCAGACTCAATCAACTTTGCGTTGTCCAATTTTTGTTATGCAGCTAATTGCTTGTCAGTCGCGGACGTAGAAAATTGCCCCGCACCTAATGCATTGTTTAACAACCAAGGGTCACTTTTCATTTATTTGGTTAAACGGTTTGCCAAATTTCTCTGCTATCTGTGTGGTCGCACGTAGCACTCAAAATTGTTGGGAGGTTATCTGTACATATTTTTCTTCTGCTTTAAGAAGTCAATCTGACCAAATATTATTAATGAACGGCTTTGTGAGACCGTCTATCCATTGATCCACATCAGGTCCATTAGTCGTCGTGAGTTCCAAGAATATCGCTCACTCTCCCTTAACACAAGTTATATGCATACGCTGATACTCAGCGTGTAATTAATATTCTTGAAGGATGGTATACATACATAATAAAAATGTTGCAAGAGTTCAAACTACTATATAATCCATCAGCTACTTATTATTACTATCTATCTGTCTCTCCGCAGTCCATAAATATCTCATGAAACTTAAGCCGCATACTTAAAACGACGTGGTTCAGTTAAAAATAGATGGGACTAGAACTAATCAAATCTTTAACAGTGTGGGAATATATTAAGTCTTATCTGGCATTTTCCTCGCTCGTAAATAAATCACAGACTGTGTAAGAAAGATGAAGTTTGGAAATTCGAGAGAGCTGGAGCTCCTGGATATAATTGTGATTAACTCCGAAATGAGAAACAGTTTAACCTTGTGCTGAGCTATTTTTAGCCATTTATCTTTCAATTCAATAATTTGTAGTCTGGCCGTGTGGTACAAGTTGCATTATATGCGGTACTACTTATGTGGTCTCATTCATTGAATTGGGTATGGCCATTTGCCATACTTTTGATTTTGACTATTTTTAGGTCCCATAAGTCGAGTCATCATAATATATAATAACATATTTATTACCTTGTTGCAGAGGTGAAATACTCAGCACACATCAATCAGAGATATGTGCATATTACAATTCATGTGCATGCGACTGGGTCCACTAAAATTTCAATCATTGTCTCAACTGATAACGATAAAAGAATGGAGAAGGTAATTACAAGCGAAATTAGAGCACTGATTGTCTCCTCCACACGGGAATTACGTTGCTCCTCACTCAAGGCAATCCAATCCATCGATATTGAGAGCGAGGTAGCAAAACTGAGGTGGAATCATTTTGAAAATGATTTGGCTGTTACGAATTTACAATGTCTCTAAGGCAGTCACATCTAATACATGACTGATAACTCGAGCAACTTGTTCACATACAAAACCATGTCAAATTAAGTAGTTGCTGAATACAAGACGTTCAATTCGTGACTGAAAATGCAATAATTAGAAAAATATAATGCAATCGGGGAAACTTTTAGCCGAAATGCTGATATACAGCGATTTATACGTACATTTATGATGCATATGCACATTATAAAATATTTTTGCATATGTGGACCACTTCATAAATGCGAATATTTAATTAAAAAACTGAATGCAACGAGGTTGTTAACTTGTGGGATTTATTAATCCATATGTTAAATAGTTATGTTACACAAGTTTCGCCTTTCTTTTTTTCTTTTCCTGTATAATCTTCATGCGAATACAATTACTGGTATGATCAACATTTGTAACAATTACTAATTATAGTAGTCTATATCATAACTCATCCACTAGTATAATATTCTATATAAAGAGCGCGCATCCATGTCAATCATCATGATGAGAGGATGAAGATTCGAAGATAGAGTTTCATTTTTGTTGTGGGTTTATATAGCATTTTTTTAATGGTCTACAATTTCTTCATTGTGTTAGTTTCTCATAGATTAATTTGTAGTTTATATAAGTTTACAGATGTAAATCACAGGTACACAACCGAATGTATGGAATTGCCCATAAATCCTTCCCTTTACAACAACTTAATATTTCACTCCCTTAAAAAATACAATAACAAAATATTATAGCAGCGGTAGCAGCAGCAGCAGAGTTGGAGCAGTATAAGGCGAAACTTATCCAGCATTCACTAATTGTACATCAAACAAATTGCAAGAAAATCATCTCTCATGCAAACTTTACGAGTTTTACGGTTTACATTGTGAAGAAGAAAGTCTTGTGTGAAAGTTGCAAACAGTATAGAATATATAGCAAAGAAGAAATTGGACCACTCGAAAATGGCAGTGCAAACAAAAACAATGATAACAAATTTTGAATATATTGCAAATTATAATTCGCAGACAGTAATATAATGTTTTTTAGAGTATGTTGACTAAAATTGACAGTAAGTAATTGGTGCAAGAATGGTCAATAATATAGTATTTTGAACTTTAGCTCAAATCAAGAAATATATAAGTATGCATATAGTTGTGCTGATTATTAGATTCAGTAAAATTTGTACAATTATGTGACAACCGTGTAAAGTACACACAATTTTGAATCTATGTCAAATTAGGCCATTGTACAAACGGTATATATATATAATTCGTCACAATAAAGAAAAAGGAATCTATACTGTTGTTGAAAGTATAGCAGTAGTATAACCAAGAAATGTTTTCGCGATACGAAATTTAACTATTCCAATTTGTGTTTTGAAACTGAAACGTACTTTATATAAAGTCAATCAGTAAGAAATATTATCATCAGCATTCTCAGTTTACATATAACAATTGAACTCTATATATGTATGTATATATATTTAGCGGAGATCTTTGGTATACAAACAAACACACTACGGTTCTTACATTTCTTTGAAAATTTGAAAACCTAACAAATGAAGTGTTATTAGTGAATTGTGAATGTTGAATCTACAGGCTGGCTGATTCGTTAAGTAGTTGTCTATTACATTTGTGTAAAATTAACCAATAATTGACAAAATCAAGCCATGAAACCAAGAAAAGTTTATCTATAGGTCTTGGATAGCAAGTAATTTACAAGGTTGCATGCATTTCTTTCAGTCTAGTATGACGTGCAACGCAGAACAACTTACTCTACAACAAACAAGTTACAACTGATTTGACATAATAAACACGCTACGAGGAAAAACATAGTAATAAACATAATAGAAATCATATATGTATGTATAGCTTGAATTGAATCATAATAATTGGTTGATGAAATCTAAGTAATTTCTAAAAAATAGCATTTTGTAATCATAAATATAATTGTCTTCTGCATGAATTATACAATACTAATGATTGATAATAAAGCTATAAACGTTGTGGTAAATACTAAACAGTAAATTGAATAATTGTTAATTTTAGGAATAACTATCATCATGATCAATCTCGATATAATAATAAAAAATACACTCTCGTTCCTTGTTAACTAATCATTAGAACATGCATGCATTCTAACCACGTTTCATAGAAGACTTTATAACATGCAATACTAATAATAATATTAATAATAATAAACAATAACTCAACAAATGCATCTTCTCTTATACAATCGTAAACAGGGGACTGGAAATGATTCTTTAACGCTTATATAGTGTTTCAATATGTACTCGCTACTACATTTCTAAAGAGACTGTGACGAATAAAGTACTTTCAGCCGCCCACTGAAAAAAACAAGAAATGCAAAAACAGTCATTCATTTGCTGGAGAGCAGTCAATAATAACGAACCAATTTAAGAGTGAGTACTTATCATCATATCAAAGCAACAACATTCTCTAACATGGTCAATCCGTATATATTTCTGATTGATTACTGATACCAAAAAGATTCAACTAGGCATTGTTGTGATGCTCTCGTCCCAAATATGTTTCTGTACTTGTGAAGCTAAATTAACTTTTCGTTTCCTAATCCTACCATTGTAGTAGTACCATATAATTCCTGATGTAGTAATATAAAAATTAATTATTAATTGTAATTGTATATATATACTGCATGCTATAACAACTAATTGTCAGGAGGAGACCCGAGATTATCTTTAAGGTAGTGTTCTATGGGGGTGTCGGCAATAAGTCTGTAGAAGAAGAGGTGTTCCAAACATTTGAGTCCGATGGAGCGGAGAGCTGGGAGTCTCAAGAGCAATTTAGCGAACCTCCCTGCCTCGTTAGGGTAGTGCTGTCGAGTATAGTCTTCCAGGGTGGAGTAAACCTTGTCTCGCAGGGCTTCAACTGAAGGCATGGATGCTTGGGGGAGACCTCTTGAATCTAAAATCATTCAATTTATTTATTACACATTTGTCATTCCTTCTCTTGTCATTTAATGTTTTAAACAGAATTTCAACGTTCAGACGAGAATAACGTCTATTTATAAATATATAAATGCATGTGCATGCATACCTGGATTAAATAAAATGATGGCCTTCAAACAACCAAGTTCTGCTCGGTCAACTTTCATATCTCGCATTTTTCCAACAATTTCCGAAAGGACGCGATCAAAAATATGAACCAAACCAGCCTAGATAAATTTAGAAATGTAATATTATGTAATGCAGTATTCACAAAAGATTAATATTGTTACATATTGCAAAATTTAATGCTCAGAATTACTTGATGGGCGGACGTTCTATAGACCGTAAGACCGTTAGCTAGTACAAGGGCCTCCTTAACTGGAAAATTAAAAGCGTAATACATATTATATTATATTATTAGAGCCCAACATTTTGGATCGAAAACTAATAAGCACTATTCACCTTCCATTGAGCGATGTGCAAATCCTAATATTAATAGCTCGTTCCACCCTTGAATAGAAATTAATAATTAATATATTATCAAAGATATTCAACCACTATACACATTCATTCCGCAGGTACTTACCCGAACTCAAAAGGATAACTCGGTCACTGAGACTCAACTCGTTAAAATGCCTGGAAAAGGATATCACGCATTGCTAACTTTGAAGCCGTAATAAAGTGTTACGCTAAAAAATTACGAATCTTACGGAACAATTTTCGCCCATTCGACAAGTTGGAAGAGCTGCTTGTCGGCCGCTAGAATAGGAAATATCAAGAATTACACATATGTCGCAATAAACCTCATAATAATAATGTATACATACCTTGGCAAATATCACTCATTCCGAGGGTCTCGGTGTCCACGATGGGTCGCTCTGTAATTTATTTTGGAAATTATTAATGGGTCAATTAATCTAATATTGCAAAATGTTCAAAAATGCCCTCACCTCGAAGTTCACATTGCCTCTCCGCATCCACGATACGTTCTAAAGGCATGTCCATGGGTGTGGTTGTCGAGGTAGACTCCACCTCACTCTCGCCACTTCGCTCTTTCGTCCTCTGTCTCTCCTCCTGCAATTAGTCAAGTCGGGCCAAAATTTCGGATTAGATTTTTAATCACACACCAACTCACCCACTTTTCGAGAGGAGCACACAAATCAGAGCGACATAATGATATCTTAGTCACAAGTTTCACAGACTGACAGGAGCATATGATGATGATAAATGACAGAAAGTTTCCAGTTTCTAATTTTCAGCGAGCTTGTTGGCCTTTCAATTCTCAATGCAACAGTAAACTATTTGATTGCAGATTTATTCCAATAGTCAGCTAATTAATATAAAAATATGACACCCAAACTGATGTGATTTTGGCGTCGTCTGCTATACACATACCTTTATATAGGTGAGAGTGAGAGATGGGAGTGTACTCCAACTATTTACCAAAGTCTACGCTTTTTAGAATAGAAACTTTCATGTACTGGTTAAGAAGGCAAATAAAAAGAGAAGAAGAAGAAGCAGATAAGGCAATAAAATGGTTTTGTAGTGTGGGTATTTAAGCAAAGCATCACCTGTGCACTGGACCGTCTTCGATTGGATCGCTGCTCGAACTCATGAAGATACTGCATGGTAAATCATATACACGTGAGGGTAAAAAATAATAATAATAAATCAATATAAATAATAAAAATGTTATCACTGATTATATTTTATCAGCCTGCTCCTTCCCAAGTTCAACAGAAGAAATTCATTCGGACACACATACAAGGTCAATAACCATCATTCATATTTCCTCTCACCCGCCCACTAACTGCATCTTCCACCGCAAAATAACTCTATCTCATTACCAAATTAATTGTATGTAACAACAATTATTTTAGAACATTTTTAGGCTAAATAGGTTTGATAACAATACAAATTTCGGCAAGTATGTAAATTATAACTCGAGTACAAGGAAAGGGGCTCATTTAATTTTGCATGCAGTATTTTATATTATTCTCGAACGAGTATCAATTATGTATAAGTAAGGTTTTATAAGCTTTTGCTGGAGCAGGTTAAACTAAAATTGTGAATCAATACAGTAAATAAATATTATTAACAGCATTGCCACCATCACCAAGATTTCTTTAAATTACTACTTGTAAAGTTAACGTGCAAAATGCAAATAATAATAAAACTTGTGTCAGTCGTAGTAGTTCATGCATTATAGATTTTTTGACATTACGTAAAGTTTCCATTCTTTGATTGAAGTCACGAAAACCACCCATCTTACTACTCTTGACGTTCTCTTATATAGTTTTTGTAGCTGATTGGAAATGGTTGAGAGAAGAGTCTCGAGAGACAGGAGAAAGAGTTGAATAATAGTCAAATACAAAAAAGATTAGGTAACTTTCTCAACTGGACAACAATGACGACGACATGAAACGAACGAAGAGGCAACAATGCGAAGAACAATAAGTGTGCTCTTTATTTTTAATTGATCATTTTTTGAGATGTGCCTTACCTGAACAGCTTCACGCTTCATCCCCATCGAGAGACATTTCTGGTAGCGACAATACTGACACCGATTTCGATGCCGTTTGTCGATCGTGCAGCTCTTGTCTTCACGGCACGCGTACGACAGATCTTTTCGAACAGTTCGCTTAAAAAAACCTTTGCACCCTTCACAGCTGTAGACACCATAGTGCTTTCCTGTAAAGTTTAAAGTATGCATTATTTAACGTTATACATTTACATTATATATGTACAAATTACAACTAGCCTTGCAATAACAAGATGATATTGCGGTACGTACAGTGTCGGACAGATGTCTACGTCCACATAGTCGCGTCAATTTCATTTTCAAATTGTCACTGAACTACTGAACCAATTTTCATCATTGATATATCAAATTCTCACAAATTTAACGTAATTTCATAAAACATATGAGTTATTTCTGAAAATTCTGGGAAAACTGAGAATCATAGTGCAGAGCGAGAGAGGATGAAATTTGAGCGGACAAAAGTCTACGTCCACTTCACTTTAATTGTCAACAACAAAAATCTCTCCAATTTATAAAATCAGGTAACTTAATAAATCTATCAATAACATATGCCGCATTAATTTTTAAATAATTTTCTTCCAGAAAAATATGATGGCGTCGACACGCAAGGAAATTCCTATCGCTATTCGAGATCTTGTCATTCAGGACTGGAAGGGTGGACAAAAAGGGGGCTGTCGCAGAGACAAATATGGACCAAGTATAAATTAGCAAGGACAACCATCCAGACAATCATTAAGAACTTTAAAGCTAATGGTTCAGTCCAAAACAAGGTCAGAAGTGGTCGAAAACCCATTTTGGCTCACCGAGAAGTACGCCACGTGCTCAACAAAGTCAACGTTACACCCTCACTTAGTGCTCCAAAGCTATCTACCGAGATCAAGGAGATGTTCGGCAAACAGGTTAGTCCTATGACCATCCAAAGAACACTGAATAAGGGAAATTTGAAATCCCACAGAGCAGTCAGGAAGCCTCTTATTGTACTGAGGAATGCAACCAAACGAGTGAAGTTTGCCAGAGACCACATTTCCAAGCCACAAACATTCTGGGACATATTTTATGGACTGACGAGTCAAAGTTCAATGTCTTTGGGTCAGATGGGCGTCTTAGAGTGTGGAGATATCCAAAAGAAGCTTTGAATCCAAAAAATCTCAACCCCACAGTTAAGCACGGCGGCGGGTCGGTAATGGTGTGGGGATGCATGGCTTCAAGTGGGGCAGGAAAAATGGAATTTATTGACGGAATTATGGACCAATACAAGTACCAGGGAATACTTGACCGTAATATCCAGGAATCTGTTCGAAAACTTGGACTTGGACGACGATTTGCCTTCCAACAAGACAACGATCCGAAACACTCTGCCAAGTCCACCATGGAATACTTCAAGAAAAAAAAATTCCGAAGCTAGAATGGCCTCCCCAATCTCCAGACTTGAATCCCATTGAGCATCTGTACGACCACATTGAAAGAGAAATAAGAAAACAATCTTTTTCAGGAATTCCGGGCCTTAAATCCAGAATTCGTGAAGTTTGGGAAACCATTTCTGAAGATGTGACCAAGAATTTGGTAAACTCAATGACTCGACGCCTTGAAGCCGTCCTTAAAGCGAACGGAGGCCCAACCAAATATTAAAAATTAATTGTTATAACATTCCTTATAAATTACAGTTTTTTTTGTATGTTTTCTCTGACTGGACGTTGACTTTTGTCCATCCAATTGTTTTCATTTTGAATTAAAATACATCTCTGGCCTAAAATAAATTTTTTAGCGGAAAACTAATAATGTGCTATGAAATTACGTTAAATTTGTGAGAATTTGATATATCAATGATGAAAATTGGTTCAGTAGTTCAGTGACAATTTGAAAATGAAATTGACGCGACTATGTGGACGTAGACATCTGTCCGACACTGTATAATGGTTTGGTATAAGTTTATATGCGACCATATGTAAACAATGTCGCCCTTAAGAAAATATGTAGAAAGCACGGATACGTACATTGCGACATCCAAACTTATAAATACGCCACTTTATACGTACTGCATAAATTAAATAGAATGTAAATATTTCTCGCCTGATGCCCGGTCACCGCAGATGGAGCACAAATGCTTGGATCCGCTGAGGGGGTGATTGGGGGGATATTGGCCGTTGGGTGAGAGGCCGTTGGAAGAGGACGAGCTACCAGCACCATTGGTTCCGTTCACATTTGTCGAGACGCCGTTCCCGTTCGTGGAGGAAGCCAGGAATCCAGACCCCGCGGAAAAGGATGATTGTGGTAAACTGTGAAATTCAAGGCAATTAGTAATTAATTTTGCTATATAGACGGACACGAGATTTGAGCAAGACAAGCAAGTGAACATGTAATCGTCCAGTAAGTATTTATTAGTAGAATGTATGTACATATATGTACAAGTTTCACAAGTCGACTTTGCAACACCAGAATTCCTGGCGAATCGAGCTGTGGTCTATCAAAATTGTACGTGTTCCTGTCATCAGTAGTGGTGGCATCAGGTGATACATTTTCCATTATGAAAGTGGCACTCCAATTTGATCTGTCAACTGTTCATTTCTGTTTGTGGCACGGAATATTAATTTCTTCATGTCATCAAGTAACTGGCAGGTTGATAGACAGAGGTTGCGTACTTTTCCTCCAGAAATAACAACAGGTCATGGAGAAAATGCATAGGGTAGAGTGAAAGCAGTGTACGTAGGTATGTTTGTATGTATGTAAGAGATGTTTTGCCGAATAGTTCCTTCACCGCAAATAATTGCCCACGACATAAGTCCTTGAAACTCTTTGAAGTTCGTGAAGCTTTCAATTTGAGCCAGGGATTAGAGTGGTACGTGTGTTCCTCAAACAACTTGCAAACTATTGTACTAAACAAGCTCTCCATGTGTCAGATTCGGTTTCACTCATTTAATTAATTTGTGGTTAGAGTAAATTGCTGTTCATCAAACATTTTGGGTGTGGTGGCGAGCGTCAGAACAAATGCAAATGGAACAGAGTGATTTTAATCACCGTAGGATAATTGAAACGTTGAAATTTCAGTCATTTACGGAAAGAACTATTACAGTGACCAATTTGTGGATCACCCACAGTTTCCAGTCAAACGAATCTAATTCACATAATTGTGAGCATCATCTTATATATTATACTGACCAGAATTGACAACAATTTTGAGAATCGGGATTTGAATTGACGTCAATGGCTGTTGCAACAACCGTGTAGGACGACTAGACACACCCGTCGGCTGGATAATTTCAAATTAGATACAGACATCAAGGTTTTGAGGTATCATTAACAACCGGTCATTTTCCTAATGATTTTCAATTGTTGGGATTGTTTCTTCAGATTCTCGAGATCTGGAAATAATTGTGATATCAAGAATCTAATAAAAGTCTAATAATAAATAGATTCTGAAAAAAATCTCATCGTGAAGCAATTGGAGAGTCCTTTGCAGTTTCTACATGCAGCAACTTTCGATCTGATAATGTCCGCTGAAATAAAACGCAACAAGAACGACAGTGCACTATGTGTATAATGAATAAGCATTCTGATGAGATAACATCCAAAGTTATGTGGTGGGCAATTTAAAGATTTTTTAACTTTATGCTCTGGCAAAAATGACGTGTCCTTGATTTGGGACTTTGTGTGATATATGAGATTTGTTAAGTTTATATATCTCTTCGCAAACCCATAAAAACGAAACAACGCCCATTCTCCAGACTCCATAAGTGCAGAATCAAGTATGCAGTAGTTGAGCTGAATGAATTTTAGTTCAAGTCTGGTTTTTATTGAGAATATGCATATAGGTGGTATAAGGAGAATATGCGATTATGTGATATATCTAGGAGAATATGTGATTCACTATTAGTGAATACCGATATATTGCAATGGTGTTTTGAGCACCAATCTTGAGATCCATGATGGTTTGCATGCACCTAATCATTGGGTCCTAATGTTCAGATCTACTGTAAACCCCACAGTCAAAGATGTACATAAAACATACATAAAACTAGAAATCATTTCAGATCGTATTATCTGAAGGGATGTTTGCGCTAAATAAGACAAATTCAATTTTGCAGTTTTGAAATTTCGTGATCTGAACGGATTTCATTCAACTCAATTCTCAGAAGGCTGTAAATCGATGAATTTGATTTCTCAATGTTTGCATTTTGAAGCAGAATAAATTCTTGGGCTTACGTGTATCACAGAGTTTAATCTTGTAAATTTATTCCCAATGGTGCATAAAAAGCTAAGCGTTCATAACGTGTCAAGTTTCCAGTTCAAAATAAAGTGTCCTTTGTGCGATACTATCATACCCAAACCCAACGTGTAACATAAATTGTGAGATTGTTGTAATTAGCCGTTTGTCAGAAACAACAACGGCAAATCTATTGGCCTCTCCAGAAAAAAATCTACTGCGCAGTTAAGCCCGCAGATATAGTAAACCGGTAACCGGCATATGTATTTTGACAACAATTGACAGTCAAAAAAGAGTCAGGTTTAGATGTTTTCCACTTTCACACACCCTACGCTTGGCAGAAATACTACGCAGTTTCTATCTTCCACGCCAAAGAGCAACAATCAATAAGGGAATTAATAATGTCATATGCAATGCTATTTAGTATATCTTCTTAATTTTATTATGGATAAGTAATACTTGCAAGAAAAGATGTACCAGTACTTGACTTCTGTATTGTTACCAATTATCCAGAAATACTTTCAATATATAATATTGCATGGATCAGTATTAATTAAAATGCGTTGGAGGGATGAAGGCTAACAAAAAAAGTTTTCAAAATATAGATAAATGGATAAATCCTAGACGATTATCACAGTTTATCAACAACGTGACGATAACATTCTGCCGATCTGTCTGGGAGAAAGCATACGTTTGTCGATCACTCACAGGGAACCCATCAGGGTCAGGTCTCGTTCTGTTCGTCACCGGTTTATGTTGTTTTGTTAGTTAGTTTTGATAGATAGACTCAAATAATAATACTTATAGAGTTGCATATTAATTATGTGTGTACAGCATAAGCACAAACAAACGTCATTAAAAAGCTGTCCTAAATAGCACAATGTATACCTGTCTTCGGAGGACGCATATCTCGGCGATGAAGGGCCAGCTCCTAAGTACATAAAATTAATACATTTAATTTTAGAATATGGACAGGACATATTTCCTCCTGGGATAGGAGGGAAGAGGGCATATTACGGTCTCCACGTGCTTTGGTCAGTTGAGAATACCAACCATTGCCATGGTTGAAAATACCTTACAATATTGCGATAAATCATGCAGGGTATAAAACTGACCCATAGGGTGAGAAAACATTTGGCATAGTTTATTTTGATTTGAAATTGTGGGTGTGGTCAAAAAGCGGGGTTTCGTCGAATTTTCAAAAAATATCTATCCACTCCAAAAACATCCCTTTGAAGGGCCCCTAATTGGGACTGGTCAAAATGGGCTACTACACATGTCGGTAGGTTGTATCACTTTTGAGAAAAAGAAAAAAATGCAAGTGAAAATCCCGTTGTTTGTCAAAATCTTATGCAAACGAAACCCGAAACTATTCGGAAAATAGTACGAAATACGTAAAAAGTAAAAATAGTACGTGAAATTTTGCAGAAATAAGCGAAATTTATGGACCTGAAACTTTGTACTATACTGATTTTTGTCATCTTTGCCTGTATAGGCTAATTTTATACCCTCAATGATTATGGCAATATTTTAAGGTATTTTCGACATTGCACTGATTGTAATTGTTTTCGGAATTTAATAGATTGCAAGAAGGAAAAGGGGTTTATTTTAGTAAAATCTAACCTTGAGGACTAAATGCACCAGAAGAAGAGAGCAAACTGTTCGTGTCAGGTTTCATGTCGAGCGGACTTTGAGGACCGACGGACGACATGGGCAAATTCGTGTCCAGCGACAAACCTGAAATCAAATAAAACATTTTCATCAATTGTGAACTTTTATACTTTTTCCGAAACATCACACGAAAACCATGAGTTTGGTGGCATTGCACTGCGTTGGATGCTGTTGGGCTAATGAGAGCTGCTTCAGTTTCATTAACCATTTCTTTGCTGATTCATCAAGCCTACTGCATTATCCTGTACGACCTATGTAATTATTAACACGCACTGGAAATCAACTGTTGTATATACCAAGCTGTCCTGCCCATCCAACAACTGCTCATACATAGAGAATAAAGCACCTGGCTGGATATTTATCTAGGATTTAGAATTAATATATGCACAATTTCTTGTTTCGTGTGTCCCTTGCTGATGCGTCTAACAGAGGCCCATGAATGTGGCTTAATAGCATGAACGATATAAAAAATGATGGTCATTAACATTTTACACTCCTCCTTGAAAATCTCAATTCTTTAATTATTAAACGTAACATAATTATATGAAATCTTCCTCCGTGATACTCCCCACGCTACATGTACATAAGTACATACTTGCGTACAAATGTATTATGCATGCATATTATTCCAATGTCGAAATTGTAAAATGCCTTTGATATTACGTGTCTCAACACATACATAGATACGCTGGATAATTACGTTTAATGGGCTCAGCTACAAAAATGCGTCAAGCCCAATTCAACCTATGCAATAGTGGAATTATTATAAGAACAAGTTTGGTGAACCTGTTCATGTGTGTTTACTCTCTGGACAATCAACTATTGTCCATGGCATGGTCCACTGCTAGGATTTCTTAAGATGCCGATAAAGCCAAAGTACACAGCAGCATACGGGCAATTGGAAGTCCAGATAAAAAATAAACAAGTTGTGCTCATCCATATTCAGAAAGAAGTTTTAGAAAAATCATGTATTCCTGTTTGCACTCATCCAACCAAACCAAGCCAAACTTTACCAATCCAACAAACACGATAATGTAGTCACTATGCATCATATCAGAAAAAATCCACATAGAGAGAAACCTAATGGGATGGACATTGGAATCAAATTGCTGTTTACAGTTTGCAAACTCAATCAGCCCACATCAGCCACAAATCATCTTGAAATTTAAAACAAATTCAGCACGGAAAAGGCTCGTTCGACGTTTTTGTATTGATGCATGCATTACGATATGATGCTGGCCCTATCACAAAGGAGAAGAGAGTTAAATATCAAAGTAATCAACCGTGAACTTGAAAGATGTAAAGGACACCTTACTTTACTTACAATGAATTCAATCATGTAACGCAAACAAAAGACACGAGTAAACAACCAATATTGTGATTGAGAATAACAGATGGGAGACACCTTATATATTCTCATCCACTGCAAATAGTTATTTATTTATGTGACGCAAACAAAAGGCAACAAAGAAAGTTTGTTGGATATCAATTTATTGCGGAGAAGAAATGGATGTATAGAGAATCATCATTTGAACAACAAATGTGGGCACATGTTCAGGCGTCAAAATAAGAGTATATAACAAGTTGGATGGAATGGAAGATGGTGGGTGATTAGTTTTTTCTGCAATCTGAAAGAGAAGCACCACCTCAACCCTTCCTACATTGTTCTTTTAGGACAACTTTGGAACATTGAAATCGTCCCACACACAGACACACTCCATTCCATTTTTGAATTTTATGTATGGGTTGCAATCGACATGTGTATGAATGCATGCATCAATCCTTATATTAGATTTACATTAAGTTTGATTTTCACAAACAACAAAATGTTCATAAATAAGAAATATGTATGTGTGTAGCAAATAAAATAAATACAGTAGTGATGTTACAACATAAGAGTAGAGATTGTCAATTTTATTACACTATTTTTGCGCTTTTGAGAAGGTGCAACGATTTTGGACATTCGTAATCATACATTTGTAACCACTTAAAAGTATGTCTGAAACCTTGCAAGCAGCGCTGTATTGACATTTATAATGTTTTGATTAGACTCGATGTTTGCTTCTTTGCAAGTTGTTTGCAAGGAAATTCGACAAAAGGCCAACATTTATGGAAGTTTCTCACGATACGCGAAATATGAATTTGTCTGTCCTGCACCACTAAGGAAAACTAATTACATTTTCTCATGTTCAATGAACATCATGCTGAGCAAACAATACATAATCTGAGCACTTGACAACAATGCAGCTCGTCTTTTGTTGAGCGTATTAAAAGCACAATCCAATTCCAAAACGAGTCAGTTCTAAGATTTGAGAAATAATTTGAATAAATTAACCAGCTACTACAGAGGGGTGGGACAGAAGAAGGAGCCACTTTGCCTAAATTTATTCCGGCCTTATTATTCGTTTGTGAAGTTTGGTAATTGGTTCAGTGTGAAGCCCTTTAGTTTATCTAACGAGCCTCAGTCGCTTTTTCCAACCAGTCATGACCTTTGACACAATTTTCAGAGTGATTCTGCACCACTCGTCCTGAACACTTTTCCAAAGTGCATCAAAACGCACGCGTTTTCCTTTCAAGAAGGCTCTGTTTTAAGTACTCGAATCCAAAAAAAAACATCGGATTGATATCAGAGGAACTAACGAGAGTTTCTATAGTAGGAATAATTGTTATACCCAAACTTTTTTTAAAATCCTTCGTGTAGGCTGATATTTTGTGAGAAATAAGTTGGGATGAGAGCATGATCTCGGGATTTCCTACGAGTCACTTGCTGTAGGTCATTGTGAATGACTCTAGAAATGTTCTCCTACTAACGTTTAACATTTTCGCCATGCAACTTTTAGTTGGTGGATTTACCGTTTTGGCGAAAAATTGATTTTCCGGATAAACTTTTTGGTTCAAGCGGATCTTGGGTATCCTTTCCGTGGGGGTGGAGCTCTAACCGCTTTTTCCCTCCGCTTGATTCCAACGTTTTTAAGTACATTAGAAACGTACTTTCGATCGACGATAAATCCATTTGCAGCAAATTTTCTAACAATCGCTCTCTGGCTCAGTATGTCTTTGGAAAACACTTTTATGCGTGCCTCGCACTCTGGGGGGTGCTGCAGGGGCATTTTTAACCGTAGGGAAAATCTGAATAGTGCTAAATTTTCGTTAACTATCTGGGTATGACATATGCAAATTTTGAAAATGCCGCGACTGTGCATCACACGCCACCCCTAAAATTCAAGTGGCTCCTTCTTCTGTCCCACCCCTGTAAATGCATACGTACATACACAGTTGTAAGATAGATCAAGGGAACTTGAACCCATTAAGATTAGCTAAAGAATTGTCATTGTCAAGTTCATCCACAAGTTGAATCCAATGCAATAATCACATTCAGCCGTTCGTTCGTAATCTCATCACAATTAAAGAAGGCTAAAGAGGAATAAATCAACTTTTTGATAAGCCTGCTATACACCAGCAAATCTACCGTATCGAGACGAGGCCTATGCTCATACTTAAATTATTATTGTACTACTTGCATGGCAATCAAACACGGCAGTCATTGGCATCATGACGTGGTCATTCTACTAATACAACTGCTGCATAACTGGGATGGTTATTATCAGTGAGACATCTCCAACACGATCACATCATTTACTTACTGTTCCGTGTCAATATATCACACATGGACATTGCGTTGCAAAACTGTCAAATTGGAGATACAACATCCATTACAAAGGACTAACAACGCATAGTTTAGCATAATTATCAAGCCCCACTGCCGGAGTGGCGACCTTAGTCAAGCTAAATTGAAATGAATTGCACTTGTAGAGTTCTAAATGGATGAATGGCGGGCACAGAGACTATTATAGTTCATATGCTATTTAAAAATGCAGCTCTATATTGTTAGTACTGACAACGACAGAGCCAAAATTTTGATCCGCCTTTCATTGTTGATTGTTTGAGTGATTGAAAACAGAAACTGTGTTAATTGTAGAGTGCAACAGGTTTTATTTTATTTATTGTTGGATGGACTGTGAAGGGAACAGATTCACTTTTTAAGCCGTTGATGCTATTGCTGCTTGCTGTCAACGTTTGTGATATTTTAAAATGGGACCAACACTTTCTGACTCACTCTGAATCATGTCACTCACTGCCAAACCAAATTATGCAAGCACAGCCAACCAACTGCTAACCGGGCACACGACACTTGCAAATTAAATCAAATTAAGCGTCATTGTTATTTGCTGGTAATATTTCACCAAAGTAAAGAGAGAACAATTGGACATTTTTTGCATCTCTCTAGATAGAAGCAGCATTTATTTGTACCTGACCTTGCATGCTTTGAGTTCCCATCATTATTTAAATCCACTCTAATGTAACTTTTTTACGTTTTTTACACATTCGCAAGATAGCTACACATTTCTTGCGCTAATGTGAGAATAACGAACGCTAATTTTTCATGTTGGTCGTTGAATGGGGATGAACACATTTTTGGTCGAATTCCTGTAACCAGAAGGTGCAACGCATGACGAGCTTTGGTTGCTTATTATTATTGCATCCACGACACGACAAAGACAAATAACAAATCGCTTAATTACAACAATCCAAATCAGTCCGTAGCGAATCATGGAACTATCTAAACTCAACAAAGTTTATATGTTCTAGTCGTTAACATCAAAAGTCAAGGTAAAATAATTCATCATCATAGCAGAACCCACCAACCAACCCAACATTGCACATAAACAATGCAAATTCGACATTACATACAGCAGACAGTTGTTGAACTCCACCACAACCTAACCTAGTGGTAAATCGCATTAGTATTGACTAATTCCACGTGTCCTTGTCAACTTCACCTTTGCACAAAGGATAAATTACTTCTCGCTGTAATACATGGGCCAGCTATAAACTAAAGACATGGCAATTTACAATTAGTAAGTACCAAATTTAACAAAGTCATTAACATGAATTTTAGACAGTACTCCCATTGTCAAGCAGTGTTACAACAAATCCAGCACCACTCTGATCCTGAGAGGAGCAGCTCTCATGAATTTAAAGCGTAATTTCAATTAGTTGTGCTT